CCCTTTTTTAGGGGTGCTGTCTGGGCTGTCTGGGGGAGTTTATAAAATCCTTCAAATGTCCGGGGTTTTGTATGGAAGTTTTGAGTTTGTGTCGTGTGGACTAACTGAGTAAGAAGCGCATAAATAACACCTGACCCGACCCGAAAAACCCTCAAAATTTATTGATCTTATGCCCCGTCTACAGAGGAAGGCGTCGACACTACTAACACCAGATTTTTTCAGCGACGGAGTTATGGATTCTGTAAAAACCTTGGATGAGAAACTTTTAAAAGTGTCTTAAAGCAGAAACATTTTCATCCACTGTCATCACTTTTAAAGGTGATAGTGACAGAGTTTTTAGAAGAAGTGATATCCCTCTGTTCGGCTCTGTTTAAACTTGAACTAGAAATCTTTAATTAGAAGTTAATGTTTTGACGATATTACTCAAAAACAAGTTACTGCAGACCTTAGTTTGTGTTTTTCTGATTGATTCATGATTGCTAATTCAGTCCATCTGTTTTTCTCTATTCAGTACAACAGGTGTCGACCACGTTTTGACTCACAATCGTGACCTCTTGTCTCCAGTTTTGGCAGAGTACTTCTATTCTTGATTCGTTGGTGTTTGTTTTGCGTGGTTACCCATGAAGAAGTTAAACTTTTGGTCGTGATATCGTCGAGAAACTCTTCGGTGAAGCGGCTTTGAGAGTCGGCGTGGGCCTCCAGGCAGCAAAGAGCTCCAGGTTCAAACCTAAAAGTAGCCTGATGTTGATTTGAATGCTGTTAATCACACGACTGGTGCTTTGTTTTTAACTGAGAGGAGAAAAAATCCGACTCCGGGGAGCAGCAGACGAGACGTTTGTTACTTAATTTGCATAAAAAGTGTGTGTCGGTATGTGATCGGTCGATTTTTGGCTCGTTTTAAAATCACCCAAGAGATTACCAAAGAGGTGGGACGCAACGTGTGTTAGAAACATGATCGAATAAAACAGTGATAGTAAGTGGCAGTGACACTGTATTTCCACAAGGGGGATGTCAATCTCCAGTCCCTGTGGTTTGTCCCTTTTCCTATCTCCTCCTCAGCACTCTTCTTCTTCTTCTTCTTCCTCCTCCTCTTTCTCTTCCTCTTCCTCAGTGTTCTTCCTCTGTGGTGAGCAGTGTTGTACAGACGTCTCGTGGCTGACTCGGATGCTCCTTCCCCAGCCCTGGACGACACCTGCTCACCCCCACTCTATCTCTTACATGTAAACACACACACACACACACACACATTTGCAGGAGAGCGATGGGTCCACTGCAGCACAAGATGGAGGCCCATTGAGAGGCGACACAGACCCACATTTTTGTACATAATTTTCAGAGTATGTTTACATAGACACAGTTAGAGGTGTCCTGGGGGGGGACGGGCAGGGAGGGGGGAGCATGTCCACACACGACTCTCACATCTCATCTCTCTTCAGTCGCTTCATCTGAGCCAGTGCCGGTGGAAGTGTGAGGTTTTATTCGTTTAATTTTGGGGGTAAATTGATCATCTTTTCTGAAACCCTGCAGCAGAGGCTCGTCTCGGTCCTGCAGGGATTTGTGATGTCAAGGAATTGCCAGTGTTTTGGTTTAAACTTTCGCCCTTAAATGGATATTTGTGTTGTTTCCTTATCTTGATTCTTACTTTTGTTTCTCGCTGAAAATCGGCCTGTGTTTGTTCGTGCATGTCCCTGCGCTGAAGCCAGGCTCGTGTGCACGACAGGCGGTGATGTGGTTAGCCTTTAGAAAGGGGCATGACTCTAAATTTGTCTTAAAAACATGTCTTAATTCTGTAAACGATTATTTTCTACACATCACCTCTCAAGGCACCAGTCTTTCTTTCCTTTTTTTTCTTCTTTTTATGAAGTTTCACCGCGTAAGGATTGGACTTGTGGTTGAATATGTTGTGAGACACTGAAGGGGAGATTCACTGATGAGAAAAATACTGTTCTTTTTACCTTTTTGATTTTTTGGTGTGTGTGTGTGTAACAGAAAAAGGGGCACATTTAACTGGATGGGTATGTTTTTAACTGGCCTGCAATGAGATGTCAAAATAAAAATTTTCAAAGCTGAGAGTGTTTTCAAATCGACGCCCTTTTCTTGTTTTGCTTCTGCTTTTCCTGACTGTTTCTACTGGGAAAAATGACTCATGCGGACGCACCGGATTCACCAAACGCAGACTCATAAACTTTGGTGCAGCTGCAGCACTAAGATGTTAATAAAAACTGTTTCTGATGGTTTACAGATCACTGATATCCTGAATTTGGTTAAAATAGTGCAAAGACAACAAATCATTTGTTGAAACTCAGACTCAGCATCCAAGGTGAGTTTTCCACTCTGCCTCAGTCCGTCACAAATGAACTTATTTTCTAGATCAGTGGTTCTCAACTGGTGGGTCCTGACCCAAAAGTGGGTCGCGGACACATTCTGGACAAAAAAGTAAATCTTTAATGCACATCTGATGTTTGACATGTCTTTTATTTTGAAAAATGCTTTGCGTGCCGCTGCACAGCTGCGCATTTCAGGTGAGAGGCTGGACTCGCTTGGAGACACAGCGCATCTTCAAAGAAAGTACAAGAAATCCAAAACCATCAGACAGTCAGCTCAGGCTGTATGAGAGCATGATCTCTGAATTCACTAAAATCTGTAAACCAAACTTTATAGATTTAGAGACGAACTGATCCGCTCTGCTTCAACTATCAAAAACATTAGAAATAAGAAAGCTGACAAAACTACAGCAGAGTATCAGGACAACATTGAGGTTTTTTTTTCTTTTAAGATTTAGAGATTACTACAAAGCTTTTGCAGCAATTTGATCTGATTTAATTTCGACATAAACTCAGAAATCTCTGAATATTCAACTAATTTCATGGCAGACTGGGGACGAGCCAATTCAGGATGTCCGACACTAAAACCCCCCGCCATCTTCATGCTGTGATTTATAAGGTTTCCTGACAGGCGTCACACTTGGTTTTGCAGTATGAAGTTATTCTTTGTCTTTGTTTTTGGACTCAGATGTGGTTTCAGAGCAGCAGAGATCGACTCCCTTTTTCCTGCTAAATAAATCAACGAGAGACTTTTGTACTGGGTCAGGTATACGACCTCCATTTTAGCCATTTTCACTCATGCATTTTTGGGCACCCCTTCTGAGATGATGAGATACACCCTGAAGAATGTGTGTACCAAATTTGGTGCTTTTATCCACCGCATAACAATTTGGCCATTTTTCAAGTTAACAGACCCTACTATGAGGTGGTGTGTTCGAGCCTTTTTCGGGACAAGGTGAATGGGGCTACAACATGATATATAGAAAATCCAGATGGATATCAGACCGGTTTTACAAGTCAAACAAGATATTCAACGACCAAGTACCAACTATCAGGTAAAAATGAACATTAGCATTCAGCTGCTTCCTTACACTGATGAACCGTATTCACATGGCAGTGTCTTCCAGTGTGAGTGAAGCTGAATAGTTGTTATAATGGTAATGTTTCCTGTTTAAATTGGTAAAAAAAAAAAAAAAAAGTTAAATCTGACAAATCAGGATCATTTCCCCACTAACAGATTGTAAACCAGCTTAAAACCATGACAAGAAAAAGAAAAACAGAAACTTTAGCCATATTTCAGCCATCATCACAAGATAGCTAGCATTAGCCTCCTAGCTTATTTTACTGCCAGATACAAGAGCTGAATTCTACTGTGAGGAAACCACAAACAGGCTCAATAACCTTTGACAACTATTAACTTCTATTAAACAACAGCTAATGTTAATGTTTGCTCTCCTCTTTGCTAACATTGAGCTACTGTCTTATGGAGGCTGTCACCCTCTTCCTTGTAGCTAGCTAGAGAGCAGCTATATGCTAACATTTGCTGTCTGAGAAGAATTTAAAATGATGGAGCTTGACATATGGCCTAATAACCCTGTTTATTTTCCTAAATTGTGGTTTTAAACGTTTTTAAATCAAGAAATGTTGACAGAATAACAAGAAAGACTCAGCTTTGTGGCTAAGTGTAGCTCGGAAATAACTGAATGCTAATGTTAGCTGTTTTCCAAGAGAAGCTTGTATATTGGGAGTTTTTTGTTAGTTTGTTTATTTGTTTGTTTTTTTTACCCCACATTATGTCTTCATATTTTTATTTCAGGGAATGAGGTATGACACTGAACCTGAGTTTAACATTTTCTTAGTTTTGTTTTTGTTTTTTGAATCATTATTTACAGAGGGAAAGTTTCAGAGAAAACTGGCCTTCTTTTTTTTGTTTTGTTTTTGTTTGTTTGTTTGTTTGTTTGTTTTTCTGCCTCCTTGTCTTTATTTTGTTTATTTTATTTTTTTATTTTTTTGCCTCTTCCTTGTTTGATTGATTTTTTGCTGTTTGTTTTTTGTTGTTGTTTTTTCTCTTTTTTTCCCTCCTTTTTTGTGTTTTATTTATTTATTTTATTTTATTTTATTTTTTGTCGTCTTCATTTTGCCTCAATGTTTTTCTTTTTTTTTTTTTCATTTTTTCATTTTCTTTTTTTTTTAATTTTTTTTTCTTTTTTTGTTAGGTTTTTTCCTTCCTTGTTCGTGTCTGATTGGCTCAGGGCACGTTCACGCCGTCAGGAGGGTGTCGGTGTTTGACGCTCACGCGGAGGGAGGGGAAACTGTTGCTGACGTGTCTCTGGACCAATCAGGAGCCGGGACGGTTCGCACGTTGGCACAATTGGCTTAAACTAAAGAGCTCTGCTGCGTCTGAAGGTTTGCTCCGATGATTGGTGAAGATCGAGAAAAACACCGAGCTGAGAGGGTTTGATGGCAGCCTGCGGGTCTGAGGCCTGACGATGCAGCAGAACGGTCCTCCCGCTCTGATGCGGGGTTTGTGTGCGGGGTTAGCCGCTTCCTAGCTCTGTGAGTGTCGGTGTGTGTGTGTGAGTGTGTCGGTGTGTGTGTGCAGACGCAGGGCGCAGCGAGACGCCATCCAGGTGGACGCGCCTGCAGTGATCCAGGTCGCCCCTATGGATCGCGTCCATGGATGTCTTCAAACCCGCTTTGGACGATGGTTTGAGTCCCAGGGCGTGCGTGTCCTCGTCTGAAGAAGCGGAGGCAGATGTTTTCCGCTGGCCTACACCGGAGGACGGCAGCAGCAGCGCCGCGCCGGACCCGCTCCCCGCCGGTGCTCCGGGTTTCTGGACCGCCGTGTTCGATTATGAAGCGACTGCGGAGGATGAGCTCAGCCTGCGGAGGGGGGACCTGGTGGAGGTCCTGTCCAAAGACTCTCTGGTGTCCGGGGATGAGGGCTGGTGGACCGGCATGATCGCAGACCGGGTGGGCATCTTCCCGTGTAATTATGTGAGCAAAGGAAACGGCATACCGGAGGAGATCCGGGACACCCCGGAGCAGCAGTACTCTGTGCCTCCACTGCACCGTGAGTATCCCATTGTGCTCCAAAGCTGAGGTTCAGGTCCTCCTGTGTTTGTGTTTGGACTGAGAGTGCTGTGTCATGGCTCCAGCTCAGTCCTGGTCCCTCTCAGCATCCTCTCACTCTCAGGACCATCATTCATCAAACTCACAGTAGCAGCAGCAGCTGCGGTCACTGAGGATGCACCCCGCCTCTGTGCGCTCAGATTACAACACACAATGTGCTGCATCAGCCAGAGTGGGCATGCAACTCCTCCATGAACATGCAGAAATCATCAGGAGAGGTTTGATTCACATTTGATGAGCCTTCAGAGAGTAATGATGTGTTAATTCTGCACCAAAACTGAAGACAGAGCGCTTCTGCAGCTAAATGTGCAGCCAAGGCCTCAGACTGATCCAGTGAGCAGAATGAAGTGCAGCCACATGCAGAGCACAAAGAGAAGACAGACCTACTTCTGACTGGTCTTTATGCAAAATCATGATTTTGATAATTTAATGAAAAATCTAATTTATAAGGTCCGTCTTTGCTTGTTTGAGCCACGACCCCCTGCGCTTAAACAACACCGTCCATTTGATTGTTATTTGCAAAAAAGCGTTTTTCAGTTTTGCTTCCACTTCAGGGTAGAAATACTCTCCACACTTACCTGAAATTGTCTGAATTAGTTTCGCTAAATTACTTTCTTCTTGACCAGGTCACTCTTGTAAATGAGACCTCGATCTCAGCGGGTTCTTACCTGGTTAAATAAATCGATAAATGAATGTCTGAGCACGCAGGTAAATGAAATGAGCGCGTCTGTCTTTGTCGGCGCTCATGTCTTCATCCTCAGCAGCAGCAGCTGGCCTACTTTCACACAGCAGCAGCAGCAGCAGCAGCATCACACCTGAAATATTCATCAAGGTCAGTCTGCCTCGTAGACTGTCAGGGATCCACAACAGGAGAGTGTAGAGACACAAAGACCGCCTGCTGCAGCTTTCTGAGCACTTAAAGAGGAGAGGGTCTTTTTTTAAACATCCAGATTTAAGGACAGATGCTCCTCTGTGTGAGAGCAGGAGGGGGACATCCAGCAGATCCTGTATTTGGGGCAGCCGGGTGGCTTAGTGGAAACATCCTTCAACTGGATGACCTGGTTTTAGATCCTCGTTGGAGAGATCCTTCTGCTGGAAAGTGAAAGAGGGATTCTGGAGCAGCTTCAGACGCTCTCACCCTGACCTAACCCTGGTGTCCTTCAAAGACGGAGACAGTACAGGGTTATTTTTACTGTCTTTTATTAAGTCTGGAGGACTGAGGCTGAAAATGAGAGACGTCTGTGTCATTCAGAGTGATCTGGACTGACACGGTGGTTTATGTCACCAGTTTCTGTCTGAAATTCAACATGTTGATGGTGATAAAGGGATGTTTGTTATTCTCCATAGAGATAATCTAAAGTAGGGCTGGGCGATAAAACGACAACGATAAATATCGAAAATCAAATTCCCTCAATATCAATATTAAACACGGTCAGTATGCTTTTCGATAGTCTGCTGTGTTTTGGTAGAAATGACGATGAAGGCTCAACAGATGACGACATCGTTGACATCACTGGCATGAAAATGTCGGTGGTGTGGAGGTATTTTGGTTTTTTGAGGTTGGACATGAAGCAGAGTAACCCGGGATTGCTACCACATCTGGAACGGCGGCGATTTTCACCGTACGCCAACTCCTACTGGATCCATTTGTGAGGTGAATTTCATGGCGGATTACGGACAGCAGGAATAGAGGGAACCCACAAGAACCTGCAGATTCACGTCCAATCACGCGATAAGTTACCTTTAGCCACAGAGGCTAACCATATAAGCAGTAGATTGTGTCCTTCCAGAGGAGGAAATCTACTTCTAGACTTCTAGAATCAGCATCTCCTCATCCATGGTGTCATCGGGGTGAAATGACGTCTAAAAACCTTTCACTTGTTCGTCCCCGCCCGTTTGCATGGTGTGAAACACGGAGTGTTTTATTTTGAAAAGAATCAGGATGTTTTATTTTGTGTCTGTGCCCAACTTCCTTTCCATCCGGATCAGCTGTGACTCTTGCGATCAGCTGTTGAGTCTGGCGATCCTCAGCTGATCGTAAAGAAGTCGGTGGAAATTGACACGTTAACTTGAGTGGTTACAATCGGCTACGATTGATGGATACGACCTTTTCGTAGCTGTTCCAGATGCGGTGGAAATTGGGGGTCATGTGCACTGCAAATTATGTCGAGTACATGTTCTCGCAAGGTCGAGGAATACCTCAAATCTTTCTCACCACCTGAAGCAGCGCCACGCTGCAGAGTACACGCAACATAAAAGGTTACAAACTCAGAGCGGAGTAAGGAGCCCATGGCGCCTGTCCACTTCCTCTAGCGCAACGTCGTTTTACGACAAAATGTCAAAGAGACACAAAGACCTCACAGATGCAGGAGATTATTGTGTTGGAAAAGACATGAAGACATTTACGATCTCGTGTCATTTGGTTCGACCATGTAGCTCCTGAGTCGATATGAAGTTGAACTGGAGGATGACGGTGCAGATGTGACGGTTCTCGGCCCCCGTAACTCTCATATCATCATGGAGGAGATTTAAAAGCAAAACAAGTTTTTAATTTTTTTTTGACTCTTTAACTTTGAATCTCCGTATTTGATCGTGATGATCTTCAGAGGACACGTGTTCGTTAAGATACCTGGTTGTGATTTCTCCCCTCTTTCCTCCTTTCTCTCCTCAGTCCTGGAGATCGATTTCTCTGAGCTCACTCTGGAGGAAATCATCGGCGTAGGCGGTTTCGGAAAAGTCTACCGCGCTGTATGGCGAGGCTCCGAGGTGGCAGTGAAGGCGGCGCGTCGTGACCCCGATGAGGACCCCGAGCAGACCCTGGAGAGCGTCCGCCAAGAGGCCAAACTGTTCGCCATGCTGAACCATCCGAACATCATGGCCCTGCTTGGGGTGTGTCTTCAGGAACCAAACCTCTGCCTGGTCATGGAGTACGCCCGGGGCGGCCCCCTTAACCGGGCCCTTGCTGGGAAACGGATCCCTCCCTGCACGCTGGTGGACTGGGCTGTCCAGATCGCCCGCGGGATGCTCTACCTCCACAGCCAGGCCATCGTCCCCATCATCCACAGAGACCTCAAGTCCAGCAACAGTAAGACCCCGACCCTCTGGTCTCTCTTTGTGGGGGGGGGGTTTCAGTTTTTAGATCAGTGGAGGTTCGTTCGGAGAAGGAAGACAGACGCAGACAAGCTCTTAAAGGGATATTCCGCTACAAACAAGGTCTCGCTTGTTTGTAGCGAGACCTCAAGCCAGTCCATTACGTTCTACAGCGGAGTTTCACAGCTCAAGGAAGAACATTTACGATCATTTCTTCATGGAAATACAATCAGACCGAGACGCTAAGGCAGAAGAACTACTGCGTCTGTAAAATGATTAATATGATTATTATTACTTCAAGGAAATGATAAAGAAATGATCATAAATGTTCTTCCTTGAGCTGCGGCACCCCACTGTAGTCCGTAATGGACTGGCCTGAGGTCTCACTACAAACAACTTAGAAAGATACTCGGGACATGGACTTCGATGATCCTCCATACCATCAGGGGTGCTGGTTTTGAGCTGAGAAAACACCAGGTGGTCCCTCTACGCTTCAAAACTGAGGATGCAGCATCTATTATTTCCATTTCTTTGTAAAAAGGGTAACTGGACTTTCTTGAGAGTCATCTGCTGCCGGCCTGATGTCTCCTAATCCTAATTTTAGAGAGAAGTCATATGAAGGTTATCCTTTAATATTTCCAGAACAAACATCAGACGAGTAAAAGTGTGTCGACAAAAGACTAACTCGGTGTTACGGTGTGTTTGTCCCTAACTTAATTTTACGCCGGAATATCCCTTTAAAGGGGTGACAAAAACGGAGGAAAGAGATAAAACTAAAGAAGATGTTCGAACGTTTCTTCTTCCTAAAGAGGAACTCTGCAGGTTTCTCTTTTGATGCTGTTAATATTGTAGAACTAGACACTGCAGATAAACAGACCAATCTAATCCAACACAACTACATCACAGAATATCATCAGTGCACGACTCAAACCTCGTCAGTGAAGGTCTGATCACCGTGAACTAACCTGGAGTTTCTGCATCTTCAGAGTCAGTCTGTTTGTCTGCATCCACTCCAGGAAATTCTGCTTTCTCAGTCAGGATTTAATGAAACAACTGTTTTTTTTCAGGGTTTCTACGCGAGTAAGAAAAAGAATTTGATCAATTTCTAGGTCTGAAAAAGTTTTGAAGATGAAAGATAAAGTATGAAAAATATTCATGTTTCCAGACTATATTACCACAATTCTTAAATACTGTTTTCAAAAGAGAAAAGCAGATTTTTCCAAAAATAATTCTAAAAATTATGGTATAGAAAAGTATGGAAATTCCAACTGTGTAGGAACTCTGTTTTTTGTTTCTACGTTTGACTTAATTTACCGTCAGCTGACCGAATAACAACAACTGTGAAAAAGATCTCTGAGGACCGGGGCTGAAGTGACAAAAAAAGGATTCCTGTGAGTAAAATCAAATACAGACTTATTAAAAAGTGGAAAAGTCAGCACGCTTCATGTCCTCTGAGGGATTTTGAAACAGGCTGAACAGTCAAAACAGCAAAACAACAAACAAACAAACCGATTCTGCAGTTTTCTGTTTTATTATTCTGACTCTAAAGTGGGACGTTTTGACACTCCACCAACTTCTTAGGGTCACTTTTTTATCAAATAAAAGAACAAAAATATTGATATTAGTCAAAACTTGGATTGACAAAAATAAAGTCTATTCTCATCTGTGATAAACTTATGAACTGTCTCTATAAACTCAGAGGAAAGGTCACTCACTCTGTCCTAAAGAGTGTTTTATTCGTTATGCTCCCCTGAACCTCCACATACAATGATTAAAATGACCCGCTGCCGTGAACCTGCTCACACTCACACTCACACTGATAATCTCTCAGCAGGAACCAGAGCAGAAAGCAAAAGGAGAGAGCTCGTGTGTTTGTGGAGCGGTTGTAATCTTGCATTTTACCCGACTGGATCCCCTAAATCCCAAGCCTATTACCGAGGATTTACCCTCCGCTCTGCCCCGGCCGCCGCCCGATTGGAGGCTCCTAAAACACACACAGCCGGCCTCTGCCCGTCATTGGCCCGTTCTGTGGTGATCAGCTCAGGAGCTTCACTTCCTATTGGCTGCTTCAGTGCGTTAAGTCAGACCAAAGAGTTGCCACCATGTGGTCTCTGCAGGGGAAACCCCCGAGTCCTCCTCACAGAGCTGGACACCGGTCTGACGAACCTCTGCAGACGCCAGAGGAGACTTTGGTCTCTCTGTGAGCTCAGACTCGGGTTCCAGGAAGTCAAGTCTTGATCTGATTAAAAGCTGGTTTGTAATTTTTTGAATGTGAGAGCTCTTGGAAGTGAATTCAAACATATTCAGGACCTGTTAGAGTTTTAGAGATCTGGAGCCTAAATTAACTTGTAGCTCCATCTCCAGACTGACAATCATCCTCCATCACGGTGCGACGATAATTTATGCCTCTGGAAATAGACGCCAACTCCTCAGTCCTCCTGGAGTAGAAGGTGGTTAGTGTTTAACTACATCCACTGAGATGACTGACTTTTCAGTGCAAATTAACCTTTTTTCAGTGCCTGTTTACCTGTTCATGTCAGTCTCAGTTTCACTGTAAATACCAGGTCAAACCAACGCTCTACTCTGACCCACGTCAGCCGTATGAACTTGATTCGCTTGTCATTATAGGTCTTCTCGAGTGGCTGAGAAAACTTAATGATGTAGTAGAAAGTCCAACTTTGTCAGGTCTGTCCTTGTTTGTTGAATTTAAGGTTTACCAGTCTGTCAGGTGTGTTCAAGGAAACTGGGAAATAGTCATGGGCTCTGTCTCAGGTGTGAATATTTCACCTACCTGACCTTGTCGGTCCATGTATTATCTGTTTATTCAATTATTCCATTTAACCTAGTAAACAAAAACAAAAAAACAAGTCAATATTTTGTTTATTTGTTTTTGTGTAAAACCAAAAATTTTAAAAATAGTGTTTCTTTTTGTATTTTAACTGTAATGTCTAAACTACAAGTGCGTTCATGTAAGGCAGCGTGGGCCCGCAGTACGAGCTAGCAACAATAAACCAATCAAAGCCTAATGCGCCTTACAATCCAGAGCGCCTTATGTGTGAACATGGACACGTTAATTCACAGTGCACCGTATAATCCAGCGCGCCTTATGTATGATTACTTGTTGTGCTAACTGTCCGATTTTCTTGGCACAATGCGCTCAAAAATCTGTCAAAATGTGTAAGTACGACTTTGGTAAGCAACGGAGCCGCTCCGCTTAATGGATATTCGGGGCATTACGATACCCTGTGTCGCTACCTGATCGGCCCCGTAACTCCCGGGCTAGCAACAATAAACCAATCAAAGCCTAATGCGCCTTACAATCCGCTGCGCCTCATGTGTGAACATAGACACGTTAATTCACAGTGCGCCGTATAATCCGGTGCGCCTTGTCGCCAGAAAAATATGGTACTTTGAGTTGTTTCTTTAACTAGGGAGAAAGATAAGATAACAATATATTTGCACATATGTTTGGACTTAAATATCGTCAGTTGACGGCGATGTAAGGCGTGTTTGACAAGACGTAGTTTTCCAGTTCAGAAGAATATGAGATATATCCGAAGGCAGAAGGGACGCACTTATGTGGTTCGTATTTCAGACTGTATTATTCTCCCTTTTTTCTGTTTTCTTTCTCTTTTTTAATCAAGTCAATCATTTAAGGCCCCCCCTGCATGAGTCAGTGCCGGGGTTGGGCCCCCCCAGTCAGAGAATGTGCTCACGCCCCTGCATCCTTTCAATACTGTTGAGTTTTCTTGTCGTTTCTCATGCTTCAACACAAACAAAGTGACTCAAACCTCCTTTTTTACACCGCAGCTGCAGCCCGGTTCAGTTTAGAAGCCGTTTCTGTGTGAAGCTTTTTCAGAGCCACACACACGCACACACACACACACACACACACACACACACACACACACACACACACAGGCAGCAGATGTAGGGGCGCTTCATGTGCACCGCAGCCTGCAGACACACCCTCTCCACTGGGCACGGCCGCAGCAGATGGCCTGGCTTTGTGGGGCTGAATGGGGGTAGAGAGAGCGAGCGTGTGGTCAGGAGGAGCGGGAGTCTGCTGGGGCATGCTGGGAACCGGTCTATCAGAGTGAGATGGTCCCGTCAGAGGGCCGTGTTCCTGTAGTTAAAGTGTGGTCAGTGTGAGTTTGTTTCATCTTTCTCTGTCGTAGTCGCTCACTGTTTCTCCGCTTCTGTTTGCTCTCTTTTCTCTCCTTTCCTCTCCTTTCATCACCGACTCCCAAAAACCGCTCCCTGTTTTGATCATCCACCACGTGTCCTTTTTGGTTTCCACATGATTTTAAAACCTCCTCCTCCTCTTCCAAACATCACAACCCGGGTGGCGATCACCTGAAACCTTTTTTACTTTACCGCCAACCTGCACGCAACCCTCCCCCTCTCCTCCCCATCCTCTCCTCATCACCTCCCGCTCCACCCAGTCCTGATCCTGGAGCGGGTGGAGATGGAAGACCTGAACAACAAGACGCTGAAGATCACAGACTTTGGTTTGGCCCGGGAGTGGCACCGCACCACCAAGATGAGCGCCGCCGGCACCTACGCCTGGATGGCCCCTGAAGTCATCCGCTCGTCCACGTTCTCCAAGGGTAGCGACATTTGGAGGTGGGCAGAGGAGGAGGAGGAGGAGGAGGTGTAAGGGGGTAATGCGGTAGAAAAACTGGTCCTGAAACAGAGAGGATCAGCTTTTTACCCAGCATGCACATGGAAAAGTTGAGCTCTGGCAGCGGTTGCCAAGTAACAGAGGCTGGTGGATGAGAGAACAGAACGTCGTGTTTTTTTATGAGACAAACACCAAACTAACCAGGATAAAGAGTTTCTTTAACTGTAGATACTCAACATGGATCAGCTCTTATTAAAAAACTAACTTTAACGCTCTTATTCTGAAAATCTTCACCTCTTCTTCACCAAAATAAAACTATTCTGAGTCATCATTGATATTGTTTCAAATAAAGTAGATAGTTATTGTCATATATCAGCTGATTTTACAGTAGGGCTGGGATAATATGTTTTTCTAACGATTCGATTCTTCTACGATTTTTTGGATGCCGATTCGGTTTAAGTTGCGATTCAACGATATTGTCTATTTTCTCGATTTTTAGTCTGCATTCTTAACACCAGTGAAACAGTTGAATGATTATGATTGTCTACTGACGATTCCAGGAACCAAATTTCCCCCCAAAAATACACATCACATGTTACTCAGTTTTTAAGGTTTAAAGTCCTTTCACACTGGGAACGACGCAAATATACGACGTGAAATTACAAAATATTCAGAGGCGAATTTTGACGCGTCTGACTATACACATCAAGTGCGATGCACTTTTGCGACTTTCCCGGAGGAAAAAGACGCATCCCGGGTGGAAGTGAGAAGACTGCCCCAACAGCAGTATAAATAATCACACGAAAAAAACGCTCCCAGTGTGTAAGGACCTTTATTCTTGAATTTAAAAAAATTATTTTTGAACATAAAAATCGATTTCAAAATTGTAAAAGCAAAAATCGCGATACTTAAGATACATCTGAAAACTGTCAAAATTTAGCAGAAATACGACCTGAAGTCCAAAAACATAAAATGTGGATTTTACTGGATTTGCTGATAATTTATTTGATTGAGAAAAGTTCAGAGACAAAGGCATGTTGGTGTTTCATCAACTCTTATTTTACAACAATCTGCAAACCTTAGTGAGCCCAACAGACCAGGTTCTGTAGACCTTATTGAACCAAGCACACCAGGTTCTGGAGTTTTGAAAAGGACACGCTGTCCCTGATAGAGGATCTCAGCTGCTCAACGGTTCAGGGTCTCCTTGGTCCTGTTTTTGGGGGTCATGATGCTCCAAATGTTTTCAAGTCAGGACCACATCAGTCCACGACGCAGTATTTTTTTTCATGGGATGGTAGGGGGAGGACCCGCCTCCTTCGCCTCTGATTGGCTGTGAAACGTCATCACATGCTCAAGCGGAGCGCGGGCTGTCGGCTCTGTACATCCAACAGAACATTATCACAATTCTGAATCTCCTAACCCTAACCCGACGGACGATGACATTTCACAGCCATAAGAAATAACCAATCAGAGCCCAGCACTCCAAGGAGGGACCTATCCTACAAAAAAGAAATCCTGCGTCTGGGACTCTCCTCCTACAGAGCCTTGCTGTTGTAATCCCCGGTTTGTCTTGTCTCTCTTCTTCTTCTCCTCTCTCAGTTATGGCGTTCTGCTGTGGGAGCTGCTGACAGGTGAAGTCCCTTTCCGGGGAATCGACGGTCTCGCAGTGGCTTACGGGGTCGCCATGAACAAGCTGGCTCTGCCCATCCCCTCCACCTGTCCGGAGCCTTTTGCACGCCTGATGGAGGGTGAGGAAAACAAATCTTTAATGCTCTGAGCGACAGATGGACGAACACGATCTTATATTTATGCAGAACAGGCTCCAAGTTTTGGCGATGAGCAGCCGCAGGCGAGAATAAAACACGAGTGTGAGTGTATGTGCCAGAAAGATCCCACTGAAGATGAATTATTAAAACCGGGGAGAGGATCCAAAAGATTCAGTCTGTTTATCCACTGCAGCAAGAAAAGCCTCTGGAATATCATCAAATAAACACGCCGCGTGTCTCATCACTTCCTGGAAAGTCTAAGAATAGTCAAACTGAGGCGGCGTTGGGTTTGTCATCTCTTCCCTCAGAGTGCTGGAGCTCAGACCCTCACTCCAGACCGCAGTTCACGGCCATTCTGGACCAGCTGACGGCCATCGAGGAGTCGGGCTTCTTCGAGATGCCGGCGGAGTCTTTCCACTCTCTGCAGGACGACTGGAAGCTGGAGATCCAGGAGATGTTCGACCAGCTGAGGACCAAGGAGAAGGTAAAGAGGAGGGGTCCTGAGGTCGAATCTGGTTACAGTCAAGTCGAATTCACAGCTGAAAGAAACGAGTGAAAAATAATCAAAAGATGAATCTGAAAACTGTAAATTTATCCAGAGAAGAAGAAGAAGAAGAAGAAACGTTTGATTTATCGTTCAGATCTGACTCACACTGAGCAGCTCAGGCCTCCTGATATTTGACTAATTTTTCTCCCTTCATGTCCTCCCTCAGGAGCTGCGATCGTGGGAGGAGGAGCTGACCCGGGCGGCGCTGCAGCAGAAGTGCCAGGAGGAGGCGTTGAGGCGGCGCGAGCAGGAGCTGGCCGAGCGGGAGATCCACATCCTGGAGCGAGAGCTGAACATCATCATCCACCAGCTCTACCAGGAGAAACCTCACGTGGAGAGCAGGCAGGGCAAGTTCCGCCGCAACCGGCTGAAACTGAAGGACGGGAACAGGATCAGTCTGCCCTCAGGTACGGCGAAGACCCCCGGGATGATGGACCAGAGGGTGTCAAGGATCTGAACCTGGTTTTGTAGATGGTTAGAGATCGAGTCAGGAGTGTCTTCGTTTTAGTCCAGTTTTAGTCATTTCTATCCTTGATAGTTTTCGTCTAGTTTTAGTCCGACCAAAACTCAAAAGGTTTTCGTCTAGTTTTAGTCGATGTAAAGGTTCCTTTTGAGATTCGTGGTGTTCTTTCCCGACAGTTTGAAGCATGAGGAAGCTGTGGCTCCACAACTGTCGTCTGTCTCGTCTCCCCGTCCCGTGTTTTATTGTCACTTTTATTTTATTGTCACTTGAACTGTATCTGAAGTAGGACCAAAAATCATCCCTCTTTTTTCGGCCACCGGGCACCGCTGCTGTGCCTGCCGCCACGGTGTGTGTGTGTGCGCGCCTCGTCTACCTGCCGCTCTGTGTATGTGAATGAGTGTGTGCGCGCAGCTGTGCGCGAGCGAGGCTTTTGGTGTGTGTGTGATGGGGGCGTGACTGTTAGGACAAAAAAAGCATGTTTTGAAACTTTGTTCGTCCACCTAATAACAATTTAGTCTCGTCTCGTTCTCGTCTGACGAAAATGAATATAATTTTCGTCACATTTTAGTCTTTACAGAGCTTTGGTGACGTTCGTCTTAGTCTCATTTTCGTCAAGGAAAAAAGGGGTCTGACGTCGTCATTTAAGTTTTCGTCCTGCCTGACGAAAACAACACTGGATCTGAACCTGGTTTTGTAGATGGTTAAAGATCTGAGAGTATATTTTTGTGTAAATCTGGTGTCTGATTTTGATTCTCAGATTTTCAGCACAAAATCACGGTGCAGGCGTCGCCCTCTCATGACCGGAGGAGGAGTTTGCTCAGCAGCAGTTCCAGTCCTCCAACCAGTCCGCCGATACTTACCCGCCTTAGAGCCATCCAACGTAAGAACCACAGAAGACCGAGGAGTAAATCTGTTCTCGCTTCAGAAGTCCGCTCCTCTGATGCTTCCTTCTGTTTTGCAGTGATTCCAGGGAGGGGTGTACGGCCTGGGGTCGCGGAGCAGGTTTCCAGCAGGACGAGGATGAGTGTGAGAGGAAGGGGTCCAGGAAGAAGGGGAGATCTCGAGGGGGAGGTCCGTACAGGGAGCACAGCGCTGATGCCAGGTAAAGCTCGGACATGATTGATCCTCAAACTGATCTTCTGAAGACATTAGATCTTCACACTTTGATGGATTTAAACAGGAACAAGTTTACAGATGGTCTGGTTTCTTGGTGTTCTGTCACAGTGTGAAGCCCCCTCATGAAGGCAGCAGGCAGCGGTCCTGCAGCGCCCCAAACCTCCGCAGATCCCCCCGACACAGTCCAGCAGTCCCCGGGGTGCCTAGCCTTGTGGAGATGGGTGAGCTCGAGCAGATGATCTCAAACTTCTGTGTGTGTGTGTGTCCTTCACCTGAGGAACTGACAGCTGTGTGGAAACAAAGAGTCACACACACTCAGCAAACTGAACTCTGATTGGTATTTAAGACACAAATGTCACACTAGACGACTCAACGTGGTTAGAAGGTCTGTTCCTGGGTTAGATGTGTTTACCCTGTCAGTAACTCACAGGTGCAATCAGGGATTTTCTCACTTAAAGCCAAAAAAGAAAAAAAACCACCAAGGACCTTCTTGGAATTGTGGAAAACTTTCTTGAGATCTCAGGAGAAACTTTATCAGATCTCAAGAAAGTTTCTTCTAGAACCATAAATTTTCTCCAGATCCTGAGAAATTTCTGAAAACGAGAGTTGCTTCCTCAAGATCTTTGGGAAACTCTTTCAGATTCTGAGACCTTCTCAAGATCCAACAGAAATGTTCTTGAGATCCAGGAACACTTTCTCAAAATGATAGAGAAACTTCCTCCAGATCTGGAAAATCGTTATTGAGATCCCAGGAAAACTGACACTTCATCAGATCCTGGAAATTTTTTTTTAGATCCCAGTGAAACTTTCTAGAGGTTCTTGGATACTTGCACGAGATCTAAAAAAAACTCATCAAAGAACCCAACTTTCTGGAGAGCCAAAGAAGTTTGATTAGATCCTGAAAAAACTTGAGATTCCTGGGAAGTTTACTTGAGAACCCATGAGGCTTGTTTAAGATAGCAGAGAAACTTTCTTCAGATCTTGGTGAAACTTTCCTGATGGAAACTTGGAAATGTTGTCAAGGTCCCAGAAAACTTCTTTAAGAACCATTTCTTGAGAAGCTTCCTTGAGATCCCAGGTCAAAGTTGTTTGAAATTCTGTGACACTTACTCAAGGTTGCAGAAAAATATTTCTCAAGACCTAGGAACTGTCTTGAGATCCTATTCCAACTTATTCGAGATGTCTAGAAACTCTTTCAAGATCCTGAGAGACTTTCTTTTGACTTTTGGGAATCCTTGTCTGATCCTGGGTAACCTTATCTAGATCCCACAGAGATCTGCTCTCAGTATCAGGAAACTGTTTAAAAATCCAGGAGAAACGTCTCGAGATCCTACCAAGACTTTTTCCCCCTCAACTTTCTTGAGGTTCTGGGACCTTCTTTGGTTCCTGGGGGATCTTTCTCGAGATCCTGACAGACTCTGTAGAGGTCTTAACACTTAATCAATCAGATCAATTAACCTGTGAGATAATCCAAGATCTCCTTTCTGTCTTCCTTCTTATTTTGCAGAGGAGGACTCTCTTCTTCCATCTGCTTTACAGTTCTGTTGTTTTTAATCCGTCACTGAGAACGAGTCAGTCCAGCTGATAACAGAGAGACCTCCCCTCTCCTGTCTGGCTCTGCTTTTATTATTAGTTTTTATGTCTGTTTCTCTGCCTTATATCATGAGCCTCATTTCCCAAAAGCCGAACTGGAGACAAGGACTGCAAATCAGCCGTGGCAATAAGAGGCCTGCGCACGCTGAATCAGCACTTTAGTTCGATATTACAGCAGCATCTACATGAGTTTGTCTGTACCGAATCAATCATACCTGATAGTTTATCAAAGGAGAACTGTTTTAGATTCGGCACAAACTCGTCTTAAAGGGACGAGATGATCACACCTTCGTCCCTTTCTTCTGAACTCCATCTCAGTCGGGTCTTGAGGGAAGCAGATTGCTTCTAGTTTCTCTTTTTTTGGTACACATCTGAGAAAATGATGCAATTGGTATGAAAACCGAACAATGCCACCTCTCCTTTCCCTCCTCTTTGTTGTTTCTGGTACGAAAGCGAGGTTTCAGGAGATGACATCGGGGGGTTGTTGTTGTGAAAGCTCTTCTGTTTCATCTTGGCTGCTGGATTCCCTTCAAATGCTTTCTAAATGCAAATCCTCCTGTCGTGTTTACGGTGTTGGAAACTGTGATGGATGTAGACTTCCTGTCAGCAGGTTTGATGTCGGTACAAACTGATGTGTAGAAACCACTTCCTGCTAACCTGAACCGTCCTGTCTTTAGAAAATGAAGACTGCTGCTTCACCACGGAGCCGGGGGCAGCTCCTGGTCAGTCCTACCTCTGCCTCCCCTTCAACAAGGACTCCCACGCTGCTGCTTCCGCTGAGGCTGACGGGGACGAGTACTGCCCAGCCGCACAGGTTCCGGGAACGCCGCCGTGCAGGAAGAGCCCAGGAGGGGGTCGGCGGTCTGACCTGGTCCTGCTGGGCTGTGGAGCTCTGCTGGCAGCTGTAGGACTGGGCTGCAATCTGCTCACGTTGGCCCAGCCGGAGGAGAGCGTTAAGTCACGGTGGGAGGGTTTCTTTCACAGAACAGGGGGTCAAAGGCGGAGCACAAGCCCCCAGACTCGCAGACTATTCAGGCGGGAGAGTCCGCTGAAACCCGCGGCGCCATCGCTGCCCGAGCGAGGCCTGCCCGCCTCCTGCACTCTGCTGTCCTTATCCTCCGTGTCTGACTGCAATTCCACCCGCTCGCTGCTGCGCTCCGACAGCGAGGAGCTGTTGGTCTTCCGCCCCGCCTCGCCCACTCGGCCTCGTGTGCCGCAGCATCAAACCCCGGTCAACCCGCTCGTCAACACCCACCTCGAGAGCTTCAAGAGGAACCCCAGACAGTCCCTCACACCCACACACATTCCCTGCGCCCCGAGCTCCTCACGCAGCCTGAGACGAACGCCGTCAGACGGGGCCATAAAGAAGAGCTGCCTCCCGAATAACCTGGAGCCGTTACCTGAGAAGACGGCGTTAGAGAGCACAGGTAAAGGTCCCAAAAATTCCCATTTTTATCAACAAATCAAGAACGTTTCACAATTCTAACTTTGATTTATCGTCTTCTTTCGCCCCTCGTTGTCGCCATCGTGACTTCAACAGGTGTCTTCAGAGGTTTGAAGGAGGACTGTCATGAGGTTCCCCGGCTCCCAGACCCAAACATTGTGTTCCCTCCAACCCCCCGCCGTCGCTGTGCTCCCGAACGCCCCAAAACCCTAGACTTTGTGGCCCGGCCTCGGCCTTCTCCGCGTGCACGCTGTGAGGTGTTTTGGGCCGAGACGAGGCAACGGGGAAACGGACATAACCTGGGTAATGGCGAGTCCCCCGCTCACACGTCCAGCACAGAAACGCCTCCGACTGTGGAGTTCGGCGTAGACCCAGCGGTGCTTCCTACCCCGATGGAGGCCCCGACGCCTTACTCCCCACGCAAGAGGGAAAACCTGTTGGATCAGCTGGATGAGGGACAGTGCCGGGATGGGACTGTGCCGCTCTGTAGACCAGAGGTTAGCTTTCCCAAAGACTCGCCATATCGCTACAGACCTGGGTTCTGGTCCTAACTCAGCCCAGATAGAAGCCTTTGGATCGTTTCAGGTCTGGGCCCATTAGTACTAATAAATGAATCCGTATCGAGCCTGAATGAGGTTGGTTCACCCGTACTCGACTGAAATATCGTCACCGAAGTCCAAATAGATGTTTTCTCTAAAAACTTCACCTTGTCGTGTCGCCATTTGTGATTAAAAGTATCCAACAACTCGGCTTTAAAACTGAAAATCAAGTATCTGAGCGTGAATCGGAGGAGAGGACAGAATCACCGTGTTTTGATTTTATTTTCCCGATCATTTTCTTCGGGGTCAGCGGTTTCACAAAGCTTTACATGTTTTTTATTTCAAGCTTGAGCTCTAGACGGTGCATTTAATGAAGTGCACTTTTGGAAAGCGTCATGAATGTAAAGCTTTAGTTTTTGTTTTCCATCGTCAGAAACACGCCGTCTCCGACTCTTTAGATAACGTCGTCTAACGGTAAAATTCGCCTTCCTGCGTTATTCTGTTTAGTTTCACTGACCGACATCGCTGCTGCTTCAGTTTCAGTTAGAGCCGGAACACCAGAGAGAACATCAAAGAACATCAAAGAACATCAAAGGACATCAAAGGACATCAAGAGCCTCGTTAACAGAGAATTCCGGAATGTCAAACCTGGCAGAGAAAGGGGCGGGGCTTCTGAAAGCTCTGCAGTAGCTCGATATGGTTTACAGTTTAAAAAATGATTCTTATTGAAACCTCGCATTCCGGAACCCTCTTCCGCTGCTGCCATGTTTTTTCCACTTATAGGCCTGTGTTGTGATATTAAATGTCTGACAGCATAAAAAAGCGGAATAGACCTTTTTCTGCCCGGTAACAAGAATCAGCTGTAATACCCTCTATGCAAAGCCATCAGATAATACGGGGAAAACAGCAGTTCTTCTGTTCAGTACACAGAGGTTACTGGTCTACTTCTACATGTAATAATGTTTTTATTTATTTTGATATTGTTGTTTTTGAGAAAACCAGAACAAGAAGGTAACAAAACAACGTGAATAAGCTGTCTTGGTGAGGGCCAGGAACTCCGAAAGTCTTCAGTGTGAAAAAAGCTGTTCTGGTGCATTTAAAGGGATGATTCTGGTTTAAAAGGTCCTTTTCGTTAAGTTGTCAGACACTTAAAATACCAGCCCAGGCCTGTTGGTCTCAAAAACAAGCACTGAAGGTGGAGATGTATTGATTGGAGTAACTTCAGACAGATCAGATTACATAGAGGCCATCATCGACTACCTGTTAAAGCAGTATTATGAGACTTTAAATACCTCAGAATTTGTCAAAGTAAGGCTTTTGTCCCGTCTAACTCAGTCTTAGCAGCGTCTTATTTCTCGTTTCACCACAGAGGCGTCTCCAGACTAAAAAGGTAATTTTATATTCTTACTCCTGTACCATGTTCGCCTCTAAAATGTTGCTAAAGCTGGATAAGGGGTGAAAATTAGACCACAGGTGATGGTGTGTAAGTGTTGACTGGGACACGGGTGAAGCAGGCCCTGGTGGCGTGTGACAGGAAGTTCAATCCTCATTATTTGTGTTTATTTATTGACTCGATTGATTATTTGTCTGATGGTTTATTTTTATAACTCGGTGTACAGTACTTGCCTTGATTTTTGACACTGTTATCTATGAATGTTTGAAGAACCTGATTTGACTTGCTTCACGTTTAATTTGTCGATTTTGAATTAAGTTATTTTCACTTGTTTTTTCCGCAGATTGTTCTGACGTTTAAGTCTCGCCAATTACAGAGAAGGTGACTCGATCATTTTAAACTTCGCAGCCTCGAATCTGACAGCCAAAGGTTTGACTTCCATTTTGTCTGTCTGGCTCCTAAAGTGTCAAATGTTAATATTAAATTATCCTTCGTCATAATTTAATCTGCGTAACGTAGAAATTTATAAAACTGGCGTGATTTTGGAGTTGGGTAAAGTTTTTGGGATATAAATTCCACCGCTCACATTTAAAAAAAGATTAAAATAAGGTTGCGTTGGCCTGAAAACCACTATCTGACACTGGAATGCCTGATACTCTCGTTTTTATCTCTGAATGTTGAGTCACCTCAGCCTGGAGCGCCGCATCCTCTGGGATTTGATCTGTCTTAATCCCAAGTGTTTGTCTAAATGTGAATGCTTTGTCTATGAGGCCTGTGCAGAATGTGATCATGCTAAATGTACAAATAATTTACGACTGGGAGTGCTCTGAAAAAAAACAAAGCTCTCCTTCTGAGGTGTAGCCCAGGTGTGGATATCTGTCTGAAATATTACCACGAATAAGCTGATCCGGATCGAAATGATGGACATTGTTCAGGTCTGGGGATTCTACTGTTATTGACTGACTTGTATTTGCACTGGAACACACTGATTTGAGTAAAATCATAGCAAATAAGCCAAATGGTTCTCAGTTTCATTTATAAAAGCCTGTGTTAAAATAGGGTGACCATACGTCCTCTTTTTGGGGGGCTGTCCGACCTTGTCCGGGGGAGTTCATAAAATCCTTTAAATGTCCGGGGGTTTGTATGGAAGTTTTGAGTTTGTGTCGCGTGGACTAACTGAGTAAGAAGCATGTAAAATACACTCAACCTGAAAACTCTTAAAATTTACTGTGTGCGACTTCGTGACTCCGCTCCGCTTGGTAGTTGCCTCTTTTTGGGGATACAGAATATGGTCACCGTAATAAAATTGTGTAAAAAGACCGTAAATCGACGCCACCTGCTTTATACATGAGTGACTTTTCAAGCAGGAAGCAGAAAAACAAACAAAAAAACTGTATTTTTTAGTTTTCTGAGTTTTCCTCATAGACTATATAGAATGGACGCCGTCTGCCTCCTCGCTGGGTGAAGCCACCCCAAGAACAGCACCCTCTGTTGGCAGGCTGCAGCATAGGTCATAAATCCCGCCTCCTCCAGCAATCCCTTTGGAGCTGTGGACAAACTTTAGAAATGTATTACACAGATTATAAATTGTTTCTCCCCCCTGGTTGTGATGTTGACATGTAGTTACTGTCAGACTGGTTTGTGCTTAAGTCCTCTTTTTTCTGTACAGCTCCATTTTTAAAAGTTATTAGGGGGTTCATGTTTTCTATGATTGACACTTGATACAGCCTATTGGCGTACTGAGCGTCATCACAGCGACTCTCGGCAACTCTACCGCTGAATGCGCACTATGCTGCTGCAAAAGTATGGAATTACCGAGAGCTTCTTGGCTTCAAATCCGTATACAGACGAAAGGTGGAACCAAGTTGTCCAGATTATATGCAGTCTATGGTTTTTCCTTAGCAGAATCAAGACTTTCAGCCTGTTTCCATCGTCTACACATAATAAGTGAAATGAGCAGGACAGCGAAAGTTGAATCAACAGACACATTTATTACACGCATACCTTTACAGTAAACATCCAGGATTCATTGATACAGAAAAGGCTGTGGATGAAGTGCTTTATTCTGGCTGTAACACACACTAACGACTCGCCTCTCCCTCATATTTTTTCTGTGGTATCTATAAAGTCGCCTATTTACATTTTGTGATATGTCTCTTCAGCTCACACTGACTCTAGCCACCATGTAAGTTTGATGTCCTCGCCTCCGCATTTCCACTCAAAGCACTTCAGATAAAATCAAGAGTATAAAAAAAAAATCAGTATCTTTTGTCGTACTTTGAGAAAGTGACAGAAGTGTAGGTGTTTGTTACTCAAAGCCACTCGGAGGACATCTTGTGCGAGGGTACGTGCTAGATTACAGTGACGCTCCGCTGGTAAACATGCTGGATCCGCTCTGAGGACCGTGCTGATCCTGTCTCCATCACAAGTGTTGGCCTGTATGTGCAGTGTTTGGACTGGCAGTGCATCAGTTTGTTAAATGTCTAAAAATACTCTGGGAGGTTTCATAGTAGATCAATTTGGCAGTTTGAAAACAAAAAAACACACACAATTATCCATAAAAATGCTTCAAGCACACAATGGAGTTCAATCACAAAACTTGGCTGCTGTGCAAGGCAAAAGCAAACAAAGATACCGCTTCACACCCAGACCTGTGACCGGCTGTGTGGAAGGTCTGAGTGGCACATTTAAGGGTTAAAACCGACGGCGAATCCTCATCAGGGCAGCCGGCGTTTATGTCGCGTCTTTCTTTTCCCTTTGGGCATTTCGGCGAATCTTCATCTCTGTCAGCTGGATGTAGCGGATCACGTTGGTGTCTGGGAAACAAAGACAGGAAAAGGCTGATTTATTTCCTGTTCAGGCGGGAAACGGCGCATCAATCTGCTCGTAAATCTTCTGTCCGAGCCAAACTCAGAGGCACGTGTGACGGCGAGAGCTTATTTTAGGAAACCTGGTTTTGTTTCAGGATACAAGTCCATGCATATTTTAGTGCAAACCAACACTGGATAAATGAACTGCTTCACACTCATGTGAAAGACGGTCTTCAGCAAAAAGGGCTGAGTAATTACGGGTCATTTGTAATTGTCTATGATTGTGCATGGAGATAAATAGAGATGTGCAGGTTTAGTCGGCTCAACTGATCTGAAGTTTTTTGCCTCTCTGGTCAGTAAAACAAATATTTACATGATCATCAGTTAGAGCTGGGCGATATGGAAAAAGTTTATCACAGTATATATTTTTCATATCAGTCGATATCGATATACATCACGATCTAAAAACTGAAATTTAACAGTGCTTATTGGTGTCATGTCTTTTGCAATAATCTCCTGCATCTGTGAGCTCTTTATGTCTCTTTGACGATTTGTCGTAAGGCGTTGCTCTAGAGAAAGCCGACTGAATGGTCGTCTGTTTCGGCTTCACAGGCGCCACTTGGGGTTTGTAACCTTTTGCGTTGCGTGTGCTCTGCGGCGTGGCGCTGCTTCAGGTAATGATAAAGATTTGAGGTATTCCCCGACTTTGTGAGAACATGTACTCGACATACCGTATTTTTCGCACCATAGATGAACGCGTGTATTCGCGTCTATTTTCATACATAAGGTACAGGTTAAGCCAAACAAAACTGTCAGAGAAGTCAAACTTTATTTAACTCATTGAATAACTACAGTACGGTAGCTGCAGTGCTCCGACAAGCCAGAAGGATTTTAAGTAAGCGGTTAAATCTGTGAGGTCTTTGTGTGTCTTTGACGTTTTGTCGTAAGACGTTGCGCTAGAGAAAGCGGACTGAATGGTCGTCTGTTTCGGCACCGACCCTTCATCTGCATTTCTGTCGGGGGTAGCACTCATTTTCTTTCTTTCTTTCTGACTGTCGGCTTCACCTGTTAAAGTGCTATGGTTGCATGTAGCTGCTGTCTGCTGCTACACAGTTGTTTGATACTTGGTTCTAATTCAACACATAATTGGTTCAGCGTGACACAGACCTGGAGCAACTCCTCCTCTCATTGGCTGTTCGTATAGTCGACCAAAACATGGCAGAATGACGACTATCGAAAAGGATATTGATCATGTTTTATATTGATATTGAGGGAAATTAATTTCCGATATATATCGTTATCGTTTTATCGCCCAGCCCTACCATCAGTCCAAAAGGCCGGACGTTTGTTGTGATTGAGCCAAGCTTGCAGATCCAGACCTTTACATTAGGATTATATTTCTAGCATGACATGTGGCCTGTGAACGCTCGTTCACGTTGTTGCTCATGCCGTCCCTTGGCTTTTCAGACTTAATTAAGCAAAACACACGATACGGTTCAGTCTCAATGATCATGTTTTTTCAGATGATGCTAACTAATCAGATCCACTCTGTGGTCTAATGAACCATCAACACTGTGAATGACCTCGCTCCTGTAAGGACAACGCCGCTGATTCCTGACCTGACGGTTCCTGTTTGTGCGACTCCTTCAGGTAGTACAGCGCCTTCTGGAAGTCTCCGAGGTGGTAGTAAGCCACGCCGGACCGGTACAGAGCCTTGAAGTTCTTCCCTTCCTTGTGAAGCACCTTGAGGCAGTACTCCTTCACCCGCTCATAGTTGACCAGCTCCATTTGTAACAAACAGGCTGCAGACAGACAGACAGACAGACAGACAGACAGACAGACAGACAGACGGACGGACAGGTGGGAGCCAACGCTTGAACCTCATTACAGCGTGTGTGTGTGTGTGTGTGTGTGTGTGTGTGTCCTGACTGTCAGGAACCCAGATCACCCAGATGGGCGGACTCCTTGGACGGGTCCCTAAACACACAGTATCATTAGTGGATTTGCAGAGGGGTGAATAAATCTGTAGCATAAATATGAGGAGTGGAGTGGATAGTGGGGTAAGCCTGGAATGAGTCATACACCATATGATTTATTCATGAGCTCTGGAGTATTCCCAGAATCCGTCTCTGCTCAGGAAAGAGTACATAGGTGTGTGTGTGTGTGTGTGTGTGTGTGTGTGTGTGTGTGTGTGTGTGTGTGTGTGTGTGTGTGTGTGTGTGTGTGTGTTAGAGGGAAATTACCGGCCAAGCTGTTGTAACACTCCAGCTCCGCGTTCTCCATGGCCCCCTTCTGCTCGTCCGTCAGCGAGCTGGACTTGCTGATGGTGGTGGGCAGGAGGGGTGTCGGTGTCGGGGACGGTTTGGAGCCGGTGTCCGGGTCTCCCAGCACCCTGCACAGCCCCTTAATCTCCAGCAGAGCGCGGTGGTACTTGCCTATCGCCTCTCGGTACTTCTTATCCTTGTAACACTGGGTTCCCTGGCACTTGAAGTCCAGCGCCCGCCTCACGACGTCGGCCGGCTCGTTGTGCGCTGGTTGTTTGAGCATCGACCCTCCATGATGCCGCTGCTGCTGCTGGAGCTGCTGCTGGTATCGGGCATCTTTGGTCCGGCTGCTGCTGCTGCTGCCGCTGCTGCCGTGCGGAGGCTGCGCGCACTGCTGGAGGAGCCTCGGGGAGCCTCCGCCGCTGTCACCCAGGCTCCCTCTGCCTCCGTCCACCCTGTTCTCGTGCCCGGCCTGAATCACGCTCATTTTCGCCTGTTTTTTTTATGATCGATCCTGCCGTCGTGCCCGGCTGTAAATTAGCAGAGCCGCTTTCACTGCATCCTCTCAGCCGTACGGAGTCGCGTCTTCTCCTCGCCAGCAGTGTCGCAGCTACGTCTTTCTGTGCGCGGTGCGCCTGTCCTGTCCTCGTATTTTTCCCCTCCGATCATCCGATTGGTGGATAAATAGAAGAACAGCGGTCCCATGGGGGTCCACCAGCAGGAAGAGGAGAGGTCTGATTTCATCATCAGTTTATGTGGAGATCATTTTATCATCAGGGCAGACTGAACAGGCTGAGTTTTCAGGTTAGATAATAAGGTTGATATGAATACAGCTGAAATTATTATTCTTTTAAAAGGCAAATCTACATTTATATTAAGGCTTTCACAAAAAAAATGCTGGGTTGTTTTTTTCAACCCAACCACTAGGTTGAGCCTGTTTTGAGTCGGTCTGTATGAAATCTGATGCATTAATGTGATTAAATATTATATTAAAGGTGGAGTAGGCAGGAATCTGTTAAAGAAGCATCATTTTTTGTGGTGTTTAACCCAAAAAATCTTTTAATATCAGTCAATAGTTATTAGTTATTGATGATATTTGGTAATATATCGATATCTCTGTGTTCTCTTATGTCTGTGTAGTCGACATTTTAACATTTTTTAGCGGTCCGCTCTTTCTGACTGTAAACAAAGCCGTTCTCCACCTCTTCTAACCTGATTGGTTGTGAGGCAGACGCTGCTCCCCCGTGTCGTTCAGGAGCCCAAACAAAGTTAGCGTGCTACAATATCGGACAGTAGAAACCAACCAGAAAGTTCGGAAAATTGTCTGAATCCTCCTTTGGCCACGACTGCCGACACAAGCAAGAAAATGAAGTAAATACCGGAGACTCTGGAGGAATAACGGGCGCTTAAAAAGCCAGGCAAGAGATAAAAAGCCGGGTCAACATAGCATAAACGATACGTCTTGGGATGACAACTGTTTTGCCAAGCCAAGTGTCTGTAACAGAAGTGTTTCTTGTCAAACGGGACCTGCTGTAGCGTGTTGTAGCGCCGCTAAACCGCCTGTTTTTTTGATTGAACACTTTTTGCCTCTGACCTCTGTTTCAGTGTCTGCCTTCATGTCCTCCTGCTCTGAGCCATTCTTGACAATTTAACCAGCGCTGGGTTGGGACACTACCCAAACTGGATTGTTTTTAACCCAATGTTTTTAAGAATGTATACTGTATTTTACCTACTATGCTGTGATCTATTTCTATCTGGGTGGGGTTTTTTGCCCTTTTAGTCTGGCTTGTAACTGAGGATATATATTTATCTGTTGATATTTTATAGGTTCATTTCAAGTAAAGACAATCAGATTTTAAAAAGGGTGTGACACTGTGTTAAAAACAGACATGACTCTGAAGTAGAATTCACTGCATGGACTCAGACCTCTTCCTAAAAAACATAATTTTTGTCGCTGTATTAACAAAATAAAGTCAATTTAAAGCCTGAAAATAAGGAAACTACAAACAAAAGAGATCCTGTCTTCTCTGGGACTGACATGAAATGGAAAACTTTGCCTCTGAATGTTTAGTCTTCCTCATCTCGTCTTCACTGGATTAAAGCTTAAAGACATCTGGGTGTTGTTTGCTCTGTTTCATTTGATTAAGAGTCATAATTAGCCATCATTGTAGGATTATTCATCTGATTCCTCTCTGGGCCGCCCATGCACGTTCTTTTGGAAACAGCAGTGTTTCAGCCTCCTCTAAGAACTGAGTATCTGACAGTAAAGAGGAGCACTTGGCAGCAGCAGCAGCAGCGAGCATCGGCCCCCTCCTTCCACCTAAACATCTCTGTCAGTCTGTCGCTCTTATCTGAAATGAGAGGAATGCAGTCATCTCTGCTCGGATGAATCAGATACAGATCATCAGCCTGTCGTCTCTCGCCTGAGCTCCTCCTGCAGCTCCTGCTGTTCTCCCTCACCGCTCTCCTTCTGTGCAGACACTTTGGACACACTCACCGCAGGCTGCTGCCGTCCATAATAACAGGCTGTGATGTCATTCAGACCGGGGTTTGTGCCGGGTAATAGTCTTATGAGTCTCTCATTATGAAGGGGGCTGCAGACAGCTCGATGAAAAACACAGTCTTCCCCCTTTTTGTCATGACAAAAGCTTCTCATTTGGTCTGTCATCAGCAGCACTAAGGGAGTGTGTGAGCATGAAGTCACCGCGCTTTTAATCCATCTGCTTTAAGACACTTGCAGGGCTGTGAACTCAGCTGTCCGGGTGTGTCTCTGGAATTCAGACTCTCTGGAGCAAATGCAGCGGATGAGGACTAAAAACCATGAAGCGTGACAGCTATTACATGTGTTTTATTGTGCAACTTCAGCTCCACATAAAAAACATCAAATTTTTTTTAATAAAATAAGAGTCGAGGCAAACATGACGGAATATAGCAGATTTAATTATTAGATAAGTGCATAAAATAGCAAAAAAATAGATTAAAAAATGATGAAATGTTGACTAAATTACATTTTGATTTCATCATGTTCCTCTTAAAGAGAAAAACATCCAATAAAATGCCGTTCTCAATATTCATTTTTGTGGATTTATTCAATAATCCCAGTTATAAAACAAAACATAAAGGCTGTTTAAACCTCTTTTATTCCAAAACCTTTATTTCAGTTCTTCAACAACGATGAATACATATATTTGTACACAGGGTAGCTACATTCATCTCAGAGGGATCAAGACTTTGCAAAAGAAATCAAAGACAAGAAAAACAAAAATTAATAGTACGGTATAAAAAAATACGTTATAATATAAATTATAACACGGGGATCCTACATTCAGTACAGATCATAGAGATGACCTCAAGGCTTCGTAGAAAGTCACAGTTCGAATCGATTTCTTATTCATTAGTCCAGGTGGAAATATCTGGAAAAAGGTTTGGATTTACTACAAAAAAGATTAAAAAAAATAAGTTTTGCGTTAAAACACGAACTGTCTGTTTAAAACAACGTAAACAAGCGCTAAAATAACGTCATCAAACTTCGACGTAAGGACGCGCACTCCGTGACGCACTAAGTGAGGGACAGTTTATTTACAACATGGCGGCTGTGGATTTCAGAGGTAAGTGAATCGATGTTTCTTTATATTTTAGAAAACTTATGCCTCGATTTTACACCACAGTTTACGTTTATTTTGACGGGGGGACAGTTTAGGTGCCATTTTGTGAAGTTCGAGTGTCTGTTCCATTGAAGTATCGAGTCATTGTCGGTAAAAGCTAACGTTAGCAACAATTAGCAATACAATAATTAAATCCAATATAAAAACTAAAGTAGTTTAAACAACAAAGGAAATAACCGGGAGTCGAGAACATAAAATAAACAGAGATGTTAGTGTTTTTCTCAGTAAATCTGCTCGTCTACATTTCATGATAGTCCACAGCAGTGGTTTAACGCGATATTTATGGATGTTCGATATTTTCTGTACACGGAGCTTCAGTAGTTGCCATCCTCATGTTTTCCCTTTCATGTACTCTGAATCTCACCCTACTCAATAAAACAAGTGGATTCATGTTCAAGATCAGAGTCATTTTGTTTATTGTTACATAAAGAACAAATTTGCTTGGTTTGAATTCTATAAAAGTAGGTCATGAGAAAATGTGGGTGAGACCAGTTAAGAACCACTGCTCTCCAGAATCCTCATTGAAGGTATTTCCTGTTAAACTTTAATCTCAGCTGAATCCTGTAATCCGTGGTGATTATTTTCATAATAGGAAAACCCAAATGTCTCCTTTATTAAATGTAGCCCTAATCTAATACGATAACTTTCTCCTTCAACCTCCAGACAACCTTCTGGGGATCTCCTGGGTGGACAGCGGCTGGGTCCCGATCCTCAACCCTGGAAATGTTCTGGATTATTTCTCTGAGAGGAGCAACCCTTTCTACGATCGAACCTGTAACAACGAGGTGGTGAAGATGCAGCGGCTCAGTCTGGAGCATCTGAAGTAAGTTTCTCTGAGAGATCGCAGTCTGGGGTTAGTTAGAAGAGAGCCGCACGAAAATGGAAATAGATTTGGAAATATACCATCAGAATACTATTCATGCAGGCTGGTTGGTTCGCCAGAAAAATAGCATTTGCATGTCCAAAAGTAAACTGTTTCTGTCTGATTTGCAGTCAGATGGTTGGAGTGGAGTATATTCTTCTTCATGCCCAGGAGCCGATTCTTTATATAATCCGTAAACAGCAGAGACAGTCGCCAACACAAGGTGAGTATCGCCTCTCAGGGATGGTGTTCTTCTGTTTGATACAGACTGGTCTACAAGCAGGAGTATCATTTCAAACCTTAACTTGTCTGGCCCCATCATACCTCTCTGAGCTGCTTCACCCCTACGCGCCTCAGGTCAGCAGGTCAGCTGACCAGCTGCTCCTGCAGGTACCGAGGTCTCAGAGGAGACAGAGCTTTTTCTGTTGCTGCTCCTACATTGTGGCATGACCTCCCTCTCCACATTAGACACACTCCCTCACTGTCCATTTTTAAAATCCGTCTAAAAACCCACTTATACACCTGAGGCTGTATGTGAGTGTTAAATGTCGTCTTTCCCTGCAGAAATCCCTTTGGCTGATTACTATATCATAGCAGGAGTGGTGTATCAGGCCCCTGACTTAGGAACGGTCATCAGCTCCAGAGCGGTGAGATGTGTCTTTGGACTGTGTGGATTAAAAAACCTGTTAATGGGAGTTTAAATGTGTAAACTAATGAGGAATTTTACGTGTGTTTCAGCTCTCTGCTGTCCATGGAATCCAGTCTGCTTTTGACGAGGCCATGTCTTACTGCCGCTATCACCCGTCCAAAGGATACTGGTGGCACTTCAAGGACCAGGAGGAGAGGGGTGAGGTTTCAGGAACTAGTTTAGATCTTTGATTCTGATATTTTAGTCCTGACAAGGAACCTTGAAAGAAAACAAGCAATAGATTCACAATTAAAACCAGGCATTACTGTCTCCCCACAGTCATGTAAGTGTAGGAACCTTTAGGTTGGAGCTAACTAGGAACATTTCTGATCGATTGAGATCGTGAAACACGTTATTTCAGCTTTGTCGTCATCTGTAAGTCATAAACGAGTGTTTCTTGCATCTTTGCTCTGATTTCCTCAGTTTTGACATTATGAAAAAAAAGAAGCCTGAATTATGAAGCTATTTTTGGATGCAGTGTGTGAACAGAAAGGTGCAGTGATGATGTGACTCCGTTCCTGAGTTGTAGTGTGAAATCGGCTGATGTCGTTCTTCAGCTTTATCGTTCCTCAAAGGCAGAAACACAGATATCATAAATGATACTCTCAATTAGAAATGGACTTCTTAATCATTAAAGATGGTTAATTTTGGCATTTTGAAACAATCAGCTGCATGTGAGTTTGTTAGTCACATGGCAGATGTCACTATCATCTTTTCTGAATGATAACAAATGTTAAATATGACTCTCTTACAATCCTAAAATTATGCCTATAAAATAGAAAAAAACAAAGTTAAAATGACTTTAGCAGAACTTTATTAGACGGCTCGCTCATCTTCTTTCCCGCAGAGAAAGCCAAACCGAAGACTAAAAAGAAAGAAGAACCAAGTTCGCTGTTTCAGAGGCACCGAGTCGACACGCTTCTTCTCGACCTCAGGTCCAAATTCCCTCCAACGTTTTATCAGGTACATGAGACACTAAACAGTGAGGTTGTTCAGTGTTTAGTCGTATCAGTCGTTTTATTTCTATTCCTTTGTGATAAGACATGATTTGTATATTAATGATTTTTGTAACTCTTTAATTTCAGCCCAAGCCTGGTGAGAAGCCTATTCCAGGTAAGGATTTAAAAATAATGACATTATGTTCTTTCAATCATGTAACAGATGTGTCTGTCGATCTGTGGGAATCAGTGGAAAGATTGAAAATCAGGAAGTTCACTTGATTTTCAGAGTTTGAAGAGTTGAAGAGTTATGTGAGGACAGCTGTATAGTCATGATGGTGTTAAAGTTGCTGTATAAAGAGACGTACCTATTCTGAGTCTGAATCTCTTCACCTGTCCTGAACTTGAGGGCGATGAATCCTATTTTTAACTGTCTCTGTGGAGTCATATATCTAAAAATGTTCCTGTGAGACTTACCTACAGTTGATCGCATCTCAAGCACCAGGGCTAATAGACTCTCAAAACTACATGCTGCACACTAGTCCATGAAGTCCCTGAGGTCGTAATATTTAGGCTTTTGATTGGAGATAAATGTCATAGACTCTCTCTGTACGGTGCTGAATTATCTGTGTAAAGTAATGTTTAAATCTGTCCGGGGTTTTTAAAGTTTCAGAGATTCAGTCCACAGAACCCACAATCTAACATGCAGTTATCGTTTGTGTTTCAGTCGAGGTGAAGAAAGAGCCCGAACCTCCGACAGAAGCTGTAAAACAAGAGGAAAGAGAACCGGCTGCGAAGTCCTCCGCCCCGGCTCCACCGAGCAAACCGCCGCCGGAGAAGAGAGCGAGGCTGCAGTGAAACTCCTCACACTGTGAAGTCCCTGAAGTACTTCTGGTCCTGTTTGAAAACTGTGAGGTGGTCTGCCTTTCTGCTCACAGGACCGTAACAAAGAGCAGACCCAGGACTCGTCCCCCTTTAACCCTGGACTTTCTCATCAGACAGGTTTGACATCACAATCGTTTCAGACCGCTGTGATACTCTCACTCAGAGCGGGGGACTGCTGGACGTCAACAGCGTGTTGCTGCTTTTGCTCATGATGGAGGTTTTTGATAATAAGCTGACTCAGCATTAGCGTCAGTTTAATGTTGACATCAGCTCTCTGTCTGTTATTGTGACTTTAAAGGACGAGTTCACTCTTTTTGTGATTCACAGGGGAGGTGTGTCACGATGCATTATCTCATCTGAATCACAAAAGGCCTCCTGACTCCAGAATCTGTTATTATTTACAAAAAAACAACATTTTTAGGTTTTGTTTTGTTTCGTTTTGTATTAAAAAAAACTCCTCTCTGTCCTGCTGTGGTTGATTCTTCATCCTGAGTCATCCTGGTTTATTTTCCTCATGATCTCAGCTTAATAACATCAAGTGTTTTCATATATTTGTAGCTGAACTGACTCACATCAAAACCTCAAAACAGTTTCTCCTGCTGCTCTGTGTAGTCTGGACTCTAATCCTCATTTATGCCTCATTGATCAAACATGATAATCTGCAGCGGTGGAGTGTAACTTCACTGAAGTACTTTAATTCAACCTAAAGGTTACACTCTTTTTCTTTTCTCTTCCTGTTTTTCCTCACCTGTCAGAGGGAGATGTGTTTCCTCCCCCTGTGGAAGTCCTTGACATTTGGTGTTAATGTTTCAGTGAGTTGTGATCTTAAATGTTTAGAGTCTGGTAAACGGCTCTTTTTCATTTTAAGATCTATTTTAAAGTACATCATAACTTCACTTATAAAGCACTTTTAAAAACAGGGTTTACAAAGTGCTTTTACAGACAAATAAAACTGCATTAAAACAGAATACTTTGACACACTCAGCTCAAAGTTAAATTCTGATTCTGAACAGCAGGTGTCGCCCTTTGATCAGATTTGCTTCACCGCAGTACTCAGAAAATATGATTTCAACAAAAGAGGAGAACTATTGCCATGCTAAAGGTAAATATTTACAACGACTGATTTTTTCTAACGTTTGCCAAACATCTCTGTGAAGATTCAGACTTTAAACTTGAAAAAAATCAAAAGAAAGAATAATTTGTTCCCACAAGAAAACTATTGTGCTCACAAGATAATTAGTTTTTTTTCCTGAACGATAATCGATATAATCGTTTATGCGTTATGAAAAAAAAAAAAACATCTATTTTGGGCTTCAGAGTGCCCAAAGAAATAATAATAATAATAAATAATCATAATCACAATTTTAAAAAATAGTTAATAATAATAATTATATTAATAATGAAAATTAATATATTTATAATAATGAAAATTATTATTTTTAATAATATGAAGTATAAAATATCTTTTATTTATATTTTAATTATAATATTATTAATAATATTTATAGTATAAAAATTATATTTATAATAAAATAAACAAATAATTATAATTATTATTTTTAATAATAAGAATACATAGCAATAATAATAAAAAATTATTATTATCATTTTTATGTTTTTTACGGGCACCCTGAAGCCCAAAATAGATGTGTTTTTTTTTTTCATAACGTGTAAACGGTTATATCGATTATCGTTCAGGAAAAAAAAACTTATCTTCTGAGCACAATAGTTTTCTTGTGGGAACAAACGATCCTTTATTTTGATTTTTTTATTCGCCTCCAAAATAACCGTTATGACTCAAATACTCCCTCACAGATCTTCCTATTCATCCCAATAAAATAAAGATTTTTTCTCTTTTAAATAAAACGTGTTTTGTCCACAAAGATGCGTCATTAGTCGTGAAAATAAAACAAAATAATTCCCAGAACAGCAGAGACCGTTAGTAACAGCCGCTTCCAGAGCTACCCTAATGTGATTCCACGAAGAAGAAGTCCCTCGCAGGGCGTGGTGGGATAGTAGTTTCTTCGGAGGAGGACTGGAAACAGTGCCCCAGCTGGCAGGCTAGCAGCAGCAGAGAAGATGGCTGCAGAGGGGATCCTCAGGCCGCTGTCTGGATCCACAGCACACACTGTCATGTTCAGCCAACACTAGCCAGCGTGTCAGCCCGGTTGTTCCGTCTCTCGGTTCGGTTCGGCTCGGAGGTGGATGAACCAACATGGGGTCGCAGACTCTTCAGATCCTGAGGCAGGGGGTCTGGGCTTCAATCACAGGCGGATGGTACTACGACCCCGATCAGAACACATTCGTCAACGCTTTACACCTCTACATCTGGCTGTTCCTGCTCTGTTTCCCCTTCACCCTCTACATGGTAAGAGCCGCTGCTGCCGTGGAGGTGGAGGAGGTTTTAACCCCTCTGTTGTTTGTCACGAGTGTCCGTGGAGGGCTGAGAGCTGCCGTCGGAGACTAACGGTCGGTCTCTGTCTATTATCTGGAGCCGAGACAATGTAGCCTGTGTGTTTTAACCAAAGAAACGACCACGAAGATGTAAACTTAAGGCGAATATTTTCACACTGACGTATTTTTATTGTTTTCAAAACAAGTGTGACCTTATTTATGAGAGAAAAAACACAGAAAAAGCCGTAAATGGCTGCCCTCTCTCTTAAGAGTACACTCAACAAACTAGCTGGCAGCGATGGGTCAGTTGGGAACGAGTCGGCTCTTTTAACCGTCTCCTCTGAACCGACTCTTGTTATGAATCGTTATATCGTAAAACAACCCTCTCATGTTTTATTAATGTTAATTCCAGCTTTATGTAGTGAGTTATTTTGTGTTTTTCAGGTTTAAAATATGAGTCTGCTCTTTGGTAGTTGTTAACTTATATGAAACAGACTAAAACTGTGCGTTTTCGTGACCTTTAAAGCAAACAAGACAATCAGTGACAAGGTCCAAAATGTCTGTAAGATAACTTAAAATGTCTGTGAATGCGGTAGAAGTCAGGCGAGATTATGGACAGCACACTAAAGAAACTGCCTATTTGACTTTTCCCACTGTTCGGTCGTGTTCACACCTAAAGATCTGTTTCCTGATTCGAATCAATACATTTGTCTTGATTGTTTAACTGGTCCGGTTTGCGTTCACAAAGGGCAAACTCAACTGCTCCAGAAAACGGAACCGGAAGTCACGTGATCGCGAATATCGTTCTGTTATTGGTCATTAGTTTATGTGGGAATACAAACCCCTCTGTGCTGTCTTCGACTGTCATGGAGCATCGTAGGCTGATTTCGCTTTTGCTACTCATCTTGAGTGCGTATTAAAAGACGCTAATCGATCGCATGTATGAAAAGATTGTTAGCCGGCCATTTTAAGGGGTGTCCGAAACCCGAGTTATCAGTTCAGATGCCCCACATAGGTGACTCAAAATTTCCCATAGAGCCTCCTCGCTGGGTGAAGCCACCCCGAGAACAGCACCCTCTGGTGACGGGCTGCAGTATAGGTCATAAGCCCCGCCTCCTCCAGCAATCCCTATGGAGCTGTGGACAAACTTTAGAAACTAATTACACAGAAAATCAATTTTTCTCCCCCCTTGCTGCGATGTTGACATGTAGTTACTGTCAGACTGGTTTGTGGTCAAGTCCTCTTTTTTCTGTGCAGCTCCATTTTTGAAAGTTATTAGGGGTACAGCTTGTACACTTGTTGATTTCAGTTCTGCTGCTTCATTTTAAGAAATAAATAAAATAGTTGATTTAGTGGCATGTTTGGAAAAGGAAGAGGCATGTCTGGTGTGACAAAGCATTTCTCGAACAAGATATGTAAGATAAAAAATAGAGCATCTAGCTCTGAAAGTCAAAGAGTCGTTCACTGTTGAGCTGAGTCAGTTGATCCGATCGGTTTAATTGAACTGGAAACCCCATCATCATCATCACCTGGAGTCTGGAGCAGACTGCTCTTTTGTTCAGTTTATCTCAGCGCTGCTGTTAAGGAGCGTTTGGAGATTAACAGTGAAAACACCGTGTCCAGGCTGTAATCAGTGAATTAATGCCCCCTCCTCCTCCTCCTCCTCCTCCTCCTCCTCTTCATCTCCTTGTTGTCCTCCTGTCTGTTGTGATTTGTGGTTTCAGCCATTTTCAAAAGCTACCAGCTGTGACTGCAGGCGAGCACAGCTGACAGGGACGTGTGACGCTAATCTGGCAACTTCACCGTCCAAGACTCAGCGGACTGGCTGCTGTTTGCTCCCTTCATTTGTCTCAGGAGCGTTTTGTTTGCCTGCTAATTCGCTGTGTGTACCTTTACTGACCTGAAAGGCTGCCTCCTTATTTTCAAACAATCAAACTGTGGAGTCTGGATGAACATTTTCAGACACATCTCTATTTAAACGCTGATGTTTGCTCAGCATACTAGCGTCTAAATTGAGGGGTCGATGTTTGAAATAGGTTTGTGGTTTCCGTTCTATTCCAGGAGTGGAAATACTCTTGTCAGCTCGACGGTTTTATAGTGAGCCACAGGTTCGAGTGGGGCTGCTGCTGTTTGTAATAACTGCAAACAGATGAAGGCGGCGTGTCAAGGACAACAGAGGCGCAGAGATGGAGAACACAGAGAGAGAGAGAGAGGCTGTAAAGAGACATAGAATAATGATTTCATGTGAAAAACTGAGTAATTTATAAGAACCTGACAAGAACTGTGATTTTAACTGACTAAATACTAGAGTGAGGCGTCCACAGGAGCCGCCCACGCTGAGTTTGTTTATGTTGTTGTGCAACTTTGGCGTCCTGAAGGGGTTTATCCAACACAATACAACTACACAAACAAAACAGCGGGCCGGCGTTAAAGCTGTGGTCCTGAGGAGGATGATGAGGAGGTAGAATCAGAGTTTTTGTCTTTGGATGTTGGATGGAGGATGATTTTAAAAATACTCCCTTTTTTAAACTGGGATCAAGATAAATTTGAGCTCCAGGGTCATCGCTCCTCTCTCAAACCGATGTCTGTTTCTGTCTCCGACCCCCTGCAGGCCCTGCAGCCGACCATGGTGATCGTTGGAATCTACTGTGGCGTGATCGCTGCCATGTTCATGCTGCTGAAGACGGTGAATTTCCGCCTCCACCACGCCCTGGATGAGGGCGAGGTGGTGGAGAAGGCGAAGAAGGAGAGTCAGGGCAGCAGAGGTGGCACCGAGGGGGCCAACGACGGCGGTGCCACGCGGCGGGAGGACAGCAACGGCCCCGGGTAAGAGCATGTCCGACACGGCCCAGTGGTCAGTCTGATGATGATGATGATGATGATGATGATGATGATGATGAGTGTCCTGCTCTCTGATCAGTGGTGGTGTGCAGTCACTCAGAGTGAGCGGTGTCAGTTAAAGCCGCTGTAACGAGGATCTGTCCTGGAGCCGTGGGCAAAGGTCTCGTCGTGCAGCGCTGATAAGGCGGGCTGCAGCTGGAAGGATCCATTTAGAGCCTCCTGATAAGACGAGGAGTCAGAGCCGCCGTCACAGCAGGAGAGAGAGAGAGAGAGAGAGAGAGAGAGAGAGAGAGAGAGAGAGAGAGAGAGAGAGAGAGAGAGAGAGAGAGAGAGAGAGAGAGAGAGAGAGAGAGAGAGAGAGAGAGAGAGAGAGAGAGAGAGAGAGAGAGAGAGAGAGAGAGAGAGAGAGAGAGAGAGAGAGAGAGAGAGAGAGAGAGAGAGAGAGAGAGAGAGAGAGAGAGAGAGAGAGAGAGAGAGAGAGAGAGAGAGAGAGAGAGAGAGAGAGAGAGAGAGAGAGAGAGAGAGAGAGAGAGAGAGAGAGAGAGAGGGAAGAGAGAGAGAGAGAGAGAGAGAGAGAGAGAGAGAGAGAGAGAGAGAGAGGGGGACCGTTACTGTCGCTGTGTTCCACTTTTATTCCACCAGAGAGAGACCTGAACTGAGGGACGAGTCTGTTTAGAGGCTGAGGGGTAGTGAACTAATAACTATTGACTGATATTACAAGCTTTTTTGTAGATACACCACAAAAAAAGATGCTTCTTTAACAGATTCCTTTAATTTAAGGATGATAGAAAAACTTTAACATCAGCGTAAAAACAAACTGCTGCTGCTGCTGCACAGTCAGAGTCAAAAACCTGCTCGACACCGACTCGTATTTGATCACGATCTGAAGAAAGTCACTCTCTTCATCCAGCAGCTGTTTGTTAAATCTGTCCCTTGGCTTTTCAGGCAGACACTCGTCTGTCCCCGCTCTGCTCCCTAATTTAGTGAAGTGAAGTGTTTATGATGGGATCAAACTGAAGAAAGGACGTTTATGAGCCATTTTATCGATATTATTTTTGGGGTTTTGTTTTGTTACTCGCACAGTCCCTACAAGAGGAACTACAGGTGAATCATCATGTAAATCACCATCGCTGTAAGTTGGACGTATCTGTTTTTCATTTAATCAATAAATGGCAAAAATATAACTCAACAACAACCTTTGTCTGGACATTAGATTGTACTAGAAGCGCGTCAAAAACACCCAGACAGTGACTGAAATTCAGATCAGCAGAGTCACTACAGGAGGCGATTGTGAAGATCAGCCACTTCACTCCTCTCTCCTCCCAGACTGTGACTGAACCACGTTCCTGATCTCTCTCTCTCTCTCTCTCAGAGACAGTGTCACGCTCCCACGCTGCAGATGTTTTCTTTCATATTTGGCTGTAAAAACAAACCGGAGTTTATCCAGAGAGTGACGTCTGCTGCTGCTGCCTAAGAAGACAAACTCTCTCCTCTGCATCGTCAGCGGCTCAGTGCGACCAGCCTGCCAGGATTAAATGGATGCAATAAAGATTTGATAAGACAGGAATTAAACATTTGATATCGACTGTGAACAGGGCGGAGATCAGCTGATTAGTTTGAGTGTTCAGAAGCAGAAGTTTGTTATGAAAATGCGGAGTCCCCTGCAGGTGAACCTCGGAGCCATCACACCCTGTTCAGACCCAACTACGGGTTTCTAATGAGAAATCACCCGTTTAAAAGGTCGTTTCCTCTGGTCATGTGACATTTAGATTAAAAAAACTAAATCTACTGTGCCACCAGGCCCCCAAATGTCAGACCTCCAGAGAGAGGTTCACTCTCCTCCAGCGAGGTCCCGGCGTTTTTACCGCCCATGACTCGCAGGAGTGACTCATGCTCACATGCCAGAGGGAGCGCTTAGCATGGCGGCGCTGAGAGAGAGGAGAGAGACAGAGCCAGAGCGCTGAACCACAGGAGTCGCAGCAGCAGCTTTGCCCACATCTGGACTCACATTCCAGGTTGTTTGAGTCTGCGGCAGAGGAGCAGATGAGTTCATTAAGGTGTTTTTTTTTTTCCCCCTCTCAGCTCCTTTTTTCCAGCCCCGGTTCCTCCTCTCTGCATGTTTGAGTTTGTTCCTCCAGTGTTTATGTTGAGGTCTGACCCCTTATGAAACATTTTTTGGCATATGGAAGTGATTTATAGACGATCCCCTGGCAACTGCTTGTTTCGACATACCGACTGGTTGAACAAGCGAGTCGGGGGCTAAATATAGTCGTGGAGGAAGTCTGCGCGGAGGCTTTCATCTGTTGGAGTTTTCAGAAGTCCCTCCTGAATCATGAGGAACAGTGACTCCTCATGGAGACTCTCTCTGCAGGAACTTTTTACTCTGAGCTTCTAAACTTCATGTGTGTGTTCATATGTGTGTGTTCAGGGACCCTGGAGGGGGTATCGAGATGGCCGACTTCATCAGGCAGGAGACCCCGCCGGTGGACTGCAGCTCCAGGAACTCCTACATCGGGATGGAGTCAAACCAGCAGGTAAGGAGAGTCTGAGGACAGCAGCTCCTCCTCCTCCACTTCTCTGGATCAACATTTACTCCTCATGTAAACACACATCAGTCTGTCCAGTCTAAAGTGGACTTCCTGGTGGAGCAGCTGTTCCCATGACGATCCTAACATAGCCTCCCGTCAGCTGATCTCTCCCTTAATATTCAAAGTTATTTAGCCGTTTTACTCGGCGAGATATATTTAACCCCTGGATCCCCAACGGGCCGCTGCTGCTGCGCCGCTCGCTCACTCACTCACTCATCTTTGTACGTCCTTGAGATGCTAATCAGCCGGCGTGTCCCGCTTCAGCACACGAACCTCATCTCCTTCTTCTTCTTCTTCAGGATGATAACTCTCTCTGTCAGTTTGTCTTTTCTTCTCCTGAAACGATTTTCTCACGTTTCTCTTTTTCTTCTTTCAGATCGCATCGACTCACGGGAGAGGAGCAGCCGCCAAAGGTAACTCCGGCTTACCTGTCGTCTGTGTGTTTCTCTCTCTCAGTCTCTTCTCTCCGGGGGAAATTCCAACTCGAGTTCAGACGCAAATAGATTTGTACATACTGAGGAGGATCGCTTCAGCCGACAGCTGGGGGGAAATGATGTCATGACTGATATGTAATCCTCCTCGCTCCTCAGAGTTCTCAGATGGTCATTTTCAGAGAGAGAGAGGAAGCGTCTTTGACAGACCAACGTTGTGTTACCAAAGACGAAACTTCCTTTTCCTCACCTTCATGAACACTCAGTCTGTGCGTGACGTTCAGCAGAATCTCATTTTTATAATTACGCTTTAATTACGTCTCCTCCACATGAGGAGCAGGTGTCCTTCGCTTGTAGGAAACGTGTGAATACGGCAGCTCAGGAGGGACAAAAACAGCAGCGTTTGTGTTTTTGTACGGAGTGAGAAGAAGAGAGTGTTGATTTTAAATTTAAGTTTTAGACGGTAAAAAGCTTTTTGTCCTCTAAGGCCACCGTCCTTTCTTTAGCAGGAGGGGTGAGCAAGGGAGCGTTTCAGTCCAGAATCAGGAAGTAGTCCTGATTCTGCCCTTATAAGGACATATGGCCACCTCCTCATGTATGTGTCAAAGTGAAGCCCCAAACACAACAACACACTCAAGGACTCGACAGTGCCCGTTTCACTCGCATTTGTGACTAAAAATAGACGTGTGGGAATTGTAAAATGTATTTTGGGGCACATGTGCACATAAAAAAAACAGCCGCGGTGAAGTTAGTTTCAGGTTGGATATATTTTCCTGTAAATACGGCGGTGAAGTTAGTTTCAGGTTGGATATATTTTCCTGTAAATACGGCGGTGAAGTTAGTTTTAGGTTGGATATATTTTCCTGTAAATACGGCGGTGAAGTTAGTTTCAGGTTGGCTATATTTCCCTGTAAATACGGCGGGGAAGTTAGTTTCAAGTCGGATATATTTTCCTGTAAATACGGCGGTGAAGTTGGTTTTAGGTTGGATATATTTTCCTGTAAATACCTCGGTGAAGTTAGTTTTAGGTTGGATATATTTTCCTGTAAATACGTCGGTGAAGTTAGTTTTAGGTTGGATATATTTTCCTGTAAATACGGCGGTGAAGTTAGTTTTAGGTTGGATATATTTTCCTGTAAATACGGCGGTGAAGTTAGTTTTAGGTTGGATATATTTTCCTGTAAATACAGCGGTGAAGTTAGTTTCAGGTTGGATATATTTTCCTGTAAATACGGCGGTGAAGTTAGTTTCAGGTTGGATATATTTTCCTGTAAATACAGCGGTGAAGTTAGTTTCAGGTTGGATATCTGACGGACATTCTCTGAGGATCTACCGGTGTCTTCTCACTCTCCGTAACCGGGAATAACAACAGCAGCGCGGTTAAATATACTCGACACCCTCACTGTCAACGTCGGTGTTGAATAAGGGACCGTCAATAAATTACCGGTTGATGTTCTCAGAAAAGGCTGTTTTCCTTCAATAGCTTCCAGGTCATGTGACCAAAAGACCTAAAATTGATTTCAGATTATGTCGACCAATAAGACAAACATTATTTGATCAATTTTCACTTTGCCCCTTAAGTTCTTAGTGTGCTCCTTACTTTTTCAACTTAGGAGCACATGTGAAAAAAGTTAGTGTCAGCCCTGTACACACACACACACACACACACACACACACACACACACACACGGACATGAATGACATGATATTAGTGAGCTATGAAAACAAAAGGCATGTTTGAAATTGGGCTATATGACCTGTACTGAAGCCACCCACCAGGGGGAGCTTCTGCGTTTTAGGTCTCACTTTTGAGGAGTCGTCATGTTGTCTATCTTTATATACAGACTAGAGCTGAAAATTTACTGATACCGAAATTTAAAACAATAACCAACGTTTGCCCATATTGTATATTTGGTGTCAAAACAATAAATAAATAAAGTTGGTTTTGGATGTGTGTAGGTAGGCTCTGGTCTCATGAAAGACAGGTGAGGAGATGGAGGACGGTTCAAAAGTTGTAGCGGCTGAAGTAGACAAAGTTAATGTGAGAGTGGGTGAGCAGCTTGTGGAGTAGTTATCGAGGTGAACTGATCAATATATCCTGATATTGATTTAAGGACATATTTCCCAGCCCTAATACAGACTATCTACAGTGTTTTATTGAGTTTAACCAGGAGACTGATTTAAAGATGGAGACCAGCAGCAGCAGCAGCAGCAGATGTAAACAGAAAAACACGGACTGGTCCTTTAATTGATGAGGCGGACCCTCTGTTCCCGTCGGTGTCCTGTGGTTAATGGAGGTCTGTCTGTGAACATGTGAGACCGTCACAGTACCAGTCTGAGGTTTTTCATGGCGGCGCTCTGAGTGCTGCGTCTGTCCCCTGAGGGTTACGCCGCAGCTGCTCTCTGAGGTAACACACCATCCGGCTCAATCCCAGAATGCTTTGTCATTTCTCCAGAAAAGCATGCTGCGTTGTGGCGCAGGTTTCAGATGTCAGATGCGCTGATTTCCCGTGACACACACACACACGAGCGCGAGGCGGGATCACCGCATCTCTGACCATAATCACCCCGGCTGCCAGGAGATGCGCGCTGACTCAGCGCTGCGGTGACCTCAGCAGTCACACCACGACGAGGCAAAAACTGATACCCTGTCAGACTCAGCAGCACGAGGAGTCAGCCCGCCTCTGTAGGAACTCCTGATCAGACCGTAAACAAAGTCGGCGCTGCGCTCTGGGTCCGTCTGCTGCTGCGTCCTCTGAATTATTCAGTGAGTCTGTTCCACGCCATTCTAATGAGGCGGCGGTCTGTGATGACAGGAAACATTGTGAAGTGGGACGAGAGCTCAGCGGGGTTTAGTGTTTGGATCAGAGTCCCTCCTCCTCCTCCTGCTGCTGTCGGAGAAGTGAACACTCGCACCTTTGTCTGAAGGTTATCAGACATCAGGAGGAATCCGTGAGGCTCGCTCGGTGACAGACAGAGGGAGGGATTCTGGGAAAAAGGCTGTTTCTCTGTGAACGCATGAATAATTGATTCAACACGACGTTAACTGTCCGTTACTTCCTGTCTTTGCAGGAGACGTGGAGAAGACGTCAGACGACATCAGTCTGACTCTTGTGGAGAGCTGCAGCCACGATCACGGTAAAAACACAGATTCATCTGAAAACGTGAAGAGACGGGTTTCTGTGCAACGTCATCGCAGGCAGGGGCAGAAAGGGGGAGGTTTCTTCTTTGTTTACTATCAGAGAGAGAAAGTGACGAGGAGCTGTTGTGCTGTAAACTATCGGCAAACATTTCGACCCCGATCCTGATATTAGAAACATCTAAAACAACGACACGACCTGGAAAACTGAGTGAAATTCATGGATGTTGTTAGGATCGTGTTTTTCTGATTTGATGCAGTTAAAGACGAAGTGATTTTTCAGTGAAACGACATTTTATTGTAATTGTTCAGGGAGAACTAACAATATCTTCATTGATATTTAGTTCACTCTGAAGCTTTTGCCCCCTGATTGCACGTTTGTACACGAGAAAACCGTCTATAAAGGATCAGAGACACGACCTAAAATCAGGACCCTGGTTCTGATGGTTCTGATGGTTCTGATGGTGTCACAGGTTTAACTCTGTGGTTCTCTCTCTCTCTCTCTCTCCCTCTCTCTCTCTCTCTCTCTCCCCTCTCTCTCTCTCTCTCTCTCTCTCTCTCTCTCTCTCTCTCTCTCTCACTCTCTCTCTCTCTCCCTCTCTCTCTCTCTCTCTCTCTCTCTCTCTCTCTCTCTCTCTCTCTCTCTCTCTCTCTCTCCTCTCTCTCTCTCCCTCTCTCTCTCTCTCCCTCTCTCTCTCTCTCTCTCTCTCTCTCTCTCTCTCTCTCTCTCTCTCTCTCTCTCTCTCTCTCTCTCTCCCTCTCTCTCTCTCTCTCTCTCTCTCTCTCTCTCTCTCTCTCTCTCTCTGTCTCTCTCCCTCTCTCTCTCTCTCTCTCTCTCTCTCTGTCTCTCTCCCTCTCTCTCTCTCTCTCTCTCTCTCTCTCTCTCTCTCTCTCTCTCTCTCTCTCTCTCTCTCTCTCTCTGTCTCTCTCTCTCTCTCTCTCTCTCTCTCTCTCTCTCTCTCTCTCTCTCTCTCTCTCTCTCTCTCTCTCTCTCTCTCTCTCTCTCTCTCTCTCTCTCTCTCTCTCTCTCTCTCTCTCTCTCTCTCTCTCTCTCTCTCTCTCTCTCTCTCTCTCTCTCTCTCTCTCTCTCTCTCTCTCTCTCTCTCTCTCTCTCTCTCTCTCTCTCTCTCTCTCTCTCTCTCTCTCTCTCTCTCTCTCTCTCTCTCTCTCTCTCTCCTCCTCTCCTCTCTCTCTCTCTCTCTCTCTCTCTCTCTCTCTCTCTCTCTCTCTCTCTCTCTCTCTCTCTCTCTCTCTCTCTCTCTCTCTCTCTCTCTCTCTCTCTCTCTCTCTCTCTCTCTCTCTCTCTCTCCCTCTCTCTCTCTCTCTCTCTCTCACAGATCTCCTCTCGGACACTAAGATGTACTGCCTTGTCCCCAACGACTCCTTCGCTTCTCTCCAGCCCTCCACCTCCTTGTGTCCTTCAGAGTTGTCCAGAGAACCCGCCGACCTCTGTTCTTCTTCTGCGTATAACTTCAGCCTGTCTCACTCCTCCTGTGACACCGAGGTGACCTCTCATGGATCCTTACAATCTCAGACCTTCAGGAAGGAGCTCCGCTCTCGGGGACTCCCTCGGACCTCTAGCTCCGCGGGTTCTGCTTTCCCCGACCCGTGTTTACCTGACTTTGCTCTGTACCCCCCGCCCAGGAGAGGAGGCCTGGACCCTGTGTGTGAGCTGGAGACCAGCAGACCCCACAGGGCGGGTCTGAGTGGGAGGGAGGGGGCGGAGCGGCTGTACCAGCAGGACCCGGCCGTGCCCTCCACCTCGGGGATCGAGTGTTATCGGCACAAAGAACCGCGCAGGGTCGCCCGCTCGGCCTCCAGGGAGGCGGGGGAGGGCAGCTCAGGACTCTACCAGGTGGAGGTGGGTGGTGGCGGCGGGAAAGGCTCAGGTGGGGGAGGAAAGTCCCAGGGAGGGGAGCGCAGCGCCGACAGCCTGAGGAGCCTGAGTACTCGCAGCAGCGGCTCCACGGAGAGCTACTGCAGCGGCACAGACAGGGACACCAACAGCACCGTCAGCAGCTTTCACAGCGAGCAGACAAGCTCCACCCACGTGGAGAGTCTGCTCTCACTTTCAGGGGACGAAAGAGTGCGGGACAGAGGAGACGCCGTCTCTGCTCCGGCCGCAGACGGCAGGACTTCCAGCCTGGGGAGTGTCAGCTCTCGGGGTCTCAACAACCTCCCCTCCAGGGAGGCCAATAAAAACCCTCACGCCAACGAGTTGACTGCTAAACCGCCGGCTGACGCGCCGTCACCTGCGGCCCAGGAGCAGGCGGAGCCCGGCAGGTGTCAGGAAGAGCCCGGCGTCAGGACCAGCGCTGACGGCTCCTCAGGTGTAGCTCCCGCGGAGCAGGAGAAGGAGCAGGTGAAGGAGGACGCTCAACCAAAGCCAGCCAGCATCGTTCAGAGGACGTCCTCTCTGTCCACGGGACGCAGCGGACGCCGGCGCTCGGGCAAGAAAAGAGCGAGCAGCTTCGACGCCAGCCGGCATCGGGACTACATCTCACTGCGCGGTATGGCGAAGCCCTGCAGCGCCGTGTTCACCGGGGGTGGAGAGGAGGACTCCAGCGATCAGAGCGAGCTCAGCTGCGCCTCCAGTCTCCACTCCGCCCACCACCTCAGCACAGACAGCTCCTCCAGCAACACCTCCCGCTCCTGCCACTCCCCCGAGGGGTACTACAGGGCCCTCAAAGCCAAGCACACGACAGCCAACGCCTCCTCGTCGTCCTCCTCCACAGTCAAAGCCGCCGCCGCCGCTGGATCGGAGGGAGGAGCGCGGACAGGAGGGAAGCGGCGCACCTCCCGCCGCACCCCCAGCACGGGCAGTGCCAAAACACACGCCAGAGTGTTGAGTTTGGATAGTGGGACGGCCGCCTGCCTTAATGACCCCAGCCGCCTCGGAGCGCCCGCTGGGCCCCGGCCCCTCACCACCTCCAAGTCGGACCTGGAAGCCAAAGAAGGGGAGGTCCTGGACGCCGCATCCCTGCTGGGTCGGGCCTCCCAGCTGGAGTCGGTGACTCGTTCCAGAAACAGTCTGCCCAACCAGGCGGCTTTCTCTGAGCCTCAGGACGCCGCTGCTGCTTCTCTGCGGGGTACGTACTTCACACGGCTCTGACACACTCAGATCTCTGTCTGCTGTCTGAAGGTCCAGGTTCTCCTGTCAGAGACTCTTCAGACGACCAGGAACAGACAGACAGAGAGAATCATGGGAAATCTGTCTGGTGTAGTCTGATGGTTTTGGTTTAGGTTAGGAGGAGCTGACAGCAGGTGACGTCCTCCAGAAGATGAGTTTGACTTCTTCTTATTACCTGTGTGTGTGTGTGTGTGTGTGTGTGTGTGTGTGTGTGTGTGTGTGTGTGTGTGTGTGTGTGTGTGTGTGTGTGTGTGTGTGTGTGTGTGTGTTTGTGTGTGTACCTTTGAAAAAACACACCCTCTCTCTCTGTCTCTCCGTCTCTCTCTCTGATTCGGCGTAACCATGGTGAGTTTCCATGGAGTGACAGTCCTGACTCAGGCGGAGGAGCGTTCCTTGTGTGGATGGGTATTAGCATCAGGGTACAGTGTGTGCTTTGTGCTGAGGTTAGACAAACAGCTGCTCTCTTATTGGTGTCATACTCTCTCAGCCTGATAGACATCCTCTGCCCCACATTCTTCAGACCTGCAGGGAGGCTCCTGCTCTCGAGTCTGACTGAGATCTGCTCTGTTTGGGTTTCTTGTTTTCTGGCTGAAGTGTGTTTTGGATGTTTGTTATGATGTTTGGTTGGATCGTGTCTCAGCTGTGTGAAGTAGAAGCTTGTCAGGATGAGCGACGTTAGAGTCACTGGAGGTGATTTTTCTTTGTTTCCTGCTGCTCTGGTTAACGCCGTCAGACGCGATCGATGGAGTTTTTCCTCAGATTTGAAAACATCAGTACGCCACTCCTCGATCCTCGTGATCCTGTAGTGCTGAATAATTGATGGCAGCAAAGTTAAAGGTACAGTGCGTAGTTTTCAGCAGCATCAAGCTGAACAGAATTGGAAGAAATATAGTATCAAAAAAATACTTGACTATGACTATGACTTATAATAATAATAATAATAATAATAATAATAATAATGATAATAAAAATAATAAAATTAATAATGATGATAAAAATGATAATAGTTATAGAGATAATTACTATATTTATAGCATTTAAAAAAATATATAATAAACACATAAAAATAAATAAGTAATTAATTAATTAAAATAAATAGAAATAAATTAATAAAAAAATATTAAAACAAACTGATAAACAAATAAAAAACAAATGAATAAGTAAATAATTTATAAAAATAAACAAAAAATGAACAAAAAATGTATTTAAATAAATTGATAAAAAAACAAATGAATAACTAATTCATTTATAAAAATACGCAAAAAAAAATTCAAAACAAAATAAAAAAACGAATAAATGAATAAGTAAATAATTCATAAAAATAAACAAAATAAATTAAAAATGTATTTAAATAAATGTATAAAACAAATAAAATTAAATCAATAAATAAGTAAGTAATTTATTAATTAAATAAACAAAAATCAATTTATCAAAACAAACAAAAAAATGAATGGATGAATAAGTAATTAATTATTTGAAATAAACAAAATAAATTGATAAGAATAAAATGATTTTAATAAATTGATAAAAACAAATAAATGAGTAAGTAAATAGATAAATAAATAAATATGAAGTAAATATGGTCAAAGACAAACATTAGGGGATTAAATAAGGACCTTTAAACAAACTGCTCCAACAAAAGTTTTAAAATACTATTTTTTAAAATAAATTAAAGTCAATAAATTTATGTGAAAAAGCAGCTTTAAGGTAAATTCATGTAAAATGAGTTTTTAGAGGTGATTTTAAAGATGTCTCTGATTCTACACGCCGTGTCTCCTCAGCGAGGTCGTCCCTGAGTCAAAAAAAGGAAGAAGCCGAGCTGCTGCTTTTGGACCAGAGAGGAGAAAGTTCTAGTAAACTAACCGAGAACAGGACAGAGCATGAGGGACCTTTTCCAGAATGGATTTAACCTAATCGAATGAAACAAGATTAGACTGTTTAGTTTTTCATGTAATGATGAAAAGTGAATTCTGAATCCAAAATCACTCCGAGGTTTGAGGGAAATGGAGAGATGTGGGAGTTTCAGTCAGCTGAAAGAAACTTTGAGCCGTCCAACTTTTAATGAACAGGAGGTTTATTATCTGTGCGTAGTATAACATTCATAGATCTGATTCAATTAGTGTCTAATCGTTCATTTCTGCTCGACCGTCAGCCTCATGGTCATCTTCTTCAGTGTCCCCGCTCGTCCTCCTCCTCCTGTAAACACGTCACAGATGAGTCTTTGAAAATGGAAATCTTGTTACTGGACAGTTTTACCTCATAAAAACACTCGGGGGTTTTCCTCCTCCAGCCCGACTTGTTGACACAAACTCGGTGACTGTGGTTAGCTCAGTTTAGCCAGAGTTAGTCAGAGTTTGCTGAGTCATTACACAGACTAAGATAGTTTTTGAGATTTTACAGAGCGTGTTTATCTCATGAGGAGGATCTGAATGTGACTCCTGTTTTTAGAAAAGACGAACCTGCCCCTGTACGCAAACAGGATAGTAGACTTGTGTTGTGATTTGGCGTCTGCACAGTTGTGTAATAACTCTGTTTGTGTGTCTGATTTTGAAGTCACAGCCTGAAGTTTGGGGTTCAAGTTTTGTTTTTATGTGACATGAAGTTCTGAACACACCGAACCCTCACCCTCTCACCACCACAGCCCCCGGCAGCGAGGAGACCGTCATATTCCGGCGTGAGCGTAGCACGTTTCGTCGGCAGGCGGTGAGGCGGCGACACAACGCCGGCAGCAACCCCACCCCGCCCACCTCCCTCATTGGATCTCCTCTCAGGTACGCCGTCCCGCCCGGTACGAGCATGCTGCCCCTCCGTCTCCCATGACGTCAGCGGGTCTTGGTCTCTGTCCGGACCGGTGTCTCCTCTCTGCATGTGACGTCTCTCTCGTCCTCTTTTTCTTCTTCTTCTCCTGCTATCACTCCGTCTAATCTTCCTCCACATTTTGAGCCGGGATCAGAGAGAGAAGTCCTCTCAGGGTCTGACTAATCCGCTCCACTGACTGACACACAGTCCTCTCAGAAGTCCTCACATGATTCGCTCAATAACACAGACTTCCTGCTGTATCACGTTGCTTTGCCCTTTTAGGCAACCTTTCTAAGAAGAGAGCGAGAGATGGAGACGATATCGATCCTAAAAAAAAATCAAAGAGCCTCTTCACAGGAATATCCTGAGTTTTTTCTCTTAAAGGGACGGTTTCTGCAGGTTTAAATTTAGACCCGCTTTGATCCAGGACTTCACAGAGCCGTGGAGAACTCCCTCCTCCCCTCAGTGAGCTGAAACTAAATTTAATAACAGGAACAGTTTGATGTTTTTTCACACAAACAGCAGATTATCTTTAGAATCAGGGGAGCACCTCGGCTCCAACCTGTGGGATCGGACTTTATCAGACCTGGTTCTAACTTGATGTGGGGTCTGAACTTGAGTCCTCTTAGATGGAGGTCACAGGGACCCACGTTAGTCAAACCTAGACCCGGTCAGAGGTGGATCTGTCCCCGTCTCTGTAACTCCTCCAGCTTCGTTGTCAAACCGCCAACAGATCCTCGCCAAGACTCTTAATAAGGTCACATTTCTAAACGCTGAGTCTTGAACATTTAACCAGAATCTCGACAGAGGTCAATAAACTCACAGAAACGAGTCCCTCCACCCTCCTCCACCCTCCACAGAGTGTTTTAGTCTTCTCGCTGACACAGCAGGTCTCTTCAGCTCAAACAAACAGTTTAATTCACAGAGTGACGGTTCAGAGAAATCACTCCTCTTTAATTTAATCAAACTCTCACACCCATCTTCAACTCTCTCGACTCGAGGTGTTTTTGTTTGAAGAGTCTTTAAAAACAAAAACCAGGAGAGGTCGACCCGGCTCAGATCTCTGCATGGAGGCTCCAATCCTGGACTCCAGATCTTCAGCTCTTTGCTGCATGTCCTCACCGCTCCTCTCTGCTCCTCATGTTTCCTCAGATTATCGGTTTTGAACGTCGCTATAGAGACTCGTCATGTTCCCGATCCTTCGTCCTCTCACTCCTGTCCTTCTCTCTGTCATCGTGGAGGTCTGTCTGTCTGTCTGCAGCTTTATGTCAGTGTTCGTATGTTAGAGGATAACGTTAAAATGCAGAAAAGTATTTTCAGAGGTTTAATTTTTTTCTAAATCAAAATTTTTTTTAGATTTACTCTTTTTTTTTTTAAAGTCGTTTCCTCACAAGAATAAAGATCGTGTAAAAACAATAAAAAACAAATCTCTGAAAGGGATATTCCAGCGTAAAATTAATGCTCAGAACAGCACCTAACTTCATCAACAGGACATATAGGGTCACAGACATAGTACTAGACACCAAACATCTTTTTAACTTTGACTCATTTCTTTAGCAAAGAGACTAAACACAACTCACCTACTCTCTTCCAGCAGACGCTTGTTTGTAGCGAGACCATTATGGACTGCAGCGGAGTTTCGCAGCTCAAGGAAGAACATTTATGATCATTACATTATGGAAATACAATCAGACCGAGACGCTAAGGCAGAAGAACTACAGCGTCTGTAAAATGATTAATATGGTGATTATTACTTCAAGGAAAAGATCATAAATGTTCTTCCTTGAGCTGCCAAACCCCGCTGTATTCCGGAGGTCTCACTACGAACAAGCGGCTGCTGGGTTTAGTCTCTTTGCTAAATTAATTTTACGCCGGAATTTCCCTTTAATTCTGAATGATGAGTAAAAAAACGCTGACTCAACGACCTCCACTTTGGCAGCCAGCATGTTCCTCAGATCTCTGAGACCCTTCTGTGTGACCTCCCTGTGTGGCCCCGCCCCCTTTTCGCCTGTAATGATGTCATGTATCAGCAGAACCCCTCCAGCCTCCTTCTCATCTCCTCCTCCCCTCTCCTCTCCCCTCCTCTCCTCTCCTCCCACAGTCTTCAGGAGGCCCTCAGCCAGGCCTCCCAGCCTTCTACTTCCCAGGTGAAAAGTCAGCCATCCAGAACCCCGTCCCAGGTGACCGTGCTGAGCACAAGCGCCTCCCTGCTGGCCAGGAACGGAAGCACGCACCTGGAGGGTTGTCAGGACAAGGCCTCGACCGTCGGCGCCTCCAGCCTGCAGGACGACTTCGGTGAGGAGAGCCGCGGTGTCGGGATAAACCGGTTTCTCATGACGGGGAGGTGGATGTGTGTTTGCTCTGTGGTCACGGTCTGGGCTCTGCCGCCGCTCTGGGCGGACTGTTGCTACGGCAGCGGCGGCTCCGATGTGACTCTTAGTCAGTCAGTCAGTCAGAGCGGCGGTATTATCCACGCTCGCTGCTGTTCACGCTCCATTTCTCCCTGTCTGTGATGTTTTGTCTGCAGCCAATACTTGACCTCTCTTGGACGCCGCTGTCACTGCGCCGCTGCAGAGCGCCGCTGATGCCCCGTGCGCACACACATGCACACTCACACACACACGCCTCACTGATGGACGTTAATGATCATAAAGACAAATTGTGTAAGAGCGGGTTTGTGTCCTTCCTCTGTAACCGTGGTAACCAGATTACTGCTGCGGCTCATCATTTGACCCAGGGCTGCGTGAAGTTAGGAGACACTTAGTAGTCTGATGAGTGTGTGTGTGTGTGTGTGCATATTATTCATTACTTCTACAGCGTCTGCAGCTCGTCCTGGTGTGACCACTTAAAGGAGCAGTCTGACATTTTTAAAGAGGATTTTCTGTGATTGTTTACGTCTTTGGAGTCGAAATAACTGAGAGAGACAAAAAGGCTGTGAACTGAAAACTGTCCGGAGAGATCAGGTCGGGTACGAGTTCGGTTTGGTCATCTTCTAAGACAGCATCGAGGGTTCAGAGCTCTCCAGGTGGACCCTCTATGTGTGGTTTTCTCTGTAGGCTCCTCTGGGTTTAAAAACACCCGTTTTCAGCCAAAAGAGTTAAGAGAGAGAGAGTCAGTCGGTGTTTCCCCGTAGACCTTTTTTTCAGCAGGAGTGGAGGGTGGGTTTCGCTGTTGACACCACTCTGGCCGCTCAAGAAGCAGAGCTGTTACATTCACGTTATACTCACTATATAGACCATGTAGAAGCTGAAACCTTTCACATTAATGGAAGAGAGTCAGACAGGATTTGATGGGATGTTTAAAACAAGTTGAAAATAACGTTATGTTGTTGTGCTCACACAGTGCGAGTAGAAATCATTCGTGGCGCATTGATATTAATGATCATGTGAAATTTCAGCAGTGGCATGAATGAATGTAGGAGAAACACTGAGAGTGACGGGAAATATGACTACTCGGACCCCTGGAGTCGGCTGGAGTTAGTCGACAGGCCGGACCAGGTTTTGGTACAACCATCTTTGGAGGGTCTCATGTCTGGATTCTGTGTTTGGTGTCATTTTAAAGAAGACCGTCTTGGTTTTCACACAGATGATCGTAGATTACTCAGTATTAACCCCTGATCTGTGCTTGTTTACATCCAGGTAGTAGAGCATCATGGGAGTAGCTATGATGGACGATAGCAGAAATATAAGATAATTAGTCTAACTGACCAGCATGAAGGGCTGAGCGATAAACCGGAAATTTACCGATACCAAAATTTACAACAATAACCAACGTGATTTTACCCATATCGGTATATTCAGTGTCAAAACAATAAATAAATCAAAGTTGGTTTTGGATGTGTGTAGGTAGGCTATGGTCTCATGTCCCTTTAACTGATCAGTATATCGTGATTTTGATTTGAGGACGTATCGTTCAGCCCTAGCAGCACAGATGTGTAAGAACCAAAGCTCCTCCTCTCACTGACTCAGAAAGTTCGTCCCTCCTCGACCTCCTGATGATTTCTTCATGAAAATATTCATCGCTCTGCTCTGAGCGGCGGCGTCTTGTCCTCGTCAGATATCCTTAAATAAATATTTTTCATTTCTCCGCTGTGAGGTACTTTCTCTTACACAATCGGAGAAAATTTGCTTCCACTCTCTTCAAGTGTCAGAAACTTCAGTTTGATGTTTTAGTATCTGCGGGTCACACTTCAGTTTTCTTCCTTTAGCTGAATTTCTAATCACACAAACAAGAACAGATCTGAGAGAGGTCTGAGTGTGGACTACAGGAACGGCGTTACCATGGCGACTGTGTGTATCCTTCCTGTCAGGGATGCTGTTGTCATATTTTAGGAATCACTTTAAGATGTTTCAGATGAGTCTGTGAACGTCAGAGTGGAAGCGAGGCTCCTCCAGGTGTTTCTTCTTCGTCTTCGTTTGACCTTCTGACATCACAGATTTAATGACGCCGCTCTGAGGTCACACAGACACACCAGGCCTCCGATTCGCCGCAAGGAAAGAGTGGCTCTAACTTCTCTTTCTCGTTCTGTTTTTGTTCCCGCAGGAAAACTCACACCGTCTTTGTACGAGGCCGGCGGGTGTGACATGTCGCTGGTTAACTTCGAACCCGCGACCAGACGAGCCTCGAATAATGTTTGGTAAGAGTCAGACCGAGGAGGAGACACCTGAGACCAGCTCAGACTAACACTGGGCCTGACCTGTTAGTTCAGGGCAGATGACCCCTCGCCCTCATCTGTCCTCTTTCTTCTGTCTGCAGGGACACCGACTCCCACCTCTCCAGTTCTACCTCAGTTCGCTTCTACCCTCATGACCTGGTGAGTTTCCAGCCGCTGAGATTTTCCTGCTTATATATGTGAGAGTTTATAGTGACGAGAGACAGAGAGAGGGAGTCCCTGGACAGAGACGAAAACAAACAGAGTCTACTCCCCTCTGCAGATCTTTTTAGCATATCTCTGCAGATTATTTTTGGCGTTGAAACACTTCTCTCTCTCTCTCTCTCTCTCTCTCTCTCTTTTTTCGGCTCCATCAGCTTCAAAATAAATCAAAATAAATTTCTGTTCAGGTCGATATTTCTCAAGTTTTTATCGAACCCTAACCCAAACCTGCCAACATTCGGGTTTTAAAATCCAGGAGATTTTTGTGGCGCGCGCCGAGCTGTTTTGGGTTATGAGCTAATTATGAGCATTTGTAATTAAATTGCTCATCTAAATACGTCTAAATGAAGCTGCACATTTTTTCTGTTTTGTTTTAACAATAACAAATGGTAATTTAAAGAAATAATAGCTACGATATGCTTCGAACTCTTGAACATCTGTGTGTGAAATACAGCACTCTTTTATCTGAGGCTGCCCTGAACGCATCACTCTGAGAATATCAACGTAAATGTTATATTTCAGGTTCGTTGTTCTTTTACTGAAGTGTTCATTCTGTAACAAACACTTCTTAAATATAGTTTACAGCTTAAACCGACCTGAATCATCCCAAACTGTAAAGTCAAAGTATTAATCCAGAGTTTGTGAGGCTCAGCAGAAACACAGGACAAACTTCGGTTGTCTGAAAACCTGGAAACTTTGGACAAATATTGTCTGATTTATAAATGAACGTGGACCATCAAACTACGGGAGATTTCCAGGAGAAATGACAATAGAGGAGGTGGGCGGGAGAAAGGTCTGAAATATCGGAGAGTCCTGAAAAAAACAGGAGTGTTTGCAGGTTTCCTCTAACCCGACCTCCGCTGATTGAAGCGATGTATGTTGAACTGATGTTAGTCGTGGACTTTGCCTGACCGTGGGGCAGATCTCCCTCCCTCAGATCCGGCTGAACCGTCTGCTGACCATGGACCCAGAGCTGCTGGAGCAGCAGGACGGAGATCTGAGCCCGGAGCTGCAGGACGCTCCGCTCGGACAAGAGGACGCCGCGGCCGCCGCAGCCGCCGGCAAAGCCAAACAGTACTACCGCCTGTGGCTTCTGCCGTTCCTGTGGGTCGGCCTGCACTTCGACCGGCTCACTCTGCTGGCTCTGTTCGACAGGTGGGACGGTCTGGACGGCCTTCATCATCATCATCATCATCATCATCATCATCATTAATAGAGGAGTAGGTCCGGTTTAGACTCGTCTTTGTCGTCTTTCAGGAACCGTGAAGTTCTGGAGAACGTGCTGGCCGTGATCCTGGCCGTCCTGGTGGCCTTCCTGGGTTCGGTGCTGCTGGTCCACGGCTTCTTCACCGACATCTGGGTCTTTCAGTTCTGCCTTGTCATCGCCAGCTGCCAGTACTCTTTACTGAAGGTCCGCTCCCCTGAATCGATCACACGTCCTCAAAGTTTGACCTTCTTCTTCTTCGTCCTCTGAATCGTCTTCTTTTCTCTCCACAGAGCGTTCAGCCGGACTCCTCCTCTCCTCGACACGTAAGTGATCCTTCCTGCTGAGTCACCTCCAAGTCCGACCCCTCTGAAACATCCTGAAGCTCCCAGAGTAACAGAGACTCAGCTTCTGTAGATGATGTTTCTCAGACGTTCCTCAAGTTCCTGTTTTCCTCTCCGATTGATGTTTTTCACTCTCCCCTCCTGTGACTCTGCGTCTCCCCCTCCTCCCCCCCTGCGTCAGCAGCGGCGTCTTTTATTCATGCCGCTCCCCCTTCAGCTGCAGGCGAAGGCTTTAAATAACCGTCCAGAGTGTCGACCACACGACTCGCTCTCTGCTTCAGGCTGCAGCCCCCCCTCCCCCTCCTCACCTCGTCTCACCTTCTTCTTCTTCTCTTCTTTTCACGACTCTGTTGACGTATTTTGAGCAGACCTGGATGTGATTGTTGGTTTGTAAACTGTCAGGGAAAAATACTCTCTCTCTGTCTCTCTGTCTTTCTCTCTCTCTCTCTCCCTCCTCTCTCTCTCTCCCTCTCTCTCTCTGTTTTTACCTGTGTCACGGTCCCTGAGGTTCTCCTCCTGATGAAGTCTTTCTTTTTAGACAGATCCTGATAGAGTAGATCCATCACTCTGATCTGCTGATAATCTTATTTATCGTCACTTTTCTCTTCAGTCGTCATGAGGACACACACTTTTAGAGCCAGAGGGCATGCTGGGAATTGACGCTCCGATTTAGACCCTGAAAAAGTAGAAAAACACGAGCAGAGAAGTTTTTGTTTGAGGAAACCTGCTGAGAGTGATTTTTAGTCTGCAGGATCCTGATGAGTCAGCTGGTCCTGCTTCACTGAGGGGGTTTTTACGGACCTCTAAGAGGACTCTCCTGGATCACACAGATGACCTCATGTGACCTCTCCCCCCCGTCTCTGTCCTCACAGGGTCATAACCGCATCATCGCGTACAGCCGGCCCGTCTACTTCTGCCTCTGCTGCGCCCTCATCTGGCTGCTGCACTACGGCAGCCTGAGGACCGCCTCCTCACGCTTCACCCTCTACGGGGTCGCACTCACCAGCTCCCTGGTGCTCGCCTCGGCCCGGGACCTGGTCATCGGTGAGTTTACTTCCTTTTATCATTCATTTATGACACTGATTATTTAGGATGGCGAACTTTGGAGAACACAGGAAGTTCCAGAAAAGGAGATTAGAGCGATTTAGAGAGGTTAGAAACAGCTGATGGTCCGTCTGCACGTCAAACACAAACCGTCCTCCGGTGATCAGGTTAGAGAAACGCTCTGACATGTACAGAAGCCATGATCTCTTTCCTATGAGCCGTGCTGATTGGTTTAGAGAGAATCATGGCCGCCGTTTATAAAACAACAATTGACATAAATCGCTGCTGTTTCCCCGGAGACGTGCGGCTCTTCACTGATGTGCAGCTCGCCATCCTGATTTAACCTGATTACCTGATGTTTCTCTCTCTCTCTCTCTCTCTCTCTCTCTCTCTCTCTCTCTCTCTCTCTCTCTCAGTCTTCACCCTCTGCTTCCCCATCATCTTCTTCGTCGGGCTGCTGCCACAGGTCAACACCTTCGTCATGTACCTCTTCGAGCAGCTGGACATCCACGTGTTCGGCGGCAACGGTGAGTGACTTTAACGGGTGTGACTCACCTGCCGAGGGTGACTTTGACCTCCCCTCCTCCGCTCGCTCCCGCCTCTTTCACATCATGACACAGCAGAGCTGCAGAAGCGCTGATTAGCATTCTGCGCGGCCCGCTGCCTGTCAGGATGAGCGCGGCGTCGCTGACATCCTCTCTGTTCTCTCTGCAGCGTCCACGAGCCTCCTGTCGGCGCTGTACAGCGTGCTGCGCAGCGTGGTCACGGTCGCCCTGCTTTACGGCTTCTGCTACGGCGCTCTGAAGGTAGGACGACCAGTCATAGAGTAAAGATACTCATCCAGAAAAATGAAGAGAACGTGGTTAAAAGTGTTTTTCTGTGCGTCTCAGGAGAGCTGGGAGCCTCATCACATCCCCGTCTTGTTCTCCATCTTCTGCGGCCTCCTGGTGGCGGTGTCCTACCACCTGAGCCGGCAGAGCAGCGACCCCTCTGTCCTCATGTAAGTTTGACGCCTCACACACCAAAACCTCGAGGTATTCGGAGAATCTGAGATTAAAAAAACATGAAGGTTAAAGTCAAATATTGTCCTGGAACAGCTGGCGTGAGAAAAACAAAAGAATCTTAAAAACGCTCTTTGTCCTTCCAGCTCGCTGATCCAGTCCAAGATTCTGCCCAACCTCAGAGACAAGAACCCGGAGGACCCTCTATCGGAAGTCCAGGACCCTCTGCCTGAGAAGCTCCGCGCCTCAGTGGTGAGTGTCGCCTCATGACCTGCTGCGGTTTAAATTCAGGAGATAATCAGCTGATTTTTCTTCGTTTTCGTACGTTTGCAGAACGAGCGTCTGCAGTCCGACCTGATCGTCTGCGTGGTCATCGCTGTCCTTTACTTCGCCATCCACGTCAGCACTGTGTTCATTGCACTACAGGTAGAGTATCTTCATCCATGTGGATGAGTCAGAACAGGCTGTCTAAGACCTCACAGCCATATAAACATATAACTCTCTGAAAGCACAGCTGCATTGCATTGTGGGAGAGTCTAAACTAAATCAACAACCTCCTCACTGTGAGGCGCTGTTGCACCAACATGCATCCTGCAGAATTTGGTAGTTTTACAGTAATTTACCCTATTAAATGTATTTTACTGTATTTACTGTATTTTACTGTATTAACTCAAGTTCACTGTATTTTATTGTATATACGGTATTTTACTGTATTTTACCGTATTTACCATATTTTACTTTATTCAATGTATTTTACCGTATTTATTATATTTTACTGTATTTAATATATTTTACTGTATAAGCTTTATATTACAGTATTTAGGATATTTTACTGTATTTAATCATATTTACTTTATTATACCGTAATTACAATATTTCACTGTATTTAATGTATTTTACTGTATTTACTTTATTTTACCATATTTTTATTTTCTTTTACCGTATATACATTATTTTGCTGTATTTCATGTTTTTTACTGTAATTACTGAAGTGCACTTTTTGTTGTATTTACGGTATTTTACTGTATTTACTAAATGTTACTGTATTTTACTGTATTTACTGTATTTGACCGTAATTTATTTTCTTTTACCGTATATACAATATTTTACCGTATTTAATGTTTTTACTGTATTTACTGAAGTTTACTTTTTTGTGGTATTTACGGTATTTTACTGTATTTACTATATTTTACTGTATTTTACTGTATTTACTGTATTTTACTGTATTTTACTGTATTTTACTGTATTTTACTGTATTTACTGTATTTTACTGTATTTTCCTGTATTTCTAACCCCCCCCCTTTGTCTCCTCCAGCCCTTCCTCAGTTACGTCCTGTACGCCCTCCTCGGGACGGTGGGGCTGCTCACTCACTACCTTCTTCCTCAAGTCCGTAAACAGCTGCCCTGGTACTGCTTCTCGCACCCGCTGCTCAAAACCAAGGAGTACTACCAGTTTGAAGTCCGGGGTGAGTCTGATTGGTCAGAACGGAACCCCCCAGGTCCCTGCAGGATATATTTCTTGTGCTAACTCTGCCTTTCCGCTCAGACGCCGCTCACGTGATGTGGTTCGAGAAGCTCCACGTGTGGCTGCTGTTCGTGGAGAAGAACGTCCTCTACCCCCTCGTCATCCTGAACGAGCTGAGCGGCAGCGCCAGAGAGCTCGCCAGTCCGAAGCGTCTCGACACAGAGTGAGAACGTTTTCCTGACTCTCTTCTCCTCAGATAGATTTTCGTCTTTTCTGCGTCCGCTCACTGATTTTATCCCGACGTCCTCCAGGGTCGGCGCTCTGATGATCACGGTGGCGGGCCTGAAGCTGCTGCGCTCCTCCTACAGCAGCCCCACCTACCAGTACATCACCATCCTCTTCACCGTCCTCCTCTTCACCTTCGACTACCGCCATCTTTCTGAGACGCTGCTGCTGGACCTCTTCCTCATGTCCATCGTTTTCAGCAAGGTCAGTGTCTCCGCCCACCCGCGTTCCCGTCAGTCCGGACTTTGTCATTTTTGTCCAATCACAGGACTCTGAAGTCTCTGTGTGTCTGTGTTTGTTACAGATGTGGGAGCTCTTCTACAAGCTGCACTTTGTCTACACCTACATCGCCCCCTGGCAGATCACATGGGGCTCAGCCTTCCACGCCTTCGCTCAGCCCTTCGCCGTGCCTCGTATCCTTTTATCACGCCGAGTCACGGGTTTTTTTACAGAGATTTTTAAAGGCGATCTTGTTTTGATTCGACTGAAAAATCTCCTTTAAAAACAAACACAGATCAGCTGAAAACTGACCACCAGGGGGCGCAGAAACGACCAGAAACCAGCCTTTACTGTTTTAAGTGTGTTTAAACAGATCTGACTGATCCTTGACCTCAGCCCCACCTCAGACTCCGCCATGCTCTTCGTCCAGGCCGTCGTGTCCGCCATCTTCTCCACCCCCCTCAACCCTTTCCTGGGCAGCGCCATCTTCATCACCTCCTACGTCAGACCCGTCAAGTTCTGGGAGAGGGATTACAAGTGAGGGGAACTTTTCAAAAACGGTCGTTCCTCGTTCAAACGTGGCGATGGTTTGAGTTGGTCTCACGTTTCTGTCGTCTCTGTTCGCAGCACCAAACGAGTGGATCACTCCAACACTCGGCTCGCCTCCCAGCTGGACAGAAACCCGGGTAAGAGGGCGCCGATTCTCCTTCATGGGTTAGGGACACGCCTCTGAAATCCTGAGGGCCGTTTTGAGAAGGGCCCCCAGATCCTGGAGTTTTCTGAAGTGTTGAGGTTTAGAAAGAAGCTGATATCTCAAAACACGTGGCTTTTAAGATAACGATCTTTTATTTTTCCGAACCTTCATCACATTTTTAAAAACCTTGAACAAACAAACTCAAGTGAAATGAAGCGGCTGTATAAATAAAAGAAGAATAAAACTTGATCATTTCTCTCTTTCTCTCTCTTTGTCTTCAGGATCCGACGACAACAACCTGAACTCCATCTTCTACGAACACCTGACCCGCTCCCTGCAGCACAGCCTGTGCGGAGACCTCCTCCTGGGCCGCTGGGGGAACTTCAGCACCGGGGACTGCTTCATCCTGGCCTCGGACTACCTGAACGCTCTGGTGCACCTGATCGAGATCGGGAACGGCCTGGTGACCTTTCAGCTGCGCGGGCTGGAGTTCAGAGGTCGAGTTTTCTTCTTGTTTTTAGGAGGATCATGATTTTAAATAATTTAACCTTTAAATACCTGAAACCACAGATTATGGCCAGAAAAGGCACATTTTTTTTGGAGCTGAGATGTTTATTTCAGATCTAAATGTCCTTAAAGTTGAACAAATATATTTTTTTTATCTCGTTTGATACATTAGATGTTTTTAAAAACTGATAAACTAAATTTTAAATATTCGTCAGACTGTTTTCGTATCGTATTGATTTGATAAAAGTTTATAAAAGTTTAAAAAAGTTTGTAATCTGGTTATAATTCCTCCCCACAGGCACTTACTGCCAGCAGAGGGAGGTAGAGGCCATCACGGAGGGCGTGGAGGAGGACGAGGGCTGCTGCTGCTGCGAGCCGGGTCACCTCCCTCACATCCTGTCCTTCAACGCCGCCTTCGGGCAGCGCTGGCTGGCCTGGGAGGTGCTGGTCACCAAATACGTCCTGGAGGGTTACAGCATCACGGACAACAGCGCCGCCTCCATGCTGCAGGTGTTCGACCTGCGGCGGATCCTCACCACCTACTACGTCAAGGTCAGTGGGTCGCAGCGGCTCAGGTGGCGTTTATTTGAAACGCAGGTGGACTAAATGTCGCCCTCCTGACCCCCCTTTAGGGTATCATCTACTACGTGATCGCCTCGCCCAAACTGGAGGAGTGGCTGGCGAACGAGACCATGAAGGACGGGCTGAGGGGGTGCGGGGAGAGGAACTACGTGGACCTGGATCCGACCTTCAACCCCAACATCGACGAGGACTACGACCACAGACTGGCGGGGATCTCCAGGGACAGTTTCTGTGGGGTCTACCTGAGCTGGATCCAGTACTGCAACTCTCGGCGGACCAAGGTAAGACCAGATCAGGTATGACACTCAGAACCCGGTGGGTTCTGGATCAGGGTTTGATGAGGGTCTTTGTTTTGTCAGCCCCTGGACAGCGAGAAGGACTCGGCTCTGGTTCTGCTCTGCTTCGGTCTTTGTGTTCTGGGGAGGAGAGCTCTGGGAACGGCGGCCCATCACATGTCCAGGTGATTAACCCACGAAGCTCTAAAAACACAAACAGAACCAGAACTTTGTTTGTTTTTTATCCGGGTCCTAAAACGGCGTCCTGTCCTCACAGTAACCTGGAGTCCTTCCTGTATGGACTTCACGCCTTATTCAAAGGAGACTTCCGGATCTCCTCGGTGAGAGACGAGTGGATCTTCGCCGACATGGAGCTGCTCAGGAAAGTCGTGGTTCCTGGGATCCGAATGTCCCTCAAACTGCACCAGGTGAGACCGGCGGCCTTCCTGTTACCGTGACGATCTCACGCTCTGGCGTTGATTTTAACACTCAGAGCGATCCCGCGTGACACCGTGAGTAAACGTTAACCTCGTTTCTCTCAGGACCACTTCACGTCCCCCGACGAGTACGACGAGCCGGCGGTTCTGTTTGAAGCCATCTCCTCCCACCAGCAGAACCTGGTCATCGCCCACGAGGGAGACCCCGCCTGGAGGAGCGCCGTGTTGTCCAACGCCCCCTCGCTCCTCGCCCTGCGCCACGTCCTCGACGAAGGAACCAACGAGTACAAAATAATCATGCTGAACCGGCGGTACCTCAGCTTCCGTGTCATCAAGGTGAGACCCGGTTTTTCTTTAGGGGGGCGGGGTTTAAGGTTCTGGTCTGAGACTCTTACAGACACGGATCAAACTCGCCCCGCAGGTCAACAAAGAGTGCGTCCGAGGTCTGTGGGCGGGGCAGCAGCAGGAACTGGTCTTCCTGAGGAACAGGAACCCGGAGCGCGGCAGCATCCAGAACGCCAAACAGGCTCTGAGGAACATGATCAACTCGTCCTGCGACCAGCCGATCGGGTACCCCATCTACGTCTCGCCGCTGACCACCTCCTACTGCAACACCCACCCCCAGCTCGGACACATCCTGGGCGGACCCATCAGCATCGGGAACATCAGGAACTTCGTGGTCAGCACCTGGCACAGGTGAGTCCCGTCATGTCTCATAAAAACGCAGACGGAGGTCAAGTCGTCTTCCCGCCGTGTGACCCGTTAACCTTTGCTCCCTCAGGTTGCGTAAAGGCTGCGGCGCCGGCTGTAACAGCGGAGGGAACATCGAGGACTCGGACGCCGGCGGGCTGTCCTGTGGCAGCGGCAACGGGACGGGGGGCGAGTCACAGCAGAGCTCGGTGTCTCAGGGCGGGACGTCCGGACACGCCCCCTCACACTCGTACCCGCCGCACACACTCGGTAAGGACTGATGCGTTTGTAGACGTGAACATCCTCCAGGCCGCTTTCATTAACCCCGCCTCTTTGTGGTCCAGGAACCAGTCAGAGCTCCCAGTCGGTCCAGTCCGGTCTGGTCCGTCACTCCCCCGCCCGCGCCTCCGTCGCCAGCCAGTCCTCCTCGTACCGTTACAGCAGCAGCCGCCACTCCTCCCTCCGCACCTCCACCACGGGCCTGGAGCCCTGCCGCCGCTCCTCCACCAGCCAGCTGTCCCTGCGCACGCTCCCCACCTCCCTGCAGCTCCGCCTGGGCTCCACCTCCGACCCCGCCGGCGGCCCCTCCGCCTCGCTCTCCAGCCACAGCATCCCTCCCTGCAAACGCCACACGCTGGTGGGTCTCCTGGGCAACGACGGCCTGTGCGCCACCGTGACGGACCCCCTCAGCCAACATCACCACCATCACCACCACCCGCAGCAGCACAACCCCGCCGTCTCCACCGTGCGCAGAGACGACATCTCCTACAGAGTGCAGGTACAGACGTATGACACGATAGATTCCACCCACGCTCGAACCCTCGAGTTACCGGCGTAAGTCGGAAAAAAGAAAAATCGGAGGCGGAAACAAGATGGCTACCTCTACGAAAGTTATTTAAGCGCTGTATTCGGAAAAAGGCAAACGCTAAAATAACTTTCGTACATCTTGTTTCGGCCTCCGATTTTACTTTTTTCCGACTTGGTAACTGAAACGCCGGTAACTCGGGTGTGACGTTGTTTTCAGGTAACTTGAACGCCGCATTAGTCTCTTGAAAACGAGGCGGTCTTGATCTAGAGTTGGGGTCTCTGTGTCTCTCAGATCGTGGACCTCAATCAGGTTCTGGAGAACATCAACTTATCCAAGAGGAAGGAGCTGCAGTGGCCTGACGAGACCGTGAGACTGAGAGCAGGACGGACCTGCTGGAGGGACTGGAGCCCCCTAGAGGGCATGGAGGGACATGTAAGTCCAGATCAGCTGAGTGCTTTTAAACCTGAAAGTGTTTTTGATCTCAATACGAGTGTTTGAGGGGAGATAACTTCAGGGTTTCTTCTGATTGCAGCACCAACAGCAAAGGCAGAAATAATGAGAGTTAACAGGATGGTAAAAATGTGAGAATAAATGAATGAAAAATAAACAAACAGATATAATAAGTAAATTTAATTAAAATAAACGGTGTTCAGATAGTAGTAGTGATGATCTAAAGGGAAGAAAACTCCTAAAAACAGTCAAGATGAAGCTCAGATTATCCAACATGGCCGAACATCACTAACACTAGCCGAGCTAGCGCTGTCGCTACTTGATCCGTCACCGAAACCCGATTTATACCCCGCATGTGCGAAACGTACGTCACTTCCACTTCGTATTTCGATGCATTTTCAGCAGTTTTGGTCGTTACTGTTGCTACCTACCCGATCCGTACTGCACTACCGATCAATTCAGAAACAAGATGGCGATGTGACAGGCTAGCTAGCAGGAGGCTCCAGGACTAATGCCGAGGCATTCGTCAGAGCTCCGGCCCAGCACGGTGAGACCTTTTGGGCCAGCTGGAGTAGGAACCTTTAATCGTAAAATTGGGCGCCATTCTCTTGACTTTCTGAACAAGTATCGAAGCTGTCGCAAACCGCAAGAGGCAATAAAGTAGAGGAAGTGACGTACGTTTCGCACATGTGCGGTACAAATTGGGTTTCCGGGACGGATCAGGTAGCGACAAGCACCACCGTGCAGGTTGACGTCAACATGCCTGTGCTGGTGACACATCACTCCGACAGCCTGGAGATGAGACGTCATCTGTCTTCTGTGCTCGTTTACATCCAGGTAGATCGGCATTATAGTGTAACGATGGTGCTGACCAATCAGAGGAGGCGCCCTGCCCAGTCCTGGGAATGTAAAAACGTTCTTTATTAATTAAACTTGGCGGCTAATTCTGGTTCTTGAAAAGGTTCGAAGCTCTCTCTCTCTGTTTCAAACTCTGACCTCGATCAGAGCGAATGTTCGTCTTTCTTTTTTAAACTCGTCTCCTCTAACGCTCGCTGTGACCTACTTCCTCTGTAACGAATCTGATTGGACGCCTCCGTCTCTCTCCCCCCTGCAGGTGATTCACCGGTGGGTGCCTTGTAGCCGAGACCCAGCCAATCGCTCCCATATCGACAAGACCATCCTGCTGGTACAGGTGGAAGATAAGCTAGTGCCCATCATCGAGACTGGGGTCATTGAGTTGGGCGCCGAGGTTTGAGACAAGCAAGCACACACACGCTACACACTACACACACAAACACAAACACACACTATGAAGAGGAAGCCGCAGCAGCCTGCAGTCAAACAGGCAGCGGGAGTTCTCCCCCCTCCCCTGCTCCTGATCGCTGAGGGGGAAAAGGAAGCCAGGGAAAAGTGCAAGCAGAGGCAGCCGAGCATCTCTTCATCCTGAATGATCCTTTACTGCATCCACACACACACATGAACACACACACGAACACACACACAAACACACACTCCCACAGTATCTGCCTTGCTTTGCGTCTCAGAAATGCTGCATGACAGTAAACACTCCTTCAGTTTAGTTCCTTCTTGCTCCTGGTGATTCAGTTCTATGCATTCATCGACTCTTTCTCTGAGCGTGGAGATTTTCTTTGTGGGTTTGGATTGTCTTGAAATGATTTGCCAAAACAAAAAAAACCCGCCGCGGTTTTTTACACATGAGAGCTTTTCTTTTTTTTTTTTTTCTGTTGTCGTCGTCGTTGTTGTTATTTTCGTTGCCAAGACAACAGAGGAGCCTGTGTTGCAGGAGAAACTGAAGTCAGAGTCCTGACGCTGCGCTGACAGGCTCCTCTGTTCCACGTTGTCATTCCCTTCGGATTACTTTGACAATTGCAAGATTTACTTTGCGCAAAGAAAAAAAAAAAACTTGCACTATAATTTTTGTTTTGATTTACAGCGATGCACTACACTCTTTAGATGATATGGTGTTTATTTATTACAGACTCAGAATGGCCATGGTTACCAATGCCTTGGGAATGAAAAAACAAAAACAAATGCAATCGTCTTTTTTCTGTTTTCAGCCATTTTTATTTACGACTTTATGTTTGATAAACTTGAAAATAACTTTTTACTGTATATGATTATATATCTATATATAGTATATGAAAATATATATATATTTACACAAATATATATATATATAATGTCAATGTATAAAGGAGATTTTGTTTTGGATATTTATTACTGTGAACATGGTATTTACACTTTGTTACATCTTCTTCTTTCGTTCGGGGACAAAGGTTAATGTATCGAGGACCATTGGTTGAAAACGATGCAGAATTTTTGATGGACTGTTTCACTATTTAACTTAATTCTTTTCTATATGGAGAAATAAAAGTTTGATTTATTGCTGACATCTTTAAAAAGCCTCCTGACTTTATTCTCTCGAACCGCAGACTCAGAGCTCAGCGATCACAGTTCAAAATCTGACTCAGAGTTTAGAGGAAACTCGTGATCGGCAGCAGGTGAGCTGTTTATAGAGTACCTGCTGTGAGCTGTATATGTGCTTTTATGAATCACGAGACGTATTTTTATAGTGCCCACTTTAAAGTTAATAACACATGATGTAACAGGCTGCAGAGTCGGCTCATCGGAGAAGACGGTCCGCTCAGAAAGTGGATGATCTGTGTTTAATCTGTGGTAAACAAAGGTTGTGTTTTACTCCTGAGTGACCTCTTCTTTAAAAACTGAGATCAACAGGTGTGAAAAACCAACAGTGGAAACAAAAACAGGCTGGAGCTGAGCTGCACAGAAAAACAAACAAACAAAGGGTTCGAGTTTACAGAGAGAGAAAGTCCGTCTGCAGATGATGAGATTATATGATAAAGTGTCAGAGCATCTCTGGTTTATAGAGCAGCAGGGATCTTAATTACAGGTCTGCGTGCTGCAAACACTCGGTAATATCCCTCTTATGTAATATCATGACACTGCTCTTCCTGACAGTATAATAACACTCTGCGTACAGACAGTGCTGCTCCTCTGTTAGTCCTACTTTAAACCCTGTTACAGCAACACGACCAAAACACTTTTCATCCTAAAATGATTGTAAATAATGAAAAGTCAACATGTAATAATTATCTAATATGTTAGAATTTAATATTTTTGTTCTTTTCTGAACTCTATGACACCAACATGTGACAATGAAACATAAAAAGGTGATCTGAACTGCTTTACTGTCAAAATTTCCAGTTAGATAAACAGGATGAGGTACATTTACTCTAAGTGAAATGATCTGCTCGAAAAAGCATCATGACCTGAGCGAGATATGTTTGGGGTTAATACAGTACAGACAGTGCTGCTCCCCTTCTTAGTTTAAACCCTCTTACAACTCCACTACCAAGACAGTTTTTATCCTCAAATGATTGTAAATAAAGCAAAGTCAACATACTATAATTATCTAATAAGTTAGAGTTCAATATTTTCGTTCTTTTTATAAAAAAAATATACACCCATTTGAAACTCTATGACACCAACATGTGACAATAAAACACTAAAAAAGTGTTTTTCTATCAACATTTCCAGTTCAAGTAAACATACCACTCCCTGTTTATCTAAGTGAAAGCATCTGTTTCAAAAAAGCATCATGACCTCAGTGAAATATGTTCAATATTAGAGATGTAATATTCTCCTTCAGATATGACATAGAGCGGTAAAAATACCTCAGGTAATTACCTTCCATAATTCCATAATTATGTCCAAAATAAAGCAGCTACACTAATAAATAGTGTATTTTTTTTAGTAATAGTGTATTCCAGTGTCTAGATATTAAGCAGCTGCACTTTTAAATAGTGTATTTTTTTCGTTAAAGTGTATAAAAGTGTTCATATTAAAGCAAGAACACTAAAAAAATAGTGTATTTTTTTAGTAAAAATGTATAAAAGTGTCTGTATTAAAGCAGCCATACTAATAAAAAGTGTATTTTTTAGTAATAGTGTATAAAAGTGTCCATAATAAAGAAGCCACACTAAAAAATTGTGTATTTTTTTAATTAAAGTAGATTATTAAGTGTTATTTTCCAACACCTGATAATCTAGTATAATCCAGTTTGAGATTAAACCTTAAAAACAACACTAACACACACACACACACGCGCGCGCGCTGCTGCTCCCCCTGAAAGCACATGACTGTTTACAGTGAAGCCCCGCCCCCCGCGCTCTCTGATTGGCTGCGGCTCCAGAATTCCTTTAAACTCTTGTTCCCAGTCTCTCATATAAACGTCTCGCAGACGCTGCAGAAGCTCAGGATGTGCGCGTAGGAGCTTCCCCGCCGTCTCCCTCGATTACCACACTTTACAGAAGGTAATGTTGGATCTTTGTGTGTTTTTAACTCTGTTCGGATCCAAACCGAATCATTTTCACAGCTGTGAACGTTTATTTAACCCTTTAAAAAACTCCGTTTGTGTTCGCCTTGCTAAGCTAAAAGCTAAGTTAGCAGCGCCGCGAAGATGGATATCATGTGACATCTGTGGAGTCAGGTGTCTGTGTCTGTCCGTGTTTACCTGTTTATATGAGACTTGTTGTCCACTCAGGGTTAACCACAGAAGCCGAGGACACCATGAAGTCTCTGGTCCTGCTGCTCGGCCTCTCTCTCGGGCTGGTTTCGGCTCTCCCTGCTCCGGACTCCGGCAGTGGGAAGAACTGGGTCCTGATCGTGGCTGGATCTAACGGCTGGTACAACTACAGACACCAGGTCAGAGGGACTTATCCACCCTTTTCTATCTATATATGATACATATTAATCAAACAGCACAACACTGACAGATCTGTGATAGACAAGGGGGGCACAGCAGGTGTCCTGAGGGGTGGGGCCGGATGTTTGAGCCCCATGGAGGAAGATCACATCAGGGACCAGACTGATCAAACTCCTAAACACACTAATTCATCCATAAATGATCATTTTTCATAACTTTAACAGTGTGTAACACCCTGAAAGAGCTCAAAAGAGAGTCTTCTTCACTTTTTTATTGTTCTTTGTAAATGTAAATGTGCTTTATTTTCGATGAACCAAAGTGCTTTACAATACAGAGTAAAAACGAATAAATAAAACAAATAAACAGCAATACAAAAAGAGCAAGATATGTTCGACGTGACATAAGCAAATGGCCAAAAGGAGCCGAAAACGGCGGAATAACTCTTTAACCGTGCGTCTGAGAAAAAAGTTCAAGAAATCAAAGATCTCGTTAAGATACACATGCCTGTAAAATTTCGGGCACATCGGACAAAGTCGACGATCGTGGCGCTCTGTAGGAGGCGCTAGTAAGCCATTTTTTATCACTTTATTTGGGTCACTTTAAAACATCGCAACTTTCACCAATTTTCGTGGGTTTTCGAGGCCGTTTAGGGGGTTAATTTGTGTTTTTAGGTGGTGTAAAATAATAATAATGATAATAACAATCGAGAACCCCTTGGATTACATAGGGCTCGCACGCAGAGCTGCAATAAAATAAAAAGTCACCACGCTACTGGGTATTAAAACCAGCATAAACAAGTATGTTTTCAATCGGGATTTGAAAAGGCTGAGGTCGGGAATAAGTCTCATTTCGGTGAGGAGTTTATTCCAGAGCGACTGAAAAGTCTCGCCGACCTCCAGCAGAAGTTGATTTGACGACCTCAGACCTCGACCCGGCTCCTGAAAAGTTAAAAGCTCAGTTAGATAGATGAGGGCGAGGCCGTTAAGAGCTTTAAAAACAAACATTAAAAGTTTAAAATCGATCCTAAAAGAGACGGGAAGGACGGGATGTGCTCACGTCTGTTAGTGTCGGTTAAAAGACGGGCAGCAGCATTTTGGAAAAGTCGAAGGCGACTTGGAGATGATTGGAGCGTGGATGACTATCTCAAGGTCATGACGGCTGAAAAACATTTTGACCTCGGTTGGGAGACGCAGTTGGAAGAAACTAGTCCTGACGACATGATCAATTTGTTTGTCAAACTTCAGGTGTTTGTCAGTTTGACTGAGCCGTCACTGTGTCTCCAAACACAAACATTCACTCTTATCATTATTTAAGTTTTTCAGAGAAACCTGAGTTTATTAACATGAATCAAAAATCACTTTAAAACAGTTTGCAGATGTCTGAATAGATCCTTGAATGTCGGTAGTGATCTGCTAATTTCTACCTCTGGTACCCTGGATGCTTCATGTGGGTTCAGGTTTACTCACTCCTGGTTACTTTTTAGAGTAAATTTATGGATCATTTAATCAGATTAGCTCCATTTTACCAAACAGTATGTATCTGAGATCTGTAAGTTTGACAGAATAAGTGAGAAAAGCTGTAAAAAGTTGTTGCAGAGTGTCCCTGAAAGCCGCTGAGTCACTGCGTGTTTTCACTCTTCAGCCTTAAAAACTACAAATTCTTTTCCAAACTTGATCCACATTCAGGGTAAAATAAGGTCTCCTGAAACTGTTTTTATCAAGTGCAAACAAAGCGTGACTCGATTGTTTCTTTGGTTTTTGATAAGATCAGCTTCTCTCTCTCTCGCTGATAAACACTTCCTCCTCCTCCTCCTGTCTGAGTGTTCTGCACCTGAGTCTGTCCGCTCACTTTATCCCATCATATTCATTCATATTGATCCCTCTTTGTGTCCGCCAGGCTGATGCGTGCCACGCCTACCAGATCGTCCACAAGAACGGCATCCCTGACGAGCAGATCGTGGTCATGATGTACGATGACTTGGCGCAGAACGAGCAGTGAGTGGACATTTTCGTGTTTCCTCTTCCTCACAGAGATGTTGTAAAATTAGAGACGTACATAAGTGAGGACGGAGCCTCACGTCTTCCTCATGTCGCTGTGGTATGTGGGACCTGTGTGGGTCTTTGTTCTGGCAGCAGGATGAAATAAAGAGAGGAGTCACAAGGAACTGATTTTAGAGCTCCTTCCTTCCTGCAGGACTTTGACTCTGAGCGAGGAAGAGGAGCAGGAGTGAAATCAGAGCTGACACTTAGAGCACTTTAGTAAACACTCACAGCTGTGCTTTAGTTTACAGGGCGGAGTCCAGATCCATTTGTAGTTTATTAGATTTGATGGAGGCAGATTTTAACTTTATGAAACTAAATCAGCGGAAAATGAGACACTAAATATAAAAGTTTGAGGAGGAAATATTAAAGGAATAGACAGGAACAGCTGATCGCCTGTTTTCATCACCATTGTCGTGTTATTTTTCTTCTGCGTAAAAATCAATCAAACATATTTAAGTTACATAAAGAGTTTAGTTTTAGAAATGACCGATAACACACAGATTAATCTGATCAGTTATTGATTTCTGCTTCTGTAAACACGTTGAGGTAATCCAGGTCAAGTTTTAGAGCGAAGTGACACAACGGCATTGATTTTCTTTATTACCGTATTATCTATAAAACACTTCTCTGAGTTTGAGTTAATAAGTGACTTATTAGAAATCAGAGGAAGGTGAAACTGATAAGAGAAGTTTGACTGGAAATGTTGATCGTGGATTCAAACCAAAGAATCAGAAATACTTTAATAATCCTCAGGGGGGAAAACGGCTGTTACAGAAACTCCAGTGCAAATAAAGTGGAAAGAGGAGATAAATAAGAGATAAAGTAAAGAGATAAATAATAGATAAAGTTAATATAAATAAGAGATAAAATAAGTAAAAATAAAGAGATAATATACAAGTATGTTCACTATATATACTAGGGCCCGACCGATACAGATTTTTGGGGCCGATACCAATTATTAAGGGGGGAAAAATCCGATTTTTACATTTGTTTTGTTATTAAAAAAAATACATATATACTGTAGATATCTTCAACTTTTCAAATAGTGGAACATTTTCAAAGTGAAACTGAATCTTATTCTCCGTATTTTATTTCTGAAAATATTGGCTAAAATCGGCGAGTTTTGGCCGATTACTGATTAGTCCCAAACGGGCTAAAATTGACCGAGTTAATCGTGTCGCCGATAAATCGGTCGGGCCCTAATATATACACACAAAATAGTAAAAGATTCTGCCGTTTTGACGTTTTTATCCGAGCTAAATCACAGAAACCTTATTTTTTCATCGTCTCAGATTTCTATCTGGTGTTTTGTTGGAGGTTGTAACCGAAACTTGGCGATGATGTCCTGCTGAAACAGAGATTCAGGTTTTTATCAGTAATCACCCGGATTTTTCAGTAGATGTTAAAATCTTCAGGTTCTTTGCAGGTTAATATTGTGAAACATGATCTCCACATTGTTGAACTTGATCTTCGGCGTTAACTCGCTTTATGTGTGTTCATGAGGGCCCAGAATCAGGGTTCCAGTGTCCCTGAGTTCGGGGATGTCCCTGATAAAAACAGAGATGATTGTTTTACAGTAAACTCTCCTCTCCAGCCGGTCAAACCTGTGCTCTCGTACTTTCCCTGTCGTTGGTTTTCCTCTACAGTAAATGAACTCTTTGAACTAAATTCCAGTTATGATCACAGGAGACTCAGAGAAGTTTCCACCCGTCATGAATAACCGTAACTCTGCGGTTTCTTTTCTGCCTCTTTAGTTTTTAGGGAACATTTGTTGGTATTTAAGAGGAAACACGAACAAAAGATCATCAAAACAAAAACTGTACGACCAATCTGCAGCTCTGAGAGACACCGTCAAAAGTCCCTCCTTCACCAAACAGATAGTAGACACACAGATGGACAGAGTGGGTTAAAAAAAGTGAGGTTAGAGTCCAGTTTTTTCAGTCATGAGTCTCTGTTGAGGTTTGGAAAGTGATTCTGCGGTGAAAGAGGAAAAACCTGAAGTGCGTCGTCACCGTCACGAGCCGACTCACCTGATCTGTGAATCATTCAGCGCCCATCCTGCAGAAATGTTTGGTCAGCGGTCTGCACTTCCTCATTCTGATGTTTCTCTGCAGGAACCCCACCCCCGGCGAGGTTATCAACAGACCCAACGGCTCTGATGTTTACAAGGGGGTCCCCAAAGACTACACCGGGGACGTGAGTGACCATATTTGATCAGAGAGAGAAGATCTGTGGATGTTTGAGGAGGTCTGAATGTTCAGGGGTCTGACGGGGTTTTTCTCTCCTGCAGGATGTGACCCCAGAAAACTTCCTGGCTGTGCTGAAGGGCGACTCCGCCAGCGTGAAAGGCGGCTCTGGAAAAGTGCTGAAGAGGTAAAAATAAAGACTCAGATGATCTCCTGGAGTTTCTGATTCCCCTCCTCTAACTCCTCCCTCTCTGTGTCGTCTCTGCAGCGGCCCCAAAGACCACGTGTTCGTGTACTTCACCGACCACGGGGCCCCGGGTATCCTGGCCTTCCCGAATGATGACGTGAGCGACTTTTACTTCCTCCTCTCTCTCTCTGATGTTTACACCGAACAGGCGAGCTGCTTCACGACCAAAACGAACTCCAGGAAGAAAACTTTCTGTTTTTGTTGAACTGGTTTGATCAGATTTTTGAGACTCTGAAGTTTGATCATGTCTGAACAAAAGAGGCACAGATGACTCAGAGGAGAAAAACAGATTCAAACTGATCCGTATCTTTGAAAAACGAGTTAATGTTTTATCAAAACAAGAGCAGAGGCCGAGAGGAGGAAAGAAAACAGATAAACGGACACAGACACGCTTCATGGTGTTCAGATGAGGCATTCAGACACAGCAGTGATGCTATTTTTCCACCATTTATTCCACTTCTTCTTTTTATGACAGCGTTTTATAGCAGATTTCACACATTCATCACTTCTTCATCCTGCCTATGTGTGACTTTTTACTATCTTAAGACTTGGTTCTCTAAATGTTACGACTTTAGTCTCCAAATCTCAAAAGATCATCTTTAAATTTGTCTCTTACACTCAGTGAAGTCATTTTTCAGTCCATGGTGTTTATCAAAACTTCATCTTTAAAGGGTGATTAAAGTAAAAGAAGAGCTCTTTTAAATCTGCAGACCTCATATTTTCTTTTATCTGTTAAATTTTACCGAGAAAATCTGAAAACAATCGATAGTTTGGTTCATTTCTGCTCCGTTTGGCCTCCTCTGCTGTTGCTCAGAGTACAGATCTAAAGCCCCGCCCCTTCCTGGTTCTGATTGGTCGTCGAAGAAGCACATTTAAAAACAACTAAACACTGACCAAAGTGCTGTACAGTAAAAAACAGGGGGACATAAATGGTTCAATAAAAACTGAAAAAGTGCATTTTCAAGTTTGATTTAGAAACAGGCAGTGAGGCGGACAGTCCAACATGAAGAGGAAGAGCAAACTGAGAAAAGCTCGGTCACCCCTGAACTTCAATCTCTGATCAGAGGATCTGAGAGTCGGCGATAAAATACGAGGTTTTAAAAGGTCAGAGAGATAAAATAGAGAAAGAGGTGACCGAGAGGAGAGCAGAAGTGATTCAAAAAGCTGAACTAACTTTAACAGGAACAATATTTGGCAATTAGCCGATTATCTGTATCAGCACTAATTTGATAAACGAGTTAATGTGCTGCCTCGGCGAAATATCACACTTGGCTAACTGTAAAGGAAGTGTGACCGGTTAACCAATCATCATCATGTGAACTGGCATGGTTGACCCCTAATGCTGAGCTCTAAAACACTGATTTGTGTTGGTCTTGTGGAGAAAATAGGCCCTAATGCAGCACCTGACAAAGCTCTCAGTGTAGACAGGCCCTAAAGCACCTGAAAATGTTGTTAGTGTAGACAGGCCCTAATGCACCTGAAAATGCTGTCGGTGTAGACAGGCCCTAATGCAGTACCTAAAAACGTTGTTAGTGTAGTCAGGCCATAATGCAGCGCCTGAAAATGCAGCATCTATAAACGCAGCACCTGAAAGAGCTGTTAGTCGAGTCAGGCCCTAATGCAGCACCTAAAAAAGGTGGTTAGTGTAGATAGGCCCTTATGCACCTGAAAACACTGTCGGTGTGGACAGGCCCTAATGTGTTAAAGGTTTTAGAGTCACATGATCCAAAGATTATCACTGAGGTTTGAAAATCTAAAAGTACTTTTTGTTTTTATTAAACTCCTGAGGTTTTTCTTGACTGTCTCTCTCTTTCCTTCGCTGCAGCTCAACGTCAAAGACCTCCAGGACGCCATCACCTACATGCACGAGAATAAGAAGTACAAGCGGGTAAGTGAGTGAGTGTCTGTCTGTCGGCGTGTTTGTATGTAGGTCACTGATAAAGTAGCTGACATGCGTCCTCATGCCCACAGATGGTGTTCTACATCGAGGCCTGCGAGTCCGGGTCGATGATGAACAAACTGCCGACCGACATCGACGGTGAGTTAAAGTTCAGCTCTGCACAAACACTTTCCAGTAAAACTCTGAGATAAGAGCGGCAGACGTCGATAAACGAGGAGCTCCTCAATAACAACATGAACTTGACCTCTTCCTCCTCCTCCTCTTCTTCTTCTTCTTCTTTGTGTCGACTCTCTTATCTCGATTTTGAACTTCCTGTTTCATGTCAGGACCTGACCGAGTTCAGCTCTGCAGGTTTGGACTTTAAGCTTTTGACACTTTGTCAGATCAGCATTGTGGTCTGTGGTGGTTTTGGTGCCCGCTCTCTGTCATGTGCTCGGCCTCATGTGACGATGATCATCACAGGATCCACCGAGGATCAAAGTCCGGCTTTTATGACATTAAACACTTGAGTCCGGCCTGAGCTCCAGTTTCTGCAGAGCGCCCCTGAACTCGATTAAAGCTGAAGATTCCAGTCTGTTAAGTTGATTAAGTAAAGAATATAAAAGTGTTTCTTTTTAACGTGTAAATGTCTCTTTGTGTGTTTTTCAGTTTACGCCACCACAGCCGCCAACAGCCACGAGTCGTCCTACGCCTGTTACTACGACGAGAAGAGGGACACCTACCTGGGAGACTGGTACAGCGTGAACTGGATGGAAGACTCTGACGTGGTGAGAGGACCTGGATCACAACATAAACGGACCTCAAGTCCTCATTCAGATTAAAAAATGAAATTTGAATGTCAGTTTGACTTTAAAGGAGAATAGGGGTGATTTTTTAAATCAGGAGCCGACCAGTGAAGGAGACGGCGTTGATGAGTCAAGTATTTTAAATTAAAAACAGGGTCATTAGGGACAAAAACAAACATTTGCAGCAGTTTTCAGAAACTTTCATTTATCAAATAACTCAAAATAACAGGATATCTTTCCTGCGATATTTAGTTTTTAAGAACTTTTTGACGATCTCAGTCTCGTCGGTTTATTTATGCTGAAAAAAATAACGACTCAAACCTTAAGAAGTCTTTTTGAGGTCTATAAATTTGTGAATCAATAGTTCAGGATGAGACCTGATTTGTTTACTTTACTATAAACGAGTCAAACTCTTTTAGGCGTTTTCTTCTCAGTTGTTCCTGTTTCTTGACGTTTTTTTGTCTTGCCTCGTTCTTCCAGGAGGATCTGACCAAAGAGACGTTGCTGAAGCAGTACAAGATCGTGAAGAGCCACACCAACACCAGCCACGTCCAGCAGTTCGGGAACAAGGTAGAGAGAGATCTGAGCGACTGTTTCCTCTTTTTAACGGCAGAGGAGTGTTGAAGCTGATCAGATCTACAACCCCGATAAATGACAGCAGTTTAATAATAACCAATGAGGAACAAGCGTGGGTCGATGTTTGACCACATGAACACGATAATCTGAGAATTGTTAATAAACTCATGAAGAAAAAGTCACTGACTCTCTTCGATCAGCTGATTGGAGACAACCTGCAGTGTTCATTCTCCTCCTGTGTCCTTCTCTCCGTCAGACCATGGCCCACATGAAGGTGATCGCATTCCAGGGTAACGCCAAGGCGACCAGCCAGCCCGCCCCTCTGACCCACCGGCCAATCACAAACCCTGACCTGACCCCGAGCCCCGACGTCCCCCTGGCCATCCTGAAGAGGAAGATGATGTCCACAAACGATCTCAAAGCTGCCAGAGGCCTCCTGACGGAGATCAACGCCCACCTGAAGGTGAAGAGCGACGTTTAGATCCTGAGAACCTGATCTGAGGCGAGGTCGACCTCTTCAAATGTGACAGCTCTTTATATGTGTCTGTGTCCAGGTCAGGGAGATGATGGCGGACACCATGCGTAAAATTGTCGGGATGGTGACGGCGGACAGGCTGCTGACTCAGGAGGTCCTCAGCGAGCACGCAGAGCTCACCCAGCACCAGTGCTACCAGCCCGCCATGACCCACTTCAAACACAACTGCTTCAACTGGCACAAAACCGAGGTAAACGCACACCATAGAAGAAGAAGAAGAAGAACGAGGTTAGTGTAGGGACAGTGACGGCAGGAAACATCTGCAGCTGAAACTCACCCACACATCTCAGAATCTGGTTCTGTCTGTTAAGAGGAAGATCAGTTTCACTTGGTCAGTAAAGTTTGACTCGCATGAAGACGGTGAAAATGCAGAATGAGCGGTTTTTATTTCTTCACTCTCAAAGTCTTACAACATTCGGTTATAGATCAGCTGATTTCAAGTCTTCAAGTCTCAAGCAGAGGAGGAATGATGGACAGACAGAGGAAGACCGCCATGTTTCTTTTTGACATTTCTGAGTCTCAGAGTAAAGTTAATTTAAACTTTTCCATCAGAGTAACGTCAGAACTTCTCTCCTCTTCTGAAGTTACCTTTGAACATTTCTCGGGTACTTTCACGCCGCTGTAGGACGACGACTCTCAAAATAATAAAACCTCTTTTTCTGGCTCTGTGTGACATTTTCAGACCCACAAAAACAACCTCAGGGGACACAGACAGGTGTTTGACATTTTCAGTGTGTGTGAGACTCATGTGATGTCCTCCTGTGTTTCAGTACGAATACGCTCTGAGACATCTGTACGCTCTGGTGAACCTCTGTGAGAGAGGATACTCCGCAGACAGGTATGTGTTTCTGTTTGTCTCTCTCTGTGGTTTCATGATTCTCCTTCAGCAGCTTCTATTTCTAATTTCTATACCTCCTTTTATGGGCGGTTTCAGTCCTTTATTTTGACCCCGTCTGCTCCGCTGATATAAACACTCTCAGCTTTGAATAAATCTTAAAGATGCGCTTACTGAAAAAGACCGCAACCATCTTTTGAAGAACATAAACACCTTTTTTAGGCATGTAAATAAAAACTTTTGCCACAGCTGATGTGTACTGATAAAAAGGTCACAGCTTGTGGTTTTTGCACACCTAACGCCTAGAAACTAAGATGCATTCAGGACGGTGGGATATTTTGACACTCTGAGATCTCAAGCAGAACATGCACAGGAGATATCTGCTGTTCCTTCACCTCTTAAGGGTCTTTTATTTGTGTCTCTCAGGATCCAGGTGGCCATGGATGCAGCGTGCAGCTTCAGAGAGTAACGGCCCCGCCTTCAAACCCGTGAACGTCTCACACCAAACTTCCTCCTCAGAGCTGGAGGACCCGAGGAGACGCGGAGCTTCTCTTTGCACTTCATAGGAAATCAATCTGACGTGGAGTTGACGTTAATATTCTATCAACACACTAACACTTTTATTTTTTTTTAAACACGTGACGTTTTCCTGATTTTAATGAGAATTTTAAACTTGTTTTACGACGAGTTGCACTTTTGCTGTGAAGAATTTTTGATATTTTTTCTGCTTCCGATGGTTTTGAGGACAGAAGGATGGCGTACCATTCGTGTCCATTCGTTCTGCTCTCAGCTTTATTTGTGGTACAGCTGCATGGAGGAATGTTTCATGCTCATGTGAAGGACATACTACTGAACAGTGAATGTTTAAAAAAAAACTCAAGACAATTTGTAACACAGGGATCTTGAAATAAATCAACCAAAACTCATTTTGCCTTTCGCCTCTGTGGATTTTCAGCACATTATTTTTATCCCTGAACATAAAAAACACATTTTCGGGATAACATTTGGATTTGTAAGTTGTCTACAAAAGTAAAGTTAAGCCTATTTTCTTGTTTAAAACCTTATTTAGATGTGCACTCTCCTGCCTGACAGACATTTAGACCCACCTGCCTCCTGTTAATCTGAACCGCTGTCAGCTTTATGAGGATTTTCACCTCTCTGTGAGCGCCGTATAAAAGCTGATATATGCAGCAGGATCAACTCGGATCTCTTTTATGCACTCTACAAACATCCCCTGTCCTTTTAGCACCATAAAACCTCAGTCACAGCTGAGCCTAGAGTGTGCATGATTAAAGATAACATCAAGAATATCAGATTTACAGGGTTTTTTGTGACTGAACGTGTAAAGACGATAAAAAGTAAATCCCTGAATCAAACATGTTGGCTTACTTGAAAACATTATACTCAGTTTTTAATAGAACTTTGTCCCACATGAAGGAAAACAGGCTAAAAACTAAACGACACTCCAAATTAGTGCTAAATTTCCAGCAGACAGCAGATTTTTATTGACATATATTTTTAAAACAAGCCAAATAAAACTAAATTTAAATCTTGTTGTAGTATTGCATAGTTTCTCAAAAAGAAGTTGACCAGAAAGTGCACCATAAAACAACCAAAAACCTACCAGCAACGGTAAACACAAACATTTGCATAGATTTAATGAAATAGTGATATCTAGTGGTGATTCTTTGTGTTACAGCTAACTGTCAAAAATAAAAACTCCAAAAGGTGAGGCTGTTCGACGTCTGTAGGTATGCCCGCCTCCCTAAATATTAATAAAAATAGTTATAAACTTTATTTTAGCAGTTTTAGGTGTGAACATTTCTATGGGAGTTTAAGGAATTTCAACAATTAATATCATAAATACAAAATATACAATAATATATCGTTTACGAATTATTATTTTTAACTTTAAAGCTCCTTTTTGTATTAAAATTTCTCACAGGAGCCTATAAATACTATACATCGGCCATGCTAGGCTATTAATTAGCATTATCTTTTATTTACTTTGAATATATTTCCCGAATATTTAACGGCACATGAACGTAAATGACAAACAGATGACAAACAAACACTTAGATATTTATCTCAAAACGTATCTCTGATGATTAATGTTGAAAAAATTAATTACACTGATTTTTTGGTGTGTTTATTGCTTTTATATGTTAATATTTTAACGTAATTTAGGTTCAACGTCTTGCTAGCTGTTACGCGCTTGTTGGTTACCCTAGCTGGATGATCCCCCTGCTTTATGGCTGTTATTGCACGACTGACGATTTTGTGAACTTCAAAATAGGCGATTGTTGGTTTTATTTTGACTAATTACATTTCCACTTCAATGGCTTGACTTAGTAAAACACATTATATTTTTTATTGTTGAAAATAGTTTCAAACAAGAACACCTTTTACGAATTTTAATCAGGCAGAGCACCGGGCTACCCTCTTCACTGAGGACATTCCTGGAAGGGAGGCGGCCTCGTTCGGTACCTGCCCTCTCCATAAAACAGGAAGATAACCTGACCGATACCCGTAATGCTAACATGAAAAGTCAAGCGAACACAACCTAGCATTAATACCGGACAGAAGGCCGGATAGACGGGACGACACAGCGCAAACCTTTGGATTTAACCCCTGACTGCTTTTACCGTAAAACGAGTTAGCTCAGTGCGCTAGCTTGTTTGCTAACTGTAACGCTGGTCCGGATTGTCAGCTGGTTGCGAAAGAAGGCTAACAAGTTTGCTCGTTTACACTAAATCTACCTTTTCACCATGGGCTCCAGAGCGTCCACGTTACTTCGAGAGGAAGAAATTGAAGAAATAAAGAAGGAGACCGGCTGTAAGTCGAGTTTAGACCGTAATAAATAAGCTAAAGATTGTGACACATTAGCAGTTTATTGTATTTCCATTTTAATGTTGACTCCACAGTTAGCAGAGCTCTTAGCTGGTTAATATTACAACATCAGACATATTACAGCATCAGAGGATGTTAGTTTGTGTGTATTAAGGCCTGAAGGTGTCTGACTTTAAAGGTCTCTCTCTCTCTGCCTCCTCTCAGTCTCCCACAGTCAGATCACCCGCCTGTACAGCCGCTTCACCAGCCTGGATAAAGGTGAAAACGGCACCCTCAGGTGAGACATAATCCTGTCTGTTTTCTGACATAATAACATTAATCCAGGGGACTATACTGAGCAGGATGGTTTCTCTTAGAAAGGGCTGATCGGCGGCTTAAAGGTTATGAAACAAATCGGGGTGCACCGATCACGGTTTTCTGGCCGATCACCGATCTTTAAAAAGCTTGAAATGCCGATACCGATTTTGCCGATACCTTTCTTTTAAATAACCAATCTTGTTTTAATGAAAAACATTGAACAATACTAAACAATACAAACCTCTTCTGATTGTTTTAACTGCACATGAGGTAGTTCTCTCAAATATAAATGAAAAGTTTAGAATATTTCTGTCCAAACTACTAAATTATATCAGTTCCTTTAGTCTTTTATTTTCCACATTTAAAAATTAGCAATACCTGAGCAGCAGGTCAGACTGCAGGCCTGTTTTTTAGCCTCTTACCATAATAAAGTGCACCGCAGTATTTTGCTTTTACAAATAAAGGAAATCACAAAGTTTGAGGAAGTTATTAAAATAATAATCTACAGGACAAACTAAACTGTTGGGCAGGTCTGTCATTCTGGCGAAAGAAAAAAGCTAAAATGGCTGACTTTTAGACCTTTGCTGAGGTAGATGAGATCGGTGGATAAAATCAGTTCTATGTCTAAGAATCAGCCGATTACTGATCCCCCAAAAACTGAGGAAATCGATGCCGATTGATCGACCGGCTGATTTCTCTGACGTATAAAAACAAACAAGATCATTAGTGACAAGATTATTCATTTCTACCAACTAAATTTTATGTCTTTAGGGGGTTAGTGTGTCAGACTGAGTGAGTATCAACACAGACTGCTTATTCACACAGCTGCTGAGACATTTCGGGGTTCAGTGCCTTACCCAATGACACTTGGTCATGTGGATAGAGACTCCAGGGATTGAATCCCCAATTTAGTGATTGGGAGACAGCCAACTCTCCCACTGAACCACAGCGACCCCAAATGTGACATCCCCATGTGGAAATACCAACAGATTCTAGAAATAAACAGCCAGATGAACTAAATTAAACAAATTACTGTTTCTGTCAACAACGAAACAAGTGTAGGATGTATTTAAACTGCTTTTTTTACACCGTTGCAGTTTGTACAATAAATGAAAATCAAGTCAGAAAGGTATAAATAACACAAGAAAGGTGAAGAGAAGTAAATACTCTGAAATCATTGAAATACAGTTGGGAAAAAGTACAAAATCAGGAACAACCACAACAAAGACTAAATCCTCAGTACACAAAGACTTTTTTATTTTATTGAAAATTAGATTTAAAAAAGTACCAGAGTAAAGTGTGTACCGAGGCTTTAGCCTTTGTCAAATTGTCCGCTGGTTTGACATCCTGGCCATAAACATTTGCTCCATGTCTTTCCCCTGTTTGTTTTCAGCTGTATTATCTAAATAAGGCAGAAATAACCATAAAAAGGATTAAATTATATTTTAAAAGTCCAGCTATTTTTCCTAACAACTCTGTAATTTTATTTCAAATGTGATAAAACAGAAGAGTTTATGAGTGATAAAGAAAGACATGTCCGATTCTCATCGATTTCTCAAGGAGTTTTTTTTTTTTTGGTGCAGCATTTCTTGGTTTGTGATTAACTTCCTGCAGCACATGAAGAAACAGTCGGATAATCATTACAGAAGCTAAAACATGAGTTCAAAACGTCACAGATCTGGAGGGTGAATCGTGCAGGAAGTCTCTGCAAAAAAAAAGTCGAGGTGTTTACACAAAACAAGGTCTCAGATCTGCTTGTCCTTTCCTGCTTCAGTGCGTCCAGTCACAGCTCACAGTCTATACACTCCTTTTTTCTTCCCAAGGTGACTTTCTTATCATTCATGAGTTGCCACAACAGTGAGATTTACATCCTGGTCTTAATATGGTTAGTTCAGATACAGTTCAATGTTTGGGTTGAAGTTTTATCAATGAAACTCGTGATCGATTAAAGGAGGAGTAGACTAACAGCTCCTGTTTTCTGGGAGGTAGATTTAGGGTGACTGTCTCACTATCTGCTTGTGCAACTCCAAAACTTTTGTACCTATTTGTCATGTAGAGTTGAGAAGTTCACAGGATGAGAGCGTAGGTTTAAAAATAGCAGAATGACCCTTTAATATCTCATGTTTACAGATGTTAAACGAGCATCCATTAGTTCATCAAACCGTGATTTCAATCGTGTTTCCTCCTCTCTGCAGTCGAGAAGATTTCCAGAGGATCCCGGAGTTGGCCATCAATCCTCTGGGAGACAGAATAATCAATGCTTTCTTCCCTGAGGGGTGAGTCGTGCTCGTTGTTGGTCTGCAGAGATTTATTCCACAGAAGTGTGTTTTATAGGTTTGAGTCACAACCACCAAGAAACCGAACGAAGCCGTCAGGGATTTCCAGCTGTGGCTGCTGGACTCAGACTCGAGAGGTTCGGCTTCTTCTGCCAACTCTGGAAAAACTCGACTGGGGCCCCAAAAACTCTGACAGTAAAGAGGAGATAAAAGTCTAAAACGACCAGATGTTTTCAGCTGTATCATTAAAATCCTAAAAAATCAGATGTGTAGGCGTTTTAATGTTAGCTGTGGGTTTTAATGCTTTTTGATGCAGCTTGGGTTTTTGTTTGTTGGCTAAAGACTTTTCTAGAAATAGAGCAGAGAGTGTGCCTCTGGAAACCGGTGTTGAGTTTCCTCCAGTTTGAGTTTTCATTGTGTCGCTCACAGCCAGTCTTGAGAATAAAGGAAACCCGAGCCGCGGAGAGAATCACTTGAAGTTTCTTTTGTGTCTGTTGACGGAAAGTTTTCGTCTCTTCTGTGCCTCCTGATCGTATGATTCCCTGTTTCTGGGTTTTAGAGAGGACCAGGTAAACTTCAGAGGCTTCATGCGGACTCTGGCTCACTTCAGACCGATCGAGGACAATGAGAAGAACAAGAACGCCTCCACCAACGAGCCGCTCAACAGCAGGACAAACAAGCTGCTCTGTGAGTGTCAGACTCTGTCGGGTGTCGTCAGGGATGCTGGTGACAAATATCATGTCACTGATTACAAACTAAACTGCAGATCAATACAGCTTATCTTCTCTTATCTTATCTTATCTTGTGTTTTCTAGTCGCTTTTCGTCTGTATGACCTGGACAGAGATGACAAAATCTCCCGGGATGAGCTGCTGCAGGTGAGAGTATTGTTTGTCATGTCAATAAGCTGCTGAGTCACTCTGAGGTTTGTGGAAACAGTTAGCTGTGTCATCATTACAAATTAAAGATTTCCTCTCTTTTCTTCTTTGTGGAAGTCAACAAAGAAAACCTCAGAGACGCTTGACAGGACAGAGGCTGTGTTTGGACGGGTTTCAGCATCTTAAAGGGTTTTTAAAAAGCTCTTTGAGGTCGCCTCAGCTGTCAGTTGTGAAACAGGCAGTAAAGACTGTTTTTGAATCCCTGGAGTGTGTCCAAGGTCGTCCACAAAAGTCCTTATTTTCTCACTGACAAGCTTTAAATGTCTGACAAAAATAGAAATATCTGTTACATCACTTCTTTCAGTCACCAGACTTCATTGATAAAAACAGTGACTGTATGGTAAAAATTAGGGAGCTAATGAGTTAGTTTGATGTGTCACTGTTATTTTTAATTGGCGCAGTGAGATGCAACACAATGTATTTATGATGCACAATAACGAATTCACAAGGAGGTAGACGAGATCAGTGACGACATTTCTCTGCAAATACAGCAACGTAATGTTTGTTTACTCCAAAGCCACTGAGCTTTGTTCAGGATAAAATCAATTTCAGTGTTTAAGTATCTCAGTAAAGGGAGTTTCTGATCTACTCTGTTGGTTATATAGTTGCTTTGATTGTGTTTTTGTGTATCTGTTGTTTTTAAATAGTGCAGAACAGGGCGGCAGATCAGCAACTCTCTTATTCTGCACTGACAGATTTGGTCTCATTTTTCAAGCTAGTAACCTCTATTTCCCTTCAAAAAGGGAGTTGCTGGTCTACCTCTGATTTTGATGAGTTTCTGCGGTTGTGTTTTAGTGTCGCTGTTTTTATTTTAATGATACAGGGAGGTTGAACAACACTATATTTGAGCAGCACGCAATAAAAACAAAAGTAAACACAACCAAAGAGGCAGGAGTAGATCAACAACTCCCAAATTCTGCCACCATAAATTATGGTAATTTGTAATTATTGTTTACCATTGTTAAGTGAGAGCAGATTTCCTTTTTCGGTCATTTTAGCTCTCCTCCTTTCAAAGGTACTAGACTTCATAAACTTCATTAGGAGTTGCTAGTCTACCCCTGGCTTTGTTATGTAGTTTGAGGGTGTCAATTTGCACCTTTTGTTTTTAAATGGTAATGTAAAATAGACACTAAATTGTTAAGCGGATAAGAAAAACTCCACCAAGGTGTCATGAGTAGATCAGCAACTCCTTAAACTGCAAGAACAGATGATAGATGTGTCATCTAAGTCTGTGACAATAAGATTAGAGTCTTGAACAAAAACATTTGTCTCTCTGATATTCTGTCAGACACTTGAACATGTCAGCTGTAGAAACAAGTGTTTCGGCGGATGAACTTTGACCTGTTACAGTAACCCCAAAGATTACGTACGACGTCTTGACCATTATCATGTGAACAAAGATGCAGAGGCTGTTATGTAACATGTATGTCAAAATGCTCTGCAGACAGAGAGAGAGAGTGTTTGGGATTTCCGTGTCGATGACAGGACTTTGCCCTCGTGCTGATAATGATCATGATAGGATGATGATGTATCTCACCTTAAGTACAGGCCGGTGTTTCCTAAGACGCTGTGATATCCTGTATTTTGTCTCCCTGTGTTATTTGTTGTTCCTCTGTCGGTCTGGGTGACTTTGTGTGACCTGTAATTGCTCTAAGCTCGGGGTGAAATGACTCAAGACGGATCTGCTGTTTTGCGTAAAAACATTTGGCCTGTTTAAGCCTGTCACCACGGAAACAGCTTTAATGCAAACAGCATAAACATGGTGTTAAAGACATATCCTGATATTTATAGAAGTCTAATAAATATGTAGTTTTTGGCTGATATTCATGAGATGACTCTCTGCTCTTTCTTGGCAGGTCTTGAGGATGATGGTTGGTGTAAACATTTCAGACGAGCAGCTCGGCAGCATCGCTGACAGGACCATACAGGAGGCAGACACGAATGGAGACAACTCCATTTCCTTTAACGAGTTCATCAAGGTCAGTTTTCTTCTTCAGAGGGCGTCACAGTCCTGTATTTTCACCAGCTATAACCCAGAGAACATCAGAAAGTTTTAGACTTATGTAGAAAAACATGTTTTTTGATTCTCTGAGGTTAAGAGTGTGTGCAATGGTCAGGTTACGCCAAGAGCTCCCTCTGCTGGATCAAATAGCAAACTACTTGAGGTGGCCTGATGCGTTAGTATACAGTATAGTTTGAATTCAGACAGTCCATCACTGTTCCTATATGCACTTTGCCCCCTAGTTTAATTTAATCATAATCAGACAAGTACACCGACAGAGCGCTGTTGTGCCCCACCTGTCAGGACTGTATTTACCCCCATTATGCCTCTCTAACAGCCCGGTGTAATGGAGGAAATGGTTTGTGTGAAAGGAAAGTTTTTCAGCTCCTGCAAAATGTGTAGAAATCTGAATAAAGTTCTTTAGTGGCACCGTTTGAAAACTTCTTAAGAACACACCCAAAGTAAATGAAATGTGTGGCTTCCTCCAAGTGCTGTTTTAAATAATATTTAGCTCGTTGGAGTAAATGCTTGACAAATCCGCAGCATCGGTCACTGTTTAAGTCTGCTGTTGAACTCTCTTGTTTTGTCAGTTACTCATTACAGGACTGTGTCTGAAGGAACTTCTTGAAAACGTCTGAATTCGGCCTGTTTTGATTCTCTCCTCAGGTCTTAGAGAAGGTGGACGTGGAACAGAAAATGAGCATCCGGTTCCTGCACTAATTTGCTTTTTTTTAGATTTGCTTCAACACGTCAGTCGACTCCAGGACACAACCTCATGATCCAGCTCCTCAGCAGGCTGCTGTGGCCCACACTACAAGAACACGCTGTCAGACCAAGCTCTCGGTAGATTAAGTCATAGATCTTGAGTTTCTGCCTTTGCACGGCTCCGTAAACAAAGGGAAAGTTGTGTGCCTTGGGTTGTTTTATGCAATGTCTCTGTGTGTGTGTTTTTTTTTTCCCAGTAATGCAACATTATTTATTAGAAAGCTGTAGAGGGTCACAGTTAGTCCCACTGCTGCTCCACATCGATTTCAAACACAGTACAGCACCGCTTTTTGCCCTTGCAGTGAGTAAGTTTATTCTAAGTTTACTCATGCTGTACCGTGGATATTTAACTCATACTGTGTCTCTCTGTCTGTTCAAGTATTCAAACCGGTTTAAAGTGACACTTGGTCCACGTTCGGTTCACTCTGAATAGACAGTGTTTCTGACGCTTACAGGATCGAGTCGGACGAGCCAGATCGACTGTGAGTGAGTCCCTCAAAGCAAAGCAGGATGTGCTGCTCACGTTTTTGTGTTTTCTCACTGAAGTGCCACAACTTTGGTTCCCTTTTTTTGTAAGATATGAACCCAGCAGTAAACGGGGACCTATAGCCATGATTGTGTGTTTTTTTCTTTTCCTTAAGGGTTAACCAGCTACTGCCAATAGATTGTTATGACCTGTTTCAGATGAACCAAAGTGAGTGTGGCCCTCTCATCAAAACCAGTGACCACCTGGGGTCTGTTGGAGCAAATATGTGTATAATGTGATATTTATAGATTCATTTTCAACTTACTCTAGTGGAGGCGATCAACATGTTTGTCTTCCCTCGCTCCTGTTCTGACGAGTAATCATGCAATACTAAAAAAGTCAGTATCACTATAATTTAGCTGCCAATTCAGCTTGATGTAGTCATCATAAAGCCATAGCTAACAAAGCCAGGCCCCGTGCTGTGAACTGGGCCGGCTGCGCACCAGTTAACTTAGAGATTTAAAACTGCTAGACCCATGAGAAAACCCCATGCTTGTATTTATACGATAAGTCTCCTAGTTTGTTGATTTATGCAACATTAAATTTTAAATTAAGTCCCAGGTGCAAAAGAGTCCAATGACTCAGACGTTAATTTCCTGCACTGGAAAGGGTACATGAATTGGAAAGCAAATGTCAGACTTTAATCTTTAATACGAGTTTGTGTAATGATTACAAGAACCCCCTCCAGCCGCTGAGTGCAGGAGATCCACCCTGACCACTTAATTAATCATGTGACGATCAATCATTTATGATTCATTTATTCTGTGATGTTGGTCTAGGTATTATCAAAGTGATTCATGAATTTGATTTGAATAAATACAAGTGCCATGCTGTCTTTGTGTCCTTCATTTACAGGGTTTATTTCTGTCTGCGGACACACACCTGAAGCTTTGTGCAAACGTCAAACTGGTGCTGAGTTTTACTGTTGGTGAAGAATAACAGCTTGTGAATGCATTCATAACCAGCTAAAGCACATAATATACTGTATATGAAGTTTGAAAGTAAACAAATTAACACTTTTTCATTAATATTATAAAATAAGAACTTTCAGATTAGTTGGCTTGACTTAAGCTAAAGCTCCTGAAAAACAAAAATAATGGTGTTTATTACCAGACTTATTTGGATCTAAGTATAAAAACCAGTTGTCTTCGTTTTAAATAGTTCATTTTGTTTGCTTTTACAGGTCAAAACAAGTTTTAAATATTAATTTTAGTTGCGTATCCAACTTAAAAACAACTCTTACATTTTTATTTTTTATTTATTTTGTGATTTAGTTTTAAAAAAGGTTTGGAGCTAGAATGAGTCAATATAATTACTAAATATTTTAGAGTTGATGCTTTTATAACAGTTGTCACTGAAAATAGTCAAATTATTTAATCGTTTATGTTTAATTTTGTGAATCTTTCTTGGTTAGTTAGCAGCTAGCGTCGATTTAAACGATGATTGATAGATTTCAGGAGAGTAACTTCCGGGGCGGGCTTTATTTTGATTGGCACGTCCTTGCTCCAATCACCGCGCTCTTCTGTTCGCTCGTAGTAACAGAGCAAAAATGGCGTAGAGCGGAGGGTGTGCGGAGACGAGGGACGAGGGGACCTTCTCCTCTCCGGGGTGGAAGGAGGAGGAAAAGGTGGCGTTGTTGTTGGCGGTTTTTGTCCATGAAGACTTGTCCTCACTCGGCGCGGCCGGTTCCCCTCCTAAAAGCGGACAGAGATCCAGTTCGGAGGATTAATGTGTGACCGTAGAGGAAGAACCCCCTGGCTTTTGTTTACCATAATGAGCAGCTGCAGCTCCAAGCACAGAGGAAATACCTCTGCACCACCTCGGACCATCGCAGACACCAAGGTCAGTGCTGCTCAGATCAGCTCTCACACCTGCATACACATTAATCTGACCATTTAACTCCATGTTAGAACAGACAGGGTTACACAGAGGAGACGGTGCACTCTTTAATAATTAATACACCTTATGATCTACCATGATATGTCAGAGAAAACAGATATTTCTCTGCTAGTTTAATGATATTGATAAAATAATGAGTGAAAAATCGATTAGTTGGTGGACAGAATACTTCATATGATAAATATGAATTTTATTGAAGGAGAAGTTGAGCAAAGATGGAAATTTAAGCTTCATAAATCAATTAAAGCTCCTGCACTGAGTTTAAAGATGGTATTAAAAATGTCTGAAATTCATATAAATGTCATTTCATGAGCTGCAAAAGCAAATGAGGTCATTATGGACAAGATTCATAATTTCTATGGAGTAATTTTTAATGGTGGAGGGCAGGTGTCAGACAATTAAAGTAACGCAGATTAAACACAAGATTTTATCTATTTAGATATCTTAAAGTAGGTCTGAGAAACTTAATGGCTAGTTAATGCAAATTAAAAATTTTTCTGAACCACTTTGTTCTGCACATAGCCTGTATATAGAATGGACGCCGTCTGCCTCCTTGCTGGGTGAAGCCACTCCGAGAACAGCACCCTCTGGTGACAGGCTGCAGTATAGGTCATAAATCCCGCCTCCTCCAGCAATCCCTATGGAGCTGTGGACAAACTTTATAAATTTATTACACAGAATATAAATGTTTCTCCCCCCTGGTTGTGATGTTGACATGTAGTTACTGTCAGACTGGTTTGTGCTCAAGTCCTCTTTTTTTCTGTACAGCTCCATTTTTAAAAGTTATTAGGGGGTTCATGTTTTCTATGATTGACACCTGATACAGCCTATGGGCATACGAAGATTGCATAGCTGAACCATGTGGCAAATTTTTTTATTTTTTTGTAGAATGGTAAGGGAAGGTCCTGCCCTCCTTTGCCTCTGATTGGCTAGAAGTGCTGGGCTCAGATTGGTTATTCCTAATGGCTGTGACACGTCTGTGGGGTTAGGGTTAGGAGATTCAGAAGTGGGATAATGTTCTGTAATATTCTGTTCGATGTACAGAACCGACAGCCCGCGTTTGGCTTGAGCGTGTGATGACGTTTGCAGCTTTTCTAGCCAATCAGAGGCAGAGGAGGCGGGAGTTTTTCCCTAGCGTCGTAAAAAAAAAATGCACCCGGGGGATACGCTGTTTGAGCCGAGCATCATCACAGCGACTCTTGGCGACTCTCCCACCGAATTCGTACAATGCCACTACATGTGGTGGAGTGTGTACAACGCTACTGCGCAATGTTGGTTTCAGGAAGTGGAGAACAATCGCGGAATTACCGAGAGCTTTTTCGGCTTTAAATCCATATACTGGCAGAAGGCGGAACCAAGTTGTCCATAGTTTATACAGTCTATGGTTTTGCACCTTGGGACGGGTTGAAAAGAATATACAAACAGGATTAGCGGTCCTTTGAGCAATGGCTGGAGTTTAATTTTTAACGTAGTTTTGTTGCTGTCTAACCCAGGACTCCCTTACATACATGATTTGATTTATGCTGAAATTCACCCCGAGTTTCTCCCCAGGATGGGTTTCCCAGTTGTGCCACAAGCTGAAGTCCACGGCTGAAGGATGGAGGAGCACTTCTGACCCCAACAGCCCCATCACCACCACAGCGGGATCCCCTCCATGTCTGCGTAGATCTGTGGAGGTAAAGGATGAGGAGTCACAGTGAGGATGAAGACTTCTTTTGGGCTGTTGGTGCACGGGTGTCCTCTCTCCTGCTCTTCTCCACAGCACCCCCCCCTCCCTCTGTCCTGGCCTGTTTCTGCAGCACCATCATGAGTCAGGACATCCGCCCTGCCAGTGGAGAAGTCTGACCTCCATCACAAACACTCTGACCACATCTGCATGAAGCCGCTCGCTGGTTTTACGGTTGTTAGGTTGGCGTGAAAAGTCTTTGTTTTCAGAAAGATCTGTGTTTGATTTCTGTCGGGTAAACATCGTCAGGTGAATCTCATAATTTCCCCCCATACTTTGTAATTCGATCACAGCAGTTTGATTCTGAACTAAGTGCTCTACATTATCTGGGAAAAAAAGCAAAGACACACAATACTGTAGCAAAGATCAAGGCCTGTGATTCAACTCCACTCGAAGGGTGTTTTATTTTTGATTTTTGCACTACCTCATCGCCATAACAAGTCGAGCAGGAGTGGGAGTGGGTGTGATCAGAAGGAGGAGCCTGGTCGTAAAGCGCCACAGCAGTTCTTTTTCTTTTAAGTTAAAGGTTAAAGAGGACAGAGCAGCCCAGAAGCACACGACATTAACCATCATAACTGTGGTCCCCTATGCATCTGTTGGAAAGGAAGGCTGCAGTTCTTGAATTATGTCGATTTGTTTGTTTTTAGGAAGTCTGCAGGTTCATTCAAACTGTTTCCCCCTCAGTGTTCTCGTCATTTCTGCTTCTCGATCGTCTCAAAGTCTCTGAGCTTTAATCGCTGTCAGAGTTATGAGTGAGTCACCTCCAAACGGCTGAGCCTCTGCAGTCAGCTCACATTGCAAAGTGCAGAATCGACTGACCTGCCAACAATGTCGTACGCGCACGATTGCCGATAATCCCATAGAGTAAAGCGTAGAACTGAACTGAATAGATCTGCATCATGGATCCGATCGGTGCATCCCTCAGCTTCTCTCTTTTACGCCTTTTTAAAGCTCGAAATATTGTTTTACATATAAGATAGACGCCGACATCGTGAAACTAGCATTTTGTTCTTTCTGCTGTTTCGGAGGCCTCATGTTCGGCATTTTCAGATGGTCTGTATTGCCTTTTTTTTTTATAAGACCTTTCTATAATATTAGGTCATAGTTTTCTGCTTTCACTAGCTTAGAAAGATGCATGGGTAATTTACGGAAAACTTCATATTTTGATCACTTCTTGAAACGCCCTCTGCTGGCTCTGAGAAGAACTGCAGGATTAATTTTGCTTCTATTAGATAGGATAGGTAGAGGTCGTTGAACAGTTGAGTCTTTCCAGCGACTACTGCAATAGCTTCTGTGCACAGACCGTGTTCTTTAACCCTCTAAAGCCTGGTTTATACCTGTGTGTTCACTGCGTACCTTAGCTGTGCCGTCATGAGCTTTATAAACGTATATGCGGTATCACCAGTCAGAGCTTGTTTGTGCAAAGAAAGCCAGAGGGACTGAAGACGAGCTTATTATGTTGGATTTGAAGGTGATAAATGTGGAGCAGGTGTGAAGTGAACTGCAGGTATTAAAAAGGAACAAAGAGAAGAGCTGGACCGCTGCAGGGCTGTTTAATCAGTGTCGATTAGAGACACTGGAAATGTTGTAAATGCAGCAGATATGAGGCGACCAGGTGGACCAATCACAGCTCTGGCAGTCTGCAGTGTTTCAGCTGAGGTGCACTCCAGGCTTTGTTTGCAGGGAACCTCAGACTCACGCAGAAGTCTAAACCTCGCCTCTATCTCCTCCTCTGATGTATAATTTAGTGTTTACAGTTTTAATCCAGCATGTCCTGATTTAGTGTCCTCCATCCTTAAACAGGACGTCCTTCACACGCTGCATGCAGAGACAGAATCCCCAGTTTTCTGCATGAGTCCATCAGACATGAGAGCAGAACCAGAAGCTTGAATTCCTTTAAGAGTAGCTGAAGCAAACCCTGGTCTCATATTAAGTCGACGTTTTCTTCTTGAATGAATTTTTTTTCTTTTTCTCTTTTATAAAAATCACATTTTTCCGGGATTTGTGCAATATTTGATCTTAACTGTCATGTTGTTGACCAAACTGTATATTGTATAAACAAGTGACAAGTTGTTTGAAAGCAACAAAATCACCAATGTCTTCCATTAAGATATGTATAGACTCATGTGCATTAGCTTATTTAGCGGGACTGTGGTGCCAACATTATCGTAGCCATGCATGACCAGTAGTGATGCTTGCTTCATGAAGAGTAGTCGAATCCATTTCTAGGCTAAGCTGGCGCTCGGTGAGAGTGAGGCGGTGTTAGTCTGACGTGCTGCACCTTTAAATCCAGAACATGTCGAGACAGCTTCGCCCTGAAATCTCCGATTTATGCAGCATCGCCTTTTTGAACTCCATGTCTCGGGTGTAGGATAAGTTGCATCATGAAAATACGACACGACAGGGTGTGCACATTACGTTGTTTTATATATGCATGTGTAAAATGTTCTTAAAAGAGCTGAAGAGGTGTCCTGAATTGTATCCATGCACTCTTTAAGCATGAAAAGAATTAGGTAGTAAGTTTTCGAGCACCAAAAAGCTCCACAAAGCGAGCCTCAGATCCAACAGCGGTAGAACTTTGAAACGGTTGTATTTAAATCTTAGATTTGGGTTTTTAGTCTCTCATACATAAACACCTTATTGTACATAATACCTCATAGTTTTGGGGGTTCAGAGCGATATATATTTTAATCCATAAATTGTATTTGATTAGAGTTTTAGAAGCAATAACCTTCAATAATGCATGATTTAGTGCCAGGGTGTACGTGTGTTAAAGGACTCTGTAAAGTCACGTGGAAAGGACTTTTTCTTCCCCTCTCTTTTACGCCTGAAGTAGCTCTCTGTCTGTTTGTCTGTCTATAGAAATATATTTGACTTTAGCGTAAACTCTCAAAGCTTTTTTCCCGTCAGGACAGCTGTAGCATCTCAGCATCGCCTCTTATCTCCATCCTTCTCATGCCAAAATGAAACCCTGCCTTTTATTCTTCGACACCAAACAACGATAGACGTTAACCGGTACATGAGAGATGCTTTAAGTTTAGAGTCTCGTAGCATTTCCACACCCACAGAAGCCCCCCTCCACCCCTGCCTTTAAAACTTTCACTAACTCTGTGGCTGCAGAAGACTCAGTGAACGGACGTGTTTGAAAAGCACTTTCTCTCCACATGTACTGACTCGCCCCATCCTCATCTTCATCACCATCCTGTCTTGAATTCTGTGTTCTCTAAAAAAGAAAACCCTGTAATGCTCTCTGTTGGGATTATAACCACAATTTATAAGCAAGTAGGCGTCTAGCTACAATGACTATATGGGTTTAAAAAATATGCATGACTTTTAGCAGAATAATGAATGATTTGTATTGCATGCAATAATCCAACTTTGTAATGTGAATGAGTGTAATTAGGCTAATGAAATGTTCATTCTGGGACCTTCTGTGAAAAGGGGACACCTTGGGGAACGGTTGTTTGACAGCATGTTGAAGTAGCTTTGTTCATCAGCTGCAGTTTAAACGTATTTAATGCACCAAAAAAGAAAGAAAGAAAGTGGTGGTTTCAGAGAGTCTGAGGAGTTTCAGGACCACAGCAGCGCAGCTGACAAACACCATCCAACCTTTAGTTCCCATGTAAAGAAAATAACCCCAACAATAACAAAAGCTTCAGTCAGATGAGTCTGGACTTTACTCTGTTGATCAACTTTTCCACTGAGGAGGTGGACTGTGTAGAAACTATGCACTCCAGAGGGAGGAAATGGGCATGCTTGTTACGTGTGAGCCTCTTGTCTGGTTTTGTATTATTAACTTTAAGGAAAAAAAAAAAGGAATCTGTATCAGAAATTCAGCAATAAAATGCAGCATGGTGCCAATTGGACGGCTTTGTGGTGATGTTTTGTTGCTGTGAGAGTGAAAATGAGTAAAAGAGAAGAGCCTGTTAGATTTACAGACAGGTCACACTTTTATTTACACTTTATTCAACTGTTTTCAATTCATAAGGAGTAAAATACACTTGACAGTAAAGGACACTGACAAGTTAGAGTGAAAATGAGTAAAAGAGAAGAGCCTCAGTCTGCATGTTAGATTTACAGACAGGTCAGAATATTATTCAACTGTTTTCAATTCATAAGGAGTTTTTGACAGTAAAATACACTAAAAAGTGAGTGATATACTAATGCACAAACAAATTAGAGTGATACACTAACGAGTTGGAGTGATACACTAACAAGTTAGAGTGATACACTGATACACTAACGAGTTGGAATGATACACTAACGAGTTGGAGTGATACACTAACAAGTTAGAGTGATACACTAATGCACTAATAAGTTAAGTGATACACTAACAAGTTAGAGTGATACACTGATACACTAACAAGTTGGAGTGATACACTAACAAGTTAGAGTGATACACTGATACACTAACAAGTTAGAGTGATACACTAACAAGTTAGAGTGATACACTAACAAGTTAGAGTGATACACTGATACACTAACAAGTTAGAGTGATACACAAACAAGTTAGAGTGATACACTAACAAGCTAGGGTGAAAATGAGTAAAAGAAGAGAAGAGCCTCAGTCTGCATGTTAGAATTATAGACAGGTCACACTTTTATTCAACTGTTTTAAATTTATAAGGAGTTTTTTGACAGTAAAATACACAAACAAGTGAAATAATCTGATGATAAAGACAAAGAAAATAACCATTTAGATCATCATCGATGTCAGCCCTGAATGATAACCCTCATAGATGACACGTCTGGTTACATGGCGGCGCTCCGGTCAGCCAGAATTCTCTTGATGCGTGACATCTGACCCAGCTGTGCTTCAAACTGCTCCTTCACCTGCACAGGAAAGATGCACATTGTAAAATATTGTATGTATATTTTTAACCGCCAAGCTTTGTAGCATTTATTGCTTGAAGACTTGAAAAAGCTCAGTCATAAAAGCAGAAACATGCATATTATTTTTATTTTCTACAGTGCTTGTGGTATCGGATTATAGGATTATCATTATCAAGGATTAAAAAGTACAAAGGATAAGGAATCAGGTCGTCTCACCTCACTCATGCTGTCTTTCATACCCATCAGATCAAATGAAAACGTGGATGCTTTCACCATCGAGCTGCTGTTGAGGATGTAACTGCACAGAAAAAGGAGTTACAAAAATCTGAGTGATGAGTCAATGCAGCATTTCATCTTTTCATTCATACAACAAATGCTTTCCCTGAATAAAATGGAGGAATTATACTTGATTTCAGAACAAGTCCAAGCTCTGGGAGAGAAAACCAAGCAGTAGATGGTTTAATCTAACCGTCACAGTCAGCAGTAAATCTGTCTCTGCACTCAGAGAAGCAGCTGATCTTACCAGCTAATGTTTGATTTGTGGAGGAGAAAGATGGAGCGGATCGCGGCCAAGTGTGACGGGGATGAGTGAATGACTTTACCCACGACCATGTGACAGCTGCGGCATTTCAGAGAGCTGTAGATGCTGAAGGGAAACAATAACAGCAGTGACTTTTGGTGACAGGGGATTTTATTTTTTAGAATAAATTTGACTGTTTATGTAAAATTGAATGAATACTGAAGAATATTTGTAACCTTTTAAAAGCCAAACACTGCTGAGTTTTGCTCACCATTTAGACAAGTCTCCTTTTTGTTTGAACTGTTTTGCATCACTAATAACCACATCATCTGTGACCTCTGAGGAGAGACAAACAGCAGGACAATAATCAACATACTGGTGAAGAAGCATGTGATTAAAAGTACAAAATAAAACCAGTAATTATCAATTAAACCATGTCCACAAAACCTTGAACAAAGCGTTTAAAATGTAGAAGTTAAACTTTATGTTACTTTAGTGTAACTGTGTTGACATAATTATAATTTTAAATCTAATTTTATGAAGTAATCGTTTTTGCCTCTCAGGGCCACCGTACTTTAATCCACCCTCATACAACAGCAGGTTCGTTCAAGAGGTAAATTTAGCAGATATAACCTCATTTACTGAGCTGAGAAACAGCTCTTGTATTATTGTTAAAGTGAGTTAGTAAAACTGAACTTACTTGTACACAGAATAGCGTTCATACTTTTCACCTCTCCACAAATGCTGAACGAGTCCCCCAGTACTGTGATACACTGCTGACAGTGAAGAGTCATCTTTAGGTTAGTTTCAAACTCTGTAACAGGTTTTACATCGCGGCGACATTTAATTAAAACACTCCCGTCAAATTCCATGTTAAAAAGTCCCAGTAAGTTAGTAAACTAGTCGGACAATTTGAGCTCGGTCGTCTCTCTCCGTATTTAAACCTCGGCGCGCTGTGACGTTACGCCTGTTCAAGTGTTATCAAGATAATCGGAAAAATCAGCTTCATTGAGGAATTTTCACGTAGACGCCCCGTGTGTCCTGCAAAAACAACTCGTATAAAAGAAAAAAGATTAACCTTCTGTACAGCATATTGCGAAGACGAGCTGGGTTGTTAAAAGTTATCGTTTTTGCGAAAACGGGCTGATTAGTTTGGTTTAGTTCGCAAATGATAGTTTTTTACGACACTAACAATACGTTACGAAACAGAATTTACAGCAGAGAATCACATGAATGTAATTGTTCTTTGTCGAATGATACCATCATAATGTGACTTCAAAATTGATCAGATGTAACTTGGAGCGATCTGAGAAATTTAGTGTTCGGAAAATCCGAGGAAGCCCTGAATGCGAACCAGCTTGCTCGGAACAATACTGCCACCAACTGATATATCAGGAGAACTGTCGGCACGCTTCGAAACATATACAACAACATTTTTCTTTTTTAAACCGGGGTTTTACCACTTTAATTAAATTTAACTTTATTTCTTAAGCTTTGAAATCAAAACTCATTTGAATGACTTTTAACGGTCGGCATTTTAAGTTGGCCTATGTTGGAAGAAGAAGCATCCCCACTCTGATTGGCTGCGAGGTACATCCTGTTGCGCAGCGAACCAATCAAAAGGCTCCCTCTGTTGTGTTTTGAATTAGCTCGATTTTAACCGTCTGGCGCCGCCACAGCCCACTCGGAGCTACACACTGGACGCGTGATTTTATGACTAGTTTGTTGATTTCTTCTCACAAAAACGGAATAAAATTCAGCACCAACATGGATTTGGACTCCATGAAGTATGCGGATTTGCGAGGAATCGCGAAGGAGCTCGGGCTGAAGGCGAACATGAAGGTAACGGTTCTAAATATGAACTCAGAAATACATGAACGATCCTGTTCACAGGCTTACACAGCGATTGTGTGCTACCGTAATGTATGCTTTTGGTCGAAATAATCTCCTTTTTTTGTTCGAAAACAGGCCGATAAACTTCTGAAAGCGATCAAGCAACATTACGAGGAGAAAAACAAGCAGAAGGAAAAGCAGGTGAGTTTGTACTGCCTATGTCTGTGCTGTTTGAGTGTTATATCAGCCTTAAACTGTGCGTCCATTGTGAGTAGGTCTTTCAAACATATTAATATATTGTGTTTATTTCCTCACAGGAACAAGAAAATGATGTTAGTGTAGTTGAAGAAACCCCAGCAGCACAGGACACTACTCAGGAAAATAAAGAAGCAGCATGTCAAGAAGTTTCCAGCACTAATGTCTTTGTAAATACACGCCGAGGCAAAGGAAACGGTACCAAGAGAAAGATCTCTGATACACCTGAAGTGACTGAGAGCGAGGAAAAGTCACCACCAAGTGCTGCAGAGGTATTACACACCATAACACACTTACAGAATGACCCGAAAAAGCAGCAACACTGTGGGTTAGACGAAAATCACTCATCATAGAGGTACATTATTATGCAGAAAAGAGTCTCACAGTGTTACTTTTGTATGGAAGGCATTATCAGACCAAAATATTGCAATGAAAATAACATATAAGGAAGAAAAATGTACACTTTCAGTCTGTTCCATGGTGCTGATCTGACAAGGACAGCAGGGATCAGAGGAAACAGGATAGTTTAATAAAAGTTTAAGCCTTCATATTTGAAATAGATGGAACTAAAGTGCGCTGACAAAAGCTAAAGAGGCAGTGTGACTTATTTCACAAGTTGCATTTCTCTCATTTTAAAGAAGTAAAGACTACTTAAGTGAAATAAACAGTGTTAGATGAGGAGATTTTAGCTGTTTGAGTTTGTCATTTTCACCTAAATAATTGTTGTTCCTCTGATTAAATTCAGGAGTCGTGTGAACCCTCTGATACCAGAGGTGCAAAGAAGAGAAAAGTGTCCTCAGCCAAGGACCAAACTGAAGCTGATCCTCCTGAGGAGAATCAGACCTCCGATAACAAGGATGAAGCCACCGTAGTTGTCAACGCAGGTATGTCAGTTGGTCTCATAAATACAAAACATAAATTTATGTACATGAATATTTCTTGTTTTAGTTAGGCCTGTGTATTTGTCTGATTTGGTCTTTGGTATTTAGATACAGATGTTCCAAATAAATCTTTTTAAACTAGGGATGCCCTGATCCGCTTTTTTCACCTCCGATACGATACAGATATCTACAGTTTAGTATCGGCCGATACCGATGCAATTCAGATACAGAAAAGCCGTGTTGAATTACCTTTTGTTGTAACCTGAAGTTTTACCACTGCCCCTCAGAACGTTTACTGTGCAGGTATTGCAAGTGGCCGTCGAGTTCGTAGGCTGAGGTATTGTGATTAAGTTCAAGATAAAAGACCCCTTCTGCTGGCCCCATTTTGAAAACGATGTGGGCATCCACTCAGCGTGTTTACTTGTGGATGCCACTCACAGTGCATAGCATAGAGTTTGACTGTGTAGATCAGCCCCTGTGCATCAGAACCATTGTCACGATACCTGATCTAGAATTTTCTTCAGTATCGGGGCCGACATCGATATTAAATATCAGAGTGGTGCATCCTTATTTTAAACTATGATAAGTGGAGGAAATAGTTTTTAGAATCTGCATCCTCCAGCTTTACCTCAGAGTCTGTCTGTGAGAAAGATAAATCTGCTTTTGTAAGTAAGAGGAAAAAGGGTAGAGCATGAATCTAACGTGCATCTAAGAGCTCTATCAATTCATCTTATCTTTACACTCAAATGCATCAGTGTTGTCATAAATCTTTAGTCAACCTGTGGCTCCTGAAGCCTGATTTGTTGTTTTGTTTTCCTTCTATGTTGTTGAAGTGAAGGTTACAAAAATATCTTTACCTCTTTCATTTTCAAAAGCACCTAAAGTGGCTAAAACAGGAAGAATCCCTCGATACCAAGGATCCCAGCAGAAGAACAAGCCACCTCTGAAGCCTGTTACTCCCAGTGAGTTTTTTCTCTATTGTGCTCCTTTTCTCTCACATTTCCGCACTGCTTTTCTAGATTTTCCCCCTTAAAGTAACCTGAAAAATGACTTATTTAAATGTTGTTTCTTTTGTAGACTTCAAAAAACTCCACGAGGCCCATTTCAACAAAATGGAGTCGATCGATTCTTATGTCCAACGAAAGACCAAGCAGATGGAGACGCTCAAGAACTCAGTGAAAGAGCTGAAGGTATTAAAGCCGCTCCACAGTCTCGTCTGAAGGCTTTACATATGCGTGCTTTTCAGATTAGGTTCTTAAAAATCTGTAATTTTCATTTTCAGAACCTTGTGGACAAAACTAAAATGAAGCAGGTTGAAAGCAAAACTCAGGCGGTAAGTATCTGCTTCGCTCTGCTCTCCAGCTCTCTCGAGATTATTTATGATGTCGATGACCTGAACGCTTTTATTTCACAGCGGGCAAATGCAAGTCGCACCTCCATGTTCAGCCCCGCCCCCACGGGTAAAAAAGCCGCTGAGGAGCGGCGCAGACACACGCTGCTGTCCGCCAGTAAAGCTCCAAAAAACAAACCTGCGGTGAAGGAAGACGCTCCGTTCAGACCGTCTGTCCTCTCCACCCGCAGGATCAACGTTCGGTGAGTGATTCCAGAATATTTTGGAGTAACCTAGAGGATGGTTGAACACTTGCATCAGACTCTTACTTCCTTTCTGGTTTTCTGATTGAACCCCTGAAAGTTTAAAAAAAGTGGATTAAACGATGTTTAGTGTTCTGGAGGCGGGGAGGGAGAGTGATGTAGACTACAGCAGTGAGTGAGCCGCTTATTCTCTGGGTTTATGGGCTCACGGTTCACACACCTGTACCTTCAGGTGATGGTTCATTCAGGTGTCCACATCAAACAGCATGCAAACACGTCTGTCCAAATCACAGCTCCTCTAAATTTGACCCCGTCTGCAGCGGTTGGCAGCTCAGTTTCCATCCTGGTTTCTCAACGAAGAGGCCGAGCTGACTGTGACTTATTGTTGCTAACAGAAGTACCTCACTCTTAAATCGACTGTATTTCCGCAGATTCTCTGAGGCCACTTATGACAACGAGCACAAGAGATCGATGATCAAGACTCCGGCACGTATGTCTCCCTGTGTGGCCTCCAGCACCCCTCAGAAACAAGCAGCAGACGCAGGAAAGCCCAACAACGCTAAACCTTTAGCTCTCTCCGCCACAAAAACTCCAGGTACTTTTATTTTTAACCTCTCAGTCAACAGAACAAAATCTGAATGTGTGCATGTACAAATAAGCACAGCTGATTTTCTGTTTGCCCTAATTTTGAAGCTGCGTTCGTTTTCACCGGCAACACGAGCACAACCGTGACCCCCGGGACTCAAAAGAAGCCGGCCTTCGACCTGAAGGCGAGTCTGTCTCGTCCCCTCGGCTACAAGCCCCACACAGGTACAGAACCGGTCCTCACTAACTGAATATCAGGAGTCTGGAAGATCAAAAATCCCTCATGGTCGTTCTTTATTTTTTTTTAAAGGTAAACTGAAGCCATTTGGAGAGACAAACGAAAACACAGCAGCAAACAAGTCTCTGATCTTAAACTCTCATCAGAAGAATTACAAACAGCACCAGGTCCAGACCAGGTCTGTCCTTCATTCACGCTCTCAAAGCTGATGGTGGTTTGTCTCCCTTGTGCATCGTCCAATGCATGTGTCTGTTTCTGTCTTTAGGGGCGACAGGAGGGCGAAACAGGCGGAGGAGCGGAAACACAAGAAGGAGAACATTCTTGGAGCGAGAAGAGGCCTGGTAATGATGTAAAAACAGTCACCCGGCCAGTTTGTGGACGTCTGTACAGCCTGTGTAAATATTCTCCTGTCCTACTCACTTCTTTAACAAACTTTTAAACTCCTGTTCGTAAAGTAGACACAACTTTTCTGCTCTGTCCAACATAAATACAGTTATTTAGATTTGTTCTAAAACTCTGAATTACATTTTTAACTCTGACGTTTAGAAAATCGATGTTTAGTTTTGCTACTTTGGAAACCGGGACTTGTTCTGAAAACTTGATGTTTGCTGTTTTTACTTTTTTTGGGATCGACTGATAAAAAAGACTTTGATGAAAAATGTTTCCACATCTCTGTTTTTACTTTTCAAACTGCTTTTACACTCTCCAAAATATACTGTTTTAAAATAATGAGACGCGGTGATTTATTAAAGCACCTGTAAGGGGTTTTTGACTTGTTATGAAAGTGTTGCTTCTTTATTATCTGCAAAAACAAACAAAAATAAAAGACAGCAGTGTCTTAATTGTACTTTTTATGCCTACAGTTGCTGAGATGTAGAATTTAAGACCTGAAATGTAAGACCAGCTTTTTTTTTAAGCACGTTTCCACAGTTAAAGCTCCTGTGAGGAATTTCTAGCTGGTTGTGAAACTAAAGCTTCTTAATGATCTCTTGAGAGCAAACGGGGCTCTTTCTTTGTGGTCATGATTGATGTCTACAACCACAGGTGGGGGGGTTAATTTCACCTTAATTGATGCTATTTTCTCATGTTTATACAGAAAGATTCTTGATAAATGAACATTTTAATTGTTTTTCTCTGTGTATAGGGACTAAATCAGCCAAAATAGTTTTGTCCACATCCCACACACTCAGAGTTCCTCACAGGAGCTTTAATATTCTCAATGAATTATATATTTGAATGTTGAAAAGAAGCATGATGACATTTTTTTCCTTAAAGACAAATCACAGTGGAGCTGTAAGAGGTGCCACTTTATCCACAGGGGGGCGCCAAAGTCCACACAGACAGAGAGTTTGGTGATGGAAGGGTTGGAACGGTTAATCCTTCACATCCTTCAACTGTTCAAAAGTTCGCCTGGTAGTTCAGCAGGTCCCCTCAGACTTCTGGATTCTTCTTGTACAGCTCGTAGGCGAACTCTTCAGTGTGAGCGAAATCTTTGCTAACGCCGATGAAATCAATCTCCAGCTGGAACGGCCCGTCCGCTTTGTCCCCTAATGTAAACCCGATGGTGTTTATCTGCAAACACAAACAAAGAGAGCTCATAGTAAACTCTAAAGAGGACATGCTGTCTTATATTTGACAGTATGTCAGGATTGTCTCTGCTCTACCTTATCCAGCCACACAGGATGCTGGTCGTCTTGTATTCTCCCACGGTGTGTGAGGAAGAACTTGGAGAAGGGTATCTGGGAGTGACAGACACAGAGGAGGAAAAAGATCATTTGTTATTTAGCAGAAATCAGTTTTACATATAATACCTTTCTCTAGATCCTGATATTTTGACTGCATTTTCTATTTCAGGAAGCTTTTTAAATCGAGGTTTTATTTATTTCCACCTACCTTCACATCTTGCCAGTACGGTCCACCCCTTGTATACAGAAAATAACAGTATATGTCATCCTTCTGGTGCGAGTAATAAGTTTCTGCAGCGATGTTGATCATCCAGGGACGGCCGTCTCCTCGCACACGTAAATGCAGGGTGTTGAAACTCGTCCAGTCGTGGTGCTTTTTTCGGTCAAATGAAATCTAGATGAGACAGAGACACTCAGGGATAGGACACAGTGCAGATAAAATGTGCTACTATTTCATGAGTGGAAAATCTACATGGGTTACGGTCATCAAATCAAATGGGAGTGTGTGAGACAAAGGTGTCAGTAAATCACTGACCAGCGGTTGCTTTGAGCGCATGGTGCAGTAGCCGCTGTAGCGTGTCTCTCCGTCCCTCGGAGGTGTAGAGTTTAGAGTCCCGTACAGGTAACAGGTATCATTTTTCCCAAGCTTCAGGTTAACTGTACTCTGTCCTCCTATCTCCTGATCTGAGGACACGGTCCAATCCTCCAGGCTCTCTGGATGCCTGAATTCCCATACGACTCGGTTCTGCTCCAGCATGTGCTCCAGGATGGGTTTGCCTTCTGGACCGGTCCAGCGTTCGAAAAACTCCTTCTTCAACAGAGCGAAGTGCTTCTTAATCCCCCCAACGCCCTTCCAGAAGTCAAAGTTGATCTTCTGCCACGGGGGCTTGTCCTCTCTGGGCTGGCCGGGTCGTCTGTATGGACTCGGGGTCACAGCTCTTCTGGGCACCGAGAGAGGAAGGAGGGAGGGCAGAAGAAGCTGCTGGTGCTGGAGGTGGAGGTGGCTGATGGAGCCCAGGAGCCTCGCAGAGGGGAGTCGTGTGATCTTTGGAAGGGACATCTCAGCGGGAATGTGAAGGAGTTACTGCTGGAGGACATAACACAGAAAAGATGTCACTACTGCAGTAATGAGAGGATGATTAAGAGTTACCTAGGCTGTCCTGACCGACTTTATCAAGAGATGGATCAGTAAACTGGATGTGATCAAATGTCCTCCACACCACTGACGTTTTCGTGTCAGTGTTGTCGAAGATGTCATCATCTGTTTAGCCTTCATCTGCATTTCTACCAAAACATGGAAGAATGCCGACTATCAAAGAGCATTTTGACCGTGTTTTATATCGATATTGAGGGATATTAATTTTCGATATTTATCATTATCGTTTTATCGCCCAGCCCTACTCCCATGAGTGACTTTTGGTTCGTGTTGATTGTGGGATCCAATTTTTTGGCCTGAATCTCACAAATAACCACAAATTGTAGTTAAAGGTTCATTGTAAATTTTTGTTGCAGTCTAGGAGATCACAAACAGGAATCACATGTGTTTGTCTGAACCGGATGCAGTATCTTTAACGTGGAGTTTATTTTTTACAGTTTTATTACACCACACTTAAAGTAATGGTTTTATAGGATGGTATTTATTTAAAGCGAAATTATGAAGACTGGTAAGAAACGTTAACAAACCAAGCAAACATTATATAAAAGGTAAACACTGATCAACATTACTGAGAGTCTAAGGTGACAGCGTGATCTGTCCGTACTTACTCTGAACATATCGAACCAGAACCGAACCGAACAGGCATGTGAATATTTCAGAAACCTCAGCTCTAGGTTTAGTTTCACTAAACTAAAAAGGTTCCTGATGAAAAAACTCGAAACATTGGATGAATCGGCCGTTTACAGGCGCCTATAAATCCAAGGTTGTCCGTATTAGCCGGTACACACAGCGGGGGGAAAAGCGGGCTGCATTCAGAGCACATCACTCCTGTTTTGAGTTGAAAGAGGCGATTGGCAACAAAACAGTTGCGTTAGCGCCCATTAATGGACTTGGGTTATCTTCAACTACTTTATCTCCAGAATTAAACACCCTAATATCAGATTTAGAGGAGAGAAAACAGATTTAACTTTTGGCGTAAACAGTTGAGTTACTTGTGAATCTTGAACGCAGCTCTTGTGCACCGCAGATTCTTATCCGGCCCGACCCACTCATCGGTAACAAGTAGTTCTGGTCTCCGTGTTTTTTCAACACTCCCGCTTTCTCGCTCAAAATTATATTGTTAAACCACCTGATTATAATTATATTAAAATCACAAATACAGAGTCGAGTTTTATTCCCACTGTCGGGCTTTAAAAACTCAACATCTACAACGGTGTCAACACGAGCGCGCATGCTCAGTGGTGCCTTTGTGTGGCTGACCTGCTCGGTCTCAAACATTGAGACGACACAGCGGTAGCTAACAGGTTAGCCGCGCTGCTAATTATGGTGAATGTAAAGAAGCGGAAAGGTCGGGTCGTGATTGACTCTGACTCAGAGGACAGCGCCAGCGACGATAATTTAGACCAGGTATGTGCGCATTTTCGCCATTTTGTTGCGCCTCGTTGCCTACGAAGTTACAACTGAAGAGCTTAAGGTGAAGCTAATGCATGCTAGCTGACTGCGCTATGTGTGTGTGATAGGGCCTGTTTAATTACAATCCACTCATTTATTTTTAAACCCACTCGTGTCTTTATTGTGGAATAAACTCTAGAGGGGTACTGCCAGGTTCTTGTGGCGGCTGGAAGTGTTTTTAGAGACGGTGCAGACAGTCCTGCAGGGTTTTTTCAGCACGAGAATACCGCGCTGTGGGTCCAAGACTGGTTCCAGGTGGTCTGCAGCTTCACCGACAGTGTTTACAGTCGGGTTATATGGATGTTTGCAGTGAGAATAAACGGGAATTAGCGGGTGTTTACAGTGTTTTGGAGCCGGAGCAAAGCCGGGGTAAAGCCGGGTTAGAGAGCCGGGTTGAGTTGGCTCCGGAGTGACGTCATGGGCGCAGAGCTGCGGGTTCTATTTCGGTGTTGTTGTCAAAGTGTCCCACTGAGGAGATCTGCAGGCCGACAGGTTAGGACTGCAGCTCGAATATGGTCATTATTCACACACAGGTGAGCACAGGTGTGGAAAAACAACCGGAGAGGAGGACAGGGCGTTTTGGCAATAAAAAAATGATCCGATATATTTTGTCGTATCGGCCGATCTCGATTATTATCCCGATATTTTTTTAAACTGCCAGTTTAAAGCATCTTTACTAAAAACGAAAGAAACTAGAGATTAGTTAAACATTTTATTAACATACAGAGTAAATAAAGAAAACTGATTAATATAAACTTAGAAAAAGAGAAAAACTATCATTATATGATCGTGATCGATGATCGTGATACTTTACTTGATCAAACATAGCAGAAGTGTACGTCACAACAGCCAATCAGAGTCAAGCTTTTCCTGCTCACTTCTGTAAGTTGTTGGAGAAGTAAACAGAACGACTGAACGTGGAGCTAGACGCGGTGCTAAGGCAGTGAAATAGATGTCAGCCGTGACTGAGTCATCCACTGAAGATGTTATTGTTGGGAAGTTGTTCAACGTTGGTTGTGTGGCGGTGGTTCAGGTATCTCCAAAGTGACGTTGAGTAATTAAGCCGATGTGTAAGGTATATTGGCGATCGGTGCTCTTAAAAACCAACAACACAACAGATCTATTTAATCATTTGAAGAAGATCGATTACGATCTTATAATCGCCCGGTCCGACCTGAGAGGAGCTGAAAGAAGTTTGCAGTAGAACACGGTGCAATTCTTCCTTGGTTGCTTCATTCGTACATGGTTTGTTTTGTCCATTAGAGCTTTTTCATGCACTGCAGTTGTAAGCTGAGGTAAGGTTGGGGAATCAGACGGTGATTCTCAAAATGAAACCTGAAAAAGTACCTGTGAATACAGTTAAAAGTGCACAGGATCATGGTTCAGCCTGGGGCTGCGCGATATTGGAAAAAACTAACATTGCGATTTTTTTCACCAGATGACCTAAGTATCACTTAATGCTGAAATCTTGAGGACAGTTAACCTGCACTGATCTGACCTCTGTTAGTGAATGTTAGTAGAATGGCTTCTGTCTGTCTCAGCGATATTTTCAGCTTTTATTGTTCTGGGACGTTATTGTGACAACAGATGAACACAGAACAGGTGTTTTGGTCGACATCATCCTTCTTGTAACCAAAGTGATTCCAGATAACTGACTTTCCTTTTCTTTTTGTCAACAAGTCTTCATCTTCGGTGGTTTTCTCTTGTTCGTTACTCATTTTGCAATCGTTGTGCCGAGAAACGCATGTCCATCCAGAATTGCATCCACCTCGCAAAACACGCACTGTTTATATTAGAGTGGTCCACGGAAATGTACAATTAAAAACCCATAAAATTCATATAGTGATGAGGAATGTCCTGAAAACGATTCCGGCAGCAACAGCGAATCACTCCATGTGCAGGGGCGTGGTTTCCTCCTCTCTGATTTTGATTGACGGCTGGCAGGGTAGTCTGATTGGCAACTGAGTAAAGAACGAATGTGATTGGTGCATCACTGCACAGCACAAGTAGAGTCTACATGCAGTGTATGTCAGTCAGTTACCCTTGAAATTAAGTGAGTTCATTCACTACCGACATCGCAGGCTCTGCGATATGACTGTTGCGCACACATACATCGCAATGACGATGCTCAAACGATATACTGTGCAGCCCTAGTTCAGCCGGTTTATTTTACTGCGGTTATGCACCAACACCAGCTGCTGAGCCGCAGTTTTGCCATAAAGCTCCTTACACCTGAGGCGCCTGAGCAGGAAGGTCCAAAAACAGGCAATGAAACAATTAAAAAAGCAACAAAACAGCGATCAGAGGACCAAAACAATCTAAACTTCACAAACAGTATATCCCATAAAAACAAAACATTTAATATGACAAGTAATTCAACTAACAGCTCTGTTTAAAAATAACAATTATCTCAGAATGTCTGTTTTATTCTGTTTTTCCATGAAATAATGAAGACACATGAATTTAATAAAACAGGTCAACCCCTCTACTTAGACCTGCAATCAGCCAACTTTTATTCGCACCAAAATCGAAGGTTCTCTGGACTCGTATGAGTGAATGAAATACCTTTTGTATTATTGGGACTCCTGCTGTGTCTTAGTGATGGTTTGTCCTTTGACCGGCTATCATCAATTGCATGTCATATCAGGAATTGGACAACAGCCTCTGATAAATAACATTATATTAGTCTAACATCATATGCAGACTGTGCAGGTGTCACAGTGTTTTCTGAGCGAGCTCATAGTGACCAGAAAAATGCCGCATTTATCATGTTTTTAATTGTTTTGCTCATTGGACTCTGAAGTCTGTGTCCAGCTCCCTCTCACTCACACACTTGAACTAATATCTGATTATTAAAAGAATACAAATGTCTCTAAAAAGGGTTAAATTTGTAGAGCAAAAGCAGGTCTATACTGTCCTCTTTCATACCAAGACTTTCAAAACCTGAAACCCCAGAGAGAAAAATCTGATATTTACATTCACCGTCAACTTTCTGTGCTCACTCAGACTGTCTGCTTCAGACTTTGTGAGTTTTAAACGTCATTTGACTCTTCTGCACAAACTGGCGGCATTGTCATCTCCTTACACAGGTGACGCTATTAAAATGAACTTTAACAAAGACCTTTACAAAGTCACGCTGATTTTTATCTCTCTCACCTAATTCATGTTGGTTTCCACGGCAGGTAGCATTACGAACTGAACATGCAGTTAAACAAGTTTTCTATCGGTCTTAAAGCTCCTGTGAGGAGTTTTTACCTGGTTATGAATCCTTGTTATGAATATGGACTTAGAGGTTCAGGATTTTGTTATTTGTCCCACTTTGGTCTCTTAGTAAAATCATGGCCGGAGGTTTTCAGGCCTAAAATCAAAGCTCTGCGTAAACACGGTTGAGAGAAATTACAGCTCACACCCTCCGACAGAGCGTGTTTAAATTATCTGTTGTGGTCGGCTTCTGCCCTCTTTGCCCACTCGTTATTTTACCTGTGGGGAAACTGACCGCTGCGAAACAAAAATAGACATCTGCTCTGAACCGCAGAGTGATCTTCCACACCCCTGACCTGCTGGATCGTCTCTGTTTGGAGGTTTTACAACACTGACTGAGTCCTGAAATAAATTATTCGCTCTAAATATTGACCTGATGTATTTGTGAAGTGTCCTAAACAAACGTTTACAGTAATTCTGGACTGATAACTGACTGATTGATTGTGGCGTAAAGGTATAGTTCGCTCTTTATGGCGTCTCTCCAGTCGAAGCTCTTTTTTACTGACTCCTCCATGTGCCGAGGAAATAATCTGCCCGTAAAGAAACAACTTTGTCTTAATCAGCTCGTTTCATTCTTGTTTCCAGGAGCTTTTGTCTTTGGCGAAGAGGAAGAGAGTCGATTCAGGGGAGCAGGACGAGCCCGTCAGCAAACCCGCAGCTTCGACAGACTCTGAGACCTCCGATAGCGACGATGAGGTAGGACTGATTCTCTCTTTACTAAAAACCCAAAACTGATTTGTGAGTGGTCGTAACCAAAGCTGCACTTGTCCCCCTCCTTGTTTAGTGGACTGTGGGTGGAACCAAAGGAAAAAAGAAGGTCAAACCCGGGAAAGGGTCTGAGAAGAAGAACGCCACGAAGAAGAAAGTCAATAAAGCGACGGCGTCTGGCAGCTCAGATGGAGACAGCTCAGCGGAGAGCTCTGCACCAGAGGAGGGTACGTGTTGATATGAAAAATATGGTGCATAACAATCCATAAGAAGCCACAGTTACTAGTATGATGGTGAGGGTAAAACCAGGGAGTGTGGAAGTGGAGAGACGTTCAAGAACAGTTTAGTGTCGTGAAATTAGTGCGACCTCCTGGAAATGACGAGCAGGAATCGAACACGGTCGCAGTTTCATGTCCTCGGGTGTTGCAGGCGGCTGGGATTAGATGACTGATGGACTTATCCTCTTCATCCAATTTATACCTCACAGTTTAGTGTTCAGAGGGTCAACATAGTCATGGAAAACCTGGAAAAGACGGTGGAAAGTTCTTGGAAACGTGGTCAAAATCCAGGTATAGTGATCGCTCTGATTGGATAAAGAAGACAACATGAAAAAAAACAAAACAGCCAATTTTCCCCCTCATGATCAATACCTACGCTCATGTCTTGTAGTGTCGTCTCTGTGTAGGGATGTCCTGATACAGTCCGATATCAACCAAAAAACAAATATTGGATTATATCGGCCTGCATTTAAAATTTCCGATATCAGCACTGCGATACAAGCGGTCTATTACAGAGTCCACTTCGGCACCTTTAGCTCGTAGCACCCGGATCGCAGTATTTTTTGTCCGAAAAAGACGTTGCAGCTGAGTGCAAAACCTGTCATGGGCAAGTTTGTGCCAACATCGGATCAATATCGGTATTGGCCGATACTGAAGGCTACAATATCGGCATAGTATTGGAGATAAAATCTCCGTCTCTGTGTTGATGAATAAATTGTTTCGGTTCCAGGCGAGGTGTCCGACTCCGAGAGCAACAGCTCGTCTTCCAGCTCCGACTCGGACTCCTCCGAGGACGACGTGTTCAGGGACGGCTACGACGACGACCTGATGGGAGACGCCGAGGACAGAGCTCGGCTGGAGCAGATGACGGAGAAGGAGAGGGAGCAGGAGCTGTTCAACAGAATCGAGAAAAGAGAAGTGCTGAAGAGACGGTGAGTGTGACCTACAGTCGTACAGCGCATCACAGTATATTTGGTGTCCGACTGCGATCAGCTGTATGAACGAGACCAGTCAGAGACACCTGAGAGTATTTTCTAGTTTCTTTTGTTTTCACTTTCAAACAACAGGACGGCCCCCAGTCTTGAGAAATGAAGCAGAAGTGCTAAAAAAAACTGCAGTTCCTAGAATGTCTGCAAAAGCACCAGAAACAAAAAAAAAACAGAAACTTACTTACAGCCGAATTCAAAATCTGTTTAAATCTGAATACGGTATTTTTCTATATGCACACACTCTATGCAGAAACATCGATTTTTAGGATATAATTAAAGAAACAGTCGACTTATCCGACAGGCAGACGCACATTTCTCAACATCGTGCTGTTTTTGTGTCGGCAGTTTTGAAATTAAGAAGAAACTGAAGACGGCAAAGAAGAAGGAGAAAGAAGAGAAGAAGAAGAAGCAGGAGGAGGAGCAAGAGAAGAGGAAGCTATCCCAGGTTCAAGACACACAAGTGGTGAGTTCAAGGACAGTTTTAACCCCGGACAGCAGACTCCTGATTAATTTTTATTCATCCTCGTTTGACTGAAATCTCCTCCCCTCTTCTAGGTCATGTCTCACAACAAAGAGAGGCGGTCCAAACGGGATGAAAAACTCGACAAAAAGTCTCAGGCCATGGAGGAGCTGAAAGCCGAACGTGAGAAGAAGAAGAACAAAACAGGTCGGTGTGATTTTAACCTCTTTGTCCTGTGGCGCTGTTCTGTCTTCGCCTCCCAACGCTGATGTTGACTTTCTCTGACGAGCAGCTGAACTTCTGGCAAAACGGCAGCCCCTCAAGACGAGCGAGGTGTACTCTGATGACGAAGAGGAGGAGGAGGAGGACGATGACAAGTCATCGGTTAAAAGCGATCGGAGTTCACGTTCGTCGTCCTATGATGATGATGAGTATGTTTCAGTTCCGCTGTCTATAAATCTGACCAGCACAGTCTCCTCTCGCCGCGCTGACGTTTTCTTTCTTCTGTGAACAGAAAAGAAGAAACTCCGCCCAAGTCTCAGCCGGTGTCGCTGCCAGATGAGCTCAACAGGATCCGTCTGTCCAGACACAAGCTGGAGCGCTGGTGCCACATGCCCTTCTTCGCCAAGACGGTGACGGGCTGCTTCGTGAGGATAGGGATTGGGAACAACAGCAGTAAACCAGTTTACAGGGTGAGACTGTCAGGAGTCTGGACCCGGAGAAAACCTCTTTGGTGCTGGTTACATCGATGATATGATTCTGATCCTCCTGTTTTTTTGTTTTGAAGGTTGCTGAAATCGTGGACGTGGTTGAGACGGCGAAAGTTTACCAGCTCGGGTCGACGCGAACAAACAAGGGATTACAATTAAGGTCGGTGCTGACTCACAGGAAGTGGATGATTTTACCCGTTTAGTCATCTGGACCCTCTCTGACATCGTTCCTGTTCCTCTGTTTCCTCTGCAGGCACGGCGGCGACACACGGGTGTTCAGGCTGGAGTTCGTGTCTAATCAGGAGTTTACAGAAAACGAGTTCATGAAGTGGAAAGAAGCGGTGAGTTTTCAGTCGATCGTTTCTGTCGGCTGAACTGAATCAGACTAGGATGTAAACACCATCAGACCGTAAAAAAGGTCGTCTTTATCTGTGTCCACTGGAGGATTTGTTTCTGAGTGTCTCAGAAATGAAGTCCTGAATAAAACAAACTACATTAGACAGTAAAACGCTGAAATGATGAATATTCTTCCCTTCCTAAATGTTCCTATGAAGTTTTACAGACATCATAAACAGTTTCTCCTTTCTGACTGTTTACTCTTATTTAATAAACACAATTTATTCTAACATAATCTTAGTCATTTACACAGTGAAAATAATGTAATCAGTTTAAGCAAATAGTCTCATATGTTCTTCTTTCATGTCCTGAACAGTTAACTTACTGTCTGTATCAAGCTGGATAAAAGCCGCTTAGCTTAATGCTAACTTATATGGGAATTTACATTGAAGTGCTAGCAAAGTTAGCATCCGCGTTGCGAGTATTTTTAAAACAAACAATTAAATCCAAATATATTGCATACAACGCTTGTCATAGGGTGACCTGTGGCGGAGTCACCTTTTTTGCACTTCTAACTCAGTAAGTCCACGAACTCAAAACTTCCACACTAAACCCCGGACATTTGAAGGATTTTATAAACTCCCCCGGACATGGCCAGACAGCCCCAAAAAAACAGGACATGTCTGGGTAGCGATATTTTTGGTCACCCTAGCCTATCAGAGCACATGCTTTTTTTTACCACCTCCAATAAATGAGATAAACTGTGAGATATCATATAAACTGCTGCTGTGTTGAATTTATCTGGTCCAAAACTTTGCAGTTTTTCTGCCCCTTCCTTCGACTCCTCACTGAGCTACGGTAGCCTAGAATGGTCAAAATATACAAACTTAAAATCAAACTTAGGAAAAAAGAGTGTATGACTCTTAGGAGAGAAGATGCAAACAGGCTAAATTGATGTCCTTGATCAGTTATGGTTACCTTCAAGGGTTGGAGTGCAGATATTTGATCGATATACTGCGAACTCAGTGAAGTAAGATGTTTCACGCTCTTCTTATCTTTCTTCAGATGATGGACGCTGGGATGCAGGTACCGACTCTCGATGAAATCACCAAAAAAGAGCAGTCCATCAAAGAAGCTATGAACTACAAGTTCAACGACAAAGACATCGAGGATGTGAGTCTGTTTATTCTGGATCTCTCTGTGTGTTTGAGACCAGATTTCTCTGAGCGGCTCTAATCTTGTTTCTGTCGCTGCAGATCGTTAAAGAAAAGGACCGATTCCGAAAAGCACCGCCAAACTACGCCATGAAGAAAACGCAGCTACTCAAAGATAAGGTGAGACGGTGTTTCTGATGATCGTTGCAGCTGATTCAGTGTGACGTGTCAAACCTAAACATGAGAAATCCTCCGATCCAACCTGCATCTGTTTGGACTGAAACCTTTTTTTTTGGTTCATGTTTGATTGAAGGCCATGGCGGAGGAGAGTGGAGATGGAGAAAAGGTGAAGGTGATCCAGGATGAGCTGAACGAGCTGGAGGAAAGGGCAGAGGCGCTGGACAGACAGAGGACGAAGAACATCTCCGCAATCAGGTCTGAGCGTCACACTTATAAAAAAACACCTTTAAACCACTCAGGAGACACACCGCGGAAATAAAACCGACTTATTTATATGATAAACTTTTATTTTAACTCTTTGAAATCTTTATTTTTCTCTCGCTCAGTTACATCAATCAGAGAAACCGGAGCTGGAACATCGTCGAATCAGAGAAAGCTCTCGTGGTAAGTGTGTAAAAATGTTGTGTGGATTACTTGATTCTCGTGGGTCAGAACCTGGTTTTTAAAGCTCCTGTGAGGGACTTTCAGTTTGTGTCCGTTTTGGCGCCCCCCTCTGGACGAATCAGTCTTTGCTCATCTTGGTCTTTATTCGCAGGCTGAAGGACAAAACTCCAAAAACCAACAAATGGATCCTTTCACACGGAGACAGTGCAAACCCACCATGGTGTCTAACGTAAGATCAGCATCACGATCGTTTTTCATCAGTATTCTCCGACTGTTTCCGATGAATCTGATTATTTTTTTACTAATTAATAAAACTGTTTATTTAATGATCTGCAGGCCAGAGACCCATCAGTCCACGCAGCTATCCTGGCTCACCTGAACCAGAAGTACGGCTCTGGGTCAACGCCAGATCCTTCAAGCGCCGATAAGAACAAACTGGTAAGGAGAGTTTGGAGAGGAAATCTGCGGTGTTTCCTTCTTTCACTTCAGTCGGCTAATTTTACTGATTTTGGTGCCCTCTGAAGACCCAGCAGTACTTTCTGTCTTTGCTGATCTTGTTCTGTATGTTTTTAAATAGTTTTTTCTGACTTTTGTGCCCCTCAAACTCATCGGTGTGATTTCTTATCTCTGTTTTTTCTTTGTCACCAACTCCTGGACGTGGCCTCTGTGTGTTTATCAGGGCAGAGAAATGTTGATATGGACCAAAACAAACCCATAAATAAAAAAATATATAATTTTAAAGTGTCTTTTTTTGATCATTTACTGTTTCTATATCTGTTTGAATCACCTTAAAGGAGCTTTAGCTGAAAACTGATGAGATTATCACCTCGATTAAAATCAATCAACAAATTTCTGCTGCAGAAAATGTTCTTTTATTGAATTTTAATCATGTGTTTTTTTCTGTATTTTTTCATTTCTAGGGTCAACCAAACATAAAAGACAAAGATGTCCCCAAGCCAACCACAGACCTCTCAGAGGACCTGTTTAAAGTTCATGATTTTGATGTTAAGATTGACCTTCAGGTCCCCAACGCAGGTGAGACTCTCCTCCTAATGTGCCGTTCTGCTCTCTCAGTCCGGGTTTATTTAACGCAGCAGGAATATAAAAGTGGGTTTCACCTCAGAATCGATCCACTCACTCTTTATTCTCTCTCTGCAGAAGCAAAGTCTCTGTCAGTGAGCTCCAACGCACTGCCGGTGAAAGACGGCGCCCCCCGCAGGTCCCTCAACCTGGAGGACTACAAGAAGAGGAGGGGGCTGATCTGACGTGGCCAGTCCGTCATCCAGAAACAACACTGCATGTGTAACCGGCTGTGTGAGACAGAGAGAGTGAGCGTGTGTGTGTGTTTGAGAGAGCGGGTGAGTGTGTGTGTGTGTGTGTGTGTGTGACTGACTCCCAGAGGACGTGTGTCTGAATGTTCATACAACAGACTGTTTATTCGAACACAGAGGAAATACTGATCGAGCAAAGATTTTTCATAAAGGATCTCTCTGAAGAAAATTGTCCAGATTTTTGTCCTCCTTTTTTTTTTTTCATCATACACACAACCTCTAATGTCGGGTTGTGTTTTATTTTTATGTATTTAACTTCTTTACCCGCAATTTTTGATCTTCTGGACTCCACTCCTCTTTTGTCTTTTATTTTCCTGAAAGGACATGGCGTTTGTGGATTATTACCTTGAACAAGGACACTATCTTAGAAGACTTAGATTGTTGAGGCATTTTGAAAATACTGGACTGGAGATCTGACGGAGATTACCAGCTTCTTCTTACATAAATGTTGTAAATTTTGCCCCCCTAAAATCCGCCCAGTCTGCGGTCCTCCCTGAATTTTAACAGCATTTTATTTTCTGGCAAAGTTGAGATCACCACCGTCTTGGATTTGTTCTTCGTGACGCCAGCCCTCCATGACAAGTGTGAAAAGTTCGGCCCATGCAGCACAGACGGACATTTGTCACTTTTTAAGTCTTTGAAACAAATGAATTTAAAAGGAACCTTTTCTATGGCTGGCCTGGTTATACAAGTGATGCTTCATTTCTGTTTTCTCTTGGTTGGTTGTTAACGGGAAAACTTTCTTCTACCCTCGACTTCCAGATCAGATTCTTCGTGTTATCGATTGTGTCCATAGTCAGTTCCTGTATTGATGTGGCATGCCATGTAAATATGCATTTTGGAGTGAGTGCGGAAAAAATAAAGAGGCACTGTTTCATAGCTTCTGTGGGTTTGTCTTTTTAACTCTGACACTGAGAGTTTGAGGTTATTTTAAAGCTCCTGTAGGCAACTTTTGGCTGGTTAGTAAATAAAGTGAAATTATACCTGATTAATCTTTATGACCTAAAAAAGCAAAAAAAAACTAAACTTTTCTATATGGATTTTTAGTCTGAAACAATTACTGTTTATACTATGGACAACTTGGTTCTGCCTTCCACCAGTACACGGATTTGAAGCTGGAAAGCTTGCGGTATTTCCATGTTTTTTCTCCACTTCATGAAACCAACATTGCATAGTAGCATTGTACGCAATTGGCGGTAGAGTCAATGTGATGACGCTCAGCTTAAACAGCGTATCCCCTGGGAGAGCTACCCAATCTCTGTACTCCCATAGGCTGTATCAGGTGTCAATCATAGAAAACATGAACCCCCTTATAACTTTTAAAAATGGAGCTTCACAGAAAAAAGAGGACTTGAGCACAAACCATTCTGACAGTAACTACATGTCAACATCACAACCAGGGGGGAGAAACATTTATATTCTGTGTCATTAATTTCTAAAGTTTGTTCACAGCTCCTTAAAAGTTTAACTGGAGGAGGCGGGATTTATGACCTATACTGCAGCCTGTCACCAGAGGGTGCTGTTCTCACCTAGCGAGGAGGCGGATGGCGTCCATTCCAAATACAGTCTATGGTCTGAAACCACCAGTAGGGAAGGGAGTCTGATCAAGTAATAAGTTGCGTGCCTGAAATGTGGTCTGTTTTCCACTAATAGCAAAGATTCAATAGTCAAATGGAAAAAACTAGTTTCACATTAACAGACTAAAAATAACGAACGGTGCAAAAATTTAACAAAGCACCAAGATTGATGTGTACCAGATCAATAAGAATATAAAGACCTTAATTCACGTCTTGTTTTCAAAGTGGTTTTGTTTATACATACAACCTTATTTGTCTACATATCAGTGTATAAAACTTTAGTTTGATGCCTTTAAAGGTAAGAATTATACGCACTTTGTGTTTCTTTGTTTGTTTGATTTACTGTATTACTTTGAAAACAAGCAAATTCAAACTCTTAACTTTTTATTCTTATCAGCTATTTCTGTTCCGTTTTTGTTCTAAGAGGCGTACAGTCTTTTTAATAAAAAAAAACACTTTTAATACTTTAGTAGAGTTACGAAAAATCGCAAATATTTATGAATTCGTTAAATCAAGGATGAGGCGGGAAGCGTGATCTCGAAGCTGATTGGTTGATTTTTACTCAGGCTCCTCCTCGGTCGCTCTGTTTGGGGTCCTGGTTCGTAGCGCTTCCTGGTCCACGTATTGAGCAGCTCGTTCAGATCCTCTTTGACAGATAATGTTGACAGATAATGTCATTTGATTGTTTATCTAAAGGATTCTCCTCTTACATGTCCACGTGTCAAACCGCGGCGGGAGCCAGCTGACCGGAGACATTTTCGACCTGAACGTCGTTTTTAAAGGTGAGTTTGAGACGGTTCTCTTTAGCAGGCAGCTAACCTGTTAGCTTAGCATCGATGGAGTTAATATTAAACTGTGTTTACTGTAGTTTATGTCCACGGGAGAGCAGACTGGGACTGAACTGGGACTTTTTTATTATGTCACTTCAGAAATAAAGAGTTTTATCTGCAGACACAGAAACTCAGACACAGAAGGAGCAGAAATTTAACACGAAATATGTAAAAATATTTAACTTGAATCAGTCAAATCCACTTCTACTGAGTCTGCTGTGAATAAAGGTGTGATGAAGATGATCTGCTAAGATCTAATCGCTCCATTAAGCTGATTTTCCCTCTATAATATCAGAGGGATTAAACCTGACAGAACAACACAAGACCTGGTCCATATCTCTGTAACATCCTGTAATCATTACTGTAACTCTTTACTGGTCGGCCTCCATGTATGAACAGTCAGAGGATCCATAAAAAGCTGTCGCACCTTTGCCCCAGACCAGCTGATTTGAAGGACAAGTGTGATCAGCTCCATGTCCATCCTTAGATTATGCTTTTGTGTTTCTGCCTGCAGGATAAAAAATGTCCTGGTTTGCTGAATTGGCCGGAAAAGCTGAAGATTTCCTGAATAAAGTGGACCAGGGAGCTGCTACAGCCCTGACCAAAAACCAGGCGAGAACATCCTCCTTTTCTGAGTACGAAGGCGACTCAGTCATCCAACCTGATTACAACACTTCAGATTATAAGACCAGCACAGCCGGGACACATCACACCTTCGCATCCTCACACGATGCCTCCAGCTACATCGCTTCAGCTGCAGGAAACATCAAGAGGTCCAGTGCAACCCTGCTGGCCGGCACCGCCAATGTTCCCAATAACCCCTCTGTTTCTGGGAGCGGCGCCCAAAACTCTGCCAAGTCCTTGTCCGGTTTTGTGAGGCCTAAAAAGAGTGAGCAGGATGTGGACGATGACATGCTGTTTGACTTTCTGAACAGCTCAGACCCTCCTGTCAGTAACCGGAGGGATTCAAGAAGGGAACCCATGAAGGCAGCAGCTCCAGTCACTGAGACCCTAAACCCCACTCCCCCTCGTTCTACAACTCCTCATACAGTCCCCTCTGCCCCGTCCACGCCCCCCTCGACCAGAGGAGTGTCCAGGGCTTCGAGTATGAGCTCGCTGTCCGCTCACAGCATCAAAACATCAGAGGAGAGCTCAGCTAAAGAGCAGAGCCAAGGTAGGTTTGTGAGATCTGGATCCTCCACAAAGAGATGTCTTTTCTGCTTCTGTGCATCTCTTGTTAGATTTTTGGGCTAATATGGGCGAGCAGTAAGATCAGCTGATTCTTTGCTAAGCTTGACTTTGAGGCCTTCCTGAGTTTAAGCTCTGCTCAGTTACTTCATCCCTGCAGATCTATATTAAAGGGATATTCTGGCGTAAAATTAAGTTGAGGTCAAACACACAGTAACACCGAGTTAGACACCCCCATCATAAGATGAATGTTGCTGACCGCATCTATGATTTCCAGTTATGCCAAACGTCTCAAGTAAGTCCAGATGTCCTTTTCAAAAGAGTGTTAGATATTGATTTATCAGACCTCCGGACAGTTCAGGGTCAAGAGATATTAAAGGGGTGCCCTGGCGTAAAATTAACCAATTTAGACACCCCCTCCAGAGATGAATGTTGCCGACCGCTTGCTTCTCTAGTTATACCAACTTTAGTAACGACTGCAGGATAGAAATACAGAGAGACACCCCCTCAACCAAAACGCCACTCTATAACCACAAATAATGCTCAGAACAGCACCTAACTTCATCAACAGTACATATAGAGTCACAGACATAGTACTAGACACCAAACATCTTTTTAACTTTGACTCATTTCTTTAGCAAAGAGACTAAACACAACTCACCTACTCTCTTCCAGCAGCCGCTTGTTTGTAGTGAGACCTCAGGCCAGTCCATTACGGACTACAGCGGGGTGCCGCAGCTCAAGGAAGAACATTTATGATCATTTCTTCATCATTTCCTTGAAGTAATAATCACCATATTAATCATTTTTCACTGCAGACGCGGTAGTTCTTCTGTCTTAGCGTATCGGTCTGATTGTATTTCCATGAAGAAATGATCATAAATGTTCTTCCTTGGGCTGCGAAACCCCGCCGTAGTCTGTAATGGACTGGTCTGAGGTCTCGCTACAAACAAGCGGCTGCTGGAAGAGAGTAGGTGAGTTGTGTTTAGTCTCTTTAAGGAAGGAAAATTAGTCAAAGTTAAAAAGATGTTTGGTGTCTAGTACTATGTCTGTGACCCTATATGTACTAACCTCAGTAGAACATGGTGAAGCTCTGTTCAGTAACAGAACCTCATTGGAAAATTAGCTGATTTAACTTTACTGTGCTCTTGTTCAAATATATTAACTCGACAGCACATAAATCCATACCTGTTAACAAAATCATGATTTTATTGATAATTCGGCTCAATAAAAACACCTTTACCTTTTCATTTTAGACTACAGAAGTGGAGAAACACCCCCGCTTAAGTTTATGTTTTCTTAGGAGTTAGAAAAACTCTGAATATAGTACTATGTCTGTGACCCTATATGTCCTGTTGATGAAGTTAGGTGCTGTTCTGAGCATTATTTGTGTCTATAGAGTGGCGTTTTGGTTGAGCGCGTGGCTCTCTGCGGTTGTTACTAAAGTTGGTATAACTAGAGAAGCAAGCGGTCGGCAACATTCATCTCTGGAGGTGGTGTCTGACTTGATGTTACGTTGTGTTTGATCCTAAATTGATTTTACGCCGGAATATCCCAGTAAAGACGCTGAAGCAGCCTCGTTGTTTTTTCTTCTTCCTTCTTTAAACTTCGATTCTGAATTATCTTTGTATGAGTGATATTTTTCGTATCTCTGTTAAAACCTCATTCGGCCTCCACAGAGACCCCTGAGAGTTCAGACTCAGGTTTGGCCGTCCCTCAGGAGTCCAGCAAACAGGAGCTCCCTCCCCCTCCCCCCTCAGAGGAGCCACAGAGTCAGATCCTGTCCAGTCTACGTCTGGAGAACCAGCTGCTGCGGAGTGAGGTGACCTCGCTCAACCAGGAGATGGCTTCAGTCATCCAGAGAGCGAAAGACCTACAAGAGGGTAAGAGATGAGACAAATCAGCTACAGCCTTCCTGGACCTCTTCCTCTGTGTCGATCAAGTGGTTTCTGTGTCCTCCTGTAGAACTGAACCAGACCCGCCTACGAGCAGACAAGTGGAACTCGGAGCAGTCTCAGACCGACAGGATGTTAAGGGAACTTCGATCACAGGTCGATGACCTCACAGAAGCCCTCTCTGCCAAAGACGGTCAACTCGCGGTCCTGAAGATTCGACTCGATGAAGCTGACCAGATGCTGAAGTCTCGCAACGCCGCGTTAGACGAGGTCCAGAAGGAAAAGTCAAGGTACGACCCTTTCACTCTAGAAACTGAATTCAGCTTCTAGGAGATGTTTTTTGAAGACCCTCCTTGTTTGTTTTGTCAGGATCATACAGGACCAGTCAGAGGGGAGCAGCATGCACACCCAGGCCCTGGAAACGATCCAGGAGAGGCTGCGAGAGGCTGAGCTGGGTCTCAGGAGGGAACAGGACAGCTTCAGGCAGATGCAGGTAACATTTGGACATTCCTCTCCCTGAGCGTTCACTCCTGTTACGTTTACGCTGAATGATTCAACATCTGTGTTTGTCATTCACATGCAGAGTGAGTACGCCGGCCGTCTGTCCAAAGTGGAGGCTGAGAGGCAGACCCTCGCTGAGACGGTGACCGCGGCGGAGCGGCGGGCTGCAGAGGAGAAGCTCAGAGCCGACGATCAACAGCAGCAGCTGAAAAGTTCCAAAGCTGCAGCCGAGAGCGCCAAACAGGAGCTCCAAGACTACAAGCACAAAGCTTCACGAATCCTACAAGTAAGACCTGAAGAGATTCAGACCGTCTTTGTTTTGAACAGAACTATTTTAGGAGCTGTCGTCTCTCCTTTTTGTGATTATTCTGTTTCTGTTTTTCATGGTCCTGTAGTCCAAAGAGAAGCTGATCAGCAGTCTGAAGGAGGGATCTGGTCTGGAGACTCTGGATGGCAGCGGGGCGATGGCTCTGGAGCTGGAGGATCTGCGTCACGATAAGGAGCTGCAGAGGGAGGAGATCCAGAAACTACAGGGGCAGGTGCACACGCTGCGGACAGAGATCCAGGTGAGACGTTTCAAACGACAGGAGCTCAGATCTCCAACTGTCCGTGTTGATGGAACATGTCGATTCAGTGGGATATGTTTTATTCGCACAGGATTTGGAGAATCAGGCTCTGACTGAGGCGGAGACATGGAGGGAGCAGCAGGCGCATTTAGAGGAGCAACAGACTGTGTTGAACAGAGCGAAGCAGGAGGTGGAGGCTGAGGTGGAGCGCTACAAACAGGTACGAGGGGAGAAGATGTGTTTTTACTGAAACTAGACTGTCTGATCAGAAAACTGAAGTTTGTGTTTTTGACTCACAGGAGCTGCAGTATGTGGAGGAGGAGAACCATCGAGCCAAAACAACCCTGCAGAGCAGAGTCAAGGACCGGGAAGATGAAATCCAAAAACTCAGGAACCAGGTTCGATTACTCAGACCCCTCCCTGCTCACTATCAGAGAAACATTCGAGGGAAAGGCTTCTAAATGTACCTGTTTGTAAGTGTTCATGTGTGTTCTTCCAGTTGACCAACAAGACTCTCAGCAACAGCCAAGCAGAGCTGGAGAACCGCCTCCACCAGCTGACGGAGACGCTGATCCAGAAGCAGACCATGCTGGAGGCTCTGGGCACGGAGAAGAGCTCTCTGGTCTTCCAGCTGGAGCGTCTGGAGCAGCAGCTGAAGAACGCTCAGGGACAGAGCGGAGGGCAGGCCATCAACATGAGCGCTCTGGAGGGACCAGGTTAGGGGAGGGACGAGGGGAGGAGCTTGAGTCACGGTGTCCCTCCTTCTTCTGCTCATGGAGGATTTTTCTGTGTTTTTATTTGAAGGTACACGACAGAGGAACACACCGGTGCTGTTCAGTGATCAGGACGCTCCAGGGGTGTATGGAAAAGTACGGAAGGCAGCGAGCACCATCGACCGCTTCAGGTAACTTTTATTCTCTTGTATAACAACATGATCCTGAGTGAGTCATGATCCCCTGATGCTGAATGAATATCTCTCTATTTCAGCATCAGACTCGGAATCTTCCTGCGGCGCTACCCTATGGCTCGAGTTTTCGTTATCGTGTACATGGTAGGCATTTAAAAAAAACATATTTAGATTTGGATTTGTAGATTCTGCTCAGTCAAAGCGATGAAAATGTCATCTTCTTTTTACAGGCGGTCCTGCACCTGTGGGTCATGATCGTCCTCCTGACCTACTCACCTGAAATGCATCACGGTCACCCAGATGGAAGATGAAGTCTTGACTCTCTCTGGTGTGTGAAAAGACATTTGTTCCGTCAGACTTCGATGTAGGGATGGGAAAGGATCCTGGGAAATGGAGTCCGGGTCCTGACTCTACCAGTTTTGCACATAAATGCTAAGAATTAAAGTATTTCCTTGTTTCATTCTTTTGTTTCCAACTGGAGGTCGATATCTGGAAACTGCTCAGACTGACGGTTTAAAGTGATTACAGAGTGATTATATATATATATATTGTATTGGTGGTCTGTTGAAAGGACATGAAATCAAACTCTTCTGTTCCTCTCACTGTCTGCTTTCAGACTTCTGTCCTCTGGAGAGATTGTATTTAACACTATGTAAAAAAGATCCTTTTAATAAATGAGTGAGAAGAAACAAAGCCTCCTGTCTCTTCTTTAATCACTTTCATTCTTTTTATTATTTTTACATGGTCACAATAATCCCTAATGTGACACTTATACCGATTTGAATGTTGTCTTCATTGTTAATCTGAGAAATTCCAGATCAAAACTAACGTGTCAGATTATTGTTTGTATTTCTAATGGAGGTCATACTGTGTTGTGGTAATGCATTCAGCTCTGAAATCTTTAACATAATGTAAAGAGTGTATATATTCAATAATATTAGAATATTTGCATAAAATTAATACTAAAAAGAAGAGAAAGAGGTCATGATGAGACATCCACCCATCATTATCCACAGTCAACAGAAAATTATCCTTTTGATTCATTATGCTTAGAGGAAAGTTTAATTATTCAACTGAGTTTAGGTGAAACAAATCACATGATTAAGTCTTATCTTGCCTTTTGAGGCAGTATTCGTCCAAGTTGCTCTTGTTGGAAAAATATGTATTCATTTATTTATTATCATATCATGTGTGAAGTTTTATCTTGTCCCCACCAAATGAATTAATTCAATATTGATCCCATAGTAATATGTTGTCATCTTATTTCCACAAGACCATTTTATTTTTTATAATAATATTTATAATATTATTTTGTAATAATAAAAATGATCATGATAATGATTATTATTATTATTATTAGTAGTAGTAGTAGTATTACTATTAGCAGAAGTAGTATTATTATTAGTAGTAGTAGTAGTAGTATTAATATTATTATTATTGTTGGTAGTAGCAGTATTATTATTATTATTATTATTATTATTATTATTATTATTATTATTATTGTTATCATTAGGAGTAGAAGTAGTAGTAGTACTAGTAGCATTAATATTATTATTATTAGTGGTAGTAGCAGTATTATTGCTATAAGCAGTAGTAGTAGCAGTAGTCATAGTAGTAGTAGTAGTTTTATTATTATTATTGGACCTCAGGAAGACTAGCAACCACTCTGTGGAAGCTAGTGGGGTTTCAAACAAACAAATAAATTATTTTTATTATTATTATTAGTAGTAGTAGTATTAATATTATTATTATTATAATTAGTTGTAGTATGCATGTATTTGTCACTATTTTAATAATTATAATTTTATATTGAATTTTTGTCATCATTAGAATCAGTAAGTCCTGAAACTCTCACTATTGTCCGTCCAGTGACCGTCTGACCCCCAGCAATGATGTTGTTATTGTTGTTGCCGAGGTTCCTGAACGCACCACGGCTTTGTTGGTCCTCCAGTATCCCACCATGCACCGCGGCCGTCCTCCGTGTCCACGTCAATCGTGACAGCCAGAGCCGAGCCGATAATGGCCGCAGTCGAGGTGGCACTTTCCGGGCGCTGTTCTGTTTGGACGGGCCGAAGAACCGCTGGAAACCCCCGCTAACACTCACCGTGGACCGGACGGACCTGTAGATAAACCCTCGGTGTTACTAATGAGCTGTTTTAGTGACATAAATGATCGGTTAGCTCGGTTGTGTTGAAGAATTCCTGCAGTTAAACGATCAGCTGTGATGATCCGGGTTCGGTTCGGGGTCAATGAGAGCCTGTCAGCCTGAAAACAGACTTCAGTCCCGACCTTTAAAGTTAATCTCAGAGTCTTTTTAGTCTCGAGTTGATCTTAATGAGCAGATTATCCTCCCCGGAGTCCGAGCTAAGCTAACTAGCCTCCCCGGCCCCCCCTCTGCTTTGTTGTTGTTGTTCGGACCCGGACCCGGAGGATGTCATCGTGGCTCGGAGGACTCGGCTCCGGCCTCGGCCAGTCTCTGGGCCAGGTCGGAGGGAGTCTGTCCACCTTCACGGGACAGATCTCCAACTTTACCAAAGACATGCTGCTGGAGGGGGTCGAGGAGGTCGGAGGTGAGTGTCCACACCTGTCTGCTTTTTAACACACCTGAGAGAGAGAGACAAAGAGAGACATCTGAGAGAGAGAGAGAGACAAAGAGAGACATCTGAGATAGAGACACCTGAGAGACAGAGAGAGACATCTGAGAGAGGAGAAAGAGAGACAGACCCGAGAGAGAGACAGAGAGACACACCTGAGAGAGAGTCTTCTGTGCCTAGATCGTGCACCATCATTATTGGTCCCCTGACAGCTGACTTCTGTTTTGCTTTTTTAAATTTGCATCCTTTTATTTTCACAGGAAGTAAATTTTTTTACATCGTGACTTTTTTTTGCATCGTTAACTTTAGTCGTGATTTTTTTTAATCTTATCTGCACCGTTTCTTTTTTTTTTTATTTGCAGTGAGTTTCGGTTTCTTGTTTTGCATCGGTAACTTCTGTTCTGACGTCTTTTTTTTTTTTTTTGCATTCTTTATTATTTGCAGCAGTGGCCGTTCTCGGCCACCGCACATTTTGTTGAGTATCATCATCTAATGTGTGACACATCAATAACAGAGTCAGAGGATTTGGAGAAAATGTCTATTGAAGGGGATAAAGCCCGGGACCTTAGATTCAGCATGCAAAAAACATGAAAATTAGACATGACTCTGCAGTGGAAATCACCGCATCAGCTTCAAATCACTTCCACAATTTATTTTCTGCACATACAGTTTTCTGCCACATCCAGATATGCAGGTTAAAAGTGTTTTTATGAATCCAGGTTATAAATCAATAATCACCAAACTGTCTAACTGTGACCCTGATGGTGTGTAGTATCCTCACTGAAAATCCTCCAGCACCTGAAAATCAAAAGATTATTGATTATTAACTGATCCGATCACAGTTAGTCTCTAAACACACACCTCCGGGTAAACCTTCTATCAGCTGAGCAGAGAGGGTGACCGGGTTCACGGAGGACGAGTGGAGGAACCCCAGAAATAAAACAGAGAATAACTGAGAGGCTCATGTTGGTTTTATGAGGTTTAAATAAAGAAAAGAGTTTAAATCAAAAGTGCTGCTCCCTCTGTGACGTTTGTGAACCAGGAGGTGACGTCGGTCTAAATCAGCTCAGAGATAAAACATCGACTGGATGAGAACTTTGGCCACAAATCTCCAACTCACAACTCCAGGAAGACGAGCTGTGAGAACGTTCGAGATATTTTGACTCTTTAAGAACAAAGAACAAGAGCTCAGTTTTAATTCAGGCTTCAGTTTACAGACTCGCTGTGAAACTTTAAATTTAAGGTTATAAAAGGACTCTTTAACGTTTGATGGTGTTTACGACTCCAGTGTGCAGTAACTCTGTTGAAACCAGACGTTTACACACACTATATAAAAAGGCACATAAACTTTTTTTTTTAACACCGTCTAAAATTAAATCACAATAAACTTTTCCTGTTTTTGGTCAATTAGGATTATCGAAATTATTTTTATTTGCTAAATGCCAGAAAAGTGAGAGAGAGAATTTTTTAGACATTTTTTTATTATTATCTCGAGAGTCAAAAGTGTCTGTAAACTTCTGGTTTCAACTGTATGTGTGTGTGTGTGTGCAGCCATGTCTTGTGTGTATGTGTGTGTGCAGTCATGTCTGTTGTGTGTCCAGCTGTTAAAGATCACATCGCTGTGAAAAGATCTCCAGAAATGTTGTCGCATGTTTGTTTGTCATGTGATCCGGGTCATGGAGATCTGTGTGTCAGTCTGGGACTGAGATAGAGAAGGAAAAATGTTCACGAATGTTTGTGTGCCGTGGTAGATAAGAGGAAACACGACTCCAGGGTTTAGTACGTATTTAAAGAACATTTGTGGAGTTTAAACGGCAGAGTTAAGAAAAAGTGAAGAAAAATGGAGGTTAAAATCTGTCAAACTCAGTCGACAAAAACACTGAAAACTCAGGAGCTGCTTGTATGATATGTTTTATTGTTTGTTACATGAACATGATGTTGTTGTTAGAGGGGGTATGATTAAAAAAAATGGTCCAGACTTGATAAAAAAAAACTCCTTCAACAACTGAGTAAACCTCAGGGCACCGCGGGGTCAGACCCTCATGTAGTTACAGGTGTACAGGTGCAGACACAGGGGGTGGAGGGTGCAGAGAGCGGAAAAAAGAGCATCTGCAATAAACTCCCAACAGGTACGACAGCTCACACCAGACTAAAACACTCAGCTCACACTCGAGCAGACAAACTGGTTTAAAAGAGTGTGAAGAAAGCGGTCTGTCCCTGCAGAGAGACTTCCTGTCAATCTGAGAGACTCTCAGCGGTAAAATCTCAGTCTGTGAGTCTAAAAATACAAACACTTTGAGTAAATAAACTCTGATTGAGAGAATTTTCCTCCAGAGCTTTTCAGGTTCTTGTAGCAGGATATAAACCTCAAACAGAGCTGGTTCATCGTGCCTGTTCGATGATTATTAATCATGCTTCACACTCCCTCTCCAGCTGGTTGTGGTTTATTCATCGCTGTTTTCCTCCCTGTCACTGCAGATGCTGCCACAGAGCTGCAGGTGTCCAATTCCAAGTTGGCCGAAGTGGAAGCTGCGTTCGGCACTCAGAAATCCGAGGTGAGACATGGTGTTCACTTCCAGAACAAACTGTATGTCAGACTCTCGGTGAACTCTGTGACTTTTTACAGCAGGACAAGTTTCAGATATCGACGTTAGAGTGAGTTTGTTCAGTTCAAGTTTTAAAGCAGAGCCCCGAGAGTAACTGCTGGAGCATTTTCAGCTTCATGTTTGAAGTCGGGCGTCTCTCGTCCTCCTGAGAAAGATTTTTAATCTCTGTGAGAGAGAGAGAGTCACATGCTCTGCAGAGACGAACACAAAGAGGAGACTTTCCTGGTTAAAGTGTGTCTTATAGATGACTGTGGTCCCAACAGTCCAGTTTAATAAAGACCGACTGCGGATGTTAGAGACCTGGATCCTCTACATGAGCCGTAATAACACTTTTAGTGAGTGGGAAACAGGGCTGAAACGATTCCTCGAGTACCTCGATTACGAATAATGCCTCCAGTTCTCGTTTATAAGCTCAAATCGTCACTGTGTCGCACGGATTATTTTCAAGGTGACACAACGCACTTACGTCACCACGGTAGAAGGAGGAATAAGTGCGGTTTTGGTTTTTCAGAGCGGACAAAAATGAACGATAAGAGGGGCTTTTCTTCTGCAGAGCTCCTGGAGTTTGTTAGCTGTGGTAGAGACAGTGCTGCTCTGCACACTCGTCTTCATGCTTGCAGCCTAACATTGCTGGTGTACAGAGCCGACTGAAAATGACGTCACACGGAAAAAGCAAAATCGGAGGTGAAAATGAGATGGCTGCATCTACATCTTGCCTTGTCCGAATATAAGGCAAACGCTAATATAACTTTCATAACTGTAGCCATCTTGTTTCAGGCCTCCGATTTTTCCTTTTTTCTCGACTTTTCCTGTTTGCGACACTTGTCCACAACTACCTGATCTTTGGATGTTCAGTGCACATTTCACAGCAGAAGACACATAACAGTAGCAGAGCTTTGACAAATCGGCAGTAGAAGTGGAAGGTCATCGACCTACATCAGCAGCAGCACTGAAATGTTTTTACTTTATTTTATTTTATTTTTACAATGATATATATTTGATCAAACATAAAGCATCACTCATACAAGCATTGCAATCCACTAATGCACACGCTTGTTCCACAGTCGTCCTCTCTATTTCTCAGAGTCTGGCCTTCATAGCGGGTCTCAGGTGTTGTAGCTTGGATTAGTGACGTAGGAAATCTCACTGTATGTGAGTCTGCCGTTCTGGTCAGATTACTCGATTAATCGATGGAATATTCGGTAGAATACTCAATTACAAAAATATTTGATTGCTGCAGCCCTAGTGGGAAACATACAAACTGCAGCCTGACTAGTTTGCACACGAATTAAGCGAGTTGATGATTTTACTCACGCGTGGGGTGAACGCCCTTACAGACAACAACTCGTTACTATTTAGTAGCAGCACACGCCCTCCGTAATAACCCCCCGTAAAAACTGTCGTTCAGGACTGTGCACAACATGCTTACTCGTGTTTCCTACCGACTCGACTACCGTAATAATCGTTGTTCTCGTCTACACACAACTTTTTTGTTCTCATTCATGAAATGCTCAAATCGGGGACACTTCCGGGGACAGGTCATTCAAAATACTCGATAACTTAGATATTGGATCGCTGTAGCCTGAGTGGGAAACACGCGAGCTGCAGCCGGACTCGTTCGTAGAGAATCAAATCTAGAGAAGAACGAATCGATCCTTCTGTACAAACTGTTCTCGTCTATTTTAACTGCTTTGTGCGCCCTGGAGCTCCTCTTCTGCTCTGTAACGATCACACTCAGACTCTCTGTGGTTTTTGTTGCAGTATGACAGATTGAAGAAGCTCTACGCAGAACTGGAGGAGAAGCTGGAGGCGTCAGAGATCCAGATTAAAGGACAGTCTGCAGAGTACCGGAACCTCCTGCAGCAGAAAGATGTACGTGTGTTTGGTTCATGTGTGAACTGAGGTTAATATTCAGAATAAGAGCTGTAGATGATGGTTCAGGTCCAGCCTGAATGTTCTACAGAAGTTAAGTTCATTTGTTGGTGTCCAGGTGGAGATCAGTCACCTCAAAGCCCGGCAGAGCGGACTCCAGGAGCAGGTCCAGAAGCTGCAGCAGTCGGCTCAGTCGGCCTCCGGCGGTCCCGCTCTGCTCCCCGTCACCACCTCCGCCGCGTCCACTACCTCCTCGTCTGTGTCCTCCTACCTGTCTCAGCCCGCGGGGGGGCACCAGGGTTTCCACGGCGACGACATGGACCTCAGCGACGTCATCTGGTCTCAGCAGGAGATCAACCGTCTGTCCACAGAAGTCCTGCGGCTGGAGTCTGAGGTGGCTCACTGGAGGAGGATGTCTCAGGTAGTTCTGGGATTTCAAGACCTGCTTTTGTGGTTAGAGGAGCAGATCCACGTTTGACACAAGGTTTGATCGTTTTTTTCAGGCGTCCTCAGCGGCAGGAGGCGGGAACAGTGACCAGGGTGAGATCCTCAAACTTCAGAGAACCGTGAAGGTGAATTTTTGTCTCTGAATCGTCATGAATGTGGAGAGGAAATCTGAGTCACAGATGGTTGGATGATGCGTCTCTGAGACCCCGACCTCTGCTTTATTATATCAGGAGCTGCGAGAGGAGATGAGTCGAGAGATGGATGAACACCAACATGAACTGGCCGCCCTGCAGGACGCTCAGAGACAGAAGCTCGCCGACATCACGCGGCGACACAGAGAGGAGTTAGCGGAGTACGAGGAGAGGATCGAGGAGCTGGAGGAGCAGAGTCAGAGCGGTGAGGACCACTTTTAGACTTTTATCAGGTCTGATTCCTACAAAGTTTGGCGTTTGAGTCATGAGATGTTTCCTTCAGGCGGAGGTCAAGCTTCTTCCTCGTCAGACCTTCAGAGGACCATCGGCTCCCTGGAGAAGCAGCTGGAGGAGGCGCGGCAGAAGGAGTCCTCGCTGCAGCTGGAGAAAGAGGAAGTCCAGGCGGAGAACGCCGGGCTGCTGCAGAACTACACACGGCTGCAGGCCTCCGTCACCGAGCTCCAGACCAGGGTGCAGGAGCAGGAGGGGAAGGCTCTGCAGAAGGCCCAGCTGGAGCAGGAGATCCAGCTGCTGAGGAGGAACCTCTCAGGTACAAGATCTTTAAAGCCCCTTCTTATCGTCTTAATGTTGAATGACACTCTGAGGATGAACATGGATGCCTTAATTTTATGATTTTAATAATATTTCAACTCAAACTTCGACTTTTCAGATGCAGAAAAAGAAATCGAGAGACTGAAGATCGAGGCAGAGGTGATTTCTAACATACATCATGATCCTTTCATTGTTTTAGACACGTGTTTACACCTGAAGTCGTGTTTTTAATATTTAGTTTCATGACTTTTTAATGTTGTTGTTCATCAGGCTGAACCAAAGGAAGAGGAGGAAGTGGAGCACGCGGATATTTTAGAGCTGAACACCATCATCGGGACTCTGAGGCGAGAGAAAGAAACCATAGAGCAGGAAAAGGTGAGAACGTGTTGTTTTAAAAAAGAGTTTTTAAGAGAAACAGAAAAAGTTTCAAAGTTAATCGTTCATTTTTTTCACAGGTTGAACTTCAGGAGAGACTGAAAACGGCGGAGGAGCGTGGACTCACCAAAAAAGAGGCGGAGTCAGGAGATTCAGAGTCGGGGTTGGAGGATCTTCAGGCGGAGCTGGAGAGGAGAGAAGAAGCTCTGAGGAACACGGAGGAGGAGCGAGACACCCTGATGTCCGAGCTGGAGGAGCTGGACCGACAGAACCAGGAGGCCACACAGGTGTGTGTGTGTGTGTGTGTGTGTGTGTGTGTGTGTGTGTGTGTGTGTGTGTGTGTGTGTGTGTGTGTGGACATCTTCATTTTCTCATATTTTTATTCTTTCTTTCTCTTTTTTTTGACTTTTTCTTTCTTAGAAGATCTGCTCCTCTTCCTCTCCTTCATCACTTCACCTTCTTCTTCATTTCCTTCATCTCCTCACCTCCTCCTTCTTACTTGCTCCCTTTCTCCTCCACTTATCCTTCTTCTTTTCCTTCTCTGTCCTCCCCAAAATTCCTCTCTCCTCCTCCCCTCCCTCTTTCCTTTCAGCCTCTTCTTCATCACCTTCTCCTCCTTTTCTTCTTCTTCTTCTTCTTCTTCTTCTTCTTTTTCTTCTTCTTCCTCCTCCTCCTTCTTCTTGTTCTTCTTCTCTTTATTCCTCTTCTCCTCCTTCTCCTCCTTCTTTGTCTTCTTCTTTTTCTTACCCTTCTTCTCCTCCCCCTTCTTCTTCATCTTCTCTTTATTCCTCCTCCTTTTCGTCTTCATCTCCTCCTCTTCCTCCTTTTTCTTCTCCTCCTCCTCTTCTGCAGATTCCTGTCCACTTCTCCTTCCTCTCTATTCCTCCTCTTTCTCTACCTTCTTCCTCTTTCTTTTTCCTCCTTCTCCACCTTTTCTTCTTCACTTGTCCTTCTTCTTCTGTCTTTCCCCAAATTCTTTTCTTCTCTTCTTGTCCCCACCCTCTTTCTTCTCCTCCTCCTCCTTTTTCATCTCCTCCTCCTTCTTTCCTTTCCTATCTCCTTCCTCCCTCCTCCTTCTCCTCCCTCCTTCTCCAAACAGATCTTTTAAAAAACACGATAAAAAATTTTACGTCCAGAAAACTTTTATAAAAATAAAAACAGTTTTTACTCGTCGACTCTGATCTCCGTCTTTTGTTTCTCCAGCACATGATCTCTGTGAAGGAGCAGCTCAGCGCGCAGCTGAAGGACTCAGAGACCGAACTGAGAAGACTGACGGCGGAGCTGGACAAGACCCAAGACCAGAAGAAGGAGCTGGAACAGGAGCTGGAGACCCAGAAGGAGAAGATGAGCCAGAGCGCCTTCACCCTGAACGACCTCCACATGAGCAAACAGCAGCTGGAGGCGACGGTGAAGGAGCTGAGGGACAACCTGGGACAGGTGCAGGAGCAGAGCAGGGAGGCGCGGAGAGAAACCACGGAGCTGAGGAGGACCCTGCAGGAGACCGAGGAGAAGCTGTCCGCAGCCAGAGCAGAACTGGATCAGGAAGGACCGAGAGGAACCAAGACACCAGGGATGGAGGAGAAGATTACAGAGAAGGAGAAGGAGCTATCAGAGCTGAGGAGGGAGTTAGCAGAGGTGCAGAGCTCCAAGGAGAAGGTGATTGGGGAGGACTACGAGCTGAAGATGGAGAACAGGAAGTTGAAGGAGGAGAGAGAGGAAGCAAACAGGCTGATGAAGGAAACACAAGCCGGTCTGAACCGGACCGTCCTGGAGAAGGACACTCGGATCGAAGCTCTGAAGCTGGAGAAGAACCAGCTGGAGGGTGAGCTGAGGCAGGCGGAGAGCACGCTGACCGAGCAGGCCAGGCAGTACCAGCAGACCGTCGAGGAGCTGACCAGAGCGCGCTCCATGGACGCCTCGGCTCTGCAGACGGAACACGAGCGGACCATCAGACTCAACCAGGAGAAAGACCTGGAGATCGCTCAGCTGAAAAGGGACATGGAGCAGCTGGCGTCCGACCACAGAGACACCAACGAGATGCTCTCGATCACGGTGGCGGGACAGAAGCAGCTGACGGATCTGCTGCAGGAGAAAGACGTCTTCATGGACACTCTGAAGCAGAACGCCTCTGACCTTCAGAGCGAGATGGAGAGCAGGATCTCAGCCGCATCGAAGGAGGCTGAAGGTCTGAAGCAGGCGCTGGAGGAGAAGGACAAACAGCTGGGAGGCATGAAGGAGGAGAACAGCCACCTGAAGGAGGAGATCGATCGACTCAGGGACCAGCAGAGCCGACCTCAGCCTCTGTCCGAGCCCAGGACCTTAGAAATCATCACGGAGCTGGAGACGGAGATCACACAGCTCAAGTCCTGCAAGAACCGACTGGAGGAGGAGGTCCAGACTCTGAGGAGGAGCTCCGAGGAGCAGCAGGCCTCTCTCCTCCTGTCGCAGCAGTCCCTCCAGACTCAGCAGAGCGAGCTGGAGCAGGCCCACGCTCGCCATCAGCAGACCACGCTCAACTACGACAGACTCATCCACGCCAGAGACGAGGAGATCTCCCGCCTTCAGCAGACCGTGGATCAGCTGAGCGAGAGTCGAGGTCGAGCGGACTCTCCTCCCGTGCAGGGGGAGGTCATCCTGCAGGAGGAGAAGACCCAGACCCTAAACCAGGAGAACGGCAACGAGAAACACGACCTGTCGAAGGTGGAGATCCAAAAACTGGTGAAAGGCATCAAGGAGAAGGAGACGGAGATCAGCCAGCTGAACGAGAAGAACCTCTCCCTCGCCAAACAGCTCGATCAGCTGGTGGTGTCTCGAGACGAAGTGGGCAAACTCTCCCAGATGATCCGGCAGAAGGACCTGGAGATCCAGGCTCTTCACGCCAGAGTCTCCCTGGGGAACAGCAGTCAGGACGTCCTGTTCCTCCAGCAGCAGCTGCAGGCGTACGCCGTGGAGCGAGAGCAGGTCCTCTCCGTCCTCAACGAGAAGACCCGCGAGAACAGCCAGCTCCGCTCCGACTATCACCGCCTCATGGACATCATGGCGGGGAAGGAGGCCGCTCTGCTGAAGCTCCAACAGGAGAACCAACGCCTCTCCAACATGAGCGACCCCTCGGGGAGCCAGGAGATGTTCAAGGAGACCATCCAGAACCTGTCCCGCATCATCAGGGAGAAGGACATCGAGATCGACGCTCTGACCCAGAAGTGCCAAACCCTGGTGACCGTCCTGCAGACCTCGGGAGGAGAGTCGGGACCCGGTTCTGGCGGCGTCAGCAGCAACCAGTTTGAGGAGCTGCTGCAGGAGCGGGACACGCTGAAGCAGCAGGTGAAGAAGATGGAGGAGTGGAAGCAGCAGGTGATCACCACCGTCAAGAACATGCAGCACGAGTCTGCTCAGCTGCAGGAGGAGCTGATCAAACTTCAGGGTCAGGTCTCCGCCGACAGCGACTGCAGCTCCAAGCTCTCGGTGGACTACACCCGCCTGATCCAGAGCTACGAGCAGAAGGAGAGGAGGCTGGGGTCTCTGAGCCAGGAGCTCGCTCAGGTCCAGCAGACCATCACCCGGCTCAGCTCCACCAAAGACGTCCTGCTGGGGAAACTGGACAGCGTAGCTCAGACTCCTGAAGTCGCAGCTGCTCAGTCAGGCGGACCTTCGCTCAGAGCTGAAGCTCCGGGTCAGCAGACGTCTGCAGGAGATGGTGAAGAACTTCAGGAGGAACTTACAAGATTACGATCTCAGCTGGCCGAGAGAGAAAACACGATCAGGACGATTCAGGAGAACAACCACAGACTGTCCAACTCGGCGTCCGCCTCAGAGATGGAGCAGAGGAACCAGGCGGAGGAGGTCCGGCAGGTCAAAGAGAGGCTGGAGACCCTTCAGAGGTCCGTGAGGGAGAAAGACCTGCTCATCAAGACCAAAGGGGACCAGCTGAACCAGGTCAGCGAGACCCTGCGCAACCGAGAGAACGACAACGAGGTTCTGAAGCAGGCGGTGACCAACCTGAAGGAGCGGGCGCTGATCCTGGAGTTAGACGTGAAGAAGCTGAAGGAGGAGAACGAGATGGTGGCCGCGCGCTCTCGAGAGAAAGAGTCCGAGTTCAGAGCGCTGCAGGAGACCAACATGCAGGTTTCTCTGCTGCTGAGGGAGAAGGAGTTCGAGCTGAGCGCCGTGAGCGAGAAGGCCGCCACCGTGGAGAGGATGCTGAAGGACAAAGAGCAGGTCAGTTAGCGACACAGAGATCGTGGAGGAACGCCGTTATCTGGAGTTTCCTCATGTCTGTTTGTTCTGTGACGCAGGGTAAGTCCGGCGAGCTGAATCAGCTTCTGAACGAGCTGAAGTCCATGCAGGAGAAAGCCGTGGCCTTCCAGCAGGAGAGGGATCAGGTGATGATGGCGCTGAAGCAGAAGCAGATGGAGACCACGGCGGTGCAGACGGAGGTAGGAGGACGGCGGATGATTCTCGAATAAATTTGTCGTATTCAAAGATCTCAGCAGGTAAATCCACGTCTCTGTTTCCTTCGCAGCTTCAGCACATGAGGGACAAAGAGCAGCGTCTCAACCTGGAGCTGGAGAGGTTACGGAACCACCTGCTGGAGATCGAGGACTCGTACACCAGAGAAGCTCTGTCGGCGGAGGACCGGGAGACGGAGCTGCGCAGGAAGGTGGCGATGCTGGACGAGAGGCTGGTCACCTCCTCCAGCGCCATGGAGAACACCAGGTCAGTCACAGGTCTGATCGAAAACTTTCATGATTCAGATTCAAGATCTTTGAGCGTCTGTCTGTTCGTTCCTCCAGCCAACAGGCCAGCATGCAGGTGGAGTCTCTGCAGGAGCAGCTGAGCGGAGCGGTGAAGCAGAGGGACGAAGCTCTGGTACGACTCAGGACCTCCCAGGAGCAGGTCAACCAGTATGCAGTGTCGCTGTCCAACCTGCAGATGGTGCTGGAGCAGTTTCAACAAGGCGAGTCAGAGAGACGTCAGAAACTAGGAAACTGTCTGTGAAATCTCCTCTAATCCTTTAAAAATCGTCTCTCCTAACAGAGGAGAAAGCCATGTACTCGGCCGAGCTCGACAAGCACCGGAGAGAGAAGGAGGAGTGGAGGAGGAAAGCGGAGAAGCTGGAGGACCAGGCAGCTTCACTCCAGGTAAGAACCCCAGACCAGGTCCTGACCCCTGACCCTAAAGCTGCGGTTAAATTACAGATTCTGTCGTTCTCTCCTTCAGATAAACCTCGATGAAGCCAACGCCGCTCTGGATTCAGCCTCTCGTCTCACCGATCAGCTGGACCTGAAGGAGGAGCAGATCGAGGAGCTGAAAAGTCAAGGTGAGCTTCGCCGCGTCCGTCATTTCCTCGCATGTCAGACGATTTAAAGACATCTCCACATGGCGGCCGTAAATAAACTCCTCCCGCTGCGCTCTCAGCACCACTCACTGTCATAAAACGCATCTGTCAGTCTTTGCATGCAACGTCCGTCTGAACATCCGCTCCATATTTCTGTCTTTAAGATGCACATGTTCACATCATCCACCTTAAAAAAACCGTGGTTCGTATTTCGTGTCACACTCGGCAGATTTCTCGTTATCTCGCTCAGACACGACGTTACATCACGGCCAAATTCCCAGACTGTATTTCTTTTCCCTCTCGCTCTCTGGCGTGGCGTTCAATCACAGCTGATACGAGGCCGTGAAGTCTGTTTTCTTTACCAACCGCTCACCTCTGGAAACTTTACATTAGGTCTGTTTAGAGTCAGACGGCTGTGGGAATTCTCAGTCTGACCTTTGAAAGATAACTCTGGAATGTCTGTGAGAATTTACCCCATTTTATTTAGTCTCAGTTTTCAGATATTTAGGAGAAAGATGATAAGACGGCTGCGTACTCTACAAACATTTGCTTTTTTTAACACACAAATCATGCACAGAGTCGGCTGTTTGCAAACATTTTATTTTATTTTGCACGTATTTGAAGAGACGAGCGCTCAGTCTGCAGAAAACACCTTAAACGTGCGAGCTTCATGTTCTTTTCGTCAGTATTTTTTCACGTATCCTTGAAGTTTACGGATACGGGTCAGACGGAGCAGTACCACCGGAAACCATGGGGGGCAGTGTTGAAGAAGACACGAAGAAGACAATGGCGAGGCTTTTTGAAGGTCGAGGCATTTAGCAGCCTGACCGACCACCGCCTTCTCCAACGCGATAATTGTTTTTGTAGGACGATAGGGAAAAGTCCCGCCTCCTTCGCCTCTGATTGGCTAGAAAAGCTGGAAACGTCATCACACGCTCAAGCCGAACTCAGGCTGTCGGCTCCGTACATCAAACAGAACTTTTCAGAACATTATTGCACTTCTGAATCTCCTAATCCTAATCCTAATCCGACAGACGATGACGCTTCACAGCCATAAAGAATAACCAATTGAAGCCCAGCACTTTCTAGCCAATCAGAGGCAAAGGAGGGCGGGACCTTCTCCTACCATTCTACAAAAAAAAAAATTGCTTTTGACTCCGGCCTGCCCCCTGGTGGATGTAATGGTTAACACTAATGACAACCTAAACGACGTATATGTGGGCAGTGACGGAAACATCGTTTGAAACCGGCGCATACTTTTTCATGCGTATGGCGAGCAGAAATCAGCGTTTATTCTCTTTCACCTGTGCTGAAGCCAAGCACGGTTACAGGGGGATCAAACCTGCAGCTTCACCTGCAAACACGAGGTATTGACAATAATCATCTTAAAAATTAAGACGAATTATTGATATCGTGTTAAAAACAGAAGCGGCAGATTGGTCATGAATTAGTCGTAGCAGACGTCTAAGAGATGAGTGTCCTGGTCTGGATTAGGGGTCCAGCCGCTCTTTATTTGAGGATTTATGGTGGTCCTGACTCAGTTTGTCGGTTTGAAGGATTTAAAAACTTACATTTTCTCTGTCTGTGTTTTCTTGTTTCAGTGGATGTGAGACAGGAGATGCTGGAGGAGGCTCAGAAGAAACTCATGAACCTCCTGAACAGCACAGAGGGGAAGATAGACAAGTAAGTAAAACCGTCTTTGGATCGAATCCTACATACTTTGATTCATTTAATTTAGATTTAATGAGCAAAAACATATAAAAATCTCAGCAGGCGTCCAAAAATAACTAAAATGACCCTCCTGTAATTTAAAGAAATCAATCTTAGAGTCCAGAATGAAAATCTGATTACGTCTGAGAGGGTCAGAAGTGAAAAATGTTCGAAAAGTTCTTTAACGTGAACTTCACAAACTCTCTGAAAGTGAATTCTTGGCTTTTCTTTTACCTCCATAATTCCTGTCCTGTCCCCTCTCCAGAGTCCTGATGCGAAACCTGTTCTTGGGATACTTCCACACGCCTAAAACCAAGCGAGCGGACGTGCTGAGGCTCATGGGAAGTGTGCTGGGACTGAACAGAGAGGAGGTGGACAAGGTGAGGGGGCTGAAAACTTCTTCTTTCTTCTGTTTTATTTCAGTCCTACAAGTTACCAGGAGTCGTACTTTTCAAAATAAAAGCATAGTTTGACCAAACGGGGGATAAAACAACCTCAACTGAAGATAGAAAATTTCAAAATAAAAGCATAGTGTGACCAAAGGGGGATAAAACGACCTCAACTGAAGATAGAAAATTTCAAAATAAAAGCATAGTTTGACCAAGCGAGGGGATAAAACAACCTCAACTGAAGATAGAAAATTTCAAAATAAAAGCATAGTTTGACCGAAGGGGGATAAAACAACCTCAACTGAAGATAGAAAATTTCAAAATAAAAGCATAGTTTGACCAAGCGAGGGGATAAAACAACCTCAACTGAAGATAGAAAATTTCAAAATAAAAGCATAGTTTGACCAAAGGGGGATAAAACAACCTCAACTGAAGATAGAAAATTTCAAAATAAAAGCATAGTTTGACCAAAGGGGGATAAAACAACCTAAACTGAAGATAGAAAATTTCAAAATAAAAGCATAGTTTGACCAAAGGAGGATAAAACAACCTCAACTGAAGATAGAAATTTTCAAAATAAAAGCATAGTTTGACCAAACGGGGGATAAAACAACCTCAACTGAAGATAGAAAATTTCAAAATAAAAGCATAGTTTGACCAAAGGAGGATAAAACAACCTCAACTGAAGGTAGAAAATTTCAAAATAAAAACATAGTTTGACCAAAGGAGGATAAACCAACCTAAACTGAAGGTAGAAAATTTCAAAATAAAAGCATGACTGTCTTTTTGGAGGTTTTGTCTGACTTTGACATGCATGAGTGAAGTTTATGAAGTATTCTGTTGCTCCACCCTGACTTTAAGACGGGGGTCAGGCCAGATCGGTATAGATTATAAGTATATAGAAGTCACTCTATGGAGAACACATTTACTGAGTCTGATCTACATCCTGTCTTCTGCACCTGCGCTCAGCTGAACGTCTGATTTACCGGCCTTTATTTTTGCTCTGACTCTTCATCCGGATGTATTTTGATTTTCTTCCAAAAGTCGTTGCAAAATTTCACCTTCGACGACACGCTCTCTTGCGACACGTTCACACTCATGCTCCAAGAAACAGGAAATGACCGGAGTCGGTCGGACTCGGTCTGTAAAATTTCACGCTTGTTTATCTCAAAGTGGTTCAGATGGTTCAGTTTTTTCTTTTTTCACTCTGGTCCAGTTTGATGGACTTTTATTGACTCACCGCCCCGGATCACTCTGACCTGTAACGGTTCCAGTTCAGCGCAACACGCCCCCGAGAGACGAACAGGAAACCCTCAAACTCTGCTAGATTTTGATCCTGATCCTGATCCAGACCTGCAGGCAGCATGTGTGACCAGAGGAAATTACCCAACACTCTTAGAGGGAAACAGATCCAGTGTGAGGGACAAACGCAATTAGAGTAGAACTCCTTTTATTGTCTGTGATTTAAAGTCTCCCCGCTCTTCTGTTAATGTCGTCGAGTTTTCCACTCAACTCGGGTTCGCCGCAGCCAAACGTCCCACAAACCAGACCGTAACTCAGAGTCAGGGGGAGCAGAGCCTGCGCCCAGTCCACACTCTCCATATCTAAATACCGGGTCAGAGCCGCTGGACTCTGCCAGGCGACTGACTTTGATGGTGAGGGAGCGTGAATGGAGGAGGAGGAGGAGGAGGAGTGAGCTGTCAGCGGAGAGTCCGACCGCCTGTGTTTGAGTTTAAAAAGCCACAAAACCGTTTTCCAGAGAGTGATGGCAGGAAGAGAGGAAAGTGAAACTGTAATAATCAGAGAAGCTCTTTGAACAGAGGAGGAAATCTTCAGGCTGAACAAACAGACTGTCATGTTAAAGTCGCTGCCCTGATGGATCTCTCAGTTCGCTCTAATGAAGGAGAATCTGATCTCCCTCTGATGGTTTTAGAATCGTCTGTTACTCTTCGCCGTTTCTCCACAGATGCTGGAGGAGGACGGACGGCACGGCGTGACCGGGTGGGTGTCGAGTTGGCTCGGCGGCAGAGGAGCACAGAGCGTCCCGAACACTCCTCAGAGGCCCACCAGCGGCCCCGGGTTCAACACGGTAAGAAACATCACAACCCCGGTCCGGATCAGGAGCTCCCGGGTCATCTCACTAACCCCCCTGACCTTTTGTTGTTGCAGTCCTTCTCTGAGATGTTTGTCAAGTTCCTGGAGATCGAGTCCACCCCCTCTCTGCCTGCGCCGAAGCTTCCAGTCCACGACTTCAAGCCTCTGAACGCCCCGCCTCCGAGGAGAACCGGCGGCGCTGCTTCCAGCACTTCCACGGGTAAACGAGTCCTGAGGGATCAGCCGCCTCCAGGATCCTAGTCTCTCTCTTAATAAGTCATGTCAGACAGAAGCTCTTGTTCTTTTTCCCACAAACATGATTTCATCTCTTCTTCTTCTTCTTCTTCTCTCAGGAGCCGCAGCGGTCGGGAAAAGACCCGCAGACTTGAACCCTTTCCTGGCCCCTCGCTCTGCCGCGGTGCCCCTGCTGGCCGGTTCTGGTTCTGGAGGCTCAGGAGGGGGTCACCTGCTGATGAAGCCCATCTCTGACAACCTGCCCACCTTCACGCCTGTGCCGGTCTCAGCCGAGGCCAGCGCCGGAGCCGTGCTGAAAGACTTGTTGAAGCAGTGATGAACTTTGACACTACAGACTGAGCTGACGGAGCAGATCTGCGTCTGACTGCTGCTCTCTTTTCCTTTCCCTCAGAATAAAAACTCTGAGAACTCAAAGTCCTAAAGGGTCATTCTGGTGTTTTAAACCTGGACCTCCTTCTTCTACTTTAGGGGGTCTGATGGACTCCATCTGCTCCTGTAGGTCACCTCAGCCTGCAGCAGTGAGACCCTGCAGGTGTCTCTGAACCACTTCAGCTTGTTTTTGTTGTCGTGTGACTTTAGAGTCTTTACCGGCTTATTTTTAATCCAACGTAGTATTTGTCTGAAACAGAACTAGACAGAAACATCAGGAACCGACCGACTGACTGACTGACTGACTGACTGAGGCCGCGGTCGACCACAAACCGAGGCTGAAATGACTGTTTTTGTCAGTAGAGAGAGAGAGAGATAACGGCTGAATCTTGTTTCAAAAATGCAACTTAGTCCTGGGAATATCTTTAGGACTCTTCTTTAGGACACTTTAAAGGGATAGTTTGCGTTTTTTTTTAGCAGGGTTGATAAAAAACTTGTCAAAAGGAACCGTCATCCAGCTCAGTCCTGGTTTTTTACTCGGAAACGTAGCTCTAAACTCTTACTGAGAAACGTTCGAAAGCTCGAACCCGTAATTAGATTTTGCTGCAAGTTTCTGCTCCATTTAGATGTTTTCTTCTGCACTTTGTCTTCAGAAAACCTCACTGTACACACACATACTCCAGTCCTCAGTGTCTCTAAATTATCGTGCGTTTTGGTATTTTTAATGAACTCTGAACAGAATCAGCAGAGTGGAATCCTCACAGTAAAAAACACTCAAAGTTTCTCCTCTTACTGAATCTACCTCCAAACAGAACAAAACAACATTTGATCATAGTTCTCTGTTATTTTAAATGTCTGTATTCAGCACTTTAAACACGTCCATTCAGTCGACTCGTTCATGGGCCGATATTCTAAGACCAGACTCCCTAAAACCAGCCGAGCAAACTTGTCTAAAAAAACCCGAACTGTCCCTTTAATTGAGCAAACTCAGATTAGATGAATTTGAAACGATCGGAGTTTCCCACTCCTGCCAGCCGAGGTCATCTACTCATCGCTGTTCAGTATTCAGACACTAACCTGCTGTTTAAAACACCAGAATCGCCCTTTAATCCTTCCTTTTGTTCCTGAAGAGATTAAAACAACGATCTTATTTTTCTTTATTGCTGTTCTATGCAACAGAATCTCCCTTTATGCATCCGTTCAAGTTTGTCCCCCTCATCGTTATTGACAGGTGTCGGTCCGGAGGTTGAAAAAGGAGACGAGGCGGAGACATTTTTTCAGCTTCTAGCTCAGATGATAGAAAAGTGTCCTTTTTTGATGGTAGGTAAGTCTTATTTTCCTCGTTCTGAACACTCTGAAGTGACCTTCCAGCCTCACGGTGTGCAGTTCCAGACGTGTGGGCGGAGTTTCTCGTCACCTCTCTCTGCAGGAGGAAACACCTGGTGTATTTCAGTTTCCATCCTTATTTCTCGTTTTCGGAGTTCTCTTTCTCTTTTTCTCTTTTTCTCTTTTTCTCTTCGACGATGCGGTCTCTGATCCAGGACTCGTCTGAACCGTCTCTGGCAGCGGCCCGGCTGTGTGCAGATTTATGTGGTTCACTACATCTGTTAGAACCATAAAGACGTTTTTCTGCTAAATCTTGTCTTTTCCAGACAGCCAGACTGTGATATGCAATAAGTGTTGTAATTGTGGCTGTGGCTGCAGACTGCGGTCCATCAGAGGTTGGAGACTGCTCTTCTGTTTCACTTATAGTACTGTTATATAGTTACACAAATGTAAATGGGTGGACTTTTTCCTATTTATGGGCACAGGGGGAGTTTGGGAAGTTAAGTGCCTGCATTTTTGCTAATTAGATAGTTGTATAATCAGGATTGTAAATGTTAAATATAAATATATATATATATTTACAAAGTGTACAAACTGCACATTGAGAAGTTTTACCTGACCAGAGGCGGCGGCGGTGAAACCGAGCTGCTCTACTTTTTTAAAGGCGTCAATCAGCCGCTGCAGAAGGAATGTTACAGGGTTTTTCCAGGTGTATCGATGAAATGTACAAACTGTAAATCCGGGCTGTTAAAGAACTTTTGTAGATCTGGAACTTAGAGGTGTCAAAACAGCCTGGGATTACCTTGAACTCTGATAATCTGAACTCTGAGGTTAGTACCCGTTCACTTTGATTGGATTTTGAGATCAAATAAAGGTACTGCTGACCCTTACCTGATATTCTCTTCATGAAAGGTGTTTGGAAAACTTGAAATAACTTCTGAGTTTCAAGTTCTGAGAGTTTTTTTTTAATAAGGTCTGAATTTTTATTTCCAATTCTGATTTAAACCCTAAAATTCTGAGAAAAAAGTCCAGATTGTGACTGTACTCGAACAGTTTTAAGGAAAGAGGTTTTTTCTTTCTTTCTTTATTCCAGCCAAGGCAGTTTCTCAGTTTGACAATATCATGACACATTGCAGCATTTCTTATCTATTGGTTGGAAGGGAGAAGAAACATCTTATATTACCTACCCCTCACCCAAAGTCTAAAAGTTCTAATAATCGATCACTGAGCAACATTCATACCACAAAACAACAAAACACTACACTACAAATCTGACTTATCGGTCTGAGATTACAGTCAAACTTCTGAGAAGAAAGAAAAGATTCAGGAAAAAAAGTTTGATTTTTTTCCAGACTTGCTGAGAATTATGTTGTTTATTCTGTCTGAGATTAAAGTGAAATACAAGATTAAAAATTACGGTTCCAGATTGAAGTCTAGACTCTCTGAAACAAAGTCAGAATTCCAAACTGAATTCCAGAATTCCCAGATTTGGTCAAAATCAGAATTCCAAGATCAAAGACTTCAAAGATCCGAGTCAGTGTTTTGAGATTTGAGTTGGAGTTCTGTGATTTTTCGAAAATTTAAGATCAAAGTCAGAATTCCAAAAATTCAAATCAGAAATTCTAATTTGAAATAAAATTCAAAGATCTCAGAATTCTAAGATGAAAACCAGATCCAAGATCAAAGTCAGAACCAGGATTAAAGGTAGAAGTTCTATATTAAAGTCGGAATTCTGAGATTAGTCAATTCTAAAATCTCATTTAGAATTCCAAGATCAAGGTCAGAACGATGAGATTAAAGCTGTAATTAAAATTTTGACATTAAATTCAGAATTCTGAGGTCAGTTAAAATCCTGAGATCAGAGTCAGAATTCAGACTATTTTGTTCCTCCTGACATATCAGATTTTTTTTCCTCTGAATTCTCAGATTAAACATTTGTCCAGAATTTAGAGAAAATCAACACTAAAATATTAACGTTGGTTCTCCCATGATAACTAGACACAATTCTGGCAATACAGAAAAAAGACACAAAAACTACAGGTGGGTGACTGTGATGGGTCAGACTGTACCATGATGAGGCTGCCTCCTTTAAAAAGGTGAGTGAAGACCTTCTCTGTTTAAACTGTGGGGATATTAATCGCAGTCATATGTTGATAAATCCAGATCCTTAGAAAATGTTTGACATTTTTCATCAGGAAGAAAAAACTTGTGACAGTTTCTTCAGACTATGGAAGCCCATTTCCGCCAGTCAAAAAAAAAAAAAAAAAAGTTGAAATTATGAGATAAAAAGTCATAATTATGAGATTAAAAAATCGAAATTATGAGATAAAAAGTCGACATTATGAGATTTTAAAGTCATAATTATTTTTTTTAATTTCTCATAATTTCGACTTTTTATCTCATAATTATGACTTTTTAATCTCATAATTATGACTTTTTATCTCATAATTTCGACTTTTTTTTTTTTGACTGACGGAAATGGGCTTCCATATCGGACTGACAGAAACTCTGAAATAATGTCAGGTATGTATTGAAGAGTAAAGACGGACATAGAGAGAGATTGACTTTCTACACAGAGGAACAGATAAAAGTTTTGATTTTTCACATGTGGCCCTCTTCTCCTTCCGTACAAACCAGATGTTCTACTCCAGCGTGGATCTGTGGACGATCCAGATGTGAAGTAACACTGAGCTGAGAGGGAGGGGGTCCTGTGGGGGGTGTTGTTTACATCTTTGGCAAACAGACACTCTCTCCCCGTGTGTGTGTGTGTGTTTAGTGTCTGTTCCTCCCCAGCAGCTGAGGAGGAGCAGCAGCCTGTCGTCTCAGTGCTCCTCTCCGCTGTGGGGCCGCCGCTGCTGCTGCTGCTGCTGCTGCCTCTGTGTCTGTGCGCGCGCTGACCGGAGGGGGCTGGCTCTCCGTGATTGAATCCAGCTGTGGAGGAGAACGCGCTCGGAGGGGGCCCGACACATTTGCATTGCTAAATACTTTTTTGTGGATCGGAGCAGGAACGGGACGGACCGTTTTCCAAAGAGTCACTCCTCAAAGTCCTGGTCCAGGTACCGAAGCTCCAGCTCGAACCGGACTGCGCTTTCATGAAAACCTGGTGTCGGCTTTCGCGTAAAGGCGCATAGTTGGGGGGGCGGTGAGTGCCCTGCTGGGTGGTGGCGAGGGGATTTGGGGAGAGTCTACATCTACATCTAAATCCTCCCTTCTTGAGAAACCATGCTGTCTGACAAACGTGGCCTCACGTTCTCCTCCTCTCTCAGGTCAGTTCTCACTTTTCTCTTTGCTTCTGTGACTTTGTGCAACAGGAGGTTTCAAAGGTGAACAAATCCAGCTCTCCTTTCTCTGCAGGATGTTGGCAGCTCTGGTATTTATTCTGCTGTGTATAAAGTCTGGACATGGACAGGTAAGAGGACACTATCTTTCTCTGTTTTAGTCATTTCATTCATTTAAAAAGAGCATCTGAGACCATAGATATACAGATTTAACAGATTAAACTTCTCTTCTGCCCTTTAGAAAGTTACTTATTTGACTTTAATCCATCCAGATTAATAAAGTCTGTTAATTGTCTGTTTCTCCTCAGACCTGCACAGAAGGTTTTGCATATGACCGCAGAGCCAGACAGTGTATAGGTGAGTGACCTGACTTCATGTGAAAGTGTCTTTAACAGACCCTCATGTAGAGTCCGGAGACCCTGCAGATGGTCTACATGTGGCTTTACCAGTGTCTCTGTCCTCCAGATGTGGACGAGTGCCGGAGTCTTCCAGACGCCTGCAGAGGAGACATGCACTGCGTGAACCGGAACGGAGGATACCTCTGCATCCCCAGCAGTTTGTACAACCAACCCTACAGACCGGAAACCCCCGTCCTGCCCGAGCCGGTTTACCCGGACCCGTCGCTGGGATTCCCGGACACCTTCGCCCCGGCTGTTCCCAGATCTGTGGAGCCCAGTTACCCCAGAGTGAGGACCACTGCGCCGTGCATCCTGGGATATATTCTCGCAGAGGATGGCACCTGCAATGGTGAGTTTGTCTGCAGACATCCTCTCATGGTTTTTACTCCAAAGTACAAATGCAGCAAATTTCAGACAGATTATAGTGGGAGTAAAGATGCATTAGAAGCAAGATGCATCAAAAAAATCTAAATTAAATGCACCTGGTGTCTGAAATATTAATGCACAAAGTGTGAAAAAGCCTGTTTTTGTAGGAAAAGTTGCAGTAGAACAGATTTGAGATGAGAGTTTGGCAAAAGTTGGTTGTCATGTCTTTCCTTTTTGTCTCTGTCTGTGATAATTTCACCTCTTTGGACCTCAAACAGACGTTAAATAAAACCATCTGAAGGGGATTTATAAAAGACTTCTCTCTGATGGAAGTGATAACAAACACAAAGACATCTGAAACGTGCCAGAGGGTCCAGACTCTGCACAGGCTGGAAATATTTATAACCTTGTATTGTCTTATTTGTGTATTTGGTGCTATTTTTAGTGGAATATCTTCATCTGCTCGGTTAGAAGTTCCTCCAGCTGCTGTACGGATGTAACAGAGTGAAAACAGGGACGTTTCTTTGCGATGTGAGGCACGAAAGTAAAACGACTCGACTTTAAATCACAGTCTGGTTTCATTAATTAAACGCAGCTCGTCGTTTTCAGCCGCACAGAAACCACATTTATTGACTCGCAGCGGGTCAGAGCGTCTTCTCGAACATCACAGAAAACAAATGTCAATCCACCCGGAGTCAGAGCGCAGCAGCAGCGGCGGCGGTTTGTAAATGTCTGCGTTCAACCTGTTTGTGAGGCCTTTTATATGTCAGAGTTGATTTTTGAGTCCAAGTGGTTCAAAGAGGGATCCTCCTCCTAATCCTGGTTTACTTCACTTTAAGGTTTCAGGGCAAAAAAAATAAAAAGATTTTTTTGTTTCTCAGTTTGAAACCAAGTCCAGCGTGTTTTCAGAGTCAGAGTATCAGAGTCAAAGATGCTCCACTGGGAGTCGAGTGAAGCGGTTGCATGTACAGATTGTGTTTTCTGGATGTGTCATGTTGAGCTGTTATCTCAGTGGTTGGTCTTTTATTGTTTGACTCGAACAGCTTTAAGTATCTCCATCTGTAGGACGGCACAGGTGTTTGTCTTCTTCTTTCACTTTGACACAAATCACAAAATTTAAGAGAAGTTTGAACATGTTTCCCACCGCGTTACATCTCCTTTATGTAAATGTTCATAAACTCAGCAGATGTTGCTCCTAAACCTGTAGATATTGTTTAAAACTATTTGCCTTAGGCGAAACGTCTCAAGAAAGTCCAGTTGTCCTTTTCAAAAGAGTGTCAGATTTTGATCCATCAGACCTCAGGTCAGTTCTCCTGGTCCCCTTACCTGTAGATATTGTTCAGCATTAATGGAGCCTTCAGAGATAAGGAAGATACCCCTGACATGGACTCTGATGATGCTGAGAACAACTCTGGTGTTCCCTCTTCTTTTTGGCGTCATGATTCCCAAAAAGAACGACAGATTGTCTCTGGATCGTGTTTTTAAATCGATCCTTTCTTACATGGTTCCACTTTCAGAGACAAACTGACTTTACGTACATTCAGGGACCTTCACTACAGAGCCGTGTAGGGCTGCACGATTAATCGATTTTCAATCATAATCAGATTATTTGGTTATGATGATGTTAGAAAAATAAAAATCGTCAAATCGATTTTCCTCTCTATCATGTTTCCTTCCTGAGAGAGCGCTCCTCACACCAGTGTAAACAAATATGGCGTTTGAAAAAGAAGGCGTTAATTTCATGGTTAAATAGGACAAGAGCGAGTCAGTCGTGTTGAATTGGTACGACTTCACAGTTTCAGATGAAGAGTAAACCACTCCCCTCTGTAAAGTCTGTCTGAAGGAGGTATTAACCCGTCACCACGGAAACAAATTCAGGAGTAAACACCAGAGTATCGGCGTTTCATCCACACGTAAACGGCATTTCAGGTGACTGTAAACGGTGTTTTTTGAAAACGGGTCAGAGAGTGAATAAATCTGTAAACGACGACCATTTCATCTCCGTGTGGATGTCTATCTGCATCTCTGGAAACGATCATGTGACACACAGAGTAACTCTTTTATGGCCCCAAAACAACGTTTATACAAATGCTCGGTACTCTTCTTCTGTCTTTTGTGCATTAACTCTGCAGCGTTACAGCGCCACTTACTGGCATATGCACTACAATGTTTTCAGTGGTTTAGTTTTGAGAGATGAGAGAAAAACTTACTATTAAAGCAGGACTCGACAGTGCAACTGTTTCACTTCCACTTGCAATTACAAATAGATGTGTGGAAATTAAAAAATATTTTTAAATATTTTTTATTTAATAAAAATAAAATGTATTAATGTGCATATAAAAAAATTAGCTGAGGCGACACATTTTTTCCTGTAAATACTGCGGTGAAGTTAGTTTTAGGTTGGATATATTTTCCTGTAAATACGGCGGTGAAGTTAGTTTCAGGTTGGATATATTTTCCTGTAAATACGGCGGTGAAGTTAGTTTCAGGTTGGATATATTTTCCTGTAAATACGGCGGTGAAGTTAGTTTCAGGTTGGATATATTTTCCTGTAAATACGGCGGTGAAGTTAGTTTCAGGTTGGATATATTTTCCTGTAAATACGGCGCTGAAGTTAGTTTTAGGTTGGATATATTTTCCTGTAAATACGGCGGTGAAGTTAGTTTCAGGTTGGATATCTGACGGACATTCTCTGAGGATCTACCGGTGTCTTCTCACTCTCCATAACCGGGAATAACAACAGCAGCGCGGTTAAATCTACTCGACACCCTCACTGTCAACGTCGGTGTTGAATAAGGGACCGTCAATAAATTACCGGTTTATTTTCTCAGAAAAGGCTGTTTTCCTTCAATAGCTTCCATATCATCTGACCAATTGACCTAAAATTGATTTTTAATAATAGTACTAAGGTCAGACAATAAGACAAACATTATTTGATCAATTTTCATTGTTCCCTAAAGTTCTTTCAAAATCGTTCAGCCCTCGAGTCATGTCTGTTTTTAACGGAGCGCCACCTGAGGGCCTGAAGATTACAGACACATCGGTCTTTAGTCTCGTCACTTTTTATCCTGAGTGAAATTGTTGAAATATTTCTTCTCTCACAGAGTGGTGAACCTCCTCCTATGTCTCCCTCTGTGATACTCAACCTCTCTTGAAAGCCTTTTACTGCCTGGTCTTTTAAGTTAGTTGAGGGGAAGTTAATTATTTCTTAACTTTTTTGAAACATCAAATTTCAAACCTGCAGATATTAGTCAAAGAAAATGTTGTTTCCTGCTCCTTCAATGTGAGTTCGAGACGTACTCGACATCTTGACACTTTCTGTTGTGAAACTGAATAGATGAGGTTAACCGAGGTGACGGTGTCCAGAGATTCTGGGTAAGTTGTTAAATAACGGCGTGGGAGTAGCACGAACCAATCAGCTCTCAGGGTCAGATGTTGTTTGATTGTCTGAGTGTGTCAGTGTGTCTGCAGAGAGCGACCTTCAGCTCTGTTTGATTCCGATCAATTTCACAACCACGAGAAATCCCAGCTGTTACAAAAAAACTACACCACTCATGTCCTCCCTCCAGCTGTTCCAGATACCGCTCACCAGAATTACCGAAGTGCGTCCAGCTGAAGAAAACCACCTCCTTAAAGTCCATTTTAGGTGTTTTTCTCTCATTCTGTAATGAGTGGAAAATGCACACATATAGAGCTGTTTTCTCCCTCATGCACAAATACGGAGAGAGCCTGTCAGGGAATCGGCTCACAACCTTGTTTGGGTAAACGACGCCATCAGAGTGCCAACCATGAGGTCATTTGTTACCGAATCAGAGCGTGAGCCGGCCAGGAGAACAGGCAGACCTCTGTGGGGGCCAACCGTAACCACCCCTCACACTTATAGGACCGCTCCTATAAGTGTGTGTGTGTGTACGTGTGTGTGTGATGTAATGGGCTGTTGATTGATGCCGACTGCTAAAGGGCAGAAATTACACAGACTGCAGCTTCCTGTCTGACCCGGCTACAAACACAGCTTTGTCTTTAAGTTAACGACCTCACGCTCCATCAGCTTCACTAATGGCACCAGTCTGCAGCAACAATCAAACCGATCCGTCTCCAGGTGTGTGCACTCGTGTGTTCGCTAATCTTGATTAAAGAAACAGATTTAGGTGTCAAAAGTTCAGTTTAGTTATTATTGTGCGTGATAAAAATTTGACAGGATGAGCGAACAGGTTAAAACATCGCGCACAAGAGGTTTGAAAAAGCTCGGAAACAAGAGTTTTAATAATCAGCGATAAATATTAGTTTTAAAGAAGAGCAGTGAATAGATATATATGTTTACAAGACAAGAAGTATACAAGATTTTTATAAGATTAGAGACCTTTTGGAAATGCTTTTTGGATGATTCTGATGAAGATGTTGTTTGTAGAGATGTCGGTAATTCTTCCAAAGAGATGCTCCTCTAGGTTGATCATACATCCTCTTTTACCCAGACATGTCTGCTTTTTGGGGGGCTGTCCGGTCTGTCTGGGGGAGTTTATAAAATCCTTAAAATATCCAGGGTTTTGTATGGAAGTTTTTAGTTTGTGTTGTTTGGACTTACTGAGTTAGAAGTGCGTAAAAAACACTCAACCCGACCCGAAAAACCTTCAAAATTTACTACGCTTGACTCTGTGACACTGCGTAGTCATGTCCTCTTTTTGGGGATTCAGAATATGGTCACCCTATATCTGGTCTGTAGTCAAGTGTCCTTATTTACAATGAGCACACAGGTTTGATAGAAACTAATATTGAAACTAATTAAAGTGTAAAGCAATAAGACAAGTGTCATTCAGCATAGAACAAGATCATGAGTGGATCATTAATGTAAACTAAAAACAAAACAAGTCCGAGGATTGAACCCTGAGGTACCCCGTACATTAGCTCCACTTAGCTTAGCTCTGTCTCTGGATTTTTACGTTTCATCATCCTCTCATGTTTCTACCATCTTTGAATGTACAGGAGAAAACAGTTCAACCACAGATGACCTGCATGTAGAGTTTAGCTAACAGTCTGCTCTTCAGATGGATGTATGCTAACATTAAACCTTGCCTTTGCATCAGGAAGTTATTGTTTACATGCTTGAGTGTGCATGCTACTGGGAGATGTCTGCAGAAGGAATAAGACAGATTCTAGGCGTGGTGGTCATCACTTTCTTTGTCTTGTGCTAAAACCGTATGAATCTGTCTAAATTTCTCTGTTTCGTCGCACTCTGTCTTGTTACTCGCACTCATTTCACTCATTCCATCTTGCACCTTTCTGCACAAATGAACAACTCCCCATGGAAATCTGCATATATTTTATTCGCTTTTTACAATATTAACATGGAGGCAGCTTAATAACCGATACTTCAGCCAGTCAGTAGGGGGAGCTCGAATGGGGCGCAACGAGAATATCTGCTCAAGTTGAGACATTTTCAGCTCCCGCCCAATTCGCATCATTTGCACCGCCAGAGTAGTAGGAGCGTCTAATCGCGTCTTTGCATAGACTTAACATGTAAATCATTCGCGCGAATAAAATCATTCGCGCGAATAAAATCATTCGCGCGAATGATTTTATTCGTGCTTTGTGTGTGGAGACAGTAAAGGTTTTGGCTTCACTTTCAGGTCGATCTTGCTGCTGCTGTTGTTGTTTACATAAGCGAACCTGCCTCTTGGATCAGGCCGGATGGTGAAAAAGAACCCAGATGCGTCTGAAGTAGAAAATAAAACCCGAGCTGACAACTTCATCTGGTTTCCAGGCTGGTGCTGCTGCTGCGGTGGAATTTTTAAAATAGTTTTTCGATGTCTTAAATTTGATTCACCTTTATTTTTGGATCCATGAAAGCCAAATTTGGAGGCAGATGTTTTAAAAACTCAAAACAGCTTTTCTGATTTGAGTGAACTGTCCCTTTAAGAAGAATAAAGATGACTTTAATCCGCTGTCCCATAAAGAAGAGGAGGATTCGGCTCTCCTGCTGTGTTTTTCCTTTCTCACAGGGCTGCGTACTTCATTTCCGTTTCTTTTGTCCCGTTTTTTATTCGAGTAAAAGGATTACTTGCTCCTCCGTGGCTTGAGAAACTATTTCAACCTCACGGGCTTTTGGAAACGACACAGGATGGAGACAAAAATGTTCATTGATCACAGTCGGCCCTCTGTGGAGCTGCTCTGAGGACAGATGATGAACTCGGCAGCAGTCATAATAATCAGTGAAATGAAAATAAAGTGAACTTTAAGGCCAAAGGGGACTCTGCTGGGATCAGTGTGTGTCCTCTAAAGCCGGCAGTGACCCCAGCAGCTCACGAGGAGGTCTATATAAGGAGCTGGATCTGCAGAGAGGCCACACATGTGCTGCAGATGAGGACCATTCAGAGGTTTTCTCTGGTAAATGCATGCAGGTGCCGGGGCCGTGTAGCTGTTGGCCAGGGTCCGATCACTCCGGGGCCCCTCCACCCCACTGGAGGGCCAGCAGTCCAAGTTGGCACAAAGGCCAGCGGTCCCACTGACAGACGTTATCGCTTTCCAGAGCTGCCTGAGCAAACACAGAGGCGGGCCCACACCCACTTCCCCCACCGGTTTTCGAGGGATCGGTGACTTCATGGTCTGAGAACCGAAAACAAGCAGGAATTTTTTCACATGTCGTTTATCCTCATAAGGAAATGTGTCCATTATGATGCGGAGAGTGAGGGCGCCAAAGGAATTCAGATGGTAATCTAAGAATTCTTTAATCCGGGGCAAAAACAATAGGAGAGTGATGCCCTGTTGAAACCTGAACTGTTCCAACACAGGGAGGCGAAAATCTGAGAGTTAGAGAAACATACTTGTGATAAAAGCTGCCGGTGCAAACTCAGAGCCAGAGGAGCGGGGCCAAGAGTGCAGGGCAGGCGAACCCGGAGCAGCAGGGACCGATTTAGAGGACGGACAACATTTAAACATGCTGACTGGAGAATAATGATAAATAACAGCATGAATTTAACCAAAACAAGCGAAGTATCGACCATATTTTCACAAAGAAAGATGATTTCAGCTTCTGCTTCCTGTTGACAACAGCCATGTTCATCTGTGCGAAATTCCTTGATCCGATTAAACATTTTAGGAATCGGATAATCTTAATCCAATGTTTATATGGTGCAAAATCAAATAATCCGATCATGACGTCCATATACATGCGCCAAATTTGACTCAGATAAGAGACATTTGGACATGCGCAGAGTTGTCTAATTTTGCTAAAATAACCGCAGAAGAAGAAGAAGAAGAGTTGTATTTACGTCTGTGCTGTCAACAAACCAACAAACGCGGTAGTGGCTCACTCCATCCAGTTCAGGATTTCTCCTCTGTTAAATGTTGTCACCAAATGGCGCCCTTGCTCACTTATTTTACTGTCTTGTCAAAGGTCGTACTGTGCGTGCAGATATGATGTCATTACGCCGTATGTACGCCTTGTTATGTTACCGGAGGAGAAGCCACGGTACCAGCGGTTGTGTTTTATGTCAGAGTGTAAATAATGAAACTTCCTGTACTGACCTTAATAGATAAACTAAAGAGTGAAGATTGAGTCAGGTAAGAGAGTCACGATCTGAATAAGTGTTTACACGGACGCGTTTCGTAATAACAGTCGGCATAAACCACCCCTCTCGATCGGAATACAATATCTTTCCGATTGAGCCGAACTGGATCAAAATCTTCCGATTGACATGTTTACATGACGCATTTTTATTCCGATCGGGCATTTATTCCGTTTATTGGTGCTCATGTAAACGCGGCTGTTGTGATTACAAAAGTTATTTTCTGAAAACATAGGTGGATGTTTTTTTATACAATCCTGGAAGCAAAACCGCCCAGTCAACATGATCAGTTTCTGTCTCTAAATCTGTAAAAAAAACACTCAGTTTTATTTTTCATACTTTGCATTCTTCCTCACTCTGACAACAAACCCTTAAAAGGTTATTTTCACGAGTTTAACTTCAAACTTTTTAGCCAGAGATAATTTAATCTTCCTCTCTGCAGCTGGAAATGAGACCCCTGAGGTCTGTCTGTGTTTGCATCAGGAAATTAAAGAGCTATCTGTTCAGGAGTCAGTGTTAGAGTGTCTGTCTGAGTGAATATCATCTCTCCACAGTTCTTTAAAACAACGCAGTAAAAATGTAAATATGAGATTTATCATGTCAGTAAAAACACGGCTCCTCTCACGGCTCTCTTTGGTTTCTGTGTTTCAGACATCGATGAATGTGAGACAAACTCTCATCACTGTAACCCCACCCAGGTCTGCATCAACACGGCAGGTGGATACACCTGTTCCTGCACTGAAGGATACTGGCTCATCGGGGGGCAGTGTCAGGGTGAGTGGACTCAGTCCGAACCTTTATTTTACACAAATCCAAGAGTCTCATGAAGTTCTACAAAAACCTTGAAATTAAAATGCGTTTCGAGGGATATTCCTGCGTAAAGAAATGATCATAAATGTTCTTCCTTGAGCTGCGGCACCCCGCCGTAGTCCGTAATAGACTGGCTCGAACAAGCGGCTGCTGGAAGAGAGTAGGTGAGTTGTGTTTAGTCTCTTTGCTAAAGAAATGAGTCAAAGTTAAAAAGATGTTTGGTGTCTAGTACTATGTCTGTGACCCTATATGTCCTGTTGATGAAGTTAGGTGCTGTTCTGAGCATTATTTATGGCTATAGAGTGGCGTTTTGGTTGAGCGCATGGCTCTCTGTGTTACTGAAGTTGGTATAAGTAGAGAAGCAAGCGGTCGGCAACATTCATCTCAGGAGGGGGGGTCTAACTCGGTGTTACGGGGTGTTTGACCCTAAATTAAATTTACGGCAGAATATCCCTTTAAATGCCATCAGGGGTTAGCAGCGCCCTCTACTGGCTGTTAAATATTGTCACATAATGTCTTTAACTCTCGAATCCAAGTCCATTCCCAGGTCCTGAAAACCAGGACTGGAGTTTCTGTTCATGTCTTTTTCATAACCTCTGTGTTTCTCTCTTTCTGACCAGACATTGACGAATGTCGCTATGGTTACTGCCAACAGCTGTGCGCTAACGTCCCGGGTTCTTATTCCTGCTCCTGTAACGCTGGTTTCATCCTCAACCCGGACAGCAGGACCTGCCAAGGTACCCGGGACATTCACTCAGACTAAAAACCCGCCTGTTTGGTGACGTTTTATCGTTAATCTCTCTTCCTGTTGTCGTTCCTGCAGATGTGGACGAGTGTGAAGACGAGCCCTGCAGTCACGGCTGCTTCAACACCTACGGCTCCTTCATGTGTAACTGTGACGAAGGGTTCGAGCTGGCGTCTGACGGTACCTCCTGTATTGGTGAGACGAGCTAGTTCATCTTTTTTCATTAAAAATTTAACCTCTAAGGAAACTGACTCTGAATTTAAGAGCTTTAAACCCTGGACCACAGCGACACGCAGCCATGTTGAAGGTTTTGACGTGAACCCTTTGTGTCCCTCCTGTAGACCTGGATGAGTGCAGCTTCTCTGAGTTCCTGTGTCAGTACAGATGTATTAACACCCCCGGCTCCTTCTCCTGCATCTGTCCACCTGGATATTATGTCTATGAGGACGGCAGGAGCTGTGAAGGTGACGTTCAGGAGACAATGACACACTTACTAATGTGGATTATATAATGATTATATAACACTGTCTGTTATTTGATGATGATGATGATGATGTCCTAACTGACTCTGATTGTTGTGTGTTTGATTTTAAAGATATCAATGAATGTGACACTGGTAACAACACCTGTACAACAGCACAAGTATGTTTCAATTTCCAGGGAGGCTACACCTGCCTGAACCCTTTACAGTGTCTCCTCCCTTACATCGAAGTCAGTGACAAGTGAGTACTACGATTTCCCACAGTTTTTCATTCTTGAACGAATCTCGTACTGTAACATATTTGATTGTATCATATTGAAACTTTACATATCCTATTGAATCATATTATGTCATCTCATCTCATCCTGTATCATAATTTTACATATATCATATCATCTGTAATTGCATCATATCATACTTTTACATATCATGGTGTCTTGTGTTGTATTTTATCATATCGTATCATATCATGTTAAAACTTTACATATCGTCACCTATCATCTCATATTGCATCAATTGCAGCTTTGGTATCATGGCATTTTGTATATTGTATCGTATCATCTTATCTCATCTCATATCATATTGTGTAGTATCATATCATAACTTTACATATTGTGTCATTTCATATTTTATCTCATGTCCTCTCATCTCATCCTGTATCGTATCATCTTGTATCATCAGTTTACATATCATGGCATCTTGAATATTACATAGTATCATTTTATCTCATCTTATCTTATATCATATCGCATCATATTGAGTAGTATTGTACTGCAACTTTACGTAGTGTCTTCTCATCCTGTATTATATCATCTCGTGTCATATCATATCATGTCTCATTTTCACGCCTGCATCATTAGTTAATTTACTGTAAAACAAAACCAAATGATTATTCACTTATTTGTTGAACGCTTTGAGATATCAGAGAGAAAACAAATCTGGTAATCTATTTCTTTGTTGTTATTCAAAAGTCATCCTTCACAGTATATTTGATGCATCACTTTGTGTCACTCAGTATTCACTCTTTACTTTCTGTTTGGAGTTTAATGAAGACTTTGGTGGAGCTCTGCAGCCTCTTGTGGCCAAAAGTAGTATAACAACAACAAACATGAGACGATCCTCCTGTCAGACTTTTTTTTCATTATTTTACTACATTTTCAATTTGATTACAGGAAACAAGTATTATGCGTAATAACAACCAACATAGTAGTTCTTTCTTGAGTCCATTAAAAACAAAGTAGAATACTGAAGAGTAACTCTTCACTCTCTTCTTTCTCCTCCTGCAGTCAGTGTATGTGCTCGGCTGAGAACCCTGCCTGCAGGGACAGACCCTTCACTATTCTCTACCGACACATGGACCTGTCGTCGGGGCGCAGTGTGCCTGCAGACATCTTCCAGATGCAGGCCACCACGCGTTACCCCGGAGCTTTCTACATCTTCCAGATAAAGTCGGGCAACGAGGGGCGAGAGTTTTACATGAGAGTGAGTACCTGAGAGGGAAAGGAGACGTCACACTGACCTGTAGGAGTGATGCTGAGGGACCATGATGCTCTCTGGGCTTTTCAAAGGATGTTTTCGTCTTGAGTAACATGATTTAAAGTGTTGACAAAAACAGAATTAGATGTTTTTTTCATCGTTTAAACCTTTATTTAATGAACAAAAGTACAAAAACAACATATCAGATATTATCAGACCACATATTGGACCACAGGACGTATCTCTACTTCCCCTTAGTCCATCTTAAATAACCTGGGTCTAAAGTCTAAAGTCCAGAGTCTAATAAAAGCCCTTGATAATCTGGGATTATGATTAAATTATTGTGTATATTTAACTGACTTATTCCGTCTGGTATTTTATGCTGCACTTGGATTGCTTTCATGTTGCATTAACCATTATGTTTCTTTGAATTCCTGTAAAGTGTTTGAATTAATCTAATCTCATAACCTGTGCACTGTTTAGCCAGTAGGTGGTGCTAGAGTAGTAGTAATAGTAATATAGTATAGCAATGTGTCTGTAAGGGACATTTTTGCTGCACAAGTTGATTCACAGCTGATCAAGAATAACTGTTAAGGACTGAAAAATAACTCAAATTTCAAGGTATTTTCATCTGATTTATAAAAAAATCATGACTTTTGCTTTAATTAGAGACATTCATCAGACAAGTGCAGAAAAAAATGTCTGATTTTGGCAAAAATTCAGAGCTAAACTGCTTGAAATGAGTGGAAAACAAACAAAAATCTACTTTTTCAGTTTAATTCAATGTCACTTATCAAGAACGTCATGAGTATTTTTTTCCCTTTTTCCAAATAAGACACCGTAAAGGAGAAACAAGGCAAAAACACACTTGTTAATATGTATATTTTTGCAGTGTAAAATCCACTGACTGTGATAGAAACAGTGTCTGTGTCCTGACCTTTTGTTAAGGACTCTTAGATTTTCTGATTTTCTGTCCCAAACACTTCCTGCTCCTCATTCCTCACATACCTCCCTCCCTATTTCCTCCTTCTCTCGCAGCAAACCAGTAACGTGAGCGCCACCCTGGTCCTGTCTCGGCCCATCAAGGGGCCGAAGGAGGTGGTGCTGGACCTGGAGATGGTCACGGTCAACAACGTCATCAATTTCAGAGGCAGCTCCATCATACGGCTGACGATATTTGTGTCCGAGCACCCGTTCTGAGGGTCTCGAGTGGACTTGATCCGTCTGCAGCTGATACGATGGTTGGTCTGAGACAGCTTGTCGTCCTTTTGTTTGTTTTCGAACGGTTGTGTCATCCTCATAAAGACTCAGCAAAGACCAGCTGATGGGAAATCTGAACCCCCGCCCTGCTTTAATGGACACTGAGCTTTTATGGCTGCGATATGGACGGATATTTATGGTGTACAATTTCTGACATCCTCTATTTAGACAATGACCTGAAAATGATGAAATTTACCATCACTGCCTAACAGAATATCCACAGTCACGTGTTTTTAGGAGTCCCTCGTTTGTCTGTGAATTTTCATCTCCTCAGATAAGATGTGAACTTTTCTACAGCTGTCGTTACATCAGATCATCATCATCATCGTGGTGTTTTTTTTATTTTCCTTTTATGAGGCAGGATGAGGGCCGGTTATCAGAGCAGAAGTGTAATTGTGCATTTGCAGTGGCAATATTTGAATTGATATAAAAGCCAGTCATTAAATGAATTATTGATCACAGTTTCTTTGAGACCAATAAATGTCTTCACCACAAAACTCTCCCTCTCTGGACTCAGCAGTGGAGATGTTAATTTAGCTTTCAGGGAATCGTGAGTATCATGAAGTCAGAGGCAACCTCCAGGAACACCATAACACATCTAAGGATTGGAGTTACCACACAAAACTTAATCATGTCGGATAAATATGGGATTATCAGGGATTATCATCATCACATCATGTGATTTCTGAAGACGCTTCTTTGAGGGAACGACAGGGAAAATGACAAAACTGAAAATTTTATCTTTTTAGGAGATTTCAGCAAACTACGTTAAAATCTTATCACAGTCTGGTTTCACTAAAGCACTAAAATCTGGAATCTCAGCGGGCGTATTCAATTTTTTACTCAAAATATGTCACTACACCTGATTTAAAGTCGCCTTCATTGGAAAACCTCAAAAATAAATCTTATTTACCTTAATATACCGCCTGAATTGCTTGTATTAAGTGAAACTTTACTGATGGGAATTTTAGATCTTATTTTTGCTTGTTTCATTTGGAATCAGATTTATTTCTGGACTCTTCAGGTGAATATAGTTTATATTATGTAGTATGGTATTTTCACTTAAACTGGACAAATATACATTCTAAAGTTTTAGTTTTTGCAGTGTGTTGCTTTGATCATACCAAAGTGAGTCATTTCAATAATAATTAACTAACATTGGGATCATAACTCCGTGACTTTAGAGGAAGTTGGCGCACAAAAACTTCTGTAAATACGACCAAGATGTGTTGAAAACTGTCATTTGAGGATGAGGAGGCGATGTCACACATTTGGGACAATTTCAGAACATTTAGTGCGTTATAGTCTGTTTTTAAATAAGGGGAGTGTTTTTTTACACGAGTCACAACAACAAGGTTTGCAGCAGAAATAAGATATAAAAATAATAAATAGAGGGAGTTTAAAGGTCAGAATTCGATTCCATAGTCAGAATTCTGCCTTTAATCTCAGAATTTCGACTTCTGAGATCTTTGAATTCCGACCTCTGGGATCAAAGAAAGTATTTGGAATTCAATCTTGAAATTCCTACTTCTGGAATCGATGTCATGATTACGATCATAGAAAACCAACTTCTACGATCAAAGAAAGCATTCCAACTTTGATCCCAGAATTCCTACATCTTTGATAGAAGTAATAATTCCGACTTTAATCTCAGATATTGGATTTAAGAGATCAAATTCTGAATTACAACTTTAATCTTAGAATTCTGACTACTGAGATCAAAGAGAGCATTCCGGTTTTAATCTCAGAATTCCGTCTTCTGAGATTTTAGAATTCCAAGCTCTGGAATCAAAGAAAGAAATCTCAGAATTCCTACTTTTAATTCAGAGATTTCAGAGATTAATTTGAGATTAATTCCGACTTTAATCTCAGAAATCAGACTTCAGAGTTCAAAGTCTGAATTCTGAGTTCTGAGATTAAAGAGAGTATTCCGACTTTAATCTCAGAATTCCGACATCTCTGACCGATACTCATAATTCCGACTCTGTTCTCCGAATTCTGTGTCTAAAGTTAGGATTTTGACTTTAATCTCATGATTTTGAAAACAAAATTAGAGCAAAAAAAAACTTTGACCTTCTTTCCATTTTTCTTAGTGGCCATTTTCCTCCCCTGTAATTTTCAAACATCAGACAAAGAGAGAAATCCAAAACAGAAAGTGGTGCTCTCATCGCCGTTCGGGAAGGACGCTGAAACATGTTGTGTGTCCGGGAATCAGAGAGTGGAGCGTGAGAAAGAGAGAGAGAGAGAGAGAGAGAGGCAGAGAGAGAGAGAGAGAGAGAGAGGAGCTGTAACTGAAGGGAATCAGAAACCTGAGCTGCATTTCTTTCTGCTCTGCCTGTAAGAAGGATCGGCTCTACTGGGAGTTTATCCTCGTTCAGTGAAATCATCACAACAACAGAGGTAAGTCAACATTTTTGACACTTTTATGAACTTTTCCTGTTTTATAAATTTAACAAAACTACATCAAGTTAAAGCCCAGAGCAGGTTAAATCAGACCTCTGTCTTCACTGCAGGTGGATTTAGACTTTCAATAGTTCCAGTTCTTTTCACTTTTTACAGCATGAGTGTTTGTCAAACATTAAAGAGTCCTTCAGTGGAAAACTAATAAATGTGCAACCAGTCAGGCGACACAACTCATGGTGTGTGTTTAAATAATCTTTGGGATTAGAGGTGAATCTGAATGAATTAAAATGTAAATGTTCGATACCCTCCTCCTGTGGCAAAGGAGCCCAAACCAAGAACTGCGTATCAATGAACATATTGATCAGGAGTTTCTGTGTCTTTAATCCTTTTTTATTGATATGATAACAATGTGTTAGCTGATCTCATTACGTTTGTAGAAAGCACATTTTTTGTACTTTATTTCGACTTAGAAATCTCTTTAAAATCCTGGAAAGTGTTTTTTTTAATGTTTCTCTTATGTTGTCTCCTTTTAGGGAGGAATGAGTCCGACTGAGACTTGAGTAGTTTAACAAGTATAATCTATTACTGTGTGAACACCTTAATTTAAAGTCAGTATCAGGGTTAGACCACCCCAGTCTCAAAGGTCTGACTCCGTCCCTGCGAATTAGGAGCATTTTGGGGAACTATTAAAGCTCTCCAGACCCTACTGGACCCCACTTCTCTGATATTTGGATTAAGTAATTAAAAGGTTCGTCCTGGCTTTGGTTGTGTCACTATTTGCTGTATAAACTCGAACTTCCCCTGACTCTCACAGGTCTGATTGTTTGTCATGGAGTGTCTCAAAGACTGCTGCAAAAACTTCATGAAGCAGAAGGAGCAGGAGACCCAAGGTAATCCCAGATCCTGCACAGCTGTCTCGTGGACATATGTGATCAGATGTTTTGATTCTGATGGTGTGGGTTTTGTTCTGCTCTCTAGTGATCACACTGAGGATGCCTCCAAACAAAGACTCTGCAGCAGGGTGGGAGGCAGAGGAAGGGAAGGCGGGGGTCTCTGAGGATTACCTCCTGTCCAAGCTGCCCCCCGATGGTCGAGAGGTCCCGTTTGTCTTACCCACCTTCAAAGCCTCCTACGTCCAACCTCGAGGTTCCCGCTACCCAAACCTGCAGTCCGGACCTCAGAGTACGTACCTGAAATGATACATCAGCTGACTCTCTCTCCTGTGTGTCTTTATAATCTGCAGGGATTAAATTAATGATCTTAATCTCACTGTCAGACTGCGGTGAGCAGCAGAGTAAAAACCTGTCCTGGATGTCAGTGTTGATTTAAAGGTTGGGTTAGTAAATAATTCTGCCTCTCTTCATCACCTGAACACACAGCGTATCATTTTATTTCCTCCAATGATGTTTGACTTCAGGATTAGACCTATTTGAGGCTTCAGTCTCGTCATTGTGGCTTCAGGAGTGTTTGGGCTTTCAGGGTGTGAACTTCAGAGACTAACGTGAAGCTCTTTTGGTTTCATGTTAGACACACTCTCAGATCCTGAAAGTTGCTGCCGAATGCCGAACTTTACCCCGACGTTTTGAGCTGATGTCTGAAATCTGCAGATTAAACTCTGGAGCGTTTTGCTTCAGTGCATGGCAGGGATGTTGACGGTTACATGACGCAACCGCTGCATATCCAAACACACGTCACATCAGGACAAAGGGAGAAAAAAAAACAGTCAACAAAGTGTCAGACTCTCCTTCGTCAGCTGTACTGGATATGCTGCAATCATCACAGTGAGAATCCTTTTGGTGTTTTATCTCACGGGATTAATTTGACCAAATACTCCGAATGAACAGTGTTCATGGTTAAATACGTTAAATACGTACATGAAGGGCAGAAATTATTTTTCTGTGCTAGGTTGAAAAGCTGGACTTTTTTTTTTTTGTGCCTTAATTTGCCTTTTTTGATTTTTGCAATAAGCCCCAAGTGGACACTCAAGGAACTGCATTTTTTCTGCACTTATTATTAAACAGCTAAGATTGCCTCTTTGTTTTGAAGCCTAAAGTTTGGCTCTTAACGCCTAAATTATGCTTCTGCATCGAACCTATGCCTTATGGTCCCTACACCTGCTAGATATGATACTTCTGCACCAGAGTGTGTGCGATGCTCTGCAATAATCCACCAAAACACTAGTTGGCAGTGTGACGTCTGTGTCAGCATCTGATTCGTCTTTCTGAGCATCAGTTTAAACCATAAACCTAATTTTACCAGCCTTTTAAGATGTTCATGTCTACTTTAAATCTGAGCATTTTAACATGAGTGTCTATGGGGATCGACTTGCTTTTGGAGCCAGCCTCTAGTGGCCGTTAAAGGAATTGTATTTTATGTTTGTACCAAGTATTACTGTCTCCACACACAAAGCGCGAGTAAAATCATTTGCGCGAATCATTTACATGTTAAGTCCATGGAAAGACGATTAGACGCTCCTACTCCTCTGGTGGCACAGATGATGTGAATTGGGCGGGAGCTAAAAATGTCTCAATTTAAGCAGATTTTTGCGTCGCAATAACCAATCAGCACGAAGGTGGACGGGTGACGTATGAAAACGGATGGTTGACAGACAAATAAAAAGGTTCTCGTCTGGAGGAAAGTGAGTGAGGAGGTCGGATTACCTGGTAAATTGTGAAAATCCTTTGTTGTCACTTATTCGCCTCATTAGTCCTGAAGGTCCGATAAAAGTCCGTTCAGTTTTTTAAGTCGTTACAGAAGTTTCAAAAAGTGACATTTTCTGATTGTACGTTATTCCTGTGACACAGTATAACAGGGTTGATCAAACACAATATTCACCAGCCTCCACACACAGACTGGTGAGGTAAGGTGAAGGTGGAGCTGACAGATTTCACTCCACCCAAACAACCGAAGCCCACAGTGAAGATTCCCAAAACCACTGACTCAGGTTTAATTAAAATCAGCTCAGGAGTTTCTGAAGTGTGAACCGACCTCTGATCACACAAGAGAAAAGAAACAGGATATCCTGTTTCTGAACCAACCGCTTATCTTCTTGTTACTAAGAGGAAAAAATGTGGATGAATGACCTCTGACCTCTGGCCTGATCCCTGTTTTGAAGGTTCAGCCCGCTGTACGTACGCAGAGAGGAAGGCCGAGCTGGTGGGCTCCACTTTCTCCAACTACAGCCCCGAGTCCAGCTTCCACCGGGGGCAGATGGTGGAGTTTATGTCCCCCGGCTCCACCCGCAGAGACACACTGAAGAACAGGATCTCCAGTCCGCTGAGTCCAGGTAGAAAAACAAACGATAAACTATGCAACTCTGACTGTCTTAAACAAAACGTGTTAAAAAATGAGCTAAAATGCTGAATTTGGGTTTTTTAAAAAGTATGTTTTCTGTTTGGATGAAGTTTTCAGCCAATCACAGTCTGTAATCCCATCATTATTTAACATGTTTCTCCATTTTTAGAGCTGCATGAAGAAATGCATCATTAATTTATGGATGAAAACTGGAAATAAATAATAACAGACTCTGTAAAACTGCCTGAACACCAAACCCATGATCCTTATATCTGTTTTACTTCCAGGTTGGAATCTGCGTCCAGGCGGTGACCAGCGTCTGAGCAGCTCCATGTTGGATCTCTCCAGCCCTCAGACTCACATGCAGGTGAGTCTCTCCTCTATCTTATCTGAACTCAAACAGAACTGTTCTCACCGAGTGTCAGCTCCCACTAAATATAGATTTATAGTTTCCACCGTCCCCAACACCGCAAAGAGTCAAAGGTCGGTAAAGTGTTAGAGTTTGAGTAGATTTACACTTTTAGATGAACTCTTTTAAATGACGGTTTTCCATTTTCAGAAAATACGACCATGACTAAAAAAGTTTAAAAATGGAGCAAAGTGTAAAGTCTATAGTGCTGCCATAGTGACAGTCGGACAGCGGTCCTGTACGCTGGTTACCACACGTTTAGGCTAGCTGTAGCGTAGCAGCTTTCGGAAAGACAGTCAGACACTTTTAAAAGGTAACAATCTCAGATTTATTGTGAATTTAAAAACATCGTAAGAACTTGTTCCTCTTTCTGTTTTCATTAAATTTAATATTTTTACCTTCTAACTGTTTTCATCAGATTCCCTCACATCGTACGATCTACTCTAGGTGGTTAACTTCAAAATAAAAGCATAAAATCATCGCAAACAATCATTTCGGTGTTTAATTAACAATGGCGCAATAGTTTCCAATCCTCTCTGCAAATATCCTCGATATAACACCACCTGAACCCACACACACACATATGTATATTTGTCATACATTATTTCTGTATGCATCAAACGCACAAACTGTGACGTGTTGGGTTGATCCAGCTGGCTGCTGGCGTCACTTCAATCCTCAACAAACAGACGTGGCGGCGGTTTGATCTTCTCCTGTAACGCTTGGCTGGAAAGTAAAGCAGGTGATTTTCTGAAGTCCTTCCTGTTCCTCTGAACTGAAGTTACAAACCTCATCATATAACAAGCCATGACTTATTTTTGACCCATTTGGGACTCCGTACATTTTTAATGTGGTCCCCAAAATGATGAAAATATCCCAGCTTCAGTTTGTCGTATTATAAAAGTCTCGCTCTGTTATCGTCCCTGAATGTCTCTGTTTGTGGGAGGAGTTCAGCTGCAGTTTACTCCAGACTTAACAATATTTAGGCAGCGATACAATCGAGGAGACGATGGGAGAGATGGGCGTGTTTCTTTGTTTTAGAGGATGTGGCGACAAAGAGATCCTTATGATGTAACATGGAGACAGTTACTGTAACGTCTCAACTAAAACTGTGAAACATCAGAGATCAACTCTGAGGTCAAAGTTTCTGTTTTAGCCCGACGCAGATGGATTTATGTTTTCACCGCAGCGTTGTTTTCGTGTCTCCACGCAGTCGGAATCAAACTGAAGCTCAAATGTTGATCTTGTCAACATTAGGAGGAGCAAACAGCTGTAGGTCGTCTTTGCATGAAAGGCACAGCGCCTTGGCATTAGATCTGACGGTAAACAGAGTCATAGGAGTTTCTGAGAAAGTGGCGTGCAGCTTGGCGTGTGTTTGAAGATTAAAGGAGGACACGACCTGTATCTTACATATCCAACGCTAGAGATGGGTTTTATTATCCAATCAGAGTCAAGTGTTCAACAAAGCCAGGTCACAGAGATGGGATCTAAAAAGAGGTTTAAAGTTCTGAGTTTTGTGAAATTCTGGGTGTCCTTATCAAGACGCCAACGTAAAATGCAGTTCCTTTAACGGCCACTAGGGGCTAGCTCTGGAAGCTTAAAGATAGCGTGTTTTTTTACGCGTGTTTAACTCAGTTAAATGCAAATTCTGAATTCTCAAAAAAGACACTTAATTTTGATCTTTAAAAAAAAGCATTTTATCTCACCTTTTTTATTTTTTACTGGCAGAAATGAACTTCCATACAAAACTGAACATTTGAACATTGGATTTTACAACCTCCCCTCGAACAGGCTAAACAGATCCCCAAAAAAGAGGACATGTCCGGGTAAAAGAGGACGTATCGTCACCTTAACTGAATATTTTATGCTTTTCTGACCATCACCTTCCTGTGTTTGTCTGTCTCCACCTGCAGCACTTCGACTCTCTCACCAGCGTCCACAGCAGCACGTCCTCCACCAGGTTTGGCTCCATCGAGAGCAGCTTAGGTAAACTGAGATTCAATGTTTCCTTTCACGTTTCAATTCTGTTTTCATGGATTAAATAAATAAGATCTAAGTTTGCTCTGATTCGTTTCTGTTCTCTCCCTCAAATGTCACAGACTCCATCACTCTGTCCGGGGACGAGCGAGAGCTGGGGAAGGTGTGCGTCCAGCTGAGCTACCAGGAGACTCTGGAGCAGGTGTGGATCACTCTGGTCCAGGTAAGGTTACAAACACAGAAAGAGCTCATTGTGCTCCTCAGCTGCACTTCTCAATGGTCCGTCTGTGTCTGAAGAACACAGGGCTCTGTCAGAGACCCTCAGGGGGGCTCTGTGCTCTTTGGCAGGTAAAGGTTGATCACTGAGACGCAGAACTGTCCGTGTTGGTGCAGAAGAAAGAGCTACAAAGCTTTTACTGTGTTTTTGGTTTGACTTTAAGATACCCCAGATTTGTCGAGATGTTTCCCTGTCATGTTCTTGGTGAAATTAAGTGTTTCATACCTCAACTTACATTTTGTTTCCAGTGTTCAGAGCTGAACCTTCCTCCTGATGGAAGCGAACAACAGAAGATCGGGTTTAAGGGGATCATCACCGTCCCCAAACCCATCCAGTTCAAGAGCTCCATCAAAGAGTTCTGCCAGGTGATCACCGTGACTCCACCTCATGGATTTACTTCACCTTTAGTGAGCGCTGATATAAACTTCCTGCTTCCTCTTCCCTCCCTCTAGGACGTGTCCTTCATGGAGACCTTCGTGTTTGCGCTGCGTCTCCAGCAGTTGCGTTGCAGCGCTCTGGTGCTGAGGTTGCAGACGCACACCAACAAGAAGCGAACGGTGGCGGAGTGCGTCCTCTCTCTACGACAGCTGGGCGCTCAGGAGACGGAGCACTGGCTCGACCTCAGCCCTCGATCCAAGTCCTCTGTGAGTCCTCAACCCATGTTAGATACAGTTTGTATCAACGTTGAAGTACAATCGAAGCTAAACGCCAAAGTAACTGTGCTGACCTTTGACTTAAAGCTCCAGTGAGGAGTTTTTAGACACTCATGAAACAGACTGGAATTCATATTGATGCTTTTTTATGGTAAATTAAAGCAAACAAGATTATAAAGGACAAGACTGAACATATTTATACTTTATATATTATACTAAAAATTAAACAAAATGAAAATTCCTGACAGGAGCTTTAATAAAACAAGGATGTTGTCTCTATGCAAAGATGTTGGGCTCCACATTGGTGCTGCAGACTTATCAAACATCTGATCAGCCTCTGTGAAGAGTTAAAAATCTCTCCTGTTAGCAGCCGTTCAGCTGATTACGGACATTTCTGTGCAACGACTGAATAACCGAGCTGCTATAAAACATTTGAAAATCTGAATCTAGGGCTGGCTGATATGTCCTCAAATCAAAATCACAATATATTGATCAGTTCACCTCGATAACGATAAATGGACGATAACTACTCCACCAGCTGCTCACCCCCTCCCACATTAACTTCGTCTACTTCAGCCGCCGGAGTCACGTCTCTGTCGAATCTCACGTCGAACTTTCGGTTTATCGCCCGTCCCTAATCTGACCGATATTTCAAGATGTTTTATTTTGCTGCAGGAATAGATATTTTAACATGGACTTGAATATTGATTCATTGACTTTTGAAGCAAGCCCCAAGTGGACACTTGAGGAACTGCAGCTAGGTTCCCTCTTGCTATTAACTTCCAGTACATGTAGATCTTTAAACGTAAACTGAATCTCACATTGTTGGTTTGACCGCTCAGAAACGCTCATATTCTACATATTCAGTCAGACAGTCCCCCGGTGTCGTTTTAGCTGTTCTGTCTAAAAGTAAAAAACTCCCGTTGTGGGAATATGTTTTGACTTTTACCACTTTTCTTCATGTTTCCTTCCTCTGTTTGCTGCCGCCTTTTATCGCCTCTTGTATGTGCTCAGTAAATAAGAAGTCAGCGCTGTGTGCGCCTCATAAAACCGTCTCCATGATGGATTGTTGCACGCTGGCAGGAACAGTCCTCTTGGCCTCTGCTGGATAATATTGACACTGAGTCAGGTTTAACATTGTTGCATAATCACAGGGGAAAAAAAAGAGAAAGGGGGATTCATTATCGAGGGAAATCTGGAAACAAGCTCCTTACTGGAGAGAAGGAGCCGGAGCGCCAATTCTGGGAATGTATGACGTGGAAAGTGGGTCAAACCTCAAACCATTTCAGCCGCAGAGAGAGAGAGAGAGTTGTTTTGTCTATAAATGGATGCTCGTCTAGCCGGTGAAAGTAAAACTGTTTTTGCACTTAGAGGATCAGACAATGAATCATCATTAGTTTCTCTGAGTGACTTTACCCATCTCGAGGTAAAAAAGGCGCAAATTGTCCAAACCGCTGCCCTTAAGTGACGGCTCTTAGGAGGGGAGGCAGGAAGACAGACTGTAAAAGAAGCAGAGACGGCAGAGAACTTAAAGGTTCCCCCCCTAAACCTGGAGTAAATATTTCCCCTAACATTAAATCAAATTCTTTACCGATACTCCAAGAAACAGCTGCTGAGAAAAACACCAAATTAAACGTCCTGCTGAGTCTAGAGGTCAAAACTTGAACAGTCGATGCTCTTCTGTTTCCATCAACATGATTTATTTATGAAAGGTCAGTGTGTTGAAGCTTTTAACACCACAAGAAAAAAGAAAAAAGCTTTTGCAGCGTAACTCAGACCATCAGCAAACAGCTGCTCAACCGTTTAGACTGATTGTTCAGAGAGAGCTGTGATTAAAGGTCAAAATGTCCGTTTATGAAAGCCCGGAGTGTCGGCCCAGTTGTGATGAAACTTGATGATACATTTTTGAGCGCTGACGCAGCAAAGTATCCACTTAAGAGTTTATTCTAGGAATCAAATACCTGCTTTCAGATGCTGCCCTGTTTCTTATCCATGCCGTTACGGCAGCTGCTGCAATTTTCTCCAAAGGTTACAAATATGACAAAACCTAAAGGGATATTTCACTATTTTATTTGCAACTCATTCAACCACAATAGATCAGTCAGCTCAGATAAGAAACCGCAGTGGGAGCAAACATGCTTCTTCTTCTTTCATGAAACGTCAGAGGTCCAACTCGGTGTCGTGTAGCCATGCCAACATCTCTGGTCCTAGGTCAAAGAGGCTGGTTTCTGAAGGTGGTCTGTATAAGGGGTAGGTGCTGATTAAATGGTCGACAGTCTGCTCAGGGTCACCGCACTCACAAGCTGCACTGTCCACCAGGCCCCACTTCCTCACTGTTGTTTTAAAGCGACCAACTCTAGTTCTTAGGCGGTTCAGTGTCGTCCATTGCCGGTGTGGTAGGTCGTTTCCACCTATGGCGCCACCTCCTGGGTCCCAAATGCAACGATGGATATGAGAGGGCCCAGCTGACTTCCACTCCTGCTTCCAAGCTGCTGCCAGCCAAACATCTCTGGCGATGTCCTCAGAGGTGGAATTGAGCATCTCTTGCGCTGCCTTGTTGTAGGGGTAGCGGGATGTGCCAATCAGGCCTTTGCACCCTCCTGGCCAAGGCAAGGGTGGCAGCCTCCCTTTGGCGGCCAGCTGGGGCTATTCCCATGAGGACTGGCAAGAAAGACACTGGTGTAGACTTCAGGCATCCAGTTATAATTCAGAGGGCGCTGTTGATATCCACGTCAACCTTGCTTGCATGCAGACTTCTACACCAGACAGGGGCGCAGTATTCCGCTGCAGAGAAAACCAGGGCTTGGGTTGATATTCGCAGAGTCTTAGCGGACGCTCCCCAGGTTGTTCCAGCAAGGTGGTGAATCAGAGCAACCCTAGATGTCACCTTGGCCTTGGCTTCCTCTAGATGTTGTCTGAAGGTCAGTGTCTGATCCTGACGCACACCGAGGTACTTCGGAGCTTGCTGGACCTCCAGGCGTTTGTTGTCAACACGCACATCAAGTTCCCTCCTTGCTTCTCTGGTGTGGTATGCTGCTGTGACTGTCTTTCTGTTGCTGAGCTGTAGACGCCACCTTCGAAGGTATGCTAGCAGCGTGCCCATATCTTCATTAAGGCCATCTTCCATCGCCTTCCACACTGATCATCTGCATAGCCATACCTTCTAGATGTTGTCTCAGGAAGGTCATATATGTAGATGTTGAACAGCATTGGTGAGAGAACTGACCCCTGCGGAACCCCATTAGCTAACATGCTAACAGATTTCTGCAGATGGGGTTGAGTCTGGCATGAACAAGCTCCAAGTGCTCATGTCAGGTCAAGTGTTTGCTCCTGGCAAATTATTAAAGGGGAAGAGCTGTGACACATGCAACCTCATTTCAAAAATAGTGGAATATCCCTTTAATAAAGGTCCCTAAAGTGGTCAGAGGAAGCTAAAATACATGAATTTGCTCTTCCAGGTGTGCCACGCTGAGCTCAATCTCACCACCTGCTTCCAGCCCGTCAACGGACGCATCCAACTCCAAGTCCTCGCTGCACAAAATCTCCCAGCATCCTCCACTCCACTCACGCAGGGTAAGTATCGACACAAACAGACTGAAGGTGTCTCCATTACTGTGTGGCTCATGTGTGTTTCTCCCCCTCGTCTCTGAAGCCTTTTTTGTCAAAGTCGAGATGCACCAGTTGGGGCGGGTGGTGATGAAGAAGAAAACCCGCGTGATGAAGGCCTCAAAGGGTCAGTGTCGATGGGCGGAAACTTTCCACTTCCTCTTGGCGGCGTTGGAGCACGACTGCTCGCTGTCCGTCAAACTCTACAGCCGCAGCTCGGTCAGGAGGAAACAGTGTCTCGGACAGGTGAGTTTTTACTGAGCTGAGTTTTGTTCTTCAGCTGTTCCTGTGCCTCAAACCGAGGAGTCACCTCCGTGTAAATGTTTCTGTCAGATTCTGCTGGGGTTCGACAGCCCGGTGCCGGAGGCGGGGGAGCAGTGGAAGGACATGATGGCCCATCCGGAGAAGGTGGTGTCTGTGTGGCACGGACTGAGTCCACTCTGAAGCTCTGCTCTTCGCTCTTCGCTGTTGTACTCCAGGTGTAGCTGAGCTCACTGTCTTTTCAAGTCGGTCCTCTACCCTCCTTTATCGTGGACTCTGATGGACCGGGACTGTAGACATCAGAGTGTGAGAGTTCAGGTTTTTGAAAAGGAGTTCGAACAAAGTGTAGAAGCTGGAGAGTTTTTTTTTGGTGGTTCTGTATCGAGGTTGACTGATGTTGGTTTTTGAGCGCTGATAGTGATACCGATTTAAGACCGATAACTAATATTTGGACTGATATACATCGGAATCTTTCAGCCAAAAACAAGAATTTTACAATGTCAATAGATTTGATAGGTAACAGGTCAACCGGGGAACCATGCGCTGGAAGGGGTCATGTCGCCACCTACTGTAGCAGAGGTGGAAAAGCATCCGTCAACAATTTGATTCTTGCCTGTAAACTGTAATGAGGACAGAAGTCGAACTTTGTTCGTAGTTTAACTCAACTGTGCATGTAAACGTACTGAGTGGTATGTTGTGCGTTTAATGAACTAATCTGTAAAGTAAAAACGCAGCTACAGATAATCAGCTGAACGCCAAATATCTGCATCGATCGTCAATTTACTGAACTTTAATTCTAGATACAAAGGAGCGTTTGTTTAAAGTCCCACTCCGATCGATTTTTACTACTTAGAGTGTCCTCAGTGGTCTTTAAATTGTGATTATGAAGTTTTTAGCTAAAATCACGTTACCTGTATAATTTTTAAGGGCTTTTCTTCTGCAGAGCTCCAGCAGCTCATTAGCACTTCACCTCTGAGTTGTGGGTGGAGACAGTGCCGCTCTTCACACTCCTCTTCACGTTGGCTTGTAGCCTAACATTGCGAGTGTAGAAGGAGCTCTTCAGCTCTCGAGCACTAATGTCTTGAGGGATATGATGAAAGTTAATATTATAATTAGTTTTCTTACGAGCATTGCAGTCCGCTAATGCACACACTTGTTCTGAGATCATCCTCTGTATTTTAACGAGTCTGGCCTGCATAGCGGGGCTCCGGGGGCGGAGCTTGGATTTGCTACGTAGAAAATCTCACTGTTTCTGAACCTCCTGTCTGGGTCTGCCAGAGATTCACAGCGATTTAAATGCAGAAATACTCAGAAGTGCAATTTCGCATTTACTTTTCTCGTGATATGTCCTGTAGCATCAGAAAAAATGCCATACGAACATGTAAAAAACAAGAAAAGCACGATTTTCATCGGAGTGGGTCTTTACCTGACAGCCACTCAGCTGTGGACCATGTAGATGTACGTAATTCTTTTTTAATTAGTCACTTTATTTGTATTTACAGTGTATCGCCGCTTTCTAGAGCAACAACACTGAACTGTACGATGGAAATAGGTGCTGCCAGCAGAAAAAAACGCAGTCAGTGGAAACAGGCCCTAAAAATCCTGCAGAGAAACTTTCACTTAGTGTTTCTTTCGTAGCGCCTCATGGGGAAATGTGGTCTGTTGTGGAGTGTCTGTGGTCTCAAAGAAATGTGTGCAAGCGAAAACTATCCTCAGTGTTTTCCACGACAATGCGGCGTGTCGGTGTTTTAAGCTGATGGAGGTGCAGGCCTGCAGATACATTTAGGGTACGTTCACACTGCAGTCTGAACATAGCCTTAGTGATGGTTTTATCTTTTCATTACCTTTAAAAGTTACCCTGATATCACTTCATAGGACATCATGTTACTGTAACACGCAGCAGAAAACTTTAGCTGTACTTTTTCATAGTGAAGCACTTTAGTTTTTTATGTATTTAATGTTTCGATGTTGAAAGTTTTGTGAATAAAAGTCGGTGTGTTGTCTGGAAACGTCAGCTGTGTTTGTCTCTTGACAGACGGGCGCTAACAGAAAATAAATGACATGTCTTTGCAGCTCCACTCAGAAGAAAAAAAAACAGGTCGTCGTCATTAAGATTGCATGTTTCACACCGTTTACAGAACCTGTAAAATAGGTCAACAATCGTAAACGTGTGCGTCACTTTTTATTGAAGAGGTGGCTGATTGGGAAATCTCACTGCAAATAGAGAGAGAGAGAATCTGCCTTCTGTGCACATCATCCTCACATCCTGTTTTCACTCCTTTGTCACGAAGGCAATTTAACGTCTGGGTGAAGCAATCTCCATCTCGCTCACAACACTTGTGGGATTTACGCGAGGAAAAGCAAATCTTGTGGAAAAGTGAAAACAATTTTCCCTCTAACAGGAAATCCTGACTCCTTTCACTCTCACCAGAGCAGCAGCGTGCGGTGTGTAACCAGCTGTGGACACACAAACACACACGCACACTCAGAGAACAATACATCTGCAGACCAACAAGAGAGTGTCCACTGAGGGTTTGTGTTTTAAGTGTGTGACCAAGACAACCAGGCGCCCCACATGAGCCGTCATGTGACCTTAGCGTGCCTGACGACCATCTTATCATTATTTCTTTATGTGATTAATGTTTGATTTCAGGTTAATGTTACACAGAAGACATTCAGACACGCCTTAAACCCACTCGACTCCACACTGCGCTCAGAGGAGGAGTGTGTGTGACGCCGACTTTGTGAAGGTGCTTGAGCAGGATTTGGGTGATTGGTGTTCTGTGTGTTTAACAGATCCACTATTTGACTCTTGTCTGTCTGTTTGCCACACTGACTCTTCAACACACTGTTTTAGAAATGCATGCTTGGAAATACAACGTCCATCACCTAGGAGACACAGAGCAGGAATCCTGCAGCACCTCTCTGATCAGACAGAGTCCTGCAGTATTTATTTGCTCAATATTTGCATTAAAATATTAAGGATCAATATTTGGATTGAGCCAATAAAGAAACGACAAAGGAGATTTAAATGAGCTGTGGTTGTATTTTACAACTTTAAAACAACAAATCATATCCTAAAACAATCCTGACTTTGAAAAACAGATTATATTCCAGTGATTTTTAGACTGCAAACATATTAAGAGGATATACTAATAATGCTGCATCTATACACTGAACATGCAACTTTGTGTTCATGCAAACTCTATGTAGAAGTTTGTATTATGGCTCTAGCAAAGATCTGAGTGTAACATGCATTCTGTCTAATGGCCAGCAGGGGGTAACTGTGGCGCCAAAACACAGATATGAGCGGAATCATCACCAGAACTATTTCTGTTGAGGACTTTATGGACTAATTTGTTAATTTTCAGTATATTTCAACGTATTATGATGTTAATTTGGTAGTTTCTGGTTTCATTTTAAGCAAAGTAAAGGATAAGACGGGTATGCTTCAGGTAAGTCATGTTAACTCAATTACAACCTAAAATGTCTGACTTTAAAAGAGGTTTTATGGCATTTTTTAAGTAAAGTTTTCACGTTTTTCTTATTTAAAATCATTATGTTGCTACCACAGTTTTTGTGTCCTTGAAATATGTCACTAAATAGCTGTAAAAATCAAACACAAAAGCAACTCTGAGGACCTTTAGATTGTTTCGAACTTTGGCGCCTCCGTGTGGACGAAGTATGCAGCATGAAGAGCCTTAATGTAAAATCAAAGACTGTATATAGAAAAATATAATGATATATGATATGATATGATGATAATATAATGATGATACTGACACTATTTATTCATTAGTATTACTGTTATTATTATTATAACCGTTATTATTATTATTATTATTATTATTATTATTATTATTATTATTATTAGTAGTAGTAGTAGTAGTAGTAGTAGTAGTATTACTGTTAGTAATTTATTATTATTATTATTTTTATTTTTAATTTTATTGCTATTATTATTATTATTATTATTATTATTATTATTATTTACAATGTTGTTGTTGTTGTTATTTTTAATTATTATTTTTATTACTGTTAATGTTGTTGTTGTTGTTATTTTTACGTTTAAACACTTTGGCAACATCGTAGTAACAATCATGCCAATAAAGCTCATTGATTTTGAAAATTAAAATATATAGTATAGTAATAGTAATAATACTATAGTAATAGTATATACAGTCTATGTGTTAAATCCAGATATAGTATGTTTATAACTCTGGTCTCAAAGTAAGATAGAAAAAGAGTTAAATGTTTAAATCTGAACCTCCTGGACTTCTCTTGTTGCTATGGCCTCCAATGTTTACCACAGTCATCTTTAAATCATGCAGCAGTATGTCATGAATCCTCACCGTCACAGTCATCATCACCCAGGGTTGAACCTCTGAAGGAGTCAGTGCGCCCTCAGGTGATGATGAGCAGCAATCACAGCACCAGATCAGCCCCTCAGTGTTGAGTAATAAGTGATTTTATGGGTGTGAACATGATGACGCAGAAGCAGACTTTTCCCTCTGCCTTTAAAAACCTGAGCAGGCAGGAACAGGCCGAAGATCTCACTGAACAATATGGAGACAGAGAAGAAAAATGTGATTCTGAGAGAGGGATTCCTGGTGAAGAGGGTGAGACGTCTTCACAGACAATCACACGAATATTCACAACAGAAACTATCACACATTTATAACAGGATAAAGTGTGTTTTTTAATCATTTAAATCATCTGATTTCAGGGTCATCTCGTCCACAACTGGAGGGCTCGCTGGTTCGTCCTGATGCCGGACAAACTGCTGTATTACAAATACGAGGGCGGCAAGAGAGACTCATGTCAGCGAGGGAAGATCCTGCTGAAGGACTGTGAGATAACAAGTCCGTTTCTGGAGTATGAAAACCGACCGGTGAGTTTTTAGTTTACAGTTTAAAGATCTGATCACATATATATGACATGATATACTAAACAGCAAAAGAGTCTGTTGCAAAGACGCACTTGAAACTGTTAAAAAGCTGTGGCCTGTTTTCATTTAATTTTCTAGAATTGAGATTTCACTTAGAGAAAACAGTTTTATTCTGATACACTCCTGAAGTTTCCCTTAAGGTTATAACTTGATAACTTTCTGCAGAACCTCCCTGCAGTTTCAGACACGCATACGCCACAGTTTCTCCTCAGAGTTGTTCTTTGTTGATGTTTTTATGGGTATAAATCAAACTGAAGGTGTGGCTCCACCAGCACAGACTCTTATCCTCTCACCAAAAGTTTCCCCTCAGGTCGGAGTTCTGTCAGGACCTGACCTTGAACGTCTCCATTGTCTGAAAACATCTCTCTTCTTTATCAACGTTTCCAGCTGGTTTTTAAACTCCAGACTAAGAACAAGGTGGATCACTTCTTGGAGGCCTGTTCCCGCGAGGAGAGGGACGACTGGGCGGCCGACATCACGGCTGCAGTGGACAACCTGCGGACAGGTGGTCAAGTGACGGACAAGGAGGACCAGGATGGACCTCAGTCACACAGCATCAACCTGAGGTGAGGAACACAGACTGCAGAGCCTGTGGTGCGTTCACTGACAGTTTTTGTCTTTTCTAAAACTGTTCGTCTCTCTGTCCGTTTTAAAGCAAAGTGTTGGACGCCATGTACGACGTCCACAGCGGCATCAATATGAGCAACCATGTGGAGCACGGCAGCACCTACAGCAACTGTTTCTCAGGTCAGCTTTCTTCTCCTCTACCTTCAGTTTGGTGGACACCTCTCACATGGATCCATCTTCATGATCAGACTTCATGATTCTGTCTCTGCAGGTTCAGCGGTGGTGGACTGGCTGGTGTTCATGCAGCTGGCTCTGACCCGTGTGGAGGCCATGACGCTGGCCTCGGCCCTGCTGGAGGAGGGTTTCCTCAGGACCGTCGGCATGAAGAGCAGGGAGGGCATCCGCACAGCCGTCCTCGGTGGGCAGTTCATGGACGACTCCACGGCGCTGTACAGCTTTGTGAGTCAGAATAAATCTGTAAATTAAAAGTTTTAATCCAGAGAGACGGTTTTAAAGTTACTGACTGTTTCTTTCTGTTTCAGTCTGACAGTATGAAGAAGAAAGGCCGAGTGAAGGCCGAGACGTCGCTGTCTGCTGTGGAACTGAGTGGAAAAGTGATAAAGAGAGGATATCTACTGAAACAGGTACAAACATTTTCACTTTTTCTTCTTTTATGAGTTTAATCAAACATCTGAAAAGATAAAAAACACCTCAGACTAACTCTTGGCGCTTCAGGGACACAGACGGAAGAACTGGAAGGTGCGGTTGTTTGTGCTGCGTTCAGAGCCGGCTTTCCTTCACTACTACGACCCCACGAAGGTGAGTGTGTAGAAGGCCGCGTTAAAGCTAACCCAAACAAAGCTGCTGTTTTGTTTGTCCAAACCTCAGACCACAAATCTGATTCAGCTCTAACCGCCGACTGTCTTCTGTCACTTATCAGGACGATGTCAGCCCTGTTGGCGGTTTCCCGCTGCGCAGCTGTCTGGTTTCCTCTCTGAACGATAACGGCGTTCCCACAGGTGAGTCAAATAACGGCGACATCAGACACCTGAGATGTTAGAGGAAATGATTAAAGGATAAACACGGTAGTTTTAGATCATTTTGTAACGATGTGGAGGAACGAGTCATAACACACCCTGGAGATCATCATGAGTCAGACAAGAGTGAAGCATTACTCAGATTAGGACAAGCTTCTTTACTGTAAAGTGTCGCCTTTGGACCACAAATGACACTCAGTGATCGTACAAACTTATTTATAAATTCAGTCTCTTACTCATTTATTGTTTTATGATCTTAAACTTTCACAACTTTAAAGGGATATTCTGGCGTAAATTTGAGTCATGGTCAAACAAACCGTAACACCGAGTTAGACACCCCTTTGAGAGATGAATGTCGACCGCTTGCTTCTCGAGTTATACCAACTTTATGACAGCAATACACAGCGGTCTGAGGAGCCATAAACAAACCTCAACGGCAACGCCACAAATAATGCTCAGAACAGCACCTAACTTCATCAACAGGACATATAGGGTCACAGACATAGTATTATATTCAGAGTTTTTCTAACTCCCAAGAAAACATAAACTTAAGCAGGGGTGTTTCTCCACTTCTGTAGTCTATAAGCTGGGCCAAGAAACTTCTACTGAAGTAAAATGAAAAGGTAAAGGTGTTTTTATTGAGCCGAATTATCAATAAAATCATGATTTTGTTAACAGGTATGGATTTATGTGCTGTTGAGTTAATATATTTGAACAAGAGCACAGTAAAGTTAAATCAGCTAATTTTCCAATGAGGTTCTGTTACTAAACGGAACTACATCATGTTCTACTGAGGTTAGTACATATAGGGTCACAGCCATAGTACTAGACACCAAACATCTTTTTAAACACAACTCACCTACTCTCTTCCAGTAGCCGCTTGTTTGTAGCGAGACCTCAGGCCAGTCCATTACGGACTACAGCGGGGTGACGCAGCTCAAGGAAGAACATTTATGATCATTTCTTCATGGAAATACAATCAGACCGAGACGCTAAGACAGAAGAACTACCGCGTCTGCAGTGAAAAATGATCAATATGGTGATTATTGCTTCAAGGAAATGATCATTTGATGATCGAAATGATGAGCGTTTTGATCCTGCGTGTTGATCCTGCGGTCGTTACTAAAGTTGGTATAACTAGAGAAGCAAGCGGTCAGCAACATTCATCTCTGGAGGAGGTGTCTAACTCAGGATTCCAACTTAATTTTACGCCAGAATATCTCTTTAAACTCTTCACTGATCATAATATCTCCTCCCAAACAGGCGTGAAAGGAAACATCCAAGGCAACCTCTTTAAAATCATCACCCAGTCGGACACTCATTACTTCATCCAGGCTCCGACTCACCAGGGGAAGATGGACTGGATCGATGCGATCAGAGAGCAAACGTAAGAGTTCAGACTTCCTGTCTGCAGCTGTGATGATGAGACGACTGAAAATACACATTCTGTGAATGTTTACTGTAGCAGCACACTGGGATCATGCAATGTAAATGATTTAATATAAAGAGATGATGATTACATGTTATTTAGAGCTCGATGTAACAGTGTTAAAGTTTGTGTTGTGAGGAGTGATAGGGTTTTAAAAGCCGAATAGTTTTAGCAATTTATCCTGTAATAATTAAGTTTATTTTACAGTTTTTTAAAAATGTTTTTCATCAATAAAAAATAATTCTCCTTTATGTTATTCTCTTATTTTACACAGCTTTACTAACGGTGATGGTGGAGTTAAACAGACAATGGTTTTTAGAGGTTATTTTCTACCCAACAGTTTCATCAAATCATCGAACAAATTAAAAAGTCTGAACTTGGTAAACCCTGCAGTAACACCCAAATGTTTTTATTTTGGACTTTAACGTAGCCTGAAGGATCTGACATCAAGAGGACGTACAAGCCGGGACAAGACCAGCTCCAGGAGGTGGTTTGAGTTCAGGTAGTCTGCGCCCAGAAATCTCAGACCGGCACGCCCTCTTGGCAGTCTGAGTCCGGCTCTTATCTGTGTGAGTCAAACTGGGCTGGTGTCGCTTACAGTGAAATCATATATTACATAATAGACTTCCATGGCATATGATGGTTGAGAATCCAGGCAACAGTGACTCGACCACAAAGCGGAAAACAACTAAAGTGATTTATTGCAGTGAAGTCAATAATAAACATTCACATAAAAAGTGCTAATGTCAAAATAAAGTTCACAAAAAGGCTTTTTCTCCAGACTCATAAGAACACAATGTGTGACGTAACCTAATGAGTTAACAGCGAAATTAACTGTGTCTTACTGGCATGCACTAACAGAGGCTACTGAGACCTTTTTACATGATTCACCATATTCACACGGCCGCCATTTTCCTCTGATGTCACACTCTGGGTTATAAATGTAAAACTAACAAATGCAGGAACTTTAATTTCGTACCTTCAGGTTAGCAACTGTATAAAAGTGTCAATCCTAACATCTAATCGTGAAATTGTTTTGTAAAAATTAATGCTAACGTTAGAATCAAGCTACGTCTTAGTAGGCGAGAAAGTTGTTACAACAGTACGACAGTAGGAAAAGCTGCGCTAGAAAGTCGCGAAAGCTTACGTTAGCTTTCCTCCATGGTAGCTAGCTATCATACGATGTCTTAGTTTATTCATAAATGGTAAAAATTGTTGATGTAGCCATCATGGCGTCCCCCCTGTGGTTGTTAGACTTCCTTTTCAAGCTGTTTAAGTTTAAGCAAACAATTGGTAAAACACGCTAAACGGCGATCTGTATTTTCATTCAGTAACTGTGACGATAAAAACAATACCTAGACACCGACTCTGCTAGACGTTAAATTCAGGACCTGATTTGGCAAAAAAAGTAACTTCTGCCATTTTTACATCAGGTTCAGTAGGAATTAACTCAATTCGGGAGCTGACACCAAGTGGCCACTCGTGGTACTGCAGTTTTAGGCTTTTCTACTCTGTCGCTTTAAGTTTCTTCTGGCGTAAACTGTTAGGTAATTGTACAAATAAATGAACTGTTGTCTTCTAACCTAATTCTTAGCTGTTAACTGAATATTATGACATGATTAGAAAGTAAGTTGTAAATTTCTAGCTTCTGTAAATAAGTGGTTAAACACTAACAGAAGCAGCTAATCGAATATATCGTTTTACGGTGAAATATGGCCCTTACCCTCTCTTGGCTTTGTGACGTAGTTAAACCCTCTCACCCTGACCGAGATGTCAAAGAAAAATGGCCGCCATGTAAACATAGTGCGTTACAAATATTACAGTACTTAGTCGGGACAATCAAATGTTTTTTTTTTGGGAACATTCATCTTCATGCAGGCGCTCGTAACGTTAAGTGCTTTCAAAAGTTAACTCCAGAGAAATCAAAGACGGACGTCTGAGATTTTAACGCATGAAGAACCGATGCAGCGTCATGTTGTGTTCGTTTATTCAGGGAAGTTATTGTCGCTTACACCGCATCGGCTTTAAACTCGGGTCGGATCACATTCTTGGGTTTAGTCAAGACATTTATGACTGTCGGTCGTTGTAATCAAGTCTCCAAATAGGTAATCTAATGAAGGCACTTAGTCTTAACTCGGGATTACGAGGCAGGTTAAACTTCCATCATGGGTTAATTTACTCTCTGAAAAACTGGCTCTAATGTCACGTATGTACTGTCCCAGAACTTCCTTTCTGTTCTGCTCCTGCCGTTAGGCCACCTTGGTGAGCTGTAGATCTCCAAAGACTCGTAAGGCAGTGAGGGAGGCGAGCGGCGAGAAGCGGTGGGTGAAGCCGCACAGAGGCTGACCGTCCACGAGGATACGAAACTGCTGGTGCTCGCAGACGATCTCCATCTGAGGGTCAGAGGTGAAGAAGAGGAGAAAGTTTAAGATAAAGTAGAGCAGTGGTTCCCAACTGGTCTCGACCCACTTTTATAGAATTCAAACCGAGCAAATGTATTTTTATTAAAAAACAACCTTTAAAGACTCAAATATTTAACATAAATCCACTTGTTTTATTGAGTAAAGTTCATTTCAGAGCACATGAAGAGGACAACATGAAGATGACAACTACTGAAGTTACATATATCAGCTTTTTGACCAGCTGTTCGTGACCCATCCAGAACATGTCCGCGACCCACTTTTAGGGTGGGACCCACCAGTTGAGAACCACTGAAGTAGAGGTCAGATCTGTTTAGTTAAAGTCCAAAAGTACCTTGAATGATTCTCCAGCTGCAAAAGGAAAGAAGGAGAGGGTGTTTTCAGCTTTTCCCCACTTTCCGGCCAGGCGGGCGTTTCGTTGGACGGCTTTGTCCATGAAGCTGACCTTCAGCTGAAGACCCACGTCGCCCTCCTCCTCCTCCTCCTGAGGGTGGCTGGACAGAGTCACCTCCATGCTGCTCCAACAGAGGACGAATATTTACTGAGTGCAGTCACCTCACTGAACTTCAATAACAGTAAATATTTCATTTTAAATGAATAAATTAGTTTTTAAATTATAATTAAAACATTAGCTGTAACAGTAGAGAGTTGACAGGATATTTTATTTAACACAGATCATTTTCAGAGCAGGTCTTTTTTGGTTCACATTGGGGTTTTTAAAGTTGAGTATTTTTTTCCTAACTTTTCCTCCAATCATCTGTGAACTTCTGAGGATATTTTTGGAGCACAGTGACATCTTCTGGTCTTCATCTGTAATGCACTAATGTTGCGTTCAATGACACAGACTAGAAAACAAACCAGAGTGAATTAAATGTTTACTCCTATTAAAAACAAGGTAAAGGACTTCTAAATGCCCCCATACAGATTATCAGGGCGGGAGAGAGAATCGATTCACAGAAGTATCACGATTTTTTGTTTTTAAAGTCTTAAAATCTTTTTTTTTCCAATTTAAGAATAAATCTTAAAAACTGACTTTCATATGATGTGTGATTGGGGGAAATATGGTTCCTGGAATATTCAGTAGACAATCATAAACATCAACAGTTTTCACTGGTGTTAAAAATACAGATTAAAAATAGAGAGAATTGACAATATCGTAGAATTGTAATTTTAATAGAATCGGCATCCAAAAAATCATAGAAGAATCAAATCGGGAGAAAAGCATACTGTCCCAGCCCTAATGGATTATCATTATCATTATTATTAATATTATTATAATCCAGTTGGGGTAAAGTAATGTATAAAAATGTGACCTCTTTAACTCTCTACATTTATTCCACCGTCTCTACAGAGTTTCCTCGCGGGGCCTGTTAAAGAGAAGTATTTGGAAGGCGTTGCAACAGGCTGTGAGTCGATTTATTTGCATTTAAACTAAGAAAATGTTCTTTTGTTTGGGCTTTTAGAAACAAACTAGAAATCTTTTGCACAGGAACTACTTTATCATGCAATTTTACATCCGTATGATACTTGATAAGTAGATATCAGAATAGTTGTAGATGGGATAAAGGAGTTTGCACACATACTTAATGTCACACCCCTGGTAGGAGTTTGGCTCATCTTTTAACTTCAATTAAGTGTTTCAGCATCTCTGATAGATTTAAAAAAAGTAAAATCTCCCAAAAAGAAACATTTTACATTCACGGTCCTTTGGGAGATTTTGTCCTGAAAACCTTCTCGGTGTTTCCTGCAGCTAAAAATAAGTCTCTCCTGACACATAAAGAAAGTTCTGCTTATTTTCTTGAAGCCTGTACCCTGAGTTTTGATCCTTTATCAAACATTTACCCGATGACTGAGTGAAAAAACAGCAGCTGATCTTATCGACTGGAGGAATTCCAGTATGACTCCTCAGTTTTCATGGGATTTTGCAGCTCTCCCACGCACTTCCAGAGAAACCTATAATTAGGAGACGCACTGCCTGGCATTGCAAAGATGTTTTTTTTTCTAAAACAGGGTCTAGCTGGGTGGTTGGCACTCAAACACAGACTCCAGCTGCAGATCTGCAACAAGCCTGGACATTATTTGTTCACCTATTTCCACTGGCTGCCACGTCATGTGTGCAACAGTTTCTCCATAATGTAAAAACAGGTGTGTGTGTGTGTGTGTGTGTGTGTGTGTGTGTTTACCTTTTAGGCTTCTTGTTGATAATTCCCATAACTACCAGCTTCATTGAAGGCCGCAGCCCGCCCTTTATCTCTCCGGTGTACTCCCCCTGTGTGAAACAAAAAGAGGTGAGGAGGAGATGAGGGTGAGGATGAGGCCTGTGCTGCTCAATATGACAACACTGAAGCTTTTATAGAGGGACGCTTCTTCATCATGCATCCTGATCTTATGTTCATCTAAGTGAAGCTGCCCGATCTGAACAAAAGCTTCAGTCAACCACGTTTTTAACAATCCGTGACTCAGCTGGACAAACTATCAATGCAACAGTAGTGAACCCGGTGAGTGAAAATGCGCAGAAATTATGTTTTTCATGCAGCAAAGGCGGAGAAAAGCGCAGCTACATACATGCTCTTTCTTGTCCTTGTCTTCCATTCCACTCAGGGCGTGATGCGGTGTGGAGGTTTTCGAAGCACCGATGCCAACTGAAGAGGACTGATCGACTCTGCCTCCAGCTGGCAAACCCCGCCTGCACCACGTTGTCATAGAGACAGGCTCCCAGTTTGGCACTGGGGGGAGATGGGAGACGGTGAGAGAGGGAGGGAGAGAGAGGAAGGGGGGGATACATTAAAAAGAAACAATGAGCTGAATGTGCTGCCTCCCTCTAAAGTCATAACAAAGCTTCAGTATTCCTCTTTTTCAATTAAGGCGCAACGACGTGAGAGTGAACCTGGTGCTGCCTTCAGGGACACTCTGTTAATTTGTATGGTGGCCGAGAACCGCCACTGCTGCAAATAAAAAAAGAATGCAAAAAAAGAAAAAGAAAAAAGAAGTAACAACGAAAGTTACTGATGAAATAAAAGAAAGAAAGAAAGAAAGAAACTGAAGCTCGCTGCAAATAAAAATTTACGGCGCAAAAATAAGTGTCAATGCAAAAAAAAAAAAGGCCACAATGGAAGTAAGCTGTCGGGGACCAATAATGATGATGCATCAGTGTTTTATGATAAATAAATAAATATATTTGTTAAATTTTAAGGGCATTTTTATTTTTTTGTTTTTCAGTAGTAAGTGATATAAATATTTCAGCTCCAAAAAAATAAAAAATTTCTGGCCATAAATTGTGGTTTCAGGCGCTAAAGGGATAAGACAGGGGAGGTAAGTTGGCAAGGCAAGAAAGTTAATGCACCTCTCTACCAAAACTAATCCCATTTTTCTTTATCATATCATTTTCACAATTAAATCTTCCCAACATCTTCTCACTACAGTCCCCATCATCTGTGTTTTCCACTTACTCAGTGTCGGAGCTTGGGGTTCCTTCCAAAACCTCAGAATAGTCTGTGAACATGTAATTAGGCCTTTCTTTACCTTTTTTACCTGTTAAGTGCATTTCTACCTTTTTGTCGTGTCTAAATCCTTTCATGCAGAAGAAAAAAGATGACTTGGATTGATCTAACACTTTGCAAACAACAGAATAGTAAATATTATTCAGACGTGGTTATAGTCTGATTTGGCATATAAGGCATTTCAGCAACAAGGCAACTCAATCTGCTTTACACGAGATATTAAAGGCACCATGACAAGAGGACATAATTCAAGCAAGTTATGAAAAAGCCAAGAGAAGTTAAAAAAAATAGATCAAAAGCTGAACAGTAGAATGGAAAAGATGTTTATAGCTTCTTCACAGGTACAGGACAGTAGAGTAGGGCTACAGTGGAATTTTTGTGATACAAAAATGTTATAAATATGATCGCTAATAACTTGTTTTAGTGTCATGTTCAAGGGGCAACTTTTTCCATATCTTTGGTTTGCCTGCATGAGTTTCTCTTTTTTCTCAAATGCACATGATTACATTCATATTTTCCCAACCAGAAATTACAACCAGACTGAAAAATAAACAAATCTCAGACCGAGGTCCACTCCTTTTGTGGAGTTGTACCAGCATCCCACGCACGCTGAGTTTGCAGAGTTGCCATGGTAGTGGAGCTTTGGGACTTCTACAGTCAACTGAAATTTTTAGCCAGAAAAATGGAAAATTTAAACATCTGCAGTTTCCCAGCAGCTGAGGAAACTCTCTCTGCTGCTGAGTCATAGTTTAACTAGACTACAGAGCCTTTTTTAAAATTCAGAAACAGATGGTTTGGACATTTATTTTTGCATGTTTTACCTACGATGTAAGTGATGATAAGTAGTCCCCAAGTGTTTCCTTAAAGGGATATTCCAGCATAAAATTAATTTAGGGTCAAACACACCGTAGAGAGATGAATGTTGCAGACCGCTTGCTTCTCTTGTTATACCAACTTTAGTAACAACTGCAGGATAGCAATACACAATCCGTATACTGAAGGAAGGTGGAACCAAGTCGTCCATTGTATATACAGTCTAAGGTTTGATCTTAACTTTATTTTACGCCGGAATATCCCTTTAAATCAAAGAATACTCAAGCTGTTTACCGCAAGCGCAACTTATTTAAAGAAAAATGTATGAATAAAATATACCTTTAAAACTGTGTAAATAGTTTTAAGCTCCAAAAATACACGTAGAAAATTTAATAATAAAGTTAATAAAGTTCACTTTTTAGACTTTTCGTTTCGTTTATGAATCCCTGTGAATATTTTCCGACGGTCCCTGAAAGCAGCACTTGAATTGAAAAAAACGTTCTAGAACGCCCACTGTCCTCCACCTCGTGCCAACCTTTGACCAACCAGCGTCGGGGAATCAGCTGATTCTGTCACATGACCTACGGTAACATGCACCTAGCCGCCTATTATAAAAGGTCGGCAGAAGGCAGGGGCGACGAGTGTAAATAACCTCCATTTTAGGGGGAAACAGCCTAAAGAAACAGGTAAGTAAGAACATTTAACGATATTTATCTCTGCGGTGTTCAGCGGTGTGTTGGTAGTTGTAGTTCCGGAAGTTAGAGTACTTTATGTTCCAGCAGGAGGCAGTTAGCATCACTGGAGGCTAATGCTAATGCTAAGAGAGAGAGCTGTCAAATCTGGGAAAACAAGAATGACTAAACAGGAGACGATGATGCTTTAAAAATACAATAAAACATGATTCAGATGTTGGTGACTGACAACAGCTGCTCAGATGTCGGTTGTTTTGATCAGTGTTTGCTTTTCAACGTGCGTGGTTTGTTTGTTCAGAGAATTAAAGGGACAGAGGATCTCCAACCAAAGATTCACAACAAGACAGTATCATAAATGAGATAAACCAAGATGTTTCGATGAAACTGAGAGCAGTATGTAAGATCTTTTAACAGAGTTAAAACCATAGAGATTGTGACAGTGAAAACATGATAACAGTACAGCACCACTGACATTAAACTCTGAAAACCCTGGAACATGTATGAAAAACAGTAGGGGAGAGTGGGGTAAGATTAGCCTATTTTCATATTTTAGATCACTACATGAAGTCAATCATAGTTTTGTCTCTAACTAGTGTATTTGCATATATCAGTCTGACAGAATAAGTGTAAACGGTCCATGTATTATCGGTCTATTCAATTATTTCATTCAATCTAGTAAATTAAAAAATGAGTCAATATTTTGTTTGTTTTTCTGTATAAACAAATATTAAAAAATTAGTTTTTGTTTTCGTATTTTCAGTTTAAAACAGAATATGTAATAGAGAAGGAAATGAAGATGAAATAATAAATCTTATTTATAATTATTGATTTTGAGTGTGCCTGTTTTGAACATACATGTATGGGGGCTGCATTGGCCTTCCCATGATTCTCAGCGACAGTTACCATGGCGAAAGAAAAAGACAAAATGTTTAATGTTTGAATTGCTAAACTTGATTTGAACTTGATGCTGCGGCACGTTTCACAAAAGCTGGGACATTAAAACTGATTTAGATGAAGCTGTTTTCATCCCACGGTGGGGAAATTTACAGTGTTATAGCAGCAAAGGATCAGCGCAATTAAACTGATAATTATAAACAGTTAACTTAAAACCAATATAGGGAATGTTAAATACAAAACAGAGGGACAAAAACAACAATAACAAAAAAGAAATGGACACGTTATTATTGCCCATTGTTTGAGTTATACCTTAGAAACATGCAGGTATTTACAATTGCATTAAAATAGTCGTCTGTCTGTATTGCTCATGGAGGTAACACTCAGTTATTGTCTGTTAGTTGTGCTAAAAAAAACTGGACTACTGTGAGCAGGCCTGTTTAATCAGTCTGACTGCAGCAGGAAGGAAGGACTTGTGGTTTCTCTCTGTCACTGAAGGAGCTGTTACAGAGCTGTTACAGTGTTGTTACAGCGCTCTGCAGGGGGTGAGAAACAATATCTATGAGAGCTTAGCCATGTCATCCTCCTGTTCCCCATCACCTCGACAGGGTCCAGAGGGCAGTCCAGGACAGAGCTCGCCTTCCTCACCGGTTTGTTTAGTCAAACTGAACAATTTATCAGCTGATTATGAACCAAAGGGCAGAAAATATTTCAACGCTCTGAAGTTAAATTTGATTATGTCCGAGTTAATGAAGAAACTGTGATCGGAAAATACCAGAAAGATGCTTCAAATGTGGAAAATGGAGAAGTTTGTCTGCTACAGGGATAGAGATAAGCAACAGTGACTTTAAACCATAACTTTAAATACATAAAGCAGATTTACATAAACATGTTTCTACATTTTGAGCACAAAGTTTCTTTTTTGGCTTTAAGCTCAAATTCCTCGTAAATCTCCGAACTCAGCCAGTCTTTCCTCCTCAGGTGAGGTGAGCTCAGGCGTCTCTCTCTCCGCTGTATGGATGCCAAAGTGTCCTTCTGGCCGTGACCGCTGAGCAGAGGAGTGTCACAGTGAAGCCTGACCGCCATGTATCCGTTCGGCTGCGAGGCGGAGACCTCTCTCCAGGACCTGTTCGAGTACTTCAAAAGGTGCCTGCAGCACGGCGAGTGGGAGCTGGCCGGCGCCTGCGTGCCACAGCTGGTTCGGTCCACAGGAGGACTTTCGGAGAAGCTGCGAGAAATCATCAGAGCGATCGTCTGTCAGCCTTACAGTCTGAAGTGAGGGAAGAATCTGGTTTGAATGTGGTCGTGTGGAAAGGTTTCCTGTCAGAGGTGTCTGATATGACGGTGTTTTTGTTGTAGATGGGAGTCTGTGGGGAGTCCACACAAACTGGCGTGGTTTTGGCTTCAGGTTTTGGAGAAATGGACAGAAGAGAAGGTAAACGTCTTTAACTCTGTCTCTGCTGGTCTCCCTGTGAGCCTGCGTGACTACAAACTGTGTCCATGTTCTTCAGGTTCCTCCAAACACCAGACGGGAGCTGGAGTTCCTGCTGCTGATGGAGGAGCTGGGGTCAGAGGGCATACCAGGGTCAACTCTCAAGGTCATTATGAAAACCAGCGTCATCTTCAATCAGATTAAAGGGCAGTGACACCGTTTTTAACTCGATTTGTACCTACAGGAGCTGCACCAGGCTTTCTTAGACTCACAGAAGACCCCTGATGGTTCGAGGACGACAGATGATGCGGTGGAGTCTTGTCTGCAGACTTTACTGGAGAAGAAGAAGCCCAGACTTGCTCAGATGTTGTCTCATTTCCTGCAGGTAAAGTCAAATATCTCACTTTGTCTTTTCTGAAACACAGAGACGAACAGTAATAACCTTTTGTCTTCTCCAGGAGCAGCCGGGCTCAGAGGACCGCGGCCTGCAGCACACCTTCATCTCACACCTGATGAGGAAGCTCTCAAAGCCGGAGAGGAGGCCGGAGAACGTGGAGGAGTGGGCGGAGGAGATCTACTCCGTGCTGTCTGTGATGCCGTGGAGCTCAAAGCGAGGACAGGGGCGGCTGGAGGCGCTGTGTGAGGCGCTGTGGGCGGTCAGGGACGACCCGCTGAGGGAGGAGAGGATCCTGAGCTCGCTGCTCCGCCCGCGATGTGACGCTCTGGTCTCTGAATACTGCTGCACCGCTATGAGGCTGCAGAGGGATCACCTGCTGAGGAGCGCCCCCCAAACACAAGGTAACTGAGGAGAAGAACTTTATTTACAAACCCGGGGTTCTGTTTCTGCAGGTTCTGAAAGCCTCGACAGAATCCTCGATCTGGTCCACACACTCTTAGTGATCTGGAAAAACCGTCTTAAGCTTAGCAGACAGATCTCCAAATGTGGCTTTATTTTTGTCAGAGAACCCAGAGTCCAACAGGCAGAATTTCAGGATTGATACTTATTGATTTAAACTTTGAAGTTAACTCAGAGTCAAACTTTACAGTCCATGTCATTGCTGCTCGCTGAATCGACCCGCCGGTCTCCATCTGCTCACAGAAATCTGTTAAACTGAGTCTCTAGATCTGATGCTGCTCTTCAGCCCAGTAACGACTCTCTGCTGTCGTTTCCTGTCTCATCACTTCCTCGTCTGATCTCATTTTAATCTCTCACAGATATCTGAAATCTGAGCTCGCTCCTCTCTGCCGTCAGTTTCCCCTTTTCCCTCTTTTGATCGCACTTCTGCTTCTGTGGTCCTGACGAACTTCATGTCACAGCTGTTTTTGATTTTTTTTCAGCTGTAGGAAAATTGACTTTCATTTCCAAAGATCTGACATGAAGCTTCAACTTGACAAAGACCAGGGAGCGTGGACGTGTTTCTCCATCTCAGGGATGCTTTCGTGTTTGAAAACAATCTTATTTAGATCATAAAACAATTCAGAATTGACACACAGACACCAGCTGAACAAAGTGAAGCAGAGCTGAGATGCTTTCAAAAAGAAAATAATAACTTTATTTTTTATAGCACTTCTAAAAACAGAGGTTTACAAAGTGCTTTGACATAAAGCTCTGAACGTCGGCATATGGAAATAAAAATAAAAAGTTCAGTTGAAACAAGACATTTTCATATGGCATAAGGAACCCAGACAATACAAGAACCCTGCAGCATAAAATAAGACCATGAGGACCAAAATAAGATCGTAAAATATATTAGTATATAAGTATAACAAAAGCTAAAAAGACAGTAAAGCTGAAATAAGTAAAAGAGATAAAGAATGGCATCACATAAAAAAAATTCTGTTTTTAAGATTGACTTAAAAGAAGTGTCTGTCTCTGCTGTTCGCCTTATCTCCTCTGGCAGGTCGTTCCAAAGTCGAGGAGCTCTGATGGAGAAAGATCTGTCACCTTTAGTTTTGAGTCTCGACTTTGGAACGACCAGGAGGCCTTCGCCAGACGATCTGAGGCTGCGAGTTAAAAGCTCTGAAATGTAGCTCGGAGCGACTCCCTTACGAGCTTTAAAATTAATCAATAAAATCTTAAAATCAATTCTAAAACTGACAGGAAGTCAGTGAAGGGAGGCTGAAATTAGAGAGATGTGAAGCCGTCGACTAAAACCAGTTTTAGTTTTAGCACCTTCATGTTAGTATTTACAGACTGTTCCAAATCCAAACTCTCTCTTTTTCTGTTTCTGCGTCTGTCCTCTAGTTTAGTTCGATATTTAAAGTGTTTTCTTGTCATTATCATTCGTAACAGAAACATTTCTTCTCTCTAGCCGATCTTCCTGAAGCAGAGCGGCTGACCCTGAGTTTATGTAGCTACAAGGATCGTCCATCCGTCTGGAAGACCATCTACTTTGAGTGCCTTAGCAGCGGGAAACACTTCCTGGAGCAGGTTTTGGTGAGTGGACCAGGAGAAGTGGTCATTCTGTCTTTCTAATTTGGACTCTTGAAGGATGAGAAAACACGGTCAGCTGACCGAGGAGGACATTCAATAAGGTGACAGAAGTGGTCTCTCTTCCTGTAGGTGACGGCGCTCGACCTGATTAAACACGAGGAGTTCGCTCAGCTCAGAGACCTGCTGCAGCTGGAGTTCCAGCCTCTGTCCCGTCTGCTGTTACTGCTGGGCTGGACTCAGTGTCGCAGTCTGAGCTCGGCTCAAACGCTGCTCAGCATCCTTCATCGAGAGCAGGTCAGGAAACAAACACCAGCTGTTTCACTCCAGGAGGGGTTTGGAAAGTCTCTCCTGGAGTTGTTTTCAGCTCGTCCTCACTGCAGAAAAGGTCTGAAAGAAGTCCAGATCCCTCTATGAATACCAAGACCTCATTATGGGACAATAAAATCATGACTTTTCTTGATTTTAGGGGTCAAACAGTTTAAAAAAACAACCTTTTAATACTTTTCATTCTCCTGTAAATGTTTCAAACTTGTTCTGAAATATAAAAAGTCATTTTTTTAACCTCATCTCTTTGTTTTCAGGCTCCAGCCAGCGACTCTGTGCTGCAGGAGTTTGCTAACCTTCTGTCTTCTCAGCTCGGAGTTCTGGAGTGGTGTAAAAACAACAACCCGTGAGCGTCTCTCCTTTCTTTTCCCAGTTTTTCTCCGTCTGAGTAACCCTTTCTTTCTAACGTCGACCTCTTCTCTGTTTTCTTTCTTCAGAGGGATTCCCACCGAAGCGTTGCTGTCCCAGCTCTACACCCTGGACAATCACTCGGCCCTCTACGTTCTGCACTCCTTAACTCCTTTAGCTCAGTTTGAAGAGCGCAAGATCCTGGATCTGCTGCAGCAGCTGACAAACTCACCAGGAACAGGTCGGCGTCCCGATCGCCCTCTCTCTCTCTTTTTTTTTTTTAGTGTTTGAGATTTAACTCGAGGTTTGTTTCCTTTTACCGCAGGAGAAGAAGACGGTGAGAAGGTGAGTCCTCTCAGTCCAGGTCTGCAGAGGAACATCATCCTGTTCCAGGGTTTCTGTGCCATGAAGTACGCCGTCTACGCTCTCTGTGTGAACGCGCACAAATACTGGAGCTGCTCCGACTGTGAGTCCACGCCGCATCAGCAGCCGTCTGAGGAGGAACCAGACCAGGATCAAACCTCCACGTCTTCAAACGGTCTGCAGACGGTTTATCTCCTCTGAGAAATGATGAAAAAAAAGAACGATGAGAAGCAGAAGTTTGAGTTTCTTCTTCGTTTGTTTTCTTTCCAGGTTCTCCTCTCATGTTCAAGCACTTCCTGTCAGAGTGTCAGCTCTACCTGGAGGCGGTTCCTGCCATGTTTCGCCTCGAGCTCCTGGAGAACATCTTCTCCCTCCTCTTCCTCTCCACTGCAGACTTCGTCCAGAAGGACCCGAACTCAAACCAGAGCTCTCAGTCCGAGAGTCCATCAGACACGAGAACCGTGGAATCTGAGACCAAACCAAAGACGGGCGAGACGGAGAACCAGAAGCCGAGACCGGATTCATCTACAGCGTCCCTCTGCGGTCACCTGGAGCTGGGACACTTCATCCAGGGCTGCAGGGGGTTCCTGGTGGACGTGACGGCCATGGAGGGGTTCCTGAAGCTGCTGAAGGAAGGACTGGAGGGGATGTGTGTGGTGGGAGAGCAGGACGGCCAGGAGGGGGGACGGGCGCTGCCTCGGGAGGAGGAGGCGGCTGAGAGCCTGGGATGTTCAGTGACGGCGGCCACGTTTGGATCCCGTCTGCAGAGGTTGTCCAAGCGTTTGGCGGAGGCTCAGTGGAGGCTGCAGATCATCACGAGTAACCAGAGCGGCGGCGGCGGTGAGATGAACACGCCGTCTTAAATTTCTGCTCACGTTTCCTTTAGAAGTAAGAGTCCTTCTTAAAGTCTGAACGTTGATCTTGCAGGTCCAGAAAGTCCGTTCCAGATGTCCTCAGTCGGCGGAGCGGTCACGCCTCTGGGCCGCAGTAAAAGCTCGAGTCTGAGGAGGAGAAAGAGACACGGGAGACACTCCATCGAGAGACAGACGTCCACGGAGAGATGCAACGGGGAAGTGAGCACCAGCACGTCAGGTGAGGACCAGATCCAGCTTCATCTGTTCATTTCAGAGACACGTTTGGAGAGCGCTCACCTCTTCTTCTTCTGTGGTAGACGGTGGAGGAGGAGCAGCAGCAGGTTCAGTGGAGTTGGAGGTCTGTCCATGTGGCGGTCCACACAGCTGGCTTGTCCCCGCCATGCTGTCCCCTCCAGAGTCTCTGCTCATGTCCTGCATCCGCCGAGGGAACTTCATGGAGGCCCATCAGGTCTGTGGTGGTCTCCTCAGGTTCACGGGTGTCTTTGAGACCTGAACCTGAGGACTGAGCTGAGTCTTGGTGTCCCCTCAGGTGTCTCTGGTGTTCGATCTGGAAGCGTCCGCCTGCTGCGGCGAGCTGGTGTTCATGGAGCGCTACAAAGAAGTCCTGGTGGAGCTGAGCCGGGTGGAGCAGAAGATGGAGAGCCAGTCCATGTCTTCATCCTCGTCCTCCTCTGAAGGTCTGGGGACTCCAGCTGCGACGGGTCCGGGGAGGAGCTGGCTGGGCAGCAGCGGGCGATCGACCCTGCAGGCGATCGGGAGCGCCGCTGCTGCAGGTTTTTACTCTCATGTTCGACTCTGTGATCTAAAATCCTGACGTTTCAAACTTCTGCTTCACTGTTTTTGATTTTTAGACCTTAAAGGACTCTGAGGTTCCTGGATCTGACTCTGTACCCTCCTCTGCAGGTGTGGCGTTCTACTCCATCTCAGACATCGCAGACCGTCTCCTCAGCAGCCCCGCCCACCCCATGCCGTCTCTGGAGGAGAACTACTGGCTGAGCAGCTGCTCCTCAGACCCCTCTGGGCTGCTCTACACGCTGCTGGAGGAGCTCAGTCCTGCAGCCATGGCGGCCTTCGACCTCGCCTGCTGCCACTGTCAGCTCTGGAAAACGTCCCGTCAGCTGCTGGACACGGCGGAGCGGCGGCTCTACAGCAGCCTGGAGGCTCGAGGTGTGTGGGAGTCTCTTTTTAAGAAAGTTTGAGTCAAAGTGAAGCTGAACTTATGAAAGTTTAAGGCGGGGTCGACAGGAAGTAGATTTGTTTGTGGTGTTTATACAAAAAAACTTTTAATATCAGTCAATAGTTATTAGTTATTGATGACATTTGGGAATATCATGATATCGCTGTGTTCTCTTATGTACAACTGAGTATTAGAGACACAGTAAGAAAAAAATATGTAACACTTAGAGATTAAAGTCGTAAACTTCGGAGAATTAAGTCGTAATAAAGTAATTTTTTACAAGAACAAAGCCGTAATAAATTGATTTCTGATGAGAATAAAGTCATAATTAAACAATTAAGAGAATAAAGTCCTAATAAATCAATTTCCTATGAGAATAAAGTCCTAATAAAATAATTTTTTATGAGAGTTAAGTCAGAATAAATTCCTTATATCCGAACTTGTTGTTTAAGATGACAGCTGTTGAAATAAGAGCTTTGGAGCATTTCGTGAAAATGTACTTTTATATAAGTCAATTTTAAAAACTCACTTTTACAGACTTGCCTTTATGTGATGCCATCTTTCATCTTTTATCGTCTTTTACCTTTTTTCTTTTTCTCCTTTTTCTTTTACCTCTTTTACCTCTTTCTTATTTAGACTTACTGTCCTTTAAGCCTTTGATTTACTTATAATCTTTTCTTATTTTATCTCTCAGGTCCTTCATTGATTTTAATGTTTTTTATTTTCCTTTATTTTATTTTTTATATATATATATTTTTTTTATTCCACTTTATCATTTATATTACCATCATTATCATTTTATTATAATTTTATTATTATTATTAATATCCTCTTTTATACTTACTAGCCTGTTTCCTGCCCTCCTTTTCTATTTCATTTTATGTTTTTACTTTGGTCCTCATGGTCCCATTTATTTTGTAGGGTTCCTGTATTGCCTGGGTTTCTTACAAAAAGTGAAACAGGCCTACAATTCAGAGGCCTGTTTTTGAGCTTTTGTTTTTATGTGTTTTTATTTTCATGTGCTGATGTTCTGTGCTTGCAACTGTTGTCTAAGCACTTTGTAAACTTCTGTTTTTAAAGGTGCTATATAAATAAAATTATTATTATTATTATTATTACTATTTTAATATATATTTCTCAAACAAGAAGATACTTAATCTTTTGGCACATAAGCACCACATGATCATAAGTATCATAAAGATTTTATTACGACTTTATTCTCGTAAGTTAACGACTTTAATCTTGGAGTCTTAGTTTTTTTTTCCTAATGTGGCCCTAATGCTCCTTTGATCTTATGTCTGTGTCGTCAACATTTAAAAATTTTTTGAGCGGTCCGCTCTTTGTGACTGTAAACAAAGCCGTTCTCTGCCTCCATGACCTGATTGGTTGTGAGGCAGACGCTGCTCCCCCGTGTCGTTCAGGAGCCCAAACAAAGTTAGCGTGCTACAATATCGGACAGTAGAAACCAACCAGAAAGTTCGGAAAATTGTCTGAATCCTCCTTTGGCCACGACTGCCGACACAAGCAAGAAAAGACTCAAACATAAACAGTCAGCAAGAAAACAGTCAACAAGAAAACAGTCAGCAAATAACAATCAACACCAAACCGGTAAACAGGAAAATGGTCAACACCAAAACAGTCAACAAAAATCAGTCAACAAAAAACAGTCAACAAGAAAACAGTCAGCAAGAAAACACTGCTCCCCCGTGTCGTTCAGGAGCCCAAACAAAGTTAGCGTGCTACAATATCGGACAGTAGAAACCAACCAGAAAGTTCGGAAAACTGTCTGAATCCTCCTTTGGCCACGACTGCCGACACAAGCAAGAAAACAAAGTAAATCCCGGAGACTCTGGAGGAATAACGGGCGCTTAAAACGGAGGTAGACCGGACAAGAGCTAAAAAGCCGGGTCAACATAAACGATGGGGGACGCTTGGGGATCTTGGTGACCCTGTAACCTTTCTGCTGGACAGGTAAACCGCTTTAACAAAGTAAGACAAGTGTCTGTAACAGAAGTGTTTCTTGTCAAACGGACCTGCTGTAGCGTGTTGTAGCGCCATCGCTAAACTGTCCTCCCTCGGGTCCTGGACTATGTCACTTTATCCTCGTTGTAGAAGTCCTGCAAACATTTTGACTTTCAAGTTGACTGGGCCTCGTTTGTAATGACTTATCTGCATTATATCTGAATTTAATTGAAACGATACGAGCGAGCAGGAGAGTCTGTTTGTGGGCGGGGCTAAGGGGAAAACTGACACTTCCTCAGATCCTGCCTACCCCACCTTTTAGATCGAGTCTTTTATGAAGTTTTAAAACGTTGAGCTTCAGTTTCATGTGTTACATTTTAATCTGCCCCCCCAGGAGTCGGAGTCGACTCAAAGGTTCCTCATTCTGAGGGGATCTGTGGATTTCCTCTGGTGTTACAACAGATCAACAAGATCCTGAATCACTCGGTCTCTAATAAAGGTTCTGTCAAAGCCGGTGAGTCTGAACTCTTTCCTCGTCGTCTCTGTCCGTCTTAACTCAAAGTTTGTGAAGCGATCTTCTCACACCAGGTCTTCTCTCGTCCACAGAAGCTGTCGTTGAAGACCAAGTATTCGCCAGTCCCTTCGGTTGCTGCGTCCAGGACGTCCTCCTCTGCTGTCACCCGTCTCTGACCGAAGAGTGCATCGCTGCTCGGCTCGGTCTCGCTCAGCGTTTGGAGACGACTCTGAGCATCCTGAGCGGCGCCACAGACGGAGCAGGTTTGAACAGAAACTGAAGCTGCTTAGATGTTCTGAACCGGATCAGCAGGAGGTTTTAGTGCCTTCAGCTGGACTTTAAAGGATTGTTCAGGATGTGTGTCTCTCCTCCCACAGAGGGCAGAGTGGGCAGCGCTCTCCTGGCTCTGCTGGGCGAACAGGCCAGTCTGAAACCGGCCGAGCTGGACTCTCACCCTGTGCGCTCCAGTATGAAGCAGCTGCTCCGCTCTCTGGACCAGCTCTGCCCCTTTGAGCCCGACGGAGACCTCGCCAGACCAGATTACGTGCGCAGTTTCTTGGACTACATCAACACGCTGGCGTCTGTGCTGGTGCGGAGTCTGAGCTCAGAAGGTGAGAGACAGAAACATCGTCTTTGAAACTCTCCTCATCCCTCTAAATTCATCCTCAGAAGTTCGTAAATGTCCATTTTTATCTTCTTCTTCTCTGGTTCCTCTCAGACCAGAACAGCGAGGTCAAACTCGGGAACCCTCTGCTGGTGTTGCTCCAGTCCCCGTTTCAGCTTCTGTCCCACCTGCTCTTTGACAGACAGGTGGCTCCGGACAGGTATGCATGAAGACTCCTGTCCAGACTGACCAATCAGAGACACAGTTGACTTTTCGGGGTTTCCAGATGCAGGGATTTTGTGTTTTTCCTCGTGGTTAACAGTCTCGTTCTTGTCCTCCTTTAGGGTCCTGTCTTTGCTGTATTTGTCCTCCTCTCAGGGTCCTGTCTTTGCTGTTCTTGTCTTCCTTTAGGGTCCTGTCTTTGCTGCAGCAGGAGGGTCTGCGTCTGAGCGTCCAGCAGGTGATCGTCCAGCGCTGCTGTGAGACTCTTCCTGTCTGGACGTCCTGTCCGGGCGACGACGGAGACGCCGGTCCGACTAAAACAGACGACGGCACGTTTGGAGTCTCCAGTCTGTCCGTCCTGCTCCAGCAGCACGCTCCGGAGCACATGTCCACTCTGGGACTCGCAGAGTCTCACTCGGACGTGAGCTCCGAGTCTGAGACGTCTGCTGCGGAGGACAGCTCCGCCCTCTCCACCTCCCCCACCAACCTCTCCACCTCTCCACTGTCTCACTCGTCCTCCTCCTCATCCTTGTCGTCTTCCTCGAACTCCTTCCTCCTCACACCATCAGCTCTGTCCTTCCTGAAGTCTCGCTCCCCGTTACTCGCCACGCTCGCCTGTCTGAGCGCGTGCAAAGGGGAAGCGGCCCGGACTCAGCCCTCGGGGTGGTCCGGTTATTTCCGTAGCGGCCGTAAGGAGGCGGTTTTAGACGGGGAGCAGATCTCTAAAGAAGCAGACCTCCTCCTGAAAGACTTCCCAATCCTGCGTGCGTACCTCCACGCCATGGCGGAACCGGTGCTGGGCTCTCTGGGCGGCGAGGGGGAGGAGGGGTTAGGGGCGGTGGTTTGTGGGAAACCTCTGGTCAGTCTCCTGCTGTCTGGACCTCAAGCAGAAGTGTCTCAGGCTGTGGCGGCTGAAGCCTTCCAGAAATCTCTGTCCTCCAAAGACCTGTGCCGGGCCCTCAGTCTGCTGGAGCTGTACGGGCAGGGCTGCAGCCAGGAGGGGGCGCTCAGGGACCGCCTGCTGGCCTGCGCCGCCCTAGAAGGTAAGAATAAAGAGATTCGGTTTAATCTGAATCTGACTCGCTGTGGTTTTGAGTTTTTTGTTGTTTCTCGACCTTCAGACGGAGACAACGGTATCGGTCAGCTCTTCAGAGTCCAGGACGCTAACCTGCGAGGCCGCGTCGCTCTCCAGGCTCTGGAGCGCTGGCCTCTGTCTTCCTGTCTGGAGCTGCTGGAGTTCTGTCTGAATGACCCGGACACGGAGAGCTCACTGAGGACGGAGCTGGAGATGAAGAAGAAGGAGCTGGACATCTACCACTGGGTAAGATCCGAGTTTCCTCTGATCTGAGAGGAAACGAAAGGAAAAAAGTCTTAAAATGAACTTGAACTCCATTTGAACACTTAGATATTTAAATAAAGGAGCATGACTTTAGTTTTCCTGAGGAACTCTTTCTCTCCTCTCTTTGTCTGATTTTCCTCTCTGACTAAACGGCGTTTGTCTTTCCTCCTCACAGATGCTGACTCTGCAGCCTCCGTTGCCCTGGGTTACCTGGCAGGAGCTGAGGACCGAGTCAAAGACAAACTCCGAGTCCTTGTTGTTGAAGATGATGGAGGCTAAAGTTTGTACACCTCACTTACAGACAATAAACCGTTTTTATTTTAATTCATCGGTTTGATGTTGACGACGTTGTTCCCCGCAGGAGTTTGACCTCTGCGCTCGCTGGGTCGACCTCTATCCCGTTTCTGAGCAGCTGAGGCTGCAGCTGCAGACCGAGCATCTGCTTCACCTGCTGGAGAAAGGACAGATGGACGAGGCTTTCCAGGTACAGAGGGACTCAACATGTGGTCCAGACTAAAACCAATCTAGATCTTTTTATAGTGATGAGTCGTCTGGGTCCTGGAGTCTTCCTGCTGGATTTATATGATCCAGATCTGCAGATTTGGGCTCAGGACCAGATTAGACACGTCTCTTTACTGATTCAACTCTAGTGCAATATTAGAAATGTAAATACCTCTATGTTTTCTGCACATTTCTTTTCTCTCCTGTTGCAGATTTTCGTCCCCGTGTTCACGTCTCTTTTACCAAATAAACACATGAATATATAAACTCTTGTTTCAGTTGCTGGAGGCCGTCTCAGATTTCGCCGTCGGCCTGGACGTCTGTGAACGAGCTCTAGATCGCCGCCCCGGATTGGCAGCGTGTCACTTCCTGGCTGATTACCTCACTCTGCATTTCCAGAGGCAGGTTTCTCCGGCACGCCGACGGCACATCCACGCCCTCCACCTGGGCTCCAAGGTTTGTATGTAGTCCAGGAAATGCGCACTGGTCTGAGTTCGAGTTTCAGACCGTTTTCAAACTCGTGTTTCTTCTCCTTCAGGTGTTGCTGACTCTTCCTCCTGCGGCGCGGCAGGATTACTTCCCTCTACTGTCTGAGCCGCTGCTGATGCTGGAGCAGCTGCTGATGAACCTGAAGGTGGACTGGGCGGACATGGCGGTGCGAACCCTGCGGAGCCTCCTGATTGGTCAGGAGGCCGGTTTTGGTGCGGAGGACATCGATAAGCTCCTGTCAGATTACGCCTGTAAGGCTCTGGACTTCTCCTGCGCCCCGCGGAGGTGGTCTCGATCCGGTCAGTGAATGTTCATGTGACGTCAGGCAGAATTTCAGAATAAAAGCATACAGGCTTTTACTTTGAAGCACAGTTGTAGATTGACACATGGCTGCTTGTTTTGCAGACTCTCTCGGCGGTCTCCAGGACGCTCTGCTGCAGTGTCCCGCTCAGGAGAACTCCGCTTTATTCTCTCAGATCGAATCTCCGACAGCATCTTCAGGTGAGACTCAAACCGAGGTCCTCCAGGCGACGGCGCCGCTCTGAATCCTTCACATGTTTCTGAAAGTTTAATGAAACTTTGACTCTTCGTGACTCTCGTGTTCAGGCAGCACGCCATCACACACGCCCTCCAACACCAGCGCGGACAGGGACAGGGACCGCGTCTCTGCAGGGAGGAAACAACGATCGTCCGCCAAGTTCCAGCCTCCTGAACAACCTCCAGCCCGCAAAGACTGGGTCCCGGACACGCAGCAGCACGTGTGCATGGTCTGTCTGCACGAGAGGTTCACCATGGTGAGTGTGAGAGTGAGAAGAGATCAGGACGTCTCAGAGAAACCGTCCGACTGAGTGTCTGTGTTTTTCTCGCAGTTCAACAGACGCCATCATTGTCGGCGCTGTGGTCGCCTGGTTTGTCAGGCGTGTTCGGAGCACAAGATGCCCGTCGAGGGATGTCCTGGAGAGGAAGTCCGAGTCTGTGACCAGTGTTACGCCTTCTTCCACCCCGAGTACGAGTCTGGAGCGGGTTTTGTTTTAACGTTTACTCGATAGAGAAGATTTATGAGGAGGCCGTGTCTCTAAAAAGTGAAAATCCAGTTTAATTTGGGTGTTGAATAAAAATCTCTCCTCTTTGAAAACCAACAGGAAGTCTTTGAGTAACCGTGTCTGTAACTTTAACACTTAAAGTAAATGTTTCTGTTTCCCTTTTACAGCTCTGATGATGAACTGGAACCAGCTGAAGGTAAATTTAGGAGGAAGTTTTTCAGTTTTAGTGGATAAAAAAAAGACTTCTTCTCCTCCTTCTTCTTCTTCTCCTCCTCCTCCTCCTCCTCCTTCTTCTTCTCCTCCTTCTTCTTCTTCTCCTCCTCCTCCTCCTCCTCCTCCTTCTTCTTCTCCTCCTCCTACTTCTTCTCCTCCTTCTTCTTCTCCTCCTTCTTCTTCTCCTCCTCCTACTTCTTCTCCTCCTCCTTCTTCTTCTCCTTCTTCTTCTTCTTCTTCTTCTTCTTCTCCTCCTCCTCCTTCTTCTTCTCCTTCTTCTCCTTCTTCTCCTCCTTCTTCTTCTCCTTCTTCTCCTTCTTCTTCTTCTTCTTCTTCTTCTTCTTCTTCTTCTTCTCCTCCTCCTTCTTCTTCTTCTTCTCCTCCTCCTCCTCCTCCTCCTTCTTCTTCTTCTACTTCTCCTCCTCCTCCTCCTCCTCCTCCTCCTCCTCCTCCTTCTTCTTCTTCTTCTTCTTCTCCTCCTCCTCCTTCTTCTTCTACCCCTTCTCCTCCTTCTCCTCCTCCTCCTCCTCCTCCTTCTTCTTTCCTCTTCTTCTCCTCCTCCTTCTTCTTTCCTCTTCTTCTTCTTCTTCTCCTCCTTCTCCTCCTCCTCCTCCTCCTCCTCCTCCTCCTCCTCCTCCTCCTCCTCCTGTAGTTCAGGTTTTTCACGCAGCCTTCTCTCTCTCTCCTTTCGTTGCTCAGTCGCTGGAAGTCCTGCGGTCAGCGAGGACGCTCTGGACGGGATGTTTCATCTCCCTGAAGTGGTTCAACAGAAGATCACACTCAGCACAAACTCTGCAGAGAACCAGCTGCTGCGGGGCGAGTTCTACTACGAGCAGGTGCGACTCTTAATCATGCACGGACAAGTTTTTCTGATTTTCCAACCCTGGTTCCTCCGCCATGTTAACTTGTTCATCTTGACCCCTCCAGGCTCCCAGTGCGTACCTGTGCGTGGCCGTCTTATCTCTGCACAGCGACCAGAAAGCCTGCGGTCATCAGCTCATCGGCCACTGCCGCGCTCTGTCCCGTAAACTCACCAACCCCGAGGTGGACGCCTGCCTCCTCACCGACATCATGCGGCAGCTGCTCTTCAGCGCCAAACTGATGTTCGTCAAAGTGGGTCGCAATCAGGACCTCGCCCTGTGTGACAGGTGAGACGTGTGTAACATGTCTGTAGAGGACGCCACGTGAATCACGTTGAACTCTAACAGTCTTCTTCTTCTTCTTCTTCTGTCTGGTGTCTCTGTGTTTCCAGTTACATCAGTAAAGTCGACGTGCTGAAAATCCTGGTGACGGCCAACTACAAGTACATTCCCTCTCTGGACGACATCCTGGAGACTCCTGCTGTCACGCGTCTCCGAAATCAGCTGTTGGAGGCCGAGTATTACCAGCTGGCAGTGGAGGTGAGACAAAAAAACCTACAAGCCTCTAAAACCTTCAAATCAAGACTGTACAGTACAACACTGTTTGTCTGTGTCCCTGCTGTCCCAGGTGTCCACAAAGAGCGGTCTGGACCCCGGCGCCGTGTGGCAGGCGTGGGGACAGGCGTCTCTGAAATTCGGGAACCTCTCAGGAGCTCGAGAGAAGTTCGCTCGCTGCCTGAAGGCCCCGGTGGACCGAAACCAGCTCAACCTGGGTCCTTTACTGCTGCAGGAGATCATCCAGCACCTGGAGAACGTGCATCCCACTCTGACCACGGTAACGCGACTACTGCACACACGTCACATGACATTACACGGTGGCGTCGCATGAGCAGAAGAGGCTCAGCGTTCACATCTTTAATACATCAGTACACAGACGTGAATGTTTTGATGCAGCCTTTTCTTCTCATCGCTGACTGGACTCAGAGTCAGTTTTACGGGTCAGCTGATCGCACGCTCTCCTCTTTATGTACAGACATCAAACATTAAACACAACAATGGTACACACATTAAATATTTAACTAACATAAACACGAGTCTGTGTGACTGTCTCCACACACCAAGCATGATAAATAAAATCATTCGTGTGATTGAATTACATGTTAATTCAACGCAAAGACGCGATCAGACGCTCCTTCTACTCTGGCCGTGTGAATGACGCGATTAGGCGGGAGTTTACAAGCGCGAGCTTGATTCAAAGAGATAGTGAGGGCTTTACAAGAGAAGAGAGAGAGAGGGAGGGGGAGGGGGAGGGAGGTGTTATTAAGCGCGTGGATTTTGGAACTGGATTGACGCCATAGGAGCTGAAAATGTCTCATCTATTCACGTCGTAACCTTTTCTTTCAATTACAGAAACTGGAATAAAAAGGTTCTCGCCTGAATGAGGAGGTCAGATTACCTGGTAAATTGTAAAAAAAAACAAAAAACTTTGTCTATCACTTGATCCCGCCGATTAAATTGGCAGGGATAACTGTTGAAATCACCGTTGACGCGCAAATGAAGCGAGTAAATACTGTTCATTCACGTGTCTTGATTTGGCCGAATTAAGCGAGTGGATGATTTTACGCTGCTCGGTGTTAACGCCCCTTAACGTCATCTGCCGACCCTCATACTTCATCAGTTGTCGCGACACGAATATCTGCTCAAATTTAGACACTTTCTGCTCACTCCCAATTCTCGTCATTCGCGCCGCCTCAGAGTAGTAGAAGTAATAGTTTAATCACGTCTTTGCATTGCCTTAATTCATTTGCTTAAATGCAGCACTACTCTCGCTTGGAGTGAGCACCTCATAAGAGCGCATAAATCCCTGATTTATAAAGTACGAACAATCAATCAGCAGTTTTCATGGAGACCTTTCAGAGGATGATGATGATGAAGAAGAAGAGAGGATGATATAAACAACGACAGATGGAAAAGATTTTTATTAAGTTTTTATTAATTTGTAAAAAGTCTCTTAGTTTCTTTCTCCAAAAGTGAAAATTAAAACGGCTCATTTTTCAGTTTGTTGTTGTAGTACTCACTTTGGCCACAAGAGGCAGAGTTGCACCACTAACAGCCCGGACAGCCTCATGTTTTCTGACCCTGGTGTGTTGTTGTTTCAGAGGTTGTTTCACGGTGGACCTCATCCTGATGTGTCAGCAAACATTTCAAACCCGTGACCCTGACCCCACATCTTTATAATCGCAGACCCTGAAGGACTCATCAGTCCGTATTTCTGTATTAAAACCTGTTGAATGAAGCCCCTCCCCCTCTCTCTTATATCACTCTGTATTGTCCGGGGTAATTATAGCCGTACAGCAGACTTCAAGTTCACTCTCTGCACCCGGGTGAGGACAGAATGTCTCCCCCCTTTAGCTCCGGTTCATGACACCTCTGGAATCTCCCGTGCATTGTTGTGTGTCGGGGGTGTGAGGCGCTCGTGTGGTTTCTATTGGCGAGCATTAATGGGAGTTTCCTTACGGGGAGAGCTTTGTTTACAACATGTGGAAGTGGCTCAGGGTCACTTTACAGTCACCTTACAGATAAGAGCGCCGTTATCGGTCAGTCACCTCTGCGCTGAATCATGTTCGGATAATTCCCGATTTATGACTCCGATTATCTCAGTGATTGAATTAAAATAGAGTCTTAATTATGTGGGTTAAAGCTCCATGAGGCCTGACTTTATAAGTCACCCTGATCCATCAGGCTGGGTCGTCTGATAATTTAAGGTCAAAGGGACGAAGACGAGACAAAGTCATCCTGAAAAACAAACAAAACCGAGACCAGAATGATGGTTTTTATTGAGTTTTAAAGGCCTGAAACAAAGGGGGTACCTGTCTGTGACCATGTCCTCTGTCTGTGTGTGTCTGTGTGTGTCTGTGTGTGTGTGTGTCAGCCTTTCAGTGAGGACATCTTGGCGTCTCTGTGGGAGCTGGATGACACCCTGTATGAGGCAGGTCCTCTGGATCGACCGGAGACCCCGACTCAGAGCGTCCACCTCCACCAGGAGTGTCTGCACTACCTGAACTCGTACGGCACCCACCTGGCGCTGATCAGCTACTACATGCGCAAAGACTGCATGACCGAGGCTCTGACGTACCTGCTGGACAAGGTGAGGACAGAAAATGGTGCATTAAAGGACTCCGGTGAACGTCCGAAAAGAGGAATCTCAGTTTTTTCTGCAGTAATTTTTAAATTAGATGATCAAACATCTCGATTTAGGATCTGATTAGAAATCTCAGGGCTCCTAAACCGACCCGGGCCTCTTTCTTTCAGACCCGCTTCTCTGTATTTGAGTAAATGTTGCAGCTGAGTCTCTGTTTGGGTCTAAGAAAGACGATCAAACCGCCTTAAAGGTTTAAAACAGCAGCTGCACCTTCTCTTAAGTCTTAAACTTGATCAGAGAGCGGCATGTCCAGCAGGTGTTTCACTCTCCTGATGTTTGACGCGTGTTTCTCTCTCTGATCCTGGTCCAGGACTGTCCAGATGAGGTCTTTCTTGAAGGCGTGTTGCAGCCCAGTCTTCAGCGCGGGAACCTCGGCGCGCTGCAGGGGATCCTGGAAAAACTCGACCCCACTCTGGAAACCTGCAGCCGCTACCTCATCGCTTCCTGCCAGTTCCTGCAGCGGCGAGGACGCTTCAACACGCTCTATCAGATCCAGCAGTTCATGATGGTCAGATCTCGTCTCCGTGTCAAAGTCAGACTGTCGCTGAGATTATAATCTGATCAGATTATCTCATATTTCTTTCAGGATCATGTCAGAGCCGCCATGACCTGCATCCGCTTCTTCACACACGGCGCCGGTTCGTATCTTCAGCTCGGCGAACAGCAGGTACGTCTCTCTCTGTTAGCTGAAGTGACCTTTGACCTGTCAGAGGTCACATGTTGACCGTTCTGTCGACTCTGCGCAGCGCTGGTTAGTCCGAGCCAAAGAGCACCTGAGGACGTACCTGCAGGAGCAGCAGGGGCGGGGCTCCGGGAGGAGGAGGTCGCAGGTCAACTCCTTCAGGAAGATGATGTCATCCAGTGACGTGTCCAGGTGAGCGAACGCCGCCTCGAACCCTCACGAGTCTGTTCTGGTTTCTCTCTTTAAAGCTCAGACCCCTCCTGCTGTTTCTCATCAGACACATGAACACCATCGAGCTCCAGCTGGAGGTGACGCGGTTCCTCCACCGCTGTGAGACCGCCGGTTCCTCCAAGACTCAACAGAACAGCACGCCAACCAGCAAGACCCCTGGATCCAGCTCGCCACCGACACTGTTCGAAGGAAACCCCGTCAAAGTGGAGGTGGCCTGCAAGGTTCGAGGGGTCTCAGATTAAATTTCAGATTAAATTACAGACATGAGGTGATCGTCGTTTCAGTCATGATCTGGTTTGTATCTTTGCAGGTGATGCTGGGAGGTAAAAACATAGAGGAGGGGTTTGGTATCGCGTACAGAGTCATACAGGTAAGAGGAGATGTTGACACTCGCTGACTTTGAACAAAAACTTGAAACCACGACACGTGAAAGCTATTAAAATTTGTTCCCAGGACTTCCAGTTGGAGGCTCAGGCCGTGTACGTGCGAGCCGGTCAGAGGCTCGTCCGGCACAAACAGTTCGGCGCCGTACGGCAGCTCCTCAAATGTGTCGGCGAATCGGGCACGGCGACGAAAAACGACTGCGACGCCCTCATCCTCAGCTGTGTGTCTGTGGCCGATAAAGGACCTGCTGATGTGAGTGAAAAACACTTTTATTTAGAGATGTGAGGATAAAGATGATCACCTGATCGCTGCCTCCATGTTTTCATGTTGTCTCTGCTTCAGGCCAAGGAGGTGGAGAGCCTCATCCTGGAGACCAAAAGCACAGAGACCAAGGTACTGAGAAAACTGCAGGATGAGGCGATCATGTCGTTTTATTGATCTGAAAATGACCAGAAATAATAAAAATAATCAACTTTTTTAATCTTAATTTTATTTATTTATTTTTTAAAATTATTTTTTAAAATTTAATTGTGCAATACGGCATTACAGTGACAATGCAAGACAGACAACAAACAACAGCATTTGTGGTTTTGTGTGTGTGTGTGTGTGTGTGTGTGTGTGTGTGTGTGTGTGTGTGTGTGGCGTGTATGAATAATAATAGAATAGAATAGAATATTCCTTTATTGATCCCCCATGGGGGAAATTTTTTTGTCACAGCAGCATCACAGACAAGACAAAGAGTGCAAAAATGCAGTTATAACAATAAGGATCCTAATATTAAGAACTTAAATAAATGTAATAATTAAGAAAAAAATTAGAAAAAGGAAAAAGGGAGAAGAAAAAAAAACAAAAAAAAAAACATTTTAATGATAAAAAATATTACAATTGTCAGACAAGCAAATGGAAATTATAATAAAAGAATAATATCAATAATAATGATAAGAACAACAACATTCAATATTAATAATTAATTAACAAACTTTTTAATCTTTAAACCTTTTCCGTAAATCCTCCTGGTTTAACCCTGTTGTGTTTTTATCTGCACGTCTTCAGAGGCTGTCAGAGAAAATAAAAGACAATAAAAACTGTTCTTCAGGGGGAACACGTGAAGATGAAACTGCTGAAGGAAGACAAAGACATTCTGCACTTATTGATTGATTTATTTAGGAGTTTGGATAATCACCTTATTGTTAAAATTAGAAAGCGGAAACATGAACTCTGTGAAGGTGTTTCTGTAAAATCAGACTAATCGATGGTCTGTCTCTCGTCACACCTGCAGATTAAGGCCTACCTGCTGTGCAGCAAACTCCGCCCTGCGTACCTCCTGGCGGTAAAGCTCGAGTCGAGCAGAGCGCGCCCGCTGGTCCAGGAGGTCCTTCAGGCGGCGGAGAGCGCCCAGGACTCTGTGATGCAGAACATCTGTCACCAGTGGCTGTCCGAACACCAAACCAAGACGTCCCAGCAGCGACAGGGCCGACCCAGCGCCAGGTAGAGGTACGATCAGCCGGCTCGACAAGGGATACGACAAACACTGCACTTCAACACAGACGAGGCCCGGTCAGAGGGTCCTGGTTCTCTGAGGGGACTCTGTAAGGGGGTCACAGATTACTCTAATGTGGGTCAGAACCGTGTCTCTCTCTCTCTCTGTGTGCTCGTGTGTGTGTGCGACCTTCCTCTCTGTAAAACTGATGAATCACCGCCGTGCTTTAGTTCCACTCTGGAAATGTTCTGCTGTTATCTCTCTGCTGTACAGCGTGTTACTGAAAGGAGCCACAACAACAACCATTACACAACAAAAACCCCAGACTACGAGGCCAGCAGAGTCCGTATGAGCAGATCTGAGACTGATCTCCTACCTCAACCTAAAGGGAAAAACATCTTCAAACTGACTGAAACTTCTCGGTTTTACTTTAACGCCATTTTCGTCCGTGCGTGTGTGTTTGGACGCTGATCCCTGAAGAAATCCTGTTTTTATGATCCTAGAGAAGCTGATGGTTTTCGTCCGGCACATTTAACAAAACCAGGATTTCAGATATTTTTAAGAGCACTGACTTTTGTGAGAAACTTGAGGTTGGATACAGAAAGGGACCCTCTTAAAGATCAGGTTCTGGATCAGGATTTTGCTGAAAAAAAACAAACCCGCTCAGTCTCAGTTTCATCTCAGTTTATGGCTCGTTTCATACCTCACCTTGTGGCTCAATCGTCTTTAAAGGGTTATTCTGTGATTTTTAAACTGTGTCTATCGTGAGCGCTCACTGTTGTCGCCACATCTGCTTTGAGACCATTAGAGGTTCTCTGAGGAACCACCAGACTCCACTGCAGCTTCATCATGCAGGAGGAGGGACCTGCTGATCTAACTCTGTGTTTATTGGTCCTATCTTTTCTTGTTGTGTGCCTACGGTGCGTTAAATATAAGTGCAACTTAAACCTGTATTTATAACCTGAAGTCGGATCTGTCGAGGCGGCTGTAGCTCTTCTTCTCTGCTTCATGAACCTGCAGTTTCTCTCATAGCATGAAAGTCGAGGTGTAAAAATGACAGAATAGTCCTTTAACTCCTGAGTCACACGTGTGAGAACTAAACCTACAGTGTTTAAAAAAGGGACGTCACTTTTTGTACTTGTGTTAACCACTTTGTTACCATAGAAACATCTTTTTCTTCATTTACACGACAATCACTGACGTTGCTGAAGCTGCCTTTGGATTTTACTACAGTGTGTTTTTTCTGAGTAACTCTGACCGGTCCTCTTCAGAGGAACTCCTGTTTTCACTCTGCTTCCCTCTGCTGCTCCGGGGTGAAGACTGGGACTGACAAACCTTCCTGTGAACGAAGTACTGACGGACAAAGACGAGAAGAAAACTCTCGAGATGCACACGGACGACATTCTTGCACTCTGATTCTGGACTTTTGTCTCTTCACTGCCGCACTTTATACTCGTGAGTTCAAAGAAAAAAAGTTTCTTTTGGTAAAAAAAAAATAATGTAACTCAGTTACGACTTTGTTAATGCAGAGACTAATGATTTTAAAATGTAACTGAATCCTCCATCACGTGTAAAATAACATGAACGTATAAAAGAATACAATTCACAAAAATAATGACTTATTGTGCTTCATTTTCCTCGTTTATTAAAAGGTTTTTGTACAGAAGACGAAAACGGCCAGGGATTTTTTTTTTTTTAATGCACCGTTATCTCATGATAACGACTTATCTCGTTATCATGAGATAACAAACCTCCCTCCTGGATCAGCTTTTTTGTTGGTTTTCACGTTGAAAGATGGTTTTGACTGGCTGGTTGCAGACTAAATAAGAGGGGATCCAAGATAGACCCCTGGGGGACGCCACTTCAGAGAGGGAGCATTTCAAAGTGATCGCTCCACAGACATTTTAGGGTCACTTTATCTTCTCTAGAAACAAATGAACGGTACAGAAGACGAGAACGGCCATGGATTTTTTTATGCTCTATAATCTTGTGATAACCATTTACTATCTCGATATATCAAATTTCCTTTTCTCCTGATAACTGAAACAACGTTTTAGCCAACCTCAAATGGTCACTTTTAAAAATGCCCTCAAAATTAGGATATTTCTGAACAATGCAGCCACATTTGTCAACAGCAAGCCCGGGTTTTAAATGAAAACACTTTTGGTACACTCCACTTTGCGCATGCGCATTACACTTTTTACGATTTGCGCATGGCGGTTTAATTTTCCCACTTTTAATGTGCATGCACAAAATGGAGCGTGTCATCAGCATTTTCATTGAAAACCCTGACTTGCTGTTGACAATGTGGCATTTCCGAAATTTCCCAATCTGGGGGACAATTTTAAAAGTTAGCGTTGAGGTCGGCTAAAACGCAGTCTTTGCTATCACCAGAAAAAAAAAAAACTTTGTTATATTGTGTAGCAATCAAGACAACCCTGGGTGTGAAACCCACACATTCCTCACAGGAAAGTTCCTTATCTGGTCCCAGGAAACAGGATATAAATCTTTCCAGACTCGTTTACACTTTCAGGTTAAATAAGTGACCCAACCGGAGGTTGACTAAACCTCCGACTCTTCACGATTGGTCAATTCGGAGAACAGAGACAGAGTTTTATTACCTTTCAAACTGACTCCATTTGCTGACCATCTAAATAAACATTAACGTCTCAACCCAGATCTCCCATTTGAGATTTAGTGTCTTAAAGTGTGTGAACATACGGACCCTAGGAAAAGGGGGGACACTGACCTCCAGACCTCGGTCGTAAAACCCTGCTCGACCATGCACTGATAAAGACTACATTCCTTTGGTGAAAGAATACAAATGACTGATCCTGACATCTTATGCATTCAGCAATGTACTAATCTGTCTAATCATGAAATTTGTGTTAAAATGAGATGTTTCCCGTTTTTCTATGTGCTTCAGAAGCCAAATTATCACTCCGGATATCTTTAGACCAACAGCTTTTCAGACTGTTTCATGAACTTTTAAGAGTTAAATTTATTGATTGTGACTCATAACTTAGCTCTAATTAACAGAAATGGTTTAGAAATGTTTGTTCTATATTTTAATCGTTTATTTAGTATTTTTAACCATTAGGTGGTTATAATGTCATTGAATAACCTTAATGTGAGTATTTAGAATCCATTATTAATCATGATGACGTTCATTCACATGTATTTACTCTTTTGTTGTTCACAGTTTCCATGTGTTACTATCTGTTTCATTTCAGAGTAATTTAGCATGTTCAATGTGATACTTAAAACATAATGAGAATGTTTGATGTGATCCTACACTTCATTCATATGTGTTTAGTATCAAATTATTTATCATGAAACCAAACATTCAATGATATTAATCATAGTGAGTGAGTATCAGATCTGACTCTTTTGCCAGCCAAAAGAATAAGTTAGATCAAATAATCAAAGACCACACGACCCCTCCTCTGTCTCCTCACACACACGCCGGAGCCACCCCCAGTGTGAGAAGATAAAACCAGTGAAGTCGGGTTGCTCACTCTCTTACTCTCTTCACTCTTACTCCTCTTATCTCTCTTATGCTTCTGCTCTTCTGCTGACTCTCTTGTCCCCGGCTCTTATGCCCCTTCTCTTCTGCCCACACCCTTCTGTGGTGCGTTTCTTTGTTTTCTCTTAGAACTTTTTCTTAGTCTTCTAAGTTTTACGCCACGTGTTGATTCACGTTGATTTTTCTTTAACATCGTCTTAGTTCAAGTTTTGAAACTTCAACTTTTTGTGCACATAGCAATTCAAGATTAAGCCTTTGATTGATTTTCTTTAATTTCGCGAAGCCATTTTTGAAAGTTTTCTCTGCTCTTCGAGCCTCGTTTTTCTGAGTTTTCTGCGTGATTTCAAAGTCACCTCCGAACGCAATCCAACAGGCCCAGGTCATCCTCTGTGCCAGAGTTTTTGAGTGAGACTAAAGAAGTACCCAAACGAGCATCCACAGGATCCACAGGCGCTGGTTTTTGCTTCGGGCCTGAGTGCTGCAACTCCTGGCTCATCCTTCGGCTGACTTCAGTCGTCTTCTGAGCTGAACCGCTCGAACCGCCAGTAGCCCGGACCTTCGGAACCTGCTCCATCTTCTCCAAGGACCAGTCTCACTTAAGTATGCAAACCTCCAGAGCTCTAAAGAGGGCTGGTGCTGTCTCCTGCGTTCAACTCAGATATCCTCTTATTCTGGTAATCTTAGATTCCTCCAAATCCACATCCGAGTTTATCTCGACACTAAAGTTAGTGTAGGTTAATATGTTAGCGCATATTCACTCACTATCATTAACTTTAGTGCTCCTAGCCTGACTCAGAATCTTTATTTATTCACCTATTATTATTTTATCCTCATTATCTTATCATCATTTATTGCATGTATGTTGTACCATCATTATCCTGTAATAAACAGATCATTATTTTTCTAAGTTCCTGTCTGTTAGTGTTCTTCCAGAAGTGGAGTCCCTGAAATTAGAATTTCGACTTAAGATATAAGACTGATTAATTAAGACTGATTAATTAAAACTGACTTGATGTTTGATTTCTGAATTAAACTTTTGTTTTCTTTATTTTCCCACCATTAAGGGTGGGTGGTGCCCCTTTCAACGAGTGCATAAATGTCATAATTTGAGATTATTAATCTTCAGACATTTATTATAAATTCCAATCGCCAAGTATTATTTTGGTGCGGCCTTGTGAGGCTCATTTCAAATCGCTACATATATTTTGGTGCGACCGTATGAGGCTCATTTCAAATCACTACATATATTTTGGTGCCCCGTGTGAGGCGTTTCAAACAAAACTTCTGGATACTAACAGACAACCTAAAACTTAGCCTTCCAAATTGATGAGAGAAACTTATTTTCAGGCTGTTTTAGACTTAATCACAATCAATGCTATGCTTGCTGAAGTTGCTTGACTAAGTTCTGATGTTTTCATGATCTATGCATAAAACCTTTATGCTCTGTGTTTCACACACTCTTGTACTACATGCCTGTAGTCTGTGTTTGAGCTGGACAGCGTGAAATGTTGTTCTGAGTAGCAGTGAGACTGACTCCTCTGCTCTGTCTAGACTGTCCAATATTTAAGTGCACGATTGTGGCGTCGCCGTACGCTTGTATTTAAGGCCTTTGGCTGAACCCAGTGTTCGCGATGCTCCGAGCTGTGGTTTCAAGCCCCTGAAGTCTCTGTAGTCTGCTACGAGGTTCTAGTAACTATATGGGATTCAGATTTCCTCCTTTCCCCTGACAGATTAGCTACCTGTCACAGGAAACCACTGTAACAGTGGGAGGTTGTTGTTTGAGTGAATTCAGACAAAATTTGTGTTCACAAATCGCCGCATTTGTGATTTTTAAGTTTGCAGTTGAATCTGCTGTTGAGGGATTTGTCACTTTGATTCTTGTCTCTATAGTCTGCTACGAAGTTCTAGTAACTATACTGTATGGGATTCAGATTTCCTCCTTTCCCCTGACAGATTAACTACCTGTCACAGGAAACCACTGTAACAGTGGGAGGCTGTTGTTTGAATGAATTCAGACAAAATCCGTGATCACAAATCGCCACATTTGTGATTTTTTTTTTTAAGTCTGCAGTTGGATCTGCTGTTTAAGGATTTGCCACTTTGATCCTTGTTCCTGTAAATGATTTTATTGAACCAATCTGCCTGAGCAGATGGTGTAAAGTTCTATGTTTGAGGGTGCAGACGATCCTGCTGTGAAATGTTAACCCTTTGTTGTCATTGGAGAGATTGACCATTTGGCCTTAAGCAGATAAGGCCCTTCAAGGAGGCAGAGCCTAAAGGCCCCTTCCTGCAGACTTCCCAACTCCTCACAGCCACAAGAGGCTAGTTGGATGACTGTTTCCTCTTTTCTTCTTCTTCTCCACTAGTGTTGAGCTTGTGCAGTTCTCCCAACTCTATACTGCCCCACATGGTTGCTTTTGGTATTGAGCTAACGCTTATCTGCCTGCAGTATCAGCCAGCTGTACTGCCTCTCTGTAGTCAGTGCGTAACACTCTACAGACATAATTCAAGTGATTGACTTGGTTGATGAAGTTTGATGTGCTTATTCTAAATCATTGATCATTGATTTTTGATTTTTATCTTTGTTATAAGAGCCTCCATAATGTATTGATAAAGTAACTCCTTGAATCAATCACCTGATCTTGTTGTTACTTATCACACCATTGAGCAGTTTTACTGTTCCCTATAATACATGAATGTATTAACCCTCCTCATAAGATTAATTAATTAATGAACAAATTAATTAATACTTGAAATTTCTTTTAACATTTCAGATGAATTGGGTAGTTGAATCTTTGGATTTATTGCAATTTGTGAATTAACTTCAGAGTTAATTCCTTAAATTGACAATTTCATTGATCTTTCAAATTCATCCAACTGCATCAGGCAGTTTATTTAAGCTTTGCTGATCTCTGCAACACGGAGACAAATTGAACCCTTTATTCAATGGTTCTGTATCTGATGTTAAATTTAATTTAACATTATTTCACCTTGTTTTTCTTTCAATTTTCATTGAAATGTATTTAACTTTATGTTATTTTTCTCTCCATTAGAGATCTACTCAGATAGGCTCTTCCTCTTTATCAAGCACTGATAAATTAAGTCGATTAACCCACTTAATTTGATATTGTACTTCTTCCTTTCATTTTAAGCCAACTCAAACTCATCAACCAACCACCTGCACCTCTTTACCAAAACCAAACATGCCTAACACAAAGGAGTCCAGCCAGGGAGACCCCCTGAGGGACATACACACAGTGTTAGCAAACTTAATTAGTCAGCTGATACCTCAGTACATGACTAAGATTCATAAGGCCAAACCCTCCAATCCGGAGGATGCAATGGCTGACTTACTGGAAACAGCCTTAACCACGACACTTCGTGACAAAGAGCTCACTAGATGCATGTCTGTCATGATGTCTTCTCAGCTTGAGTATAAAGACTACTTGCTGGAATGCGCTTTAGCAAAGATAAAGGCGCAAAAAGATGAAAACAGCGCTCTGAAAAAGACGCTAGAGGAGACTAAGAAGTCTTTAAGTGTTTTAGAAAAACACAGTGCCAGATGTGAAGCGTCAAAGCTTCCCTCACTGATAAGTCATGAAGAAAATCTTGATCTCAAAGACAAGATTGAAAGACTTAATGAAAACCTTTACAAAAAGGAGAAAGAACTTGATGACATGAATAAGCAGCTTGCTAAGACCACAGAGGATCTGATACAGTCAGAATCCCTACTAGAGCAAGCAACAGAAGATGTAAAAGCTTTGAAAGCACTGGTCAAAGTGCGTGCTGAAGCTCTTGAAGCTAAGGAGAAGCAAACTTCTACCTTACAGCACCAGCTCCAGATAGCTCAAAGACAGTTAATTCTTTGTCAAGAACGGCAAGAAAAGACAGATAAAGAACTTGAAGATGCCCAAAGAGAGTTACGATGCTCCCTCCAGTCAGGTCGAGCCCAAAGAGAACGCATGAAGCAAACGTTTCTTGAAGAAATGATAGGTGATCAGCCTCCTGAGAGAGCGCCATCACTTCCTTCCAAACCAACTCTTAAGTATCTCTCTCAGCATCATGACAGGACCCTGCTTGACCCTGAGAGGTCATCCTTAAACCAAGAGTCCTACTCTCCTCCTCATGATGGCTTCTTACCATTTCCCTCAGACAGGGATCTTGACAAAATTGCTCGCATCATAGCACGCTTTGAACCTGAGCACCAAGGTGCTACTGACACCTGCACCTACTTGAAAGACATTGACTTTTACCTGAGGAAATTTCCAGGTGCAACCATTGATGACAAAATCTACCTTATTAAGGCGACGTCAAGTCGAGAGGTTAGCAGTTTCCTTGAACGACAGCCTTATCATGTCAGAAATAATTATGACTTGCTCTGCCAAGCATTAATCGAAGAGTTTTCTGATCATTTGACCCAGACAGGCCTCTCTGCTGCTCTGTCTATTAAACAAGGGAGATCAGAATCTCCCCAACAGTATTACAACCGCTTACGCGAAGCTTACTTTGGTTTCCGAAATGAACCAGAAATGGAGGAGGACTTGAACTTCAAAACGCTGTTCGTCCAGAACCTCCACCCTACCACCAGTCATCACCTTGGCGTCTTAGCTTGTCCAAACACTTTGACTAGCCGACAGCTTCGTGAACTTGCTGTAAAAGGTTTTGCCAAACAACGACAAACTTTGGCTAAGAAAGCAGAGCCCGTTACTCTCTTGGCTATGGGGACAAAATCACTGCCCATGGAGCTGAACAAAGCTTCAGACTGTGTATTTTCAGGCTCCGATAAGCCTCCAAATGAGTGGTTAACCAGGCCTCCAAAACCTTTTCGACCTCAACACACTCACAAAGGTCAAAGTTACACACCAAGGCCCAGTTCTGACACAGACCAACGCCAGGTAAACTTTGAGACCAACTGTTGTTATTCAGACTCCCGTCACGGTGGGTTTTGTCCCAGACAAAGGAAAAACCATCAACACCGCCAAAGTGGGGTGAATGACTGGCAGAATCAGAGTAAATCACACTCTCAGAAACGACGATCTTATTATCCACCTCAATCGGTTTCATCCACTTTGAAGGTGAATAAACATGACTACTCAGCTAACCACTGAGATTAACACTGCGGAGTCATGAAGGTGTGAGTCCTGCGAAAGCAGAAGTCACTCAGCCAAAGCTAAATGACTCCAATAAGATATCCAAATGCTGTGGTGATACATTGATGACTGCAATACCAGTTGCTGCTTTCTTTGTTAGCATTTGTCTCTCCTCTGTCAATATGGTCAGCTTGTCAGCTGTCAAATATCCCATGAACAGATTAAAACCTGAAATTTCTGTCATTAAGACTCAGATTGACAAATTTCAGACTCAACAGCAGATAATTAGTCAAACCAATAAGAGCATCATCCCCAAGTTTAACAGACAAAGTTTAAGAGAAACTCTGTGCAGTAAACTTTTGATGTTTGTGATTCAGGTTGACTATGCTCATACACAGATGGTTAATATGTCTATAGCAGACCTTTCTTTTCCACCTAAGTCTTAACCATTTTTGAAACTGAAATTGAACTTTCAGACTTCTCCAGCAAGCATGAAAAACAGCTATAGCCTTAGATCCAGTTAGCATTCAGACTAAAGAGTGCTTTTCTAAATCTCATTAATACTAAAAATTAGGAGATTTTCTTTCACATTAGTCTACCAGTAGTTAACTGAGAAAAGTCTAACAACAAGACTATTTTATTTGATAGCTTAATGCATGCTTAATTTTATCTCAAAGCAGTACTAGTGATTCACATAGTGATGACGAGACGCATCAGTCCTATTTGCATACACCTGCTGCTGCTGCTGCTGCTTCATGGTTGTCTACTCGTCGTCCCGATGCTCCATGGACAGGACCACCGTGACGAAGGGGGGACTGTAGCAATCAAGACAACCCTGGGTGTGAAACCCACACATTCCTCACAGGAAAGTTCCTTATCTGGTCCCAGGAAACAGGATATAAATCTTTCCAGACTCGTTTACACTTTCAGGTTAAATAAGTGACCCAACCGGAGGTTGACTAAACCTCCGACTCTTCACGATTGGTCAATTCGGAGAACAGAGACAGAGTTTTATTACCTTTCAAACTGACTCCATTTGCTGACCATCTAAATAAACATTAACGTCTCAACCCAGATCTCCCATTTGAGATTTAGTGTCTTAAAGTGTGTGAACATACGGACCCTAGGAAAAGGGGGGACACTGACCTCCAGACCTCGGTCGTAAAACCCTGCTCGACCATGCACTGATAAAGACTACATTCCTTTGGTGAAAGAATACAAATGACTGATCCTGACATCTTATGCATTCAGCAATGTACTAATCTGTCTAATCATGAAATTTGTGTTAAAATGAGATGTTTCCCGTTTTTCTATGTGCTTCAGAAGCCAAATTATCACTCCGGATATCTTTAGACCAACACCTTTTCAGACTGTTTCATGAACTTTTAAGAGTTAAATTTATTGATTGTGACTCATAACTTAGCTCTAATTAACAGAAATGGTTTAGAAATGTTTGTTCTATATTTTAATCGTTTATTTAGTATTTTTAACCATTAGGTGGTTATAATGTCATTGAATAACCTTAATGTGAGTATTTAGAATCCATTATTAATCATGATGACGTTCATTCACATGTATTTACTCTTTTGTTGTTCACAGTTTCCATGTGTTACTATCTGTTTCATTTCAGAGTAATTTAGCATGTTCAATGTGATACTTAAAACATAATGAGAATGTTTGATGTGATCCTACACTTCATTCATATGTGTTTAGTATCAAATTATTTATCATGAAACCAAACATTCAATGATATTAATCATAGTGAGTGAGTATCAGATCTGACTCTTTTGCCAGCCAAAAGAATAAGTTAGATCAAATAATCAAAGACCACACGACCCCTCCTCTGTCTCCTCACACACACGCCGGAGCCACCCCCAGTGTGAGAAGATAAAACCAGTGAAGTCGGGTTGCTCACTCTCTTACTCTCTTCACTCTTACTCCTCTTATCTCTCTTATGCTTCTGCTCTTCTGCTGACTCTCTTGTCCCCGGCTCTTATGCCCCTTCTCTTCTGCCCACACCCTTCTGTGGTGCGTTTCTTTGTTTTCTCTTAGAACTTTTTCTTAGTCTTCTAAGTTTTACGCCACGTGTTGATTCACGTTGATTTTTCTTTAACATCGTCTTAGTTCAAGTTTTGAAACTTCAACTTTTTGTGCACATAGCAATTCAAGATTAAGCCTTTGATTGATTTTCTTTAATTTCGCGAAGCCATTTTTGAAAGTTTTCTCTGCTCTTCGAGCCTCGTTTTTCTGAGTTTTCTGCGTGATTTCAAAGTCACCTCCGAACGCAATCCAACAGGCCCAGGTCATCCTCTGTGCCAGAGTTTTTGAGTGAGACTAAAGAAGTACCCAAACGAGCATCCACAGGATCCACAGGCGCTGGTTTTTGCTTCGGGCCTGAGTGCTGCAACTCCTGGCTCATCCTTCGGCTGACTTCAGTCGTCTTCTGAGCTGAACCGCTCGAACCGCCAGTAGCCCGGACCTTCGGAACCTGCTCCATCTTCTCCAAGGACCAGTCTCACTTAAGTATGCAAACCTCCAGAGCTCTAAAGAGGGCTGGTGCTGTCTCCTGCGTTCAACTCAGATATCCTCTTATTCTGGTAATCTTAGATTCCTCCAAATCCACATCCGAGTTTATCTCGACACTAAAGTTAGTGTAGGTTAATATGTTAGCGCATATTCACTCACTATCATTAACTTTAGTGCTCCTAGCCTGACTCAGAATCTTTATTTATTCACCTATTATTATTTTATCCTCATTATCTTATCATCATTTATTGCATGTATGTTGTACCATCATTATCCTGTAATAAACAGATCATTATTTTTCTAAGTTCCTGTCTGTTAGTGTTCTTCCAGAAGTGGAGTCCCTGAAATTAGAATTTCGACTTAAGATATAAGACTGATTAATTAAGACTGATTAATTAAAACTGACTTGATGTTTGATTTCTGAATTAAACTTTTGTTTTCTTTATTTTCCCACCATTAAGGGTGGGTGGTGCCCCTTTCAACGAGTGCATAAATGTCATAATTTGAGATTATTAATCTTCAGACATTTATTATAAATTCCAATCGCCAAGTATTATTTTGGTGCGGCCTTGTGAGGCTCATTTCAAATCGCTACATATATTTTGGTGCGACCGTATGAGGCTCATTTCAAATCACTACAATTGAGATGACGAAATAATAAGTCACCATCACGAGATAGCAGTGCATAAAAAAAAAAAGAAACATCCATGGCCGTTCTCGTCTTCTGTACCGTTCATTTGTTTCTAGAGGTGAAAAAGTCCTAAAATGTCTGTGGAGCGATCACTTTGAAATGCCTCCTGTCTGAAGTGGCGTCCCCCAGGGGTCTATCTTGGATCCCCTTTTATTCAGTTTTCAATCAGCCAGTCAAAACCATCTTTTAACGTGAAAACCTACAAAAAGTTGATCCAGGGAGGAGGTCTAGCCTCAGACAAAAGTACAAAAAAGCAGCCCCTCATATATTAATATTCGGCTTTATTTACATCATATGTAAACATTCAACTCTGAACATGACTGTAAGTGTAGTAAAAGGCATGTTGAACTCGTATAAAACACAGATTGTAAACTCTTGGCAACCTTCGTGTAAATGCTGAAACATGAGGAGAGGACTGTGGGTCCCGCAGGAGTCTGCAGGATTTGGCAGATGGAAAAAAGAAAGATTGAAGTGAGCTGACCCTAACTCTGATATGATTAAATAGAAAACCTTTTCATCTAAACTGGCTATAATTATCACAAAATACATTAATGCGATTGAAGCACTAATTATGGCTCAGACAGACGCTTATCTTCAGTAGTTTACTAATTTTGTTGTCGACCTGGAAACGCGGTAAGAACCCCTGCAAGTGTTTAGAAACGCTGGCACAAAATTCAAGCCATTCAGCTGTAAATTCAGGAGAAATAAAGTCACAATATTGGATAATAAAGATGCTGGTCATATACCCTGACTCGACCCTTCACAGTATCCTACAGCATCACGTCACACCGAGTTGCTTTTTTGCCTACACTGTTTTCACATTGTGTCACAAAAATAGAGTCAAAAAGTTCTTTGTCTTCACACCGTAATACTGTCGAGTGGTTTTGGTTCGAAGAGCAGCTCCAACAGCAGCCAAAATACTCCAGTTATTACCATGTAATTACTGCATTATTACACAAAAAAGCAACTTCACATTAGAGTACCTCTTACAGATCGACCTGACTGCTTATTCAGGTAAGAAACGTCCAAAATACAGAACATTGAACCCAAAATGAAATGAATGATAAGAGAGAGAGAGAGTAAGGGCCCCTTTGAGATCTGAGATAGGCGGAGGTTAAAAGTTGAATCAGTCCCACTCGATACCGAGCAGCTCGCAGCTGACGTCCCACAGTCTCCTCGCCGTCTCCTCGCTTCTCCCCTGTGGGGCTACAAAGGCAGGGGCGCAGTCGCTGTAATGAAAGAAGGAGGGGTGGTTATTACATAATGAAGGGTGTAAGTGAGTCACTGCTCTGGGTGCTGCGTTCCCTTTTTGATATGACCTTGTGCCTGATGAGGATATCAGTGGCATCATTAATTTTATCTGTCAACACCTCGGGGAGGGCGGACACGAGTAGAAAAAAGAAAACACGCTCACGTGTTTAACCCCCTGAAGATACACGTTTAACCTCCAAAAGGAGTTTGAATGAAGGGAACATTAAAATCCGGGCTCTCAGTGCACAAATTCACCGTACGATATGATACCGACCTACACTTCATTATTTACTCTGTGATATTTGTCTTCTGAACCTCTTTATATGCAAAATACAATAAGATTAGATACAGTACGTTTTATCATCGCCTCAAGGATATTGAGCTTGGGCAAGTTCACATAATGATATGATTTTATATGATTCAAGTCAATACATTATGTTGTGATATGACACAATAATTTACCATACGTTATGTCCGGATGCAATAAGATACATTACAATGTGTTACAGTAAGTTACATTATGATATATGTTATGATACAGTTATATATGCTTATATACAATGTTATGTAATGATACGATACAATAAGTTACATTACGATATGATCTGTTGTGATACATTACAATCAGTTACATAAAGATATAGTACATAACAAGTTATGTTACGATTCTCTACCATACGATAAGTTTCATTACGATACATTATGATACAGTTGGTTTTATGTTACGATACAATAAGCTACTTTACATTAAGATACAATACGATGCATTACAGTGCGATATAGTTAGTAACATTACAATATGATCTGTTATGATGCAAAATTACACCAAACAATATCATACACATTAAGTAACATAATGTTATATGATACATTACATTATGTTACATTAAGTGACATTTTGATACAATACATTATAATAAATACGACAGAATAAGTAACATACGTTGTGTAACATTGTGTTGCACTACGACATGCTTAAATATTGTCTTACGGATTTTTTATTTTATTTAGTCAACATATTTATGTTGTGACATCACCTGATAGAATACGCTCCATATTGTTTTACTTTTTAGTAAAAATTACCATTATCTACAACGCTACATGATAAGGTATGATCGGATACAATATGGTGAACACAGTAGATCTGTTTCCTAATGTGTGTCTTATTCTGCCCTCTTTCAGAGTTATTGATAGAATATCAAAAATTACGATCAGGTCACATCAACACACAGTTTGTTGGTCTTTGTGCGCTTGTTGCTTGTGTGTTCAGGGACGTACTGTAGCTGTTAGCCAGGTGACTGAAGGCCCGCCTTAACTCCACCTCTATTAGAGAGAATTCCCACCTGCTGTTCAGACTGTCCTCTTTTACTCTTATCACTAAAACCAGATGTTGATTACTTTTCAGAAACAGTGACTGGAGCACTGGTCCTCATAACAGTTTAAACTGAATATCTATTTACAATAAAAAGATACTACTGCAAACAAACAGACCCTTTGTGTCGCTGCTGCTCCTCCCTGCAGCTTATCTTTATCCTTTATCTGAGGAGCATAAAATGACATTTAAAAACACGACTAACTGTCTAATGGTCAAACCATGTCGGAGCCGCTGATGCAGATTTAAGGAGACAAACACAATCCCTTCGGGCTTTGTGCAAAGTTTTGAAGCACGAACGTTTCCACGGTAACAGCGGAGCTTGTGGGATGTGTGGTTTTTCACGAGGACGCTGAAGACTGAGACATAATTTTTTAATGAGGAAGTTCAGAGCAGGTCACCAGAAGATCAGATTAGCTCCAAACTCTCAGACTAACATGTCGGACTGAAGTTTTCACTCACCTGAAGTGTTTCCCAGAGATGGAGTGCAGCTCCTCCGCCACTGCACAGTAGATGCTGGTCTGCGCTCCTTCTCGCGGCGTTTTTAGGAACATGGAGAAGACGGTGAAAAATATCGTCATGAGGGTTGAATGTCTGGTCAGGTCAGAGTTCACTGTACCCGGGTGGACTGAGTTCACCGTCACATTTGTATCTGTGAAGACAACGAATCTGAATAAAACCCTCCTTTGTTCTGAGCCTCAAGTGGTCATTAAAGGAACTGCAGTTCGCCTTCCACTTCTCAACACGTCTTAACGTAAACAGGCGTGAGCGCGTACCTTTGAGTCTGCGCGCCAACTCTCTGGCGAAAAGCACGTTTGCGAGCTTGCTCTGGCAGTACGCCAGTCCGCTGTTGTAGCTCCCCTGACTGTGGAGGTCGTGAAATCGGATCCAGCCGAAGTTGTGTGCCAGAGAAGAGACCACCACGATGCGGGCCGGCGCACTGCGCTTCAGCAGCCCGATCAGGAGGGACGTCAACAGGAAGTGACCTGAGACACAGAGTTGTTTCACCGTTAGATAAAAGTTTTCTTAAATACAGTAAAGGTGAAAGTATTTTCAGTCTCACCTAAGTGATTGACTCCGATGTGCATCTCAAAGCCGTCTTTAGTCTTGGTGTAGGGGCACATCATCACACCCGCGTTATTAATGAGGATATGAAGCTGGTTGACCTCTGAGGAAGAGAAACGATCACGTCAGCTGAGATTTACCTGAAATAAAACCGCAGTAATCCTCTGAAGCTCACCGCTAAGGAACTTCTGCGCGAAGGCTCGTATCGAGCAGGTATCTGCCAGGTCCAGCTCTCGGACCTCCACGTCTGCTCTGGCACACGCCGCTCGTATACTGGCTGCAGCTTCCTCTCCTTTCTCCACATCTCGACACGCCATGATGACCCGAGCGCCTGCAGGATTGGAAACAATCAGAGATCCAAACAGAGGCTGGATTAATTCACCGAAAACAGGAGGAGGAAGAGAGCTTCTGCTGCCTGGAGCAACTATTGATTCTCCTCGGTTTTTCTTTGGCCTGCTGCTCAGTGATGAAGATTTTTACCCACTTCTCCTGCTGCTCCTCAGGCAGAGCAAAGCTTCAAACACACCGAGGTCAACCAAGGACGCCACACTCCAGGAGTCGTAGTCAGATCCAGAGTTTTTGGATGAGATTTTAAACCAGGAGAGAAAATCAGGAATCGTGTAAATTTGTTTTTTTTTTAAATCAGCTAAATGGTTTTCACGTCTCCTGACCACTCATATATGACACAGATGAAACCTCTATTAATGCCTCTTATTGAGTTTTGAAAGTTTTGAATTGTGCATCATAACCTGCAGTGTGAACATAGCCTAAAACTGGTTTGTGCTCAAGTCCTCTTTTTTCTGTACAGCTCCATTTTTAAAAGTTATTAGGGGGTTCATGTTCTCGATGATTGACGATTGATACAGCCTATGGGCGTAAGAAGATTGCGAAGCTCACCCGAGGTATACGCTGTTTGAGCCGAGCATCATCACAGTGGCTCTCTGTGACTTTCCCGCTGAATGCGTACAACGCTACTGCGCAATGTTGGTTTCAGGAAGGGAGAAAAAACGTGGAATTACAGAAAGCTTTTAGGCTTCAAATCCGTACACTGGTGGAAGGCAGAACCAAGTTGTCCAGAGTATATACAGTCAATGCACGTGACCAAAATTGATTTCAAATAATAGTCCTCATGCCGACCAATAAGACAAACATTATTTGATCAATTTTCATTGTGCACCTAAAGTTCTTTGTGTGCTTCTTACTCTTTTTTTCAACTTAGGAGTACCGTATTTATCGCACTATAAGGTGCACTTAAAATCCGTTTGGCTTGTCGGAGCGCTGCAGCTACCGTAGCCTCACAGAGTTATTGAAGTTTGACTTATCTGACTGTTTCGTTTGGCTTTATGTGCTTTATAATCCGGTGCACCTTATGTATGAAAATAGACGCGAATAGACGCGTTCATTGATGGTGCGCCTTATAATCATGTGCGCCTTATAGTGCGAAAAATACAGTACATGCACTCCTTGAATACTGACAGTGTTAGTTTTCTCGCCTTGTCGAGCAGCCCTACATTTGGGTGTTAAGTGCTTCCACACATCAAACTTCACAGTTACCTCTCACTGCCATATCCAGGGCGGTCTCCTTCCCGATCCCTGTGTTGGCCCCTGTGATGAGGACTGTCTTTCCTTCCAGGAGAGCCGTGGACATGCACACTCCTCCTGCTGCATATCTTCTGTAAATAAAGAGATAAAACATTCAGACGGTTCTGTTTGGATGACCAGCAGCTCCCCTCTCTCTCTGTCAGAGCAGATCTTGTCCACATTATGTTGGGACACATGCACACAGCCAGCTTCATTATTCAGGGACAAACTTGGAGAATGTACAGCAGAGAGCGTAAAGTCGTACGACCCACGCCACCGTGCGGGTCCGCCCCGTGACCAATGGCTCAGCTGGAGTAATGCACACGGTTAGGACTCCTCCCACGCGCCGCCTCCTGATAGGCCCGGGCGGCTCGGATGGAGAGTCCCGGTTCATGTCTGTGCAAAAACTCCCACAGCTCCATCATTTCTCTACCATTGATTTTCTGCTGCTGGGAGCCAGTCAGCGTCGAGTGGAACAAAAGGAGGCGAGAATAAAACCCCGAAATTACCATCAGCTGATTTATATAAACAGACCTTTAATAACAGCGTCCAACCAGCCCTTTGTAAGAACAACATCAGTGCAATGTAATGCCCTGTCAACCAAGTAACAACCCACCCGTGATGCTCCAAAGCCTCTATTTCACTGGGAGTCAATGGTTTTATTGTAGAGCATGTTACCTGATCTGTGCTGCGAATAAAATGACCAGGACCGTCACCGCTCCCACACTCCCGAGGATGACGAACAGCAGCATCTTAGCGCGGACGGAGCGCTTTTCTTCTTCCAGCTGGATGCTACAGCAGCTCTGTGGGCAGAACAGCTGATGTCAAAGAAGAAGAAGAAGAAGAAGAGGAGGTGCAGAGAGGAGTGAGCAGGGGGAAGAGACGACGAGAAAGGCATCATGGGAGTGTAGTTTTCTGCTCACCGAGAGGAGAACGGTGTGTGCTCAAAGACTGGATATAGAATAGTAAAGTATATACAGCTATAGAAGAATATATACAGTCTATGAAGTTGCTTGACATATTTTAACTAGGCTGTGAATATTACGAGAACGTTCACTTAATCTGCTTCGTTTTTCTGAATTAACGACATATCTACCTCCCTGTTATAATGGTCTTTTAAATTAATGCAATAACTGCCTAATAAAAGTGTAATTTATTACAAATATTACCGTAATTCTGGGATAATAACTTATCATTATTATTTATAATAACACTGATGATAAAAAATAGTGATGCTAATACTACTACTGCTGCTACTACTACTACTAATAATAATAATAACAATAATAATAATAATTATTATTATTATTATTATTATTATTATTATTATTATTGTTGTTGTTGTTGTTGTTGATAATAATAATAATAATAATAATAATAATAATGATAATAATTTAATAATAGTAACGATAATTATTATTAGTAGTAGTAGTAGTAGCATTAGTGGTATAAGCATTATTATTTTTTATCATTAGTATGATTATAAGTAGTATTAGTATTTTTTGTTGTAGTTGTTATTGTTAATATTGCTATAATTATTATTATTTTAGTTATTGTTATTATTATCATCTAGTTATTTGCAACAGTTATTCTGCAATATATTAAATATTTATGAATGCTGAAACAAAATTAAATGGATGAAAGTTTTATACTAGAGGCAACAAATGATTTAATTTACAACTAAATAAAAAGAAAATCAGAGATTTATTTGAAACTTAAAGTAGGTCATAATCTTTGTATAAATATTTTTTACATAATTGAAATACTTTTATTTAAATACTTGATTTTAAGACCGTGTGTCCAACAGACAAATTTATAAAACAGTAATTTTCTCATAAACAATCGTAGACCTAACAAGCATAGTATTTTAATAAAACAAAAATATATTTTAAAAAAATAGATCTAGAACTTTTGATTGATGAGCATCAAAATTTGAATATAAATGACCAAAGTTTCTCGTCCTGGCGTATGTTGAAAAGCAGAAGCACAGAAAACTACATTTCCCAGAAGGCACAGTCACCACTGTCTGATAAGCGCCTGAACAAAATAATGACTTTTTATCAGTTAAGACAGTTATTTTTCAATCGTTTTCGCTTTTATCAGGCTTGTTGAGTGTTGTATCTATTTTACGGATGTTTTACAGAGCCAAATTAATCTATAAAAAAAACTGATGCTAAGTAATTTCCGTGTTTGTTTTTTAGTCCGGAGTTTCAGTCACCCCATCACGAGGACCATCATGCGGAAAAGTCCCGGGGATCTGATTATAGCAAAGCAAAACAACTGGATTAACAAACAGCTGTGACTTTAATAAACCACAGATTTTCAGATAGAGGCGGAAAAGTTTGAGAAAATACGATCAAAATGTCGTCGGAGGAATTCGAGAAGTTACACGAAATCTACAGATCTCTGTATGATGAGCTGAAGTTAATGCCGGACAGAGCTCTGAGCTGTCACGGAGGTAAACTCTGTTTGTTTTAGATCAAAAATGTTTACTCACATTTATTGAAGGACAGACTGTCCTAATGGAGTTTTCTGAGACTGTAACTGTTGTTGTTTTCACAGAGGAGAGGAAGAGGCTGGTGAGGAGCTTCGATGAGAGACAGGGAGAGGCTGAGGAAGTGGTGAGTTCAGCTTCTCTTTCACTTTATTTCATCTAAACTAAGACTTACAAAGATTACCTCTGGACACAACAACACTCAAGTATGCTGATATCCTCCTTCTTTCACTCACATGTTAAAAAAAATAAAAGGACAGTAATTAAAAGCTCCTGTAAGGAACTTTTGGGTTGTGTTGACTTTGGCGCCCCCTGTGGACAAAGGCAGACTTGAACTTTTTTATGCCAAAATTTTTTACTGGGAGCTTTGGTTTCTCTTATCCTTATATTAGGGATGTAATGATTACTGGTAAAATGATAAACGGCGGTAAAACATCTATCGGTTAGTACTATCGTTTTAAATTTTAATTACCGTTAAATCCGTGTTTGATCGCCGCACTCTGGAAAAGCTCTCAGACACACAGCAGTCATTCGGACACAGGCGGAGGGCAGTTTTGTGGGAAGTTTTGCCGACCGTGTTGCAGAGATTTTTCCACTGTCAAAGAAAACAAAGTCCGGGTCGGGGCGTATTTCAGCGTCTACAAAGGGTTGCGAGGGTTACCAGGAAGGATATTCAGTGCCAGCGTGGACATCGTTTCCCCTCGCAGATTCGACTCAAACCAGGAAAATGTAAAAATGCTGACATTTTTACATTTCAATCTCAAGTCGTGAACAAAGTCAGCAGCAGAAGAAAACGGACAATCGGTTCATTTGATTTATTTACATATCTGATGTTATTTTAAAGACCTGAACTACACATTTGTTTACATGCGGTTGTTTTGTTTCATATAGTCGTGTTGTTCTGTTTTATATTTGTAAGAGTCAATCTTTTTGAGCTCTGAAGAATTCTTACAATTTGCACAATAATGAATGTCATTTAATTAAAATTTTATTTATTTGTTATTGTGTTCATGTTTATGCCACTGGCACATTACTTTGTTTTAACCTCATTTCATCTCATCACTTTTTCATTCGAAGGCAGAAGTTTTTGGCGCTGTATCAGTGTGTTTTCTTTTTTTTGGAACAATAAACCACTTTTTTAAAACTCAAACTGGACTGATAATTGAATGAGTCACAGATGCAAGCGAACCTGAACCCCAGCTGCCTTTTTGTTGTAGCAGTCACTTCAGTGCTTCAGTAAATACTCTTTATATTCCACCCTAACTAGAGCTGAGTCAAAGTGTAATGCAGTAGGATATAAAGATATAGAATAATTAAGCCTCAGCTCTATATTTGAGCGATTTACTCTCCCAGTGTTCTGTTAAAGATCTGAAGTTAGTGAGAAAGCAGCTCTAAAAAAGCCAATTTTGTGTTTGTTATTGAGGAATTTAAAGTCTTATGAATTGATGGCTTCTGCCTCGTGACTTTTTTCCCTTATTTGACTCGTATAAAACATGATGAACAGAGTGTGACAGCTTTAGTTTTGCACATCAAGAAATCAGCCAAACACCCCCTCGTTTCTAATTTTGTCTCCTTTTACTGTCCAGAGAAATCTCTCCCTTACTGTCGGGATAATAACTCACAAAGTTTTTATCCATCTCCAGTTACAAGGAATGGAAGACGAGCTGCGTGACGCTCCGTCCACCCACAGAAACGCGATGAACACAAAGCTGCGCATGTACCGCAGGGATCTGGGCAAGCTGCAGAGAGACATGAAGATCTCTGCTCCAGGCTTCGGATCTTCTTCTACGCCGGTGGGAGGGAGCCATCACAGCATCTACTCATCACAAAACCAGCAAAGTGTGAGTGTGGGGGGCTGTTTTTGCAGATAATGACACCTTAAGTTACAACTTCAGTGCTGCTTTGAGAATGGTGGTGTCCAGATGAAAACACGTCCATGTTGTTCCCTCCTAAACAAATGAAACTGCAGCGCTGGGCCTTTAGTTACATTTACACTTAAACCTCAATAAAACGTGTATTTTCAGACACACCTGCAGTCCCAGAGGGCCTTGCTGCTGCAGGGCACCGAGGCTCTGACCAACGCCAGTCAGAGCATCGAGCGAAGTCAGCGCATCGCCAACGAGACGGAGCAGATCGGTACAGACATCATCGAGGAGCTGGGCGAGCAGAGGGAGCAGCTGGACCGAACCAGAAACAGAGTGAGCCGCAGATAAGAGTCTCGATGATGACCAAAGAGACTTGTTGATATCAGGCTGATCGAGTTTTAATAACTCGACTCTTCTCTGTCTTTTCTTTTTTCGTGAAGTTGGTGAACACCGGAGAAAATCTGAGCCGAACCAGAAAAATCCTCCGCTCCATGGCCCGGCGGTGAGTTCTTCATCTAAAAACACTTGTGATCTCTTCAGGACAGGGTTTTATTTTTAGGACGTCTGACTGATTAAATGCTAATTATATCTTAACGCTGAGACGTTTCTCTTCTTGTCTTTTGTCCTGAAGGCTGATGACAAACAAGCTGCTCTTATCTGTCATCATTTTAATGGAGCTGGCTATTCTGGGAGCTGTGGTCTATCTGAAGTTCTTCAAATGATAAGGATCTGGTTCTTTGGGATCCAGGGCACACACTCAGACTCTTCACACTCAGTCTCCTCTGACCATCCAGTAGCAATAATGCAGTTCTGCTGCGCAAATAAAGACTACGAGACTCAGTTTTAATGAAACCTCTGCAGAGAAAAGGTCTCTGTCGGACCTGAACCGGACCAAATCTGCAGAATCTTCATGCACAAGCTGTGAGATGAGATTTGCACTGTTTTTATCAAACTGACAATGCCAAGGACGCCCTGCTGGATCATTTCGCAGAGATGACTCCACGGCAGGTTTTACTACACATGAGTACGACCGACTTACTCCCAGATCAAAGTTCCTGATCTGAGCAGAACTGGGAGGTTTGAAGGTGATCAGACACTTGATCAGCGGTCGTATGATGCAGTTATCCTCTCTGTGAAGAATAGTTTATAATGAAGTTGAATCTATTTTGCTTGTACCGTCATGTTCAGTATAAAAATGGTTGTAGTCACATGAGGCCAAATTCTCCGGGGGCGTGGATCTGAGAGTGGAAACTCTTAATTAGCCCAGATGTTCTTAACTCTTAACTTCTGAATGTTGTCAAATCACTGTATGATAGAGAAACCTCTGTTTGAAGCCGGCTTAGTTACTCCATTAAAGCTAATCTTTAACCTGAGTCCGTCTCATACTCTCCGGGACGGCTGCCAAATAGACTAACGTTGGAGAAAAACATCCGCTGCTGGACCGACGTCACCAGAATGAGTCAGCGACCCGGGTCCCAGACCTGGACCAGGTTAGTGCTGCGTAAACAACACCTGCTACTATGGGTTTGATTCTCAACTATTAGGCGATAAGGTTATTTTTAACCGCTGTGTTCTTGAAGTGGCACATCTGTTGCCGTGTTTTTCCTGCTCTTTGAAATCACGCCTTCCTGCTTCGGTGCCAAGAACGAAAACATGTTTGGTAACATGTTTGAGAGAGGAAATGATGGGACTGGTTTTATTTCACCTGAATCACACTGACTTTTCTCTGTTTTAAACTGAAATAACACCACTGTTCAAACTAAAACTGGAGCAGAGATTGTAAATAAAATAACTACAAGTTAAAATTATCCATATGAACCAAATCAAAGCTTTTTCTTTTCTAAAATGAGACTGATCTGGATCTGCATCCCAAAGGTTAACAGGAGTACTTCTTATTGAGGTGTCAGAGGCTGTTTCACTTAATTTGTGAGTTTTTAAGACAAAATGTAGATTGATAGTGTCACAGCTCTGCTTTCCTGACACACAAAGTCTCAATAAACAGAAAAATAGCTTCAAAAAAGGAGGAAAAAACTGTAAAAAGTCGAATGAAAGGGAATTCAGTGACGTCTTTTGGCCCCTCAGCAGTTTCAGACTCAGATCATGTTTATTGGTGCAGAAGAACAAAAAGGAAAGTACGTCAGACCTAAGACTCATTATGTGTGAAGCATGAACAACCTCAGGGCGAGGCACTGCCCAGGAATAAATGAGACCTTCAGTGTTTTAGTTTTCCTCTCAGGTGCCCCGAAAGTGACGGTCTGATGGTACAAGTTCAAGCTCACACAAGAGTGGATGATTCAGGACCTGCAAGAAGCCCAGAGATCCCCTGAGATTTTACCAGCTGATGTGCAAGGCTTCCAAGTTTAAGTTTCCAAATCCAAAAAACAATCTGAAAGGTAAAAACAGATTCATATTTTCCCTAAAAACAACAGTCAGCTGCAGCATTTTGGACACTTCTTATCAACACGCAGATGTGTGCTCAAAACTGAGAGTTAGCAGCTTTGGTTCGAGTAGATGGTGAGCTGAGCGGGGACCAGGACATATGATAGGAAGTAGCTGAGGTTTGTTTACATCTGTCACATAACGGGTCTACGTTTGGAAGTATTCTTGCTAATTTAGCTTTTGAAAAGTGTAACCTATGTAACACTTTTAACAGTATTAAAGCCTGTCTAGAGCATATGGAAGAAGAGTGGACTCTAGTTAGAGCCATATCCCATTCCTCGTTGGACAGCTGGCCCCCCCAAGTCATTTTCCATTGTTCTTGAATATGTGAAATAGAGTGGTTGCAGCAATCCATAATATGGGAATAAATAAGTGATATTCTGCTTTTGTTCAACATATTGACCCTGAACAGGGATTAGTGGAGACTTTTGAACATCAGTGATCATGTCCAGGATCCTGCTCTGTACTCTGATCTGGTTTATTTTACAGGATGTGGACACCATCACATCCAAACAGTAAATTTTTAAAGTTAGCTAACTTTTTTGTCAAATATTCAGCCATTAAAGTATTATTTATGTTTATATCAGGTAAACGTTCCCAAAACTGTCCAGGCTTTTGTTTTGAATATGTTCTCTAGTTGGGTGCAGTGATTCCTTAAGTTTAGGAAATATCAATGATGGAAGTGTCGGGGTCTCTGGGTTTAGATGTAGATGTTATGTAGACTCTTCCATGAATATTAGTGTATTTGCTTTACTGTGACATGATTAAAAAATGAAGGAGAAAATAAGACAAGAACACACAGCTGTGAAAAATGCAATCACATTTATGGAAGACCAAAATATAAACTCTTTAGTTAGGAGGACAAAAGTCTTCAGTGGTCACATCAAGTCAAACAGACCAAACTTTCGGATCAAATTAAACTTCAATTAGTTCATATTTTAATACTTTATACTTTGTAATTTCCAGCGTTTGACACCAAAGCTGGATTTCAACAGTTTTCAAGCCAATTCAAACAGTGATGTTAGTGAATATTTTTCTACATACATAAACTCTAAAACATTAACTGAGAGGTTTAAAATACAAAAGTCTAAAGACAGTACAGTAACTACAGCTGGTCCAAAAGTGCAAACACATCATTACTTCTTTTTAATAACTGGCGCAGCCACGAAACAGTCCGGGGGTCCACGTAAAACTGCGGACCTCCAAGACCAGGTCATACCTCTGAGGCAGGTTCATACTCTTCTCAAACAAACACGAAATAAATACGTGAGGGCCGTGCCAGCGAACACAGGAAACATACAGCAGCAGAGTGAGTAGCTTTCTTAATTAGTGGTTCTCATGAGGATGAGGGACACGTTTCAAACTTTGATGAGTTCCAATATTTTTTTTTTCATTAAAACAGCAGAAAGATGAACAAAACCTTCAAAACTTCAGCTACGTTTCCATTCAGTCTTTGTCATTCAAACAGAGGAATGCCCAGGGATGATAGAGTTCAGAGAGTTTCTTCCCGCTCTTAGAGGCGGAGCTTCTCTGTCTCGTCCTTCGCAGCGGGGATCTCATCGATGGACCCGTGAGCTCCTTCTCTCGTCTGTCCCAGAGAGGACGCGATGACGTCCACTGCTAGAGAGGCGGTGGACTCCACGGCTTCAGGGTTCGCCCCCAATGTGGGGTTCACTTCCACCAGGTCGATGACGGAGAGCAAACCTGCGAACCGGCACAGAGACGGGTGAGATATGGACACCTGGATGATTGGATGATCGTGTGATGAATGTGTGTGGTCTTCTGTACCTGTGTTGTGGATTTCCTCTGTGATGTAGATCCCCTCTCTGTAGGTCAAACCTCCGTTCACCGGCGTTCCTGTAGCTGGAGCCAGAGACGGGTCGAAGGCATCGATGTCGTAGCTCAAGTGGATCGGTCGCTGTTTCCTGTAATAGAAGGTCAGAAAGGTGAGTTCTCATTCTATTCTAAATCTGAAGTGACTTTACTTGAAACTGAACTTCAAAATAACTCGATCGTACCTCGACAGAAGTTGGTCCAGTGTGACCTCCATGACTCTCTGGATCCCTAGTCTGTCGATGTCTCTCATGGTGAAGTACTGGATTCCCAGATTCTTCAGGATTTGGCTGAAATGAAAGTAAAACATCAGAAAACTTCTCCAAAAACAAGTTCTATCAGATCAGTCCCATCGGTAAAAGTTTAATCGATGTTTGTACTCACTGCTCTCCGGGGTCAACATCTCTCAGTCCGATGTAGACCAGGTCCCTCGAGGAGAGGAAGGGCTTCGTCCAGGAGAACCCGGGGATGTCTGGCATCTAAGGGAGACAGAGGGAGATTTTTCAGTGTCAGAATCTAAATGTGCTGAAACTGAGCGAATGCACCACACTGCACCTTCACCTCGACCTTATCTTTGAGTTATCCTAAAGTACGTCTCAAAACATCCTGTTTTTATCTCGTCTTTATCTCTGCTCACCTTATCTTGCAGCTCTTTGAGCATAAACGCCACAGGCTGGCCGTGGAGGTTTCCTGATGGAGAAGTCATGGGCGTGTTTATGTCTGCGTGGGCATCGACCCAGATGAGACAGAGATCAGGACACTGCTGGGCGTGGCCTCCCACTGAGCCGATCGCCATGCTGTGAGAGGAGGAGAAGGAGGAGGAGGAGACACTGAGTCTGGAGCACAGGTATGGATTTATCAAGAGTTAAAAGGTACCTGATGTACAAGCTCTGCCACACCTTTAATTGCAGGTTTTAACGTACAGCACATCCTGCATTGTGTACCTTACCTGTGATCACCTCCGAGCATAACAAGGGTGTGTCCTGCACCGACAACTCTGCTCACTGCGCCGCACAGCTTCTTGTTGGCTGCACCCACGGTGCGAGGACGCTGAACGTTCATGTAGGGCTCGTCCTTCTCGGGGAAGTGGAAGGAGAGGTCTCCAAAGTCATGGACAGAGTAGTCTGAGGAGGAAAGAAACAAAGAGGAACTACTGTTAAAACTGCTGTTAGCCTTATCTGATGATACAGGTGATTAACTTCAGAAGCTGTTATGCCAATACTTCAGCGATCACAACTATAAAAGGCTGAGAAAACGCTGTTATGAATTCATTCTGCGATTCAGACAACCACTTTAACTTCTTGTGCTGATACTACTACATCTTTAACTGTGACTCTGACTTTTACAACTGCAGCTTCTGAATTATTTCCCTCATATTTATACTCTTCAGCTAGAGGTGGGACTCACCAGTGTCCCCACGATACAATATTTTACAATACTTGGGCCACGATACGATATTATCACGATACGATATTATCATGATACGATATTATCACGATACGATATTATCACGATACTTGGGCCATGATGCGATATTATAATGATACAATATTATCACAATACTTGGGCTGTGGTTCCATATTATCACAATACCATATTATCAGGATACCTGGGCCACGATACAATATATCTTTTATTGTCATTGCAACTGTGCACAATGAAATTGCATTTACTGATGGGGAAAGTACACACATATGATAAGATACGATATATCACCAGACAAAATATCATGATTCAGCGGTGTTTGTAGTGTGTTATCAGCCCTTCCCTTGCATTTTCTTACATATTATAGTTTGCAGTCTGAAGTTTGCAGGCCAGTAAAAGAAAAGAAACTTTCAAACACAGGGTTATGATAGAACCATGAGTTGGCATCACTTATGCAGTTATAAAGTTGTTGTTGATAACGTTAGGCACCCTGCAGTGATCCTAATTTAGCCGATCTATTCCTATCAGAAATATTTTGTACCAGCCAGAGGTCAAAATACTGACAGAGTACCTTATTGAGGTTACATAATTGAAAATAGTTCACCATCTACAGCCCCGACAGCATGACTAAACATGTCTAGCTCGCGGTCTGAGGAGACTGAGTCATCTAATGCCAGTGGAACATTAGTGACGGGGCGCTTTCCACTTGTCCCCTTTCCCACATCGGCTCGGGTTTCAGAGGCTGCCGTCCACTCTGAGCTGGAAAGGCTGCAGAAGTAAAGACTGAAAAATGTTCCCTTAGGGGAGGACCTGCTGTAAGAAGTAAACAAGTGAGGAGACCCTCCATATTGGGGGTCTGTCTGTCAGCACAACTCCCGATGGCAGTGTAGTGTTACCCTGCTGATCTAAGGGAACCGGCTTAGTCCATTACCTTTCGTAGACAGGACAGGAATAGCTCTTGTCTTGATGCAAGCTTTCACACCTATTGCAGGATAATTAAAAGAAACAGTCCAGCCAGAAACAGGCTGTAAGATCTGCTCCTGTTTGCTGTGAAAGTTCTCATCACAGCTGCTACAAGTGTGCTCTGTTTTCTGTGGAAATATCCCAAATCATCCTCCAACTGTTTGGGTTTATCATCCTGTCTTTTTTATGGAGACATGTTGTTCCAAGGCTCGGTATTTCTTATAGTAAGGTTTCAGTTTCGGGTTGAGCTGGTGACATGGCAGATGTATCTTTTTCACTGCCGTATTGAGCCGCCAGGAAAACAGAGCCCTGCCAACTATTTCCTCTAAGTCTGCCAGCTCATGTCCATCCTCCAGCCTCAGACTTTAGACCTTCAAATTTACTGGACAAAAAGCAACTGAAACCGTTTCAGTTCATGACTCATCTTTTATCAAAGATTATAACTTTGTCGGTAAGGCGAAAAGCATTCATGATATTTGGCCTTCACTGGTTAAAACATGTTCTTTATATGTGTTTATGTGTTATTTAAAGCTCCTGTTAGGACTCTTAGGCTGGTTATGAAACAAACTAAATCGAATATGACGCCTTTTTCAGAGCTAATCTGACCATTTCTATTTCTGCGTCTGTAACAGGATGAGCTTTTTCTCAGGCCAAAGGCGAGGCCGAAACCAACACGAGCAAAAAGTTCCTTATAGGAGCTTTAAAGATACATAATAAAACAAGTAAATCATACCTATGTAAAGAAAACATAAACAACATCATATAAACTTTATTTTTTTTACCTAGCCATATATTTATGACCCTTTATATGCTTTCCAGGAACTTGAACCCAAATATCCATGAAGTAAAACCCCGACTGCAACTTTATTTACCTTTTTAAATTGGCTTTTAACCTGTGACTGTTGTTTTACTGTCTTTTCATATTGTGTCTTTTTTAACCTTTTACATAGTTGGTCTAATTACTCCAAATTTTCTGTATTTAATTTTTTGTAAAGCATCATTGAGCACCTGTAAAAGCGCGCTATAAATAAAATGTATTATTATTATTATTTATTTATACACTTTTATTTAAAGCTCCTGTGAGGAGTTTTTTGACGTAAAGGATATAGATAGAAATAATAAAAAAACATAATCCGCCTTTAAGTTGACCGTCTATACGGCTGAGTTATATAACTAAAAAGATGACACAGTTATAAATGTTAAATAACCAATAAGGAGGTCAGTCAGACTGATACCTGAAGCTACATCTGTCTTTTTGACTTCAGCTGTAAAAGTAGGTTGCTGTAAGTTTGCATGGTAAGGCTGCTATAAATACTCTGTCTACAGCATACATAACACACACCGACTACATCATTACAGTGCAGGAATATAGAGTCATGATGGACTGGCTGCTCGGCTCTCAATGGTCCTTATACATTTATAACTATAAGAGAGAATGGCAGGTTTATACCGGCGTTCACACAGGGATTATAAAGGTGTGTAGCTGTTCCCTTAGGCTGCTGCTGCTGTACCTGTTTCTAAACACACCCAGGTATTTTGTCTCTTATGCCAGGTGATCCAGAGCTGTCCCGTCTATCGTCTTATCAACATCTGATATGGTGGGAAAGGTGCGGCCTGTATTCTTACAGCTGGTACATTGTTGAATCTCCCAGCTCTGACACACTAACTGCAGTCAGACTGGTTTCCATTGGCAACAGGATAATACAGGTTATATTTTTATAGCTGCCAGGACAGTAGAATAGATTGGCAAATATTTACACTGGTATGATTTTTAAAAGGAAATAAGATGCAAACAGATGGAAATTTTTACTGAAGCCTTTTTATGATATACAAAAGCAAACAAGACCATCGGCTATTACATTTATCCTGGATTATTTAAAGCCTGAAACTGGAGTTATTAAAAAAACAGCCCTACATTTTCATTTTTAACATCAATTATGTGAAAAGATGAAACGTTTAACCATCTAAAGCTGCAGTATTTCTCTGATTTGACACTAAAATATCCACTCCCTGTACAGTGGGTGCTGTGGGATCTCTGACCTGTTTTCAAACCAGGCTGTGAACGTACGCTTCTTTTTTTTAATGAGCGTGTTTGTGGTTTCTGGTGCTTCTGCAGTCAGCTCAAAGTCGACGCTCTGGGAGGTGCAGTTTTAAGAACTGCTGCATCTTCATTTGTTGAGTTTGGAGACACTTCCCGTCAGCTCTGTGCTTTTATAGCTCTGTAAGTTTTAGGATGGATCTAAAAGTCTGCTATTTTGTATCTGCGGTGTCGTATTAATCTTAATTCATGGATCACTACATTATAGCAATCATAGTTTTGTCTCTAACTAGTCTCTAAGTATCCCTGCAAACCAACAGAATGAGTGTAAACAGAACTGTCTTGATCATATAGCATGACAAAAAAAGTGGTCTCCTAAGTTGACATGTATATTTTTATCTATTATATGCTATTCAACTGGTACAATAGTTATTTTTATTATTATTACATATAACTGCTAAAAAGCTGTTTTAATATGAGAATGTCTTTAAGTGATTCCAAACATTCACAGTCGTATTTTTAAAAAGAAAAAGTCAAACATTTCAACAATCTGAATGTAAACTCTGATCCTCTCATCAGACTCCTTTACTGTCTCACTTACCCCTGAACTACTATGACTTTATTCGTCCTCTGAGCTACCACATTTTAAAATGATCTTTTTGGGTCTGAACACATTTCTAATCAAACTTATGACAGACTAAATTCACTTTTAAGAGTAAATAAATGTCTAACCCCTTCACTTATGTGCTTCTAACCTTCACAGACTCCATGAATTGATTTCCAAGCAACAGGGAGCGGCTCAACTTATCCCACTCTCCCCTATCTGACTTTTCAGTGACCTCTTTTAGACTCGGTACAGTCAGGCTGTCTTTACTTCATCCCGGCTCTTACTCCTCCTGTAATTTCCTCCTCTATTGCATCACCTCCCTCTGTACTGTACCTCCTTTGTCATGCAGACTGAGACTTTCTAACACATTATAACCTAAGAAAGGAGATTCTTTCTCCCCTGAGGTGTTTCCTTTCAGGCGCACAGGAGAGAGATTAATACAAAGGAGTGGGTGAAGACAGACAGTAGGGGGTGACTGGGTTTGTCTGCAGTGACGACAGAGTGGAAATAATTCACCCTCCGTTTCCTGTAGGCTTCCGAGCATGTGCCGAGAATGACTAAAGCGGGCGGACATGTGCACGAATTACACAAAGACAGAAAATCACATTACAGCATGACGGTGCGGAGTTACAGTGTGTCCTCTAAAGCGTCTCTACCCTTACATGGCATCACTTAAAGAGCATGAAGATTCATGTAACATCATTTTAGATGACTATGGATGTTTTTGATGGATCAAAAATGTACATAGACTCACTTAGTTCAGATTAAATCTCTAAATCTGGTAATTTTCTGCCGTAATCCAATAAAACTGTCAGACAAAGAGTCCTGCTCAGACTCTTCTAAACTGGGACCACTTTGTTCCCGAAGCCTGCGTGCTGGATCAGCCTCTCCAGAGCTCCATGGATGTTAGTATTTACGGTCTGGGTGATGTAACAGGCTGGCTCAAACACTGTGATGGGAACTATAGGCTATATCTGTCTAAAAGGAGCCCAGTAGAACCTGCAGGTGACAACCATCCGCTGTTACATAACCCCGCAGCAGCACCTACCTAAACCGGAGAGCCTCTCCACCAGTCCCGCATCTCTGATGGCTTTCGGACCGTGCTCCACGCCTCTTCTTTTCTGTCAGGAAAACACACAGAACCGCGTTATTTGAATACTAATAATGATGCTTTTTTGAAGATAAAATAAAGCGCGTAATTCTCACCTGTCCTCTTGAAAATGGAGCCCCTAAAACAGCGACAGACTGAGCTCTGCTCTGCTGGCAGGTGTGGCTCATCTGAGTCCTGAGAAGACGGAATAAAGGTCCTCTCAAAGGCATTTTTCTCTTCTTCTTAAAGTCTGGATAAACTCTGGATTGTCTGCTGGGAGCTGAGTGTACCGCTGCGCTGGTGGATGCTGAATGAAGCCGCGCTGCTGCAGGGGGCTGGTCTTATGCGTCCTTAATCTGCTTAATATTAATGAGCTGCTGAATGTGGGGCCCGGGGCCAGAGACGGGGGTGACCACACCCTAATTTATTCACAGTCTGTGGGAGAGTATTAAGTTTATTAAAGATGTTCAGGCTCCTTATCATGTTATGATGTTTCTAAAAGGAAATACATATATAGCATCTGACGTCAGGTTGACTGGCACACCTTCGGATCAGCCAATAGGAGAGGAGGGAATGAGAGGGTTCGCTCAGGTGGGCGTGGTCTGAGCGCTGATGTAGGGCAGCAGCTCTTTCGAAATGTTTGTTGTCAAGTTCAGACTGCAGTGAGTCTCATGGAGATGGATGGAAATTTCCAGGGGCGCAGCAGCCGAGCGGGAGCGACAGGCCTGTTTACATCCCAGACTTTTGGCTCTGTATCATGTCCACACGTGTAACCCCATACCCTGCCAAAACAGATCCGATTTCAGGTCAGGATCAAAAAACCCATATATATGTGAATTTTATCACAGGCTCAAGTCCCAATAGCATTACATACATCACAACATTAAGAGAAAAAGACAATATAAAGAAAGAAAGAAAGAAAAAAAAAATTATATATATATAGCCAAACTATCTATATTCTCTGACTAAAGGTTAAACATGTGATGGATCTGTTTGTTTTCCAGTAATCATTTATTAAACCTTCTTAATTTTCACTTTCAGGTTCGTTATCAGCTGTACTGTCTATAAAAATATCCCATTACCAGTGAATGTGTTTTACTGGAAACTCTTACCAAAGTCCACCTAAAATTACTCATGATCTTTATTTTTAACCCTTGTTGACACTCCTGTGTAGTTTCTGTCAAATCAAAACTTAAGAATAAAGGAAAATGAAAGTACAGTCTAAGTTTATGAAAATTAGGCATCCTAATCTTATTCAAAATTAGGTTAGGCTACCTAAAATTAAAAGTATATATTCATGTGGGAAAAATTACATCAATACATGATTAATGATGAGATTTTTCGTTGGTAAAGCTGCTGTAAGGAAATTGTTTGTGTTGGTTTTAGCATCCTCTGTGGGAAAAGAAACATATAACCTATTATTATGTAGCTGATCTTGTGCTACACAAGCCAAGGTGTTATAGATAAAGCTATATAAATAAAGTTTTTATTATTTTTATTAATATTGTTGTTGTTATTGTAGTTGTAGTAATAAAAATAATAATAATGGATTGAGGGCGGATCGTACAACCCATTTTGTTTGACACGTACCCCTTCACGGTGGTTTCAAGCATTCAAAATCACAACATAGAAATAGTATTGTTTGCTTTCATGTTGGATTTTATACATTTCACAACCAGTCAATGGTTGTGAAACTTCTGGACTGGTTGAGGTCTTGCTACAAACAAGTGGCTGCTGGAAGAGAGTAGGTGAGTCGAGTTTAGTCTATTTGCTTAAGATATCAGGCAAAGTTAAAAAGATGTTTGGTGGCTAGTACTATGGCTGGGACCCTACATGTCCTGTTGATGTTAGGTGCTGTTCTGAGCCTTATTGGTGGCTATAGAGTGGCGTTTTGGTTGAGGTTTGCATGTGGAGATGTAGACCGCTGTGTTTTGCTATCAAGCGGTCATTACTAACTAACTAGACAAACAAGCGGTCTGCAACATTCATCTCTCGAGGGGTGTCTAAATCAGTATTACGGTGTGTTTGACCCTTAATTAATTTTGTGCCAGAACATCCCTTTAATTTGATTTTGCTCACTGATTGATTAAAAAATTTTGAGTTGAGGGGACCTTTGACATATAGCCATATATAGCCATATGGTTTCAAGCATTCAATATCACAACATAGAAATAGTCTTGTTGGATTTCACAACCAGTCAAAAACTGTCTGCAAGAACTTTAAATTATTGACGAAGTGTTTTTAACTCATAGCCTCTCTTACTCTTTTTGAATTTCCCTTCGGAGATCAAGAAAGTTTATATTATCTTATCTTACTTTGTTAATGAGGATGTAGGTTACTGTTAAGTTGGTCCGTGTAGGGGTCATAAATAACTTTAGACACTGGTGGTAGGCTTTCTCATATTCCTTCAGCAGTAACTCATCAACCATCTGGTCTGTATGTACACTCGTGTAATTTCCACAGCAGCTGTTATTGAAATAAAACTGCAAAACTCAACCTACAGTCTTCAACTCTTAAGCTTATCCAAAAAACATTTACAGAAGAAACGGTTGTGGCTTGTTTCACACTTCTAAGTTCAGTGTATGCACTTTAGTTGATAGGTTCAGGCCATACAGTAAAACTAAGCTTTATCAAACTAGTATAAAACAAGAGTCACCCGTTTCTACTGTCATTTCTGTGAGTTATAAAACATAAAATCTCTGTATTGTTGCTGGGAAACATCGAGAACAAAGGTGTTTTTCTCCTTATGTAACCGGCTTTCTTTATACATTCAATGAACGTGACAGCGTCAACGGCCAGACACCAAACGTCGGTAGGAGCCCGTCCTGATTGGCTGGAACGTCGAAGAACGCTCACGCGCTACAAATAATACCAAGCATTTGGCGCCATCAAGTGTTCGAAAGTGGGGCTCGCGCAGAAGACGTTAAGGGGAAAGTGGGTATTTAAAGACCTGATTTTTGACTGTCAGGCAAATGTGTACGAACCCGCCATTCAACGGATTTTTTAAGAGTTAGGGGGCTTGTTGTCAGCACTGAAGATCTATAACAATTCTTCGCTTAATTCATTCATTTTCAGCTGGATAAATCATCATTTTAAATGATTCCTCTACTTTGTTGGAAGCTGATTAATCTCGGAGCCTGGTCTTTCCTGAGAGACAAAACTGAGGGCATTAAAATCAAACTTATCACCGTGCTTTCCCATAATTCATTTCGGAAATAAGGGTAGTTATTGGGAGCTATCGTAGCGCACCGGTGATTACTTTAACGTTAATCTTTAACCCCCCGATTTCTGCTTACAGTGTTTCGTAAGCTTTTATGCGGACGCCCCGCACTTTGATTAGACTGTGTGTTTTATTTGAGCCTCGTCTGCTGGTGAGTTTGTCTGTAAATGACCGCTGAGCTAATGTAAACTAGCAGGGCCACAGAGTGTGTGTTAGCTAACCTGAGCTAATTACGCTAGTTAACGGTTAATGAAAAGGAGGGCAGATATCCCACCTGTTCACGTGACACAGTGTTTTAACTATATCTAATGTATGTGCCAGTTTATACTGATATTTATAAAGACATTTCTTCTCCTTCAGCTGACAGTCCTCTCTCTCTTCTTTTAGGATTCCCTGTTAAACTCAGGATGTCTTACCCTCCTCCGATAAACCGACAGCAGATCGGCATCCCCCAGCTGCCCCCCAGGATCCCCCCTCCTCAGTATGGAGGGTTTGCCCCGACTGTCCCTCCAGGTACTGTCAGTGCTGGAGGACAGCATTCTCAGGATCACTGTCTGCTGTCTGTGGGCTGTGTTCAGGCCGTTAGGGTCATAGATTTCAGACCAAAGTTGATCAAAAATCAGATATATCTGAAAGTCACTAAATATTAAAGTCACTGCAGTCAAAGGAGAATCAAAATAGAGCTTAGTAGAAAAATAGAGAAGTTCACAGCTTCTTTCTTGAGTAAAAGTGTACACACTCCTGGTTAAATATGACTGTGACTAGAATATTACTATGGATGGATTACGTGGATACAGTGTAATAAGAACATCGTTAACAGAAAAGACAGATTGTTAGAGCTATTTGTGCACTACTGATAATTTGGCAGATAGATAGATAGATAACAAAGAACAAAGAAAATAAGTGCTACCCCCGACAGAAATGACGATGAAGGCTCAACAGATGACCACATCGTCCACAACACTGACACGAAAACATCGGTGGTGTGGAGGTATTTTGGTTTTTGAGGTCGGACATGAAGCAGAGTAATGTGAACTGTAAATTATGTCGAGTACACGTTCTCACAAAGTCGGGGAATACCTCAAATCTTTTTCACCACCTGAAGCAGTGCCACTCCGAGCACATGCAAAAAAAAAAAGGTTACAAACCCAGAATGAAGCGAGGAGCCGAAACAGACGACCATTCAGTCCGCTTTCTCTAGAGCAACGCCTTACGACAAAAGGTCGCAGAGACACAAAGAGCTCACAGATGCAGGAGATTATTGTGTTGCAAAAGACGTGCGACCAATAAACACTGTTAAATTTCATTTTTTATATCGTGATATACATCGATATCGACTGATATGAAAAAAAATATTATCATGATAAACTCTTTCCCATATCGCCCAGCCCTGTTCTTAGTTGTACAGACCTTTGACATATTAAAACAGGAAGGCAGGTGCAGTCATCGGCCACCTTCGTCGTTTACCTCTCACATGAAGATAAAATAAAATTGTGTGTGTTCAATGTTTGTGTGTGTTCAATTCTTTCCACATTGTTTGATCAGTGTGTTTTGTTTGTGTTTCCAGGTACTCCCATGATCCCGGTTCATATGGGTGTAGTGACCCCCACACCCACAGTGAGTTAGAGACAGGAGTTCCTTCTGCATGCTGTTTGAAGCATCAGCTGTTCTGCATGAGCTCATATACCATCCTTATGTATTCTCAGTTATACTCACACACATTGGGAAAGTCTTTTCTTTGACTCAGACAGTTACACTTTCCTCTCCCTCTTGACATGTTTCAGATTCTCCTAAGATAAACATTTATTCCTTTTTCATTCATTCATTTCTGCTTTGGACAGCAGTGACTGATGAGAATCTAAACACGTGAGTTGATGTTGCAGGTCCTCGTCCCAACTGCTGTCGCTGTAGCACAGAAGCCAATGATTCCAAAGGAGCCCGGCAGCCTCAGAGTCAAAGACACAGACGACGGCAGCGGTCCGACCACGACTGTGTTTGTAGGAAACATCTCTGAGAAGGCCTCTGACATGTTGGTCAGGCAGCTTTTAGCGGTGAGTCGGCACACTGTAGTAGAGTCGTTTGTTGTTAGTCAGATATTAATCAGGTGAAATTCAGGCTATAAATAGGAAACCAAAGTGGAACAGGACAATGATTGGCAACCACAGTGAATTACAGACAGACAGAGCACATTTTATCAGGTAAGTTTTACTGAAGAACATCTTCATTTCACTGACATGATCAAAACAAACCGATGGCACAGTGTAGGGAAGACTGAGTCCCATCGTGACATAAAGAAAGGAAGTTACAGAGGGGTAAATATCACGCCTTAAACTGACAATATGAAAAGGGATAAAGACACTTAAAGACTGCTGTACCCTCTTTTAATGCTGTGAAATATAAAACCTCCTCTTTCCTGTTCTCCTTGAACTAGAAATGTGGAATCGTCCTGAGCTGGAAAAGGGTCCAAGGTGCCTCTGGGAAACTTCAAGGTAGAAACAAAAAACATTCACATATTAAAACTGAAACCAAAACACCAGATACCAACATAAGAAGTTCCTGTTACTCTATAAAAAGCAGTAACTTCACTGTTTGTGCAATCCGACTTTTTGCTTGGATCAAAACTCAGGACAGGTTTTTCAAATTTCCAGCGCTTACATGACTGTCCCTCTCCTCTCTCATCCCGGCAGCTTTTGGTTTCTGTGAGTATAAAGAGCCTGAGTCCACACTGCGAGCCCTCAGACTTTTGCACGAGTTGCTCTTAGGTGATAAAAAGCTGCTGGTCAAGGTGGACGCCAAGACCAAGGCCCAGCTGGACGAGTGGAAGGCCAAGAAGAGGAGTGCGAACGGGGTATGCTGTTTCTCCGAGGAGTAAAGGTTTACTCAGACATGTCTGTTTGCGATAATCAGGTTTTTAAAGCCTGTTTCTTTCCCTTAAAACTCAGGGAACCAGTGACGGGTCAAAGAATGAGGAGGAAGGTGAGGAGGAGGAGGTTCTGGACGAAGAAACCCTGCGGAGGGACCAGGTAGTGAAGGGGGCAATAGAAGTCCTCATCCGAGAGTATGCAAGTGAGCTGAACGCTCCCTCGCAGGACCCCGACAGTCAACCCCGAAACAAAAAGAGGAAAGAGAAGAAAGAGGAGGTAGAGTTTTCTCAAATGTGAAGGATCTTTGATGTGTAGCTGTTACTGCTGTGTGTACTTAGTGTGTGTTTGTGTGTTTTCTCTGTGCTTTGCGTAAGGAGGATATCAATGCCATGGAGATGGAGGACGACAAGAGAGACCTGATTTCCAGAGAGATCAGTAAATTCCGTGATACGCACAAGGTAACACATCAAACTGCTGCTTTTTCTCTGTACATGTAGGTTTTGGAGAAAATCCTCGAAATGAGGTATTCGATATTATTTAAGAGTAAATGTATCTTAACTTAAATCCTCCAAAAGACTGTCATGTTGAAACTGAATTGAGTTTTTAGTTTTGCACATGCTGAAGTGCATGGACAGGATGTGAAATTCCACCTTAAGCTAATCTATTGATCAAACTTCACCAATGTGGTAGAGTTCATTTGGTGACTAGAGCAAGATGAATCTCACAATCTCAGCTTTGGAAAAAGTTGCGAGGATAGGATGTAAGTATGATCCTTTATTTCCTCTTGACTCATGTTGGGCGCTCCCTTCTGGAGGTTTTGCAGAGGGGCAGCTGGCTCTCAGTCCACTGCTGTTATTATCCCTGAAATCAAAGAGCTGCTGCAGCTCCAGTGAAAGAACCGATCAGTTCAGTGTGAATGTAAAGAAGCGTGCTGTGATGAAGTGGAGAAGCTCAGTGAACCTCTGCATGTCCTCACATGTGAAATGTCGTGTTTAAAGAACACACACAGTCTGAATGAGCTTAACCACTGCAGCCTGTAGTGAAGGAGGGAGCGCCCCTCCACAGCACTCTGTGGTCTGAAGACTTTGAAGGTAAGTGTCTCTGTTTCTTCTCTTCTCTTTATCTTTGACTTATCTATTTTATTCTCCTCTCTGTTCTGTGTTTACTGTCCTCTCCCCTTTTAATGAATCGACAAGAAAACAAACGAAATACGTCTCAGGGTGGGAAGAGTACGAGAATATTCTCCTCGAGTAAAGGGAAACTCATCCTGACTGATGTCTTTACTCCCTAAATTCACACCCTAAGATGTGTGCACCTGCACTGTTACACATACACACTTTTACACTCATTTTTAAAAGGCATTTTAACTCAAATCTCATCCTGCTCTGTTTGCAAAATATGCAGAAATCGGCTCTTTGTGTAGGACGCTGTAAAAAACTTTGACACTCACCACCAGCAGCAGCAGTTTAGGTACAAACAAAAGTTTCATATATAAGAATCGTCAGGCTGCTGTAGCTCATAAAGAGGCTCCAGTAAAGATTTAAGTCTGTTTTATAAACCAAACAGTTAACCCAGATGATTAAAGCTCCCCTCAGTGTCTGATATTTTAAAAACACTCGTTTAAATAAAGTCACATAAAGTTTACAACTCTTATTCTTCATCCTTTTTCCTTCTGTTTTTTTAAAATTTCAGTCAGACCCACATTTCGAACAGCTTTGACACTTTTGTTAAATATTTTAAGAATAGTTTGAAATCTGGGTCTGACTCTGTTAAGATTTGTTAATCTCATTTCTCGGGTTGGAGAGACCAAAGAGACGCTGAGAGGCGACCTTCAGGTAAGACTGTTTCACTCATTTCCTTGTGAATTCATGAAAAACGATCTGATTTGTTGTGGACATGAATTGTTGTGTTTTGTTGGATGTGGATGTTGCTGGATAACTTGTTTCACAGGTTGTCGATGCTCCTGGAGGTTTTTCCCGATGATTTTTGACTTTGCTCTTGACCTGCTTTTCCTCCCACATGTAGCCTGTAGGATGAGTAGTGGCAGAGAGGAGCTCGTTCAGTCCATCACCTGTAAGTTCTCTGACGGCTCTAAATCATCTTTGGAAAAGGCTGTGGTGTTTTTATCAACAACTCAGGAGGCGGATCAGTCCTTCCTTTAATATTCTGAATATTTTCACTGCTCTGATTGTTTTTGTCTTGTGCACATTTACTCCCCTGTCGTATATTTCCCCCTCAGCCCATACCTTTGAGGTATTTAATGGTGTACTCGCAGTTGTAAGTCTCCACACTGCTGCACACAGAGCTCCTACACTCCTGCAGGGGAGCACTTGCTTTGCAGTCTGGCTGTGCTGCCCCCTGCGTATCAGATGACCATGCAGAAAACACATGGGAGCCGATTATGTAATTCACTTAGTTGGGCCGTTTGCCATGTTAAGCTCAGGCTTGTTTTAATCCACTTGGCACCCACAGGAAAGACCAAACCAGGGTGTTATATAGTGGTGATCCTAAGTGTATAGTTAGAACTTAATGACCTCGGTGAACCCAAGGTGCAAAGCTGATTTACCTAAAGTGCTTTATATCAGTGTTCACAGCACGAGGAGTTAAATCAAACCACGAAACGTTAAGAAATATCATCTATCCGTTCAAACTAATGGGCTTTATTTACACTGAATTTGGCTGCTGCAGGATGAAGAAGACTTAAAGTGTGTAAAAAAAACAATCAGAGTTAATGTTTCTTGAAGAACACAGAACCAGACTGATGTTTTGGTCCTCTGACAGAGTAATTGGGTCGTTATGGACCAGAATTCATCGACTGACTGAGGATGTTTATTTTATTGCTTGTCATTTTTTCCTCTCGCTGCATCAGCTGCTACTCCCCAGAAATAAACATGAACAGAGCGATCAAACAAAACTACCAAAACATAGTGATTAATCACAACAAATTGATGCTTTATTTCCAAGATAAATCAAACAAATTAGACAAATGCTGATCTATGAATAAGGGTGGAAAAACAGTCAGATATTTGTTAAAATAAACTATGTCAGAGGTAAATAAAGGGAGGGTTATACTACATCAAACAAGTAATGGTACTGCGGTCTAACCTAACCAAATCAGGTCAACATTAGACACTTTTATCTTCTGCATCACGTCCCTCTATCAGTATATATCAGCTGCCAGAGTGCTCATTGATTGGAAAAGGGGCGGATGTGGGTTTGGCCATATTTGCCTACAGCTGAGTTTTTATTGGAAAGGCCTCTCATTACATCAGAGCATAATCTCAGATCACCACCGAGTGGACAGTGAGTGCAGAGGACGAGCTGACCTGTTACATATGTGAGGAAGAAAAAGTGATTCAATATGACGCCTGATGGAACCCGCAGCCAGGACAGGAAGAGGCCGGTGCAGAAATACAATAGAGTGGATGTTTGGGGTCAGAAAGTGCCTGAAAAACACCCAAAGATGGTCTCAACCCACCATGAAAACAAACTCTGAACTTTTTAAAACTTGATCCGTTTGGTTTTGAGAAAGTGTGTCCTGATTGGGTAGTTTTTGCGCTGACCCACTCTTCCAGGAGGAAACATCATGCCTAAGAGGACTTCCAGCAGCCTCTCCAAGGCAATGAGTGGTGGCCGTATGTGAGCAGCGACTCCAAATCATTTTCACTTTCATGTGCTGATTATTACCTCTGTGTCTGTTTGAGTGTCTTCTTCACCAAATGTGAAATGTCTCCCCCCCTTTTCTTCCTGTCGGGTCCCTGCAGAAGCTGGAGGAGGAGAAAGGAAAGAAAGAAAAGGAGCGGCAGGAGATCGAGAGGGAGAGGAGAGAGAGGGACAAGGAGCGGGAGCGCGAGAGGGAGCGCCGCGACCGCGAGAAGGAGAAGGAAAGGGAGAGGGAGAGAGACAAGGAGCGGGAGAGGGACAGAGACCGAGAACGGGAGAGAGACCGGGAGCGAGAGAGGACGAAGGAGCGGGAGAGGGAGCGGGAGAGGGAGAGAGACAGGAGTCGAGACGTCAGCGAAGACCGGAGCAGATCCAGGTCAGTGAGGTTGATGTCAAAGTTCACGGCTCAGTCTGACGGTACAAGAGAAACTTCATCTTGCGCGTAAATAAGAGTCAGGACTTTAGTAAGTAAAGGAGCTCTGTAATGAGTGCATAATTTACAGTAAATGACTGTAATAGAATGTGTGGGAGAAAGGTCCTTGTTTGTGCAAATATGATGAAATTAAACTGATTCACTAAAACGCAGCTCTGACTGAAGCAAAACCAACCAGATTTGACTGTGAGGGAAATAAGTGTCCCTCTCTCTGTTTCTTACATTATTTTTCTTGTTTGTCAAAGTTTGAGAGAGTCCGAAGAGTCTAACACCATTAACCCTTTGTGTCCTGCAGAGAGAGGACCAGGGAAGAGAAAAAACGAGACCGAGAAGAAGATGAGGAGGACATACATGAACGAAGGAGACTGGAGAGGAGGCTCAGGGATAAGGAGGCGGCGTACCAAGAGGTGTGTCTTTAAACCTCACTGATTACTTTGAATTTCATCGATTTGGAAGCTCACAGACTCATCCGTGGTTTGGTGATTTTCTATGTTTTCAAAGCGCCTGAAAAACTGGGAAATCCGGGAAAGAAAGAAAGGTCGAGACTACACTAAGGACACGGAGCGTGAGGAGGAAAGGCGTCGTGAAATGGTTCGACTCTGCTGCGTACACCCTGTGGTTTTGGTTCCTCTTACTGTCAGATGTTTCCAGATGTTTTCATGGAGATTAAAGTGTTTTTGTGTTTAAATTCAGATGAAAGAAGCCAAAAGACTAAAAGAGTTTCTGGAGGATTACGACGACGACAGGGACGACCCGAAATACTACAGGTGATCATCTGAACGCTCATTTTAAAGTGCGTCTCACACTCGTGATGAAGTTTTGCGTATTTCATGACCTGAAGCCCGTCTCTCATCCTCAGGGGCAGCGCTCTGCAAAAGCGACTCCGTGACCGAGAAAAGGAGACAGAACTGGACGAGCGAGACCGAAAGAGAGAGAAAGAGGAGCTGGAGGAGATCAGACAGAGGCTCCTGGCTGAGGGTCACCCTGATCCTGACGCTGAGCTGCAGAGGGTGGGTTCAACGCAGACCCAGGACCAGAGTCATATGAGAAAAAACCCTTTATCTATCTTGTGTCGACCAGGGTTTGAGCTCTACGATTGTCCACTTTGTCTTTGTACAGATGGAGGAGGAAGCGGAGCGCAGACGGCAGCCTCCTCTCAAACTGGAACACGAGGAGGAGGCGCCCCAGGAGAAGTCTCACAAGGACCGGGACAGAGAGAAGCGAGGGTCCGCGAAGCCCGCAGAGCCCATCCCCCGAGGGCCCGCGCCGCGTTCCGATGACGATGATGAAGCAGAAGGGGACATGGACGACTACCGCGACGGAGAGGACTCTCAAGACGCCAAACCACAACTCAAACCCATCATGCGACCAATCACTACAGCTCCCTCAGTGTCCTCCGCCAGTGGGAACGCCACTCCAAACACACCCGGCAACGAGTCTCCCTGTGGGATCATCATCCCAGGCGAGAACACCCCTGAGGTCCAGCCTCCAGAGGAACACCGGCCCAAGATCGGTCTCAGCCTCAAACTGGGTGAGTACAGAGACAAACTGAAAACGCGGCGTGATCGATCTCGTCCTAAAACAACGTTTCTGTCCTCCAGGTGCCACCAACAGTCCCAGCCAGCTCAACGTGGGGAAGCGGAAGAAGCTGGCGACCATGGAGAGCGTTTTTAACAAGTTTGACGAGGAGGAGGCCGATGAGCAGCCTCGCAAAAGGAAACTGGTGCCGCTGGACTACGGTGACGACGACAAGAGTCTGGGGCTGGACGGGGCTGAAATTTCCGGGGGTAAAGGCAGCATCAACTCAGAGGAGAAACACAAGCACATAAAGAGCCTCATCGAGAAGATCCCCACGGCCAGACCTGAGCTCTTCTCCTACCCTCTGGACTGGGCCATGGTGGACTCGGTAAGGAGAAGCTCTCTCTGTGTGACGTGCCGACAACAGTTTTTGATTGTTTCAGAGATCATAACTTGACGATTCTTGTCTTCACTCATGATGCTGCGAGAGGGTTAAATCATGTGGTTAATTTGTGGTCTGTGTGTTTTTAGACTCTGATGGATCGCCGTATCAGACCATGGATCAATAAGAAGATTATAGAGTACATCGGCGAGGAGGAGGCCACGCTGGTAGATTTTGTCTGCTCCAAGGTTTGTGATCGTTTCTCTCCGACAGCTGCATTTATCTAAAGTTGTTATTTTCTGTGATTTTTGTTTGCTGCTCCTTTCTAATTTTACATCTTTCCTCTTCAGGTGATGGCACACAGCACTCCTCAGGGTATTCTGGATGATGTTGCCATGGTGAGTTGATACTGACGCAACACTGAAAGTTCACACTGTAAAATCAGAGTCAAAGCTAAGCAGTTGTGCTCAAATTTGTCAAGATTCCTCTCAAATTCTGAAAGAAGAACGTCTCCTACGCTGCCTCTAATCCTGAGATCATCTGTGTGTGTGTGTTTAGGTTCTGGATGAAGAAGCAGAGGTCTTCATCGTGAAAATGTGGAGGCTGCTGATCTATGAAACAGAAGCAAAGAAGATCGGACTGGTGAAATAAAGACCTCGTGTCTCTCTGACTTCCTCAGCCCACGGTTCTGCTGCCTTCAGTTTTTCTGCTGCTGTCGCAGACTGTCATCGTATGTCCATAAATCCCTCCATTCCATCAGCAGGAGCGGCTGCCTTCAGTGTGTGTGTGTGTGTGTGTTCGGAGGGGAAAGTCTGAGCTGGGAACAGAACGGGTTTGCACAAACTTTCTGCATGATGATGACTCGTTGGTTGTGTTTTTCTCCTTTTGTTAAGGCAAAACGACGGTTTCATCCACGTCCTCTGATATGTTGGACACATCATGCTTTGATTTACTGTCGTAATGTTGAGGCACTGCTCCATCGTGTGAACTAATAAATATGCTTTTTTATAAAACCGTTTCTTTCTGAATGAAGTTTTCTACTTTACTCCACTTTTAATTGCATTTACACTTGAGGAACAGTTTGTCATTCCTTACTTTGTTTTTGTATTTTACAAAGAAAACGGTCAAAGTTTAAATATCTTAAATTTTAAGATTTACACAGAGGATAGAGAATATCATAGTTTCTTAAACTGATTTTTCTGTGTATTTGCCATTATTGTAACACAAATAGTCTCCTAAAATAAGAAATATACAGAGTTTATTGGTTTGTGAGTTTGGAAGCTGTTCAGTTTCTCATTTAGACATAAAAGCACTTTTTTCCTTAGTAAATAATATGGTGTATGTGTAATATTTTAGATTCTTAACAAAAAAAGCAACCTATGCTCTCTTACCTAATGATTAGAGCTACAAATTAAATTCAAATTCAACTTTATTTGTATGGCACTCATCAGACAAAAAATGTAGCTCAAAGTGCCTCACAGAGGCTAAAAACAATTAAACAAGAATAAAACCCGACCATCCCACCCATGGACCCACACAGACACTCACACACACAGAGTGAGAATCTAAGATATATTATTTTAATCTTATAAATTAATCTACGATAACCCGGTACCCAACTTAATTCTACTAAACTGGGCATTTAAAGGAGATTTTATGGTTTTAGATTTATATTGATGTGTCTTTGTGAGCTGCAAAAGTAAATAAAACCACCAGTGATAAGATTTATAATTTCTTCGTTGTAAAGTTAATCTAATTTTTACTTTTCTTCTTCTTCTTGATGCTGTTCAGTCTCGGTTTCTCTCTAAATGCCCAACTTTGCTGTTTGTGTCTTACTAACCTTGTTGTTTACCTCTGCTGTTTTTTGTGCTTACCTGTTTTTTGTTAACTTATGTTTTTTTTTTATCTCTGCTGTTTTTTGTTGTTTTTTGTTTACCTCTTTTTTTGTTGTTTACCTCTGTTGTTTTTTGTTTACCTCTGTTGTTTTTTTTGTTTACCTCTGTTTTTTTCCTCTTGTTTTTTTGTTTTCCTCTGTTGTTTTTTGTTTACCTATTGTTTTTTTTTGTTTACCTCTGTTGTTTTTTTGTTTACCTATTGTTTTTTTTTGTTTACCTCTGTTTTTTTCCTCTTGTTTTTTTGTTTACCTTTGTTGTTGTTGTTTTTTGTAGCTCTGTTTGCTTGATGTTTTCCTCTGTTTGTTTTTGTTTACCTCTTCTTTTTTTTAGTTTACCTCTGTTTAATGTTTGTTTACTTTTTCCTCTCACTTCCGCCTCCAGCTCGTCTCGCGGATACGTGGCAGGTAGGTCAGGAATCTGACCCCTGAACCGGAAGTAGTTTCTATCGGCACCAAACAAGAGGCTGTTCTGTGAGCAGCTCTGTTAGCTCGCTGATAACCACATCGGGTCGTTGCAATATTTTTGTTAGAGATTAATCCGCGAAGAAACGATGCGAGGAGTCGGACCTTTGAAAGTGAACCTCTCCGTGTCAGGTGTGTTAGTTCGTGGAGTTTGAGAGGCGGGAAATGACCGAAGCTAGCCTGTTAGCTTAGTTTGGCTAACGTAGTCGAGGCCAGCTCCGTGTTTTAGAGAGACATTCGTCAAATTAACATCTTTAATTAACAATCAGAGCAGGTTTGAACCCTGGCAGACACGAACTAAAGGAGTTAGAGTCCGGGTGGAGGCTGGTTTGGATGGTCTAGCTCCACAGGAAAGTGCAGTAGTCATGGAGGATTTCAGCTCCATCAGTCTGCTGTCTCTGGCCATGCTGGTGGGATGTTATGTGGCTGGGACTATTCCTTTGGCTGTCAACTTCTCAGAGGTAAGAACAACACTTCAGGAAGATCTGAGCAACTTAAAGCTACTGTAGGGAGCTTTAAAGTGACGTTTCATTTATTCTTTATGAGCCACAAACACAACAGCTGTTAGTTTAGCTGACATCTACTCCCTTCATAATAGTTTTTAAACATCAGATATTACAGAATAAAAGTGATCAGTCTGGTCTGTGATGTTGTTTGTTCACAAATAGGAATTTTAGTTTATTTAATTAATGTCAAAAATCCCCCCCACAGTAGCTTTAATCAAGAAAGACAGACAAATTGATGGATTGATAGATAATTTATTGATCGAGAGGGAAATTATTGTGTCAAAAGAGTTTACAAGGATCATCACATCCATCACCAAACAATTCCCATCCTCCTGTATCTGAAAAAGCTCATAATAGCTGATAAAAACTTTTATTTTTCTCTTTTACCTCGATGTTATTGTGACTTACTGTCTTTTTAGTCTTTGCTTTACTTTTAATCTTTTCTTATTTAACCTTTTAGTGATTTTATAGTTTTTTCCTGCTCATTTTTGTTATTCCGTTTTATCATCATTATTGTTTTGTTATGGTTTTATTATTATTATTATTCTCCTCTTTTTATATTGACTATCCTGCTTCCTACCCTCCTTTTCTATTACATTTCTTCTTCTTACCTTTTTAATGTTTTTGTTTTGGTCCTCATGTTCTCATTTTATGTTGTCAGGTTTTTGTATTGTTTTGGTTTCTTATGAAAAATGAAATTGGCTTTAATCCAGAGGTCTTGTTTTTAACCGAGCTTTTGTTTTTAATTTGTTGATGTTCTGTGCTTTACGACTGTTTGTCAAAGCACTGTAAACTTTTGTTTTTAAAAGTTCTATAAAAATAAAATAAAGTTATTCTGTGGAAACATGAATGTACGCACTGAGGAAACGTCATTTTAAAACTCAAGATAAGAAACAACACTGGAGGTTTAGGTTAAAATATAGAAACAGAATGAAATTAAAGAAATAATAAATAAAATGAAATAAAAACAACAGTAAAAGAAACTAAAATAAGAGCACCAGAATAGCTCAATAAAAGATGATCCTAAAAAGAGATAAATGCTAAAACACTTAATGATGTAAAATTTAGTTAAAAGCAAGTCTTAAAAGGTACGTTGATACTCATTTCTCTTAATATGTCAAGGTGGTGTTACTGCCATCACTTCTTTCTCGTTCACTCATGAAAACTAACAGAAGTTTGTCCTTCAGGTGACTTTTCTGCCTCATTAAAATCTCCTCTCTCAGGTCTGGATTGATCGCTGAGCTCATTATTTGCTCCTGCTCTGATGTTTGTTGACAGAGCGTCTATCAGCTGATGTTAATGTTCAACTGATGGATCCTTGCACCGCTGGACTAATGTGTCTGTGCAGAGAAGGGATGGAAAAAGTGTCTTAATGTAGTGCTGTCCATCCTCTGCAACATTAAAATAACAAAATATAATAAGTTTGAAAACAACATGTTGAAATTAAACACGTAAAAAACACATTTTCTGCCACATATTCAGCCTCCAAGTGATGTAGATGAACTTGAAGAGACGAGACCCTTCAGTTTGAACTCTTGTGATTTGTTCATTAGCTGCAAACTTTGACACAGCTTTGACCTTTGGAGCAGACAATCAGAAAAGTTCCTGGGACCAAAGATTGAAGGTTCCTGTTCTCGTCTGTATGATGTAAGTTAGAAAATATGAAGGAAGTGGACCTGAAATAGATTTTTTGAATGTGGGTGTTCAACATTTGCACAGGAGACGAGTCTCTAATATCCCAGTTTTAGCTTTGAGCAGGTTTAACTAAAGCGTCTCTGTCGTCCAGCACAGACGCAGAAGAATAGCGGTAATCTGTCTCTGACGTTTCCAAATACTCTGAGAGTTTAAGGTCAATCCCTGCCGGTACCTTTGATTACATCACGGCCGCTGTGATGTTATCAAGCTTTCAACTCTGTCTGCTGTTTGTGAGGATTAAAAACAATGAGATAATCTTGTGCTGAAGATTTGTGTTTTTGTTTGTGTGTCTGCAGGAGAGACTGAAGCTGATCACGGTGCTGGGCGCAGGGCTGCTGTGTGGGACCGCGCTGGCTGTCATCATTCCTGAGGGGGTCCACGCACTTTATGAGGAAATACTTGAAGGTAAAGAGAAACAGGAAGTAAACGAAACACGAAACACACGAGCAGGAGTTCCCCTAACAGGAACACACGCAAATAAGATACTGAAGCTACTAAGATGAGGTGTACGATAAATGAGATTATGGATGAAAATCTGGATTTAAGATAAGTGAGGACCGACAAACTCTCTCTTTAAATCTTTTATCTTTTGGCGAGAGCTACAGGAGCCTGAAGGGCCCAAAGGGAAAACAAGCCGAGTGTTTACATACCGCACATACTTGAGCGTACAGTTCACTATAGACGGATACAGAACAAAGTTCAGCCTCGGGTGAAAAACAATCAGCTGACGTCCGTTTCTCTTACATAAGGAAACTCGTCAGACACAGATGTTTGAGCAGAGATCATCGGCGTTGATTCGGTTTTCTTTAAACTTGGATTTATAAAGAAATTTATGATGTTTGTGCTGAAAAGGTGTTTTATAAAGTCAGCAGATAAAACAGAAAATCAGGAAAAACTCTCTGACGTTAACCCTGAATGAAGTTTCAGGACTCGTCTCTCCTCCTGGTTAAAGTCAGCTGTTTTCAGGTCGTGTTTCTCCCTCTCTCTCTGCAGGTGGTCACCCCGGTCACGGCCACGGCCAGGCCAGTGTCTTAGTAGCATCCGACGCTAAAGTTGAAGGTGAAGCGGCTCTGAGCGCCGGAGCAGAGCACGAGCACAGTCACGAGCAGCTCCACGCCTGCATCGGGGTGTCTCTGGTCCTGGGCTTCGTCTTCATGCTGCTGGTGGACCAGATCGGCAGCTCTCATGTCCACAGCACTGAAGGTCGGTGTCCAACTCAAGGTCACAAAGACGTGATTCTTCAAAACGTACAAACACAGGTCCAGTTTGTTTAATACTCGTCATGAGTGAATCTCCTCCTGCAGGAATTCATTCTGTTGACTTAGACCAGACTCACGTCCAGATGGTTCAGATGAAGATCTGGTCGTAACAGACGCATGGATGCTCAAATCTTTGGGCTTTTTTTGAGCAGCTAATTTTCTGCAAACTGTTAACGAAGTCTGTCAAATCTCTGTGTGCTGCTTCTCAAAATAAAACCAGATTAAAGTTTGTGAAAAGAAAGTTGTTTGAGTGAAATATTCATCTTTTAAAAGTCGATCCTTTAACATCTAAAGTTTTAATTTTCCCTCGTTTATGATTTTGTTTCTGTCGTCTTCAGATCCAGAGTCGGCCAGAGTCTCCTCCTCTAAAATCACCACCACTCTGGGTCTGGTGGTCCACGCTGCAGGTGGGTCTGCTCCTGAATCTGTCTCAGCTCTTCGTCGTGGTTTCAGATACGAGCTCTGCGTCTGTCCAAGTTTTCATTTCTCTGTTTTGTTGTCAGTGTTTGTTTACTCAAACTGCAGCTCGATATCAGAGCGCAGTTATTAAAGAGTCGAAGGTCGAGTTTGTTAAAGGTGTGTGAATCTCTCTCTCGTCTCCAGCTGACGGTGTGGCGTTAGGAGCCGCCGCCTCCACCTCTCAGACCAGCGTCCAGCTCATCGTCTTTGTGGCCATCATGCTGCACAAGGTAGTTACAGTCCTGAACATGTGACTCAAATCTGAGTTTTTAAACAGATTTACTCCTTAAAACTCTCCTTAAATAAACTCAGAGCTCTAACAGATCCACGAGGGAGGAGATCAGCTGTAGAGTCGAGGTTCTTCACTCATGAACCTTCAGACGTCTTTTGTTTACTTAGAGGGATGGTGACTGACAGGAGGCGTGAGTCAGGTCAGGTTAACTTTGTTATTTCAGTCGTGTTTCAGTGAGACGACGTGTTTCTATCAGACTGTGACGCCTCAGAGGAAGAAGAAGAGTTATCAGACAAAGAGACGTTAGAGGTCAGAGGAAGGAAGTAAAACCAGAGCAGCGTCAGCGTCTCTCTCCAGGAAGTGAAGTAGATCTAGTGTAAATAGACTCAAACATCATCAGACATGAAATAGATCCCAGCAGATGTTCTCAGATGTTTGCTCTGTGGGGCGTCTCTGTTCAGATCAAGTTAAATTTGATCTAACCTGCTCTGATTCTTCTCTGTCCTCTTCAGGCTCCGGCGGCGTTCGGTCTGGTCTCATTCCTGATGCATGCTGGTCTTGAGAGAAACCGCATCCGTAAACACCTCCTGGTCTTCGCCTTGGCAGCCCCCGTCCTCGCCATGCTCACCTTTTTAGGCCTCAGTCAGGTAAATATTCACGTCTGTTTTCCTCCAATCAGGATCAAGTTTGTTCGTTTTAAATCTGGTCCTCACCGGGTTTGTTTCTCCTCCCCTCTCAGAGCAGTAAGGAGGCGCTCTCAGACATCAACGCCACGGGCGTGGCCATGCTCTTCTCCGCCGGCACCTTCCTCTACGTCGCCACCGTCCACGTCCTCCCCGAGGTGGGAGGCGGCGGCCACAGCCACGCTCCCTCAGGAGGAAACGGCGGCAAAGGACTGAGCAAGCTGGAGGTGGGGGCTCTGGTTCTGGGCTGCCTCATCCCTCTGGTGCTGTCCGTGGGTCACCACCATTAAAACCCGGATCAGACCATGTACAGAGAGAGAGACTTCGAACACGCCGGGTCTGAACGTCTGATTCTTGGTGGACCGGACCGCTGCTGGTTTCAGGGACGTCTTTAGACTCAAACTGACCTGAAAACTGTTGATGTTGATGAAGTCTGAGCTGCACCTCCTCAGCTCCTGTTTGAGTCCATGTACCCACCTGAAACCTGTCGGAGAGGCGGACCCGCTACTTTTCTTTATTCGCATCACTGTGGAGGTTAAAGGTCGCGTTAATGAGATCGAGAAGCGACCCCAGACCCGATCACAGCGATGTTTTCTCTGACCACAGTTGCACAGTTGAGATTTAGAGTCTTGAGTCGAGCCCGAGAGATCAAGACGGGAAACGTAGTTTTTTTTTTTAATCTAACGGCGGCGAAGAGTCCTAGCAACGATCCAGATTGTCAAGTGCCATATCAGCCGGACGAGAGGGGGCGCTGCTGCTCCGGATGAGGCTCGGAGAGCAACCCAAATAAGAAAAACAAGCAGTTTGACCCCGAAGATCTCCGACTCTGAAGACCAACTTTGACCTGCTGCTTCCTGTCCTGCTTTACTTGCAGAGTTTCTAACTTTAAGACGAGTTTGAGAGTAAATCTGTATAGAATTGTAAAGTGATCGTATCGAGTGTGTTGAAGCTTTTTTTAGAGGTGGAGGGTAGCTGAGATCTTTCTCTACAGGAGGCATTATCTGAACACTTTAGGGACCATCACCTCAGACGAGCAGAACTCTAGTTTTTGTTTTAGTTTCAGAGTCACACCTGAGCAATAATCACACCTGTGAACCCGGAGTGAGGACGCTCCCGCCTTCATCTCGGCATCATGAACGCAGCGGCAGACGGTGCGTTCGAGTGGTGGATATTGTGAGTGTTCCTGTGTCACTGTGCGGCGCTCACTGTGTGTAAATGTCTGTACAGAGATCCTCTCATGAGACGAACTGCTGACTCACAAACTCATTTTTTTTAAATCGTTACTTTTTGGAAACGAACGGACTGTTCGGACGAGGAGGAGGAGAAAGAGGAGGAGGAGGAGTCTCTGTTCTCTGTATAAATTGGAAACCTTAAACTCGTGTGATTGGAGGAGGAGGAGGAGGAGGAGGAGGAGCTTCTTCAGGTTGGGGGTGTTCGCATGCAGGCCAGACACTGCATGACTGTTTCTTTATCCTTTTTTTTATTTTTAACGGGACGCTCTACGTTTGTACAAAAACTTTGTTGGTTTACAGTCGGGTTTGTTGGAGGACAGCCTCATTATGTGCAACTATCTGAACCCCTGCTGACCTCTGACCTCTGAGTTTCCTTTAGACTAATTCAGGGTCCAACATGTGCAGATTATTTAATCTTTAAATCTCTGAAAGAAGATAGAAAAGTCTTAAATCATCTTTCTCTCAAAACCTGTGTTTGAGAAATCCAGAATTTTAACCCCAATCTGTCGCCTGTAACCACTTTATCTACTTTCTCAGGAGCTTCTATTAAGGAGAGATGATGAAGAAATAATATATAAACTTTTCAAAATAGCTAAAATGATAAAATGATTATTATATTAAATCTTACAGATGGTAACTGTGAGGCCGGTCTGTTACAGCTCAGAGTCCAGAGAAAACCATGTCATCTGAAGTGCTTTTATTTTGAAGGATTCCTCCAGATTTTGTGGATTAGATTATAGCAGGTTTCATGCATGAACAATAACAGTTTGAGGAGCGTGCACGTGAAGAAAACCTGAAAATAATCTGCAGAAAAGGAACCAGAATCAAATGTTTGGAGATGCAGGATTTAAGAGCAGGATTATAACATCAGAAATGTTGATGTTGTCGCTCTTAGCGCCATAAAAATGTCAAAATACTGGAGTCTGATTGGCTGACAGGAGCTGCCCTTCAAAGTAAAACAACATAAATAAACGTTCATCTTCCTGCAGGTGGACTTTGATGCACATACTGAGGCTGTTCAGAGGAAAGTCCTCAGACCTGGTCCGGGTCCGGGTCGGTCCGTCTCTCCTTCTTCTTATTTTCTGTCATTCCAGATTGAGTCTGCCTTATTTCCAAACTTCTGATTGTGAAGAGCAGTTGTGAAGCGGTTTGTGTTTTATGACGACTAAATTAAAGTTTTTTAACTGGTGAAACAGACGCTGAAGTTCTGATGATTTACAGAAACTTACTGTTAAAAACACACAGAGGGTGTCGTGACTCTGAAATAAGTTTGTGTTTGACTGTCTGATGTTTATTTCATATTCATGAGGACCTTTTTTTTTCAGATTTCTCCTGTTAAAGTCAAATTTTTATCAAATCGTTTAATTTTCGTCTTTGAACTCAGAGTTAGATGACGAGGAAAGTCGACAAATCGAATGTTTTCATCCTGAAAGAGTCTCAGGTTTTCTTTTGTTCTCCATGATCCACCTTCCATCCTCCTCCCTCTGTTGTTTGTTGACATGTTTCCTCCCTGACCTTTGACCTTCTCATGTATTTAACGTGTAAAACTCTCACTCAAGAACCTTTCCCTCCCCCGACAGGTCGATTACGTCATGATCGGGATCATGCATTTCTCTGCCGCGGCTGAGCTGTCAATATCTTCATAATCTGCGCTCCATCCTCTCTGACACATGTCCTGTAAATTAATCTGATCCTCACGGCACTGAGCCGCACGCCGCCGCCGCCGCCACTGCACTCTCCATCCTCTCCGCTAAGAGGCCCAGATGTTCTCCTAATTCACTGCCGGAGTAATGGAGGGATGATGGATGGAGAGAGCGGAGAGTTCATACCTGCCAAGAGCTGGAGACGGCCGCTCTCAGCCTCAACAGTAATCTGAACAGCAGCTTTTACTGGCGGGGAAGTATCGACCGGCTTCAGATTTAGCCTCTCTCCCATAAAGCTCTCTCTCTCCCCCCTCCCCCCTCCCTCCCTCCTCTCTCTTCCTCTCCTCCATGATGAGCGTATCGGCGACCGCATCATTCCACCCTGCTGAGTTATCGGGATCTGATCGCTGCTGTTCCTGCTCTGTGTCGAAGCTTCCCTGCAGCCTCTCCTGCACCTCTGCTGCCTTAATTGTTATTGACTTCATGTATTGAGTTTTTATTTCTGTGACAGTTTTTATTTTTTTTGTATTTTTCGCTCCACCTCCGGGGCGTGAGAGAGTCAGAGGATGTTCTCGTCTTCATCCAGAAACTCTCTGTTCTCGCCCTGGTCGTCCATGGAGCAGTCGGACTCTGAAGTGTTGGACATCAGCACCAAGGTGCAGCTTCATGGGGTCCTGTGGAAGAGACCCTTCGGACGCCCGTCAGCCAAGTGGTCCCGCAGGTGAGGAGGGGGGTCGGGTCTGAGTCAGGCGACTTTATCATCAGGTGGAGAAATTTGACACTGAGAAACACTTCGTCTCTGCAGCTTAAAAAAAAACGGATTGGACTTTTAAATCATCAAGTTTTTCTCGACCAATAATGTAGATTTTCCTTAAAGCGAGGTGAAAATTTCCTGACCAGGGAGAGAGAGAGAGAGAGGACTTTACAGTGGTCCAGTTAGATGTTTTGGAGGATAGATCAAGTTTTTAAGTCTAATCTGTGAGTTCAGAGAAACAAAACTGTTCATAATTTTCTAATAATGAGCTCAAAAGTTCACAAGAACGATTTTAAAAGTGAGTCAAGACGACTAAAAGTGACTTTTTATTTGAAAAATCAACACTGAATGTCAGTTTTCTACTTCAAATCCGCTATAAAACATCTTTCAGGACTTTTTCTTTTAAAAACAAAAGTCACATAAGAAGTAAAGAGCTTTGTTGGTAAAAGTTGAAGTTTCTTTATGATGAAACTGAAATACTCGGTTGACTTTTTGAGTCCTGAAGAGATAAAAATAGATTTCTAAAAACCTGTAGCTGTTTGTCAAAACCGAATAAACTTAAACTTAATAAATCAAGTTTTGATAAATCAAGTTTAACAATCCAGGAAATAATCTTTTTGAAATGAGATGAAATGTTTCGCAAATACAGAAAATCAGTTTATGAAGAGTAAACTAAAGATTTGTTTCACTTACAGATGTGAAATTAAACTTTTCCAGGATAATAAAACAACAAAAACATTTTAATTAAACTGCTGTCTTGTTCCAAAATGTTTTATATTTTTATTTTAAGTAGAAAATAGTTTTTTAAAATAACTTCTGATGCAAATCCTCGTTGTTATATCACATGTGGAAGAGAAGCAGTCAGAAAAATCACTTTTCCTCTTAATATTTTTGGAAAACTCGTATCTGCCAGGAGCCACGGTGAAGAAATATGCAGATTTTTTTTTAGAGATCTTTAGAAAATCACTAAACCTAAAAAACAAACAAATCTGAGTTATAAAAATTGACTTATATAACTATAAAATCATTAATCTGATCATTCATTTGTTGTTAGTTACTGGTATGTGTCAGTTTCCTCAGATTAGCACAATAAAAAAAGTCTCATAAATGTTTAATTTTGTGTTCAGACAGTAAAGTTACCGGAGCTGGTTCTGGTTCTGGTTCTGAGTGGTCAGACCTCCCTTCATCATTTTCCTCTCATTAATCTAAAAAAACATCTACTGTGCTTTAAAGCTCCTCTGAGGAACTTTTGTTTTGTGTTGGCGCCCCCTGTGGTCAAAGCAGCTTTTGCTTATCTTGTCCTTCACATCCTTAAATAGTGTCCCGCTGACTTTTGACTGTCTGACAGATCATTTATTATGAATATTTTATGATTAACAAAAAACCTTCACAGGAGCTTTAATGTCTGGATAAAAACTCCCTACAGGAGCTTTAATTTTCAGAAATCAAACTTCAGTGTTTTGTGTCAGAAATACGGTGAATTTTATCGTCAGTTTTGTCGTTCAGTGAAGTAGAAGTTGTGTTGATGTAAAATCAGATCACAGGTTTTTTAATAACCTCCTGCAGCGTCGGTGTTTCCTGATCTGAATGTGTTTTTGGACGTTCAAATGTCTGGATCGTCCCTCACATCTCTGTAATGCTCTTAGTTTACATAACCGCTAAAGCAGCGACCAAACCAGGCGGGTCCAGAGAGTCCATTTGCGGCGCCGTCTTGGTCAGCAGAGTTCATGAACGCTCAGACTCGGCGGTGACCTTCAAAATAAGATTGTAAAATAATCTGACACCACAAAGATGAAATCTGGATGATACTGGGCGTCAGAAACGAGCCATAATCTAGATTAATATTAAAGGGTCATTTCGGTTTAATCACCATGTAAAGCTGGTGGAACCAGGACCAACACTGGCACCATTAATACGCCCAGTTTTTCCTGCGTTACCAAAGACCCACTACGTCTACGGAGTCAGTTGCGTAAATCGCCCTCGGGTGATTTCTCTTAACCCGAATGATTTTTCTGTGACTGCATTTTCACTGCCGGCTCTGTCAAATATGTCAAACTGATCGGCTGTGAGGGCGGAGAGCTGATTCTAGTCACATCAGACTTTTGTTATAATGAAAACCTCACAAAAAATCCTTCTGTTTAGATTTATATTAATAAAAATAAAAGAAGAAACTAAAAGTGACGAAAAACTCAAAGTTCCAGGAGCAAAAATACAACAACACTCATGTATAAATATCTTTAATTGGTCACCATGTTGGATTAGGATGTAAATTAGTGTGTCATCGGCATAACGGTGAAATTTTCTATTTACGGATGATGTTACCGAGAGGATGTGAGTAAATATAAAGAGAGTCTGACCCAGAACCGAACCCTGTGGACCCTCATACGAGAAGTTTGCTGTTGATGATAATGACGCTGCAGTTGTCCAGGTCCAATACATCAGAACACATCCATGAGAAGGAAGATGTAACCCCCCTCGTACACAAAGCTTCATCCGTGTTGAAAGTTAAAAACCTCTCTTTGAAAACAACAAACTAAAAGTTAAGTTTGTAAAAGAACTGCAGTTTTTAATCTGGTATTCGTAGCACGTTTGTAGCTCGATCCACTCCTCCTGACTCGCCTCATCATCAGGGTGTCAAATTCTGCTTCTCTGTGAAGTTTGAAGCCTCTGATCTCAGGCGTGAAATAAACCTGCAGAGAAAAAAAAGCAGAAACTCTGGATTTAAAGGCGGTCACTTTCCGCCCCTCAGGACCGACTCTCTGCTGCTCTCATGGTCCTCCTCTGTTCGCAGGTTCTTCATCATCAAAGATAGTTTCCTCCTCTACTACGCCGAGGGCGAGAAGAGGAACTTTGAGACCAACAGGTACTTCAACATCCACCCAAAGGTGAGCGGCTGCAGCTTCACTGAACACCTCTCAGGATGGTTTTTCTTTAACGGAGGGTTTTTATCAGGGATGTGTTTCTGTCTCAGGGAGTCATCCCTCTGGAAGGATGTGTGGTGTCAGCCAACGACAACTTGGGGATGCCCTTCGCCATCGTGATCAACCTGGAGGACTTCACAGTAAGATAACGCCCTGACTCCATCTTTTCTGAGGGTTTAAAGAAGAGACAGAGGTGCAGATGGATAAATAAGGAGTGAAAAAGAAGAGTACCTCTGCAGGATCCATCTTTATACCTGTGATCCTGCAACAAAAGAGACACGAAATACAGAGAATCGACCTGCACAGACCATCAACTCTGTTATAACTGTTTATGTGTATCTATGAATAAAACTTCACCTCAAAGCAGGTAGAGCTGTCGTCTAATAACTGGAAGGTTGGCGGTTCAATCCCCGCCCTGTCCCTCGTCTGTCTGTTGTTTCAAGACACTTAACCCTCCTTTCTCTCAGTCTGTGTGAGTGAATGAATGATGGATCTAATAAAAAAAGGCACTTTGAGGGTCTCTGTTAAAGTGCTCTAAAAATCTGATGCATCATTATTATTCTTCTATCCCTGCAGCATCAGTCTGAAGTTTGTATTTTTTTACAGTCTAAAACCTTTAATGAGGATCTGCTGACGTGAAGGTTTCTCCTCTTCCTCCTCAGGGAACCATCGTAGTCGCTGCAGAGTCTGAGGAGGAGCAGGTCCAGTGGATGGAGATGCTGCACGAGTCCGGGAAAGTGTGAGTGTCAGACGGATAAATCCTTATTTTTTTTAGTTTCAAATCTTTTTATTATCATATCTTATGCCACATACAATACAAACAATGAGCCCGCCTGCCCACCTCCAGCTCCACACATGCCCAAAAGACATGGAGCAGAAGAAAATGAGTTTGAAGAAGAGAAAACAAAGGTAGTAGGCGAGCTAGATGAGATCTAAATCTTGAGCTTCTGAAATTTTTTTGATTGTTATTAAAAATATTTTTATTTAGACATAAAAAAACACAGAAATAAGGATGAAGAGTTTATTTTAGGTGGATCCATGAATGTATTCTGTAAAAACTAATGATGACTATAAATCAAGAGGAGATTAAAGACGTGAAACTGACAGTATCACTTTATCAGGATTCATCCTCTGGGGACCATGAATGTCAGGATAAACTGTCATGGTCACACATTCAACAGCGGTTAAATACTCAACCTGGACCACAAATGTCAGCTCGGAGGATCACCACAGTTGTTATTGTTATTCTGTTTGTACAAAAGTAGAGATAAAATAATGACAAATTCAAAACAAAGAAGTTCAATGAAACTGTGCAGGAGAGGAAAGAAGCTCTTAAGGGTTTAAACAGAATCCTCCCCATCAGTACGAGTAAATTAAAACATCCTGAATCTGAAACAATATAACAAGAAAATAAACTAAATGACAAGAAAATAAAGAAACATGCAACAAAAAAATAAAAATAAAACACAAACATATAAAAAGGATAAACAGTCTGAATGTGTTCTGTAAATCTGTGTTTTACTTTTCTTCAGGACGTGGAAAAACGCTCAGCTGGGCGAGGCCATGATCGAGAGTCTGGAGGCTCAGGGTCTGCAGCTCGCCAAGGAGAAGCAGGAGTATCTGGGTAAACTCAGAAACCACCTGATTTAACCAACGCTCTGAAGGTCAAAGAGGTCAAAGTTCAACGTTTTTTCTTCTCTCTGCAGATAAACTGATGGAGGAGACGGAGGAGCTGAGTCACCAGAGAGCGCAGAGAGAGGTGAGGACCCCTGTGAACGTCAGTCACATGACCTTTAGAAACAGGAAGTGTTGAGGATGACGTGTTTGTGTTTGTGTTTGCAGGAGCTGGAGCGTCTGAATCAGGTCCTGGAGGACGAGAAGATCAAGTTTGAGGAGGTGGTGATGGAGCTGAAGGCGGAGCAGGAGCATATCAAACTGTAAGAACACGGATATCCTCCTCTAACATGAGCTGATTCTGCGATCGATCAGTTTTAATATTGATCATCTGTGTGTGTCGACGGCAGAGACCTGGACGGTACGGCTCAGTCCCTCAAAGGCGTGGAGAGCGAGAAAGAAGAGCTGAGCAGTTTGACCATCATGCTGCAGAAATCCATCGAGGTACGAGGAGAAAAAAAAGAGTTAAACTTTAAGCTGAGGCGTGCAGCTTAAATCTAAACCCTCACTGAAGTCCTAAACCTGATCCGTGTCCCTGTTTCTGTCTCTCAGGAGCTCTCTCAGGAGAAGCAGAGGACTCTGGAGCTTCTGGGGGTGAAGGAGGAGAAAGGAGCGACAGAGACGAGCGAGGAGAACTCGGCCTGCAGGACGTCTGAGGGCGGAGAGGATCCTGGAGACGTGGACCTGCTGCAGGACCTGAAACACATCGAGGAGCAGATGAAGATCCTGCTGACGGAGAAGGAGGACGCGGAGGACAAGTGAGTGACAGACCCGGAGCTCTGAAACCAGATCTTCTTTATAAGTTTAGGAGACCAGGATCGCTTAGAAACTCTGATCATCTACAGCAGAACAAAAACTCGAACCTGAAGAACCAAGAGGCTGAAATGAGGATTCAGGTTTCAGCTTCAAACGGTCCGACACTCGGACCTTTCAGGGAGATAATGGCACACAGGATGAACGAGTGGAAATGTGTATTGATCCTGAACGAGCAGCTGATTGATCAGCAGCAGTAAGAGGGATATTACAGGCGGCTGCTGCTATCGACTGTGAAGCACTCATGTTCTCTTTCCAGCTCTAAGTTTTCGATGTATAGATGTATGTTTCCATGAGCTCTGCGGTCAACTCCACCTCCTCTTCCTCCTCTTCTCAGAAATCCTCTCTGTGGAAACGTTTCAAAACCGTTATCAAAGTCCTCCAACATCAGAAACACCAAACTGAAACTGGACGACAAAAACTGCTGCAAAGTTTTCTGTTAAAATCCAGATTTTTATGAGAAAAACTCAAAATCTGAGGAGGAAACTTCTGCAAAATCTGAGTTACAACTTCAGTTAAAAATACAAAATTTTATAGGAGGGAATCAAACCATCAACCTTCCAGTTGTTGAACAGCTGCTCTACCTCCTGAGCTACTGCTGCCCCAGAGTTATTCAGTTATTCAGTTGTTTCTGCAGCATTTACATGTCGGCCTCACAGTGGATAAAGATTCAGATCTTCTTCTTGGGTTTCATCAATAATAAAATAGATAAAATTTAAGATTATTATTCTTGTTCATTATTGTTTTCCAAACTGAATCTCTTAAACAGTAAGTGAGATGAAACAAGAAGTCACTCAGAGTAAAAAAATGAAGATCATACCAAAAAAAGATCCTTAAAACTGAGTTTGAAGAATAAAAAAACTTTAATTGTGGAGCGGACAGATGGCCAAGCAGGTTAGTGTGCCCCATGCATGAGGACTGTGGTCATCGCAGTAGTCACGGGTTTGAGTCCAGCCCTGAACATGTGCTGTGTGTCCCTATCCTATCAATACAGGGCAAAAATCACCCAAAAAATACTGAAAAAAAGAGAAAACTTCAACTGTTTTAACAAAATTAAGTTCATGTTGTTTCAAAACTAAAGTTTATTCTGTAATAATCAACATATTTGTGCAGTAGGTGACGTACAGTATGTTGAAGCTGATATAGATAATATAAATATGAACCAAAAATTAATGTGAATTTCACAGAAGAAAATGTGTAAATTAGTTTAAAAGGTGGAGCACACTGCAGGGTAAATTAATTCATATTTTATTTCTTAATTTCACAGTAAAAAGTGATTTTTATTGAGTAGATCATGTGTTTTTGTTCTGCTCTAAGTGGTTAATATAGTTTGCACAAAGAAAAGTATGAACTGCATGAACGTTAATATTTAAGTCAGCTGAAAGGAGGTGTGTATTACAGAGAGAAAGACAATAGATGATGATATATCACTGTGAAAAACAAAAAATGTAAATTAGCAGGAAATTTTAAAAAATATTTGATAAAGTTGCAGAAATGACTAAAGAGTGAGGACATGAGTTTGAGGTCGTTCACTAACAAACCAGGTCAGTTCTTTTTTTCTCCCTCTCGTCTGTTTTCACTTTGAAATGACTTTGCAGGTTTGTGTGTGTTTGTGTGTTTGTGTGTGTTCAGCTCAGTGAGCAGGAATATCTGCAGTCCTGACAGTGAAGGGCGTCTGACCTCTGTGTTTTATTCCTGCAGTTCTCCCTCAGGTCTCCTCTCTGCTGTGTGTTTCTGTGTTTCAGTTTTCTTCTCGTTTGTGTTTCAGGCTCAGAGAGAACGAGCAGCGGGCCAAAGTCCTGCAGCAGGAGAGAGAGTTTTACTCGTCTCAGGCTCGGACGCTGCAGCAGTCGCTCTCTCAGCTCACTGCAGACAAACGGCAGACGGAGGCCGAGCTGAAGGTAAGGCGGCGTGACTCAGCTGATACACGACAACACGATAGGTCACTGCAGAGGTCACCGTGTTTGGATAAGTTTGATTAAGAGTCACAAAGTTTTCTTGTTAACTACATTTATTTTAATCCTGCAGATTCAGTCAAAACAAACAAAAGAAAAAAACACTTTTAGTGACACGGCAGCAAATAAAATCAAATAAAATCATCAAAAATAACTCAGAAAAAAGCAAAGAGGTAAACTAATGCTTCATGTATTGTTAGATGTGTAATAAGTCGTATCATCATGTCTTAAAGCCTCCTGTCGTGTTTTGTGTTTGTCTCAGGCGGAGATCGAGTCTCGGGTGGAGCTGGAGAAGAGGCTGAAGCAGGCGGAGCAGGCTCTGCAGGACCTGGAGAAAGGCCTGAACTCTCTGGAGAGGACCAAAGAGAGAGACGAGAAGATGAAGGGAGACGTGACCCAGCTGAGGAGTGAGTGAAAAACACGAGAACTTTACACCTCACCTGTCTGCTGTAGAGCGGGGAGGTTATTTTAATTTGATGGTGAAGTTATGAAGACCAGAGAGAGACAGTGTGGATGCTGTAATCTGTCCTGTGTGGCTGCCCTCTTGTGGACAGAGAAGGTATTACAGGTCAGCTTTGGAGGAGCAGTTTGAGCACAAATGAGATATATTTGATTAAACTAAGAAAACCATCAGAGTTTGAGGAAGTTCATGAACGAGTTTACAGAAAAATGTCCTTTTTGGATGTTCTACTGTTTTATTATTAGTTTATGTAAAACAGAGCATGTTGATGTGTGCTTTTCTGGACTTTTTCACAAAAACACCAAGGTCTAAATGAGGTCGTTTAGTCGTGTTGGATGAAAACAGCAGCAGAAGTGTGTCTCCTGCATCCCCTGGCGCTTTAATAACTGCGTGTTTGCTGTGTTCGTGGTGTTCAGGGTTCTTCGAGGACTGTATCTGTGCCGCAGAGATCGAGGCGAAGCTCCCGGCCATCATGAAGAACGCCGTGTATCTGCACAAAGCTGCTGCTCGCCGGATCAAGAGCTGCAGGATCCAGAGGAGAGCCTCCAGACGCCACTGGTGTAAGTGTGTGTAATAACATCAGAGCAGATCCCACCCTGAAACATGAATATTTAATGACTGACTTCATCTGTGGACCAGCCATACTCTGGAAACATGTATGAAGAGCTAAAATGTTTTTCTCTGTTCTCAATCCTTCTTTCCGTCCTTTTTGCAGTAAAACACTCAAAGTCGTTCGCTGTTGCCCCTGACGACGACAGTAACATTGAGGAGCTTCGGGAGACGGCCAAACGACTGACGTCCGACAGCAACTTCAGAGAGAGCGTGTACGAGATCATCACGCGCAAAGACCCGACAAATAAGTTAGAGAACTGAGGGGAGAGAGAGAGGGAGAGAGAGAGAGAGAGAGAGAGAGAGAGAGAGAGAGAGAGAGAGAGAGAGAGAGAGAGAGAGAGAGAGAGAGAGAGAGAGAGAGAGAGAGAGAGAGAGAGAGAGAGAGAGAGAGAGAGAGAGAGAGAGAGAGAGAGAGAGAGAGAGAGAGAGAGAGAGAGAGAGAGAGAGAGAGAGAGAGAGAGAGAGAGAGAGAGAGAGAGAGAGAGAGAGAGAGAGAGAGAGAGAGAGAGAGAGAGAGAGAGAGAGAGAGAGAGAGAGAGAGAGAGAGAGAGAGAGAGAGAGAGAGTCCCTAGCTTTACCTCGGTCCACTCAGAAAACTGAACCTTTCTCTGTAACAGTTCTGGTTCTCTGAACTTATTTGAAGTCTTTCTTGACTGATCAGTTTTAGGCGTTTACTAAAAGACAAAAACTGAGACCCAGAAAGTCCTTTAGCTGAAGACCAGGAACACTTAAAAAGACCAATTTACTCTTAGCTTAGTTCTATATATAGTTTACGGGACATTAAAATGCCTAATTAAAAAGTCTCCGTTTGGGTGGTTACGTCTTTTAAAAATAAAACAGTTTTGTGGGTCGAACCCGTAGAAACTAAAATTGTTTGGTTAAGTTACAGAAGTAAAGCAAACAAATATGGCCAAACATAAAGAACTGAAGGACCAGGGTAACCTTCGAAGACAAAAATCTAGTTTATACGACAACAGAAAGAGATACTCGGACTGAGGGGGAAATGCAGACCATAACGGCAAAAAGAACCTTTCAGTTCCTTTAAAATTAGCTCTGAGACTAAAAGTTACGGGTTTATTTGGTGGAAACGTGACTGAAGCTGCGTCTCTGATTCTGTTTTGTTGACAAGTGCAATGACAACTTATAGTCCTGGTAAAACCAAAGAGTGAAAAAACGGTTAAATTAAAGATGGAGTTTGTTTACAGCAGCTCTTTTCTCAGACTGAATCCTGTTCAGGTGTTGATGACATGATTTGAGTGGACTGTATATTATAAAAAAAACAGTTGAGTGTTGCACCGTTTTGTATAAAACTGTACCATAGATTTCTATTATACAGACATTGTTTAGCAGTTAGCACAGACAGTACCGATGTATCTTGTAAAATGTTTTCTTTATTGTTGCGGTTTTGATTGTTTCTTTCACTTTTACAGAGGTTTTATTAAAACAAAGAACTCACACATGTATCTGATATCTAACTTGACCATTTTCATCATTGCTACATCCAAAAAAAAATCTGTCCTCAACAACGCAACACAATAAAATTCACCCACACAAGCACTGTATGATAATGTACAAATGACCGTGTAAGTGAACGGCAGAAATAATAAAGAGGAAGAAGCCCACATGTCAGGGGAAAGAAACAGGGAACTTACGATGGCCTGGACAACATGCCTTGACGCTAATAAAGCTGTGTTTGAACCTCAAACATGTCTCCTCATTTCTGCGGGTAAAAGGCTGTGGGTTCACGTCAGGTTCCAGGTCTCAGCAGCACAGAGGTGATGGCACTGGTACTAGTTAGAAATGACTAAAGAGTCTTGATATGGACGTTTTTCATCAGAGGAGAGACCTTTGAGTTTGATAGAGTTCATAGTGAGAAGAGAGGCTCTGTCACAGGGGTCGTAAGTCACATTTACAGCTCTTTGTCTTCTCCAGGACCTGCACAGAGCATAAATTAAAAGTGTGATGAGTGTCAGTTAAGTTATCCTGAAGTTGCACGAGAAAAAAGACAAGAAATGTAGAAACTGTATCATGAGTGTCACACAGTAATTCATTTTAAAACTGCCTCAAAATTTCAGGTACTTGAATCCTGATTTTGACAAGTTAGAAATCATTAAAGGGATAGTCCGGTGTTACATCTAAGTTACATTTTTATTGAACTATACTAAGACATTTTTTGACATACCATACTATGAGATTCTTTTATCCAACTATACTATGACCTTTTTTTAAAAAATGATAATCCATGACATTTTTATCATACTAAACTATGACAATATTTAATCATTCTATACTATGACAATTTTTAATCATTCTATATTATGACATTTTTTATCATACTATAATATAACATTATTCAACATATTAAACTACAACATTTTTTATCATGCTACACTATGACATTTTTTATCATACTATACTCAAACATTTTTTTATCATACTATACTATGACATTTTTGAACATACTATACTATGACATTTTTTATCATACTATGCTATGACATTTTAGTCATACTATCTATGACATTTTTCTTCATACTATACTATGACATTATTTTACATACTATTCTATGACATTTTTTATCACACTATACTATCACATTTTTTATCATACTATACTTTGACATTTTTTAACAAACTATACTATGACATTTTTAACAGACTATACTATGACATTTTTCATCATACTTTACTATGACATTTTTTATCATACTATGCTATGACATTTTTTGTCATACTATACTATGACATTTTTTATCATACTATACTATGACTTTTTTCTTCATACTATACTATGACATTATTTTACATACTATTCTATGACATTTTTAATCACACTATACTATCACATTTATTATCATACAAAACTATGACATTTTTAACAGACTATACTATGACATTTTTGATCATACCATACTATAAAATTTTTTATCATGCTATACTATGACATTTTTTATCATACTATACTATGAATTTTTTTTAACATACTATACTATGACATTTTTTATAATACTATACTGACATTTTTGGATCGTACTATACAATGACATTTTTTATCATACTATAGTATGACATTATTCAACATATTAAACTATAACATTTTTTATCATGCTATACTATGACAATTTTTATCATACTATACTATGACATTTTTTAACATACTATACTATGACATTTTTTGTCATACAAAACTATGACTTTTTTAACAGATTATACTATGACCTTTTTTATCATACTACACTATGACATTTTTTGTCATACTATAAAATGACGTTTTTTTAAAATACTATACTCAGACATTTTTTTTATCATACTATACTATGACATTTTTTATCATACTATACTATGACATTTTTCATCATACTATGCTATGACAGTTTTAGTCATACTATACCATGACATTTTTAGGTCATACTATGCTATGACATTTTTTATCATACTGTACAATGACATTATTTAACAGACTATACTGTGACATTTTTAGTCATACTATACTATGACATTTTTCGTCATACTATACTATGACATTATTTTACATACTATTCTATGACATTTTTTATCACACTATACTATCACATTTTTTATCATACAAAACTATGACATTTTTAACAGACTATACTATGACATTTTTTATCATACTATACTATGACATTTTTGATCATACTATACTATAAATTTTTTTCTCATGCTATACTATGACAGTTCTTATCATACTATACTATGACATTTTTTAACATACTATACTATGACATTTTTTAGTCATTCTATACTAAAACATTTTAATCATACTTTACTGACATTTTTAATTATACTATACTATGACATTTTTTAACATACTATACTATGACATTTTTAACAGACTATACTATGACATTTCTAATCATACAAAACAATGACATTTTTGACAGACTATACTATGACATTTTTGATCATACTATACTATGACATTTTTGATCATACTATACTATGTCATTTTTTAACATACTATACTATGACATTTTTTATAATACTATACTGGCTTTTTTATCATACAAAACTATGACATTTTTTATCATACTATACTATGACATTTTTTAACAAACTATACTATGACATTTTTTGACATACTATACATTTTTAGTCATACTATACTATGACATTTTTCGTCATACTATACTATGACATTTTTTATCATACTATACTATGACATTTTTCATCATACTATGCTATGACAGTTTTAGTCATACTATACCATGACATTATTAGGTCATACTATACTATGAAATTTTTATTTTTTTACAGACTATACTGTGACATTTTTAGTCATACTATACTATGACATTTTTCATCATACTATACTATGTCATTTTTTAACATACTATACTATGACATTTTTTATAATACTATACTGTGATATTTTTTATCATACAAAACTATGACATTTTTAACAGACTATACTATGACATTTTTTAACAAACAATACTATAAAATTTTATCATACTATACTATGACAATTCTTATCACACTTAAATATATTTTTTAAAATACTAAACTATGTCATTTATTATTATACTATACTACAACATTTTTCATCATACTATACTAAGACATTTTTTATCATACTATACTATGACATTTTTTATCATACTTTGCTATGACATTTTTCGTCATACTATACTTTGACATTTAGTAACATACTATAGTATGACATTTTCTTTAATACTATACTATGACAAATTTCATCATTCTATACTATGACATTTTTAACATAGTATAGTATGACATTTTCTATCATACTATACTATGACATTTTTTAACATACTATACATTTTTAGTCATACTATACTATGACATTTTTCGTCATACTATACTATGACATTTTTTATCATACTATGCCATGACATTTTTCGTCATACTATTCTATGTAATTTTGTAACATACTATAGTATGACATTTTCTATAATACTATACTATGAAAAAATTTAATCATTCTATACTATGACATTTTCAACATAGTATAGTTTGACATTTTCTATCATACTATACTATGACATTTTTTAACAATCTATACTATGACATTTTTGATGGTACTATACTAAGACATTTTTTATCATACTAGACTATGACATTATTTAACATTCTATACTATGACATTTTTAACAGACTATACTATGACATTTCTAATCATACAAAACTATGACATTTTTGACAGACTATACTATGACATTTTTTATCATACTATACTATGACATTTTTGATCATACTATACTATGTCATTTTTTAACATACTATACTATGACATTTTTTATAATACTATACTGGCTTTTTTATCATACAAAACTATGACATTTTTTATCATACTATACTATGACATTTTTTAACAAACTATACTATGACATTTTTTGACATACTATACATTTTTAGTCATACTATACTATGACATTTTTCGTCATACTATACTATGACATTTTTAATCATACTATACTATGACATTTTTCATCATACTATGCTATGACAGTTTTAGTCATACTATACCATGACATTTTAAGGTCATACTATACCATGACATTTTAAGGTCATACTATACTAGGACATTTTTTATCATACTGTACAATGACATTTTTTATCATACTTGGCTATGACATTTTTCGTCATACTATACTATGTCATTTTTTAACATACTATAGTATGACATTTTCTTTAATACTATACTATGACATTTTTTAACATACTATACATTTTTAGTCATACTATACTATGACATTTTTCGTCATACTATACTATGACATTTTTTATCATACTATGCCATGACATTTTTCGTCATACTATACTATGTAATTTTGTAACATACTATAGTATGACATTTTCTATAATACTATACTATGAAAAAATTTAATCATTCTATACTATGACATTTTCAACATAGTATAGTTTGACATTTTCTATCATACTATACTATGACATTTTTTAACAATCTATACTATGACATTTTTGATGGTACTATACTAAGACATTTTTTATCATACTAGACTATGACATTATTTAACATTCTATAGTATGACATTTTTAACAGACTATACTATGACATTTTTTATCATACTATTCTATGACATTTTTGATCATACTATACTATAAAATTTTTTATCATGCTATACTATGACATTTTTCATGATACTATGCTATGACATTTTTAGTCATACTATACTATGACATTTTTCGTCACACTATACTATGACATTTTTTATCATACTATGCTATGACATTTTTTAAAATACTATACTATGACATTTATTATTATACTATACTACGACATTTTTCATCATACTATACTGACATTTTTTATCATACTTTGCTATGACATTTTTCGTCATACTATACTATGTCATTTAGTAACATATTATAGTATGACATTTTCTTTAAAACTATACTATGAGAAATTTCATCATTCTATACTATGACATTTTTAACATAGTATAGTATGACATTTTCTATCATACTATACTATGACATTTTTTAACATACGATACATTTTTAGTCATACTATACTAAGACATTTTTTATCATACTATACTATGACATTTTTTATCATACTATGCCATGACATTTTTCGTCATACTATACTATGTAATTTTGTAACATACTATAGTATGACATTTTCTTTAATACTATACTATGACAAATTTCATCATTCTATACTATGACATTTTTAACATAGTATAGTATGACATTTTCTATCATACTATACTATGACATTTTTTAACATACTATACATTTTTAGTCATACTATACTATGACATTTTTCGTCATACTATACTATGACATTTTTTATCATACTATGCCATGACATTTTTCGTCATACTATACTATGTAATTTTGTAACATATTATAGTATGACATTTTCTATAATACTATACTATGACAAATTTAATCATTCTATACTATGACATTTTCAACATAGTATAGTTTGACATTTTCTATCATACTATAGTATGACATTTTTTAACAATCTATACTATGACATTTTTGATGGTACTATAGTAAGACATTTTCTATCATTCTATACTATGACATTATTTTACATTCTATAGTATGACATTTTTAACAGACTATACTATGACAGTTTTTATCATACTATACTATGACATTTTTGATCATACTATACTATAAAATTTTTTATCATGCTATACTATGACATTTGTCATGATACTATGCTATGACAATTTTAGTCATACTATACTATGACTTTTTTCGTCACACTATACTATGACATTTTTTATCACACTATACTATCACATTTTTTATCATACAAAACTATGACATTTTTAACAGACTATACTATGACATCTTTTATCATACTATACTATGACATTTTTGATCATACCATACTATAAAATTTTTTATCATGCTATACTATGACAGTTTTTATCATACTATACTATGACATTTTTTAATCATTCTATACTAAAACATTTTAATCATACTATACTATGACATTTTTTATAATACTATACTATGACTTTTTTTATCATACAAAACTATGACATTTTTAACAGACTATACGATGACATTTTTTAACATTTAACATTAACTATTCATGAAAATTTTTTACAAATAATACTATGACTTTTTAACATAGTATAGTATGACATTTTCTCTCATACTTTACTATGATATTTTTTAACATACTATACTATGACATTTTTTATCATTCTATACTAAGACATTTTTATCATACTATACTATGACATTTTTAACATACTATACTATTACTTTTTTTTATCATACTAAACTATGACATTTTTTTAACAATCTATACTGACATTTTTTGATGGTACAATACTAAGACATTTTTTATCATACTATACTATGACATTATTTAACTTACTGTAGGATGACATTTTTAACATACTATACTATGACATTTTTTATCATTCTATACTAAGACATTTTATTTATCACACTATACTATGACATTTTGTATCATACCTTAATATGCCTTTTTTAACATACGAAACTGACATTTTTCGACATCATTTACAATGACATATTTTACAATATACTCTGACAAATAATGTTTTAAATTGATTGAAGTTTACGACTTACCCTCATAAGTATACAACTTTATCTTCTTAATGATTTTATTCTTATAAATCTATTACTTTATTGTCTGACTTTATTTTTACAAGTTTATGACTTTTTTCCCGAAATTTCACGACTATATTCTTCACATTTTATCAATTCATTCTTGTGAGTTTCTAACTTTAACCTTAAGTGTTTAAAAAAATTATTTAACGTGGCCCTAATAGTCCTCATATTGCACTTACAGCTGATTACATCATTTTGCCCTGTTTTAAAACAACCTTTTTTAGACTACATTTTTTTATTTGCTGCCATAAGTCAGTATAAATCTGCAGCCTCATGCCTCTAACCTTACTTCACCTCCCCCTGATTATCTGGTGGGAACAGCTGAGCTCAGTCAGAGCTGTAAGCCTGTCCATCAGTCCTCTGCTGCACTAACGCCGTGGTTCAGAAAACTCAAGCTGGATTTTTCTCTTTCTGCAGAGCAACCTTAATGGGAGCTGCAGGAACAGGGACAGGATGTAGGTGAAGGTTTTAGAGGATTTGTCACTTAAATGCTGCAGAGGAGCAGGACTACTGCGGTACATCTGGTTTCTGACAGGAAAACACAAATCTGCAAAAGCTCAAATAGAGAGTATTAGACAGCCATGTAAATTATATTTTAATGTTCATAGAGTAATGGATTTATCTTTAACATTTTTAAAATGTTCATCCTGCGTTTTAGTTTTTGTCCTCTCTGGTAATATTTTAATGAGCCAACTATTTTTCTATCTTCTTGCCTCTCATTTATAAGTATTATTAATTAAATTGTATTTTGTTAACTGCAGAAAAAAAACACCAATGTAAAATCAGTATTAAATGTCTGTCAGTGAAGCAAACTCTCTCATTATCAGCATCAGATGTCGAAAAAGTGACCACTAATGAAGAGGAATGCAGGTGTGAAAAAGTAAAAAAATATGGAAACGATATAAAGAAAAATAGATTTAAAAAATAAGATGGTGTGTGTAGAAATGGGCAGATTCTAGACTGAAGAGCTCCCTTGCTCACTCCTCCTGATGGTAAAGTGACGGTGGCCTTCAAGGACAAAAAGCTCCTGTGATAAAACTACAAATATGATCAAACATTTATCAAGTTTTCGCGGTCGTATAAATCTATCAAAACAAATTCTTCTGTATGGCCATACAACCACCAAAAAAACACAAAGTCACTCGTTTGTCCTTTGTGTGCCTCCATAGACATCGTATCATCTTATCATAACATTTTTGCATCATTTTTCTTCATTGTTTCATTTCTGATTATATATTTCAATTTATGTGCCTCCTTAGTTATAACAAAATCATGGTTTCCAATAACATCCTGTTCAAGAGCGAGCAGAATAAAACCACCAGAGAGACGCCTCCCTGCCGGCGGCCCCCTCAGATTCCCACGCACCCTCTACGCTTATGTTTCCCTGCACCATCCTCATTTCTATCGCTATGGCAACACCTACATCTGAGGGCAAAATCCCACATGTATCTGTCTTTTCTCTTTTATTTTAATCTGAGAGATTGTGGGATTAGTGCAGTCAGAGGTCTCTAAAGCCTAATGTTGGCCTGCATGTTGAATCCATGAGTGCTGAAGAGGAGGTTTGATCAGATGGATGTTGTGATTTTGAGAAAATAAAACCTCGTACCTGATGTTCTTGACTCGGTCATCAGGAAATCGTCTGCAGCGGAGTCAGGAGGTGGCTGTCTCTCCGAGGATTCAATATTTACTGTAATCTGACATGATGAGGAGGGACGGGGGCGGGGTGAGGGAGAGGAAGAACAGTCCTGCTGATGCTTCATCAGCACAGGCCTCGTGCACAGCCCTGCTGCGCTGCAATGTCAGCGGTACGGCGCAGACACGTGTCCGGCTGAGGGCTTTACTGCCATGCTATATCCAGCTCTGTGTACTAAAAGGATCCCACAGTTGCTTTGGGGGACTGGGACCATTTGCACTTAATTTTTTTCTCGCAGAGTGCTCCCTTTAAAAGTCTCTGCAGTTGTCATGGAGTTGTGCTTCCTGGTAAACAATGACTCTTTTCAATTCCTGCACAGCTTTCAGTCCGGTCGCTGAGATAGACGGAGCAGAGGGCGAAGAAAGAGAGAGAGAGTGAGAGAGAGAAAGCAGGGTTTGTGCTGCGGCTCTCTCTCCTCGAATATGAACTTGGTCTCGTACAGGCCTCAGTGTTGGTTTTGGACAGCTGGAGTCTCGATGTGTCCGCAGTAGAAAATGATTTGGTTCGCTTAAAACTGATTAAAAATGTCACAAACTGAGGGTAAGAATGGAAGAGTAACACTTATGGTTGGAGGGTAAAGCTGTTGACTGATGAGGGCCACAGTGAAGGCAAGCACATGACCAGAATCAGAGTCCACGACGGAGAGCCGTGGGTTTATTTATCATCCAGACTGGCTTTGAGCTGAGCCTCCAAAGCCATCTTATCAAAAGTACGCATGTTCGTCTCTTCCCGCACTTTGTCTCGGACGTGGAATGAAGCTCGGGCCACAGACCGGGCGCTCTCCAGCACCGCCTTCTTCTCCTTGAAGATCTGCTCGCTCTTCTCCAGCTTCCTCTCGATGGACTGCAGCAGCTCCAGGCGCCTCTGCTTCTCCTCTTCCTCCACACGTTGCCTGTTCAGCCTCTGGAGCTTCTCCTTCTCTTGCCGGCTCTGCACGGCCCGCTGAGCTTTCTCCTTGGCTCGCTCTTCGGCCACCAAAGCCGCCTGCTGAGCCCGTTTCTCCGCCTCCTTCGCACGAGCCTCCAGGAGCTGCTGCTGCTGCCTCTCACGCCTCTCCGCGGCCTTGCGTGCTTTCTGGATCTGCTTCTCCTCACGCTTGGCCTTCTCCTTCAGCTCCTGCCCTCGCCGCTCGACAATCTGTTCGTAATTCTCCAGAGAGCGGCTGAGCCTCTCCTCCGCCTGCCTCTTGGCCTCCTCCCTCTCCTCCTGCTCTCTGCGGGCGATCTCCTGAGTCAAGGCGGCGTGGCGTCTCCTCTCCGCTTTATTCAGGCCTCGCCGGTCCTCCTGCACCTGGTGCTCCTTCTCCTGTCTCTTCAGCTCGGCGATGGTGAGCTTCTCCTTCAGCAGCAGCCTCTCCTGCTCCAGCATGGCGGCCCGCTCCTCCTCCAGCGCCTTCAGGTTCTGCTCCTGCAGAGCTTTCTTGTGCTTCTCCTCCCTGGCGGCCTGCTGCAGCCTCAGCAGACGGGTCCTCTCCTGCTGCTCCGCCAGCTCCTTCCACCTCCCCTCGCTCTCCTCCACCTGACGCATCTTGGCGGCCGCCGACAGTCGCTCCTGCTGGCTGAGTCTCCGCTGGCGTATCGACACCTGGGTCTGCCACACCCTCTGGCACTCCAGCACCGCCCGCTGCTTCTCCCTGTCCTCCTGCTCCCGCCGAAGCTCGTCCATCCTGCGCTCGCTGTCCCACTGCAGGTGAGCGACGTATCGTGTCTGACTCATGATGTCCTCCTCCTGGTACCTCGCCAGCATCAGAGCCGCGATCTTACGGTCACGCTCGGACACCGCCTTCAACCCGCGTTTCCTCACCTCCTTCACGATGCGCTCCACCTTCTGCGTGGTCTGAGGGGAGTGGCTGAGGTCTCCCAGGCTGAGGCTGCGGCCCATCAGGGAGTTGAAGGTCGCCATGGTGCGAGCTCGTGGACTGGAGAACTTGGCCCAGTGATCCCGAGCGCCATCCCAGCTGTAGGAGGAGGAGGCGCCGGACTCTGAGGAGGTGCAGGTGGTGGTTGTGGTGGTGGAGGTGGAAGAGCAGATGGGGTCGACTCTGCGCTGCAAGGACTCCAAAGAGTGGCTTTTTCCTCGCACTTTGGGGTGGAGTCCAAGATGGCCGTTGTGCTGGGAGAAGAGTCCTCCTGTCACGCCGTTCAAGGGCGTCCCCGGGGTTTGGACCGCTGGTTTGGTCACAGAGGAGGTCAGGGTGGAGTTCGCTCTGGGGAAGGATGGAGGTTTGGGTGTCGGTCTGGGGAAAGTATTTGACGGTTTACCGCCTGAGGACTTCCTGACCACGGGTGGAGGTCCGGATGAGAGAGGGCGAGCTGCTTTGATCTGCTCAGACGACGGCGACGAAGGATGCTTGGTCGATCCTTGGAATCCACCTTTGTAGGACGGCGTGGAGGTCGTCGAAGCAGTTTTCGAGGACGGAGTCGACCCTGAATGAGCAAATTTGGGGGAGGTGCTAAAACCGGTGGAGGTGGCTTTAGGCAAAAGAGCGCTTCCTGTTTTCGAGGTCGGACCCGATGCTGCAGATTTAGGGGAAGCTCCAAAGTCTGGGGCTGAGCTGGAGGTCACAGGTCCAGATTTGGGGGACTGCGTGGCGCCTAAAGAGGTTTTGTGCTGCTCCACGGAGGAGGACGGCGGACTGCTGCTGTTCCCGGTCGCCTGCTGGATCCTCCGTTTCTCCTCCCTGATGATCCTCTCCCTCTCCTCCCTGCACTGCCTCAGCTTGGCGTGACGATCCCTCTCGTAGACTTCAAACAGACCCGTCGCCACACGCATGGAGCGCCCGGGGGCCTCCCGGGCAAAGTCGGCGAGTGGGCGAGGCAGCAGCTCCACCGGTTTGACTCCACATCGAGCGCATGCCTCCAGAGAGCGAGGACTCGTTAGCACGTAGCGGCTGCCCTCGGCGGCGGGCGAATCAAAGTTGTAGAGGTCCAGGTGAAACTTCGGCGGCTGATCTTTGTCCGTCTGAGTCTGTGGTTGCTCAGCTGGAGTCCCCTGATGGGGGGCCGGGTCTGGTCCTGGAGGGGATGCAGTGTGGCAGGGGCTCGGCTCGGTGCTGCCAGTCGGCGGTGTCTCAAAACCGGCATCCCCGTCCTCCTCTGTGGTGGTGCCGTCCGCCTGATCCGGCAGACGGGGGTCCTCGGTGGCCACGGCGGGGGTGTCGAGCTGCGGGCCCTTACACTTACTCTGCTCCTCTGCCTCTGAGGGGTCGACCATAGTTGACGTATTCTGCAGGTGGAGATGACGAAAGGGGGCGGGGAAAGATGGAGGGATGGAGGGATGGTTGTATGAAACATGAGGGGATAAAATAGTGGGAAGAGTTTTCAATTAGAGGATTACAGCGTTCGGTCCGGAGCTTAAGAGAGACGCAGGCTGTGGGGGGAGGGTCCGAACGCCGGCTCAGAGATGCATGCATGCATGAACACATATTCACGCACAGATTTTGACTCCAGATGAGACATTCTCCCTTCAGGGAAGTGACATAACACATGAAAAAACACAGAGGTCCTTTAATAGAGGCTCTATTTTTGGCAGAGTTACTGGGCCGAGAGGATTTGATCACTCAGAGCAAATATTTCTCACCCCACATCCCACCGTCAACCTACAAACAGGCTGCATTTACATCCAGAGCACATTTATTATTCACCAGTCTGGAGTAAAAGGCTGATATGAAGCTCTTGAATGAGAGTCTGTCTGGTAAACAAGCTCTGGGTCCACCATGATGGACTCACACCTTCACAGAGGAGAGGCCTGGACTTCTCCACAGCTCAGGGTTGATTTAGTTCTCACTGATTTACACACAGAAATGTCTCCTGTCTGTTTCAATAATGCAAGAATGACATTTCCATTTTTATTATTTTCTACCCTTTTCTTTATTGTTGTTTGTTCTCCACACGTTGATCCACTAACCTGCCAGTTTGCAGATGGTTTTCTTCGCTTTGTTCCCCTGTGATCCGTGCAGCGCCCCTTGTTCCCTGCATAATATCAGGTTTCAGGGAAAAAAGCCTGGATGGAGCATCACATCGTCGCAACCTCCATCGACACGACAGACAGACGGATCCTTTCTCAGCCTGTCGGTGTCCCTGAGCGGCTCAAGTCTTCGGATTTCAGCTCCAAACGCGTAAAATTCGCACTAAAACCGATTTTAAAAGGATTTTAGTCTCAGAAACGCGAAATAAAACCTGCTATCCTGCTTCCTGTGATCCTCCCTCCGCAAAGTACATCCCGTAAACATCCGCGGTCTCCACCTGCTTTCTCCTCAGCAGCATCCCTCCATCTCCGCCTCTTTAGCTCCACCCGCCTCTGGCAAATATGCTAAAAATACTGGCTGCGCGGTGCAATTAACCAAGCGCCTTTACAGACGGAGAGGAAGCTGTAAACAGGAACAAAACAGCGAGAAACACCGAGATAATAATGTCCTTTTACCCTCCAGCAGAGTCTTCAGAATACAGACTAATGCAACACTCAGACAGGCGAGGAGGGTTTGTGTAAAAGAAAAACAGATTCATCAAATGACCGAGGATGGGGAGAGTACGGTGGCCCTGAAGGTAAAATGCACAAACATCTTACGATCTCACAAACATTCCCCCCCCCCCCATAAAAAAAAAAACAATAATAATTATAATAATAATAATTATAATAAATAAATTAAAATAAAAAATAAATAAATGAAATAATAATAATAATAATAATAATAATAATAATAATAATAATAATAATAAATTTAAATAAAAAATAAATAAATAAATGTAAAAGTAGGCAAAAATATTTCACGAAAAACATAGGATGCTGAATATGATGATGATCTAATCTGTGCAGGCTGTGCAGCATATCACAGCATGAACAGCTGCCATCAGCCTGAGAGTGAAATCAGACAGACTGTAACTGCTCCTAACAGCCACCAGAGGGAGCTTTAATATAGTAGATCGATGCCACGGTGAGAGGGGGCAACAGCATCATCCTAAATTCTCAGTGATGAAGAGTCAGACATTTACGCTCAACTTTTTATTTGGTTTCATTAAGGTGTTAGTTTACTCTGATGGAGGCCAAATACACTGATTCAATCTCAGCGTCTCCTCCTGAGATGTGCTGCAGAATCATTCTCATCTTTAAACCCCTGCATGTTGTTTGAGTGTTAAAGTTGAGTTCTAGTTTAAAGGACTCTTTTAAAACAGACAGCTCTCATTCTTAAGTCACTTTTTAGAAAGGCTGGTCGACTTCAGAGACACTTTTTCAGATGGCTAGTTCAGTTTTAAAGACACTTACTGGGCAAACTGGTCGAGTTTAATTGGTGTTTTTCCAGGATGGATGAGCTGGTCTGCCTAAGGACAACAACTTTTTAAACGGCTCAGTCTGACTATTGAGACACTTTTTTGATGGACTGGTTTCGTTTTAAAGACACTTTGTTAAAATAGATTAATCTTTGGTTTAAAAACACTTTTAAAAGAACTGGTTGTCCTCATAGAGACGCCTTTTTTCAGGTGGATCAGGTTATAAAGACTCAAAAGTATTCATGACATGGACCAGTCTGGATATAAGACACACTTTGGACCACTTCAACAGGTTTTAAAACACTTTTTAGGGACAGACTGGTCCAATTTTAAGGACACTTACTTAAAACTGATTTGTCTGGTTTACTTGACCTTTTTTAGAAGAACTGGTCTAACCACATTAAAACACTTTTTTAGACTAATTGGACACGTTTAATGACACTTTTTTGGAAGAACTGTTTGTCCTTATAGAGAACTTTTTCCCCATGGATCAGTCTGTTTACAGAGACACTTTATTGGACATACTGGTCTGGTTTTACAGACTCTTTTTGGACAAACTCGTCTGATCTAATTTATGGTTTTCTAGGACAGGCTCGCCAAGTTTTAGAGGCCTTCTCTAGGATGGACCGGTCTGGATTTTTTCAGTTTTACACTTCAGACTCTTGCTTTAACAGATCTGGTCTTTAGACACTTTTTGGATGGGTCGCTCTGGGATCGTTCTGTCTTGGGACAAAGTGGTTTTAGAGTCACTCTCTGAGGATGGACCAGTCCAGTTCTTGATTTCACTAAAACTGGACCGGTCTTGTTCCAAAGACCCTTAGATTTGGACTGTTCTGATGGAGTCCAGTCGAGCAGTTGAATCAGGATTAGATAACTCCGAGTGAAAATCCCGGTGAGGATGACCCACTAAACTCCTGACCCGGTGTGGGGAACAGTGCGAGTTTAATTGGCCCCGCCCGTCAGCCGTATCAAGAGGACAGCGGGTAACAAGTGACAACAGGGAACGTGCTGGCTGGCTTGTTAACCGGGGGCATGGGGGTCTGGAGGGGGCGGCGAAAGTGGAGCGGGGCACGGCGTGGTGGCTGCACAGTTCACTGGTGCGGGGGTATGCTCGGCAGAATCTCTGTGTTTTTGTTTTTGGTACTGTAGGGCATGCTCCCCACCACTAAAGCTGGACCGAGGGGTTCATCGAGAGGTGAGGGAGACCACTGCGGAGCCGCTCAGGGCCCAGAACAGGTCCTGGGAAGGAACGGGAACAAATTTAGAAGTGACAAAAATAAGTTCGTCAAAATAAACACAGATTTGCAGATTTGTAAGAAGTGAAAATAGAGGATTTGTCAAGAGATGAAAAAAAAATTTAGATGTTTGTGAGGAGGGTACAGCTGATGTAGTCGACATGTATGAAGGTTGTGGTCGTACTGGCGGTTTTTGAACGTCAAAGTGAAGGTGTACGCTAGCCAAGAACCGCCACTGCTGCAAAAAAAAATTTAAAAAATAAGACGTCAGAACGGAAGTTACCACTCCAAATAAAAAAGAAACAGTGAGGATAAAAAAAAAAAAGCCACAATGGGAGTTAATGACGCAAAAAAAAAGTGGCAATGGGAAAAAGTACTGGTGCATCGTCATTATTGGTCCCTGACAGCTCACCTCCGTTTTGGCTTTTTTTTTCTGCTTCTTTTTATTTTTGCAGTAAGTAACTTTTATTTATTTATTTATTTATTTTGCATCGCCACTTTTTTTTATTTGCACCCTTAAATTTTCGCTGTAAATGCATTTTTTTTTTTTTTTTTTGCATCGCCACTTTTTTGCATCCTTTTTCATTTGCAGCAGTGGCGGTTCTCGGCCATCGAAAAGGAGAAATACGGTGAATGACATTGGTGAATAAGGTGAATGTTCATCATGTTTTGTGGAATAAAAAGTCAAATTAGCCCCTTTAATAAACTGCACTTTGCAAAGTTTGAAAATAAGATCTAAACTTAAAAACAACCTCCGTTTTTTTTCATCTGAGACTCGTTCCTCCCCCTATCTCTCTACATTCCTCCCCAACCCAACAGCAGCCTGGTGGCTGTCTAACATGAGTCTGGTCCTACCCAAGGTTTCTGCCTGTTAAAGGAAGTTCTTCCTCGCCACTGTCACTCATGTTAGATGAGACGGGCCAAATCCCATCTTAAAGTTGGGGCTTGATAATTCATCAAACAATGAGCGTGGTCTAGACCTGCTCTTTTTCTTTGGAAAGCGTCTTGGGATGACGACTGTTGTGAATTGGTGCTATATGGATAAAAATTGACTGACTGAATTTGATTGATTGATCAGCTGACGGCCTGAGCTCACATCGAGTCTCTGGAGAGTTTTTCCAAACGTTTCACCTTGATGAGTCTGAGCGAGAGAAAATCAGACGTGCAGATTCAGGTTGTGAGAAAGTTGCTGCAGAGTTGCTGATGTTGTGTGTGTGTGTGTGTGTGTGTGTGTGTGTCTTTCCCTCGCTCTGTGCTGCCCTGCTGGAGCTCGCCGGGCCTGTGAAGACTGAGACCTTTGGTTGCCCCCAGTTCACATTTCCAGCCCTGCTTTGCCAACAGAAAGGGACACGTTTTCTGGACAGTTTCAACAACTCCCCCTCCTGACCCTTCGCTTTCTCCAGCCACCTACTCTCCCCCTCTCCCTCCCTCCCTCTCTCTTCATCCCCCTCTCTCTCTCTCTTGCTGCCTTCTGTGGGACGTACAGGGGTCCCATGCTGGTGAGGCATAGTCCCCCTCCTCACTGGAAGGGGAAAAGGTCCCAGAGACGGAGCTGTTAATTCAATCAGCAGAGCGGTATGCTCAATTAGGCATCCATAAGGGCCCTGGATGGGTCCGGGGGCCCTGTGGAGGGCAGGCAGCCCCGTCCCCATGAGGTATTAATTGTGGATGACAGTGTGTAAACAGTGGGGTGAATAGACAGCGCAGGTGCGGGACACCCCGGTCCAGACTCAATAGCCCTTTTCACACCCTCTGAGTCCACTTTCTCTCCCTGTGTGTAAAAATCTCTGATTAATGTCACCGATGAGCCGCCTTTGTGGGCTTATTTATTTGTTGCTGTGTGTGTACGTCACCAGCCATGCCCCTGAGTGAGTGTGTGTGTGTTTGAAGAGGGTAATAAGAGGCCAGGTTGCTGCTGTCCGTACACAGCTCCTCGTTTCAGGAGCCAGTGAAAATCGCAGCCAGTTCATGTAAAATATGAGGAATTTAAGAAATGAAATCCAGATGAGACTTAAAAAGGAGCGGGCTTTAGTTTCTGACCTCTGATTTTTCCGTTCAGTACACCGCCCGGCCCCCGTCCCTCGGTCTGTCTCTCATTCAGAGCTCTAATTGTGTTTGGACGTGTTTGCAAAATATCAACTCTCCACGGCAATCAGAGGCTCAGACTATTAATAGAGAGGACGGCGGGAACAGAAGTGGACTAAAGCGGGTCCACATTAGAAGATTTAATTCTATCCTTTAGTACGACGTAGTTCAGCGTCTTCCTGCTGCCGCCATGACGGTCAGTAATAAGACTTTAACATCAGAAAACCTTCGAAAAGAAGAGTCATAAATGACGAGAGCTTCACATATTTTATAAATATAATATAGTTTAGAGTTTAAACTGAAACTCCTGAAAAATGCTGCTGCATTAACCAGGAATACCAGATAACTGCGTATCATATCAACACTGATGAGATCCCTGCATGTTTCTGAATATATCAGAGTGTTATCTTTTCAAAGTGATAAAAATCAACAATGAATTTTGCAGAATAAGCTCTCTGGGTCATGGTTTCAGACCACACTGGTGCAGCATTTATTAATAAAATACATCTGTGAGTCAAGATCATTTCAGTACATTTAATTTACTCTCTAAATGAAGACATGGGGATAATAAAAATGTGATTAACTACTGAAATTAAAAATGTAAGCACATACATATATTAAGACTCTTCTGGAGGAACATCAGAGTTTCTCTGACGTGTGATTGCAGGTTCATATAATATCATATCATATCGTATCATTCTCTCTTTCTGTACACTAGTTTGTTTTTGCATTGATTCACATTTACTGTAAAAGCATCAAACAGACCAAGCATTAACGGGTTAGACTCTGATTCGTCTGTAACTTTCGAAATCTTTTAAACATCAAATTTAAGAGTCACCTTTTTTTTGTACATGTGACGTCTCGCCTCCTGAGATCCTCCCAAACCTCTGGGCTGGTTGGAAAAAAAACTTCACATGAAACTTGAGAAAAAGTTTGAAGGGCAAATTTCTGTCAGAATACTGTCTGTTTGTTTTGAATTGAAGGGGAATCATTAATGCATTATTGTTTTAGATTTCTCTCTTGTGTGTTTTTATTGTTTTCAAATAAAGGAAGTAAGACTTGTCGTCTCCCTAAGAGGACAACAAGAGTACGGAGTGATGTTCATGTGTGGTATCGACTCGTTCGTATCTTATTTTCCTGCACTTTACTGTATCATATTATATCGTTTGGTATCATTTTATATTATGACATAAAGTTCCCTTCTGTTTCGTATCAAATCGTATCACAAAGTGTCACATACTACAGTAATAAACTGCATCTTATTCTTCAGTATCATACTGTACCTCCATTCTGCCTTGAAGTATTTTTCTGCGGTCTGTGGGGGTAAAAGAAAGAAAGAAAGAAAAAATTAAAAAACGGCTCACAGACCGGAGCCGGATCCCATCGTACATGTTGAAGAGTCGGCTATTTGAACCAGTTCGTTCACGATCTACACATCACTAATTTATAGCATTATACTGTATTATTTCATGTATTTATGGTTATTAATTGTATGTTAAGTATTCTGTTGTACCAAGAATATTATATTATTCTGTATCTTACTGTACTGCCTTCTGTCATATTATTTTATATTTGATTATATATTGTCCGTTTCTGAAGACTCCAGCGAACATGGTTAACCTAACTTCGATACGAGGGAAAAAATTAACAGGGTCTTGTAAATTGAAAAGAATGTGGTTCATTTACAGCTAATAAATGTAGAAATAATGAGACCACTCACTTCTTTTTACCCACAACATCCAGCATACCACATGTGAACTCTGTGTGTGTCGAAATTCAGCTTTTTTCCTACATGTGGCATCATGGTTGAACATCTGTGCTAAATCCTCCTCCCCTCCGGCCGTCAGATCTCTGGGTGGCCTCTGTCCCGCTCCGTCTGTTTCTCAGTCTACAGACACCTGCTAATTTTCAGCCGTATGTAAGCCGGCGGGGGGGGACAGCGGCTTTGGAAGGGCCGCTGCAGTAATTGGGAAATACATTTCTTTTCAGCGTGCCCATTCATTCCCTTTTTTGTTTTTGTTGTCGGAGGTTTCCTTTCATGCTCGGCCAAATGACAACAGAATTAAAGTGTCGAGCCATGCTTTCCCTACAACAGCTTTACACCCCCAGAAAACTTTTCCTCTTTTGTTCGGGGTGGAGGGTTGAGGCGAGAGGGAAGAGCAGATATAAACTGATCTCGTTAACATTCCAAGAGAGACACTCCTGTTCCCCCTCTCTGCTCCTCATCCTCACCTCCAGCTGCATCCCTGCTCCCACACCGGGACGAGTGGAGCGGCCCGCAGAGGTGGCCGAGTGCACGAGTTTATGAAACTTCTTCACTGAAGTGTAAGTGAAAAATTAAAGGGTCTGTTTGTCTTTCTGCAGCTTTATGAAGAAGACAGGTCCGTAGTTAGACTAGAAAACAGAGGGAGAGAGGAGCAAGGGGACACAGCGAGGACTTTATCCTCCAACAGCATCATGCCGTCCTGGTCTCTGGTCGTGTATCGGTGTATAATCTGTTGTGAACGTTGGTCAAGGTTTCAGATGAACGACTCATGCATGTGTCGAACCGTGAGACATAACTGATGTGATATTTGCATGAGGACACATCTCAAAGGTCCCAACAGCAGAACGACAGCTAAGAGGTTAAGGTAACAGACAGTCAGCTCCACTCACCTGCCAATCAAACTGTCAACACCAGGGCCAGACCGATTTATCGGCAAGCCGAGTAAATCAGCCAATTTTAGCCCGTTTGAGACTAATCAGTAATCGTCCAAAACTCGCAGATTTTCGCCGATATTTTCAGAAATAAAATGCAGAGAATAAGATTCAGTTTCCGCCATTTGAAAAGTTCCCGAACTTATCCAGTAGATGGCGCAGCGACCTCATGACAATCTTCATCCACTTACTACCTCACAGCACAGCAGAGTGACGGATCTGAAGCAGGCAGCTCAGGGACGCACGGAGGAGAGTGGTCCGCCGCAACGGGTGTTTTCGTGGTTTTAGTTCATATTTACAAATCCTACTTGGAAAAGCAGACAAAACTCCACGTCCCCCCAGGGATCTCTGGTGCCCTTCCTGAGGGGACATGGACCCCAGGTTGGGAACCAGTGATTTAAACCCTTGATATAATATAAATAATAGTTCAATAATAAAAGTAAATCTCTCCTGATCTGTTTGTCTGTGCTCGGCTGTAAACTTCAACATAAATAGGGTGACCGTACGTCCTCTTTTACCCGGACATGTCATCTTTTTTGGGGGCTGTCTGGGTTTGTCCAGGGAAGTTTATAAAATCCTTCAAATGTCGGCAGTTTTGTACATAATTTTCGATTTTGTGTCACGTGGACTTGTGAGTTAGAAGAACGTAAAAAACACTCTATCCGACCAGAAAAACTCCCAAAACTAACTCCGTGCGACTTTGTGACTCGGCCCACGCGTAGTCGTGTCCTCTTTTTGGAAAATCAAAGTATGGTCACCCTAAACATGAAGTCTAATGGGGAATGACTCATGTTTGGAGCCAGCCTCTAGTGGCCACTTCAGGGACTGCAGTTTCTGGCGCATGAACACAGATTTCAGGTGTGTGGTGGTGTCCTGTAGTATATCAAAGTCAACTGTACAGCGGTGAAAACTGACTGTGATAACTATCCTTACAGGGATGAGAAACAGCGAAGACTCCTCTTAAACTGCAGGTGGTCAGAGTATAAAGAGGTCCAGAAACATGAATGCTGCAGAAGAGATCAGGTACCTGAAAACTCGGTAACAGCGCTGTAATGAATATTTGTCCTCCGCAGAGAGGGGGAGGTGTTGCCCTGAAGCTTCCACATCCACCTCTCTCAGCTCTGATAATGATACAACACCCGGTCTCTCTGGTGGTCCAACAAACAAGATCCAGATCGTCTCCAGTTCTTTTAGGCCTCGCTCTGCCCCTCTCTTTCTCCTCTCTTGCATTTGGCCTGACCCTCTTCATGGACTCTCCTCATCCTTTCTGTGAAAATAAGCGGCAGAAATCATTAAAGCTGACCCTAATTGTGCCAATTCCAGCGGCTCAATAGCTCTAATTACAAGGCTCTTCACCGAGGCTCTCGAAAAACCGCTCAACTGTCATTGCCGACAATTAAAAAATATCTATAGGGACAAAGACTGAGAGGGAAGGGGATATAGGGTGAGGAGGTGAGGGGGTGAGGGGGTTACTCATTCCAGCAAAGGGTGACCGGATGGCCCTTTTCAGCTCTTAAAAAGACCACTTTCTGAAGCTGGACACCTGCACTCAGCTTCACTCTCTCTTTTGGTCTCTCCACCTTTCTTTCTAACTCGCCCTCAATGAAGCACACAGAGTTTCTGAAAGGGAAAGATGGAGGGAGAGAGAGAGAGAGCAGATAGAGGACAAGGACGTTCGAGAACCAGCTCCATCAGGACGAGTTTGAAAAGACCGTTTAGTGTGGTGTCCTCTTAGACCGGACTCTGATTCAGTCGTTCATTCACTTATTAATGTTAATGTAAAACTTTAAAACGTCGAATCACCGTCAAACTTTAGGGAGGAAAGAACAGAAAATAACTTTGTGTTAAACGGCCAAACTTTAGTGATTGTTATGTTCAGATGGAGGCGATTAAAGATGCAAGACGACACATTTCAAACCAAAAAATACAGTAACTGTGTCCATGAAGCAACAACATTAACATGTAAACTGTCCAGGATCATTACTGAACTACTGAACTGATTTTTAAATGCAAATGTTGATTTTTTTATATTTCATGTGAAAAATGTGATTTAATGTGATTTTTTTATTTTCTAGAAAGCACACTGTTTCCATCAGAAATATCTGAAAAAAAAGGAAAATTAAAAAAAAATAAAAATTAATAGATGAATAGAATTACATAAATGATTATGTAAATAAATCAATCAAAATAATAAATAAACAAAGGATTGGAAATATTGAATTTCCCTTCAGGGATCAATAAAGTTTTTCTTCTTCCTCTTAATCAAAAGTTTATTAGATAGATGAATAAATAAAGCCAAAAAATAAATAAATAAATTAATAAATATAAAAACAAGAAAACAAACAAATAAAAACAACTTTTTAAATTAAAAACCAATAAGTGATTCAACTTAAATAAATAAACTGAAATAAGAAATTAAATAAACAAATAAAGAATAAATGGAAATATGAATTAATAAATATATAGATGTAGACAGTTAATGTAAGTACAGTAGGCCTGTCAGTTTTCATTTTCAATATTTTTTAAAATTATTTAAAAAATATTTTATTTTCCTGAAATTTATTTTTGTAAAAACGTAAGTCATTTATTTGTCAGCTATTTTATCAAAACAAAATTTAAAAAAATTCTCATAAGGTTAACGTTATTTTTATCAGAAAAAAATAAAAAATAAAAAGTATTTTTGTTGTCGCACATGGAAGTTTTTTATTTCTTTTTTTGGAGCAGAAAAAAATTACATAAAAACGTACAGCGACATAAAAATAGAGCTCTCCAGATTTTGTACATGCTCTCATGTGTTCACACGTTTGAGGAGAATCGAAAAGTGCTGAACAGAGGAGCGGTTCGTCATGAAGGACTTCATGGATTAGTTTGACTAACAGGAATATTTTCGCACGTTGAAGTTATTGCAGTGTTATTGTAGTTGCACACAGGAGTTAATGCCTCATGGATACATTACCGTGTTTTAGTTTTATTCAGTTACAAACTACAAAAAGTTCACCTGCACAAAAAGTTGCACACGGAACTTTAAAAGTTAATTACTTTTTTTTCTTTTAGTGATTCACTAAAACTTTACGTGTCATTTTGAAACGGAAACCAGTGAGACTGAGACCACACTGATCGATTATTAATCATTAACTGCTGAAATCTGAGAAACTGAAACATATTTTAGTGTTTAAATTTGTCGAATGTTCTTTGATGTCGTGTTTCTTTCTTCCTGCTTTGGTGTGAAACTTTGACTTTTTATCCGTTCTGACTCTGTAAAGCACTTTGAAACTCTCAGTATTTGACTGGTGGTTTAAGAACAGACCTGCCCTGACTCGTCTTTTCATCATTTATGGTTTTTATCCTGCAGAAATGATGCATCACATTCTCATAAACTCACACAGCTACTCTCACAACTCCTGAAACTACGAAACAAGTCCTCCAGAAAATCACAGTTTTACCCTGCAGCTTATAAAGTCTTGTGGAGGGTTTCACTGGCACACATGTTTGTTGCCCAATCGACCACTGACTCCTCAAACTGCACTGCCAACACACACAAACACACACACCCAGAGAGAGCCACATCTCCAAACACAGGCGGCCCCCTGCAGAGCTCCTGACAGCTATTGACTTTCCTCAATAGATGTTCTCCATTGTGAGCCAAGTACACGGGCTAAATGTCACGGCAGCAGGATCCTGGCCTCTTTTAGGCCTCTGTGTGTCTCTGAAAGGGGACGAGAACCTCAAATTTGACTTCTTTGTGCCTCTTGATAATACACTGAGTGTCCCTGCAGCTGCTGAGTCTCCTGCTCCTCTCCTCTGACTGACCACAGCAGACCTCTCCTCTCTCATGGATGGATCAGATGAGGAGGGGGGGAGTGGGCGTGGCTTTAACGCCCTCCCTTTAACGCTATTGGACGGTTGGGGTGTCAGTCGGCGCTGCTTCTCCCCTCCTCTGCTTTTAAATGAAGTTGCAATGGCCTGAAGTCGCGCGATTCAACCTGTGGCAGCCGAGATGAACAGCTGATCCTCAGTCCGCAGTGGATAAAAAAACCCGAGAATCACCATGGTCACCGCCGCGTCATGATCGCTCATCCCACGCGTGGCACTATGTGAATAGTTATCGGAGAAGTAGACAGAGGAAAATCACTGACAGGAAAGTAGAGTGAAGGTTCGTGGAGCGTGTTATTTCTGGACCTGTTGATCATCAGAGAGAGAGAGAGAGAGAGAGAGAGAGAGAGTGACGGACACTCAGACTCTACCTGCCGCCGCTCCGTGCTCTGCTGCTCCGCGCGCACCGATCACCAACTATGTTATTATCAAGCTTTCTTATCTTCACCTTCTCGCACTTTTTGGCGCCTTACCTGCCGCAAGTCTGCGCACAGAAGCCTGGCTCACGGGTGAGTGCATACCTGTGTGTTTGTTGGCCCACACTGTCTGTCTGTCTGTAGAGGAGAGAGAGCTCAGCACGAGAGCGAGGTGGACAAAAACGTGCCAGATCTGCGTAAAAGTATCCAATTACGCACCGCTTCAAACCAAAAATAAACCAAATTATCTTGATTGTAAACCTAAAGAAGTGCAGAAACACGTGGTGGATATCACTGTGATTCATTTGAGGAAACTTATGACCAAGTTTGGGTCCAAATGAAGAGTAAAGGAGGAGAAAGAGTCCTGGAGCGGTCAATAAGGACATCAAGTTCTGTCAAATTCAATGACTTTTAAGGCTGAGATTACAGGACTAGGACGGGAATAAATTCGGTTGAAATGCAAATTAAATGTAAAACTGGTTATCCAAACAGGAGAGGGAAAACTCCCGCTGCTTCTGAGTGACAAATGATGTTTATAACATAGTATAAAAGAGCACAAAATGAAACCAGAATACTCCAATGTCCTATCAAAGTCTCTTTTTTTTAATAAAAGTAGTGCTGTGGTTTTAACTCTAAGATAAGACAGTTTGGTTGTTCAAACTAGAGCTATAAATTATGAGAATAAGCTGGTAAATATGAAAATATAAGTCGATAGGAGTCTCAAATTTAACATCTTTACCAAAAAGGATGAAAAAGGACTAACCAGATGGCACAGTCAGAGGCCTTCAGTTTACATTTGTTCATGGATTTGTCCTCATATTTAATCGCTGAATCGACCAGTGGAGGTAGGAAAGTTTCAGTCTGACCCTCTTTAAACACAGGACTCTGTATTTCAGCTGTGATGGTTCAGAGAGGGAGTTTTTCAGCCTGTTTTTACTGTCTGCTGAGTCACAGAGTCTGTGATCTGGTCTCTATCTTGTAATATCTGGTTTAAACAGAAGCTGTATTGTTTGTCAAATGTTAAAAAAGCGACCCCAGATTGTCTGCATTCCTTATTTTGGAGATACTGCGCTTACAGTCGCAGACAAGAGTCAGAAAATTCAGCTTTCAAACAGGTTAAATGTTGATTATAAGAGTCACAGGTTCTTGTTCATAAATTTAGTCTCTGTTGGCAAAACTTCAAAGTGAAATCACACAACATGAGGACTTTCTGTTTGGAATTTTTGACCTAAATTCTCTAACCAGGACTTTTTTTTCCAGCCTCTGAAACTAACATGAGGTTTACTAAATTCACTGACCGGAGTCTAACCTGCGTTTTCCCCACCGCAGCCCTCCTCCTGGTCCTGGTTCTGGTTCTGTTACCTCTCTGGGACAGATCTCAGTCACTGTCACGTCTCCAAATCTCATTTTAACTCTCTCTTATTTTCTCTTTTGTTTCTCCTCTTGTTGAATATTTCTCACAAACACCGCTGGCACTGTCTGTCCAGGCGGAGTAAGTGATGGGGAGCAGCATTGTTTCGCAGATGCTGTGTAATATTTGTGGTCAGAGGAGGGGAGGATGACTCTGGGAGAGGAAGGAGGGTGAATATGTTATACTCATACACACACTGGAGCTATTTCACAACATCTTCACCCCCCCTCGCTCCATGCAGAGGGTCATAGTGAATTTTGACTTTGCGTAATCGCCGCTTTGTTGCTCTATCGGACTGAAAAAGAAAGTTGGAGAGGGCAGAGTACGGTGGCTCTGATGTTTGTTGTGTTTAGTTTGTGGCAGATTTGTGGTTCGCCACAGAGGATAACACAAGAAGTGCTGGGAGGTTTGGGAGATGGGAGCGGAGGTGATTCTTTCTGGAGCTGTCTTGTTGCGGTAAAAGTGCCGTTCCTCTTTCTTCCTGTTTGAGCTTTCGTTAAAGGATTTCATGCTCCTCTGCAGGCTGAGAAACTCTATCACCCTCGGCCTGAGGAAAGCCTCAAACCACACTGGACCCACTCCAGAATACAGGCTGGTGTCGGCTCCGAAACAAGGCTGCTACTCAGTCCTTCAAAAGTCGAAAGTTACGGACAAAAGCTTTTCAGCAGAGTTGGCAAAAAACCTGCAGAGGACTTGGCTGAAGTTTGGTGCTCAGGAGCAGCATCTCTATCAACTTAATCCCTCTGAAACTATCAGCTACCTCCTCCTCCTCCTCCTCCTCCTCCTCGTGGGCACCAAGAAGGAAAAGTCCCACTCTGCCCTCCACACCAACACCAACACACACCACTGTGGATGTTTTTTAGATTGCTCACAGCTGCCGTAATAGCAGAACTCACACCCCCACTCTCCACGTTGATATCAGGGCTGAGAGCCGGTGCTGACTTCGCTGCGTAGCTCTGCTGTCCTCTCATTTCTCCTGAGGCGCTGTGATGCAAGACGCCTGACTTTTCATATGACCACGTAAAACATGTAGAGACACTAAAGCGGCTCCAGACAGAGTCAGCTTTTTTAATTTTGTTCTGAAGGTCAGACTCTCTCCTCTTCTGACGTCTCTTTAAGGACTCAGACTGTGAGGATGTGGGATGATGGTGAAGAGAGATGATCGCACACATGAAAATATCAACGAAATGCAAAAGTTTGACGCATCTTCATCTTCAACTTCAGGAATCAGGGTCAGAATTTAGTCAAAAATAAGAAGACTGGAAAAAATAATAAAGTCAAAACCATGAGGAAAAAAATTTCATGTTTCTGAAAGTGTAGACGCTCTCTTAACTGTTACAGTCAGAATCAGATGGAAACATCAAACAGTCGAGATCACAGACGTTAAGAGACAAATTTACTTCAACAGGATCTGACAAATATTTAAAAAAAAACTTAATTCTCAATAAAATATTCAACGTCCAAATGTAAATAATGTTTGTTTTGTAAGTTACAAAAAAGTATGAGACATTTATGAAATAAAAAGTTCAGATAATGAAAAGTAAGACATTATTACGGGCAATGACCCATTTTTAATGAGATAAAATACTATAATCATTAGATTTAAGTCATATTTAAGAGATCACAAGTCAAAAATATTTCTGGGAAAGGTCAAAACTTTAAGTGAAAAGTTCAGAATCATGAAATAAAAAGTTTAAATCATAAAATAAAAAGTCATAATTAAATCAAAGTCATATTTATAGGATAATAATTTTAAGATTACATTACAAAATGAGAGATCAAAATTCTTCGTTAAAGCTGCTGTGAGGATTGTTTTTAATGTCAATGAAATCGACTGAAATTTATGTTGATACTTTTTAATGACATATAAATGCAAACAAGTCCATCAGCAACAAGACTGAAGAGTTTTATATCCTGATTTTTACATTTAAATGTGAAAAGACAACAGGCTGAGATCTGTTATAATAACTCACCACTCCTTCTTTGTCCACAGGGGGCGCCAAAGTTGACGTAGTTCAAAAGTTCCTGACAGGAGCTTTAAAAAGTCACAATTAGGAGATAAAATTTTAAAATCATGAAAAAGAAAGTTCAAATGATTAAAGGAAAAGTCAGGATACGATTAAAAAAAACAGTATTTTTATGACATTAATATGAGGTCGTTGATTTTCTTTCTTATAATTATGACTTTATAATCCTTTGTTTTTGTCTATGAAGACGTAAAGTCCTCCTCTTTTTCCATGACCAGCTGAAATGACCTTCTAATGAATCATCACTTGATAAACTTAATGCTGGGAAAAGTGATCAGACGAGGACGCTGATGAAGCAGACTGGAATGAAGCCTTTTGTTTCAGTTCAGTCTGACTCCAGTGAAGGTTGTGTTTGTGTTTTTGTAATGTGTGTATCTTTGCTCTTAATTGATAATCTGTGTGTCAGTTACGGTAAACACTAACACCCACTCTCAGAGGAGCTGCTGCCATGATGCTTTAACGCTCTACAACCCGGATGTAAACAAACCCAGCTGAGTTCATGACGAGGAAACTCCACTTAGACTGGACTGTATCACACACATGCTGCTCAGACTGTTCTCACTTCCTTCCCCGTTACCCTCTCTGAGCTCAGCTGTCTGACAAACACATTCATGGTTCAGATTCCTTTAGAGTCCGGTCCATTTGTTGCATTTCTCCATCATTGTTTTATCACATCTGCTGGCAGACGATAACGCCTCTGAGCTGATGAGTTTTTAAGATTTCACTGATCAGAGGAACAACCTCAGGGCTGGCTTCTATTTATACTTCATCTCTGGTCTTCAGGGCCAAATTCTTGACAAAGCTTGAATTTTCTTCAGTCTCTAAAACGTACTTCGACTTGACAGGTGTGAGCTTGTTTCGTTTTCCCTCTGACTTTGAAAGAGACGTGATAAATGTTTGTATGTCCACATCAGAAGACGTCCTCTGGTCTAATCTTAACTAAAATATAATCCACACTGCTCCTAACTGCCTCTGCAGCTCCTCGTTGGATTATTTTAGTCTTAAAGCAGGAAAACCAGTCCAGCTCCTGACCTCCATTCCTCTGTGAGCACAATAAAGAGTCATTAGCCGACCGTAGAGCGATCACACACCTGCACCCACACGCTGCCCGCATCAACACGTGCAGACCACTCACACCTGCACCGAAGCTGTGATCTACCTCACACCCATAAAAAGCCTCTCCTGCTTTTGAACCGCGGCTCTGCTCTCCAGAACTGGAGGTATGCGGTCTTGGCTGCTGCGTCGCTCAGACCGGCCTGTTTGTGTTTGTTTTCCAGTGACTTTATGAGTCTGTACTGATGCCGTCGTTAAAATACGCAGGTCGACCTTTAATCAAGGGGCTCAGGTATAGACGGGTCAGAGTGGATGGTATCTGAGTGGATGCAGGATTTCAGAACTTAGCTTGTGAACCCACCACCTGCCTTTGTAACCGGATCACTCTGAGAACAAAGACCAAAAAATCTGCAAAATACCTGCGTCAAAAAACAAAACAAAGATACTCGCAAAAACAACCAGAAATGACCGAAGGCGGAGACGGCATGACAGGCGCAGACTCAGACCATGAGGAAGGACAAATGGAGACCAAAGCTGCTATGCTAATACATACAGGTCTGAAAGGTATCGTTAAAGAAATTCAAGATTTTGTAGCCGAACTGAAAGCAGAGTTCACAACATTCAAGGAAGAAATAAAAAAAGAGACAAAAGAAGAACTCGAGGATTTAAAAAAAGACGACAGAGTCAGCTGCTCAAGACAAGAGAATCACAGAGGCAGAAGAGAGAAGTGAAGCGATGGAAAACTGGGACATAGAAGTAAAAGAAGCCCTAAGAAGAGGGCTAACATGGATGCTAATGGGGAGCCTCAAGTGGACACTCAAGGAACTGCAGTTTTTTGCACTTCGACATTGGCTTTATTAGTCAACATGGGGGGCTGCTGATTGGTCAAGTCATTCAAAGATGGTTTTAAGTACTTTTAAAAAGAGACAAATTACAGCAATAGAAATATCACAGAGGAGAGTCCTGAACATTAAAGCTTTCAGTTTATGTCAATTTTGGCGCCCCCCTGTGGACAAATCAGTCTTTTCTAATCTCATCCTCTACATTCTTTCGTAGCGTCTTCTAACAGATAACTCATCCCGCTGACTTTTAACAGCGAAACATCTAATTTTATAAAAACGGTAAATCTCATTGCTGATGGTCTTATAATGAATTTCCGTCTAAAACTCCTTATTGAGGCTTTAATCACACTCTTACTTGGACCATGTGAGTCTGTGAGGTTCATCGTAAGGATACCTTCTGTTTGACGAAGCGCATTTATGGCGCTGATGAGAAATGAGGCAGGAGAGATAACAGAACGCAGATTTTCCATCAAACCACCAAGACGCATAAAAAGAAGAAGAAGAAGAAGAGCGGCTGACGATAATCACACAGACGTGCTGCGCTTGTTTCTCCTGCAGTCTTTATGGGGAAGAAAAACATTCCTGGCAGAGTGATAAGGTCATAGTTTGGCATCATCGTCTTCTGTGAGGAGAAGTCATGAAATACAAACCTCGCAGATTAACTTGACTTTCTGTTCAGCAGCAGTTTCTGATTAAGCTCTAAGAGGGAAAATCCTCTAAAGCAGCTTCGGACGGTGATGAAGGTTGAGGTTTGCTTTCTCTCCTCTGAAGGGGTGAGATTCTGAATATTGACACAAACACATTCATACGGACGCTTCTGATGCTGTCCTTAGAGTCTTTGTCTCTGCTGTGGATGTGGGGAACATCAAATTTACAAAACTCTTTCTTCTGGAGATCATGAACTTACTTTCAGATTTTTAATCTTTGATGTATAGATGGAAATTCGTGGTTTTGTGGAGGTTTGGTTTGAGCTTTCTTGTCCTTTTTATTTCCTGAGGATCCTGAATATTAAGAGAAACTTTCATGGCAAATGTTTGAGTTTTTCTTGTGGCTGTAGAAAAAAGAGGAAGAGCTATCACAGACTGGTTCGTTTTGTTTTATGTCATCGTATAAAAAGGACGCAAAAGAGCCGATACGACCTGAACAGTCAGTTGATCGTCAGAATATTATTTATTAAAGTTGTTATAGTCAGAATTTTACAGCAATATGAGTCATCTATCCCGAATATTTGTTAAAGACATTTAGACTGGAAAGAGGAAAGACGTCCAAAGTTGGCTGTCGACTTAATAATGCTAACAAATGGAGTTTAGTCTAAGCTAACAGTATCTGATGTTTGGACTCTACAGCTTAGCTAACTGAACCCAGGTCTGTAACATGTTAGCTAAAGGGTAAATGTTACACTGATGGTGGTGCCACTAAAATCAAATACCTGGAACGGCTCACCTTCACCTGGACGTCGACCTCATGTGACTCTTGAAGACTCCAAAAACAGGCAGCTGGACTGTGTAGATTTGAGAAGACGTTTCGCCTCTTATCCATGAAGCTTCTTCAGTTCGGCTCCTTGGATGCCTGAGTCTTCAAGAAAACCATGACCTGGATGAATGAGAATCTACATGGAGAACTTAATGTGACGTTCAAATCAACTTCATACTAAGGGCTTACTCAGCAAATCCTAGAATAGAACCAGGAACTGCATGATTGACGTATTCTGCAGAAACTCACGTCTGAGGAACGTCAGATTTTCAGTCAGTCATAAAAGCTGTTGAGATAAAATGATTATTTGAAAGGTAGACCATTGAAGGTTGACCTCGACCTTTGCTGGTAAAATCAACTATTTTGAGACGAGTCCGCAGAGTGTTTAAGGTGCTGATCGATGCACCACTTTGGACAGAACTTATGAACCATCATCAGAGGAATAGCCCTTTAACTGCAGTCATCCTCAGACTTTCTTCTTTGAGGTCCCCATGTTGGCTGAAATGTGATATCAGGGAAGTCTCTAGACTGTTTGGTTGTCGAAACCAAATGATAAACAAATCCCTGACGTAGAAGAGGTGGACATGGGTCTGTCTTTAACTCGGTTCTTGCCTGGTGCTTGTGGACATGGTCAGTGGTCCAGTTTAATTGCCTAAAACGGTTCATCTAGTGATGAAGGTAGAAAACCACTGATTGTGGCTTTAATACTGAAATCCTTGGTCTTGGTCTTGTGACTCCAGGGACCAATCATGGACTTGGTGGAAATCTGGTGTTACAGTCCCTCACAGATTCAAAGTCTGCTCCTGTCTTTTCAAAACTACTTCTCAGGTCTTCTCATGGATCTGGTCTCACAGGTTGCTCCGCCTCTGTTGAGTCCCGGCTCATTGGCTGGTTCAGACTTCCGGATCCCCTCCTCCTGTGATCCTCAGAGGACAAAGTTTACCGTCTTTGATATCGTTGATTGGTTGATTGGTTGACCCAGCTCCTCCGTCCAGACATTCACGGTCTCCAGAGGTCTGTAGATTGTGGTGACCCTTTGACCTTTCCTTTATCAGTCTAACATCACAGACTCTCTGCAGAACGGTTCGACAGAGCGCGTGAAATTTCCTCTAGATGTCCCCGATATGAAGGATGGGGCTTTCTGACTTTGGTCATCCCCAGACTTTCCCCCCGGTCTCATAATCAGACTGACATCATGGGTTTTTAGAGAAATGTCTCGACAAGTGTTGGACGGATTGCCATGAAATTTCGTCCAGACCTGGATGATCAAATCTGTTCGTCTGGAGCTGTTGAGAGGCATCCTGGAAAATGGAGGGAATGTAAGTGAATTAGAATAAATGAGTCAAGTTGAGGGAAGTAGGGCACTCTGGGAAATTAAATGACAACTTAACCGCTGAGGTCCATTAAAACGTCAACAGATTGATTTGCTTTTCCTGAAAACGTCATTTCAACGTCCGATTCGGCGGCCGGTCCCTGACATGAAGAGACACCCGGGCTCCCCTTTTATTTCACATGACACTGGCAGATGTTTCGGAGACGGACCAATCGAATTGCTCACACATGTTGATTCCCTCTGATAACTTGAGTAATCAGCGAAACCATTTCATGCTCAATTTCTGGGCTTTCTAATCAGTGTGATGAAACGCAGTCCCAGTCCAGGTCCGGCTCTGCGAGGTACGGATCACTGCGACTTCACTCAGCCCCTCTTTCTCTCTGCAGATCCTCCTGATACAGATGGTTTATAGGGGCGCATTTGTCTAGTCCACCATGGGAACCGACTCCATGTAAGTTCAGCCTCTGGTTTGGGAGCGGAGTTACGGCTCGGTATAATCCTTCAGATCATCGGGACGGCAGAAACACTTCCTCTTTCCTATCAAACTAGCTCAGCAGATTAGCCTCCGCTCTGCCGCATATTTAATCGTTTCCTTTGATACGAGCGAGTGTGTGGTCTCAGCTTAAGTAATGCTATGCAACAGACACACACTTCCTGGGAACAACAGAGACAGCTGACTGTTCTGCAGCCAGGATGTAGCATTAGTGACAAACAAGGAATGTTGTTAATGAGATTTAGAGCCATTTCCGAAAAGGAAGAACACCTCCCTCTCGCCCCCGTACTCACACTTTCATTGTGATTTCTTTCAACCACTTCAAAAGTCACATAAGGAAGTCATACTTCTTATTAATCTTGTATTTAATCCCCTGACCATGACCTGAGCAGGAAATCTGATTTAAGCATGCTGTGAAATTATTTTAAGTTAAGTCTTTGTCAGATGTATTAAATCAGCGGGACTTTACAGCCGTAGCAGGACATTAAAGCTGCTAATTAAATAAGTGCAAGAACAATGTCTCAAATCAAACGGACATGAGTTATGTCGAGGTCGTCCTCCTTCAATCCTTCACTCTTCGCTCCAAAAACAGAGAACAAACCTGGGGTAAATTCTCATGTAAAGGCAGCACCATCATTTCAGGGGTGGTTTACCTGCAGGACTTACAGTTTCTTTGACAACGCTTTGTCGACTCTGTTATAAAGGTCACAGCAGCTGATTTACAACCTATTTTCAGTCTGTTGAAGAGGACAGAGCTGAAGAAAAGGCCTCACTTTAACTTTTTAAATCACACATTGAGCCAAAATCTCTCCCTTTGAATCTCTGCTCCAGTTTTATAAGAAGATGTTTTTTTTCTTTGTCTATACTCTTAACGTTTGTCATCCTCCAGCCTTGAAACCATAAACCTCTGCGTTCAATACGTTTACATGCGGGAATCAAATCTATTTGTTGTGTTAGTCCGACTGAAATCACATTAAGTCAAATTTCTAAAGGTGGGACTAACAAATCTCGACAAACAAAGTGGGAGATTGTTTTTGTCTTCTATATACACACCTCAGTCAGATCTGAACCGGCCTAAACTTTCTGCGTACGCTCCACAGCTCACATACCAGACCTTGACCTGGAAGTCCAAAAGCAAAGCCATAAAGTTTTGACCATTTAAAAAATAAACAGTTAGCCTCTTGCTCACATCTTTGTTGATTATATTGGTATGTGACATAAAAGGTCAACTGGTAATCCACCAAACTACCAGAAAACCAACATTTGGCCAAATAGCGCAGTCAACAGGCTGGTCCTACTGGGAAACAAAGCTGCTACAAGGCAACGGCTCCTCTGGTGATGTAACGACAGGAGTGATCTGCATTGACATGAAGAACCAAGTGATTCTGCTTGTACTGAAACTTTTGTGGTTTTTCTTCAGTGTTACGAGGTCAAGACGTAGAAAGCTAGTGCCAGAGACACCAGCTGCTCTGTCGTTGGTTACAAGAACCAACTCAAAAGGTTTTCATCTGTCCCAGAATCTGAGGACCACATTAAACCGTGGTTTCTTTTGATTTTTAACCATGATATGCTGCTATAGTTGACGACAAGGGTCAGTATAAAGCTGGGTTTTCTTCAACAATGGTGCTTATTTAAAGGTCTTGGTTGACAGTTTATTAAAAGGAACGTTGAGGAGTGCTGGTTTGGCCGAATGGGTAAGTGTTGCGCCCCATCCAAGAGCCTCTATTGGATTCAAACCTGTGGGCCTTTTCTTGCATATCGATCCTCACTCTCTCTTCTGGTTACCTGCTTTATCAACTGTCCAATCTTCTCAAGAAAGGCTTAAAAACCAGAAACCCGGTGCTAGTCAATGTTCTCCGGGAGCGCTCACTATGTTTGCTTTGGTGTTTTTCCACCTCTGCATCTGCCAGCACTGATTTGCACTCGCCCCCTTCAGGGTACCAGTTAGCATAGCATCCACGCAGGCTCAGATCACCGCATGGGTTATAAACTGAGAGGCTGCAGATCCTCCAAAGAGGCTGAATTTGAGCACAAATCTTTGCTTACATGGGGACATGATGTAAACGGATGGTGAGAAATGATAATGCTGCTTTTCTGCTCTCCCTTTAAGGAGTGCTCTGACGATATCATGAATGATAGAGAGGAAATTAAACGCCGCTTTAATAATGTGGGAAATTTTCAGTTAGTGCTCTGTTTTTTTTTTCTTTAGTTACAGACTGAAGCTTTCTTGAGACTCGACTCTTTGTAGTCCTTTAATTCTTTGTAGTCGGAGCCCAGAGAGAAAGAGAGAGATGAAAGAAAAGTTTCTTACTTTGAACGTCGGAGTTCAAGTCTCTACACTTCTTGGCATTAGCGCTCTGGACTCTCTCCACGAGCCACCTTTAAAAGTACTTTTCTGTTGCTGCACCTACCAAAACACAACATTCATGACACCGAAAGGTCAAACGAAAAGAAATGTCTGTACTTAAAAGTTCGAGGGTCAGAATATCACGAATATAACGGGATATTTATGAAGGTTAAGAGAATAGGAGGCTCTAGCTGGTTCTTATTTTCTCTCTCTATGTTTTTATTACACGGGTAGGTAAAGTGAGTTAATGGAAACAGCATGAGGGATGCCATTCACTTTACAGATTTCCTGAAAACTTAATGCCAATTATCCAACAAAAGTGATTACCGGGGCCCGTTAAACCACACAACAGTACACAATTAGCCCTGACTTTGGTGGGCAACTTTCATTGGCTTGTTACCTCTGTGGTTTGAGCGCTTTAACTCTCTTCTTCCTGTTTCACTAATCCACTTGTTGGCTGGTGAGAAGATGCCAGAAAAACGGTGATTAATGACACGAAGACGCATCAAACGCATGTGTGTTTGTCTGTTTGAGCTTTGTTTGTTGTTGTTGTTGTTGTGCCCGGAGGGGATAAATAAGCCAATCACAGGTTGTTGTCTTTCACACACACATGCAAACACACAACGATAAAGCCAGACTTGTAATGAATCTCCATCTGTGCACGCAAAACCCTTTTCCGATGCCGCAGTGAAGTCATTGGTGTCAAGGTGCAGGATCTCGCTGGTTAAGCAGAGCAGACGTTTTTTCCTTTGTGGTACATGTCAGGGTCAGAGCTCCAGACGAGACTCGTTACGTAATTATTAGAGGGTATTCATTACTCTGGATTTCTTCAATTACAAACAGTCGACTAAATGAAGTTTCAATAACTAGAAAAATCTGGGTGGACTGGAAAATGGTGCTCATTGATAAAAAACATGCTGCTTATGTTTTATTTGTACCAAAGTACCACTTTTGTGCACATGCTCACTGTTATAATGTTATGAGATTAGAGTTAACTCACTCGGTCAGTTGAAAGTGTTATGTCCTCTGTGACGGGGCAGACGAGCGCCAATAAAATGAGGGAAGTACACCTCCGCTCAGGTTCATGTGCATACAGGAAGTGTATGGTCCAGTCCACAACACTGTTAAAATCAGACGCAGCTCTAACTGTCTCCACACCCCAAGCACGAGTGAAATCATTTGCGCGAATGAATTACATGTTAAGTCAATGCAAAGACGCGATTAGACGCTCCTACTACTCTGGCGGTGCAAATGATGCGAATTAGCCGAAAATGTCACAACTTTAGCGGATATTTGCGTCACGATAACTAATCAGCACAAAGGTTGCCGGGTGACATATGAAAACATACGGTTGTTCACTGGTATCTAAAATGGAGGACAAACCGATCGTGTCGGTATGTGGACGCCCCAAATTATATGATACCTTTTCTTTCAATTACCGAAACCGGAATAAATAGGAGCTCGTCTGAAGGCAAGTGAGCGAGGAGGTCGGATTACCTGGTAGATTGTAAAAAATCTTTGTCTGTCACTGGATTCCGCCGGTTGAATTGGCAGGGATTACCGTTGAAATTACTGTTGACGTGCGAATGAAGCGAGGAAACACTATTCATTCACGTGTCTAGATTCACGCGAATTAAGCGAGTAGATGAATTTACTTGTACTTGGTGTACTTGCGCCCCGTCAAAGTGCAAAGATGCCTAATGATAAATAACGAACAATCAATCAACAGTTTGCATGGAGATATTTCGGAGGATGATGATGATGAAGAGAGGATAATATAAACGAGGACAGGTGGGAAAGATTGTTTTTATTTTTGTGTAAAAGAACTAAAAATACTTTTCATTCACGCGTCTAAATTTGCGCGAATTAAGCAAGTAGACAATTTTACTTGCGCTTGATGTGAGCTCCCTATAAGAGGAGGAGCTGGAGTGGAGGCGCGTTGCAGTTTGACATTTGCCAACTGGTTGCTATGGTAATCAGCTGAGCTGTCAGCTGATATTAACTACAACTATGATCATGTGATGAGCGCAGGTTGGGTTTGACCTTGTGGCCTTTTTGAACTATTGTTTTGTCTAGGTTACTCAAAAGTGTGCCTCTGTTTTTCTTTGTATGAAAATTGGCGCAACCAGAGCAGTCCGCCTTAATCTGTACCCAGAATGCTTTGCACCAAGAGGCTTTTGAGTGCCATTTTCTTGGTGAAATGCGATAACGCAATAATGGTGATGCCTCTCCTTGCATTCACACCAGGACTCGGGTATTAAAAGTGCGACTTAAACACTGGATTTTCTGGTACTTCGATTTGCTGGAATCTGCACACAACACACACTAAAGAGGGAAATACACACACATGCACGAATGACAAGATGTCAGTGTGCGGGGGTGAAGCTGTGGTTTGATGCCTTGCTCAACAACCTCATAGCAGAAGTGACTGTGGTCCATACAGGGTCATGAACTCGTGACAGAACCATCTGACCTGCTGTTGCCCTTTTCACTGAACAGCTTTGCTGCTTTAAACACCTGAATCTCTGACCAATCCCAGCAGTGCTTCTCATGCTTTGTGAGCTTTAATCGCTGTTTTTGTCAATGAAGTCTGGTGGTTTTTGAAGAGAGCGCCGTAATGGGCGCTGCTTGTTCCTGAAAGGCATCCTTCCCTTTATCAAGAAGGTCTATCTCTGTAGGGATTCTTCCATTATACTGTCGGAAACTCTGAATAACCTGTCAGTGGAAAAAAAAAAAAGAAACGGGTACTTTTAGTGGATCTTTTGAGGCGATGTTGAACGTTATGTCTGATCTCCTGTGATGCCCGAGCTGTTGGTAAAAATGGGATTTACTCTACATGTTGTTTTTCTATGTTTACACTTCAATCTGCCCAAAGAAATAAACTCTGTGTAACCAGCTGGAGGGTGAAACGTAAATGCATTTACTGTAAGAAGATGTCATGCTCAGATTTGTTTGTTTACTACTTTAGCAGTGTTTCACTTGGCCCGCTCTTTACCCTGTCAGCCCTTTAAGCCTGCATACATAAAAATGACTATTTTGGATTCACATTCGCTCTTCTTTTTCCACTGCTACGGCTCAGACGTCCATTCTCTGCCAGTGACGCTAAAAAAAACATTTTGCTAATGCTGTAATGGTTGCACAATGGGGTTACATTTCACTTATTTTATGAGTGGTGGAGAGAGAGAGAGAGAGAGAGAGAGAGAGAGAGAGAGAGAGAGAGAGAGAGAGAGAGAGCGCTCCTGGCTCCGGCGTGTGTGTTTGTGTGTGCAGGACTTTGGCTTGTTAAATGTGAGATCTCAGCGCTCATTGTTTCCCGGTCAAGTTATCAGAACCAAACCGCGTCGTGTACCTCCCCCGGTGTTTCACCTTTAGCACATCTTTGACTTCACGTCTCCAGACGGCCCTGGAGAATGTATGCTTTCTTACAGTGTTTCATTAAGTGGTCCCGAAGCTCATGTAAGATAAAAAATGTTGTCTTTCTTTTCAGTGAAGATAAAGAAACAGACTTTGAGGGGTTGTTTGAGGAAGATTCGTTCTGTAACCTGCTGCCCTGTGGTGTAAAAAAAGGAAACGAAGAGGCAGTTAGCAGACTGACACAGTTCTGCTGAGCACGTGTCTCCCTGCAGCTCCTCCTGTTCGACGTGAGTTTGTTGAATTCAGATTTGTTTGTTTGGCTTTGATAATGGGAGGTCAGCCGGTCCTGGTCAAACAGGAGAGGCTGTTTTCTCTCAGGAGATAATGCCAAGTCCTGTCACTTTGGCAAACACTGATCAGCTGACGGATATCAAACAGACCTGAGTGTGACAGTGACTGAGAGGAAGGTTGGTTTACAGCAGCAGGTAGGCTGACACTAGAGTTTGTAAAAGTTGTGAAAAAGTCAAGGAGGATTAGCTCCTGTGAATTAGAGGTTCAACACTCTGTGAGAGACTGTGTGAGCTAAGAGTTCAACAATCAGAGAATAATGTCCCTACAGAAACACAAAGACTCTGTGGATTTTATATCAACAGAGCAAAATATCAAAGATTCAGAGAATCTGAAAAAACTCTGATCAAAAGGGACAAGGACCAAAACAAAGACTGGATGGCAGCACTGCATTAAAAACAGACAGGACTCTGGAGTGGAAATCACTGCATGGACTCAAAATCACTCTAAACAAACGCATAAATGCAGACTCGAGATGTACCAAGCAAAGAGGAAACTACTTATGACCACGATCCACAAACACCAGAGACTTTTCTGGACCAGGCGAAGTGGAAAACTGTCCTCAGGTCTGATAAATCAACCATGGACGCCATTTCCTCCACTCTAAAGTAAGGAGGAAACACTTCTTTGTAGGGCTGAAATACCGAAATTTACGCCAATAACCGACGTCATTTCCTCCATATCGGTATAATCTGTGTTAAAAAACATAAATAAATAAAAGTTGGTTTTGGATGTGTGTAGGTAGGCTATGGTCTCATGTCCCTTAAAGACACTGTCCTACAAAAGTTGTATCGGCTGAAGTAGACGAAGTTAATGTGGGAGGGGGTGAGCAGCTTGTGGAGTAGTTATCATCCATTTATCGTTATCGAGGTGAACTAATCAATATATCGTGATATTGATTTGAGGTCATATCGCCCAGCCCTACTTCTTCACTTAATATCAGCTTCCAGTCCAAATCCAGCACCCCTGATCATCAGAGTCCATGTCATGGGTTTCTTACTCATCTGTGAAGGCTCCATTAATGCTGAACTATATCTCCAGGTTTAGGAGCAACATCTGCTGCCGTCCAGACAAAGACAAACCACATTCTGACCACAGCGATTACAACGTTTAACGTCCCAAACTCTAAACAAACTGCTCTCCTGGGTTCACTCACGTTTACACAGTCTTGTTTAGAGAAGAGTTGGTGCAACACAACTGTAAATATGACCCAGTCCAAACTATTTAAAGACACGTAACTGGGATTTAGTTTGTAATTGACACTTTTTGAACATTTAATCTGCTGTCTTTGCAATTATTTACAATTAAATTTGGGTTTTTAAACGAGTTTCGAACCATCAGATTCTGTTTGAGCCTTCGTTATTTTCTGTCGTAGAGCCGGAGCTTTAGTCTTTGGCATCATGTTCTCGGTTTGTTCATGCATTTGTACTTTACATGCATGTAAAATCTCTCTGTTGGCAGGGGAATAACACCTCAAATTGATCTAAAATACCATAAAAACCGGAGCATAACTTACACAACTGGCTGTATGTGACCTTTAGATTGTGCAGATGTTGGGGATATTCAGCGTTCGAGGATGATCCCAAAAAATAACGTACAATAAGCCAAAATTCCTGCAGAAGCGCTTTATCGCTGTTGGAAAAGAGACGAGTGGAACAACCTGTGCTTTGTGTATAAATTCAAGATTATCCGAAGCATAAAAACGTACAAACTCGACCGAGTTCAGAGGGTTTTCGACGTGTTTCTAAAACACAGAATATTAACAAACACAACTCTCAAACCAGGGCTGTGCGTGTAACTTAGAGAACTGGATCTAAATGTGGCGCCGCTGAAAAGCTCTTAGTGTTAACCTCAGTGAGTCATCAGCAGGGCGGGGTTTCCCACATCAGGACGCTCCGATTCAGAGTTCAGAAAACTGGAAACCACAGAAGAGTGTGAGGATCTTGTCTCTGCTGATTGGCTGCACACTCCGAGACAAACCTCACTACTCATCTGCTGGTTTTCAGAGACCATGAGATCCACGCTCAGTTTAGTTCACCGTTCACCGCCTCTGCTGCTGTGAGTCAACCTTTATTTTAGCCGCAGTCAAATGTGAAGCACTCACGTATTTATTGCAGTGACAAACTCCTGAGGAGAAGCAGCGGCCCCCGGAGAGAGACCGGAGCGAGAGCGTCTGAGACCCGAGGTGGCTGTGAAACAGTGCAGAGTCTGAGTCAGCAAATGAGATTAGATAGGCTTTAGTTTACTGTCTGATACCTGATCCTCTCTCCAGGGGGGCTCGATTTTTCTGCAGCCATTAATTTAGACGTTTCTGCCTCGTGTTGTTTGGATCTGAAACAGCTTCTCTGGCATCGGCGCGTCGGAGTTCGGAGAACGATGTTTCATTTGAATCATACGCGGCACAAAAACACGAGGAAGTTATTAGAGCAGGAATAGTCTGACCTTTAGGGAAACACGCTTATCCTCTTTATTGAAGCGAGTTATAGTGGCAGCAGATTAATTCCACCTTTAGCTGTTTATTCAATAAGAAGCTCGAGTTCGACGGGAGACAGAGAGAGGAGAGAGCGGGGCCTCCAAACCCGACACATTAACTCCTCATAATCCGGTTTTTGACTCTTTACTCTCAGGTAGTTGTAATATTTCAGAGTCTGCGTCGGCCGCCATCACAGGGCGAGGACTGCGGCGTCTTTTATGTGTCTGACAAGCAGGGCAAACGTCAGGTTATGAGGGACACGTGTGAAAACGGCTCCTGTAACTTTAGGGAACATATGTTTGACTTAATTTCCTTCAAACTAAAATAACGTGATGACTTTGTGTTTCTAATTTTTCATGATTATCTTAAATACTCTGTAAACACCACCGTGGGACTACGTTTAATATTATTCTCCAGCTCCCGTCCATAAATTTAGAAACTCCGCGGTCTCTGGTTTCACCTTTACGGCGCAGGACTCTGTGGGTGGGATGGCATGACTAAGAAATAACCACAGTGGGAGACTCGGTCGGAGTGTTTATTTCCACTTACCGGACAATGCCGTCCCAAAATCTGGGATTTATTGCTTTATTATGACAGCGGAGGTAGAGGGGCCGCGTCCATTAGAGCGGTGAGTCAGGGATGGGGAGGACGGGTCACGGTCTGTGGGCGGAGGCCAGACTCCACGGCTCTTAACCTGGAGGAGAGGCCGAGCCGACTTAAATCACTTTTTTATAACAGGCGATCTGGATCCTAATTTAAAGACTTCGCAGTTCATCACACAGTCGAGCGGCTTTGGAAACAGACAAGTGCTCCTTTATTTCAGGAGGAAAAACAGACACAATGCTGCTTTTTTCTCCAAACTACTGAATTATTCCCGTCCTTCACTGAAGCCAAAAGGACGACACGCGAGTTCAGAAAGAAACAATGTGGGATGTTTTCCTCTCTCTCTCTCTCTCTCTGTCTCTCTGTGTCTCTTCATGATTTAGTTTTCCTTTAAAACATCCTGACATGAGCAGCTCTACCAGCTTAAGGCCGAGGCTGGAATCACATTAAACTGTCTGGACTCTTCTGGACTTTTATTGTTGCGCCGAGGTGAGCTGGATTTGTGTCACAGTATATTCTCCCACTTTTGTTCAGATATCCTCTCGCCGCGTTGTTCCAGAGGTTCGTATTGATTTAAAGGAGGTTTTCATGTTTTACTGGAACAGCTGGAAAACAGTCTCAGGACTTGGATGTTAAACAAATATTTCCTTTCATACGAGGATAAAACCTGTAACCCCCCCCTGCCCTCGTCACTGTCCTCAACTCTGGACCACCCTGCCACCCCCGTTATCCCACCGTCTGATTTTATCAGGTGGATCCCGCGGCTCGGGTGCCTCCTTTTATTCTGGGAAAAGTCTAATCTGTCTCCGCTGCGTTCAGATAATGGAGTATCTGCTCCTGCTGACAGCTCTGACAGCCAGGAGGAGAGAAAAACAAACCCTCCAAAGTTCAGCTTGTGTTTTATTTGGTTGTGAAAATCTTATTTTTCAGGCGTAGTGAAAATGTCTTCTCCTGTTTTTCCAAAGAGACTTCAACTCGAATCAGAAAAAGACATTTCTCTTCCCTAATGCGATGAAAACGCTCCAAACCAAGCACCCGGACCTGTTACTTTGCTTTGGAGGCCTGTGTTATTAGCTCACTATTTGGACTTTTTTTTTTCTTCACTTTTCTAAATTTGGACTCAATTTAGCGGCTGGGATTAAGAAATTAATGTTCGTGAGCGTCAGGGCTGTCAGCGCTGGCAGACGCTCTCAGCCAAACAAGAAACCACAATGGACTGTAAATGGATTATTCTCTGACCCGTGTCTCGGTTTCCTCACCACATTGTTGGATCGTAGGAACGTGTTAAACTCTTCTGATGTTTCCAAGCCGTCAAAGAGGGACGAATTAGCCAGAATGTGACTAAAAATATAAAACTCAACTGTCAGGAGTGTTCCTACGTCGTATAGCTTAATGGACGGTCTGTCGCACTTGACTGACTTGACTGAGCGGCGTGATGATTCGTTCAGACGCTCAAACCTCCGACAGAACGGGAGAAAAAGACTGTGGTGAACAGAACGAGCTAACTCCGCTACGTCGATGGAAAAAAGAGTCTACCAGCATGTGCAGAACTCTGTTATTAACTCTTTATGTCTGTTTTTATGGAGTCATGGAAAAACTGATTTCAAACGTCAGTTTCTCAGACATCCATGAATCTGATCCACCGGTATCAAGACGGTGGTTTTATTTAAATGGATGTAGCCCGCCTACTCTTCCTGTTTCATCTGTAACCTGCCGCTACCCCGGCTCCTCTTTACGTTGTCTGATTTGACCTTTGACAGAAGCTCTGGGGGGTCTTTGCTGGTGCTCTCCTTGCCTTGACCAGAGGGGGAGTGGCCTTTACCAGCCCTAGACTTTAGCTTTTCATGTACTCTTCAGGACGGACAGAGATCTGAAGTGAGATATGATCATCGTTTAGAGGTTCTTGTCGCTACCCGATCCTGGAAACCCAGTTTGTACTGTGCATGTCCGAAACGTACGTCACTTCCTCAACTAGCCATCTTTGCGCCTAGTGGTTCGTGACAGCTTCGACACTTGTTCGACAGCTTCAGCCTCAGCGAGCTCGCTTCAGTCAGAATGGATGCTACAGTTTATCACCAGCTACACACTTTCTTTGACTGAAGCAGAACGCCAGATAGTCGAGAGAATGTCGCCCCCAGTTTCACGATAAAGGTTCCTCCAACTAGCTTAATTTAAAAATTGCAACATAGTTATAAAAGGCTTGAATGAATGTGAATATTTCATTGTTGAAATCTAAAGCTGAAATTCATTGTCTATCATGTCACAACACCAGCTGGTTTCTGAAATCGATCGGTCATTTAAATCAAGTTTTTGAGGTGACATAAATTTTCATGGATTGGGTAGGTAGCAATCGGAACAACTAACTGCTGTAAAAGGCATTGAAATATGAGGAGAAGAAGTGACATACGTTTCGCACATGCACAGTACAAATCAGGTTTCCGGGACAGATCAGGTTTCAGGTGGGTTTCTGTTTCCTGTGACTGAAGCCGGACTAGCCGACCCCAATCACTTCTGGTCTGTGCGAAACTAAGCTAAGTTGCTTCTTGCTCCAGTGAAGGCGAGGTTTACATTGTGTGATTTTATAAATATGGTGGAAAATAAACTCACACTGCAGGGGAAGTATTTACAATGCAGAAGTTAAACTTGTGGTAGAGCTGTTGTGCTCAACTCCATCAGCTAGCATAGGTGTTTATAATAAGGTGACCAGACACAGACAACAAATTGGTACTACTTAGTAGCAGCGCATGCCCCCTGTAATAACCCCCCATTAAAACTGTTGTTCAGAGCTGCATGCAACAAGCTTACTTGCGCTTCCTACCGACTCAGATACCGCAATAACCATTGTTTTAGTCCAAATGCAACCTTTTTTTTTCTCATTAATGAAACACTTAAATCGAGGACATTTCCGGGGTCAGCTTTAGCCGGGGACAGGTCATCCAAAACGGGTAATGTCCCTGGAAATCATGGACGTCTGGTCATCTTAGGTTATAAACTCCCCTGGACAAAGCCGGACAGCCCCCCAAAAAAGAGGACATGTCCGGGTAAAAGAGGACGTATGGTCACGCTAACAGCGAAAAAGAAAAAAAAATAGACAGGGTGGAGGATTTCTTCTTCTCCTCTCTCGTGGTAATGATGCCAACAGTAATGCACATGGACACTTTATTCACCTTGGTGTAAAGTGACATATCTGCAGTCATCTGTTTCGAGCACGTTTGAGAAAATTCCTGCTGATTTCTCGGAGTATGAGATCCATTTAAACATCGTCTCATACATGACGTCAGCCGTTTGGCCTGGTTACCGTCTCCTCTCCGCTCAGGCCCGTCTGATTGCTCTTTAAGGTTCGGAGGAAATCTGTCTCCGAGCAACATTTCTCATGTTGTCCAAAATACAGCGAAGAGAAATCATGTTTGTGTCCATGTGAGCCTCAGATCGTCTGATAGGAGGTGGGGAGTGGGCCATGAGACCTTCAGCGTCGGACTCGCCCGCTGATAATTGCTCGCGAGTCCTTGGGTCAAAGTTACATTTGAGCCAGAGAGCGTCTTGCCTTTGTCTTGGAGATGTCTGAGCAGCCACACAGCTGAATTATGGGTCCTGAGATAAGACAAATCAAGCGCTCTTTGTGTTTGTCCAAATATTTGAAACATTTTTCATGGCGAGTTGGCTCAGGCTCACCGCTGGGCCACTCCGAGGACTCCGCTGCTGCTGCTGCTGCTGCTGCTGCTCAGTGTACACCTTCTCTCCCTCCGCACTAACAACTCCATCTTTTTTGGCAGAGTTTGCACTCCCCTCAAATCCTTTTAGACCTTAAATATATTTAAAGCAGCTGCAAAGCCAACAACCATTACTGCTGTCAGAGCGAGGGCCGTCTTCCAGCAGCCCAGCAGAATCCCCTCACTAATAGATCATGAGTCAAGATCAGGGGGGAGGAGGATTCCTGGATGCGGTTTGGCTGCTGTGATGCTTAATCAATGTTGAACTTGTCCTCAGCTGCAGATGGATGACTTAAATAAAATCCTCTATAGGTCGCGCTTCAGAGGGAAACTGCTCATTACAGAAAAACACACAGCAGCCAGTCTGTGTTTGAGGAGCGGAGAACTGTTAACGGGCACAAGTGACCCATGAGTCCAATTTGTACTTTAGTTTGGCATAATCTCACACTGAGCTCAAAGCAGCCTTTGTTCAGACGGAGTGAAGAAAGCAGCTAAGAAGAGAGAGAGACGCTTTAACTCCAGCAGCCTGCACAAGTGTCTTTTTAATGTTACGCAGAATAATAATGTTACACACTGTCACTTAACTCCTCATGTTTCTGTGTTTGTCGTTGCAGTGGCTGATCGGAGACAGAGACAGTCACTGCGGCGTCATCTGCTCGCGGACGCAGGGGAAGCCGGTGTGCGGCTCAGACGGGCGGAGCTATGAGACCGGCTGTGAGCTGCAGAGGGCGCGCTGCAAAGATAAAACGCTGACACTCGCACACCGCGGACGGTGTCGAGGTGAGAACTCATGTCTGTTAGAGTTTGTGTGTGCTGCAAAAGTACGAATGCATGATATTGATAACAGCAGATATTAACAATGCCAAAAAGTGATGCGTTTATTATGTGCATGCAATAACAGTTTACATATTTATATTTATAGTTGTGAAACATTATTGATTGTCTACATTAGAAAAATACTGATATATTTCACCATCTGTAGGAGAATCACATTTTTTTTGTCGTCGTTTGTTTCCAAAATCCTTTAGAGTGAAAAAAGCCTGAATATCTCAAAAAAAGTTTAAAAATATCGACATTCTGGATATCTGCATAAATACGATATTGTGCACCCCTATGCTAACGTACAAAGAGGCATTTAAGACGGCTAAGAGCGGCTGAAGGAAACTCTGATTAGAAATACAACTTTCTTTAAATGTTAGCAGACGCAGTCGAGACGTAAAAACTTTCTTCATACTCCTCCTGCAGTGCTGATCAACAGTTATCGTAGTAAACAGTTAGAATTACACAATAATATACAAAGTCCTGTTTGAATTTCATTGCATTTACGAAAATCTTCTGCTGAATCAGACAAACTAATGAAACAAGAATAACGTGTTTGAGCAGCTGCAGAGTCGAATCACCTGGTTCAGTTTTTAACGGCTTTCAGCAGAACCAGATGGTAATAAAGTAATATGATAATAATAATTATGTTCAAGTTACTGTGTAATTACCTGTATTGAATAATCATTTTGTTTTTATTAACTTTAAACAAGTTTTTTTTACATCTACATAAGGAGCCGATCCTCTTCCACAGAGGCAGTTAAATCATAGCGCCGAATTATTACCACAGCAGAGAGGTCAGACGTGGTTTTGGTTTTAGTGAGTGACAGTATGAAATGTAAGGAAAGGCGAATCTGGTGGTAAAAAGATCATAATTATCAGCATCACAGCAGCTTTTTGTTCTCTAAGGTTTCCGTCATTTCACCTACGAGAGGGGTGAGCGAGACAGCGTTTAAATCTAGAATCTGAATTTCTATACTCTGTACCTTTAACTTGATATTTGTTCGCTGCTTGGTAATGTTTAACAGGAATCCTGATGAATATCCAGGAATTAATTAATCAATCCTAAAGTTTTTCAAACCTCTGTGCCGTTTCTTTTTGTTCTCAGGGAAAACCTGGCCGAAAATCGATCAGTTGCCGGTCGCTCCAGCACCGACTTCCTCATCTGAAGGGAGAGACCTGGAGCCTAAAGGTAAAGACAAGGAGGTCCTACGAACAGGGACCGGTACTGAGAGGTGGATTAATATAAAAAAGTAGATGATACATCCTGAGTGATTTTCAAAATAAAACACTAAAAAAACAGAATTTGAAAGTCTGAAATTATCTAAAAAAACACTGCAAAGAAAAGTTATCAGAAGTTGAAACTGGAACATTTGATCTGTAAAGTTTTAACAACACAGGATAGTTGTAATCTTCACTAAAAACAACCATGACTCTGTAGTAGAAGTCACTGCATGAGTTTAAACTCGCCTCCTAAAACAGCCGTCTGTAGACAGAACAGGTTAAACCTGCACCACCATGTGAATGAGGAACTTTAGATGAACACGATCCAGATCCAGATCTGGGCTCCAGCTCATTTCAGAGGTGAGGTTGAAAACTGTCCTGTGGTCGGAAGACTCAAAGTTGTGCTGAGCGATTTAAAGACGAGGTCAGCTTCGATTTTTCAGTTTCAACAGTCGATTTGTTGTTTTTGGACTCTTTTTTAAAACTCTTCTTTCTGATTTACGAACCTTCAAATTCTGTTTTTATTCACATTTTATGAAGCGTACCAACTTTTAGGACAAGGTTGTACATCTCACTCCTTCTCGGACTGAACGTACGATAAACTCGAGGCTGTTTCATGAACTCTTATGTCCCATGCAGTCTACATTTGTGCAGGTTACAGATGTGCAGGATTGAGATCAAACACTTGCACATATTAGAGATGATTGAAGTCATCCAGGTCAAAGTATTCCGGTGTGAATGAGGCTTCAGGAAGTGAAAGATGGCTCTGTTTCACTGAGAGCATGTTTAAGATGTTGCAGCATGAAGACAGGAAACGTGGAGCGGACCGGGAAGATGTCTTTCATTTTCCGCCTCTCTGTAGGCGTGTAAGTTTTTACAGACGGGGATCACACACTTCCTCAGGCTCTGGATGCCAGCCCCTCAACAACAGCAGAGATTGATAGGTCTGGAGTCAAGGTTGGAACTTGGCATTTCCCCCTCCTTCTTTCTCTTCAGCCCCACTGTCCATGAGGAAAACAAGCGTCCCAACCAGATCCATTTTTGGAGCGAAGTTTCTTCCCTCTGTATGGTTATGCGTGGTTATGTTTCATAATGACGGCGGCGTGCCAAAGGAAAGGAGAGCCGGGCAGAGCTCACACAGCCTGTGCAGATGCAGCAGGTCTGCTTTGTTGTAATGAAACTGCTGCTTTATTTGAGCAGGCAGTTCACGAACCGATCCTTGTTTACAACGGCAGAACCGGGCCAAAGCTCTGCGAGGTGTGCGTGAGATCCAGATTAAACACAACAGATCAATTTGACTACAAGACGAGCGGATCGCAAACAGGCACAAGGAGCGATCTCAAACAACAAACACACAAACATTATGATAGTCAGACCTGCTCTTTTATTTTCACTGTGCTGCTGTGAAAAAATAAAAACAACAACAGGAGGACGACGACCAACACACAAGGAGAAGATCTCAACCTGAGGGAGTCTGTCCCTGTAGGTGAAGGTCCACTACACTTAAATACACGTTGTCCTTTCCTATATGTGAACTTGAGTCATCCTCCATGCTGCAGAGTCAAGATGTCAAAGCCAACTGCTCTGTGATTGGTTGAAATTGGACACAAATGTCTGTTTTCAATCACAACTCCAAAGAAGTCTGTGGTTGTGTTTTTATTTATAACAAAGTGCAGGATACAGTCAGTGTGATTTTGTTTGACCTGCTTCAACATAAAGTCATGAATAAAAGGCAAGAAAGTGGGAATAACAAACATGCTGTTATCACCGTTTAAAGGGATATTCCGGCGTAAAATTAAGTTATGGTCAAACACATTGTAACACAGAGTTGGACACCCCCTCCAGAGATGAATGTTGTCGACCGCTTGCTTCTCAAGTTAAACCAACTTTAGTAACGACCGCAGGATAGCAATACACAGAGCCACGCCCTCAACCAAAACGCCGCTCTATAGCCACAAATAATGCTCAGAACAGCACCTAACTTCATCAACAGGACATATAGGGTCACAGACATAGTACTAGACACCAAACATCTTTTTAACTTTGACTCATTTCTTTAGCAAAGAGACTAAACACAACTCACCTACTCTCTTCCAGCAGCCACTTGTTTGTAGCAAGACCTCAGGCCAGTCCATTACCGACTACAGCGGGGTGACGCAGCTCAAGGAAGAACATTTATGATTATTTCTTTATGGAAATACAATCAGACCGAGACGCTAAGGCAAGAGACCTACCATGTCTGCCGTGTGCATACAGGATACACAAGAACTCTAATTGTGTTTCCATGAAGTTGTAATCATAATCGTTCTTCTTTGAGCTGCGAAACTCCTCTGCACTCAGTGATCGACTCGTCAGGTCTCCCCCACAAACAATCAGCTTAGTTGAGGTTTGCACGTCAAGATGTAGACAGCTATGTATTGCTATCGTGCGGTCGTTACTAGGATCAGATGTGGAGCGTGTTGGTGAGGTTTCTGCTGGAGAGCCCGCCATGGTTGAAATGATCTGACATATCTTTCAGACAACAGTACAGTCTCAGCTCATCTACTATTTATAGAAGAATTAAGAAGTCTGACGGCTGCGGGTCAAAAGATCTTCTGAATCTCTCCGTCCTTTGAAGATGACCAAGATGCTGAACTCTGCATCACACGAGACGAGGAACATTCCCAGAACCGACTGTTCCTGTCATCTCCAGTGACAGAAACAGTCAATTTTCCTCATGAAACACACGTTAGTTTTTGTGTTGTGGTGCTTTAAATGGCGAGTCCAAATTCAAAACAGCCGAGAACACAAACAAACAGACAGACAGACAGACAGACAGACAGACCGACTGGTGAAGGCAGCAGTAGACCAGCAACTTAAATCCTCCGTGGAGTGAAATGACTGTTTTTGTCAGTGGAGTCTGGTGGATTTGGTTTACAGTCGACGAGGTTGAAGTTAGATCTGCTTAAAAAGAGTCTCAGTTTGATATCAGGAGTTTTCCGGTGACTCGAGTCCTCGGCCTGTTTTCATCCGTCCCTCGTCGTCGGACACGAGCAGCACAATGTGTAAAGACTCTTGTTTTGGTAAGGCTAAATATACTCCAGGTCTGGGTTTATAAATTCATGTAATCACGTCTGTCCTCCTCGGTGACTTCATCACACCGCTCTGGCTCGGTCCCTCTTTTCTCTGGAGGAGACGACATGTCTGTCTCCTCTCAGGTCCAGGGACGACTTTTTTTAACTTTTATTTATCCAGGCGGAAAGTTAGCCAACAGTGGAGGACTGCGGTCGCACTGGTCAGCTCCTCGGTGTGGAGACACACACACACTCTTTAGAGGCATGAGTGCAATAAAAACAGTAGTTGCTGATGGGATTTTGAACCGTTGACTGGCTGGTGTGAAGCCCACTCGGTTCTCCGACCTTTCAGCCACTTCCACCTCCGTCCCCCGAGAGCCGACCTGGCTCATCAGAGCTGCAGGAACACAGGCTCAGTTTCCACTTTGTGAAGAACATGACGCACTCCTCGGCACTAACAATGCGGCGCTCATAGACGACTCCTGGCACCGCGAGTGGTCAGTGTCGAGGAATGTGTTATTTTAGTATTTTTCAAATGGTGTAATAAAAGGTCTTTGACTCTCCTGAGCTGGAAAAACGGCTCAAACCTATGATTTGAGAGAAAGAGTGAAGAAACGAGTCCAGCGCTGAGTTCTCGACGTACATCCATCACCGAGGTGCTCTCAGGCGTGGAGATAATTTGGTCTTTCTTCTGGTCGCATGTTTTCTTTCTTGGGCACTTAAATGGAATTATTTGAACTTACCTGTGCAGGTGAAGGTAGACGAACAGACAGTGTGAATACTAATAAATAATCTTACGTCTGATCTGTTGCAGAAGGAAGTCAGTCCAAGTGTCGAGTCGAGAGGAGCCAGGCTCTAGAACAAGCCAGGAGACCTCAGGAGTCCATGTTCGTCCCAGAATGCAACGAGGACGGGACCTTTGCCCAGGTACGTCTTTGTCCCTCTCTTTTTTTTTCATAAAACTCTGATCCTTTCTCTGTGACTTACCTTTCTGCCTCTGCAGGTCCAGTGCCATACTCTGACAGGGTACTGCTGGTGTGTCACCAGTGACGGCAAACCAGTGAGCGGCTCCTCGGTGCACAACAGGACCCCCGTGTGTTCAGGTACTGGTGGTAAAGCAGGACGGCAGCCTGTGGAGGACATTTAGAGTTTTTAAAGGGTCATTTTAATCTACGAGGTTCCTGATAGGTCATTTCTGATCAAACATCCGTCACCTCTCAGCAGAGTGAACATTAGGCTGTGAATACAGAGTTTTGAGATCAAGCAGCTCCTGATCAGCTGGATGAATTTCTGGCATGTTAGAAATTTGGGTCAGCAGACTGTGTCCTCTCCCTCAGTGACAGCAGAGCTAACTCAGCTTCAGGCCTTTTTTTTTACCTGACTGAAACAGGTTGCATGATGCAGACCTAAATGTGAAGTGATTCTGAGCCCATGCAGTGAATTCCACTCCAGAGTCGAGTCTGTTTTCAATGCAAAGTGTCCTGAGAGACTTTTGGTTACAGTTAAACTGATCTCTCACCGTTCTCTGGGCACATGTGGTGCAGAGCAGGTGCAAGGTCAACGAGGAGGCTAATGGCCATACATCCAGGGGCCTCTCAGCACCCCCGTCCTCCTCACACTGAGCCTGAGGAGAGAGAGAGAGAGAGAGAGAGAGAGAGAGAGAGAGAGAGAGAGAGAGAGAGAGAGGGAGCGGTCTGGGCTCACTGGTCCTGGATGGGAACACTTTCTGATAATCACCATCATTTTCCCTCAGAAGATAATACTCAGGGCTCTCTGCCAGAATCAGATTGCTCAGCCACTGGAGCATATGGTGTAAATTTTGTGTGGAGAGTGTGGTGAAAGTGGTCGCATGCCCCTGTGGAGCTGCCGTAACGGACCGCCAGAGGCTTCCCGCTCTCTCTTTATCTCTCTCTCTCTTTCTCTCTCTTTCTGCTTTCATCTCCTTTTCTCTGTTTCCACTTGTTCCACTAATCGCCTGTTTAGCACCTGCTGAGTTTCAGGACTCTGAATAGAGTCTCAGTGAAGTTTTTTGTTTTAATTGATGCAGGGGAGCATCACTGAGTCCTACGAAAGAGGATCAGGGCCACAAGAAGAGAAAAAAATAATTACAGGAAGCAGATTTTTTTGATTTCCATTTCGAGATTAAAGCCGAAATTTAAAAAGCAAAATGAAAAGAAACCATTTTGCACGAAAGCGGCAACCTCGTAATCTTGGCACTGTCTTTTCAGAGTCTGAATACTTACGATCACACGCTGTGTTTGTGAGCTAAAAGAGCAAGAATTTCCTTATTACTAAATCCAGTTCTTAAGTCCAGCAAACTCTTCTACAGAGGACATGTCGAGTGACGAGTGACAATGCTGTTGATTTATTATCATTAATCTCAACATTACGACTTTATTCATGAAATTTCGTCTTTATTTGTGACAACTTTAGTCTCATAGTTTTAACTTTAATCTCCAAACTTTGACTTTAATCTCAAAATTTTAATTTTTTATCTTGAAATTTCGACATTATTCACAACATTTTGTAATCGCAAAATTTCGACTTTAATCTCACAATTTCAAATTTGATCTCAAAATTTTAATTTAATTCACAAAATTTCAACATGTCGACTTTAATCTCGAAATTTCAACTTTAATCTCAAACTTTTATGTTTTAATCTCGAAATTCCGACATTGTTCACAACATTTTTGATATTTCGTAATTTTGAAATTTTGACTTTGACATAATTTCAATTTTTTTAATCTCAAAATTTCGACTCTAACCTGAAAATTTCAACTTTAATCTCCTTCCTGCAGTTATTTATTTTCTCTTCATGTGGCCCTAATCCTCTTCCGTAGAGTCCACTCTAACTTTAATAGTCCATCCTCAGATCTGCCCATAATGTTAGCATTAAGTCGCTGTAGGTTAAATCTGGAACTTTGAGTCGTTAGTTGGTCAGTCTGGTTAAAACTAAAGGGAGACCAGCTTATTCACTTATCATAGAGTTTTGGCCCAAAGCTGTCAAGTGTTGAGTTTCTTGCATGTGAGCTTTCACGGCTGTCTGCTGCTCGAGATCATAAATGAAAATATCTTCATGTTTTTGTCCTTCGATGTGAAAATGTCGCTCTGCTGCGTCTTTCTGTGCTCCCATTGGCTGTTTTCCATCACTTTGTTTAAAATATTGCTGTGTTCGAAATTACGTCACACCCGAGTTCAGAGCGTTTCAGTTATCAAGTCGAAAAAAAGCAAAATTGTAGGCGGAAACAAGATGGCTACATCTATGAAAGAGGATGCTAAAATAACTTAAAATATCTAAAATGACAAGCGCTAAAATAACTTTCGTAGATGTAGCCATCTTGTTTCCGATTTTGCTTTTTTCTGACTTGGTAACTGAAACTCTGGTAACTCGGGTGTGACGTCATTCCCAACTCCAACATCTGACGTCTGAGGTAACTCCAACGCAGCTTTAGATCACACATATTCATGGTTGATTCCCCAAATATAGAAAATCCACTAGATGTTCAGGCTGATTCTGGTCCTGATTCAAAGCCTCGTTCATCTGAACCAAATCTCAGTTTAGATCCCCTCCTTTTAAACATGTTAGTAAACATCCGTATGTCTAGTTTGTGTCCTGCATAAGATCCGATATCTTCATTGTTTCTTGCAAAGGTATGTACGCCATTGGAGCGCCAATACGGACACAAAAACCTGCTACTACAGTCGTACACGCCCGACCCGTCCTCCCTCTCGGCTCATGACAAATCACTTTTACTGACGTGTTTGGACTCCCCTGTTCACTGTGACCCAAATCAATCATCTCACATACGTTTGCAGGAAACTTCCGTGAATTTATGGGAACTCATGCTGGGACAAGTGGATTGTCAGGTAGTAAATTTCCTGTTTCCAGTTGACTCTAAATTTCCCCCCTTTGTGCTTGTCTATTGTAATTGGTTGCCCTCTCTGATAATAATAAAAACTCTTTTGCTCCTCGCATCCGTGCATGAGACCGACTTCCTGCATGCACCAAATATAAGTTTAATATAATCGGGGAATGTGCTACCCTCTCAGTCTCCACGGGTGTTTGTTAAGATGATGCAACACGCCGGACGTGTGCCTGCGAGCAAATACTAACGGAATGATCAAATTAAGAATGTGTTCATCGAACCGACAAACTCCTGCATCTAACTCGGAGTTTGGAGGTGAATGGGATGGATCATCTGTGGAGGGGTGTTTCCAAACATTCAATCTTCATTTTGAATCTCATCAAAAGCTCAAACCATATTAATAATCAGGTTTATTTTTGGTAATTTTAGATGATTTCTCCACTTTAAATGGATCGCCTACATGTCTAAATCTCTGAATGTTTTGGTGGTGCTGTCTAGTCTTTACTTCGCACATGTTATGTCTTTTTTTTGTCCCTTCCAGGGTCAGTAACCGATAAACCACCTGGGCCACCGAACTCTGGTAGGAAAGGTGAGTCGAGCTCTGCTGCAGGTTGTGCGTGCGTGCATGTGAGCGTTTCTATTTGTGTGAAAGAGACAGTAAGCGAGCGCCAGTTCAGAATGTCTTTTGACCCGATTTTGTTCGATTGGATCCGTGCAAAGTCCACGTTTGTGCAGAGCAGTGATGGAGATCTGCGCTGAATGACAGCATCTCTCAGAACCAGAACTCCCCCGCCTCTGTTTTTGCATGCGAGTTTAACGGCGTGCTCTTGAAATTTGCCCCGTAGACAAAACTTCAGCGTAGCTAATCCTCCGATATTCAAATATTTGCAGAGATATCTTCCTCGGACAAATCAGACAAGTAGCTTCTCCGCCTCAGACGCAGAATACAAACGGGATTTCTCTGCTTTAACTGTTTCAGGGTGGAGTAACAACGACAACAACATCACAGTGTTTGCAGTGAGAGTTTATAGACGTGTTAAATCTCTCCAAATCCAAGTTTTACATGCAAACACGTGTCAAGCCATAACCACTCTACGTCTTTCTACAGAGCTAGGATGTGTAGATGCAGTAGACTCGTGTTGTTGGTGGTAGGGTCATCAGACAGTGAAGTCGAGCTTTGATTTCTGATGTTTACAATAATTGTGTTTTTCCTCCTCACAGTTTGTAGCTCACAGTCCAGACCTGGATCAAACATTAATTGAGAAATCCTGTAAGTTACAGAATGTGTTTCAACATGCCCAGCATGCATCACCAGTCTGTTTTTTTTTTTTTTTTTTTACAAACAGGAGAGATTTATGGAGAATAAATCAGAAAAGTTCACGTACTAAACTGAATCATATTTGCAGGAAGCTTTAAACAAATACTGGTCCATGAGCCAGGTTTGCACTTGTCTGAGACTAATCTAGCAGCTGATCTACAACCCCGGTTCTCAAAGACGGAGGGAGTCTGTGTGAAGTGTTCATGACACGAGGAACTTATGAAAAACGATTTGATGCCAGCAACACTTTGAAAAAGACGAGACAAGTTTATTTTAACGGTGCAAAAAAGTTTGGGAACCAAGGAGACCAGGTCCTGGAGTTTGGACTGACTCCGAGAGGACCCTCTTCTAGGGCTGCACGATGTTAGCCAAAAATAAAATCCAGATTTATTTTCTGAAAACTTGATTTTGATTTTTTATTCAGTGCCAACTTCACCAAACTTCACTTTGAAAATAAAAAGTTTTTCTATCATCTCTTAAAATGTAACAACTAAAAATGATGTAGTTCATATGCCAAGCTAGTAAGTGGCGCTGTAACGCTGCACAAAAAATTCACAAAAGACAGAAGAAGAGTACAGAGCGCGGGTATAAAGGTTGTTTTAGCGCCATAAAAGAGTTACGCTGTGTGTCACATGATCGTTTCCAGAGATGCAGATAGACATCCACACAGAGATGAAATGGTCGTCATTTATGGATTTATGCACTCTCTGACCCGTAACTCTGACAGTAACTCCAGTGCAAATAAGGAGAAAGAGGAGATAAATAATAGATAAAATAAGTAAAAATAAAGAGATTTAAAAAAAAAAAAAGTAAAAAAAATAAAAAAATAAAGAGATAATATAAAGAGATGAAGAGGTGGGTGTGGGAATTGGGGAGCGCTCCTGCAGGAGGGGGGAGCCTACGGTGGCCTGGAGGCGCAAGACGTGATAGAGAGGGAAATTGTTTTAATTGTTTTAACATCGTCATTATCAAATTATCTGATTACGATTTAAAATCAATTAATCGTGCAGCCCTACCCTCTCCCCTTCAGAACTGAGAACTCTGTATCCATGATTTTCAGTTTTAAACGTCCCTAAAGAGCTGCTGCTATTTCTGGATCATGTTTACAAATATTTCCCCTCTTTGCACGGCAGAGTTTGAGCCATGCAGCGACTTCCACTACAGAGTCATGTCTGTTTTTAGTGATATGTGGCCTCAGGGCTCCCTGTCCTAACATTGATACCTGTTTTGAGCATCAGATGTAAAATCAACACACACTTTTATATATTTTCCACTTTATATTTTCCAATATTTGTTATTTTGTCTTTGGACTAGTAAGAAGCATTTTTTAAACTTTTTCATCAACATTTCACACATCATCCGTCTGTTTTTGGATCGGGGTTGTATTTCATTCAAAGATGAATCGATCAGCTCAGTTTGAATTGAAGTGTTTTTAGCATCTATAGTCGGGCTCCGGTCCTCTGGGGTTTGCTTTTAATTGGCTTATTTCCTAAAGGCTGTTCCAGACGCTGCAGAGCTGCACACGGGTGAGTATTTTAGAGAAGCTGAGTTTGCTGAACAGAACTGAAGATTACACCGAGAGGACCCTGAGTGTTTCAGACGGTCTGCATAGTTCCTCTATCTTCTTCTGCGGCAGTATAAACAGTTTCCCTCTTGGGCTGAAACATTCAGTGTTTTTGTTTGATAGTAAACTTTGATACCGCCTGAAACGGTTTTATTTCATATGGGTGAGAGCCAAACACCAGACATGCTTGTTTTTTATTTATCAAATCCTTAATCCTGACAAATTTATCAGGGAGATCAAATCTATCTACTCTCTGTTTGTATAAAGATTTCCACGTTATTAAGACAGCGGGTGAGAGTCAGGGCAGCGAGAATGAGATGTTCCTCACGGTTCTTCACCACATTACTTCTCAGATAATCTGGATTTCGATTTTTGAGTAATTCTCATGGACGAAACTGCAAGTCACAGACAATTTCTCATGTGATGCTGGAGCTACAATTATGGTCAGAGTGTGGATACTTCAGAGCCCGCAGTGATCTCCACCGAGTCTGAGTCGTTGAGACGTTATAGTGGACGGCACTGTGGGCAGACAAACCCACGAAAACACTGAACCATCATCGGCATTGTCTTATTTTGACACAGAGATGATGAAGTTCACATAATCTTCACCTCAGTGTTTGGAGAAGTAGTGGGTGGGCCTTTCTGTCCCCATCAACATGAACTACACCTGCACCACCGCGCTCATGCGGGTCCTGATGGGTGCAGGGTTGGTGCTCATGTGAGTGTATGCATGCGCGTGTGTGTGTCTGAGTGTGTGTGTGTTTGCTGATGTTGGTGTGAGGGTGTCAGAGTTGATTTATAGATATGTGTGTGTGTGTGTAGAACCACATGTGGGTGGTCGTCCTCTGTTTCTCTCTCTCTCTCTCTCTCTCTCTCTCTCTCTCTCTCTCTCTCTCTATATTCTCTGTCTTGGCCGGGCCATGTGCAAATCCCAACCATTCAACACTTCTGGAGAGTAGATTGTATTAACCTCAATAATGGTAGTCTCTTTCCGTTTCTTTCTCACCCTCAACCCAGATGACGGCTCCAAGCCCACACCCACCATGGAGACCCACGTCCCCCCTGAGGGTGATGGTAAGCCCCGTTTGTTGACCCTTCTACCTGCTGTTCTTAATTCAATCGAGGGAGACAGATCGGTTGGGATAGAGATGGATGGTAGGGCTGGGCGGTACGTCCTAAATATAAAGTTTCTGGGTGTTTTTGGTGGTAGCAGCAGATAAGTAGGGTTGGGTATCGTTTGATTTTAAACAATTCTGGTTCCGATTCCAATTCCGGTTCCTAACGATTCTCGATTCCGATTCTTTTAAAATGCAGGATATATATATATATAAAAAATGCTACGTTTAAATGAGGGTGCTAACCAGAATTCTTCTTTTTGGATGAAATTTCAGAACTTCTCCATGAATTTTTAAATTTTATTAACTTTTTAAGAACTTTACTTTGAATTTCTCACATTTTCAACCAGTAAATAAATATAAATTTTTGTTGTCAGGTTGTTTGTCTATGAAAAAGTAAAAAAGGACTAACGTTAGTTGGATATATAAGTTGACCCACCATACACAGTACAATTTGTTTGTTGCTTCAATGTTCGCAGAAGACAGAAGTCATTTATCGTCTGACTTACCTGATTCTGGCTGGTTAGCGGAAGACAGACGAAGCGCGTCAAGGACAGGCACTCATGTTGGTCGTTCACCCTCCTTTACATGATCTGATGTGATAAGAGTTCGTTCTTCCTGCTGGAGTTAGCCAAACTTTTGACTGCCGCCGCTGTGGGTTGCAACGCAATCTCGCTCTCTCTCTCTGTCTCTCTTCTCTCTCTGTGTGGTTTCGTCTCGTACGCTTCGTCCTTGTTGGTGTTCGGCGGCTATTTCTTCCGGTCGGCGGACTCCGGCATTGAAACTTGGAATCGGAATGTTAGTCTCAGTCCCCATCGATGCTCAAGACCTGATGCCCAACCCTACAGATGAGAGTCTAACATGAATCTGGTTCTGCTCGAGGTTTCTGCCTCTTGAAGGAGTTTTTTTTCTTGCATAATACTGTTTCGCTCATGGTGGATTAAGACGGGATGAGAGTTGGCCTGATCTTACTCAACCTTATCTTCCTTTGTTTCGTCTCTTTGTGGATCTTTGGCTGTTTTAGATGTTCAAACAAACTTGGCGTGTTTCTAATTTTAGTTGTAGCAGCTTTTGAGCCAGTTTTAGTTTGGACCTGGTACCACCAAACTGGACCAGTTCCTAATGACAGCATTTTTACTGGAACAAATTCTTCATAAACACTAGCAGTCATGTTTTTGTCGCTGTTAGTGTTTCTATAGGAACTAAACAAGTGTAAAGGGTGTGAAGACAGATAACGAGGATGTCTTAGAAACATGCGTTGATCTAGTTTATCGCCCAAAGTTGAGTTAATCTGATAAATGGGTCCCCACCTTGAACGGCTACTATGGAGTGTCCCCACAAATATGAATGAGTACTTTCGTTTTTTATTTTTTCTCGAAGGGAAAATTTGGCTCACTGATTTTCTGCTCATTTATCTTTAAAGCTGTCGGACAGATTGTTCCAGCGTTTGTATAAAATTTCAGGGTGTCAAGATTTGAACCATCAAACTCAAGATGGTATTCCTTAAAAATACACCACAATACCGAGCGGAAAACACAAGCGGCCAAAAATACAGCATGACAAATGTGAAGCTTTTGGAAATATTCGGATTTGGATGTGGTTTTGAGTTTTGGTTTAGTGAGGAAAGTTTGGCTGTGCGAGTCAAAAATGCAGCTGTTGATGAATGGAGTTAAACAAAGCTTGGCAGAGGTGAATTCTCTTTCATCTTATTGATGCGTCTCTCTTTGTCTTCCTGTCACAGCAGAGATTACCGCTCCAACGCTGTGGATAAAACAGCTGGTTTATAAGGAGAATAAACAGAACAGCTCCAGCTCCAGGAAGCAAGGTAAGAGAGAGAAACGCTGCCTCATTCACAGAACGTTTAACAGAAATATACTCAGATTAAATGAGTGAAGCCGGCCTGGGATAAACCACAATCTCATCTTGGTACATCCACCTGCTTAACCATCACAAGGATGTAAATACTGGCCACAACCAGACAACCAGACTTTTGGAAATCATGCTGACCCGGCCAAGAATTCGATATTCAGGCCAAGGTCAGAGAAATTCAAATATTTGCTTAATGATTCCGCAACCGGATGTTAGGGACTGGTTCTCAGTACCCAATCCTAGTTATGACCATGATGGGCTGTTTTAATAAAATTTGATTGAAAGTTGGCCTCTACAAAAAACACAAAATAACCGTTTTTCATGAATGTTCATTGTGAGTGTAAAGTCAGGCTCTCTCCTCCACACAATAGAGCTCACAGACACTCGATTGTAGCACCAGATTTCTTGGTAATGGACTGATGGTGGAGGAAGCTGTGGTCAGGGCAGAACTGAGGATTGAATTTTAGATGAGCTGTTCTCTTTGACAGCTCTTTGAGACTTCATAGAAAAAAAAAACAGTTTCCTGCTTTCAATTAGCATCCGCTGTCCTTAAAGTTCGAGTGACGAGGCCGCCTGAGGAGAGATGTAACAGCGTATGACGCATAAGTAATGTATGTGTATGCATCTGCAGCTGTATGTGATTGCACACAGTATGTGTATGCACATGTGTATCCGAAGGAGATTATGCTGAGTAGGTGTTTTCAATATGATCAACGTGTTCCTCAAAGCATGAAGTCTTCGTCACTGGTTGCGTGGTATATTGTTTCATGATGCTCCAAATGTCGTCAGTAAGTGACAAGTCAGGACCGCATCAGACCAGTTTCTCAGCAGGACTCTTCTCCTACAGAGCCATGTTGTCAGAATGTGGTTTGAGATCATATGAAGGTCTTCCCTGAAAATGTCTTTGTCTAGATGTCAGCAGCTGTTGCCTCTAAACCTGGAGATATTGTTTAAACTGAGGATGCAGCGTCTATGATTTCCAGTTCTTCGTTGAAAGGACAACTGGACTCACTCAAAACGTCTCAAGTGAGTTTAGTTGTCAACGCAAAGATGCGATTAGACGCTCCTACTACTCTGACGGCGTGAATGACGCGAATTGGAAAATGTCTCAACTTAAGTGGATATTCTTGTCGCGATAACCAATCAGCACGAAGGTTGCCTGGTGACGTATGAAAATGGACGGTTGTTCTAGTGTATCTAGAATGGAGGACAAACTGATCGTGTCGGTGTGTGGGTGCCCCGAATTATATGACACCTTTTCTTTCGATTACCGAAACCGGAATAAAAAGGAGTTCACCTGAAGGCAAGTGAGCAGGGAGGTCGGATTACCTGGTAAATTGTAAATGAAAAAACGTTGTCTATCACTTGATCCCGCCAGTGAATTGGCAAGGATTACCGTTGACGCGCGAATAAAGCGAGTAAATACTATTCATTCACGTGTCTGGATTCATGCAAATTAAGCAAGATGATTTTACTCGCGCTTTGTGTGAGCGACCCATTAGAATGGGGTTGCAAAGTTTGTCACCACCAGCTCAGTTGACTTCTTGAGTTCGTAGGGAAAAGTCCAGGCAGAGTCCAGTGAGAATTTTAGCTGTTTTAAGTTTTAAAATTTTGGGTAAGTTTTAAGGAGCTTTGTCCCTGGATGTTTGTGGATATAAAAGATCTTTGTTTCTGGTTGTTTCATTATTGCAAAGAAGAGAAGAGTCCTGAGAATTCAAACTTCTCCTCTCTGTCTTTTCCCTCTTCCATGCTGGAAAACCTGAGTCCTCCTGTGAGCACATAGGCAAGGTTATTCATTTTTGGCTCTCGGTGTCCGGATACCCCATAATTATGATTTAGAGTGATGCAGAGATGGGGTTTGTGAAAACGTGTTTTCTTAGGCAAAGCAGTGCAAAGTCTAATTTTCAAAGGGATGCGTTGTTGCCAGACTTGGACATGCTGTTGCTCCAGTGTTGTAAGGAGAGGAAGCGCTCTGTCAGGCAGCTCATTTGTTCAAGCGTGTGGAGAACCAACTCGCTTACTTACTGTTTTTGGGCAAACAAAAGAAAAACTTCTTTTCAAAGGCCTGTAACGTGAGAGTGCCGAAAACCCCAGGAGCGAGTTTCTTCTGCTTTCCTCGTTCGGAGCAGAATGCACTTGGTTTTTATTTTACAGCACAATAAGTGATGACAGTGCATTTAGTCAAGCTTGCAATAATGTGTTGAAAAGTAACACAATCACTGTCAAAAAACCTCCCTCTCATGTCTAGTTTTGGTCATAAACACACCTACTTCATACCTACTCCCAGAGTTCCCCTATTACTAACATTTCTGCTATTTTAACTGCAGAGGAGGCCTGCGAGAGACAATATTGCAGTGATTAGCCCACAGCTGAAAGCCATTGGAGTGAAGCGGAGAGGAGAGAGCGCTGGTGATGGTGGGGGTGGGTCCAGAGAGAGGGGGGTATGAGGATAGAGAGGAGCAGGAGAGGGAAGGAGAGAGAAGCTACAGAGTATGAGTGCGATGATAAACTGTGCAGCACAGAGAGGAGAGAGAGAAAAATAAAGAGAGGATGATTTAAAGTGAGAGGAATAAAGTGAGAGAGGTCGAAGATGCTGCAGACGATCATCTTTTCTTCATTACCAGTTTGGCCAGAAAGAAAATCACCAAAACAACAAGTAAATTGTTAGAAAAGTCTCTGACATCTACGTGTGTGGGGTTTTTGTTTTTTAGGTTTGCATTTCTCATCACTCGGTTCCTGCCAAAAGGAAGGGACATCAAATCGAAAAAGAAACAAAAAATAAAAAATAAATAGAGCAGAAATGCAAGGCAGGCAAAGAAGCGGTGGATTGAGTTTCACTTCCACACCGAACTGAGAGGATTACATTACAAGTGTCCAGCCTTTTTCCATTTATATGTATAAAAACTATTTTCTTTTGGGAATCCTAGCGCCTGGCGCCAGCATAACCTCTGTATAATAAACAGTGCTAAATAATTTGGATGTGAAGGAGCCTTGGCGAGGAGCAGCGGCACGGCACGGCGCTAAGAACACTTGAGAGTGAGTCTCTGCAGGAGAAAAAGTTCTTTTGTGTAGGGACACGTTTAGTTTTCTGTTGGCAGACGTGAACAACCCTTACACACACACACACACCTCTCATCCTGCTCGGCCAGGCCTGAGATCTGCTGCTGAACCTGCCACAACTGACTTAAAGCTCCAGGGAGGAATTTTTTAGCTGGTTGTGAAACAGACTGAAACTTTAATTAACTCTAACGTGTCTTTATGACCAAAAAAAAGCAAAAAAGATTAATAATTATAAGGGGGTGGGGGTAGGGGACAGACCGAGTGTTAAACAAACGCATTCTTGTTCACGTGTTAAAAGGCAAAGATCTTTGTTTAGCGGTTTATTTGGCCAATAAAAGGCAGCAGGATCAGGTTTGTTGTCCAAAACAATAAATAAGTAAAGCAATCTTTGACCCCCAGGGGGCACCAAAATCGACACAAACCAAAAGTTCCTTACAAGGGCTTTAATCAACAAGTCAAGAACAAATATCTGTTGTGTGTTTTCCAGTTTTACTCTTTAGAAATAAGACCAATTTCCGTGCTTCCTTTTGTCCATCCTCCACAGTTCTCACATAATCGTAGAATGTAAACATGCCGAGAGTCGCAAGCTCTCTGTCTCCTCCTGTGGTCATCATGTATGTCCTGATTGTGTCGCCTCTGTATTGAGTGTGTCTCTCATGGTTTTAGAGAAAGTTCCCTCTTGTGACCAGGAGCGACAGAGCGCACTGGACGAGGCTCGGCAGAACCCTCGTGAGGCCATTTTCATCCCCGACTGCGGTCCAGGCGGTCTCTACAAACCGGTCCAGTGCCACCAGTCCACGGGCTACTGCTGGTGTGTTCTGGTGGACACGGGACGACCTATTCCTGGAACCTCCACGAGGTAAAAGTCATATTTTCTTTATCGTAAGCTGTTTCAGTATCATCGGATATACCTGCACACTATGTATACAGTGGATTTATAGTAAGGGTTAACATTACCCTCTAATGGCATCAAGAGTGGGATTTGATTTCTTTACAAACTGGCTAACATTAACTTCGTCTGCAAAACAAACTGGAGGGAAGCTTTTATTCGCCACTGCCAAGCAAACCAATCACAGGGCTCGCAGTCTGCACAGTTTTTCGAGAAGGTGCATAAAGGTCTACACCAACATGCAACTCCTAAGACCTATGGCGGAGCATGAACCAGGCTCCATGTGCTGTACTCCTAATTTCAGCCCAGCATCCACCTGCAGGTTCAGAGTGAGGGGTCAAACCCCTAATTTCTACTGAATCCCAAACGGCTACGAAAAGGACTTATCTGCCAATCATAGCCGATTGTAACCATCCAAGTAAATGTGTCAATTTCAACCGTTTTCTATCCGTTCCGCCACAGATCGCCGGACGCAAGAGTTCTATTTTTTCCGGACGTCGGAGCATGCCGGATAAATTCAGCACAGATTAACCCGTGCTGGAAAGGAAGTCGGGCACAGACACAAAATAAAACATCCGGCTTCTTTTCAAAATAAAACACTCCGTGTTTCAGGAGGATCGTATTTCACACCATGCAAACGGGCGGAGACGAACAAGTGAAAGGTTTTTAGACGTCATTTCACCCCGATGACACCATGGATGAGGAGATGCTGATTCTAGAAGTCTAGAAGTAGATTTCCTCCTCTGGAAGAAAATGTAGCTGTCTTTAAAGAGACAACTCGCTATCACACGGTTGCACGTGAATCCACAGGTTCTTGTGAGTTCTCGCGAGTCCCGCTGTCCGTAATCCACTGCGAAATTCTGGCAGGAATTGGCGGACTGTAAAAAACTGTAGCCGTTCTAAATGAGGTGAAAATTCGGGGCAAGATATCGTCTCATCACTCCTGAATTGTCTGCATGTAAAACTGGAAGGAGTGAGGAGGTCGGAGCCTGGATTGCTGCTGCTCGAGACAAAAATCAGAAAATTCAAATCAGACTACGCAAATTTAAAAGTTCAGTTTTGGTTAAATCACTGCAGTAGAAAGAGTTTGTTTTTCTTCTTCATTGAAAAGTTGTTGGATTGACCAAAGACCAAGGTTTCCATCCTTAAAGATAACAGCTAGAAGCTTCTTTAACTGCTCGGACCGGAGGATCCGAGCATCTGTTCAGTCTTTGTATTTGGCAAACCGGTGAAGTCTGCAGCTTTGGTATGAAAAGCACTGAGCCGACCGTAAACACTTGATGTTTGGTTTGTCGTTTGTGTTTATGTTTCCTTCAGGGGAATGGCAGCGTGTCTCTGCAGAGGGAGGGATCAGGCAGCAAGGACACGTTAAATAAATGATGCTTATTGTTTATGTTTTGGTTGTTTAAAAAGAGATTCCTGGTTAGTATCTGGACGGTTTAAAACATAGAAGAAGACAAAGGACTGTAAGCACGCAGAGGAGAAAAGACGAGCTGTTTTTGTTCCTGAAGAGGCGTCATTACTCTCTGTCTCTGCGAGGTCGTTTCTATTTCACAGGAGGAGCTTCAGACTTTTACTGAATGAAACTTTGATTTTAATTTCTGGGAAATCAGCGAGTTTTTAATTTGCAGGCCCTAAAACTCCCACAGAAATCACAGGCGTGGCAGCACAACTTACTGACATCATTCTTCTCGTCTGTGTTTCAGATATATTAAATGACAACCTTGAAGCAATTATTTCCACACAGAAGAATCTCACATATTTTTGACTAGACCTCACGTCACTCATTCTAATTTCTTTCCTCTGGACAGCAACGCTCAAAATCCTGCATCAGAGATCCCACCTCTGAAAAAAAAAGACATGACAACCTGCTTTAACTTTAAAGAAAAAAGAAAAGAGTCTAAATGAAACACACATGCTCAATTTTCCATCCGATTCAAGAAGCACTCAGACAAAAGCCAGGAGAAAACGAGTCATGCCACGCATAATGCCGAACAGTTTGTAAAGGCTCCGAATCGAACCCTCGAGGCACGTCCGATGATGATGATGATGAAGAGTTTGTGCAAAGAGAGGTTTATCAGGACCGATCAGTCTGGAGGTCAGACCGGTCCGCAGAGGCAGAGAGGATCTTTGTCCATCAAATAGAGTCACTCAGTTTTTATCTCAGTGTTTGGTTGAGACATCACTTCTGTCTTCCTCCTCCTCCTCTTCTCTCCTCTCTGTGAAACAGGTACCAGACGCCTGAGTGTGACGGAGCGGCACGATCTCGAGTCTCAGATACTGAAGATCCTTTCCAAGGCAGAGACCTGACAGGTCTGACTCTCCTTTAGTCTCATCTCTTACTGCTGAATGTGTTTGTTTGCTCCTGTGGACTTTCCTCTTATTGCCAATTTGACAGATTTCCAAAAAGAATTAGAAGTAATTTTCGACACAAACTGCTCTTGTTTTTATGACAGAAGTAACAAATAACAGACGCCCAATATCTGACCTCTGACCTTTAATTTTGCAGCGGATTCAGCTGAGGACATTTAGCTGTTCACGCCTTTATCAGCTCTGTGAAATCACTCATAATCCACCGTATACTGAGTTCTCTTACAGGATGTTTTCAGGGCTGATAAGAACTGAATACAAACATAGTTAATTAATCTAGTTAGTTAATTAAACTAACTAGATTAACACTGAATCGTTTCATTAGGTACACAGCTAATTTGTTTGACTTGCTTCCTTTTCAGAGTTATTTTCAAGCACATCTTCTGTTTATCTAGGGCTGGGCGATTTTTTTAAGATTTTGAGTAATCTCATAATTTCTTAAATTACTCAGGATCAATCCCAGTTTGTTTAAAATTCCATCATTTTGCATTTTATAAACGTTTTAAGTTTATATGAACAATGAAAAGTGATTCTCATCAGTGTTTTGATTTAGGACTCAAAAAAATGAAATGAAACGTACTCTAGGATCTCAACTTGTAGGTTTATTTTGAGCTAACAAGCTGCTAACTCGCCAACCGGCAGTTTCCTTCAGTTAAACACCAAGTTCTTTCTTCTCAGTCGTCGTTTATGTTGATTGTTGAACGAGTTTGTATAATTATAACAAACATATCAGTAAATTAATCTGCTCAAATACGGGTAAATATTTTAGACATCTCGTTTGGTCATTTGGTCAGGTAAAAGTTCATTTTTTAGACTTGCTTTCTTTTCAGAGTTATTTTTAAGTAGGGCTGGAAAATATGTCCTCAAATCAATATCACGATATATTGATCCGTTCACTTCGATAACGATAAATGGACGATAACTACTCCACAAGCTGCTCACCCCCTCCCACATTAACTTCATCTACTTCAACTCCAACTTCTGAACCGTCCTCCATCTCCTCACCTGTCTTTCCCTCTTTGGATGGGGTGGAGTCACGTCTCTGACATAGGACAGTGTCTTAAAGGGACACGAGACCATAGCCTACCTACACACATCCAAAACAAACTTGGATTTATTAAATTTTTTGACACCAAATATAAATTTCAGTATCGGTAAATTTTCGGTTTATCGCCTAGCCCTATTTTCAAGCACATTTTCTCACAGTTGAATCTGCTTTTCTAACTTTTACCTTCACCTGATTTTGGTTTGAGGATTTTAAAAAGGCACATCATGAATCTCACTAAACTAAAGGTCATAACCCCGGCGGCTCGTAGTCCTTGTCTGTCCGTCCGTCTTACTGCTCACTTACTTTTGTTGCTCTTCTGTTTCCCCATCATTTAAGCTCGCATTGTAACTCTTATTTAATTCCCCATCTGGTGAGTTTACAGAGTCGAGCATGACTCCTGACTGTGCAGCAGATGTGTGGCATGTTTTATGGAAGGTGTGAGTGTTGCGGGGTGCGGTGGAGGTGGATGGAGGCGGGGAGGCTGTGGGGGGCTGTAGGGGGGTGTTGGAAACCGCAGGGCGCTGAGTGGAGATATTTTTATGTACTGTAGAGGGATGTTCTGAAGCGCCACAACAAAGCACAATACTCCACAGTCGTCACATCAAGAGAGGAGCGTGAATGAGGGCAGTGTATCGAACAGCGTGCAGCTACAGGTTCAATCCCACTGTACACACAGACACACACAATAGCATCTCTGTGAGGGGGGGCAGATAAGAACTGCTCCACCGAGACCGCAGACTGGGATCTGACGACTTCAAGTTAGGTCAGGTCAGGAGCTGGATCTTCTCGGTTTGAAACTTGGATTTAAAAACACTTGGTCTCATCGAGTCGATCAGAAATCTGTTGTAAAGATTTTTTGGTTTGTCCTGTCCTGAACTAACTTCACGGAGCCTCAAACTCCGTCTCAGATTCGACCGCAGCGTCCTTGATCACTTCTGAGCGCTCGCAGCTAAATTTAACTCAGCGGTGGAAATATTTGTTCTGCGGTAACAGTAAACTGCACCACACTTTCCGCATCCATGAGGCAGCGAAGGCCTGAGCAATGTTAAATTGGCCATCTGTTCTTTTCATTGGACTGTATGGAGCCGGCTAACTGCACAGGTGTGATACACATTCTCCTACGCAGACGCTTAATGTGCCGCCGTACGAGCAAAAACTGAATGCTGTGGGCACAGAAACAGGACCAGAACAAGAAGAAAAGGGACTGATATGTCGTGGGTTTCAGGACGATGGAAAGCGATGACCCAATTCCTATAAGCCGAGTTTTAGTCTATGTTCACACTGCAGGTCAATTCTGATTTTTTAACCATATGTGACACATCCGAATTGTGAATCATAACCTGCAGTGTGAACATAGACTAAGGGTTAGTCTCTAGAGTTTGCATCGTCGAGTCGAGTCCTAAAAATAGATGTGTGCGATTTGTAAAATGTATTTAGGGTCACATGTGCGCATAAAAATATCAGCCGAGGCGACAAATGTGTTTTCATGTAAATACGGCGGTGAAGTTAGTTTCAGGTTGGGTATTTGACGGACATTCACTGCGGATCTACCGGTGTCTTCTCACTCTCCATAACCGGGGAATAGTGTGGTTAAATCTACTCAGCACCCTCGCTGTCAACGTCGAGTGTTGAATAAGGGACCGTCAATAAATTACCGTCACTCTGCTGTGCTGTGAGGTAGTTAGTGGGTGAAGATTATCGTGAGGTCGCTGCGCCATCTACAGGATAAGTTGGGGAATTTTTCAAATGGCGGAACATTTTTGAAGTGAAACCGAATCTTATTCTCCGCATCTTATTTCTGAAAATATCGTTGAAATTCCGCGACTTTTGGCCGATTACCGATTAGTCTCAAACGAGCTAAAATTGGCCGATTTAATCTGCTTGACGATAAATCGGTCGGGCCTTCGTACTGAGGTCGGACAGTAAGACACATCTCTTAATTTCCCTAATTTGTCCTCTAAAACGTTTTTGTGTTAAATTTAAAGGCAACTTTTAACATTTCCTTCAATAGCTTCCATGTCATGTGACCAATTGACCTAAAATTGATTTCAAATCATAGTACTTATGTTGACCAATAAGACGAACATCATTCGATCAATTCTCACTGTGCCCCTAAAGTTCTTTGTGTGCTCCTTGTGAAAAAAGTTAGTGTCGAGCCCTGCACTCACGGCTCCAGCTCGTGTTTTCAAACGACCTTGTTTAATGAAAAGCTTAAAAACGGATAAGATTCAAGTGGTCCCGCACAGTCAGAGGTCCCGCACCACGCTGCCCCTCACACCCGGCCGCAAAGGCAGCATAAACCTCAACAGTTTGAGCTTCACAACACCCCAATTTAACACTTGGATTAAGGCGCAGCAAGGCAGAGCTCTCCGGGCTTGTCGTGTCGTAGGAAACGCTAATTGGATTCACCTGGCGGGGGCAGCGGACCACCTCCCACAGAACCCCTTTAGAGCCGTCACAAAGAGAGCGAGGAGGAGGAGAGGGAAAGAAGGAGAGAGTGAAAGAAAAAAAAGAATGAGAAGATTAGTTTACTGCGCAGCTGCGTTTGAAGTTTTCCTTTAAGAGACACAATTAGGAGGGAAAAATTTGCACTGGCTTAGCGTGCTCTTAAAGCCATACATCTGGGCAATTAAAAAGAGCTACCCAAGGTGTTCAGCATCGTGTCATAAAAGTTAACAGGTCTGCACAGCTCAACAAAACTCTCTCATCACCGCACACTTCTGTTCCACCTCTCGCCATGTGCCTCTCGCGGCCTGCTTTTCTGGAGGAGACTCACAAAAACAGCCGGACGGAGTCTGAGAGCCGTTTTCACATGAACTCTGATGATTCATCCGTGATCGTAAACATGAACCGCTTAACACGCTCGCACTATGTTTGTCATTAGGTCCCTGACGCAGTCTGCATGCCTACTTCTCTGTGAAACAGCCGTGTCGTGTTGTGTCGTGTTGTGGGTCAGTCACTTCAGCCTCACTCCACTGTAATGACTCAAATTAGCACTGGAAGCTAATTCTGCTGTATTTTCTTGTCTCTGATTTACACCAGGCTGCCCAGAGGGGAAGAAAGTGGAATTCATTACAAGCTTGTTAGATGCCCTCACCACAGACATGGTGCAAGCCATAAACTCACCAGCCCCCTCTGGTGGTGGGAGGTAAGTGCAACCTCAACCCCAGAGACATTACATGGAAAATATCCACCTCCTCTGGTTTTTATCAAACGATCAGTTCCTCTAGTTCATCCAGTCAAACCTCATATTTCTTCTCTGACATGTATTACATGGATCTTGGCAGTTATTGACGAGGTTTACGGTTCACTTTCCACCACTGTGGACCTAAATACACTGATGGGACTGAGAGGTATTTTGGACCGCGGTTCTCCATAGCATGGGATACGTCAATGCACACCGAGTTTATCATCCTCATAGAAGCTGGAAAGAGCCGAGCAGATTGATTACAGAGAATATAATGGCAGGATGTGTTGTAATAAGATAAACTGTGAGTGTGTGTGTGATAAAAACAAGCAGGTGACGTATGAACATGGAAAACATGTGAATCTACAGAATCCCTGGGAGGCAGGAGAGGAGTAACCCTCCGAGCATACACTTCATCAGTCTGATCCTCCTGACTGTTCGGAGACGTTTGGCCAGTTTAATATTTTTATTAAAACAGCGGCGGCGTATTTTTCTACCCGATCAAACTGACAGCAGTGCATAGATATAGAGCGTATAGATTGTTTCACATGCTAAATTTGATATAATTATAAAAAATGAGATCGGATGTGCTCGATCATGTTAATTTAGGCACTGCTGCTTCATTCAAATACCCATAAAATATTGTACTGCGAGCGCTAACTGTATTACTCTGACTTCATAGCGGTGGTCTTTATTGCTGTTTGCCAGACATCATAAAACTGAGGCTAAACGAAGGAGACGTAGCGGACTGCGAGCAAACTAGCTGAAGCGGCCCTCAGAGATGACTCAGCACTTTAAAAAAAAAACGATGTTTAAGCGAACTGTCCTGTTTACGGTTTTAATCCATTTTTGTGATTTAAGATCAACCAGAAGTCCAAAATTTCAGAATAAAAGCGTAGTCTGATCTGACAGCGCAGGAAGTAAAGGCTGGACGGTATGGGAAAAAGTTTATGAAGATATATTTTTTTCATATCAGTAAATATCGATATATATCACGATATAAAAAAAACTACTTATCACTCTTAAATGAAATTCAACAGTGTTTATTGGTAGCATGTCTTGCAATACAATAAGCCACTCCATCTGTGAGGTCTTGTTTTGTTGTAAGATGTTACGCTAGAGTAAGCAGACTGAATGGTCGATTTGGCACGGCGTGGACCCTGAGCAACTCCCCTTTTCATTGGCTATTTGTAAAGTCTCCCAAATCATGGCTGAATGCCGACTATTGAAAAGCATATTGACCATGTTTCATATCAATATCGAGGGAAAATCTTTTTTTGTATATATCATTATCATTTTATCGCCCAGCCCTAACAGCAACCTAAACACAAGACAGAGAAATTTCAAAATAAAAGCGTGACAGTGATGTCTTCTCCAGAGGAGTTTCAGTCATAGGGCTGATGATTAATCATTCATTTGAATATTATAAGACATAAATAAGTGAGTTTATAAAGTCATGTGTTGCTCCAGGCTTGTCTTGCCTTTTCTAAATTTGACTGATTGTTGCGATAATACTGTTTTTTAATATTTTAGGACAATAACAATAATAAGATGAAAGTCTGGTATTGTCACAACGTTAAATTATATGATAACTTTACATGATAAATAGATGTAAACTGACTGAGACACAAAGTTAAGATCGTGAATCAAACTGATTTAAAAATGCCTGTTCCCGTTCTTAACCATAAATTGCTCAATATCCCGTTAACTGTTAACATCTTTGTTTTATTTTATTCCCTTCAGTGAATCAGGGTGAATAAAAAACTAAAATCAGGAACAAGAATGCTTCTTTGGATCACGTTACTTTTTTTAATTTGTGAAAGCAGGTGGGAAAAATTGTTCTGGCATGTTATTTTTTCTCCCAGATGCATTTTCCCAGAATAATTAAGTTGTTGTTGTTGAAATAATCATTTGGCCACGAGACGCCAAAGTGCGGCGTTAACACTTCCTCTGACTGGAATACACTCATGCTTTCTCTTCCAGGTGAGTCTAAATCGTTTCATGCACCATAAACACAGAAACTTTAACCGGGTGTTTTTGGATCCGGGAACATTTTCATCCTGAAGTCATGAGGATCAAACTCAGAACATCTGAGAGCGGTATAATGTTTCGTTGGCTGCTCTCTTTGAGTTTTCACATCACCTCTCTCTCTGTCTGACCTGATCCAGGTTTGTTGAGCCTGATCCCAGCCACACTCTGGAGGAGAGGGTGGTGCACTGGTACTTCGCCCAGCTGGATAACAACGGCAGCCACGACATCACCAAGAAGGAGCTCAAACCGTTTAAGAGGTACCTGAAGAAGAAAGCCAAACCCAAGAAATGCGCCCGCAAGTTCACCGACTACTGTGACCTGAATAAGGACAGAGCCATCTCCCTGCAGGAGCTGAAAGGCTGCCTGGGCGTCAGCAAAGAGGGTAAGAGGAAAGGTAGACCAGGTCTGGGCTAAGCTGACTTGACTGGCAGGCCTGCGCACCTTGGGAATTTCCCCTAATGGGGCTAATAAAGGAGTATCTTATCTAGGCTAACGGCTAAATTCCACAGGATACAGAACAGTTGCGCCCTGCTCCGGAACGGCAGCTTGATCAAATATGCAAGCATTAGAATCAATGTGCGTGATTCCACACAATTCGTCCGCCACCCGGCTCCGCTGCGGTCGGATCAGAGACCCAAGGCTTCTATTTTTGCTGGACGCCACAGCACAGCCCATCAATTCAGTGTAGCAAAGCACGAGCGGCAGCGGAAGTTGTATGCAGTTACAGAGTAAAATATCCAATTAGTTTTCAAAACAAAATGAAGTCAATACAGCAGCGTAGTGGTGTAGCAGTTAGCACTGTCGCCTCACAGCAAGAAGGTCCTGGGTTTGAATCAAGGTCAGGGCGTTTCTGTCTGGAGTTTGCATGTTTTCTGTGTGTCTGCGTGGGTTTACTCCGGGAACTCCGGTTTCCTCCCACATCCCAAAAACATGCAGTAGTAGGGTTAGGTTAACTGGCCACTTTCAGATTGCCCGTGGGTGTGAATGTGAGCGTGGATGGTTGTTCGTCTCTATATGTCAGCCCTGCGATGAACTGGCGACTTGTCCAGGGTGTCCCCTGCCTTCGCCCGAAGATGCTGGGATAGGTACCAGCCCCCCCACAACCCCGGGAACAGGCATAGGGGGTAGAAAATGGATGGATAAAGTCAATACGTTGAACTGTTCTTCACGTGACAATAGGAGGGGCCAGAGTTGAGCAATGTGGGTGTTTATGTACACCCCCGATCTCATTCAATGTCTCACGGGGAAACACGCAAGATCTCGTGATATCTCGTCCAGTCTCATGAGAAGTTCTGGTAATATCCCAAGGGCTTCTCCTCGTTTGTGGCAGCGGATCAGATGTGGTGGGCACTGTATGCTTGTGTTTTTGATCCGCCTGCCATTCCTGAGTGGAGCGTAGCAGATCTGCATGTGATGGAATCCCGATGTAAAAGGTCGTCTCTGGTCGACTGAAGGTTCCGTTGAGTCAGCATGACCAATATGGCGACTGCTGCTATTAGGGTTAAAGAAAGGACTTTTCTGAATCTCATGGTTCATTTAAAAATCAGACACAAAATCAATAGTTCTGCAAAAACTTTGGTATGTGCATCAGCTAGATTTGTTTTCCAAACATTGGTCTTGGTGTCAACACTTCCTCAGACTTTTACATGTACAGAGTGTTCTGTACCCTCATTGGTCAACATCACCGGCAGGAGGGTTTACATTGCAAAAATCAGAAAGAAACTCAAACATGCTGATAAGGGGTCATGACGCGTCCCAGACACAAATACACAGAAGAGAAAAAACGGTTTCCCAGAACTAGACTCATAATGTGAAGTCTGACCTCAACATCCAGTCATGAGTCTGAACCTCAGGAGAAATCAGGTCAGATTACAGAAGTTGGAAAAAATTAAACTCATTGTTTAGCACATTTTTTAAAAGTACTGATAGTGTCAGATTTGTATTTTGAAGTCCATAAAAGTCCCTCTGATGTTAGAAGGTCAGATGAACCAAAGACCTGCACCTGTACAGGCCGGTCTTGGATCATACACTGAAAATTTGAGGCCAAATTTGAAGGCGATGGTTGAAGCGATTTACTGGAGCAATCTCATGATGGTTCATTCTTTGGGAATTAAATATTTTAAAATAAGGGGGTCATAGATTTTATTCTTACTTTTATTAATTTTTTTAATAATCACATAAATCTACAGAACCTTTTATCTATTCCCTCATGAGTTTGACAGAAATATTCGTGACGTCATGGTTTTTAAAAAGCGGAGTGAGTCAGAGGTTTAAAAGGAGGAGATGGTGTAACTCTGGAGCGTGTAACAAACAGACGTGTCGACAGTCTAAATTAGGGCCACTGCTTGAATAAGCAGTCACTGATGAATATAGAGAGAGCAGACTAATGTATAAATGGATCATCGTCACAGTCTGGGCCAAAGAAAACCGACGACTCATGGTGACTGTGGACTGGTCCTTTTAAAGGGATCATTTAAAACCGTCAGAGTGAGAGGACGCCGCCGCCAGGTTCATTACTCATGACACACAGATCATGTTTGTTGGCTTTTTACTTTAGACACAAAATATGTGATGGTGTTAAAACGATGCAGTGGAGTGGTGATGATTTATGTTGTGAAGGATTTTTTTTTGTTTAATGTCAAATATTTTTTATTTTTAAGTTAAATTTTTGTGTTTTTGTTTTTTTTTTTTTCTGCAGGAAGTTCAACGACAAGTGGCAACCAAGGGACAAGGCAAGGGACAAAGTTGTTCAGTAAGGCCAACTAATACGCTTTCACTAACTCTGCTGCTGCTGGCTGCTGTCACTGCTTCTCACTGGCACAACTGTGTAACACATTAACATGCACATGGGTTATAAATGCAGCACTGGGACAGCTGGGAGGACACGCAGCCTGATGACTGGGCAACATTTGATTCACATGCAGAGCTTTATGTATATTCAGGAGTGTGTGAGTGTGTGTGTGTTCAAGGCTGAGGTGATGTGACGCAGCAGCTCTCAGGCTCAGTGGTGGATGTGACAGACAGCAGGTGTCCTGATCCACCTCTGGGGAGAATCAGGGGGAACTTTGTTTACACTTTACCACTGCAAAGCCTCCAGATGGCACTTTGTTTACATTTGCAACACCAGAACCGGAACTATCTCTCCTAACAGGGCTTTAGATACGATTGATCCTCATTTCGAGATATTGGAGCTGCACAATTTCGGCCAAAATTAAAACCCTGATTTTTTTCCCTAAAAACCTGATTTTCAATTTCGATTTTTTTATTCAGTGACAACTTCACCAAACTTCCCGTTAATAAAAAGTTTTTCTATCATCTCTCAGGACAAAACAAATGAAAATGATGTAGTGCATATGCCAAGTCAGTAAGCTGCACAGGAAATGCACCAAAGACAGAAGAAGAGTACAGACATGGCCAGACATGCGCAGGCGCCATGAAAGTCGTTTACAGATTGATGCACTCTCTGACCCGTTTTAAAAAAGTACAGTTTAAGGTCATTGGAAATCGATCAAAGTTTATTTTACGCTGTTTCGGTGTGGATGAAACGCCGATACGACAAAAACTATAGTGTTTCCCCCTAAATTAGTTCCCGTGTGGACGGGTTGATACCGCCTTCAGACAGACTTTGCAGCACGGAGTGGTTTGCTCTTCTTCCGAAACTGTGAAGTCGTACCAATTCAACACGACTGACTCGCTCTTGTCCTATTTAACCACGAAATTATCGCCTTCTTTTGCAAACACCATGTTTGTTCACACTGGTGTTTGTGGGAACTGGGGAGGAAGGATGAGTCTACGGTGGCCTGGAGGCGCGAGACATGATGGAGAGGAAAATTAATTTGATAGATCACCATCGTCAATAATTTCTCCATAATTTATTCCTTATATTTATATTATATTGTTGCACTGTTTATACTGTTATGCTGCTTATATTGTTATTTTGTAAATCGAGAGTATTTAAGATTACATTAATACTTTAATAGTTTTATTTTTATAGTTTATTCTTCTGCACCGTGGGTCTGAGAGGACTGAAATTTCATCTGTTCTGGATGTTTAACATGTTTAACATATTTGACAATAAAGTTGACTTTGACTTTGATTAAATAATCCAATAACGATTTAAAACCGATTAACTGTGCAGCCCTATAACTTTGAGGTAAACAGTGTCTCTCAATCCCAGAAATCTCATATTTTGCTTCAGTCTGAGTTTTCCTCCGACCGTCAGTCCAACACATCATGATATTGAGTTTGGTGTTTCACAGACTGGCAGCGGTCCTCACATTGAAAATGCAGGAATCAGGGGAAATTTATTTCGCCCAGATTTGTGTGGAAATGTGTAATCTGCTGTAAAATAGCTGCGGATCGTTTTTCGGTTAAAGCCACTAATCCGTTCAGCCTCGAACTTTGACGACTGTGACCGCGAGAACCGGGTCCAGAGAGTCTGAAGTTACAAGTGTCTCATAGATATTGTCTGTTCGAATCGCCTCTCACTGAGTGATTATTGGTCCTGTCGGTGCTGTTGACTCTGGCCACTGGGCTGATTTAGCGCCACATAGTTCTGAAGTCATGTGTTTACCCTGGCGCTGCTGCCCCCCCGGTGCCTGGAGAACAGTGGCTCTGTGGGCATAACGTCAGGCCTCATGGGTCCTGGGCACCGCTGCCAGAATAAACAGGAGCAGAGAGAGAGAGAGAGGCTCGGCCAGTCAGCGAATCTCTCACCTTCATGCTTAAGAGCTGGGAGTAAACGGCCTGACAGTTTTATACGGCTCCTTCTGCTGCCACTCAGACGCTGTGAGCTGGTGATGGTTGTGGAGAGAGTGAGGTATGGACAGAGAGAGAAACAGAGAGAGAGGCTGGAGGAACATATGGCAGCATTCTGCTTTGACTAAGATAGACGCCCATTGTGTTCAGGTATGCCTTGCTGATCCTCAGTGGCCTGGATCTCTTTAAGTCGAGCTGCTTTTGCGGGGCATTAAATCTTCGGATGCTCTGTCGCAGCTTTGGATGGTCACTGGAGTGTTAGTGGACGTATTTACAGTTTACGGTGCGTGCCTTCTGGTGGAGGGTTGGGAGCAGAGCGGAGCACATCTGTACGAGGCTCCTCACTCTATCGCAAAAGAAAACATCTGAATCCCTTCTGTGAGCTCTGACGGAGGGAGTACGGTGGCATCGGTCCTCTACGGAGAGTGGAAACCTTATTTTGGATGAAAAATGCTGGAGTAGCCTGAGGCGGTTATTTTCAGACAGCTCCAGCATCGCTGTATTACTCACTCACTCACTCACTCACTCACGGCAACAAACAACACGCGAAAATATTTCTCCGTTCAAGTTCTTGCGCTGAGGTTTGGCAGCAGAGTTCATGATGTTTTGCTCAAAAGTCTTAATTCCGTTTAAAAAGACATAAACATTGTACTTGAATAAGTACTAACACATGTATGAAGGCTGGCCGCGCTCACAAAAACACCCCAAACATGTGCGAGGCCAAGAGTAAAAGATTAGAGGACCTACTGGGAGGACTTCAGGGATGAACACAACCTGTGCAGACATGAAAAGGTCGTAAAAGGTCATCTGAAAGGACAACCTCTGATTGGTCAACAGGCCCAAACAAAGATGGCAGCCCTCTACTATTTCACTCAGATTCACACCTAAACCAGCACAGACCAGATCCAGACAGTCTGTAAAATACTCTGGTATGTTCTGAGGGTAAGAAAAGACCCTGAATGCTGCAGAAACTGTTCGTCAAAGTTGTGAAGAGGAGCCAATTCTGCAGGTGCAGAAGAGGTTCACCTGATCATCACTGCAGCAGAGAGCATGTGCAGTGAATTCACTCAGGACTGAGAGAGATATCATGAGCAGGTTACAACATAGGGCTGGGCGATATGGCCTCAAACCAATATCACGATATATTGATCAGTTCACCTCTATAACGATAAATGGATGATAACTGCTCCACAAGCTGCTCACCCCCTCCTGGGAGAGTGGGAGGGGACGAGTCGGAATTACGGAAAAGAGGTGTGTCGAATACAGCGAGGTGATTGGATGGAGAGGCAGAGCAGGAGATTGACCAATACGAGCTGTCTGGGACGGATGGCTGCCATTGGTCAGTGTTTTTGCAGCCCTGCACCTGATAGGGTGAACGGATTTTCTCTGTTCTTTTTTCTCTTCACTTTGTGGAGATCGCACTATAGGACCATGATCGCCATAGAAACAAGGTTCACAATAATCACCAATCTCTCCAACTGTCAATCATGCCTTCAAAGGGACATGAGACCATAGCCTACCTACACACATCCAAAACAAACTTTGATTTATCTATTTTTTAGACATGCGCAAAATGACGTCAGTTATTGTCGTAAATTTCAGTATTGGTAAATTTTCGGTTTATCGCCCAGCCCTATTACAACAGCTCATGTTTGGTGCAGGCAGGGAGAGCATCAGCAAAGACCTCCATGGAATCGTTATGAGCTTGTTCATCTTGTGATCCAGAAACTCAGATAGCAGCGCCGAACAAACCAATATCAGGGATGCTGATAGCTTACATGTCTGAATCAGAGGTTTGAAGAGTTGGTGAACTCGTGCTGGATGCGTCCATGTCAAACTCTCCTCTTCTTATGTGTCCTTCCTCCTGTTTGTCCTGGCTGTGTCCGTCATTAGGCAGGAATGAAAGGAGGGCATTATGAGGCAGGTCTGGCACAGATGCTGCAGGACCATTAGAGAGCCCAGAACCCTGTCCCCTCCGAGCCAACAGCAATTACTCCTCAGCACTCGTGTTTTAATTACTGTGACATCAGCTCGACAAAGCGTACACCGTAAAAACAGCAGAGGTCAACAGAGAGGCTTGTGATGGTTAGTTAACTTTGATTTGCTCTCCATCACCACCTGCTGCTCCCGTGGGTTTTCACTTTTTAGAGGCTGACAGACTCGGACTCAAACTCGATTTTTTATCTTCTTAGCAAAGTCCTGAGCCGCGACCACGTACAGGTATACCATGATTCCCAGCTCCCCGGCCAAGTGTCTTTATCGGCCGGTCCCAGGTGAGGTGAGACGATTCTCCATTAGACAGGATCTGCTTTCAGTTCTTTATCACAAGTGGGGCCAAGGTGTCCAGAGAGAGGCCTGGGGGCTTTGTGTTGTTAATGGCACAGACAGTGTCCTCAGTGACTGGGAGGAGAGGAGGGAGACGAGCATTCGCTGCTCTGGAGCCGAGTAATTGCAAAGCCGATTCATCAGCGCCGAGGCTCGGCTTCTGACAACAGAGACTTTTATCTGAGCTAAAGACAGGAACAGCATGACTTCACTGGAACGGTCCATCAGGAAAGAAAGTGGTACTGCATAGTTTAACAGGTGGAACATGCCCCTAATGCTGCCAAGGAAAAGGTCACCGAGGCTGAATGTACAAAACGCTGCAGCTTTAGCTCCCGAGTGTTCCCCTCCTCCATGGAGTCTGCTTTAAAAGACGGCGGAGAGGTCGAACCGCAATAGATAACAGCTGGCCTGAAGTCGACGCCAGTTAAGACAAAAGTTAAAAATGTGAAAACATGCAGCGTGCCAGCCTGCGATGCTCAGAAACTCGCCAATTCCCAAGGAAGTATCAACATGAGGTGGTGTGTTGTTCCAGGAAACAGCGTCTTTTAGACTCCTGGCACGTTAGAATATTTATGTGGTATGAATAAGAAAGTTTGTGTTTTGAAGATCTTATCTCTGTCAGATTTACTTTAAATTTCACAAAACAGTTCAAGCAGCTTCAGGTCATTTATTAGAGCAACAAGGAAATCCATGAATCTATAAACATGGCTGACTGGATGTTTTTTTTCTCTGGAAACTCGATTTTCAATTTTGATTTTCTATTCAGTAACAACTTCACCAAACTTCACTTTAATAAAAGTTTTTCTATCCTCTCTCAAAACAAAACAGCTGAAAACAATGTAGTGCATATGCCAAGCCAGTAAGTGGCGCTGTAACGCTGCACAGGAAATGCACAAAAGACAGAAGAAGAGTACGGATCATGTGTATAAAGGTTATTTTGTCTGGACACGTACAGGCGCCATAAAAGAGTTAAGCTGTGTCGTTTCCAGAGATACAGATAGACATCCACATGGAGGTGAAATGGTCGTCTTTCATGGATTCATACACTCTGTGACCCGTTTTTAAAAAGTACCGATTACAGTCACCTGAAACGCCATTTTTCCGTGTGGATGAAATGCAGATTTGACCGCTTTCATACAGACTTTGTGGCAGGGAGTGGTTTGCTGTTCGTCCGAAACTGTGAAGTCGTACCAATTCCACTGGACTGACTCGCTCTTGTCCTATTTAGCCACAAAATCATTGCCTTCTTTTGCAAACGCCATGCTTGTTTACACTGGTGAATGTACGATTTTAATTTTTAACATTGCATAATTAAATAATCTGATCACGATTAAAATTCGATTAATCCTGCAGCCCTACAACAGCTCTGTTATAAAAGCTTTCCACCTTTTAAACGGATTTGGTTTAAGGGCTAAAATCACTGTTCCCTGTGTCCTAGTCGTAGAGGCGTTAGGTCGCCATAATATTTTATTTGATGCACTCAAAGTATAGGTGAGAACATTCACTGCCAGACTCGTTCATGTGGACGGTAACCTTTAGATTTATGGAGCACAGGAGGGATTGTGACGCTTTAAAGTCTGAGCTGAAAACCCGACTGTGGAGCGAAGGCACGGTCTGGGTCTGAAGAAGCTTCCAGATTGTGTAGCGATACGAGTCGGACTTGTATATCACGGCTGACATGAGCGGCACTGACAGACTGAGCACCTGTACATCCTTACCTCTCTGAGCACGCTCACTAACACACCCATAACCTCATGTGGGTCAGAGGAGAGTCCAGATACACACATGCAGACCTACTGTGCGTACACAAAGTTATTGTACAGACACACCATATGGACAGATGCAACTTCAGAGGGCACAAACACACAAAGGAGACACACACACACTCTTTCTCTCACACAGCCTGAGCTCTCACAGGGTTCAGGAGGACCTCTGCTCCCCTCTGACAGACATCTGTAAGCAATCTCAGCTTTTTTACCCATCTCCTCTTCTCCCAGGCCTCTCCTTCCTTCCTTCCTTTCTTCTCTTCCCTCTCTTTCTCTCTCTCTCTCTCTCCCCCTTCACCCACTCGTCTGATTGATGAGCGAGCCGTCCATCCCTTGTGCAGACTGTCCCATGCAGTTTGAGCACAATATAACTTCAGAGACCTGTTGAGTTACGGCTTTGTTGCAACATAACGTCAGCACATGTGATGGCGGGGTTTGGCTGTAGGTGGGAAACAGCTGCTTAGAAGTAGAGTTGTCCTTGGTAACTATTGACTATCCATCTTGCTTGGCTGGATAAGAAATGTAGTCATAAAAAGCTTAGAGGCCAAACAGAGTGTGTCTGAGTAAGCTGGTGAATTAACACTTGACCCGAGTCATGTATGTGGACACTAACCAGCAGGAAGAACCAAAGGCTGGTTAGCATCACTTTGAAAACATAGCCAAGCTGCTGCTAGCTCAGCTTAGGTTTCTGCATTGGTAATTATAAAATACAACACAAGAACTTTATTTATCCCATAAAGGGTCATTCATTGGTCTGTAATCTCAGATAAACCAGATTATGACTGACCCGCCCATCGGTGCTAAAGTAGCTTCTATGACGTTAGCATACAGCAGATTTGTGGTTTTCTTTTCTCTGGTAGGACAGTTAAGGAACTGTGGAAATCCAAACAGGTGAGAGGAGAGGGTAACATGGTTGAAGTCTCCTGATATTATAACAAGTGCCTCAGGATGTTGAGTTTGTATCCGAGCAACTGTATCATAGAGAACATCACACGGAACTTCAGCCGTTGCCTTGGGTGGGATGTAAACAAGTACTGTCGTGGTATGGCATAAAGGTATTAGTTATAATGATGGTAACTATAAAGGGAGTCAGGTTTTGGGTAGAGGATTCGTCTTCTTCTAGAGGTCAAGTTTAAAGGGATATTCCGGCATCAAATTAAGGTAGTTAACTTAGTTATGTCACTTCTCAACTCGGTGATCGACTCGTCAGGGCTCCCCAACAAACAAGCGTCTGCTGGAAGAGAGTAGGTGAGTTGTGTTTGGTCTTTTTGCTAAAGAAATTAGTCAAAGTTAAAAAGATGTTTGGTGTCTAGTACTATGTCTGTGACCCTATATGTCCTGTTGATGAAGTTAGGTGCTGTTCTGAGCATTATTTGTGGCGTTTTGGTTGAGGTTTACACGTGGAGACGTAGAACGCTCTGTATTACTATCCTACGGTCGTTACTAAAGTTGGTATAACTAGAGAAGCAAGCGGTCGGCAACATTCATCTCTGGAGGGGGGGTCTATCTCGGTGTTACAGTGTGTTTGACGCTAACTTAATTTTACGCCGGAATATCTCTTTAACACCAACATAGTCTGAAGATGACCTAGGTTTCAAGCGTCTTACAAGTTATTGGACAGTCTTTTGCTGATTGGATAACTAACAACACCACTTTATAAAATTAATATCACTGTTTCCATGTTTTGTTTTTTTAAAATAAGTGTCTGTGAGTCTGTCCGAGTGGAGCATCGTCTCGTCACGCTGCAGCTACGTGTGAGTGCATCTGCATGCTGAATACTAAAACAGATGAGTGAATACATTTCTTTTTTTTCTCTTTTTCGGTCTGTCTTTCTTTCTGTTCCCAGTAGGTCGTCTGGTGTGAGAAGAGAAGGGTCCAGAAGCTGAGACGAGAGCAGAGGGCACAGAGGGAAGGCATCTGTACGCTTGCTGACAGGAAAAAGAAAGATGGAGCAGAAAAATTTGAAAGTTCCTGAGTCTTAAAAAAAAAAAAAAGAAGAAAAAAAAAAAACAGAACCGAAGCGGCGCCAAAATATTTGCACTTTCTCCTCCCTATGTTTGACATTGTATCTGTTTTTTGTGTGTTGATTGTTCTCTCCTTGAGTGACTGAAAAGGTGGAGGTAAGAGTGAAAATGTGTTTGTAAAAAAAGATGAAACACCACTGGAAGATCGCGCGTCCCCTCATGTTTAGTCTGCTTTTGTGATTCAGACACTAACACGCATTTTGTGACTTAAATATTAAATTTACATCTCCCCTGTTACATACAGCAGCACACAGGCCGGTGTTAACCCGCCAGAAAGGAGCTGAAATTGAGTCTCGTTCACCTGAATATAAGTCAAAGGTCATGACAGAGGACCGTGGCTGTGACGACTTTAAACACAAGTGTAGTTTTCCTGTGTGTCCGTGGCATGTATTAGAATTTAAGTCTAACTTATCAGCACAGGATTAGCCGTCTAAATCCCCTTGCACTGTTCGGAACTTCCTGTATCCACTAACATTTGATCGAGGAATCAGATTTTTGGGAACGAGGTCTGAAAGGTTTTAAGTTCAGTTGTTCAGTAAAACGAGTCGTGGAAAGTGAAAGGTGAATTTTTCCTGGTAAAGGTGTTTCCTTCTGTGCAGAGACTTCATACTGTGTGCAGTTTACAAACAGTTTATTCTCTTTTCATGATACCCAGAAGCAAATAAGACCGATTATTCGTTTATCGTCATTTCGAAGAACTGAAACTAGGGCTGTGCGAATTTGGCCAAAACTAAAATATTTTTTTTTCACTGAAAACTTGATTTTTTATTCAGTGACCAAACTTCACAAGTTTTTCTATCATCTCTCAAAACAAAACCACTAAAAGCGATGTAGTGCATATGCCGAGCCAGTAAGTGGCGCTGTAACGCTGCTCAGGAAATGCACAAAAGACAAAAGAAGAGTACAGGCGCCATAAAAGTCATTTACAGATTTATGCGCACTCTGACCTGTTTTCAAAAAGTACCTTTACAGTCGCCGGAAACGCCGTTTGTGTTACAACAGAAAACTTTAGCGTTTACCCCTAAATTCATTTCTGTTCTGGTTCTCTGTCGTACACCGAGGGGAACCTTAAAATGGACTTAAACACACGTTTGAGAGAAAGAAAACAGTTTTTTTACGGTAAAGTAAGTGGATGAGTCAAAGTGGACACGAAACAGGAGCTTCTTAAAAGAGGTCGGTGACAAAGTGGTGACTAAGGATGAGTAAGGTTGAACGTTTGTGGGATTTTCCAGGAAAATATTGTTGGGAAACTTTCAGATTTTTAGTAGCAGCTGTTTGTTAAGTCGAGCTCTACTTCTGTGGTAAATTAGTTAATAAGACGAGTTTAATTAGTGAGAGTAAAGGTCATTCTCCACGCAATCAAACCTGGAGAGAGGCTGAAGAGTCCGGCGATCGCAGCCCCCCCGTGACAAACTGCACCAATCCCCAACAAAGACCCCCTGGTGGGGATTTTATTTTTCCAAAACAGCCTGAAGAGTTTAAAATAAAGAAGAGGTGACACAGATGACTAAAGCTGAGCCGTAAACACCGATGTTTCCATCGCTCAGGAGCCCGTTAACATCGGCTCATTTCTGCCGTCATATTCACGTCTATCCGAGGTATTCCAAACACCGTGTGGCATTTACAAAAGCCGGCTCCTAGAGTAAATATTTGAGTCTCCTCCGTAATATCAGAGCACATTTTGTGTATGTAAACACATTCATCGTCTGTAATCCAACAGTTGATGTCAGTATTGCTCTGCGAAACTCTTACCACCACACACGCACTTGGAGCGTCGCCACCGTATGTAAGACGACGCACTGAGTCTTATAAAAGACCCCCGAGGGCGCCCCCGGTTAGCGAGCGAGCAGGGAGGAGAAAACACCCGGAAAAAAAAAATGTTTTGCAATGTAAAAAATATCGATTTTTCTGGAGAATGGCGAGTTAGGTCTTGTGGTCGGAGTGCTTGTGTAATTGTTTTGAGTTATGTGTTCCCAAGAGCCGCTGCAGTGGCTCCGACAAAAGGCTCCTATTGTAAATATGTACAATAACCTTTATTTGATTGTTTGTTTTACTAAAAGTCATTGTGAGGCGTTTGGCTGTTCACTCTCTTCTCTGTCTGTCTGTTCTGGATCGTTGTTGTAAAAACTATACTGTGTTCACACATCATGTCATACATTAGGATGTTACAGTAGCTAATTCACAGACTTTAAAATGCTTAGACCAGACTGGAAGTTATCAGCTCTGAGCACTGTTTATTTTATCTGTGGTGGAGTTATTTGACTATTTCAGCTCGTGTTTTACGATTCCTGCCGTCATCACTGTACACGGTCAAGAATGTATACAGTTCCTGGTGCTTAATCCGCTACAATCACAAGTCCAGTCATGTCTAATTTGAGCCGGACGCCCGTGCCAAGACGGAGAAAAGAAACGTCTCTTTCTGCAGCCTCTCTCTCTCTCCTGAGTGCCTGCCTGCTTTAGTCCGGGGTTTGAACACTGGGCTTGTGTGTCTGCTGAAGTGCTTCCAGACGCCGCAGAGCTTGCAGATCACATGAGAGATGTGAAACAGCCTAACAGGCTAGTAATCACTGCTAATCACGACGAGAGGGGGGACGTATAGCGAGATGACTGTCAGTCCGTCAGGGAGAAGCACAGATTGTCTGGCTGCTCGGAGGAACTCTTTTTTTTCCACAGCAGGCGTGTCGAGACACTCTCGCAGTGTTTTGACAATATTTCTTATTCATAGCTGGAGAAATCAGATCTCCTGGAAAACAAAACACTGAGACATGCTGCTGCTGCTGCCTGTGGGTGATATTGCTCAATGTAAATGATGAGGCTTGAGGTGCAGCTGTTTGGCCGAGCGATGAGAATGCTTTTCTACTTTAGCGGAGGCCCGACTTCCTGACACTGAGAAAGTTTCCCCGAGTTTACCAAGTGCACCCTGGCACACGGCGGTAGTTTACCCCTGGCACCTATCGACACAAATTTACTGAAGGTCTGTGGATGTTCATATTTTTAACTATTAAGATAAACTCATTAATTTCAGCCCCTAAAGCACCAAAATCTCTGATCCGTCTCTTGCTGAAGTTCAGGACCGCTCTGCTTTTATCCGACTGTGCTGACTCATGAAAGTAACGCCGCTCATTTCAGGGTCAAAGGTCGCATGGATCCTGATTCCCTGAGCTCTGACAGGAACATTCATTGCTGTTTCATTTGTCCATGTGGTGTTATGATGCCGTGAAACTGAAACCACATTTGAGAAAATCCTGATGCTGTTTTTTTGAAACTCTGCTCACTTTAACCTTTCTGAATGGAAAACCGTTTAAAGCTGCGACAGGAGACAAGGAGCTCAATACTGACCCCTACTGGTACAGACTGCTCAGTACAACCAACCTGAAGGCACGAGGAGTTTATACAGACTTTACAGTAACAACGAAGCCTATTGATTATCATGAACTGTTAATAAACACTTTTACAGAACTACTCCTCGCACTTTTCTGATTCTTTTTTAAGACCTGAACCCTGTCGGAGACACGCCTCTGAAATCCTGAGGGCCGTTTAGAGAAGGGCCCCAGATCCTGAGGTTTACAAAAAAGCTGATATCTCAGCCTCTGTAGCAGGTAGAAAGAAAATTCAAAAAGTATTTGAGAGCTTACAAGTGTGGCTTTCAAGATAACCTTCTTTACATTATTGAAAACCTTGAACAAACAAACTCAAATGAAATAAAAGTAAAGACTCTGCACTGAAGAATAACAAACTATTTTCTTTCTGTAAAACAAGTGGCAGTCATGATAAAGTGTCTGTTCAACACGAATGTAAATATAAAAAATAAAGTGTTGAAAGGGTAAACAGCTGCCATAGTATAGTGCCAGTACAAAAGCAGAACTAAAAACTAAACTAAATAAATAAATAAATAAGTGTCTGACAGTGTGTTCATCTCCGCGCTCACCCAAAGTCATGAACACTCACAGAAAACGCTGATAGTGTGAGACAATGACCTCATTATGAAGAGGTTGTTCACACTGCTGGATGTTTCTCTCTCTGCCTCCATCATTGTCTACTTTACTCATGAAACACCTAGCAAGGTCCAAGCTTAAATCCGATCGCTTTATTAGCCTATCAGAGGCAGACAGGTATAATGATTTGATTCGCCACAACTGTAAAAATGACTGAAAAACTACAAAATGTTACAAAATGACATATCCACGCTCCCGGCTTGAAGAGTGGACATGCAGCGGCGCCGCCAGCTTGGAAGGTAGAAATGCGTTCTGCTTTGGATCAAATTGGTTAAATGTCACTATTAAATCTCTAAAAAATGAAAAATAAAACTGATGACCGTTGATGAATTATTAAAAAAAAAAAAATGCTTTGACTTTGACTTTTAAGTTTCTAATTTCAGTTTTTTTTTTGTTTGCAAAAAGAGAAATGTTTATCAAAGGTTTATTTTAAAAACTGATGTATTAGCTGTAGCTGCACTTCAACAGTTAATTATATTTAATTTATGAAACAGTTTTTAATAATGTAAAATAATTCTAACTGCAGTTTTATTAATGGAACTGAATGACTGAAATCAAGTGTACTGTATGATCTCTACGTCCAGTGATTCCCGGTTAATATAACTGCATTTGTTCCTATAAAATACAGGGTTTCTATTTTATTTTTTAAAAAGTTAAGAAGTTTAAGAAGTGTTTTTTTTTAATATTGAAATGAAGGTCGGGTGAATAAACAACTAATATCAAAATAAGCTGAGCAGGTTTGACTCATTTAAAACGTCTAAATCTGATATTTAAAAAAAAAAACATGTTTATTGGGATGAAAAACGATCAGATTTGATGACCTGTTTGATTTAATGATACGACTGTTTTTGTGCGTGTGGAGTGAGATACTTTGATTTACTGATGAGACTTCAAAGGTGCGGATGTTTTGTTGGTGCATGATGGGAGGAGGGGGTTGGGGGTTTAAGGGTGAGGTTGCCAGTGATGGGGGAGGCAGAGAGGGGAGAATCACAGATGAAACTGGAGCCAAGAGGCAGCTGCAGTACATCTGTCTTGGACTGACACATGTGGCATTTGACTTCCAGTGTGAAGTTCAAAAGAGTTTTATAATGACGCAGCTGCTTGGAGATGTGTGTGTGTGCACGTTTGAGTGTGTGTGTGTGTTTTCTGCTTTGTTGTAGGTGGGGTGGAGGGTGGGCGGGCTGCCAGAGGGGTTTCATAGGTGAGGACTGGAATTTGGGGTTTAGAAAGTGACGTGTGGGCAGTCCAGGTGACCTCTTTTCTAACATGCTGCACCCACTACACTCTTAGATGAGGACGATCCAAACTATCATTCACTAAAAAAAATCCACATTTCTGCGAGCGACGCAGGACTCCTCCTCTGTGAGCATTGAAACACTTAGGGAACACATCAGAAACACCATTACAGGTAATTGGAGAGGGCCATTAGCCGGCGCGATAGCTAAACATTAACGGTGGGGGGATGATGGCGCTCGCTGTTCGCCATTTGTGCCTGCAGCAGCACCTGCCCAGCAGCCTGAGATCAGGGTCAGAGGGGTTCCCTACCAGGAGGCCAGGGCTCAAGGGTCAGAGGTCACGTCCCAGACAGGCGTATCCACACGCTTATTGAGCTCTCAGCTGCAGGAACAGATTTTGCAGGTGGAGGACGTATTTTACCGTCAATGCTAACAAGATTCTGCTTTTTTTTGTGCTAAAACGAACAGATTAAAGACTCGTGTGAAAAATAGTCTCAGTTTTTGTGGTGGAGATTTTAAATGAAACACAGAACGACAAGCAGCGGGCCACAGTTTGCTCAGACGGCATTCAGATCATTCTCAGCGGTCAAAAACAACAAGGATAAGTGGGATGTTTCTCAACTCGGGTCCATTGTTTGAATATATTTTGGGGTCTGGCTGAAAAACCGGTCTGAAAGATTTATAGAGGAATGCTTCAGCCCGCAGCTCTGAGACCGGCTGTAATTGCCGACTGTGAAATAAATCTGAAAAATGATGCGCTCGATCAAAAGTACGTGGATTTAAAACACCGATTATTAAACTCAGAGTGTGACCACAGGACGAAACCCCTGCAGCAGTCCCTGATTTAGACACACAGGACTCTAAATACAACAATCCAAGACCCCCACAGTCCAAACCAGACCCAACAAGGTGAACAAGGGCGGCTTCTTAAGCTGAGGCATCCCGTCACCCTTACTTTTTATTACTTTGTGATAAGGAAAACTGTCACTGGGGCAAACCAAGGCATCAACTGGCAGATTTAGACTTTGCAGATGATTTGGCGTCATTAGCCACGCCCACGCCCACAACAACCTGCATGAGCAAGGAGCAAAAGTCGGTCTACGTAGAAGCCAAGAAAAGACCAAGGCCATGACCGTCGCACATCATCGACACCTTCCACCACTCACCATCGGCGAACAGGACATAGATCGTCGAGAACTTCACAAACCTCGGAAGCAACATCTCAAATATCAGAGACAGGGAGAAAGACGTACGGACCAGAACTGGCAAAGAACATCTGGTCGTCGAAATCCATCATCATGGCCACAAAGCTACGCCTCATCCCTACAGCGACCTACGCCTGTGAGACGTGGACAAAGACCACCATTACCAACAAGTTGGATGTCTTCCATCGACGGCGTCTCAGATCCATCCTTAAGATATCATGGAGAGACCACATCACCGATGAAGAGGTGATGAAAAGGACAGGTGTAGCACCTTTGTCCGACATCGTCTCTGACAGGAGAAAGAGAAAGACCGGACATGAACTCTGACCGCCAAGAGAGAGACCGGCAAGTGTGACAGCCAAGGAAGACCTGAGCGAGACGGGAGTCAGCTGGCGTGGAGCAAGAAGGGTCGCTAAGGCCCGGAGCAAATGAAGGGGACTCGTCGCCCAATGTTCCAACAGGAACCGGAGGAACTAAGTCTATGTCAGTAAGTCTTAAGCGGCGGATCTTCTCAGAGCTGAGCGTCCCAATATTAATAACGAAGACTGTGTCAATTAAGAGGACTGCACGCTAAGATAGAGGGGCATTAAATTCAGTCATTACATCTCATACTTGGGATTTTTGTGTAGTTTGGAGAATAATACAAAGTTGTAAAAGTATTTTTAAAAAACAGTCTTTATTGTGTTTTTCAGGGACACTGTTTTATGGGAGCTCTTTAGTTTCTGCCGTCAATAAAACCCCGGAACGATCCCACGAGAGTCGGTGCCGTGTCGGATTTGGAAATGATCTGTTTCTCATCCCCTCAAGACCTCAGGAGCCAATTAATATTTATCTGTGAATATTCCACAAAGATTTAATGATAACGATTATTTTCAGGCGCACGGATGATGATGTGGTTTGGGTCAAATCTGAGGAACGTTTCCTCACCCGACACACTGACTGAACTCATCCTTTTGTTTCTGAGCTTTTATATATTTGGCTCGTTCGACTCGACAGTAAAAACGCACGTTTGGAGGCAGATGTGTTATGGTTTCATTTAATCGCTATAACTTGTTTTTTACAAGTGGAAATGTGCACACAAATCTCTCTTCATATATATTACAGGAACCAGCGAGCAAATAATAAAAACACGCTGTTATTGGTGTCGGTCAGCCTTTCAGAAAAAAACTGGATCAGAGTAAATGTCAGTGATCCATGTGAGGAAATAAAGACGTGCGGGACGTGCCAGTAATGACAGGGAGATTATTCAGCAGAAGTTTAACTGGAAAAACAGTAAAACTGAAATAATGAGGTGTGTGTACAATCCAGGGAAAAAGAGCGAGAAACTCAAGACCGGCTTCTGCTCATGAGAGTTAGTCCTCAAACCAGATTAGATCATGTTAATGAAATAAGACAGAAGCACTAACAATTTCATCCCTAAATACATTCAATTCTGCCACAATAAAAATTTATATTTAAATTTTAAAAATGCTCCGGTGTAAATGTTAAAAAGACAGCGCTTCCTTTTTTAAGATGGATTGAGCAAAACGATCAACTTCACAGAGAGTGGCGGGTTGAAAAAGTGCAACAGCAGCAAAATACTTTAACATTTTTTTTTGCTAACTTTGGTTTCAGCAATGTGCAGTTTTTATGCAGCTGTGTAGCTCTTCACCTGCAGTCTTTTTAATCAAAACCAGGACTCCATTAGGTTTATTCTCTCAATAGTAAACCATCTTTCTCTGCGTTTTCTAATCCTCTTGATAATAGGGCTGGGCGATATGGCCTCAAATCAATATCACGATATATTGATCAGTTCACCTCGATAACGATAAATGGACGATAACTACTCCACAAGCTGCTCACCCCCTCCCACATTAACTTTCTCTCCGTCCTCCATCTCCTCACCTGTCTTTCCCTCTTTGTTATGGACTGGATGGGGCGGAGTCAAGTCTCTGACGAATATCACATTGAATATATTGACATGGGCAAAATGACGATGGCTATTGTCATAAATTTCGGTTTCAGTAAATTTTCGATTTATCGCCCAGCCCTACTTGATAAAGTCCACTAACAGTGAAAACCCACTCTGTAGTTTATACTGGGGTAAGGGTCTCACTAAAGTCCAGGATGGTGACGTGAAGTGATAAAAGTGGGTCTTATAAAACCAGATTTTATGATAATTCTCGTTTTTAAGTTTTTCTGATCTTCTGTCACTTCTAAAAAAACACTCAAGTGTTGTCTTACGAAAACTGTTAACGCAGGTGTTGTTGACGTAAACGTCTCTTTTTAAGTTCCTAGAAAGTCGTTTCAAGATGCGAGGTTTCCAGACACTCCTAAATGTTCTGTTTCAGTGAAGATCATCACAGCACAGCCACAACACGCCGCTGGAGCACGTGCTAACTAAATGCCAACCAAATGGAAATGAGTCCAGTGAAGCGCTGACCTGGGAACAGTTGTGTCATCATGACTAAAGCTTTAGTGAAGATACTGAACTGATCCCTCATCAGTCAGAACTCAGCATGTGGATCAGCTGGTCCCTGAGAGGCAGAGGAGGCCTGAGGCTGCCATTCTGTCAGGACTGCCCCAAATTCACCAGCTGAGTGTGACTTTATCACTGGACTCTCTGCTCCAGAGTGTGTGTGACAGTGTGTGAAAGTGTGTGTGAAAGTGTGTGTGTGTTTCCAGCAGTGGTGTGTTCCCTCAAGTCAATCCTCAAACTCAGAGATGCAATGAAGACAGAATCAGCTTATAGGAGTCGGGAACAGAGGTGAGCTCTGTGTTTATTAAAATATGTTGAAGAGTAGATTTCATTATTGAATCTTCTCTTTCTGTTAAAAACTCTAAATATGTTTTTATGTTTTATGTTTAGATTAATCAGGGTTTGTTTGAGATGCTCTCAGTCAAAACTTGAGTTTTTTTCATCTTTGTATATCAGTAATAGTCTTTAGACTGAAGTTAACGTCTCTTTTCTAAGTATTTCATGTGTGAACTGTAAACACTTAAAGAGCTGCCAGAACATTTTTACGAGCTGTTCTCCACTTCTCTGTTATCCGTCCGTTTTTTTCTTCGTCCCTCTTTTGATTGATATTCCGGGAAAGACGAGCAAGTCTGCTTTACTCCAGGGTGCCGGTGAGTCCACGTTATCGGACTGTCTGATCGGTTAATAATGTCTGTTTACTGAGCGCAGCATTAATGTATGACGGACTACCATAAAAGTCTCAGATGAAAAATATTGATCTTCAGAGGAAGTGAAATGTAGCACATGTCTATATAAATGTTATTGATAACAATCTCATTACTTATCTAATTGACTTTAAACATGGATGTTAATTTGAGAAACGATCCTCAAAACTTTTAAAGTCTTGTCGCTAATGGTCTTGTTTGCTTTTGTATATAATTTATTAATAAATTTATATGAATCTCTGCGTCATTCGTAACTGTCAAAAAACTCCTAACAGGAGCTTTAAATTTACGATCATGTCTTTCCATGTAAGACTAGCTGTACATACAAAAACAGTAAAACTTCTCACCACTGTGTGGCACCAGTGAGCCACCAACTGACTTGTTAAGTTAACACTGTCAATTTTTTAATTCAGTGACAACTTCACCAAACTTCACTTTAAAAAATAAAACATTTTTCTATCATCTCTCAAAACTAAACCACTAAAACAATGCAGTGCCTATGCCAAGCCAGTAAGTGGCGCTGTAGGGAAATGTAAAAAAGACAGAGGAGTACAGAGTATGTGTATAAAGGTTGTTCCACACGACTGACTCACTCTTGTCCTATTAAGCCACAAAGTTATCGCCTTCTTTTGCAAACGCCATGTTTGTTTACACTGGTGTGTGTGGGAACTGGGGAGCGCTAAAGCAGGAAATGGGGGCCTATGGTGGCCTGGAGGCGCGAGGCATGATAGAGAGGAGAATCGATTTGACAATTTACATTTTTAAACATCATCATGATTAAATAATCCGATTACGATTTAAAATCAATGTTTGGATTAAATCTTTTGATGGATCTGGGTCGTGGGACTCTTCTGGACTATCATCAGGTTTTATTCTACCATTTACCTCTGATAACTTACTCCTGATTAAATACACCGTGGAAATAATGAAGAGGGATTTCACAGAACATACACAAGTCTCCTTTCTCTCTTAAACACAGGTGGATTGTCGTCACATGTAAATGAAGACAGTTCTGATCTGCTGTACATCTCAGAGCGACCTCCATCAATCCGTCTTCGTTTGGATATTTGACCGCAGAGGAAGTCAGAGGACGATAAATGCACCAACGTCTAGAGAGAGCGCTTCACAGACTCACCTGAAAAAATGGCGTCCAAAGAGGTTTGTTTGTCTTAGTCATGTCTGACTTTGGGGGAACTAACACTCACTTGAGGTAATTAAAACTCTGCGCTGCCAGTGTGTTAAAGTTGTGCTGCTCCTGCCATCCTTGACCTTTGCTAACAGTCACAGGATTTGTTATCTTGGGAGGTCAAAGGTTAGAGAAAGAGTTGAAGTCTGCAGAAGGGATGTTTCTGCGCAGCGGTTTATTCATGAACGGCCATACTGCATTAAAGAATACATGAGACCTTTCCAGAGAAGCTGCACGGTAAAACACTGAAAGCCACTAACCTCGATTCTGTTACAGAGCCGTCTGACAGCCACGCTCCTGACCTCCATCCTGGCCGCCGTGCTCGGCTCCCTGCAGATCGGATACCACACGGGCAACGTTAACGCTCCAGCCAAGGTGAGCCAGACAAGCAGGATCTGAGGGGGAGAGAGAGAGTGTGGTGTTATAGATGTAGATCTGAAAACAATAGACAGTTTTCATAGTTTGTACGAGCAAAAATCCACAAATGTTCAAATCTGCAGACTAAAAAAGTCAAAGCAGTCTCACAGCAGACAGCTAACCACGTTGACACTCAGTACCGGACCTGTATCACCAGATAGAGGTGCTGGAAACCCGTCAGATAAATGAACAAATATCTCACAGCCTCGATAAAACACTGAATAAACTTTACAATCTCCTGAAAGTCTCCGGCTCAGGTTCAGGCCTGGCAGGGTCTGGATTTTTCACAGGTACAAGTGAGACGGATCGTCTTTATTCACACCAGCAGAGATAGATGTTCTTGTTCTCTTTGTGCAGTAAGAGCATTCAGACGTCTTTGCTTGGTTCACTTTCTGATTGGGGAAACTAAAGGTCACCTAAAGCGTCTTTGGTTTTCTGATGGTTGTCTTTCACTCTTTAAACCGCTTAGATCATTGAGGAGTTCTTCAATCACACCTGGAGAGCCAGGCACAACGAGTCGATGCCAGAACACAGCCTGACTCTGCTGTGGTCGCTCTCCGTCAGCATTAAAGACTTCGGAGCTCTCCTGGGCTCACTGGGTGTCAAATATCTGGCTGATTCTCATGGAAGGTAAAATAAAACAATTTTTTTTTAATAACCACTTTGATTTTGGTTTCTTCTCCTGAATCATTTCTCGAGTTTCCCCTCCAGACGAAACTCCATCCTCATAGTGAACTGTCTCTCCATGGTGGGAGCGTGTCTCATGGCTGCCTCCAAAGTCTGCCAGTCTTTCGAGGTGCTCATCCTAGGCCGGTTGGTTTTCGGTCTCTTCTGCGGCCTTGTGATGAGTCTGAATCCCCTCTACATCCAGGAGGTGTCCCCCACAAACCTGAGAGGGGCTTTCGCTACGCTCAACCAGGTGTCCTTCGCCTCAGGCATCCTGCTGGGAATGGTGAGGACAGAGTCGTGGGTCAAAGGTCAGATCCTGGCTGGTTTGTTGCCTTGATGACTACCAAAGCCTCTGTTTTTTGTCTGCTGCAGGTGGCAGGTCTGGAGACAGTGTTGGGCACAGAGCATAACTGGGCCATGATGCTGTCCCTGTCCCTAATCCCGGCCTTTGCGCAGTATCTGGTCCTACCTTTCTGTCCCGAGAGTCCTCGCTACCTGCTCATCAACCGGGGGGAGGAGGACAAAGCAGAGGCTGGTGGGTCAAGTTTGGATTTGAGGCGTTAAAATTGAAAATATAAAGCTGATCAGAAGATTTGGCTTTCTGAAGTAGTTTGCTGTATGATCCAGCAGAGGGTGCTTTTGTCGTAACCTGACCATTGCATACCACCCTTGACTTCCGTACATTAATAAAGTGAAAAAAGAGGTCAAGACTGGTGAATAATAGTCATTGGGCAGGGGAGGTTGCCAGTTGTGGTGGTGGTTCCTCCAAGTATGATCACTGTCGGTGCCAAAAACAAACAAGGACGTCAAAACGACCCTGTTTTATCCTCGCAGCCCTGCAGAGACTTCGAGGCAGCGCGGACAAGGTGATCACTGAGCTGGATGAGATGAAGGAGGAGGCCGCTCACACTCAGACCGGGGTCACCATCCAGGAGTTCTTCAAGAAGCACAGATACAAGCAGCCAATCATCATCGTCCTTATTATCAACCTGGGCAGCCAGCTCTCCGGATTCAACGCGGTCAGTGATGAGTCTTGTCTTAACGTCATACCCGTATGACTCTGTGACTGATCATGATAGTGTTCTCAAAGTAACCCTTTCTTTCTGTCTGATAGATGTCTCCCTCTCTGAACTCTCATATTTATTTGATTAATTATTCAGGTTCAGCACCGCTCCGACATGTCTCTGCTCAGATTCTGGGGCAGTGTGTCAGGACACTATTCCTAAAACCACAGACAGCTGTCCCAGTAACCCACTTAGGCTAAAGAAACCTCTGCTCTTTTCTTCCAGATCATTAATTATTCCACCAGAATGTTCCAGGCCAAGTTTGACGAGGCCAAATACCTGACTCTGGGCGTGGGCGCTGTCAATGTGACCTTCACTCTGGTGGCAGTGAGTACAGACTCAAGCTGAAACCTTTACGTGTCGCTCAAATATCTGCTGTTTGACGTGAATTCAACAGTGTCCTACCCGATCATTTGTTAAAAAAGAAGAAACTGTAAAGAGTCTCAAGGGACCAGCTTTTAATGCCATTTAAGACACGAGTTTCTAACCCCGATTCCACCGCATCAGGAACGGCAACGAAAAGGCCGTTTGCGCCGATAACAGCTGATCGTTTCCATTTAAGTAAAAGTGTCAATTTCCACCTGCTTCTGTCCGTCCCCACTGTGGTTCAGCGGGCTTCGCAGCTGATCACTAGGGTTCTAATTTTTCTGGACGCCGCAGCATGCCGCATAAATTCAGCACAGATCAGTCCGTGCTGGGAAGGAGGTCGGGCACAGACACAAGATAAAACATCCGACTTCTTGGGGATCGTATTTCACACCATGGATGAAGAAGTGAAAGGTTTTCAGACGTCATTTCACCCCGATGACACCGTGGATGAGGAGATGCTGATTCTAGAAGTGGACTTCCTCCTCTGGAAGGACATGTGGCTGTCTTTACAGAGACAACTCGTTATTGAGCTATTGCATGTGAATCCTTGGGTTCTTGTGAGTTCTTGCAATTCCCGCTGTCCGAATCCGGACATCCGCATCCGGTAGCAATTGGCGGACGACGGAAATTACTGCCGTTCCAGATGAGGTGGAAATTGGGGGTAACAGAGGGGGATCTGGTCTGCGAGTACCTCACAGCTATAAACGCCACTGTCGGCTTGGCTTAACGACTAGGCAGGTAGCGATACAGGATAGTTATAGGAAGAGCTACACATCTGCACAAAAGCTGCACATTGCTGAACACAACAGACATCTCAAGATTTATCTCCTTTCTTTAAAGTTCTTCCTGATGGAGCGGGCAGGACGGAGGAAGCTGCTGTTGACTGGTTTCATCTCCATAGCTGTGTGTACCCTTCTGATGACCATCGTCGATTCGGTCCTGGTGAGATCGGCTTGAGATAGCCATTGTGGTTCATTTTAGGGGGCGATTATTGGAGGTTTCGAGTTGAGATCAAAACACCAACAAAGTACCTAAAGAGAAACCCCATCTATCTTTCTGCAGCACCTGGTCCCAGAGCTGAGGAGCCTGCAGGTCCTGCTGGTTTTCTGCCTGATTTCGGCCTACGAGCTGGGTCCTGGGCCCATCTCTTGGTTCATCGCTGCTGAGCTGTTCGACCAGCCCGGCAGACCCATCGCCATGGCTTTCACCAGCATGCTCAACTGGGGAGGGAAGTTTGTCCTGGCGCTGATCTTCCCTCCGTTACTGGTGGGTTCAAACTGTCCGCCTGTGCGCCGCATGAGCGAGAGAAACTTTGTTTGCTTTTGCAGATTCTCTGGCACCTTAGAGACTAGGCTGTTAAAGCCCGGCTGTAAATCAGTACAGTCAGTTAAATACTAAAGTTTACTGCACACTATAAAACTAATAAATCTTGTTAATGTAAAACGGGTCTAAATCTAAATCTAAAGCTGTAACCTCTAAAATAAGGTCAGAAATATTATTATTGTCATATTATTATTAACAAGGGAAACATCAGGTTACTGTAAAATCTAAACCCTCCCGTCTCTCTCCTCCGCTCACAGAAAGTCTGCGGTGCGTACGTCTACCTCCTCTTCATGACTGTGGCTCTGCTCGCCTTCACCTTCACCTGGATTCGCCTCCCGGAGACGAGAGGTCGTACGTTTGACGACATCGCAGAGGAGTTCAGAGGAGCAGAGGGGATTCCTTTAAACAATAAGACTGGATTTAACACTTTCACCTGACCAACCCTATCATAGTTACTGCATTCAGTCAATAACAAACTCTTAAAGGGTCATTTCACTCAATTTACATGAAGCCGATAATTGGAGAATAGATCGGCTAATTTATAAATCTGATATATCATGTTCTTATTTTTGATTGTTTTGTTCTGTGCATTTTTCAACATATTTATTTAATTTTCTTAGAATAGAAAAAAGTGATTATTACAATTCAGAATCAGGAGAGTCTCTTTAAGATAACGGCAGTGAGATCAGGTCCAAGACGGTCCAGATTGAGCTGCCAGACTTTGTAAAACTGATCTGCACCAGCTCAGAAATAATTTTACATCATCAGTAATGATCTGTTATTTCTGTCAGCAAAAGTCTGAATATCATTTAATCTTTGATCAGCTGCAGTGATCATGTTCATACTAAGGAGACACAAAACTAGAGACATGAGATTTTCAGGGATGTGAGTTCACTGTGGGCAAAGTTTGGTTGTGTATCAGAATTTCAATTACAATATTCTTTTAAAAATATAACAGCTGTTTTTCATTTGTTGTGTGTCTAAATGAGTTTGTCTACAGGACTGGATATGTCTGGTTTCATTTCAGTGTGTGTGTGTGTGTGTGTGTGTGTGTCCCATTATCAATAAATCTGCCCCCCAAATTTTGGATCTGTGCCGAACAAAAACCAGCAGGCCTCCAGTTCAGTATTTGTCTGTGAAGCCTCAGAAATGTCTGAACTGTTCACATTTACAAGAAAGACGTCTGTGAAAGGCAACTACGGCGTGTAAGTTGATATTTGATCAAACCTGATCTGCTCTGAGAACTGTGGAGGAACTGGAGAGGATGAGTTTCAGTTTTCAAACACTAGAGGGCAGACTTACATTATAGTAGAAAGGACCGCACGGGTTCATTTAAATTTAACAGTCTGTGTTTTAACCTTAGTCAGCGGCTGAACAGTGTTTTCTTTTTGTTTCACTTGACCAGAGATTAATATGAAAACAGGGACATCTACTGGACAAAATGAGGAGGAGAAGATGTTTAAAATCACACAGCTCAACACAACAAGTCACATAGATCGACGGGTGTCATGATAACAGATTTTTTTAACTTAAATATACAACCACATAAGAAATCAGTCCGTCTCAGTGAAGGACTTATGCTGCAGCAACAAAAACCTCGAGTCAGGGCTGTTAAAAAGTGTAGTTGTCTTAAACACGATCAAGTTTTCCAACTGTGGCTTTTCACCAGAGTTAGGTCCTTTTTATCACTGAGTAACTTTTAGTCCAGGTCTACCATCCCTTTTTTGTGCTTTTTTAAGCTTTAAGCGCTGTTTGGATAAGGAGGAAAGAAAACCAGGTGTGTGTCCTGGTATGACTGCAGATCCAGGAGGCTGATGACCAGCAGGGGGGGCCCAGGTACAACTCTGAGTCCTATTTAGAGACGTGACGCTGCAAGGATACACATACAGTCTTGTAAAAACTTCTTAGTTGTGTCTCTTCCGTCTGTGTAGAAACGTGGACATTATCATCATGAGACAGTGTCTCCATGTTCTGTCATTCTTCATCCTGTGGACTACAGGTAATTCACAATCAAGCCGGACTCGACTGACTTTAATTTGAAGCTCTGATTAGATTTCTATCTGATATTTCTTTCTGTCTGTCTGTTTTGCTGCACAGCACCAGTTGATGGAGGAGGATCTGTCATGCAGAGAGACTCGCTGATGAAACCTCAGGGTGACGATGCGACAATAAGCTGCAAACACACCATGGGGAACCAGTTCTTCTACATGCACTGGTTCAGACTGCTACCTGGACAAAGTCTGGAACTCATCGTGTCCACGTCCCACGCCAACAAAAACAAACCTAATTTTTTTGGAAACTTCAGCAGGGAGAAATTCTCCACAACAAAGCCCGACCTGGAGAACGGGACCTTCACAGTGAAGAACCTGGAGCCAGGAGATACAGGCTCGTATTTCTGTGCCGTGGGCAGCCACAGTGACACAGAGGTGAGAGGGAGCCGAACAAAAACCTGACAAGGCTGAGAGGAAAACCTGCAGGGTTTTGTTCCCACCAGCAGGGGGAGACAACCCTCAACAAATCGAGACGACCCCTCAGTGACCTCTCTCCGGTACCACCTGTGTTCATTAAACGCTGCATACAGGATGCAGAGCTGAGCAGACGGGACCGGGGAGGACGGCTGACAGGAAGGTTTAAAATCTTAAGTAAACATGATTTATAATATTTTCATTTTCTGTCTCCTCCTCCTGTCAGGAATCAGAGGTGAGAATCACTTTCAAACTTCACAGCTGATCACTTCTGTCCTCTAATTTGTGTCTTCTCCTTTTTCTTTAGGCGACTCCGACACCAAGACTGTCAAGCAAGAGCCAGAGTCCCTCATGAAGAAGATCGGTGAATCGGTCATTAGTGAGATTAACTGTTCGCACAGAATCACGAACTACGATGTGATTCTCTGGTACAAACAGGACAAGCACAGAGGTCTGAAGCTTCTGGGATATCTGAATAATCGCTTTCCCAATCCTGAGGACGACGTGAAGGGAAAAATCAACTTTGATGGAAACGGACGCAGTGACTCCAGACTGAACATCACCAATCTGTCTTTGGATGACAGCGGCATGTATTTCTGTGCTGCCAGTCGACACAGTGCTGCAGATCCTCCTGGAGTCGCGACAAAAACTCTCCTCAGTCTGTCTGCAGACACACGACGACAACACACTCATGAACACCTGCAGCCTCCACAACACAGAGAGAACTTTATCAACCGTTCACTGTTCACCTCATCTGACCCTAACCTTCACTTTACTCTGTCTGAATAAAGATGCAGCTAAACTCCAGATACTGGCTCTGTAACAACCTGTCCTACACTGTCTGTTAAATACCAACGCCGATGAAAATCATGTTTTCTTGTTGTCGACATGTTCATATGTTCATTTTTCTGATCCTACAGGACATATCATGAGAAAAATAAGTGTGAAATTACGTTTCTGTGAATCTCTGGCAGACCCAAACAGCAGGCTCAGACACGGTGAGATTTCTTATGTCACAAATCTAAGCTCCGCCCCTGCAGCCCTGCCATGAAGGCCAGACTCAGAGAAGTAGAGAGGACAACTGCAGAACAAGCATGTGTGTGTGCTAGTGGGTTGTGATTCTCGTAAGAAAGCTGATTATGATATCATCATCATTTTCTCCAAGGTTTGGTTTTGCCCTGATGAAACAAAAGTTACATTTTATAGAAAAACTGTTGAATTTGTGTGAAAAAATATAAATATATATGGCACTCAAATAAAGTTCTCAAATTCTCAAATAAAGGACTCGGCTTGCGACTGCTGTATCATCAGCCAAAACATAAAAAGCTGCTGGTAAAAACCTTGTAAACAACAGTCTGTCCCTTGGTTTTTCAGGCCCAGATGGATACGCACACAATTGAAAGTTAAAATACAAAAAAAAAAAAAAAATGACACGATTAAATTTAAGTCTAATCTTGGTACAAACAACATTTAGCACTTGAAATACACTGCAGAGATCTGGTACAAACATACATCTGCTGACAGGAAACAATCACGATTAGTTGTTGTCGATATTGTGTAACACTTCTTTGTATTAAATCTCCTTTGAAGTACTTTAGGGTTGTGTAGCAGCCGTTTTTGTTCTTGTATCAATAATCAGAAGTCTCAAACTGCTGCATTTTGGTCTGAAACTATAAAGACTTGAAGTGTTGCCCAGTGATCATCACTTCTGAACTGTAGGAGGAGCCACAGAACCAGTTATAGTCATATCTACATGAAGACACGTAGACCCTCCAGCTCTCTCTCCATGACTCCGTGTGCTCCAGACGAACATGGACACTTTCATGAAACTAAACCGCTTTATACTTTCAGTCTTTATTTTGTGGACTACAGGTAACTATCAACACAGCTCAACTTCTTCAGTCATGTTCTTGCTTTTATTCTAACTCTTAAACTGTTTTACAATCATACAGGTCGAACTAATGCAAGCGATGTTGACCAGACCGCCAGTCTGTGGAGAGTCAGTGGGGATAACGCAACAATTCACTGCAACCACTCAAAGGGTTCAGCCTACTACCAGATGTACTGGTACAGACAGCTGCCTGGACAAACCATGAAACCAATACTGAATATCTTCTCTAAAGACGGCGCTCAGTGTGAACCAAACATCAGCAAGGAAAAGTTTGGGGCGACCAAACCCGACGCTCACAAAGGAACGCTGACTGTGAGGAGTCTGCAGGCTGAAGATGGAGGCACGTATTTCTGCGCTGTCAGCGGAGCACAGCGATGCAGACTCAGGAGAGAGCTGAACAAAAACCTCAGAGCGCACCGCTGAGCTGTTACAGAAATCACCTGCTGTAGAGAGGGGCCTCAAGCACCACAGATACATCCAGACACAGTTTCAATCACCATGGGGACAAATTTCAACAACTTCACAACCTTTTTTAGTTGATTTGAATATATTTAGAAGTTAATAAAAGGATGAAAGGCAAAGTTTTAAAAGACCAAACTGCCAAAAAAAAGCTGACTGTGTGACGAATGCTTATGAAGATTTACAAAAAGCTTATGTGTTCCTAACTTTGAATATTCAGAAGCTCATTAAGAATTTAGGGGTGTATTAAAACTTTGTAAATAATGAGTTATTCTAAAACAGTAATATCACCCAGAGCACAGGAAAAAAACATAAAGGCGAGGATCTAAAGGTCCTCCTACAAAAGTTCAACAAGATTCTTTTATTATCTGTCTTTAGGCTACTAAGAATGTTGAAATCATAGCCATATTAAGTCACTGATGGTGTTCCCCAGGGTTCTGTTTTAAGACCCTTCCAGTTTATCTTTTTGGCCATATCTCACTGAAATTCAGCTTCCACTGTTTTTGCAAACTAATCTGAACAGTAACAGAAAACAAATAACAGGTGGACATTAATCAGGACTGATAAAAGTCCTTCATTAACTGATGGCGTTCCCCAGGGCTCTGTTTTAAGACCTTTCCAGTTTATCCTTTTGGCCATATCTCCCTGACATTAAGTTTCCACTGTTGTTGCAAACTAAACTAGCAGCACAGAAAATTAATAACAGGTGGACATTAAGCGGCACTGATAAATGTCTTTCAGTCACTGATGGTGTTCCCCAGGGTTCTATCCTAGGACCCTTGTTAATTTTCATAAGATGGCAGTAGAGCGTATCTGTGATGTGTACTGTCACAACAGGAAGAGGAAAATGCTCTATGACATTACCTCAAAGCTGGTTTCATTGGAGGGAGGGTTTTTCACACCAACAGAGAGGCTGAACGTTCACAGAAAAGAACTCTCTGCTGAATGAAAAGACGCTGAAAGGATTTTAAATCCTGAATTAAACACAACATGATGATCATCATCTTCTACATCGCCCTTAATGTCATAATAATTTCAGGTAATGTAGTTTAAACAGCTTTAAATGTGAAACTCATGCCACAAATTCCAGTATTTTTAAGTACTTTTACTGATGATTGTACTCTCTGTAATGTTTTTTCTCCACAGGTTCCTCTCTCAGCGACCAAGTCCATCAGATCCAGAGTGATATTTACGCCAAATCTGGAGAAGCAGTTGAAATACAGTGTGTACACAGCATTGCCAACTATGACCGAATCATGTGGTACCGACAAACAGAGGATGGGCAGCTGCACTACCTGGGATACATGGTTTCAACCCTCGGATATCCATCATCCGGACTGCAGATAAAAGGAAACGCAGCCGCAAACCAGACCTGCACATTAAGAATTGATAAAGTCGCCTTGAACAGCAGTGCAGTGTACTTCTGCGCTGCAAGCTACCACAGCACCACATTATCACTGCTCATCAGTACAATAACCTCCTCCTCCTCTACAGAACAGCCCACAGCCTCCGACACCTGGACGTATATCTGTCAGATCCTGGTGTGTTTATAAACAGACTTTACATGAAGTCTGAGGTTCACACCAGGGCTGATTGTTCCATTAAATCCTCCTGTCTCAGTTTAAACACCTTTCGAACCTTTCCTTCCTGTCTTTGTTTTCTTCTACCTGAGATACCAGCAGGCATGTAGGGCTGGGCGATGAACCAAAAATTTACCGCTATCAAAATTTATGACAATAACTGACATCATTTGATCATATCAATATATTCAGTGTCAAATAAATGAATAAATCAAAGTTGGTTTTAGATGTGTGTAGGTAGGCTATGGTCTCATGTCCCTTTAAGACGCTGTCCTACGTCAGAGACGTGACTCCACCCCATTCAGTCCGTAACAAAGAGGGAAAGACAGGTGAGGAGATGGAGGACGGTTCAGAAGTTGTAGCAGCTGAAGTAGACGAAGTTAATGTGGGAGGGGGTGAGCAGCTTGTGGAGTAGTTATCTTCTATTTATCGTTATCGAGGTGATCGATAAATCAGGATATTGATTTGAGGCCATATTGCCCAGCCCTACAGCAAAGTCTACAGTGTGGTGTCACTAACAAGGCCCTCAAGTTTAACCAGGTCAGCATGTTTTGAAAGAGAGTTTCAGTTTCATTCAGGAAATTCTCTGACTTACTTTGTTAATGTCGCATTAAGATACAGCTAACTTTACCCAACCAGTGTCTTTTATTTGATTCAATGAAACAGATTAAAAACAGCAGATGTTTAATCCTGAGTGGCAAACTAATCCAGAGGTAGAAAAACACTCAGATTTAACAACATTTTAATAAACTCACAGCCCTGACTTCTCAGCACCTCGGTACAGTTATTTAAATATTCTCCAGAGAGGTCATTTATTAAAAAAAAGCCGTGGTGAGGATATATGCAAAATTATTTCTGAGTAAAGTCCACAAAAAGACGGTTTGTTTTCATCCAAGAATGTTCTCCTCTAACCTCATACCTGTCCAAGTTTAAGAAATGCAATATCAGTCAGTCTGTAATCCTGTCTGTGGATCCCTCCTCCTCCTCCTCTTAAAGACCTTCAGTCAGCAGTCTCTGCGTCTCATTTGTCACCACAATGAATCCTCTCTTCATCACGTTAGCGGTTTCTTCTCTCTGGATTCAAGGTACGAGGGCTGAACTCTTTCACAGATGATTCTCACCATTAAAACAAAAAACTCTTGAACAGCTGATAATCCCTAAAAAACAGAGTGAACTTCAGATGTATTTGATGGTTATTAGCCTTCATACCTTCATTTTAGCCTTCTGAACAAACTTTTAAATACTTTTAATGTTTAATCTTGTATTTTATCCATACAGTCCAGAGTGAGGTTGTGACCCAGTACCCTGAGATCCGCTGGAGTCCTGTCTCTGAATCAGCCGAGATGAACTGCAGCCACACCAAAGGTGCTGGTTATAGCAGGATGTACTGGTACAGGCAGCGTCCAGGAGAGACCATGACCCGCGTCGCCTATACAGCTGTTGGTGCAAAGCCGGACTATGGTGAGGCCCCCGAAGGAAAATACTCAAGCGTCAAAGAGAAGTCTGAGAGCGGCGCTCTGACTGTGAATGACCTGCAGCCCGATGACGGTGGCGTGTATTTCTGTGCAGTCAGTGAGCACAGTGATGTGACGAGTGAGAGCAGCTGAACAAAAACCGATCAGATGATCCGTTTAGTGAGTTTTTTAATAGTTGTGAATCTTTCCAGTAGGTGGAGCTGCAGCAGCAGGAATACAAGCATCACTCCGATGACGGTGAAGGTGGTTTAGAGGAGATCTAGAGTTGTAGATCGACTCAGTGTTCTGTGTTCATTCCAACGACATGCCGGCACTCGTCCTCTTCTCTTGGCTCCTTGGTAATCACCGTCACCATCCAGGATTCAGATCTCCTCTTTCAGTTCCTTCAGATCATTCAGATCATTCACTCCTCTGTCTCTCCAGGTGTTTGTCTCGGAGTTGAAGTCACCCAGACTCCTCCAATTCTTCTCGCACGACCCGGAGACACAGTCCAGCTGGTCTGCAGCCATGAAGAGGAAGATTTCACACTCATGCAGTGGTACCAGAAAACCCCCGGAGACAACGCTCTGAAACGCATCGGACATGTGCGCTTCAGGGATATCGATCACGAGGAGTCCTTTAAGAAGCATTTTAACATCTCCGGAGATTTGAGCGGGCAAAAAGCCAAGAATATTTCTCTGTTTATATCCAATCTAAAGGCTCCTGATCACACTGCAGTGTATTACTGTGCAGCTGGTTACGCACACTGACAACAGACTTCTCCACACTTGTACAAAAACTCGACTTTAATCTCCTTTCATGGTTTATAGAAAAAAAACCTGATCAGGATCCACACAACAGCTGCGCTCAGTTATCTCCTACAGCCTGTAAACACTGACGCCGTTTCATCTCTTCTTCTCTATCCTCTAAAACCTCGCTCACAGAGGCAGCAGCTGGGTCTCCATCAGACAGAGTCATTTGGAGTCTAAGTGTACTGTTCCCTCACAGTGGGTAGAATCAGGCCCAAAAAGTCTGTGTGTCTGAAAAGCAGAGGGACAGACTCAGACTACGTTTACACATGACAGGTTTTTTTCATAAACAGACATTTCACCCTCTCTGTTTGCAAAAAAAAACGCGTGCACACTGCTTATTTTTTGGAAAAGTTTTTGTTTACACTAACCCACGTATATATGATGTCAAGAGTATGCCAAACCTGTAGGTGGCAGTGTAGCGAGAAGCTCAAGCCCACATTAGCCAATCAGAATCCCAACAAAAACACTTCCTCTTTTCTGCAAACAAATATAAGGGGATTTTATCAGCATAAATTCAACCGCTACTCTGCATGCATCCATAATCACCACAGATTGTAAACAACATCACTTTTAACCCAATCTACCATCGGCCACCCAAATCTCAGTTAACCTCGTTTTTCTCCGTTTACATGCAAACAGAGTTTTCCAAAATCTCCACTTTGGCTGGAAAAAAGCATGGTTTTCAGGGGCCAATTCTCCATTTGCATTGAAACGAAGGGTGCAAACAATGGTTAATGTCTCAGTTTTTAATAATAACTGGGTACGTATAAGTGGTGCCTCAGCATGACGAGAGAGAGAGAGAGAGAGAGAGAGAGAGAGAGAGAGAGAGAGAGAGAGGCTGCAGCGATTACGAGGATTAATGAGTGATCAAGTTTGAAATAACTTATTGGTTAAATACTAATAATACAAGAATTTTATTTATCCCCAAAGAGAAATTTATCAGTCTGGAATCAGAGATAAACGTGGAAAATGTCACTTGGAACTTCAGCCGTTGCCTATGGTTGTTGTTATGATATAAACACTATCTTTAATGGACACAGGTCATGATTTAAGATGAAAAAAAGTAGAAATAATGTTTCACCGGGTGACTCTTCATTTCTCTGAACTGGAGTTTGACGAAGGGTGGGGATTGGCTGCCTTAATAGCCAATCAAAATCTACGACAAGTCCTACATCAGAACCTGCTCTCATAGGCAGTTTCAGTCTCAGTCTCACATGATAACTGTTTCTCATTTAAAAGAATCAAGATGATCTGGTTTTTCATGCTCTGTTACCACATAGGTAATAACTTTAAATGTCATCGGATTCCCGTAACTGTCATTCAAACATCTGTTTTTTTTCACCATGTCGATGTTTTCTTCATTTTTCAGGTCTCAGTCTGAGCGTGGAGGTGGAGGTCAGTCAGTACCCCTCTGAACTCATCATAAAACCCAAAGACAAAGTACAGATTAAGTGCAGCCATGATAAAACCGACTTCAGAGTGATGCTCTGGTACCAGCGCTCCCCTGGAGACTCCGCTCTGAAACTCATCGGATATTTGAACTATGGGACATTCACCCCTGAGGACAAATACAAGGACCAGTTTAATGTCACAGGAGATCTGTCTGGAGGTGGTAAAAAGACCAGCACTCTCGTGTTCAAAGACACAGGACCTGAACAGGCGGCAGTATACTTCTGTGCAGCGAGCAAAGCACGCTGACTCAAATCCCCTCTGGCCTTTACAAAAACTTTCATTAAAGTCGGCGGTTTGGAAAATCAAGCACCTGCTCCTGTGGTTGAACTTCAGTCTGATAAAGTCGAAACAGCATGAATGAACCCAAATGACTCTGTTTTTTTAAGGTTCCAGTCAAATTATGTGGAAAAGCTGTTTAAATTATGAATCAAGAAAAGGAAAATAGGATAATAGGATTTGTTTGCTAAATTTAGAGTAAAAAAAAGTTCTCTTTTTGGCCAGGAGGAGGCGCTTAGATCCTCTTTTCAGATTGATTTCTTGTTCCTTTACTTTGCTGTTAAAGTCAACATGAGGGTGCAGATGTGACGTCATGAATAAACCTTCTCTGTATGTCTGACTGTGTTCGTCATCTCCTCCTCTTCCTCTTCTTTAACCTCAGTCAGATCAGGAGGTCTACCACTCCTCTTCAAAGTTAGATATGATGCTTTCAGACAAGATGATGCTTCTTCTCGTGTTGTGTTTCCTCTCAGGTAACGACTTCAACATGTTTGATTCATCCAAATGTTCATCTTCTCCTTCGACTACCATCATCAGTTTGTCTTTTCTTAGGTGGTGGTCTTGCTCTGGAGGTCCACCAGCCCTCTGATCTCATCACAACCTCTGGAGGCAGAGTTCAGATTTTCTGCAGCCATGCTGAGAAAACCTACAGAGTGATGCTCTGGTACCAGCGCTCTCCTGGAGACACGGCTCTGAAACTCATCGGGTATTTGTACTTTAAAGATGTCAAACTGGAGGAGGGATTTAGAGAAGACTTCAATATGTCTGGAGATTTAGGTGGAAGCACCGAGAAGAACGGCTCTCTCATCATTGAAAGTGTAAGAAAAGAGCTCAGTGCAGTTTATTACTGCGCAGCCAGAGAAGCACGCCGAGAGAAATCCCCTCTGAGTATAACAAAAACCATCTCTGCTGTTTTTTTATCAATGGTTTTAGGGAAGATATGAAATAAACTGCAGAGAGACACCTGCCTCTGGGGTTGGATTGTGGTTTGATGAAGCTAAATCCTCAGCTGAGACAAGTGTGTCTCAATTTGGTTGGTTTATTTTAATAAAAAAACAGAAAATAACTATTTCTAAAATCGTATCCAAGGAGAGGGTTTTTGATAAACATTGGGAAGCTCAATAAAAGGATATTTTATAAAATAACCTCCATGTGCAGACCGATGAAAGATCAGTTTCAGTTTCTCATTATGAAGCACCTGTCTCTGCAGGGCTGAGGTGCTGATTTCCTTTTCCATTAGCATAGCACCTGCCCACAGCGCCAAAACTCCCGCCACATGGTTTGATGACCATGATATTACAACGCTTGACCGGCCTGAGCTGAACCCCCTCGTACAGAATCAGCGGGAAGATGACAGAGACACTGGACCAGAACTTGAGACCTGCGAAGAAGGGCTTCAGTGACCCCCCCAGGTCAGGTCCCACTGATGCTGTCATTCATGGTTAAAGAGTCCAGACCGAGGACTGAAGGTGGAATGAACTAATTCTTCAGAAGTTCAACATTTATCTATTTAAGATCCTTTTAATGACTTTTTATGTACGGGCCAAAGTCATCAAAATTTAAATAAAGAAAACTTAAATCATTTAACTTTGTTCACTTTTCTCATTATTCTAATTTAAAGAGAAGCAAAGACTGTAATGACTGGAAATTTAGCATTAAAAGTTTTTCAAAGTTTTTGACACTTAGGTGGGTGGGATCCTGATAGTTAACAGGAAAAATACACTATAAATACACTCAAAAGTTGCGTATCAGACAACCCAAGTTGTCTACATTTATGTCAGTCGTTGACTTCCTACAGCTGAGTTTACTTTGAGATACTTCTGAGTTCTTTGTACGGTTGCATGAAGCCACTCCTCCTCTCTGGATCAGGTCTACTTCCTGGTGAGAAAGACCTCTCAGCAGAGATCCTGTCTTCAGTTTCCTGTCCCTGCACTTCTTCTTCTGCGACTTCAGATCAACTCAGCACTTCACTTCAAAATGATTCGATTCGTCTTTTGCTGTTTGCTCACAGGTAACAGCTCTTTAATTCTGCAGTCACATCTGTCTAACCATTCACCTCCAGGTCTAACATCTGTCACCTCTACATCCTGCAGATGTTTGTCTGGGGATTCAGGTCCACCAGGATCCTCCTGTTGTCTTTAAGAAGCCCGGTGAAGGTGTGCAGCTCTTCTGCTCCCATGGAAAAAGGGACTACAGAATGATGCTGTGGTACCAGCTATCACCTGGAGACAGCGCTCTGACACTCGTTGGATATGGATACGCAGGGTTTAGCAATGACAGCGTGCAGGAGCCCTTTAGAAAACATTTCAAACTATCTGGAGATCTGATGGGAGACCAGAAGAATGTTTCACTTTCCATCGTGGATCTAAAAGCGCCCCAACACACCGCAACATACTTCTGTGCTGCGAGTTCACCACAGTACATCGAACAGCCACCTGCTCCTGACAAAAACCTCCCCCTGATTCTCGGCTGAAAGTGGGTCAGAGACCGAGTCTTCCTCAAACGAGCCTCAGGGTTGGACTGATTTGGTTTCTTATATTTTTATCAATCATTAAACTTAACTTCCCTTTTCCAACCTTGACTCAAATAAATTTATGAACCACTTTAATCAAGATTTCTTCTCCACCACAGCATCAAAACCACCGAGTATTTGAGATGTTTGTAGATATGATTAATTTCGCTCAATTAAGGTGTCGATGTGAGCCACACGACTTAAACCTTTTCATCATCTTTTATGGTTAAGCGTATTCAAACTTGTGGTCGTGAAGAAGGACGGTTTCATTTTGGTTGTAGTGAATGATTCGTTCAATAGAAACAAATCTTTTCAGTGAACATACTGAACCGAATCACTTCCTAAAATGATTTGTTTGTTTCTCTGTTCAGTTGAGCTGTCATCAGTGCAGCTGCTAAAGCTCGCAGCATTGCCGGGGAGGCAGCCGGCAAGCCGCCGCAGGGAAGGAGGGACGCCTGAATCACTTGGTGAACGAATCATTCAGTGAACTACACTCTCCGGGGTCATTTTCATCTGAAGGATACACTTTGGCGACCGTTGTTCCCCGTTGTTTTAACAAATTTAGTTCCCAATTAAAGGAAGTCGGAGTCGCAGGCTCCTCCCACCAAGCGCTGTATGATTCGGTGATTTGGTGAACAAATCTTTTAAACGAATCTTTTTAGTGAACTGATTTCAGTGATTCAGTTCATCTAAAAGAACTGCCGTGCCCATCACTGTTTAGTTGCTGACACCGGCTCTTTCTGGCAGGAAATTAAACAAAAAAAGAAAAAGGTTTCTACGCCAACCTCTACTGCGTCAACATTACATCACTTCCTGTTCCTCCCTTCTGATTCAATAAGAACTGCAGAGACCGGCCTGTCCTTCAAATTCATCATGATGTCTTCTTGTCTCTTGGTTTCCATCATTGCCTCGTTCTGGATCAGAGGTACCCTCACATTAAAGAGGTCTTTTCAGCTGCGTCTCTGTCTTTGATTAACATTTATCTTCCACTGTGTCTCTGTCTCCAGGAGTCTCTCTCAGTAAAGACAAACAAGTGTCTCAGACTCCATCCAACCTTCTCATGAAAGCCGACGGTGAAGTCAAGATGAGCTTCAGCCATCAGATCCAGCTCTATGACACCGTCCTCTGGTATCGGCGCTCCTCGGGGAACACTTCCCTGGAGCTGATCGCCTACGTGAGATATGAAAGTCCTTATGTCGAGTTGCCGTTTCAAAGCCACTTCGAGGTGAGCGGGGACGGAGAGAAAGAGGCTCATCTCCTCATCAAGAACCTGAGACACCCTGAACACAGCGGCGAATATTTTGGAGCAGCTTGGAGGCACAGTCATAAAAACAGGGACGCCTTCGTACAAAAACTCTGAAGAGGAAACCGCAGTGATCATGTGATCAAAACCTCCTTAAAGACCGCCGGTTAGAGGATCTGACTCCAGTCTCTGTGCAGGGATCCTGTTTGACATGTCGTCTGTCATTCTGCTGTTCTCTCTGTCTGTACTCACAGGTCAGGATCATGTGTTTAAGTGATTACAACACCAACACTGTGTGAGTTCACTTCACGTTTTTATCCTCTTCCTCTAGACTCTGTGTTACCGCTGGAAATCCAGCAATCACCTCCACATCAGCTGATCCAGCCTGAGCAGGAAGAAACCCGTCTTAAATGTCACCATGGAGACAACAACTATCCCTACATGCTTTGGTACCAGCACAAGGCAGGAAAAGGCGGAGGAGGTCCGAGAGCCATGGAGCTGATCGGACTGCTTCATTACCAGAATCCAAACCTGGAGAAGAACTTTGAGGCGCGTTTCAACATCACGGGACATTCCAAACGCAACGCCGAGCTCGTCATCTCCGAAATAAAGCCGACAGACAGTGCAGAGTACTTCTGTGCAGCCAGTAGACACGGTGCTTCATCTCCTCTGACTCCTCCACAAAAACTCAAACTCACACCTGCATCAAACCTGAACTGTGTAATAAAGAGGAAGTGACGGTTTATCCTCGGAGAACATGGGATCTGGTTTTTTGGTCTTATCTTGGTCTGAGGAAACAGATCCAGATGTAAAAGTCTGTGAGACAAATCCACACAGTGAGAATCATAAACATGAAAAATATGGTGAAAAAGAAAACATCACATTAGGACGATTTTTACTCAAGTAAGAACTTCACAGAGATGTAAGATCATGAGTTTGTTTTCATGGTATCAGAGCTAGGGCTGGGAAATATGGCCTCAAATCAATATCACGATATATTGAGCAGTTCACCTCGATAACGATAAATGGACGATAACTACTCCACAAGCTGCTCACCCCCTCCCACATTAACTTCGTCTACTTCAGCCGCTCCAACTTTCTCTCCGTCCTCCATCTCCTCACCTGTCTTTCCCTCTTTGTTACAGACTGGATGGGGTGGAGTCATGTCTCTGATGTAGGACAGCGTCTTAAAGGGACATGAGATCATAGCCTACCTACAAACATCCAAAACAACTTTTACTTATTTATTGATTTGACACAGAATATATTGACATGGGCAAAATGACGTGGAAATGAATTGTCATAAATTTCAGTATCTGTAAATTTTTCGGTTTATCGCCCAGCCCTAATCCGAGCTGCTGGTCATGAGAAAAAAAACTGTTTTCAGTCTTGTAGGTTTCACATCATCCAAGTCTTCTAGATCTCACCGAGCAGTTTGTGAACTCACAATATTCTGAAAGCACAAACTGACCGGTCCGTAAGCCAGAAAACAGTCAGAAAACAGTCAGAAAACAGTCAAAATTAAGCTAAATTAATCATTCGCTAATAGGTGATGTCAGAGTCTGGGAAAATCTTGTGTCTTTCTTGTTGGACTTAAAAGGAAATAAATTATTCAGAGCAGCCAGCAGTCCCAGAAAACTGAAAGACAAATGTAAAGGCTGATTTGTCCACAGGGGGGCGCCAAAACTGACACTAACTGAACGTTTCTCACAGAAACTTTAGAGTTAAGCCTAAAAAAGAAGATAAGTGTACGGTCTGGTTAAGATTGTGAAATATCTGCAAATAAATCTCTACAAAGATCTACAAACTGAAGTCGAAGCATCTCAGTGTGAACACAAACACGACAACGATGACAGTTTTGCTCTCCTGTACCTTGAATCCGGGGTTCACAGTGAAGATAACGTTCTGTTACCTTAAGCACCGCCTACAAATTTCTATACTAAACACGTGAAAACCTGAAGTCATTTCCTCCTCACGTCTCAGATGTTCTCTCACTTTCTTTGCACTCCACTCATTTCCTCTCAGAATGAGTCCTAACTTCACAGCCTTGACCCTCTGTCTGCTCTGGGCTGCAGGTAAACTTATCACCTCTCAGAAAAGGCAAAAACAAGATGTCTTCTCTGTGAATTATGGATGAAAATGTCCTGGCATTGGTGTAATAACAGCATCATGTTAAACTTTAAAATGAAGGTGTTCTCATGCCGTCTCTTGTTCTCTGTGTTTCAGGTGTTTCTCGGTCTTTGCTGATCACTCAGTGGCCTGAAAACATCTCCAGTCCTCCTGGTGACTCCGCAGAAATGAACTGCTACCAGAATAAATCTGATTATGAATACCTTTACTGGTACAGACAGACAGGAGGACGGGGTTTTCAGTTAATAGTGTCGTTAGTAGCAGGCACGCCAACATATGAAGATGAATTCAAACCTGGTTTCCAAGCAGTGAGAGTGAGCGAGAAGCTCTGGAATCTGAAGATAGAGAGCGTTCAGGAGAAGGATGAGGCCGTTTATCTGTGTGCAGCTTGTCACGGTGCTGCGGTAGACCTCAGGACTGTGACAAAAATATACAGCAGGAGAGACCCGCCCTCACATCCTGATTCACATTATAAATGATCAGAATGAAGGAAACTTCACAGAGAGGAGGAGAGAGTCTAAAAACTGAAGTGTGTTTGTTTTTTGACCGGGTTAGACTCTGATGACTTTACAGAAAAAAAACAGGTAAAGACGACTCTGTCAAGGATGTTTAAATATCCTGTGTTTGACGAAAACAACATTTGTCAATGAAGTGTCTGATTCTGATTCATGAAGCACGGTTCAGTTTTAACCCGCATTTGTAAAAGCAGAAACAAACTGTTCGCTTTTGAGGTACTTTTGAGCTCATGCAGTGACTTCCACTTCAGAGTCCTGTCTGTTTTTAATGCAGTGCAGTCTGAGGGTTTGAAGATGAGGACCATTAAGTGAATGTTTTTTGGGTTTTGTCCCAGCATTATTATTAGGGCTGGGCGATATGGCCTCAAATCAATATCACGATATTGATCAGTTCACCTCGATAACAATAAATAGACGATAACTACTCCACAAGCTGCTCACCCCCTCCCACATTAACTTCGTCTACTTCAGCCGCTACAACTTTCTCTCCGTCCTCCATCTCCTCACCTGTCTTTCCCTCTTTGTTACGGACTGGATGGGGCAGAGTCACGTCTCTGACGTAGGACAGCATCTTAAAGAGACATGAGACCATAGCCTACCTACACACATCCAAAACCTATTTTGATTTATTTATTTTTTTCTGACTCCGAATATACTGATATGGGCAAAATGTCGTAAATTTCAGTAATGGTAAATTTTCAGTTTATCGCCCAGCCCTAGTTTTTATGCACCATAGCTGATGAAATCCCACAATTATTTGCAGTTTTATGTTGAGGTAAATTGTCATTAAATTGTTTTAACAATCTGACTCTCTGGGATCCTCTCGTAATACCTGGTGTTAGTACTAAACTTTTGGAAATTAACCTAATTAGTCAGAAGATTTTCCTGCAGATGTTTGTTTGAGCATCATAAATTTTTCAGCCTGTTTTGCATCTGCTGGGTTAAACAAATTTCTTCATTTATATCCCAAAAATGTCATAATATGGCCCAGAATAAAAAAGTAGAAATAGAGTCCTGGAATAAAAGATCCATCATAATAAAAATAAGCTTAAAATGCATATTGATACCTGTTTGTAATTCAGAGCAGCTGTACAAATAAAGTCTACCATCAGGTGGAGGCACAGCACATGCATGAGGCTTTGATAGAGAGGAATCTGTGATGAATTCGACCGCAGAGACGCCTCCCTCTTCACACTGAGACTTTTATCAGGAGGTACGTTTCCCTCCTGCAGTGCTCAGCCATGTCTTCTTCACTCTTATTCACGTTTGGGTCTCTCTTCCTTTTGGTTTCATGTAAGATATCAGAATAACATCCTCAGACGACATTAGACGAGTAAAACGATCACAAATAAGTCTGTATTATTTTCACGTTTGTTATCTCCTCGCCTCCTCACTTCTTCTAAATCTGCTCTCTCCACAGGTCAGCTGAGCTCTGCTGCTGTTAAATTTGATCAGTCTCCTGACCAGATCGTAGAGGCCGACAAAGACGTCCAGATCAACTGTGAACACAATGACACAGCTCTCACATTCATGCTCTGGTACCAGCAGAAAAAGGAGAGCCCAGCTCTGAGCCTGATTGCATCTGGATTTAAAGACGCCCCGAAAGCTGAGCCCGGGTTTGAGCTCACAAAAGAAAGTGCGGTGAAAAGATCTCTGATTGTAAAAAGAGTGAACACATCGCGCTCTGCTGTGTATTTCTGCGCTGCTAGTAACACAGTGATGTGGTCTGACGCCACCCCCTCACTAAAAACCCTCTGCTCTTCTCTGTCAGAGAGACTCACACAGATGAGGCAGCATGTCTCCTGCAGTGATCGGACTCCTGCTCCTCATACTTACATGTAATGACATGAAAATAACTATTCTTTAAAGCACAAGATTATTTTTTTCTGCATATCTCGTCTTTATGAGTAAACTGTTTTTTTCTCCACAGATCAAACTATAAGCGTCACATTTGAACCACCCACAGGTCCACAGATAGTGAATGTAACTACCAGAGTGGACTTCGAATGCAAACATGATGATGGCAATCTCGATACCATGCTCTGGTACCAACAGACACCAAGCGGTCTGATACATTTGATCGGGTACACCTACTACCCAAATGACCCGGTCTATGAGCAACAGATTGATAAAGGGTACAAGATTACAAGAGAGGACATCAAAACTGGAGGTCTGAGTATTCACAGTGTGAACCCGTCAGACTCTGCTGTATATTTCTGCGCTGCCAGAGACACAGTGATGTGGTTTAATGCCACTCCCTCTCTGAAAACCTGCTTCTCTCTCTCCTGTTAATGAGACACACACAGATGAGGGAGCCTTAAAGATGTCTCCAGCTGTGATCGGGTTCCTGCTAGTTTAATTCAGTGCTGCCTGAGGGCCAAAAGATCAGGACCATTCAGTATACTGGATGTTTTCCGGTCCTCGTCCCTTTTGTACAGAGATTTCTCCAGATTCTCTAAATGTTACAGCGTTATTATCCACCTTAGATGATGAAATCCACTAATTCTTTGAATAAATTGTTGAACAGTTTGATTCTTGGCCTAAAATCAAAGACTTGAGACTTGACCTGACTTGACTGTTGCTTATTTCCTGGTTTCAATTTTGATCTATGAAGTTCATCTTAATATTACCCGGTATGAGCGCAGGCTGAGAATGACGTGTCATCAACACCTGTCAATCATTCATGCCCTCTCTGATGTTATTATCGGAGACGGAGAAGCACGCTGTGAACGTGTCTGCTGGAGGGACACCCCGTGTTATCCTCTATGGATTTAAAAATTACCACTGCGAGGCCAAACGACCGGTATATTGATACCTGAATGTAATTCAGAGCAGCTGTACATAAAGTCTACCATCAGGTGGAGGCACATGCTTTGATAGAGAGGAATCTGTGGTGAATTCGACCGCAGAGACGCCTCCCTCTTCACACTCAGACTTTTATCAGGAGGTACGTTTCCCTCCTGCAGTGCTCAGCCATGTCTTCTTCACTCTTCTTCACGTTTGGGTCTCTCTTCCTTTTGGTTTCATGTAAGATATTAAAATTAGATCCTCAGAAAAGTAAAACGATCACAAATAAATCTGTACTATGTTCACATGTTCGTTATCTCCTCGCCTCCTCACTTCTTCTAAATCTGCTCTCTCCACAGGTCAGCTGAGCTCTGCTGCTGTTAAATTTGATCAGTCTCCTGACCAGATCGTAGAGGCCGACAAAGACGTCCACATCAACTGTGAACACAATGACACAGCTCTCACATTCATGCTCTGGTACCAGCAGAAAAAGGAGAGCCCGGCTCTGAGCCTCATTGCATATGGATATAAAGACTCCCCGGCCTATGGGCCCGGGTTTGATAAACAGTTTGAGCTCACAAAAGAAAGTGCAGTGAAAAGATCTCTGATTGTAAAAAGAGTGAACACGTCGCTCTCTGCTGTGTATTTCTGCGCTGCTAGTAACACAGTGATGTGGTCTGACGCCACCCCCTCACTAAAAACCCTCTGCTCTTCTCTGTCAGAGAGACTCACACAGATGAGGCAGCATGTCTCCTGCAGTGATCGGACTCCTACTCCTCATACTTACATGTAAAGACATGAAAACAACTATTCTTTAAAGCACAAGATTATTTTTTTCTGCATATTTCGTCTTTGTGAGTAAACTGTTTTTTTTCTCCACAGATCAAACTAAAAGCGTCACATTTGAACCATCCACAGGTCCACAGATAGTGAATGTAACTACCAGAGTGGACTTTAAATGCAAACATGATGATGGAAACCTCTACAACATGCTCTGGTACCAACAGACACCAAGCGGTCTGATGCATTTGATCGGGTACAGCTATGGTACAAGTGAGCCGGTCAATGAGCAACAGTTTGATAAAGGGTATGAGATTACAAGACAGGACATCAAAACTGGAGGTCTGATTATTCACAGTGTGAACCCGTCAGACTCTGCTGTATATTTCTGCGCTGCCAGTGACACAGTGATGTGGTTTAATGCCACTCCCTCTCTAAAAACCTGCTTCTCTCTTTCCTGTTAATGAGACACAAACAGATGAGGGAGCCTTAAAGATGTCTTCAACTGTGATCGGGTTCCTGCTCCTCTTACTTCCATGTAATTTTTACTCATAAAGTTGTGTTATTACACTTTATTTCTACCTTGTCTTTCATACTGATCAAATTATCTTTTTCTCCACAGATCAAACTATAAGCGTCACATTTGAACCATCCACAGGTCCACAGATAGTCAATGTAACTACCAGAGTGGACTTTAAATGTGAGCATGATGATGGAAATCTCGACAACATGCTCTGGTACCAGCAGACACCAAGCGGTCTGATGCATTTGATTGGGTACACCTTCAGAACAACTACCCCGGTCTATGAGGACCAGTTTAAAAAAGGTTATGAGATAACAAGACAGGACATCAAAACTGGAGGTCTGATTATTCACAGTGTGAACCCGTCAGACTCTGCTGTATATTTCTGCGCTGCCAGAGACACAGTGATGTGGTTTAATGCCGCTCCCTCTCTAAAAACCTGCTTCTCTCTATTTCCTTTTTATTCTCAGGTTCAAGTGTCAGAGAGACAAGGCTTAAGGTATTAGAGTCACTGATTAAAAATCCATTGTTTACACTATGTTGACCCGGCTTTTTAGCTCTTGTCCGGCTTTTTAAGCGCCCGTTATTCCTCCAGAGTCTCCAGTATTTACTTTGTTTCCTTGCTTGTGTCGGCAGTCGTGGCCAAAGGAGGATTCAGACAGTTTTACGAACTTTCTGGTTGGTTTCTACTGTTCGACATTGTAGCACGCTAACTTTGTTTGGGCTCCTGAACGACACAGGGGAGCAGCGTCTGCCTCACAACCATCAGGTTGGGGGAGGCGGAGAACGGCTTTGTTTACAGTCAGAAAGAGCGGGCCGCTCAGAAATGTTCAAATGTTGACTACACAGACCAAACAAAACACAGCGATATTGTTATATTACCAAATGTCATCAATAACTAATAACTATTGACTGATATTAAAAGCTTTTTTGTCAATACACCACAAAAATCGATGCTTCTTCAACAGTTTCCCTCCTACCTTTAACATCTGGAGGCCCCCCAAGGCTCTCCCCTGGAGCCTCTTCTGTTTGACATATGTTCCCACAGGCTGAGAGATTGTGGAAAATGACCAATAAGTAAACAAAACAAAGCTGTCACACACAAATCCACATTATACTGATACCAGGAGACTGTGTCCACACACACACAAACTATGAGTAAATGTGCTGAACAAATCAAGGAGTGGATGTAAAATATGACTACCTTTAACATCCTCCTGAGTCAACGCCAAAACTTCCACGACCAAACACCGAAAAACGACCTTTAACCACGAGCCACACAAGGTTAGCTTAACCGAACGTTTGAAACACCTCACTTAAAAAAACACCTGCCATTAAAAGGGTGTTATATCGAAATTCATCAGCTAAATCAACCAGTTAGACGGGGAAACTTTCATATAAGCTTAGTTAGACTTCTGACACGATTAAAGATGTGAAATGGCGAATAATTTGTCTGAAACACGGCAGAGGACAAAATGGTCGACGTGCTAGCAGAAGAAATCGCGTCTTACCTCGAGGACAACAGCAGCTCCTTCTGACTTCCTGTTGTGTCGTTCATGAACGATTTATTAAAAAGAACGACGTGAATGGAATCACTCCGAGACACGATTCAATCCTTTCACAGTTCAGTTGATCTCAGCCGCGAGCCTGACGTGCCGGTCGGGAGTAGAACTGCTGCCTTTGACCATAGACTGTTTATCCGCCTTCCGCCAAAAAATCTCTCGGTAATTCCGCGTTTTCTCTCCATTTCCTGAAACCAACCAACATTGCGCAGTAGCGTTGTACGCACTCAACCACTTGCGCAGTAGCTTTGTGCGCCTTCGCCGAGAGTCGCTGTGACGACGCTCGGCTCAAACAGCTTGTCCCCAGGGTGGCGAATTTTTTCCTTCTTCTTTTTTTTTATTTTGACGGTAGGAGAAGGTCCCGCCCTTCTTCGCCTCTGATTGGCTAGAAGTGCTGGGCTCCGATTGGTTATTCCTTATGGCTGTGAAACGTCGTCTGTCGGGTTAGGGTTAGGAGATTCTGAAGTGCGATAATGTTCTGTAAAAGAAGTGTACACACTCCACCACTTGCGCAATAGCATTGTACACATTCAGTGGGAGAGTCACCGAGAGTCGCTGTGATGACGCTCAGTTTGAACAGCGTTTCCCCCGGTGGACGATATTTTTTTTGTAGCACAGTAGGGGAAAGTCTCGCCCTCCTTCGCCTCTGATTGGCAAAGAAACGAATGAGTGTTTGGTAAATGTATTTGGTGTTCATCGAAACATTTTTTTTTTCATGAGATGTTTGGTAGTTGACCTTGAGGAACACTGTACTTGTTGGGTAAGAAGGTTACAAAGTGGGCGGAGCCTTCACAATTGAATAAGTCACCTGAATTAGTCTATGTTCACACTGCAGGTCAATTCCGATTTTTTAACCAAACGTGACACATATCTGATTTTTTCATGTAAGTGTGAACAGTGCAATTCGGATTTTTCAAAATCCGACCCAGGCCTCTTTTGTATGTGGACATAAATCGGATATGTATCCGATGTGACTGCAGTGTGGACGCTCAGGTCTCGTTCATCCGACCGATACATCATCAATATGCGACAAACATTACCATTGTTCGACAACACAAACAGGCGCGGAAAGCAATTTGTGCGCATGCGGGTCACTTCACGGACGCATTCGTTGTTGTAATGTGAACGATCGGATTTAACAAATAATCCGAATTGCGCATCATAACCTGCAGTGTGAACGTAGCCTAAGAGGTCGGGTTAATCCCATTCCATCAGTGCTCATCACTGTCAAAAGAGTCTGTTCTAGATTAATCAATGTATGGCATTTACTGCACCCATAGTTATTTATAAGAAACATATATTTTTAAATATTCTACCATTGATTAGTCTGTCATGACATAAGTCTGTTCTTTTAGATTAAATAATCTTTTCTCTTCAACCAATCAGAATTACAGTCACATCTATATTCGTACATGATCATGTGACTTCTTGTCTTGATGGTGCGGCACAGTTGCTTTGCCTCATTCAGCCGTAGGATGGTTCATCGCCAACATGTTGATTATTATGCTTAATCTGTTTCTTCTTCTACACTCAGGTGGGTTTTATTTACTTAATCTGGATTAACAAAAAGAAACAGGTACTCTAATGATAGAGTTTCATAACATTTACTGGTTGTATCACATATTTGGAAACTGAATATGGAGTTGAGACACAGTTTTAACTTCCTCCTGTTTGTGCTGCAGGTCTCACTGTTAAAGTTCTTCAGTCTGAAGATCAGATCTCTCGCCCAGGTCTCACGGTGAACTTTAAATGCAGCCTGAATATGGGGTTTAGCATGAGCAGCTACACCATGTTCTGGTACCGACAAGTCCACCCTGGAGCTGAAATAGAGTTCGTCACCAAAGAGTACGACAAAACCACGGGGAGATTCAAGGCGACCATCGATTCGTTCAAAAACAGCTTCCCTCTTCAGATCACCGGCCTGCTCCCAAATGACAGCAGCACCTACTACTGCGCCGCCAGTCACAGTGATGGAAAGAGAGCAGACAGCCATACAAATAACAGAGACACAGGTGGCTCACAGGAGGAGATGTGGTTTAGTTTGATAACATAGTAGTCAAATAAAATCTTACAAACATTTAGTTTCAACCAAGCGAGAGGTATTCAATAACAACTCAGACAAGACAAGAGACTCTAATCTGAATAACTGAACTATAAATCAAAACTTCAAATTCATGCCCCGCCGTACAACAACACAAAGTTAGAAATATGGCATGTAGATTTGAAAGATTTACAAATAAAATAAAGAACTGTCCGAAGTAAAATTAAATTAGCATTTTGATTAGAAAAAAAACACAAATAAGCAGCATCACATGACAACAAACTTAAAAAAGAAAGTTTTAAATCAGCATAATAAAATTCTGTAGTTCATCAAAAGTTTAACAAAACTACAAAGTTTGGTTCCTGTGAGACCACAGAGCTGATGGTTTAGATTAGACAGCAGGTGTAAACGCTGTCAGATTAATACTGAACATGAACCATAACTGGGTTTTATTACAGCGACTGAGCCGTGCGACAATGAGAACAAGTTTAATCTTTCCTCTACAGTCATTTTAACTCATTATATAAAAGGTTCAGTGAATTACAATCAAGAGGTTAACGCACACTGACCTCTACAGGAATAACATAGGATTACAATCAAAGGTGGAAATAAAGGTCACTGCAGTCAATGTTTACTGAAATCATTTAAGTGTAAAAACAAAAAAACAGGATAATGAGCAGGAAGATGCAGCCAGTATAAACCTTATACTTATAAATATCCTGATAGTTCTGATTGGATACTTATTTACAGATGATTCCATCAACTGAATTAAACACAAGAGGCTCGAGGATGGAGCCTTGGGGAACTCCACCTGATTATTGTGATTAAATTCTTCATATACCTTCTTACATCAACAAAGTTTAATTTCCCGTTTTTAAAAATGTCAAATTTTTTGAACATTTTTCAGGAGAAAAAAGAACAATCTAATGTTCTTGTTCTTGTATAATACATTTTTTATAGTGTAACATGAAATGCCATGTAATTTGCAGTATGCAGTAATAATGATCATAAGTTTATTGATATAGCACCTTTAGTAACAGACTTTAAATCTCGTCAGGACCCCGAACACTCACAGTGAGTGCAGCACCATTATGACTTTATAATGGATTCAACATATATTCAATTTAAAGATACCATATAATTTCTATAATAACTACATTGACAGATACAATCTTGCAAAGGCAATTATTAATAATGCAGGACTTAAAATACAGGTACACACTCGCTAATGCGTTTGTTGATTGTTTTTTTTTTATTTTAAATCACGTCTTAAAATCTCTGTCCTTTTATCACCTTTATTTCCTCTATGCTTTTGTGTTTTTATTTCATTTTAAACATTTTCTTTTTTACCTGCTTTTATCCATTTCATCTTGATGTTTTCTTTTCTTTTAATTTTATTGTGCAGCACTTTGGTAAACTTAAATGTTTTTTAAAATGTGTTTTATAAATAAAGCAGATTGGATTGGATTGTTTTGGTAAATTACATTATCGGTCGTTAGGGAAACAGCCTGATAGAAACGAGCTAAAAGGATGCATGCTGTCATCAAATACTTGTACTTGTAAATTGATTCTTGCCTGAAAATTCTCTGGAAAAAGATAGAAGTCCAATTAAAGGCGATAACTATAGTTTCAGTTCTAGTCTGTTTATGGTCTTTTTGCTTTTATCTGCTCTCCTAACACATACATATGTTATATATCATGAACCGTCCATGACTGGACTGCAGAAGAAGATTGGTCTATAAAGCTGAATGTGACATATTTCATAATGGACTTAATTGTTTGTGCCGATTAATCTGGTTTGTAGACGTCTCTATATAAACAGAGAAACAAAGACAGAGAACTGATCGTCTCCGGAATAAGCCGAGCATAGAATATGATCATAGATCAGCATCTCTTAGTGCAGTGCAGCAAATGTGCAGTATGAGACATGAAGCGGTGCGTGTTCCTCTTTTTGAGTTCCCAGCTGTTTGTTTGGATGAAGAGGTGTGACCAGCAGAGTCCTCCCTCCCTCCCTCTGATGAGAGATCATCTCAGATCAGTTTCTTCTTCCTCTTCTTCTTGATCTTTTCTTAGCTCTCACAGGAATAGCAGCCGTGGGCTCCTCGTTGTTGTCGTTGAGCGGAGCTGCACAGCTGCTCTCACAGGCTTCACAGAGATGGAGACTGAGATACGGAGGAGCAGAGACGCAAACCCTCTGTAGGTTTTTGTCTAATGCTTTTTCACCGTGGGGACAGGGGGCCACGGTGATACATTCCAATAGAGCCGCCGTACAAAAACCTCCTCCTATTAAAACACATTGTGCAGACGGCTGCAGGCTGTCAGGAGAGCAGAAAAACCTCCAAAATGAAGCTGAACACGACCAGACAACACATGAGCAGAGAAAAGATTGATTACAAGCAGAAAAACCTGCAGAAATGACATTTTTACACGACTTTTACTCCAGAAGAGAAACATCTGTCAGCTTCTTTTTCTCCTCTCCACAAACAGAAAACTAACCTGAACACCATGAAGCTCATCCTGCATGTTTAAACCTCCTTCATCCTCTGGATTATCGCTCCGTCTCCACAAGAAGATTCTGGAAAGTTTGGAGACTTTTTGGTGGAGGAGACTTTCAGTGTGACACTGGAACTGAAGCTTACTTTGGAAAGGGGACCAAACTCACAGTTCTGGGTACGTTTCAACTTTTATTACTTTAATAGACTGAAACAAAAACTTCAAATAGTCCAATCCTCGATATGAAAGAGAGGAAAATACTGTTGAAGCAAAAAGTCTGAAATATTGAGCTGAACAGAGACACTGTGAGCTACACTGATCCTGCTTACTTTGGACAAGGAACCAAACTCACAGTTTTAGGTAAATACATCTGCTTTTATTACTTTATTTAGACAAAAGTCACTAATATACGTGTCCTACTGTAGAAAGGAATAAAAGTTTAAAGTTAAGTAGAGATAGAAAAAGACAGAGGAGTTTGATGTTCAGTGTTTCTGCACTGTGACAACGTTGAAGCTTATTTCGGACCAGGAACCAAACTCACAGTTTTAGGTAAATATTTCTCTTTTTCTGTGTATATCTTTATAAACTAAACAAACTTCAGAGTCTGATACAGGTAGACATAAAAGTAAAAACTTAAGAGAGTTGATTTAAAGTTGAGAAAAACATGGGAGTTTGTTGCTCAGTCTTTCTGCACTGTGAGCAACACTTACCCTGCTTACTTTGGACCAGGAACCAAACTGACAGTTTTAGGTAAATATTTTTCTCATTTTTGTGTATATGTTAATAGATTAATAAACTTACAAAGACTAATACAGATAGAAATTAAAGTAAAAACTTCACAGAGTTGATTTAAAGGTGGGAAATCTGAAGAGTTTGATGTTCAGTGTTTCTGCACTGTGACAACTTAAACGAAGCGTACTTCGGACCAGGAACTAAACTGACAGTTTTAGGTAAATATTTAAGTTTCTTACCTTATTTTGATAAATTCTACATACTCGAGAGTTTAGGTATAACTATAAATAAAGTTAAAATCTTCACAAAGACAGAAAAAATAGAGAAAGAAAGAGGAGTTTGTTGTTCAGTGTTTCTGCACTGTGACAATGCTGATGTAGCGTACTTTGGACCAGGAACTAAACTGACTGTTTTAGGTAAATATTTCGGAGTTTTTTACTTTTATTGGATAAATTTAACTCACTTAAGAGTCGTGGTGTAGATGGGAATAATTGTCAAAACTTCACAGAGTTGATTGTAAAGTATAAAGACAGAAGAGTTTGATGTTCAGTGTTTCTGCACTGTGACAATGCCAACGAAGCGTACTTTGGACCAGGAACTAAACTCACAGTTTTAGGTAAATAATTCAGCTTTTTACAATGTTTGTCTCAGAGTCTTAGTATGGATTAAAGTAAAAGTCCAAACTTCATTATAATAAGTCAAAAAGAAATACAGAGAGGTTTGATGTTTGTCGCTGTTTCACTGTGACGACTGGAACGAAGCGTACTTTGGACCAGGAACTAAACTGACTGTTTTAGGTGAGTCTCAGACTTTTAAACAGCACAAATGTAAACGTGAAAACCGCGTCAGTACGATAAGAATCGTTCAAAATATAAGCTGTCGTGGTTTAAGTTCAGTTCAGAGCTTTTCGACACTAAGCCGGAGCGCTGTGTCAATTACGAAGCTTACTTCGGGCCAGGAACTAAACTGACTGTTCTCGGTGAGTAAAAGGTCAAAGTTGTTTCAAATGTATTTGTCTTAAAAAAGGAAACTAAATTAAACACTTTAAGTGTATTTACAGTTATGTAGTGAGTGTTAGTGAATGTTTAAAGCAGCTTAGAGTCGATCAGCAGCCCTTCAGTTTGAGCACAGTTGAAGTCCACTGTGACTCTGGTGCTTCAGAGGCTTACTTTGGTGGAGGAACTAAATTAACCGTCTTAGGTAAGAAATGTTTATTTTATATGAGGCTTAACGATCATTTCTGTAGAAAAAGTGTAAGGGAAAAAAGTGTCTTTATTGAACACATCATTCTGAACATCTTAAAGTTCAGACTGAACTCAAACGTTTTGACGTTAAGCCTGATCACTGTGTCAGTACGAAGCTTATTTCGGCTCTGGGACTAAACTGACTGTTCTCGGTGAGTAAAACCTCTAAAATTCTCATTATTTATTCTCCTGTTAGACTCATTTGTTTACAAAGAGGAGTTAGTTTGAAAGTGAGAAAATAAGTCTAATTGAAAACTCATGTAGGCAGTATCTGAGGCGGTTTTGAGCACAGATGAAGTTCACTGTGACTCTGGTGGTTATGAAGCTTTCTTCGGTGGAGGAACTAAATTAACTGTTTTAGGTAAGAAAACATTTAAACTAAATTAAATATTCTTTAAGTTTGATTTTCTTATGATGTTTCTGACACTGTTGAGGTTTGACCGACTCTAAACTATTAATGCTTAAACTTCAGTTTTATCTGTTTGTAGTCGAAGTAACCTTTAAAAAAGTTAAAATAAGGAAAATGAAGATTTAGGGCAAAAGTTTAGAGAGTTTCTTTGGTAAATTTGGGTCTGTTAAAGCTTCTGTCTGTAAACTAGAGATACAGTTGTGATCATTTTAAGTTGCACACAAAAAGGAGAGACGTCAGGAAGAGTTTTTGTCACAGTAGAGAGTCTCTGTGGTCCTACACCGAGGCTTACTTTGGAGCTGGGACTAAACTCACAGTTTTAGGTAAGAAAACGACTCCAGAAAACACTAAACTTCTCTCTTATTGTCTTCGTTTAGCTCAGAGAAACACTTAAAATACAATTAGAAGATATTTTATATGTAAGCGTTAAATTAAACGTTTAAAAACTGACAGAGTTAAAGAGATTAATTGAGGAAAAGTCTCAGTCTGTGCAGGTAAAATCCAGCCTGTTAAAAGCTGTTCAGTTAAAGTTGAGGCTGGATTAAAGATTTGGCTGTGAGCCCGGATTATTCCTCTCACTCTGAGTTCTTATCAGCTCTGTGAAACACTGTGAACAACCAGGGAGAGGCTTACTTTGGAGCTGGAACTAAACTCACCGTTTTAGGTAAGACCTGCTCAAAAACTGAAATGATCTGTCTGCAAACTGCTCTGTAACTCCATCAGGTCAGTTTTTCATCTTAAACTCTTAAAAATTATTTTAAGTTTAAAAGTTTAAAAAGACAAAGACGGCGTGTGCAGCTCTGAGTGTTGAGAGGTTTTTCTGCAGCCTTGTGTCAGTGTGAACAACTATGAACCAGCTTACTTTGGTGGAGGAACCAAACTCACTGTGATCGGTAAGAAAAGGATAAAAACTTTAACCTGCAGAAATGTTTGTTTTTACTCTTAATCTGATGAAAAACTGCAGAGAAAATAAGTTTAATGCTCGATTTAGTGTTTGCTGTGTGCAGCTGCAAAGTCGTAAAAACTCTAAGATGAGTGAACGTCGGATGTTTCCCACAACTATAATTTTCAGTGATGATAATTTAGCTGCTGAACAGTTTATTCATCGTGTTTTAACTGTTTACATCGGTCGTCTGCACAAAATTCAACTTGCAAAACAGCATTTCTTTACATGAGCGTTTAAAAAGTGAAAAGAAAAGGAGGTAAAACTTGAAGAAAATAGTTGATAAAGAAGAAAAAGAAATGGTAACTGATTTGTATGTGAACTACAGGGAGCAGTTTGAAGATTTAACAGCAAAGTTTGGTTGTTTCGATATCTGTGATTGGATTTTTATCAAACAAAATTATGTTTTTGTTTTTCCCCACTGTCCTTCAGTGTCAATCTTACGATCTAAAATTAACATTTTGGTTATTTTGCTATGAAATCAATCCAAGAAAAACACCTCCACTTCAGATCTCTGCAGCCTGACTGTATGAAGTTGTAATTTAATCAGTGAAATCCTAATAAAAAAAATATATATTAAGATTTAATGCAGTTTGTGGTGTCTAAAGTTGAATTATGATTGTTAAAAGCCTGATACATAAGAGGTAAAAGTGACGTTTATTGTACCAGGTTAAAATGAAATGACAGCTGTGAACAGAGAGAATAAGAGGAGATCTTTAGGTGCAATTCTTCCTGTTAAAAAACACTTTTGACGTGGTTTTGACAGGAGAGGATTTGGAAGAAACATTAAGTTGTACAAAAACAAAAACCTGCGAGTTTTAAGTCGCAGTGGTTCGGGGTTTTACGCTCACGGCTTCGTGGCGTGCTCGAGCAGCTTCCCACCTCTTTTCGGAGAGGGAACCAGACTCACAGTTCTCGGTAAGATCTCAAAAATAATATATCTGAGAAAAGAACTTAAAAAACTTTTTGTTTTATTGTTATTACTCATGACTGATTTGTTAGGGACATTTTTAATATTCATAGACAGGTGAATGCTTATTCGCAGCACTCGATCTTAAGGGAGCTTTTGTAAGAATAAAAATATCAAACAGCAAAAATTAATCATGAAATAAAACGTGTGTAACGGTGACAAGGCGACAGAACATTAGGCGTTTATTAGGTCTTTAAATTGTTGTTAACCCTGTTTAACTGGTATATACCTTTGTATAAATAGAACTGTACAAATGAAAATGTTTTTATTCCACAAAAAAGTTTAAAGGTGGTCATGACACAAACTCAAAAAAATATGTCATTACTGTAGACGGTGAAAAGAAAGGGACCCAGTATTGAACCTTGTGGTACACCGCTACTGATTAATAAACATTCAGAATTGGTCTGACCTGAATTAACACACTGACATTTTTAAACCAGAAGTTTCTTAATTTTTTTTCTTCTTATTTCTTGTTAAAGATGTTGTTGTATAAGGCTCATTTTCGCTACGTTCACCCGCCAAGTCCAAAGAAAGTCTAAATATAAGATATGAAACCTGAAATAAGAACTGTTTGTAATAAATAACTGAATAAAATCTATCAGTGAAAGAATAAAAGTTTTACTGGTCAAGTTGTAGGACTGAGATATTTTGAGATTCAGGTCGTCTTTTTGGTGTAAAATATCTTTAAAACAGGTTTTGATTTTTCTGGACTTGGGTGAATTTGAAGGCGTCCCCCTGTGCATCAGATCAGTTCTTCTGTTTTTGTGGATCAGTTGGTGATTTCTGTCCTTTGTCTTTGCAGAAGATGGACATGACGTCACTCCTCCAAAGGTCAAAGTTCTCCCTCCTTCTACAAAAGAGTGTGGAGGCAAGGAAAAGAAGAAAAAGACCATCGTCTGTTTGATCAGTGGGTTTTATCCGGATCATGTCAAAGTCTACTGGACCACCACCAACAGTGGTAATGTCACATCAGGGGTGTCCACCGACAATGTGGCCAAGAAGGAGGGCAAGTTCTACAGGATGAGCAGCAGGCTGAGGGTCTCTGTTGATGAGTGGTACAACGTGGAGAATGAGTTCACCTGCATCGTCAGCTTCTACGACGGGAAAAACTGGAACGTCACAAGTGATTCAGTTCTTGGAGAACAAGGTTTGTTCAGAGAAACTTCAGAAATAATCTCTCCTGAATCTTTTTTCTGTTTAACTGAAGTGTCTCCTCGTCTGATTCTTCTTTTTGCTCCTCAGACAAGACCGAAGGAGGATTCCCACAGAGAGGTAAAGATGATTTTACTGTCAGTTCTGCTCCTCTGAGCCGTAAACATAAAGGCTTTATTCATGTATTCAGAGTAAAACTAAAGAGAGAGCTGCTTGTTGAAACTGGATCTCCTGCTGATTCTTAAACTTTCTGCAGAGAAATACCTGAAGATCACAAACGGGGCCAAACTGACCTACACCATCTTCATCGTAAAGAGCTGTTTCTACGGAGCCTTTGTCCTCTTTCTGCTGCTGAAGCTTCAGGTTTGTCCCTCACCATCTCAGAGTTTAACTCTAAACATGCTCTCAGACACAGACTTTAATTATCTTCACCTCCTGATCGTCTTGGTATTAAAATGTTTGTCACTCTCGTTCTTCACTCTAAAAACACCTCAAACTGTCAGCAGCCTCGACTTCAGTCATCCAACAAGACTAATAAAACTAACACAAGAACACGACAGACATGATTCTAACATGATAGAACAAAATGACCTGGGAGAGTGTAGAACTGAAAGGAATAGAGCAGGTTTGAATAGAACAGTAAAGAATAGATGGAGGAGAAAATAATATAACAGATTGTAATGGCAGGCAATAGAATAGAATAAAATAGAAGGGCAGATAACAGACTTGAACACTATAGAATGGATCAGTATAGAATAGAATAGAATAGAATAGTGTAGCAGATAACAGACTTGAATAACATAGAATGGATTAGAATAGAATACATTAGAATACTGCAGGTGGAAAAGAAGACAATAAATCAGAAAAGTATAGAATGAAACAGGATAGAAACAAAAAACGTAGAACAGCTCAAACTAGATAGAATAGAATAGAATAGCAGACAATGGAATTGAATGTTATGAAATAAAACAGTATAGAACAGAATAAAATAGAATAGAAAGGAGTTACATCAAATAGAGTAAGATAAGATAGAATAGAGTTGAATCTAAAAGAATAGAAAAGAATAGAGTCAGATCAAAAGAATAGAAAAGAATACAATAGAAGGTGGAACCAAAGACAACAGATCAGAATAATATAGAAAGGAACAGAGTAGAATCAAATAGTATTGAATAGTACAGATCTGAATAGAATAGAGTAGAATAGAATAGAATAGAATAGAATAGAATAGAATAGAATAGCAGACTATGGAATTGTTTGTAAAAGCAAAGAATAAAATAAAGCAGAATAAAACTGAATAGAACAGAATTAAATAGAGTTTGATCAAATAGAATAGAATAGAATAGAATAAAATAAAAAGGAATAGAATAGAAACTGTTTAATTCTATTACAATAAATCTATAACAGCTACAACTTCAGTTAATGTATAATCAGTCAGACTGTAAATAAAGACGATGAAGTTCATGATGTTCAGTCAAATAACAGTGAACTGATGTCTCTTGATACTCAGTCCTTCATGGAGGTTTAAGTGCTTCGATGATAACTATCGTTTGTAAATATCAACAGTGAAAATCTAATTATCTGACATGACTCTGGAGACACACATTAGTAGATAAATTTGAGTCTGTTTTAGGTTTATTCCTTTAAATGTGACCGTGTGTGTTTGTGTCTTTGACAGTCTTCAGCTGGAAAACAGAAGAGCTGAGAGCCGATCAGACCTCTGTGGACGGATCTGTGTGTCTGATTCTGTAAATAAAGCTTCATCTCCGTATGTCCGAGCATTTCTGCATTTACACACAAACACATCAGTAAAACTCTGCTAACATTAGAGGAACAGTTTCAGACAATATCTGTATGTTTGCTATTGTCTTCACTCCTCCATCCTCTGTTCATTGACTTTGATGGTTTTTATCCTAAATGTAGACATCTCTGATATAAACCCTGACATTTGATTTATTAGCTTTCATTTAGGACTTTAAAGCTTCTTGTTGAATTTACAGAACAGCATTTTCATTTGTACATAAATAATCACCTGTTGTTTAAATAAAGATGTTAATTTTAGACTCTTATTGTAACAGCCAGACTTCAATAAATCTCCAAATATAAACTTTTGTTCAGCTCTTTGTGGTTTTAAAACCGTGTCGTGTTTTTTATTCGCTCAATAAAAGTTCAGCAGAGGACGTTGTTGGTTGTTTTCTTGGAACTTTTTGACTTTGTTTGACTTTAAATAAAAGTGATAAAGAGATAAAAGTTGGTGTCTGTAAGTTAATTTAAGAGAAACTCAAGAGTCAAACTCATGTTTTACTTTATTAGTATCTCAGCACGTTTAGACAGTTAATTAGACACTTAAAATGTTCATACTGAAGCAACATAGCGAATATAAATGTGTGTAAATAAGTTTAGTTTAAGTTGATCATAAATCCTGTGTGATGACGGTAATTTCACTTAAAATAAAAAAGTTAAAACTTAGAGAGTTTTTGTTTATTTCAGTCACACTCACTTTAGAAAAAATCCAGAAAATTCTTTTTTCCCGATGGTTTATGCCAAAAATAAAACATGAGTTAAAAAAATCTACAAATGGAAGAAAAGAAATTCGCTTTTTCAGACATTCATGAGAGAAACTGTAAAGTGAAAATTTCTTCCTTTAGTGGTCGACTATTTCAATTATCAAACATTCATCTGTCATGTGAATGAAGCTTAAATAAAACCGAATAAAACCCTTTTACAGAAAACAAAACACAACCACACGAACTGAAACTGAGGTTCTCTGCAGTCTTATTAGTTAAACTTTTTCTGTTTTTATTTCACTTTTTTTAGCCTGTCTGCGACAAAATGCTTTGATTTCTTGAATTCGATCATCTTTCTGGAACAACCTGATCAGAAAACGTTTGATTAGGCATATTTTCATTCTTATTAGCTTTAAAAAACTGAAAAATAAGCTCTTGTAAAACTTAGTTGCTCCATAAATTGATGCCGTTTAACTGTAATCTCTCCTCGCACCTTCACCTACTCTGATCGTGTTTCCCTCTGACAGTCCGAGGTATTTTTAGCCGCTCTGTTATCGGTGTATTTTCTCAGAAATATCAGCTCAGGAAACTCCAACTCTGTGTTTTTTTTTCCAGTCGCAGTCTGAAGAGTTTGTGGGCAGATCTGAGTGTTTTTTTCCATGTTGCACAAACGAAAGTAGAACATGAGGGTTGTTGTTTTTTTCTCTCTCAACAGTCGTCTCTTCACTTTAAACAAAGCTGCTAAAACTTAAATATGTAAGGGTAACACAGGAGGAGAGGAAGTGAGCGTCGTTTTCTGAGAGCTGCAGAGGAGAGGATGTGGTCAGAGCCTGAACATCACAAACCTCCGTGTTTACCGCGCACACCTGCAGCTCTGCAGCGACAACAGAGCTCGTCTCTGTGCAAACAGCTGCAGAACGTCCATTTCTGTGTCAACTGACGCTTTACTGTCGACATCGAACCTGTTAGAGTCACACGGCAGCTGTTTGTTCGGAGACACTGTGGACTGAAATATTCCTACAGTGAAAAAAGTGACAATAAAGTTAAATGTGTGAATCACAACCTAAGGAGGAAAACAACAAACCCTTTTTTTTTTTTTATTTGACCTACAATCCACCTCAAAATAAAGCTTTTCTCATCTAGATGGTTCTCATTTTGTACATTTTCTCATTTTTTTAGGTGCTTCTATTTCGCACTTGGGACAGTTTGAGGAAAAGTTCATGTTACGTTTACATTGTTGAGAGGGAGATATGTCAGCTGATGGTGATTATTTTGAAAAATAAAAAGTTCTGAATGTATTTTTGACAAAGTTAGATTAGAGTCTGTTTTTAATTCTGCTGTAAATAAAACTGGAGCTTCAAACTCAACTTCACTCCAACAGAAACGACAAAGATCATCAAACAAAGAAACCTGACCTTTTTTTTTTTTCATGATCTTTAACGGAGCAGGAACAGTTTCTACATTTAGTTTCTTAACAAACAGCTCGCCGCCCTCGCTGCTGTCACACTAACAGGAAACCGCGTGTGTCAACCCGCAACAGAAACCTGCAGTCTGACATCTGTGAGCTCCATTTAAACTTCTCTGTTCGTCATTTCTCCATCTGATCGTTCAATTAAAACATATCTATGAAGTATTTTAGAAAAGAGAGCAAAACAAGCAAGAATATTGAATGTGGACCATGTGAAGATTTCATTATAAAAGTATCAGACAGAATTTAAAAGTCTGTGAATTACAAGTCAAACATGATTGGATTTGTTATTTCATGCTTTGATTTTGTTCAACTTGGTTTTGGACTTGTGTTATTTCTATATTTTTTAATTTTAAGTCGTATTTTGACCTGTTATACCTGATTTCAAAGTTCTCCTCATGTATTTTCTCTCTAAAAACATTATTTTTCTATTTTTAATATCATGCTCTGATCTTTTAAACTAATAAGTAAAAATAGAATAAAAAATAAAATACTTTTTTCTATCTCAGTTTGCTTTTAAACTTATCATTTAATCTTTTTTGAATTTCCAAATGATTTATAATCATTGCTGTTTTTGTTATATACTTTTTTGAAGAGGAGGTTGACAGTTTTGGTGAAATGTTGACCCTGTTTGGCCCTCAGGTTAGACCATAATCCAGATTACAGCCCTTGCTGTGGTTGAGTTTGACACCCCTGCTCTAAACCAAGAAGTCAGTCCCCCTAAACACAGTAAAAATAAAGATGAGAAATTAAAGCAGGCTGCCTGTGTAGAAGTAGTCGTTTATTTTTGTTGTGGTAAAGAGATTTAAAGTAAATGGTACAATGTTGAGTCTACTATTGTTAAGTAGACCTTGTTTAAAACCGTTACCAAAGAGTTATCTGTGTTTTATTCAGATTCACTAATATTTGGATAAGTATGAGTGTCAGTTTAAATCAATGAAATCCAAATGATGAGTGGAGAGGAAGATAATCAACTGAACATAAACCGATTATTTTATCCTGTTTGATAAACTCGATGAAGCCGGAGCAGAAAGTCAAAGTGAAGCTTTAACTTCAGTCTGTGAAGTAATTAAAAAAAAAAAGTTTGAGTGAACCCCAGAACTACTTTAAACATCCTCACCTCTGTAGTTGCTTCATTCTGACTCTAGAGGGCAGCCTGAGTCCAGTTTATGAGGGATGCAGTCCCTCTGAGAGACGCTGTACTTCTAAATGCTTCTTTAATTATTATTATATTATATATTATATATTATATATATATACATATATTATATTTTATTATTTTATTATTCATGACTTTTTCATGATACAGTGTTACATCAATTTCATATCTAGAGCTTAAAATTATTAATTAAACTTTAATTTTAAGGGTTTAAATGTTTAACCAGATCTGGAAACATTTGTCTCCTCCTTTGACAGGGAAGTGGATCTAAACAAACTCTAGACTTCAAACTTTAGATTCTGGGTTCATCACAGACACACAGGAAACCAGAACAGTTTGACTACATTTGCAAAAAGTCATCTAAGACTCTGTTTATTTAATGAAGACAGCAGAAAACTTCAAACGTTCAGCAACGTGAATAAATAAGAGACGTAAAATTTCAACACTGGTGAATTCTCCTGAATGTATAAATGAACTGAAGACACCAACAGTCTTTTTAGATCAGCTTGTAAACATATTTGATGACTCACTTTTAAGGCCAGTCCCAAGTGGAGATTTAGAGAATTGCAACACTTGTATTCCAGGAAGGTAAGATTAGAGATAGTATTTATGTAATCCTGTGTTTGGATTAAGTGTAGATGGTTCAGTTCTTTGTGTTTTTGCTAGGGCTCACCTAAAATCCTCCATGGGGTTTAGCCCAAAGCGCTTGTGCAGGGACACTTTGAGCCCTATGGGTTGAACCAAAGTCCTTCAACAAATCCTTCCTGACCTGAAAGACACCGACCTGAGACCTGAGCGCTTTCCCAGGGTGAGTCTGTCATGGATTTAGAGCGGAGTCCAGGTTTCCCTAGAAGCAAAAACAGATTTTTTAATGTGTTGGACAAAAAGCAGCACATAAACTTGAACGGAGAGGGATGGTGTGAATGAAAACAAACCTCCATTCGGTTGAAGAGCCCTAGTAAGGCGGTCCGGTCCACGTTGGAGGCAGAGAGCAGCGAGTCCAGCTGAACCTGCCTGTTCTCCAGACGCTCTTCCACGGCCCTGACCTTCTCCTCCAGCAGCTTGCTTCTCGAAACGCCTTTCTGCTGCGCCTCCTGAATGCTCCGAGTGAAGGCCTCGTACAGCTCGTCCCTCTCCAGCTGAAACTGTTCGACGGAAAGAAGAAGCAGCACCTCAACAAGGACACCCAGTACTCTTGGATTCGGTTCATTGTGTCTTTTTTGATAAATTACGATCAGATGTTCTTTTATACAAAAGAAAGAGTGTGAGAAGGAGACAGCAACAAGACAAGCAAGAACAATAAAGAAAATCACAGATCAGCTATAACAGACCACTGCAAACCAGAGAACCACATCATGGATTGGGAAAATGCCAGAGTCGTCCGCACCGAAGAAAATGAACATCAGCGCTGGATCAGGGAGACGATGGAAATCCGGACGTGAGGCCTGAGGACCATCAACCGGGATGAGGGGGCATAGATGCTATCCCACACCTGGGGGCGAGCTGAAGGCGTGACCGATCTGTCAAACTGACGGAAAGGTCACGCCTCCGCAAACATCACACAACCATCACGTGACACTCTGAGGAAGACTGCTGCCAGCACGTCCAAACATGTCAGTAAGGTGTTAAAAAACTTGTGTCTGTATAAAAGAACATCTGATCGTAACACCCCGTGTTCACCGAGCTGACACCGTGCCGCTCTGTCTTCTCCGTACCTTGCCGAGTTTCTGCTCCAGTGCCTTCTGTTCCTGTTTTAGTCTGTCCAGTTCCCTTGGACAGGCCCTCTCTGAGTAATTCTGCAAAAAAACAGCATCACAAATTCACCTCGTGTCTATTTCTGTCAGGTTCTTTGACACGTCGTAGCAACAGCAAAGGATCAACAGGGGCACAAAAGTGACCGTTCTCATTGAAGGAGATCTTTTTTCTAGTGTGGCAATTTCCTCCTGAAGTTCAGAGAGAAGCTCAGAAAGCTTATAGAGATGTTTCTCATCCTGTTGTTGAAGACAGTCCAGGTCTGGATCTCGTGCCAAAATGTAGTCCTCAGAATCAAGGATCTAAGGAAGGGCGAACAAACAGAGGATGTCAAAACCAGCACTGCGACACTACGTTAAGACAGACGAAGAAGAACCCTTTTCATGAAGAGGAGGATGAGAAGGTCAGAATAAACAGGAATGTTCTGGCCTCACTTTAATACTCATACCGCGGTCGGGACGCTCTCATGGTTTGAAACATCACATGGTGTTTCCATCTCCTTCGTTGCTTTGCTGTGTTGGTCTTGAAGACTTCTGATGAAGCTTCTCCACTGCTCATGTCTCTCAGCTGTCTTTGTCTTCGACCCGTTCTCCAGCTTTAGTTTCAGCTGCTCGACCCTTTCCTTACACTTGGCCTCATGACCTGCAGAGAGGAAAGACACGACCACGGCTCCGTTTGTTTGTTTTTGTTGTTCTAACTCTTGGAGATGTTGGATTGAGCTCACATCATGATCAGTGTTTTACTTTTAATTTGTTCTTCCACGTGGTTCCTTCTTTCAGCCAGTTCTTGATCAAATTTCTGTTGGAATCACACAAAAACGGTGTAAGGTTAGGCATGTCGGGGCACAGAGACGCCTTTTATCCCAGGATCCTGAAGTGTAGGAGTAAAACTACAAACCAAACAAAGCTCCTTGTAGAGGTTTTCATGATCAAAATCCTGCATGTCCCCCTTAATCGTCTGTAATTCTCTATGGAGCTCAGACTCTAACTGTTGCTGCTCCTCTTGAATCGCCTCAGTGGTCACCACAGCGTCTGCCTCTAACTCAGAGATGGTGTTCTGGTGTTCACACAGGAGGTGCTTCATCTTCTGCCTGTACACCTAAAGGGGATAAAATGAAATGTTCATCAGTAGTTTTTTAATCTGGTATGTTCTTTCTGTGTGTAATCTGAATGTTTTTATGTAGGATGAGCCAGTTGTGAGATTTGACACTGAAAAATCAAGCTTACTGAGAAAGTCAAACCTGTGACCTTGAATGTGAAGTTGAGGCCTTTTCTGTATTAACCTCACCTGAAGCTCTACTTGATGCCGACTCTCGTCCTCTACGATGTCCTTATCTAAGATTTTCTCCTCTGCTATGGCCTCCTCCTTCTGCCTCTCTGTGATCTTCCAGAACATGTGGATCCGGTCTCGTTCCAGCTGAAAGTAGTTCCTCTCCTCGTTCTCTCTATCCAGCTCCTCACGAAGACGCACGATGTGCTCCTCCAGCTGGTTCACAGAAACACATTTCAGTCTTTTGATGTATGATGGTATCGACTTTGCATGTCTAGAAGTTTATTATGAGCTTTGGAGAAGATAGAAGGAATATTTACTTATTAATTTCCTCATCTTTGTCATTCAAACACACTGAACAATATTACCGCTGTGTTCACTTTCTTCCAGCTCAGGTCTGCTAAATGCTGCTCAACACCACACACTCTATCTTGTGTGTTGGAGAGTGGGGTAAGATGAGCCGTTTTTCATATTTCAGATCACTACATCAAGGCAATCCTAGTTTTGTCTCTAACTCGTGTATCTGCAGATATTTCAGGATGTTGTTCAAACTTATGACAGACTAAATTCACTTTCAAGAGTGAGAAATGTTTTGGTTTTTTTGTAAATAAATGTCTAACCCCTTCACCTGTGTGCTTCTAACCTTCACAGACTCCATGAATTGATGCCCATCTCCTAAAGATTTGGTCACATGATCAATTTCTTTTACCATTTGGCTCAACTTAACCCAGTCTCCCCTACATTTAAGCACAAACTGTTGTCTCAATCTAACCCTGAACACCCAAACATCCCTGTATATACTCGGACCTGCTCCTTGGTGATCTCCTCCTTGGTGAGACCGTCTATCAGGGTGGGGGTCTTTGCCTTTGGGGGCTTCTTACTTGAGCCTTTCTTTTTGGGGGGCTGAGGAGTCAAAATAACAGGAGAAAAATAAAAGTTAAAACTGCACCACGTTGCAGTCAGCTTTTTACAACCTCGTCGTCTTTGTCTTTATGTGAATGAAATTACAGATAACGAGCAAATTTACATGAAAGTGTCATGAAGGTAACGGCTAACTTTAGCGATTTACTGTTAGCTTCGTTTAAACACACGCTGTGAGTTAAAGATTAAAAAAATAAATACAAATAAATCACTTACCATCTTAAATATGAATCAAACAGCACAACGAGAAAGGTACCGGCAGTTTACAGATCGTGTCTGGCTGTTAAAACAAAAGTTAGAGGGAGAAAGTTCACCGCTGTTGCTAGCCTGCTGGCCAAGACGTTTCCATGACAACAAAAACACGCTAACGGCTGCTACAGGAGGGCTAACTCCGCACTACGCATGCGCTCAAGGAGGTTCAAGCGACGTTCAACTGAGCATGCGCATTTGGAGCTCCACTGTCTGCCATCAAATACTGTTGAATCGGATTTCGACCGTTTGTCTCAGTGGAACTTTGGACATAAATTAGTGGAAATCTTGGATCAGAAACAGTCATTTATTTTGGTTATGTGTTGGCTTTAAGTAACAGACCTCCTTTATGTTACATAATATTAAACCACTTTGATTCTATATAAATTTGCTTTGACAATGCAGGTGATTATACACGTTTAAAACTGCACTATGCTGCCAAATGCCACACATTATACCACCAGAGGGCGACATACGTCAACAAATGAAACATGGATGTACCTTAGACTGTGACACTTCCAACACATCACCTTTTCCTGCTCACAGATAACTGACACCGCCCTGTTTTTGCTCTGTGACAGTCATGTGCTCTCCTGTCAGATTAAACTCATTCACCGCTGATAGTCGAGTGTCACAGCATCTCTAATATGATGTTAGTCCTCTTCATTATCTGTTTCAGTCAGCTGTCCAGAACTGAGGGTGAGAAAACAGTAAAAGAAAATGAAAATGCTGCACAGTTTGTAACTTCAGTATCTTAAGTGTTTGTTGTTTTTTAACACAGGTGAGCCTCAGACAAAAAATGTCACCCAAAAACCGCCTTTTATGACCAAGAGGATTGCAGACTCTGTATCCAGCGAGATCACATGTTCACACAGCATTCCCAGCTATGAGCGTATTCTCTGGTACAAACAGGACAAACACGGAGCTCTGACACTTCTGGGATTTATGAATTTGGGTTATGAGAATCTGGAGGACGGCATGAAAGGAAAAGTCAGCATGAACGGTGATGGACGGACACACTCAAACCTCTCCATTTCTAATCTTTTGTTGAATGACAGTGGAGTGTATTTCTGTGCTGCTAGTGAACACAGTGCTGCAGATTCCCATAAAGTCAGTACAAAAACCCTCTTTATCAGTCTGCAGACGCCCAACACATTCACAAACACCTGCAGCCTCCATCAAACAGAACTTTTAAAGATCTTATCAGCGGTTCTGACTTTGTTTCACCTCATGTGAGGACAAGAGAAACAGAAGTGAAAAAAACTGTCAAAATGAAGTTACTATACACTCATTTTCAATTTGAAACCAGTAACACAAGGTCATTTTCACCACCGAGTAACATCCACTCTTCTTTCAAAAATGCTGTAAATGTTCTGGGAACTGAGAAGACAAGGTTCCTGAGTGTTAAATGAAATATGAAGGTCTTCTCTGAAAAAGTCGTTGTCTGGATAGCTTCTAAAAATATTGCAGAGGATATCAGGAAGTGATAGAGGACTACAGCAGTGAAGACATGATGGTTCTGATGCTGAAACAGGAGGATGTTGTTCTTTGGCACCACCCACCTCAGTTTACTGAAACGAGGTCTTACTCAGGAGGAGTGAAGAAATCATAGATGAACCAACATCTTAGAAACAGCTCTGACAGAAGAGAGTGAGTTCAGGATGATCTGTGTCTGCTGCTTCGCTTTGAGTCTCTTACTGTTTTCAGGTCTTAACATGTTTTTTACTGTCAAAGAGGTTCAGGAGATAAAAATGATCATGTTAAACTTCTGTCAGATCTTTATAAGTCAGTCTGATCTTCTCCACAGGTTCCTCTGTGAGTGTCAAAGTCACACAGACTCCAGCAGATCTGTTCTACACACCAGGAGACACGGCCAGAATCAACTGTTCTCACGATGAGAGTAGATACGATCAAATCCTCTGGTATAAGAAGACAAACGGCACACAGATGCAGTTACTGGGGTTCATGTCCTTTACAAGAGGAACTCCAGAGGACAATGTGAATGTGACCTTTGAAGGTGGAGCGAGCAAAGACCAGAACTGCACATTAATCATTGAAAAAGTCGACCTGAGCAGCAGTGCGGTGTATTTCTGTGCTGCGAGTTTACACGGTGCTCTACATCACTGCTCATCAGTACAGAAACCTCCTCTTCATTACAGCCCACAGACTCCTGCACCTGGATCTCTTCCCTTCAAAGAGTTGTTGTGAACTTAAACAGACCTCCAAAGAGCTGAACCAGACTTCCTCATGGACCAATCATCCTCCAGACTTTAATCAATAAAACACTCCTCTTTGAGCATCTCTCACCTTCTTCTTAACCTGTTCAATAATCACATGATTTGATTTTGAAATAACTCGCACTTGTACTGATGTGACCTCAGAGTAAAGTCAGATAATCAGCGACAGTCTGAGTTATTTCTCTGTACTGTGTTTTAGCGTCTGTGTTGAGGTCAGATCCTCTAAATCTCTGACTCCTCCCCTCTCAGCTGATCCTACATCAGTTCAGTCTGCCCGTGAACGCAGACACAGAGAGACAGATCAGGACATCATGATCAGGATCCTTCTGCTGCTTCTCTGCTTCTGTAGGTTTGAACTCAAACTCTTTGATAAAAATCCTTCAGTGTCACCCTAATGTCACACCGCTGTCTTTTCTCTCTGTGTGCAGGTCAGTCGCTGAGCTATGAAGTCCATCAACATCCTCCGTCAATCTTGGGAAGTCCAGAAAGTACTCAAGTTATCAGCTGCAATCACTCCGTCAGTACATTGAATGTGATTCTGTGGTATCAGGTGCCAACAGGTGACTCTAAACTCGACCTCATTGGATATATTCAGTATAAAAGGCCTGATGTGGAGGAGAAACACAAACCGCACTTCAACATAACCGGAGATGGCTCGAAGAGATCTGAACTTCATGTGCTGAAACTCAGACAGGAGGACGACGGCGGCGTGTTTTACTGTGCAGCGAGTACACAGTGACTCAAAGTCTGTCTCCTCCACACAAAAACCCTCGATGGTAATCAGACAATAAATTCACTGAGAGAAAGAGAAGAGCAGCTGCAGCTCTCTGAAGCAGGCGGAGGGAAATTAGAGGTTTCTGTCTCTAATTCAGTGATCCCATCAGACTCACTGCTGTTAACTATTTCTATGAACAAATCACTTATTATGGAGTTTGTGTTTGTCGGTCCTCAGTCGTTGAATGTTTGAAGCCGAGAGTGAAATCCATCCACTATCACCTCATTTAAAACCCTATATTCAGTCTAAAAAGAGCAAAGACATTGTATGAAATGTAAAAACTAAATAAACTAAAACCTGCTCACTTTGAATTTAGTCGCAGAAACATGTTTCTAAAAAGTTGTGTAAGGTTAGCGACATGAAAAACACTCAACGGAACAATTGAAGGGTTAATTAGCAACATGTAGTGGAAATCACTGCATCCATTAATGCTGAACATGATCTACAGGGTTAGGAGAGACATCTGCTGCCATCCAGACAAAGACTCTCTCAGGGGAGACCTTCTGCTGATCATGTGACGACATTTCACTTTTAAAACTCCAGAAACTTCTCTCCTCAGTTCACAAGTATTTACAGAGCTGCTCAAAGAAGAGGAGAGGAAACACAACGGTAAACATGTCCATCAAAACAACATGGAAATAAGCCGCTCATGAAGACATGAGACGCCCCACAGTGTCAACCCCTCCTCCTCCACCTTCTTCTCCTCCTCCTTCTTCTTCACTTCCAGCCTCTTCTCAGTCCTTGTTACAGTCCTGTTTTCATCCACGTCTGAATCATGATCAGGCTCTTCATACTTCTACAGGCTCTGGCGCTCTCTTCATCAGGTAACCATCACAATAACCTTAAAAACAAACCTCGTCAGACTTTAACAGGTAACCTGGTTCTTTTACATTTTTCTCACAGAACTCTCAAAGAACAAAGTTGATCAGACTCCGACAGCGCTGATCAAACACCCTGGAGAAACAGTCCTGCTGAGCTGCAACCATTCCAACCCCAGTTTTGATATGATCCAGTGGTACAAACAGTCGGCTGAGGGACAGGACATGGTTCTGCTCGCCTTTGTGCGATTCTCTTATAGAGATGTTGAAGACCAGTTCAAAGATCTGTACAACGTGAGCGGGACAGGTGGAAGTCAGTCGAGTCTTCACATTTTAAAGCTGAACGGATCAGAGGAGAGAGCTGTGTATTTCTGTGCCGCCAGTGATGCACAGCGCTGCAGAAACCCTCAACCTTGAACAAAAACCTGCTCCGCTGCAGACAGACAGACGAGACCACAGCACAAACCGCAAAATAACTATAAACCACTTTGTTACAGCTGGACTGACATGAGACAGAGAGATCATTTTTACCCATCAGGGTGCAGTGTTTCTCCACAGACGTTCAGAGGAGGAGTCACTTCCTCCTCCTGTCTTTACTGAATATTCATACTCTGAAACAGGAGGATGTCACATGATAAGGGGATGAAAGTGCTCTTCACTGTGGATCTGTTCATCTGTTGAATGATGGTTTTCATACTTCCTCTCTCTGCTGTATTTTTACACCTCCCACCCCACAGACTGACTCTGACTCCACTCTCTGAGATCATTGGTCTCTAAACACAGCGATGACGATCACAGCTGGTCTCATCTACGTCTCTGCAGCTCTGCTCAGTATCACAGGTACTCTATGAACAACCATTAAGTACAATATATTCTGAGATGTTAATCGATCTGTGAGATGATGTGTGATTTTTACCTTCCACAGGTGTAATCCATGGAGGTGACGTCGATCAGGACCTCCAGATTTGGAGGAAAGAGGGTCAAAATGCTACGATGGCCTGCAGTCACAAAAAAGACGCAAGTTATTACCAGATGTACTGGTTCAGACAGCTGCCAGGGAAGAGGATGGAGCAGATAGTCCTCACAACCACATCTCCACCGTATGACTATTTCACCGGCTTCAGTAAGGACAAATTTCCTGCAGAGAGACAGTCCGTTCAGAACGGCTCTCTGACGGTGGTGAAGCTGCTGCCTGCAGACGGGGGAGTGTATTATTGTGCTGTAAGCCAACACAGTGATACAAGTGGTTCAGGCAGATGCACAAATACCCCACTAATGAAAAACAGACATCAGAGATTTAGTGAAACCTGAAGGGGGCGCTCCAAACCTGTATGCAAGGTTGAAGAGTGTGTGTCCTCTTATTATACGCCCATTTTCAATTTGAAACCAGTAACAAAAGGTCATTTTCACCACCGAGTAACATCCACTCTTCTTCAGAAAAAAGGTGTAAATGCTCTGGGACTGAGAAGACAAGGTTCCTGAGAGTTAAATGAAACATGAAGGTCTTCTCTGAAAAAGTCGTTGTCTGGATAACTTCTAAAAATATTGCAGAGGATATCAGGAAGTGATAGAGGACTACAGCAGTGAAGACATGATGGTTCTGATGCTGAAACAGGAGGATGTTGTTCTTTGGCACCACCCACCTCAGTTTACTGAAACGAGGTCTTACTGAGGAGGAGTGAAGAAATCACAGATGAACCAACATCTTAAAAACCGCTCTGACAGAAGAGAGTGACTTCAGGATGATCTGTGTCTGCTGCTTCGCTTTGAGTCTCTCACTGTTTTCAGGTCTTAACATGTTTTTTACTGTCAAAGAGGTTCAGGAGATAAAAATGATCATGTTAAACTTCTGTCAGATCTTTATAAGTCAGTCTGATCTTCTCCACAGGTTCCTCTGTGAGTGTCAAAGTCACACAGACTCAAGCAGATCTGTTCTACACACCAGGAGACACGGCCAGAATCAACTGTTCTCATGATGAGAGTAAATACGATCAAATCCTCTGGTATAAGAAGACAAACGGCACACAGATGCAGTTACTGGGATATATGTATTATACAAAAGGAACTCCAGAGGACAAAGTGAATGTGAGCTTTGAAGGTGGAGCGAGCAAAGACCAGAACTGCACATTAATCATTGAAAAAGTCGACCTGAGCAGCAGTGCGGTGTATTTCTGTGCTGCGAGTTTACACGGTGCTCTACATCACTGCTCATCAGTACAAAAACCTCCTCTTCATTACAGCCCACAGACTCCTGCACCTGGATCTCTTCCCTTCAAAGAGTTGTTATGAACTTCAACAGACCTCCAAAGAGCTGAACCAGACTTCCTCATGGACCAATCATCCTCCAGACTTCAATCAATAAAACACTCCTCTTTGAGCATCTCTCACCTTCTTCTTAACCTGTTCAATAATCACATGATTTGATTTTGAAATAACTCGCACTTGTACTGATGTGACCTCAGAGTAAAGTCAGATAATCAGCGACAGTCTGAGTTATTTCTCTGTACTGTGTTTTAGCGTCTGTGTTGAGGTCAGATCTTCTAAATCTCTGACTCCTCCCCTCTCAGCTGATCCTACATCAGTTCAGTCTGCCCGTGAACGCAGACACAGAGAGACAGATCAGGACATCATGATCAGGATCCTTCTGCTGCTTCTCTGCTTCTGTAGGTTTGAACTCAAACTCTTTGATAAAAATCCTTCAGTGTCACCCTAATGTCACACCGCTGTCTTTTCTCTCTGTGTGCAGGTCAGTCACTGAGCTATGAAGTCCATCAACATCCTCCGTCAATCTTGGGAAGTCCAGAAAGTACTCAAGTTATCAGCTGCAATCACTCCGTCAGTACATTTTACGTGATTTTGTGGTATCAGGTGCCAACAGGTGACTCTAAACTCGACCTCATTGGATATATTCAGTATAAAAGGCCTGATGTGGAGGAGAAACACAAACCGCACTTCAACATAACCGGAGATGGCTCGAAGAGATCTGAACTTCATGTGCTGAAACTCAGACAGGAGGACGACGGCGGCGTGTTTTACTGTGCAGCGAGTACACAGTGACTCAAAGTCTGTCTCCTTCACACAAAAACCCTCGATGGTAAATCAGACGATAAATTCACTGTGAGAAAGAGAAGAACAGCTGCAGCTCTCTGAAGCAGGCGGAGGGAAATTAGAGGTTTCTGTCTCTAATTCAGTGATCCCATCAGACTCACTGCTGTTAACTATTTCTATGAACAAATCACTTATTATCGAGTTTGTGTTTGTCGGTCCTCAGTCGTTGAATGTTTGAAGTTGAGAGTGAAATCCATCCACCATCACCTCATTTAAAACCCTATATTCAGTCTAAAAAGAGCAAAGACGTTGTATGAAATGTAAAAACTAAATAAACTGAAACCTGCTCACTTTGAACTTAGTCACAGAAACATGTTTCTAAAAAGTTGTGTAAGGTTAGCGACATGAAAAACACTCAACAAAACAACTGAAGGGTTAATTTACAACATGTAGTGGAAATCACTGCATCCATTAATGCTGAACATGATCTACAGGGTTAGGAGAGACATCTGCTGCCATCCAGACAAAGACTCGTTCAGGGGAGACCTTCTGCTGATCATGTTACGACATTTCACTTTTAAAACTCCAGAAACTTCTCTCCTCAGTTCACAAGTATTTACAGAGCTGCTCAAAGAAGAGGAGAGGAAACACAACAGTTAACATGTCCGTCAAAACAATATGGAAATAAGCCGCTCATGAAGACATGAGACGCCCCACAGTGTTGACCCCTCCTCCACCTTCTTCTCCTCCTTCTTCTTCACTTCCAGCCTCTTCTCAGTCCTTGTTACAGTCCTGTTTTCATCCACGTCTGAATCATGATCAGGCTCTTCATACTTTTACAGGCTCTGGCGCTCTCTTCATCAGGTAACCATCACAATAACCTTAAAAATGAACCTCGTCAGACTTTAACAGGTAACCTGGTTCTTTTACATTTTTCTCGCAGAACTCTCAAAGAACAAAGTTGATCAGACTCCGACAGCGCTGATCAAACACCCTGGAGAAACAGTCCTGCTGAGCTGCAACCATTCCAACCCCAGTTTTGATATGATCCAGTGGTACAAACAGTCGGCTGAGGGACAGGACTTGGTTCTGCTCGCCTTTGTGCGATTCTCTTATAGAGATGTTGAAGACCAGTTCGAAGATCTGTACAACGTGAGCGGGACAGGTGGAAGTCAGTCGAGTCTTCACATTTTAAAGCTGAACGGATCAGAGGAGAGAGCTGTGTATTTCTGTGCCGCCAGTGATGCACAGCGCTGCAGAAACCCTCAACCTTGAACAAAAACCTGCTCCGCTGCAGACAGACAGACAGACAGACAGACGAGACCACAGTACAAACCGCAAAATAACTATAAACCACTTTGTTACAGCTGGACTGACATGAGACAGAGAGATCATTTTTACCCATCAGGGTGCAGTGTTTCTCCACAGACGTTCAGAGGAGGAGTCACTTCCTCCTCCTGTCTTTACTGAATATTCATACTCTGAAACAGGAGGATGTCACATGATAAGGGGATGAAAGTGCTCTTCACTGTGGATCTGTTCATCTATTGAATGATGGTTTTCATACTTCCTCTCTCTGCTGTATTTTTACACCTCCCACCCCACAGACTGACTCTGACTCCACTCTCTGAGATCATTGGTCTCTAAACACAGCGATGACGATCACAGCTGGTCTCATCTATGTCTCTGCAGCTCTGCTCAGTATCACAGGTACTCTATGAACAACCATTAAGTACAATATATTCTGAGATGTTAATCGATCTGTGAGATGATGTGTGATTTGTACCTTCCACAGGTGTAATCCATGGAGGTGACGTCGATCAGGACCTCCAGATTTGGGGGAAAGAGGGTCAAAATGCTACGATGGCCTGCAGTCACAAAAAAGATGCAACTTATTTCCAGATGTACTGGTTCAGACAGCTGCCAGGGAAGAGGATGGAGCAGGTAGTCCTCACAACCACATCTCCACCGTATGACTATTTCCCCGGCTTCAGTAAGGACAAATTTCCTGCAGAGAGACAGTCCGTTCAGAACGGCTCTCTGACGGTGGTGAAGCTGCTGCCTGCAGACGGGGGAGTGTATTATTGTGCTGTAAGCAAACACAGTGATACAAGTGGTTCAGGCAGATGCACAAATACCCCACTAATGAAAAACAGACATCAGAGATTTAGTGAAACCTGAAGGGGGCGCTCCAAACCTGTATGCAAGGTTGAAGAGTGTGTGTCCTCTTATTATACACCTATTTTCAATTTGAACCCAGTAACACAAGGTCATTTTCACCACCGAGTAACATCCACTCTTCTTCAGAAAAAAGGTGTAAATGTTCTGGGACTGAGAAGACAAGGTTCCTGAGAGTTAAATGAAACATGAAGGTCTTCTCTGAAAGAGTTGTTGTCTGGATAGCTTCTAAAAATATTGCAGAGGATATCAGGAAGTGATAGAGGACTACAGCAGTGAAGACATGATGGTTCTGATGCTGAAACAGGAGGATGTTGTTCTTTGGCACCACCCACCTCAGTTTACTGAAACGAGGTCTTACTGAGGAGGAGTGAAGAAATCACAGATGAACCAACATCTTAAAAACAGCTCTGACAGAAGAGAGTGACTTCAGGATGATCTGTGTCTGCTGCTTCGCTTTGAGTCTCTTACTGTTTTCAGGTCTTAACATGTTTTTTACTGTCAAAGAGGTTCAGGAGATAAAAATGATCATGTTAAACTTCTGTCAGATCTTTATAAGTCAGTCTGATCTTCTCCACAGGTTCCTCTGTGAGTGTCAAAGTCACACAGACTCCAGCAGATCTGTTCTACACACCAGGAGACACGGCCAGAATCAACTGTTCTCACGATGAGAGTAGATACGATCAAATCCTCTGGTATAAGAAGACAAACGGCACACAGATGCAGTTACTGGGATATATGTATTATACAAAAGGATATCCAGAGGACAAAGTGAATATGACCTTTGAAGGTGGAGCGAGCAAAGACCAGAACTGCACATTAATCCTTGAAAAAGTCGACCTGAGCAGCAGTGCGGTGTATTTCTGTGCTGCGAGTTTACACGGTGCTCTACATCACTGCTCATCAGTACAAAAACCTCCTCTTCATAACAGCCCACAGACTCCTGCACCTGGATCTCTTCCCTTCAAAGAGTTGTTATGAACTTAAACAGACCTCCACAGAGCTGAACCAGACCTCCTCATGGACCAATCATCCTCCAGACTTCAATCAATAAAACACTCCTCTTTGAGCATCTCTCACCTTCTTCTTAACCTGTTCAATAATCACATGATTTGATTTTGAAATAACTCGCTCTCGTACTGATGTGACCTCAGAGTAAAGTCAGATAATCAGCGACAGTCTGAGTTATTTCTCTGTACTGTGTTTTAGCGTCTGTGTTGAGGTCAGATCTTCTAAATCTCTGACTCCTCCCCTCTCAGCTGATCCTACATCAGTTCAGTCTGCCCGTGAACGCAGACACAGAGAGACAGATCAGGACATCATGATCAGGATCCTTCTGCTGCTTCTCCGCTTCTGTAGGTTTGAACTCAAACTCTTTGATAAAAATCCTTCAGTGTCACCCTAATGTCACACCGCTGTCTCCTCTCTCTGTGTGCAGGTCAGTCACTGAGCTATGAAGTCCATCAACATCCTCCGTCAATCTTGGGAAGTCCTGAAAGTACTCAAGTTATCAGCTGCAATCACTCTGTCAGTACATTGAATGTGATTTTGTGGTATCAGGTGCCAACAGGTGACTCTAAACTCGACCTCATTGGATATATTCAGTATAAAAGGGATGTTTTGGAGGAGAAACACAAACCGCACTTCAACATAACCGGAGATGGCTCGAAGAGATCTGAACTTCATGTGCTGAAACTCAGACAGGAGGACAGCGGCGTGTTTTACTGTGCAGCGAGTACACAGTGACTCAAAGTCTGTCTCCTCCACACAAAAACCCTCGATGGTAAATCAGACGATAAATTCACTGTGAGAAAGAGAAGAGCAGCTGCAGCTCTCTGAAGCAGGCGGAGGGAAATTAGAGGTTTCTGTCTCTAATTCAGTGATCCCATCAGACTCACTGCTGTTAACTATTTCTATGAACAAATCACTTATTATCGAGTTTGTGTTTGTCGGTCCTCAGTCGTTGAATGTTTGAAGTTGAGAGTGAAATCCATCCACTATCACCTCATTTAAAACCCTAAATTCAGTCTAAAAAGAGCAAAGACATTGTATGAAATGTAAAAACTAAATAAACTTGATTGCTTTATGAAAAATACATGTTCACTTTTAATTTAGTCACAGAAAATGAAAGTTTAGGACAGAGACGACAAAAGACTAAAAAGTTGTGTAAGGTTAGCGACATGAAAAACACTCAACGGAACAATTGAAGGGTTAATTTACAACATGTAGTGGGCTCTGTAGTGGAAATCACTGCATCCATTAATGCTGAACATGATCTACAGGGTTAGGAGAGACATCTGCTGCCATCCAGACAAAGACTCTCTCAGGGGAGACCTTCTGCTGATCATGTGACGACATTTCACTTTTAAAACTCCAGAAACTTCTCTCCTCAGTTCACAAGTATTTACAGAGCTGCTCAAAGAAGAGGAGAGGAAACACAACAGTAAACATGTCAAAACAACATGGAAATAAGCCGCTCATGAAGACATGAGACGCCCCACAGTGTCGACCCCTCCTCCTCCACCTCCTTCTTCACTTCCAGCCTCTTCTCAGTCCTTGTTACAGTCCTGTTTTCATCCACGTCTGAATCATGATCAGGCTCGTCATACTTCTACAGGCTCTGGCGCTCTCTTCATCAGGTAACCATCACAATAACCTTAAAAACGAACCTCGTCAGACTTTAACAGGTAACCTGGTTCTTTTACTTTTTTCTCACAGAACTCTCAAAGAACAAAGTTGATCAGACTCCGACAGCGCTGATCAAACGCCCTGGAGAAACAGTCCTGCTGAGCTGCAACCATTCCAACCCCAGTTTTGATATGATCCAGTGGTACAAACAGTCGGCTGAGGGACAGGACTTGGTTCTGCTCGCCTTTGTGCGATTCTCTTATAGAGATGTTGAAGACCAGTTCGAAGATCTGTACAACGTGAGCGGGACAGGTGGAAGTCAGTCGAGTCTTCACATTTTAAAGCTGAACGGATCAGAGGAGAGAGCTGTGTATTTCTGTGCCGCCAGTGATGCACAGCGCTGCAGAAACCCTCAACCTTGAACAAAAACCTGCTCCGCTGCAGACAGACAGACAGACAGACGAGACCACAGTACAAACCGCAAAATAACTATAAACCACTTTGTTACAGCTGGACTGACATGAGGCAGAGAGATCATTTTTACCCATCAGGGTGCAGTGTTTCTCCACAGACGTTCAGAGGAGGAGTCACTTCCTCCTCCTGACTTTACTGAATATTCATACTCTGAAACAGGAGGATGTCACATGATAAGGGGATGAAAGTGCTCTTCACTGTGGATCTGTTCATCTATTGAATGATGGTTTTCATACTTCCTCTCTCTGCTGTATTTTTACACCTCCCACCCCACAGACTGACTCTGACTCCACTCTCTGAGATCATTGGTCTCTAAACACAGCGATGACGGTCACAGCTGGTCTCATCTATCTCTCTGCAGCTCTGCTCAGTATCACAGGTACTCTATGAACAGTCATTAAGTACGATATATTCTGAGATGTTTATCGATCTGTGAGATGATGAGGGATTTTTACCTTCCACAGGTGTAATCCATGGAGGTGACGTCGATCAGGACCTCCAGATTTGGGGGAAAGAGGGTCAAAATGCTACGATGGCCTGCAGTCACAAAAAAGATGCAACTTATTACCAGATGTACTGGTTCAGACAGCTGCCAGGGAAGAGGATGGAGCAGATAGTCTTCACAACCACATCTCCACCGCACCAGTATTTCCCCAGCTTCAGTGAGGACAAATTTCCTGCAGAGAGACAGTCCGTTCAGAACGGCTCTCTGACGGTGGTGAAGCTGCTGCCTGCAGACGGGGGAGTGTATTATTGTGCTGTAAGCCAACACAGTGATACAAGTGGTTCAGGCAGATGCACAAATACCCCACTAATGAAAAACAGACATCAGAGATTTAGTGAAACCTGAAGGGGGCGCTCCAAACCTGTATGCAAGGTTGAAGAGTGTGTGTCCTCTTATCATACACTTATTTTCAATTTGAACCCAGTAACAAAAGGTCATTTTCACCACCGAGTAACATCCACTCTTCTTCAGAAAAAAGGTGTAAATGTTCCGGGACTGAGAAGACAAAGTTCCTGAGTGTTAAATGAAATATGAAGGTCTTCTCTGAAAAAGTCGTTGTCTGGATAGCTTCTAAAATATTGCAGAGGATATCAGGAAGTGATAGAGGACTACAGCAGTGAAGACATGATGGTTCTGATGCTGAAACAGGAGGATGTTGTTCTTTGGCACCACCCACCTCAGTTTACTGAAACGAGGTCTTACTGAGGAGGAGTGAAGAAATCACAGATGAACCAACATCTTAAAAACCGCTCTGACAGAAGAGAGTGACTTCAGGATGATCTGTGTCTGCTGCTTCGCTTTGAGTCTCTTACTGTTTTCAGGTCTTAACATGTTTTTTACTGTCAAAGAGGTTCAGGAGATAAAAATGATCATGTTAAACTTCTGTCAGATCTTTATAAGTCAGTCTGATCTTCTCCACAGGTTCCTCTGTGAGTGTCAAAGTCACTCAGACTCCAGCAGATCTGTTCTACACACCAGGAGACACGGCCAGAATCAACTGTTCTCATGATGAGAGTAAATACGATCAAATCCTCTGGTATAAGAAGACAAACGGCACACAGATGCAGTTACTGGGATATATGTATTATACAAAAGGATATCCAGAGGACAAAGTGAATGTGACCTTTGAAGGTGGAGCGAGCAAAGACCAGAACTGCACATTAATCATTGAAAAAGTCGACCTGAGCAGCAGTGCGGTGTATTTCTGTGCTGCGAGTTTACACGGTGCTCTACATCACTGCTCATCAGTACAAAAACCTCCTCTTCATTACAGCCCACAGACTCCTGCACCTGGATCTCTGACTCCTCCCCTCTCAGCTGATCCTACATCAGTTCAGTCTGCCCGTGAACGCAGACACAGAGAGACAGATCAGGACATCATGATCAGGATCCTTCTGCTGCTTCTCTGCTTCTGTAGGTTTGAACTCAAACTCTTTGATAAAAATCCTTCAGTGTCACGCTAATGTCACACCGCTGTCTTTTCTCTCTGTGTGCAGGTCAGTCACTGAGCTATGAAGTCCATCAACATCCTCCGTCAATCTTGGGAAGTCCAGAAAGTACTCAAGTTATCAGCTGCAATCACTCCGTCAGTACATTTACTGTGATTTTGTGGTATCAGGTGCCAACAGGTGACTCTAAACTCGACCTCATTGGATATATTCAGTATAAAAGGCCTGATGTGGAGGAGAAACACAGACCGCACTTCAACATAACCGGAGATGGCTCGAAGAGATCTGAACTTCATGTGCTGAAACTCAGACAGGAGGATGACAGCGGCGTGTTTTACTGTGCAGCGAGTACACAGTGACTCAAAGTCTGTCTCCTCCACACAAAAACCCTCGATGGTAATCAGACGATAAATTCACTGTGAGAAAGAGAAGAGCAGCTGCAGCTCTCTGAAGCAGGCGGAGGGAAATTAGAGGTTTCTGTCTCTAATTCAGTGATCCCATCAGACTCACTGCTGTTAACTATTTCTATGAACAAATCACTGATTATGGAGTTTGTGTTTGTCGGTCCTCAGTCGTTGAATGTTTGAAGCAGAGAGTGAAATCCATCCACCATCACCTCATTTAAAACCCTATATTCAGTCTAAAAAGAGCAAAGACATTGTATGAAATGTAAAAACTAAATAAACTACAACATGCTCACTTTGAACTTCGTCACAGAAACATGTTTCTAAAAAGTTGTGTAAGGTTAGCGACATGAAAAACACTCAACAAAACAATTGAAGGGTTAATTTACAACATGTAGTGGGCTCTGTAGTGGAAATCACTGCATCCATTAATGCTGAACATGATCTACGGGGTTAGGAGAGACATCTGCTGCCATCCAGACAGAGACTCTCTCAGGGGAGACCTTCTGCTGATCATGTGACGACACTTCACTTTTAAAACTCCAGAAACTTCTCTCCTCAGTTCACAAGTATTTACAGAGCTGCTCAAATAAGAGGAGAGGAAACACAACGGTAAACATGTCCGTCAAAACAATATGGAAATAAGCCGCTAATGAAGACATGAGACGCACCACAGTGTCAACCCCTCCTCCTCCTCCTCCTCCTCCTCTTCCTTCTCCTCCTCCTCCTCCTTCTTCACTTCCAGACACTTCTCAGTCCTTGTTACAGTCCTGTTTTTATCCACGTCTGAATCATGATCAGGCTCTTCATACTTCTACAGGCTCTGGCGCTCTCTTCATCAGGTAACCATCACAATAACCTTAAAAACGAACCTCGTCAGACTTTAACAGGTAACCTGGTTCTTTTACTTTTTTCTCGCAGAACTCTCAAAGAACAAAGTTGATCAGACTCCGACAGCGCTGATCAAACACCCTGGAGAAACAGTCCTGCTGAGCTGCAACCATTCCAACCCCAGTTTTGATATGATCCAGTGGTACAAACAGTCGGCTGAGGGACAGGACTTGGTTCTGCTCGCCTTTGTGCGATTCTCTTATAGAGATGTTGAAGACCAGTTCAAAGATCTGTACAACGTGAGCGGGACAGGTGGAAGTCAGTCGAGTCTTCACATTTTAAAGCTGAGCGGATCAGAGGAGAGAGCTGTGTATTTCTGTGCCGCCAGTGATGCACAGCGCTGCAGAAACCCTCAACCTTGAACAAAAACCTGCTCCGCTGCAGACAGACAGACAGACAGACAGACGAGACCACAGTACAAACCGCAAAATAACTATAAACCACTTTGTTACAGCTGGACTGACATGAGACAGAGAGATCATTTTTACCCATCAGGGTGCAGTGTTTCTCCACAGACGTTCAGAGGAGGAGTCACTTCCTCCTCCTGACTTTATTGAATATTCATACTCTGAAACAGGAGGATGTCACATGATAAGGGGATGAAAGTGCTCTTCACTGTGGATCTGTTCATCTATTGAATGATGATTTTCATACTTCCTCTCTCTGCTGTATTTTTACACCTCCCACCCCACAGACTGACTCTGACTCCACTCTCTGAGATCATTGGTCTCTAAACACAGCGATGACGATCACAGCTGGTCTCATCTACGTCTCTGCAGCTCTGCTCAGTATCACAGGTACTCTATGAAGAGTCATTAAGTACGATATATTCTGAGATGTTAATCGATCTGTGAGATGATGTGTGATTTTTACCTTCCACAGGTGTAATCCATGGAGGTGACGTCGATCAGGACCTCCAGATTTGGAGGAAAGAGGGTCAAAATGCTACGATGGCCTGCAGTCACAAAAAAGATGCAACTTATTTCCAGATGTACTGGTTCAGACAGCTGCCAGGGAAGAGGATGGAGCAGATAGTCCTCACAACCACATCTCCACCGTATGACTATTTCCCCGGCTTCAGTAAGGACAAATTTCCTGCAGAGAGACAGTCCGTTCAGAACGGCTCTCTGACGGTGGTGAAGCTGCTGCCTGCAGACGGGGGAGTGTATTATTGTGCTGTAAGCCAGCACAGTGATACAAGTGGTTCAGGCAGATGCACAAATACCCCACTAATGAAAAACAGACATCAGAGATTTAATGAAACCTGAAGGGGGCGCTCCAAACCTGTATGCAAGGTTGAAGAGTGTGTGTCCTCTTATTATACACCTATTTTCAATTTGAAACCAGTAACAAAAGGTCATTTTCACCACCGAGTAACATCCACTCTTCTTCAGAAAAAAGATGTAAATGTCCCTGGACTGAGAAGACAAAGTTCCTGAGAGTTTACAGTGAAATGTTGTCTTACTGAAATATGAAGGTCTTCTCTGAAAGAGTCGTTGTCTGGATAGTTTCTAAAAATATTGCAGAGGATATCAGGAAGTGATAGAGGACTACAGCAGTGAAGACATGATGGTTCTGATGCTGAAACAGGAGGATGTTGTTCTTTGGCACCACCCACCTCAGTTTACTGAAACGAGGTCTTACTGAGGAGGAGTGAAGAAATCACAGATGAACCAACATCTTAAAAACAGCTCTGACAGAAGAGAGTGACTTCAGGATGATCCGTGTCTGCTGCTTCGCTTTGAGTCTCTTACTGTTTTCAGGTCTTAACATGTTTTTTACTGTCAAAGAGGTTCAGGAGATAAAAATGATCATGTTAAACTTCTGTCAGATCTTTATAAGTCAGTCTGATCTTCTCCACAGGTTCCTCTGTGAGTGTCAAAGTCACACAGACTCCAGCAGATCTGTTCTACACACCAGGAGACACGGCCAGAATCAACTGTTCTCATGATGAGAGTAGATACGATCAAATCCTCTGGTATAAGAAGACAAACGGCACACAGATGCAGTTACTGGGGTTCATGTCCTTTACAACAGGATATCCAGAGGACAAAGTGAATGTGACCTTTGAAGGTGGAGCGAGCAAAGACCAGAACTGCACATTAATCATTGAAAAAGTCGACCTGAGCAGCAGTGCGGTGTATTTCTGTGCTGCGAGTGTACACAGTGCTCTACATCACTGCTCATCAGTACAAAAACCTCCTCTTCATTACAGCCCACAGACTCCTGCACCTGGATCTCTCCCCTTCAAAGAGTTGTCGTGAACTTAAACAGACCTCCAAAGAGCTGAACCAGACTTCCTCATGGACCAATCATCCTGTCATTATTGTTTCCTCTCACATTAACACCTTCATCATTCCTCTATCCCCTCACCATCAATGACATATCATTCAGTATGACACACGACTGTTGGAGCAGATGAATCCTGGTTCTCTACGTCTGTTGGATCAGGCCAAAACCATCTTAGGTACAAAGAACCAGTACAAGTCAGGAAGGTTGATTTCTAACATAATAAAAACTTTCACAGCAGCAGGTTCGAGTCCACTGTTGTTTTTTCTTCCACATTAAATTCCCTCTCTACTTACAGTGTGTGATGGTGTCCAGTCCTCTGACAGCAGCTCTGACATCTGCATAAAGACAGAAGAGGAGACAAATATCATGTTGTTGAATCTGCATCACAAACTTCATGACAGTGAGGGTTTTTTTTTTTCTTTTTTTGTTCTACACAACTGTTTGGGACTGAGGTGACAATATTTGTTTGGGTTTTAGTTTTTCGTCTTCATTTATTCTCTTTGCAGAGCTTTTTTTTTTTTTTACTGAACTTCAAAAACAGTACATTTGAGAGCCTAAATTTAACATTAAGGGTTGATTTTTGTTCTTATGGTATCTGTGATCTTCTCGCTGAAAGTAACAGAATGGAAATTAAAAAATTCACACAAATCAGAGTTAATAAAAAGAACAATTTCCCAGCTGTAGTCTTTATTTAGCAGGGACAGAGCAGTCAGATCAGTGTGCAGCAGTGAAGACATGATGGTTCTGATGTTGAACTCTGGCACCACCCACCTCAGTTTGCTGAAACGATGTCTCTCTCAGAAGTGAAGAAACCCCCCTCAGTGCAGACAGAACACAGATGAACTTTAAACTCAGTCACAGCACCATGATCTTCATCTACTGCTTCACTTTGAAGGTTTTACTGTTTGCAGGTAACAGGATGAAAAGTCTCAACATGTTTGTTTTTGTCTTTGCTGTTTCTGTTCGGGTTTGTTCACGATCAGAGCATTTTAAGTTTGAAAAAAATGATGACAAAATACATCTTTAATTAAAAAACATATTTAGTTATGTGATCTTCTCCACAGGTTCCTCTGTGAGTGTCAAAGTCACACAGACTCCAGCAGATCTGTTCTACACACCAGTAGACACGGCCATAATCTACTGTTCACAAGATGATATCGACTACGATCGAATCCTCTGGTATAAGAAGACAAACGGCACACTGATGCAGTTCCTGGGATATATGTATGGTACTGGAGTCCCAGAAAAAGGAATAAATGTGAAAATTAACGGGAGCGGGAGCAAAGACCAGAACTGCACATTAATCATTGAAAACGTCAACGTGAGCAGCAGTGCGGTGTATTTCTGTGCTGCGAGTACACAGTGCCATAAACCGCTGATTCTCAGTACAGAAACCTCCTCTTCATAACAGCCCACAGACTCCTGCACCTGGATCTCTTCCCTTCAAAGAGTCGTTATGAACTTAAGCAGACCTCCAAAGAGCTGAACCAGACTTCCTCATGGACCAATCATCCTGTCTTTATAGTTTCCTCTCACAGTAACACCTTCATCATTCCTCTATCCCCTCACCATCAATGACATGTCATTCAGTATGACACACGACTGTTGGAGCAGATGAATGTGACGGTGTCCAGTCCTCTGACAGCAGCTCTGACATCTGCATAAAGAGAGGAGACAAATATCATGTTGTTGAATCTGCATCACAATCCTAATGACAGTGAGGTGTTTTTCTTTTTCCTTGGTATCACACAACATTTTCACAACTTGTTTAGTTTCTCCCGTCCTCCTTTTTTGCACTTTGCACTATTTTCCCTTATATACAGGCTGTAGATGACTTAACCAGTAAAATTCTCTTTGTGTTTACAGTCTACACAAATATTTTAGAACTGATGTGACATTTTTTGTTTGATCTTTAGTTTTTCTTCTTTGTTTATTCTCATTAGAAAGCTGAATTTTTGACTGAACTTCAAAAATGGTACATTTGAGAGCCTAAATTTGATAATGTCAAATGTCAATTTTTGTTCTTCAGATATATTTTAGTTTCCTCACTGAAAGTAATACAATGGAAATCAAAAAATTCACACAAATCAGAGTTTGTATGTAGAAGGGTTTCCCCGCTGTAGTCTTTATTCAGCAGGGACAGAGCAGTCAGATCAGTGTGCAGCAGTGAAGACATGATGGTTCTGATGTTGAACTCTGGCACCACCCACCTCAGTTTGCTGAAACGATGTCTTTCTCAGAAGTGAAGAAACCCCCCTCAGTGCAGACAGAACACAGATGAACTTTAAACTCAGTCACAGCACCATGATCTTCATCTACTGCTTCACTTTGAAGGTTTTACTGTTTGCAGGTAACAGGATGAAAAATCTCAACATGTTTGTTTTTGTCTTTGCTGTTTCTGTTGATGATAAATTTCATCTTTGTGGACTCAGTCTCTAAAATTCTGATCTTCTCCACAGGTTCCTCTTTGAGTGTCAAAGTCACTCAGACTCCAGCAGATCTGCTCTACAAACCAGGAGACACGGCCAGAATCAACTGTTCTCATGACGAAATCAGCTATGATCGAATCCTCTGGTATAAGAAGACAAACAGCACACTGATGCAGTTCCTGGGATATATGCTTTATAAAAAAGGATATCCAGAGGACAATGTGAATGTGACCTTTGAAGGTGGAGCGAGCAAAGACCAGAACTGCATATTAATTATTGAAAAAGTCGACCTGAGCAGCAGTGCGGTGTATTTCTGTGCTGCGAGTTTACACAGTGCCATAAACCGCTGATTCTCAGTACAAAAACCTCCTCTTCATAACAGCCCACAGACTCCTGCACCTGGATCGCTCCCTTTCAAAGAGTTTATCAGTACTTATGAAGTGCAACCAAAGTTCGAGCACAATTTACCACAAACTGAGAGGAACTGACAAAATTCTCTGTTACTCCAAATCTTTATAACCAAGGCTGTTGTGAGTGCTGCACCTCATGGTTGTGAATAAGGGGAGGGGGAAGCATCTATGACACCTCCTATCTGATCACCTCCTATTCAAATAAATCCACGGTCATGACTTTGACTCTGAATACAGACCTTCAACAGGAGACATGAACCACAACATGATCGTCCTCCTCCTGATCAATCATGTGATCATCTATCTGGCCTCAGGTAATGATAGGAAACCTTTTTAGTGCTCAGATTCTCACATGTTTAAGGTGCTGCTGTAACTAAACCTCATCACATTAGTAAATAACGAGCTCGTTCTTCATCGTCTTTCTCTCCACAGGTTCCTCTCTCAGTGAGAAGATCACCCAGACTCCAGACAACATTCACCGAAAACAAGGAGAAACTGCAAAATTCAACTGCAGCCATGAAATTGACAACTATAACAACATCCTTTGGTATAAACAGTCAGATGGACAGCTGAAGTTTCTTAGGTATATGTATCGGAAAAGTCCAGATGAAGAAAAAGACCCGAACGTGAAGATAGAAGGGAGTGCAGCTAAAGGAAAGACCTGCACATTAACAATCTTAAAAGTCGACCTGAACAGCAGTGCAGTGTACTTCTGTGCTGCTAGTTTACACAGTCTTACATATCGCTGCTCCTCAATACAAAAACCTTCATCTGCACACATTAATTCATCTCTATGACAGCAAACAAACTCCCACAAACACCTGCAGTCAGCCCTTTGAACCAGCACTGCTCTACCCATTCACAGAGATCAGATATTAAACTAAAGAGTCTGTGGATCGAACATCCTGTTACAAACAGCAGCATGAAACCTCATCACTATGACTGAGCTGCCTCTTAATGCTGCTATAAATGTCTGATTTTAACCTCCTTCTGTATCAGCTGATTAATTCAAGTTTTGATCAGTTTTAATGACGAACGGTTCAGGAGAGAGGATTTTAACCGAATGATTTTTTACGTTTACATCAGGGTGAGAGAGGACTACTCCGGCATCAGACTTGTCCTGTGATCCAGCAGAGGGCGCTGTTATTGTAACCTAGCCATCCATGCTCTCTTCTTGACCTGTGATTCAACAATCACAACGCCAAAACCACCATCAGAGACGTGGTGTGTGTGAGTATTTGAAGTGAAGATGGGAGAAGAAAAGACAAATATAGAGCTCTACTGTCTGTCGACTTTGTACAAGCAGCTGTCCCGTTTGACAACAACAAATTTGCAGAGGAGGAGGAGAAGGAAGGCCCTGAGACAGAGGTCTGTAAAAGAGCTATCAACAATAAGACTGCAGCACTCAAATGTATCCGGAAAAATGGCCCGTCATGTTCGATACTTATTCAAAGTTGTTCTTTCTTTAGTACTGACAGCACTATTAATGGGCATCAGATCAGTCTGAGAAAAACGACACCCAGAATCTACGAGAAAATGATTTTTGGGCTGAAAGCAGCAAAAACTAGACATTTATTAGTCATTTAAAATAAGTTGTCTGTTTAACGTATAAAGACAACTTCAAATCAGGACATAAAAGTTCACTAAAGTGTAAGAAATGAAGTCCTTGATGGTCAAAGGTCAAAGAGGACAGGTGTGTGCGAACAGGAGGACCGGCTCAATCACCTCAGCCTCAGTTTGGGTCAGAAAATCAGAGCTGGTCTCCTCTGATGAGGCGTGACTCGACTTTCATGTCATTTCTGATGAGGTTTTTTTTTTTTCCCATCTTAAAAACTTGAGATACAACGGTAACTCCGCCCACTTTCAAAGGTTGTTTCTATCTAACCAATGAGTGGGGTTTTTTTAAGAAGGAGGACATGATCCAGCCGACAGGACAACAGAAACACAGAGTGAATGTAGACTGATCTGAGATCAGCTGGAAACTCATCATCATGATCCTTCTCCTCTGTCTAACCTCCTGTGTTCTCACGGTTTCAGGTAATAAAGTCTCTTTTTTCTCACATATCTGTTATTTGTTTTTGCAGACTTTCAATGCCACCACTGTTTTAAAGTCAGACTTCTTCTTCTCTTTGTTCTTGTACGAGCAGTGATTGTATGTTATTGTTGTTTTCACAGGTTTCTCCTCCAGCAAAGTAGTCACCCAGACACCGAGTAACATTTACACAAAGCTGAGTGATCCAGCGAGCGTGGACTGCAAACACGAACTACAACATTTTGACCGAATCCTCTGGTACAAACAACTGGAGAACAAACAGATGCAGTTCCTGGGATACATGGGCGCCATGTTTGGGTATCCTGAGGATGAAACTAAAGTGAAGATCCAGGGGAACGCAAAAGCGAACCAGAAATGCACACTGAGAATTTTAAAGGTTGATCTGAACAGCAGTGCGGTGTATTTCTGTGCTGCAGCTTACCACACTGCTGCACCTCGATGCTCTGTAACACAAAAACCTCCACTTTATCTAAAAGAGATATCGCACAGCCTGCTGCTCCCACTGGGCGTTATTACCACGGCTTTGATGAACGCTAACATGAGGGTTAGAATGAGGGGAGGAGGAAACATCTATGACACCTCCCATGTAAGCACTTCCTGTTCAGATAGAAAATAAATCCACGGTCATGACTTCGACTCTGAATATGACAGACATGAACCACAACATGATCGTCCTCCTCCTGATCAATCATGTGATCATCTATCTGGCCTCAGGTAATGATAGGAAACCTTTTTAGTGCTCAGATTCTGACATGATTAAGGTGCTGCTGTAACTAAACCTCATCACATTAGAAAATAATGAGCTCGTTCTTCATCGTCTTTCTCTCCACAGGTTCCTCTCTCAGTGAGAAAGTCACCCAGACTCCAGACAACATTCACAGAAAACCAGGAGAAACTGCAAAATTTAACTGCAGCCATGAAATTGACAACTATAACGTCATCCTTTGGTATAAACAGTCAGATGGACAGCTGAAGTTTCTTAGGTATATGTTTATGACGAGTCCAGATGGAGAAAAAAAAGTGGATATGAAGATAGAAGGGAGTGCAGCTAAAGGAGAGACCTGCACATTAATCATTGAAAAAGTGGACCTGAACAGCAGTGCAGTGTACTTCTGTGCTGCTAGTTTACACAGTCTTACATATCACTGCTCCTCAATACAAAAACCTTCATCTGCACACATTAATTCATCTCTAGGACAGCAAACAAACTCCCACAAACACCTGCAGTCAGCCCTTTGAACCAGCACTGCTCTACCCATTCACAGAGATCAGATATTAAACTAAAGAGTCTGTGGATCGAACATCCTGTTACAAACAGCAGCATGAAACCTCATCACTATGACTGAACTATAAACAGAGGTTCAACCCTCTGACTGGTTCAGCTTTTTCATGTTGGGAGATTTGACGGTAACTCCGCCCACTTTTGAAGGCTGTGTGTATTTCACCAAGTGAGGAGGTAGAGACCATCACTCACCCAGCCCACCATATAAAACCACTAAAACACAGACTGTATGTAGACTGAGCTGAGATTCAGGTGGAGAACAACATCATGATCCTTCTCCTCTGTCTAACCCTTTATGTTCAAACTGTTTCAGGTAATGTAAAAGATCATTTTTTGGTTTGTATTGCACACCTAAATTTAGACTCCTTTTTTCATATATTTTTGCACAAATGGTAACTGTGTGTTATTCCTGTTTTCACAGGTTCTTCTTACAGTGATAATATAACCCAGACTCGGGGGGACATCTTCACAAAAACAGGAAACCCAGCCATAATGACCTGCAGACACACTGTTAGTAGCTTTAACAGGATCCTCTGGTACAAACAGTTAAAGAGCAAAGAGATTCAGTTCCTTGGGAACATGTTTGGAGGTAGTGATTTTCCTGAAGATAAGACTGAAGTGAAGATCGAGGGGAACGCAAATGCAAATAAAAACTGCACATTGACAATTTTAGCGGTGGACCTGAACAGCAGTGCAGTGTATTTCTGTGCTGCTAGTATACACAATGCTTCATATCTTTGCTTCTCAATACAAAAACCCTCTGATGTTGTGTTTAGTTCATCTCTGTGTCACAGTTCACCACACCTGTATCAAAGCGCTGTAACCGTTTTCTTTTCCTCTCCCTGATCAGATATATTAGCATGTGAGGTTTTATGACTCTCAGACTCTCAGTGTAACTGCTTTGGTTTCACTTTCAACAGGATTTCTATCACAGATTAACCTGTAATCATGTAAATGATCTAAAAAAATGGGTTGATTTTTCAGGAGTATATTTCTTTAAGATTAAAATTGAGATTTCTCACCAAAGTTCACACTTGGCCCGTCAAACTTTATCTGAAATCTGAGTCTTTGTTTACATTTGGGGAAGGAGGAGTTCATATGTGAGCTGGAACAAGCCGTTTAAATGCAAAAGACATAAGTGCATCAGGTCATCTGGTGTAGTTTACTGTTTGATCCAGCAGAGGGCATGCTAAATGCTACCTGACCACTGCATACACTCTTGACCACATTCACACAAAAATGGAGGATATGTGTGCAAAATGCTTAGACAAAAAGACAAAGATAGGGAAGTATGCTGACTTTGTACGGGCTCATCTGTCACTTCACTACAGAAGTTTGAAAGAGGAGAGGTCTGTCTGGCCTTTTTGTTAGGTGGCAGTATCTTCCTGTCATAAAACAGAGGTGTGTGGTTATATTTGTAATTTTGGTTTCAACATACAGAGCTTCAAGTACAGCTCTGACATCACCAGAGAGAAGAGTCTTGTCAGCAGACTACCTCCCAGTTTACTGTGATGAAGAGCTGACTGACTGAGTCAGAATTAACAACATCATGATCGTCTTTCTCTGGATAACCTTCAATCTTATTCTGGTTTCAGGTAAAGTTATTTCTTTTTACCATTTTTAAAATTTTCCTCTTTGCCTTAGTAGAACATTGTTGCTGTCAAATTGTATGATTTAGAATTTTTTTTTTGGACTCTTTTTCAAGACAGTGTGTTGTTGCTGTTTCTGCAGGTTCTTCTGACAAAAAAGAAGTCATCCAGACTCCAGACGGAATTTTCCGCAAACTGGGACAATCAGCCGAATTAACATGCAGACATGAAATTAAAGATTATTATACTATTCTCTGGTACAAGCAGATGGAGAGCAAAGAGATGCAGTTCCTGGGATATAGGAATTATGGTAGTGGAGATCCTGAGGATAAGGTTAAAATGAAAATAACTGGGAATGCTCAGAAAAGTCAGAACTGCACATTAACAATCTTAAAAGTGGACCTGAACAGCAGTGCAGTGTACTTCTGTGCTGCAAGTACACAATGCTTCATATCTTGACTTCTCAATACAAAAACCTCCTGCTGATGTTTTTATTTCATCTCTGAGCCACACTTCACAGCCCTGTACACCTGTATCCAAGTGGGCTAACCCACATTGGTCTTTTATGTTTATTCATGTCAGATATTCAATGAAGGTTTGGTGACAGCAGACTCAGACTCTCAAGTGTTTCTGCTTTGGTTGAACTTACAGCAGGATTTCCAATATGACTTTACCTGACACGACTGTAATCCACCAAATTTACTTACTTTAACAGAGATACAAATATAAAGTACATGTGGTCCAATCAAAGCTCCTCTTAAATGAACATTTCCACACCAGCATGAGAGAGGGCTCGTGGAAACACTTTGATTTTTACAGCATAAATAGTCAAATAACAGACAAAGGTACAGCTGTGTTCTGACTTCACACAAAGCAACTGTTTCACTCCTCAATGAAGACAAATCTGTGAACTTACCTGTGATACAGGAGAGGAGGACAACAAAGCTGAGTGATGAAAACTCAGCAGGTATTATTAAAAGAGGGGCTCTACTCAATCTTGATCAAGTTGTAGACTTGAGTTCCTGACAGAAAAACATGGAAAAAAAAAATCAGTAGACCGCTCAGATTGCCAAAAGACAGTAAGATTATCTGAGGTTTTAGTTAAGTTAAAGTCATCAAAATTTCTCCTGTTGTTGACCATTATACCACCAACATACCTAAACTACACTCGCTGTAAATATCTGACAACCAGCTTTGTTTTCATTAAACTCTCCAGACTGTTTTAAAGTTTGCAAAACAGACAGTTTGACAGTGATGATGAAAACAGAAAGAGGTCTGTCTGGTTCCCTCTGATAGGTGGCAGTATGAACCTGTCATCAAACTGTGCTGTGTGGTTATATTTATTCTTTATGTCAAAGAAGTGAAGTACAGCTCAGACACCACCCACTTAAAAAGGTTAGATTTGTTCATCAGGCTGAGGCGTTTCCTTCACAGGAGCTGGAATAGTCAGTAAACGACCTCAGAGTTCACTGAGATGAAGAAAGAGGAGAGTGAGCAAAGACTCAGTCAGAAGAACAACATCATGATCGTTTTTCTCTGGATAAGCTTCAATCTTATTCTGGTTTCAGGTAATGGAATAGTGACTCTCTTCACATATTTGTTCTTTGTCCTCTTAAAGTTAGTTTGGTATGAAAAGGTTTGTTTACATTTTTTGAGCTTGGTTTTCGTCAATGATTATATATTGTTGCTGTTTCTGCAGGTTCTTCTGATGGAAAAGAAGTCATCCAGAAGCCAGAGAGAATTTTCAGCAACCAGGGACAATCAGTCGGATTAACCTGCAGACATGAAATTGATAACTATGACCGTATTCTCTGGTACAAGCAGGTGGAGAATAAAGAGATGCAGTTCCTGGGATATATGTATTCTGTTGGATATCCTGAAGATGAGAAAAAAATGGACATAACTGGGGGTGCACGCAAAAGTCAGAACTGCACATTAACAATCTTAAAAGTGGACCTGAACAGCAGTGCAGTGTACTTCTGTGCTGCTAGTTTACACAGTCGTACATATCGCTGCTCCTCAATACAAAAACCTTCATCTGCACACATTAATTCATCTCTATGACAGCAAACAAACTCCCACAAACACCTGCAGTCAGCCCTTTGAACCAGCACTGCTCTACCCATTCACAGAGATCAGATATTAAACTAAAGAGTCAGTGGATCGAACATCCTGTTACGAACAGCAGCATGAAACCTCATCACTATGACTGAACTATAAACAGAGTTTCAACCCTCTGACTGGTTCAGCTTTTTCATGTTGGGAGATTTGACTGTAACTCCGCCCACTTTTGAAGGCTGTGTGTATTTCACCAAGTGAGGAGGTAGAGACCATCACTCACCCAGCCCACCATATAAAACCACTAAAACACAGACTGTATGTAGACTGAGCTGAGATTCAGGTGGAGAACAACATCATGATCCTTCTCCTCTGTCTAACCCTTTATGTTCAAACTGTTTCAGGTAATGGAAGGTCTTTTTTTTTTTGGAAACCTAAATTTAGACTCAATTTTTTTATATTTTTGCACAAATGGTAACTGTGTATTATTCCTGTTTTCACAGGTTCTTCTTACAGTGATAATATAACCCAGACTCCTGGTGACATCTTTACAAAAACAGGAAACCCAGCCAAAATGACCTGCAGACACACTGTTAGTAGCTTTAACAGGATCCTCTGGTACAAACAGTTGAAGAGAAAAGAGATGCAGTTCCTTGGGAACATGGTTGGAGGTAGTGCTAAACCTGAGGATGAAACAGTGAAGATCGAGGGGAACGCAAATGCAAATAAAAACTGCACATTGACAATTTTAGCGGTGGACCTGAACAGCAGTGCAGTGTATTTCTGTGCTGCTAGTATACACAATGCTTCATATCTTTGCTTCTCAATACAAAAACCCTCTGATGTTGTGTTTAGTTCATCTCTGTGTCACAGTTCACCACACCTGTATCAAAGCGCTGTAACCGTTTTCTTTTCCTCTCCCTGATCAGATATTAGCATGTGAGGTTTTATGACTCTCAGACTCTCAGTGTAACTGCTTTGGTTTCACTTTCAACAGGATTTCTATCACAGATTAACCTGTAATCATGTAAATGATCTGAAACAAGTGGGTTGATTTTTCAGAAGTATATTTCTTCAAGATTAAAATTGAGATTTCTCACCAAAGTTCACACTTGGTCCTTCAAACTTTATCTGAAATCTGAGTCTTTGTTTACATTTGGGGAAGGAGGAGTTCATATGTGAGCTGGAACAAGCCGGTCAAATTCAAAAGACAGAAATGCATCAGGTCATCTGGTGTAGTTTACTGTTTGATCCCGCAGAGGGCATGCTAACTGCTACCTGACCACTGCATGCACTCTTGACCACGGTACATTCACACAAAAATGGAGGATATGTGCAAAAAATGCCTGGACAAAAAGACAAAGATAGGGAAGTATGACGACTTTGTACGGGCTCATCTGTCACTTTACTACAGAAATTTGAAAGAGGAGAGCTCTGTCTGGCCTTTTTGATAGGTGGCAGTATGAACCTGTCATCAAACAGAGGTGTATGGTTATATTTGTAATTTTGGTTTCAACATACAGAGCTTCAAGTACAGATCTGACACCACCCTCTTATGGAAGAGGTGTTTCCTTCCAGAGAGAAGAGTCTTGTCAGCAGACTACCTCCCAGTTTACTCTGATGAAGAGCTGACTGACTGAGTCAGAATTAACAACATCATGATCATCTTTCTCTGTATAACCTTCAATCTTATTCTGGTTTCAGGTAATGTTATTCTAAAAAATATTTCTTCTTTGCCTTAGTTGGACATTGCTGCCGTCAAATTTTATGAATATAATTATTATCTTTTGGACTCTTTCTGAAGACAGCGTGTTGTTGATGTTTCTGCAGGTTCCTCTGACAAAAAAGAAGTCAACCAGAAGCCAGAGGGAATTTTCAGCACAGAGGGACAATCAGTTGAATTCAACTGCAGTCATGAAATTGATAGCTACGACCGGATCTACTGGTACAAGCAGGTGGAGAGCAGAGAGATGCAGTTCCTGGGATATATGTATTATGGTCGTGGAGATCCTGAAGATAAGGTTAAAATGAATATAACTGGGAATGCACAGAAAAGTCAGAATTGCACATTAACAATCTTTAAAGTGGACCTGAACAGCAGTGCAGTGTACTTCTGTGCTGCTAGTACACAATGCTTCATATCTTGACTTCTCAATACAAAAACCTCCTGCTGATGTTTTTATTTCATCTCTGAGCCACACTTCACCGCCCTGTACACCTGTATCCAAGTGGGCTAACCCACATTGGTCTTTTATGTTTATTCATGTCAGATATTCAATGAAGGTTTGGTGACAGCAGACTCAGACGCTCAGTGTTTCTGCTTTGGTTGAACTTACAAGGATTCCCAATATGACTTTACCTGACACGACTGTAATCCACAAAATTTACTCAATTTTATATTTTCACATGTTTAACAGAGACACAAATACAAAGGACTCCAATCAAAGCTCCTCTTAACTGAACATTTCCACACCAACATGAGAGGCGCCTTGTGGAAATATTTTGAGTTTTACAGCATAGTCAAATAACAGACAAAGGTACAGCTGTATTCTGACTTCACACAATGCAACTGTTTCACTCCTCAATGAAGACAAATCTGTGGGCTTACCTGTGACACAGGAGAGGAGGACACCAAAGCTGAGTGATGAAAACTCAGCAGGTATTATTAAAAGAGGGGCTCTACTCAATCTTGATCAAGTTGTAGACTTCAGTTCCTGACAGAAAAACATGAAAAAAAAAATCAGTCACTAGATCACTCAGATTTCTTGCAGACAGTAAGATTATTTGATGTTTTAGTTAAGGTTAATATGATTAAAATTCTCTTCTGTTGTTGACCATTATACCACCAACATACCTAAACTACACTAGCTGTAAATATCTGACAACCAGCTTTGTTTTCATTAAACTCTCCAGACTGTTTTAAGGTTTACAAAACAGACAGTTTGAAAGTGATGATGAAAACAGAAAGAGGTCTGTCTGGTTCCCTCTGATAGGTGGCAGTATGAACCTGTCATCAAACTGTGGTGTGTGGTTATATTTATTCTTTATGTCAAAGAAGTGAAGTACAGCTCAGACACCACCCACTTAAAAAGGTTAGATTTGTTCATCAGGCTGAGGCGTTTCCTTCACAGGAGCTGGAATAGTCAGTAAACGACCTCAGAGTTCACTGAGATGAAGAAAGAGGAGAGTGATCAAAGACTCAGTCAGAAAAACAACATCATGATCGTTTTTCTCTGGATAAGCGTCAATCTTATTCTGGTTTCAGGTAACGGAATAGTGATTCTTTTAAATTTTTTTCCCCTTTTGGAGTTTGTTTGGTTTAAAAACGTTTATTATCTTTCGATTTTTGGATTTATTTAAAGATTGTATATTGTGGGTGTTTCTGCAGGTTCCTCAGACGGAAAAGAAGTCAACCAGAAGCCGGACAGAATATTCAGCAAACTGGGACAATCAGCCGAATTAACCTGCAGTCATAAAATTAATACCTACAACCAGATCAACTGGTACAAGCAGGTGGAGAGCAAAGAGATGCAGTACCTAGGATACATGGTTGGAAATAATGGAAATCCTGAGATTAAATCTAAAGTGAAGATTGAGGGGAACGCAAATGCAAATAAAAACTGCACATTGACAATTTTAGCGGTGGACCTGAACAGCAGTGCAGTGTATTTCTGTGCTGCTAGTACACAATGCTTCATATCTTTGCTTCTCAATACAAAAACCCTCTGATGTTGTGTTTAGTTCATCTCTGTGTCACAGTTCACCACACCTGTATCAAAGCGCTGTAACCGTTTTCTTTTCCTCTCCCTGATCAGATATTAGCATGTGAGGTTTTATGACTCTCAGACTCTCAGAGTAACTGCTTTGGTTTCACTTTCAACAGGATTTCTACCACAGATTAACCTGTAATCATGTAAATGATCTGAAACAAGTGGGTTGATTTTTCAGGAGTATATTTCTTAAAGATTAAAACTGAGATTTCTCACCAAAGTTCACACTTGGTCCGTCAAACTTTATCTGAAATCTGAGACTCTGTTAACATTTGGGGAAGGAGGAGTTCATATGTGAGCTGGAACGAGCCGGTCAAATGCAAAAGACATAAATGCATTAGGTCATCTGGTGTAGTTTGTCGTTTGATCCAGCAGAGGGCATGCTAACTGCAACCTGACCACTGCATACACTCTTGACCACAGTACATTCACACAAAAATGGAGGATATGTGCGCCAAATGCTTAGAGGCCCCTTGTGCAAATATTTTGGGTTTTATTCTACAAATAGCAAAATAAAAGACAAAGATAAGGAAGTATGCTGACTTTGTACGGGCTCATCCGTCACTTCACTACAGAAGTTTAAAAGCGGAGAGGTCTGCCTGGCCTTTTTGATAGGTGGCAGTATGAACCTGTCATCAAACAGAGGTGTATGGTTATATTTGTAATTTTGGTTTCAACATACAGAGTTTCAAGTACAGCTCTGACACCACCCTCTTATGGAAGAGGTGTTTCCTTCACGAGAAGAGTCTTGTCAGCAGACTACCTCCCAGTATACTGTGATGAAGAGCTGACTGACTGAGTCAGAATTAACAACATCATGATCGTCTTTCTCTGTATAATCTTCAATCTTATTCTGGTTTCAGGTAATGTTATTTTAAACAATATTTCTTCTTTGCCTTAGTTGGACATTGCTGCTGTCAAATTATATCAATATAATTATTATCTTTTGGACCCTTTTTGAAGACAGCGTGTTGTTGATGTTTCTGCAGGTTCCTCCGACAAAAAAGAAGTCATCCAGACTCCAGACAGAATTTTCAGCAAACAGGGACAATCAGCCGACTTAACCTGCAGACATGAAATTCAGGGTTATTTTGTTATTCTCTGGTACAAGCAGGTGAAGAACAAAGGAATGCAGTTCCTGGGATATATGACTTCTGATAGTGGAATTCCTGAAGATGAGAAGAAAATGAAAATAACTGGGGATGCACGCAAAAGTCAGAACTGCACATTAACAATCTTTAAAGTGGACCTGAACAGCAGTGCAGTTTACTTCTGTGCTGCTAGTTTACACAGTCTTACATATCACTGCTCCTCAATACAAAAACCTTCATCTGCACACATTAATTCATCTCTATGACAGCAAACAAACTCCCACAAACACCTGCAGTCAGCCCTTTGAACCAGCACTGCTCTACCCATTCACAGAGATCAGATATTAAACTAAAGAGTCAGTGGATCGAACATCCTGTTACAAACAGCAGCATGAAACCTCATCACTATGACTGAACTATAAACAGAGTTTCAACCCTCTGACTGGTTCAGCTTTTTCATGTTGGGAGATTTGACTGTAACTCCGCCCACTTTTGAAGGCTGTGTGTATTTCACCAAGTGAGGAGGTAGAGACCATCACTCACCCAGCCCACCATATAAAACCACTAAAACACAGACTGTATGTAGACTGAGCTGAGATTCAGGTGGAGAACAACATCATGATCCTTCTCCTCTGTCTAACCCTTTATGTTCAAACTGTTTCAGGTAATGTAAGGTCCATTTTTTTCCAGCACACCTGTTCTTTGTTATTACAGGTACTGATGCCAATGAAATTCAAAATTAAAATTCCCTTTTTTGTATTTTTACACAAAGGGTAACTGTGTATTCTTCCTGTTTTCACAGGTTCTTCTTACAGTGATAATATAACCCAGACTCCTGGTGACATCTTCACAAAAGCAGGAAACCCAGCCAAAATGACCTGCAGACACACTGTTAGTACCTTTAACACGATCCTCTGGTACAAACAGTTGAAGAGCAAAGAGATTCAGCTCCTTGGGATACATGGTTGGAAGTAGTGCTAATCCTGAAGATGAAACAGTGAAGATCGAGGGGAACGCAAATGCAAATAAAGACTGCACATTGACAATTTTAGCGGTGGACCTGAACAGCAGTGCAGTGTATTTCTGTGCTGCTAGTATACACAATGCTTCATATCTTTGCTTCTCAATACAAAAACCCTCTGATGTTGTGTTTAGTTCATCTCTGTGTCACAGTTCACCACACCTGTATCAAAGCGCTGTAACCGTTTTCTTTTCCTCTCCCTGATCAGATATTAGCATGTGAGGTTTTATGACTCTCAGACTTTCAGTGTAACTGCTTTGGTTTCACTTTCAACAGGATTTCTATCACAGATTAACCTGTAATCATGTAAATGATCTGAAACAAGTGGGTTGATTTTTCAGAAGTATATTTTTTCAAGATTAAAATTGAGATTTCTCACCAAAGTTCACACTTGGTCCGTCAAACTTTATATGAAATCTGAGACTCTGTTTAAATTTGGGGAAGGAGGAGATCATATGTGAGCTGGAACAAGCCGGTCAAATTCAAAAGATATAAGTACATCAGGTCATCTGGTGTAGTTTACTGTTTGATCCAGCAGAGGGCATGCTAACTGCAACCTGACCACTGCATGCACTCTTGACCACAGTACATTCACACAAAAATGGAGGATATGTGTGCAAAATGCTTAGACAAAAAGACAAAGATAGGGAAGTATGCTGACTTTGTACGGGCTCATCTGTCACTTCACTACAGAAGTTTGAAAGAGGAGAGGTCTGTCTGGCCTTTTTGATAGGTGGCAGTATGAGCCTGTCATAAAACAGTGGTGTGTGGTTATATTTGTAATTTTGGTTTCAACATACAGAGCTTCAAGTACAGCTCTGACACCACCCTCTTATGGAAGAGGTGTTTCCTTCAAGAGAATAGAGTCTTGTCAGCAGACTACCTCCCAGTTTACTGTGATGAAGAGCTGACTGACTGAGTCAGAATTAACAATATCATGATCATCTTTCTCTGTATAACCTTCAATCTTATTCTGGTTTCAGGTAATGTTATTTCTTATTATTTTTATATTTCTTCTTTGCCTCAGTAGAACATTGTTGCTGTCAAATTGTATGATTTAGTTTTTTTTTTTGGACTCTTTTTGAAGACAGTGTGATGTTGATGTTTCTGCAGGTTCCTCTGACGAAAAAGAAGTCATCCAGACTCCAGACGGAATTTTCCGCAAACTGGGACAATCAGCCCAATTAACATGCAGACATGAAATAAAAGATTATTATACTATTTTCTGGTACAAGAAGGTGGAGAGCAAAGCGATGCAGTTCCTGGGATATAGGAATTATGGTAGTGGAGATCCTGAGGATAAGGTTAAAATGAATATAACTGGGAATGCACAGAAAAGTCAGAACTGCACATTAACAATCTTAAAAGTGGACCTGAACAGCAGTGCAGTGTACTTCTGTGCTGCTAGTACACAATGATTCATAACTTGACTTCTCAATACAAAAACCTCCTGCTGATGTTTTTATTTCATCTCTGAGCCACACTTCACAGCCCTGTACACCTGTATCCAAGTGGGCTAACCCACATTGGTCTTTTATGTTTATTCATGTCAGATATTCAATGAAGGTTTGGTGACAGCAGACTCAGACTCTCAGTGTTTCTGCTTTGGTTGAACTTCCATGTGGGTTTCTAATATGACTTTACCTGACACTACTGTAATCCACAAAATTTACTTACTTTAACAGAGACACAAATATAAAGTACATGTCCTCAAATCAAAGCTCCTCTGAGCTGAAAAGGATTAGAGGGGCCTTGTGGAAATATTCTGAGTTTTACAGCATAAATAGTCAAATAACAGACAAAGGTACAGCTGTATTCTGACTTCACACAAAGCAACTGTTTCACTCCTCAATGAAGACAAATCTGTGGGCTTACCTGTGACACAGGAGAGGAGGACACCAAAGCTGAGTGATGAAAACTCAGCAGGTATTATTAAAAGAGGGGCTCTACTCAATCTTGATCAAGTTGTAGACTTGAGTTCCTGACAGAAAAACATGAAAAAAAAATCAGTCAGTAGACCATTCAGATTGCCAAAAGACAGTAAGATTATCTGAGGTTTTAGTTAAGGTTAAAGTCATCAAAATTCTCTTCTGTTATTGACCATTATACCTCCAACATACCTAAATAACACTAGCTGTAAATATCTGACAACCAGCTTTGTTTTCATTAAACTCTCCACACTGTTTTAAGGTTTACAAAACAGACAGTTTGAAAGTGAAGATGAAAACAGAAAGAGGTCTGTCTGGTTCCCTCTGATAGGTGGCAGTATGAACCTGTCATCAAACTGTGGTGTGTGGTTATATTTATTCTTTATGTCAAAGAAGTGAAGTACAGCTCAGACACCACCCACTTAAAAAGGTTAGATTTGTTCATCAGGCTGAGGCGTTTCCTTCACAGGAGCTGGAATAGTCAGTAAACGACCTCAGAGTTCACTGAGATGAAGAAAGAGGAGAGTGATCAAAGACTCAGTCAGAAGAACAACATCATGATCGTTTTTCTCTGGATAAGCTTCAATCTTATTCTGGTTTCAGGTAATGGAATAATGACTCTCTTCACATATTTGTTCTTTGTACTTGTGGAGTTAGTTTGGTTTTAAAAGGTTTGTTTACATTTTTTGAGCTTGGTTTTTGTCAGTGATTATATATTGTTGCCGTTTCTGCAGGTTCCTCTGACGGAAAAGAAGTCATCCAGAAGCCAGAGGGAATTTTCAGCAAACTGGGACCATCAGTCAAATTAACCTGCAGACATGAAATTGATACCTACAACCAGATCTACTGGTACAAGCAGGTGAAGAGTAAAGAGATGCAGTTCCTTGGGAACATGGTTGGAAGTAGTGCTAAACCTGAGGATGAAACAGTGAAGATCGAGGGGAACGCAAATGCAAATAAAAACTGCACATTGACAATTTTAGCGGTTGACCTGAACAGCAGTGCAGTGTATTTCTGTGCTGCTAGTACACAATGCTTCATATCTTTGCTTCTCAATACAAAAACCCTCTGATGTTGTGTTTAGTTCATCTCTGTGTCACAGTTCACCACACCTGTATCAAAGCGCTGTAACCGTTTTCTTTTCCTCTCCCTGATCAGATATTAGCATGTGAGGTTTTATGACTCTCAGACTCTCAGTGTAACTGCTTTGGTTTCACTTTCAACAGGATTTCTATAACAGATTAACCTGTAATCATGTAAATGATCTGAAACAAGTGGGTAAATTTTTCAGGAGTATATTTTTTTAAGATTAAAACTGAGATTTCTCACCAAAGTTCACACTTGGTCCATCAAACTTTATCTGAAATCTGAGTCTTTGTTTACATTTGGGGAAGGAGGAGTTCATATGTGAGCTGGAACAAGCCGGTCAAATTCAAAAGATATAAATGCATCAGGTCATCTGGTGTAGTTTGTCGTTTGATCCAGCAGAGGGCATGCTAACTGCAACCTGACCACTGCATGCACTCTTGACCACAGTACATTCACACAAAAATGGAGGATATGTGCGCCAAATGCTTAGACAAAAAGACAAAGACAGGGAAGTATGACGACTTTGTACGGGCTCATCTGTCACTTCACTACAGAAGTTTAAAAGCGGAGAGGTCTGTCTGGTTCCCTCTGTTAGGTGGCAGTATGAACCTGTCATAAAACAGAGGTGTGTGGTTATATTTGTAATTTTGGTTTCAACATACAGAGCTTCAAGTACAGCTCTGACACCACCCTCATATGGAAGAGGTGTTTCCTTCCAGAGAAAAGAGTCTTGTCAGCAGACTACCTCCCAGTTTACTGTGATGAAGAGCTGACTGACTGAGTCAGAATTAACAATATCATGATCATCTTTCTCTGTATAACCTTCAATCTTATTCTGGTTTCAGGTAATGTTATTTTAAACAATACTACTTTTTTGCCTCAGTTGGACATTGCTACAGCAAAATTTATATATATATATATATATATATATATATATATATATATATATATATATAATTTTCTTTTTTTTTGACTCTTTTTGAAGACAGTGTGTTGTTGCTGTTTCTGCAGGTTCCTCTGATGAAAAAGAAGTCAACCAGAAGCCGGACAGAATTTTCGGCAAACTGGGAAAATCAGCCGAATTTACCTGCAGACATGAAATTCAGGACTATTTTGTTATTCTCTGGTACAAGCAGGTGGAGAACAAAGAGATGCAGTTCCTGGGATATATGACTTCTGATAAAGGAATTCCTGAAGATGAGAAGAAAATGAAAATAACTGGGGGTGCACGCAAAAGTCAGAACTGCACATTAACAATCTTAAAAGTGGACCTGAACAGCAGTGCAGTGTACTTCTGTGCTGCTAGTACACAATGCTTCATATCTTGACTTCTCAATACAAAAACCTCCTGCTGATGTTTTTATTTCATCTCTGAGCTACACTTCACAGCCCTGTACACCTGTATCCAAGTGGGCTAACCCACATTGGTCTTTTATGTTTATTCATGTCAGATATTCAATGAAGGTTTGGTGACAGCAGACTCAGACTCTCAGTGTTTCTGCTTTGGTTGAACTTCCATGTGGGTTTCTAATATGACTTTACCTGAAACTACTGTAATCCACAAAATTTACTTACTTTAACAGAGACACAAATATAAAGTACATGTCCTCAAATCAAAGCTCCTCTGAGCTGAAAAGGATTAGAGGCGCCTTGTGGAAATATTCTGAGTTTTACAGCATAAATAGTCAAATAACAGACAAAGGTACAGCTGTATTCTGACTTCACACAAAGCAACTGTTTCACTTCTCAATGAAGACAAATCTGTGGGCTTACCTGTGACACAGGAGAGGAGGACACCAAAGCTGAGTGATGAAAACTCAGCAGGTATTATTAAAAGAGGGGCTCTACTCAATCTTGATCAAGTTGTAGACTTGAGTTCCTGACAGAAAAACATGAAAAAAAAAATAAAAAAATCAGTAGACCGCTCAGATTGCCAACAGACAGTAAGATTATTTGAGGTTTTAGTTAAGGTTAAAGTCATCAAAATTCTCTCCTGTTGTTGACCATTATACCACCAACATACCTAAACAACACTCGCTGTAAATATCTGACAACCAGCTTTGTTTTCATTAAACTCTCCAGACTGTTTTAAGGTTTACAAAACAGACAGTTTGACAGTGATGATGAAAACAGAAAGAGGTCTGTCTGGTTCCCTCTGATAGGTGGCAGTATGAACCTGTCATCAAACTGTGGTGTGTGGTTATATTTATTCTTTATGTCAAAGAAGTGAAGTACAGCTCAGACACCACCCACTTAAAAAGGTTAGATTTGTTCATCAGGCTGAGGCGTTTCCTTCACAGGAGCTGGAATAGTCAGTAAACGACCTCAGAGTTCACTGAGATGAAGAAAGAGGAGAGTGAGCAAAGACTCAGTCAGAAGAACAACATCATGATCGTTTTTCTCTGGATAAGCTTCAATATTATTCTGGTTTCAGGTAACGGAATAGTGATTCTTTTAAATTTTTTTCCCCTTTTGGAGTTTGTTTGGTTTAAAAACGTTTGTTTATTATCTTTCGATTTTTGGATTTATTTAAAGATTGTATATTGTGGGTGTTTCTGCAGGTTCCTCAGACGGAAAAGAAGTCAACCAGAAGCCGGACAGAATATTCAGCAAACTGGGACAATCAGCCGAATTAACCTGCAGTCATAAAATTGATACCTACAACCAGATCTACTGGTACAAGCAGGTGGAGAGCAAAGAGATGCAGTACCTAGGATACATGGTTGGAAATAATGGAAATCCTGAGGATAAATCTAAAGTGAAAATTGAGGGGAACGCAAATGCAAATAAAAACTGCACATTGACAATTTTAGCGGTGGACCTGCACAGCAGTGCAGTGTATTTCTGTGCTGCTAGTATACACAATGCTTCATATCTTTGCTTCTCAATACAAAAACCCTCTGATGTTGTGTTTAGTTCATCTCTGTGTCACAGTTCACCACACCTGTATCAAAGCGCTGTAACCGTTTTCTTTTCCTCTCCCTGATCAGATATTAGCATGTGAGGTTTTATGACTCTCAGACTCTCAGAGTAACTGCTTTGGTTGTATTTCAACAGGATTTCTATCACAGATTAACCTGTAATCATGTAAATGATCTGAAACAAGTGGGTTGATTTTTCATAAGTATATTTCTTCAAGATTAAAACTGAGATTTCTCACCAAAGTTCACACTTGGTCCATCAAACTTTATCTGAAATCTGAGTCTTTGTTTACATTTGGGGAAGGAGGAGTTCATATGTGAGCTGGAACAAGCCGGTCAAACACAAAAGATATAAGTACATCAGGTCATCTGGTGTAGTTTACTGTTTGATCCAGCAGAGGGCATGCTAACTGCAACCTGACCACTGCATGCACTCTTGACCACATTCACACAAAAATGGAGGATATGTGCGCCAAATGCTTAGAGGCCCCTTGTGCAAATATTTTGGGTTTTATTCTACAAATAGCAAAATAAAAGACAAAGATGGGGAAGTATGCCAACTTTGTACGGGCTCATCTGTCACTGTGGCAGTATCTTCCTGTCATAAAACAGAGGTGTATGGTTATATTTGTAATTTTGGTTTCAACATACAGAGCTTCAAGTACAGCTCTGACACCACCCTCTTATGGAAGAGGTGTTTCCTTCAAGAGAGAAGAGTCTTGTCAGCAGACTACCTCCCAGTTTACTGTGATGAAGAGCTGACTGACTGAGTCAGAATTAACAACATCATGATCGTCTTTCTCTGTATAACCTTCAATCTTATTCTGGTTTCAGGTAATGTTATTTTAAACAATATTTCTTCTTTGCTTCAGTAGGACATTGCTGCCGTCAAATGATATGAATATAATTATTATCTTTTGGACTCTTTCTGAAGACAGCGTGTTGTTGATGTTTCTGCAGGTTCCTCTGACAAAAAAGAAGTCATCCAGACTCCAGACAGAATTTTCAGCAAACTGGGACAATCGGCCCAATTAACCTGCAGACATGAAATTCAGGATTACACTCAAATACTCTGGTACAAGCAGGTGGAGAGCAAAGAGATGCAGTTCCTGGGATATACACTCACCGGCCACTTTATTAGGTACACCATGCTAGAAATGGGTTGGACCCCCTTTTGCCTTCAGAACTGCCTCAATTCTTCGTGGCATAGATTCAACAAGGTGCTGGAAGCATTCCTCAGAGAGCTTGGTCCATATTGACATGATGGCATCACACAGTTCCCGCAGATTTGTCGGCTGCACATCCATGATGCGAATCTCCCGTTCCACCACATCCCAAAGATGCTCTATTGGATTGAGATCTGGTGACTGTGGAGGCCATTTGAGTACAGTGAACTCATTGTCATGTTCAAGAAACCAGTCTGAGATGATTCCAGCTTTATGACATGGCGCATTATCCTGCTGAAAGTAGCCATCAGAAGTTGGGTACATTGTGGTCATAAAGGGATGGACATGGTCAGCAACAATACTCAGGTAGGCTGTGGCGTTGCAACGATGCTCAATTGGTACCAAGGGGCCCAAAGAGTGCCAAGAAAATATTCCCCACACCATGACACCACCACCACCAGCCTGAACCGTTGATACAAGGCAGGATGGATCCATGCTTTCATGTTGTTGACGCCAAATTCTGACCCTATCATCCGAATGTCGCAGCAGAAATCGAGACTCATCAGACCAGGCAACGTTTTTCCAATCTTCTATTGTCCAATTTCGATGAGCTTGTGCAAATTGTAGCCTCAGTTTCCTGTTCTTAGCTGAAAGGAGTGACACCCGGCGTGGTCTTCTGCTGCTGTAGCCCATCTGCCTCAAAGTTCGACGTACTGTGCGTTCAGAGATGCTCTTCTGCCTACCTTGGTTGTAACGGGTGGTTATTTGAGTCACTGTTGCCTTTCTATCAGCTCGAACCAGTCTGGCCATTCTCCTCTGACCTCTGGCATCAACAAGGCATTTCCGCGCACAGAACTGCCGCTCACTCGATATTTTTTCTTTTTCGGACCATTCTCTGTAAACCCTAGAGATGGTTGTGCGTGAAAATCCCAGTAGATCAGCAGTTTCTGAAATACTCAGACCAGCCCTTCTGGCACCAACAACCATGCCACGTTCAAAGTCACTCAAATCACCTTTCTTCCCCATACTGATGCTCGGTTTGAACTGCAAGAGATTGTCTTGACCATGTCTACATGCCTAAATGCACTAAGTTGCCGCCATGTGATTGGCCTATTAGAAATAAAGTGTTAACGAGCAGTTGGACAGGTATACCTAATAAAGTGGCCGGTGAGTGTATGTATTCTGATGGAGTTCCTGAAGATAAGAAAAAAATGGACATAACTGGGAGTGCTAAGAAAAGTCAGACCTGCACATTAACAATCTTTAAAGTGGACCTGAACAGCAGTGCAGTGTACTTCTGTGCTGCTAGTACACAATGCTTCATGTCTTGACTTCTCAATACAAAAACCTCCTGCTGATGTTTTTATTTCATCTCTGAGCCACACTTCACAGCCCTGTACACCTGTATCCAAGTGGGCTAACCCACATTGGTCTTTTATGTTTATTCATGTCAGATATTCAATGAAGGTTTGGTGACAGCAGACTCAGACTCTCAGTGTTTCTGCTTTGGTTGAACTTCCATGTGGGTTTCTAATATGACTTTACCTGACACGACTGTAATACACAAAATTTACTCATTTTTATATTTTCATATGTTCAACAGAGACACAAATATAAAAGTACATGTCCTCCGATCAAAGCTCCTCTGAGCTGAAAATTTCCACACCACCATGAGAGGGGCCTTGTGGAAATATTCTCAGTTTTACAGCATAAATAGTGAAATAAAAGACAAAGGTACAGCTGTATTCTGACTTCACACAAAGAAACTGTTTCACTCCTTCATGAAGACAAATCTGTGGGCTTACCTGTGACACAGGAGAGGAGGACACCAAAGCTGAGTGATGTTATCTCAGCAGGTATTATTAAAAGAGGGGCTCTACTCAATCTTGATCAAGTTGTAGACTTGAGTTCCTGACAGAAAAACATAGAAAATCAGTAGACCACTTAGATTGCCAAAAGACAGTAAGATTCTTTAATATTTTATTTAATGTTACAGTAATTAAAATTCTCTCCTGTTGTTGACCATTATACCACCAACATACCTAAACAACACTCGCTGTAAATATCTGACACCGACTTTGTTTTCATTAAACTCTCCACACTGTTTTAAAGTTTACAAAACAGACAGTTTGAAAGTGATGATGAAAACAGAAAGAGGTCTGTCTGGTTCCCTCTGATAGGTGGCAGTATGAACCTGTCATCAAACTGTGCTGTGTGGTTATATTTATTCTTTATGTCAAAGAAGTGAAGTACAGCTCAGACACCACCCACTTAAAAAGGTTAGATTTGTTCATCAGGCTGAGGCGTTTCCTTCACAGGAGCTGGAATAGTCAGTAAACGACCTCAGAGTTCACTGAGATGAAGAAAGAGGAGAGTGATCAAAGACTCAGTCAGAAGAACAACATCATGATCATTTTTCTCTGGATAAGCTTCAATCTTATTCTGGTTTCAGGTAATGGAATAGTGACTCTCTTCACATATTTGTTCTTTGTGCAGTAAGGTTGGTTTTGAAAGGTTTGCTTATTATTATTTTGATGATTGTAAATTGTTGCTGTTTCTGCAGGTTCGTCTGATGGAAAACAAGTCAACCAGACTCCAGACATAATTTTCAGCACAGAGGGACACCCAGTTAAATTCAACTGCAGTCATGAAATTGATAACTACTACCTGATCAACTGGTACAAGCAGGTGGAGAGCAAAGAGATGCAATTCCTGGGATATATGAATGTAAATGATGGAAAATCTGAGGATGAGGATAAAATGAAAATAACTGGGAGTGCACGCAAAAGTCAAGACTGTACATTAACTATTAAAACAGTGGACCTGAACAGCAGTGCAGTGTACTTCCGTGCTGCTAGTATACACAATGCTTCATATCTTTGCTTCTCAATACAAAAACCCTCTGATGTTGTGTTTAGTTCATCTCTGTGTCACAGTTCACCACACCTGTATCAAAGCGCTGTAACCGTTTTCTTTTCCTCTCCCTGATCAGATATTAGCATGTGAGGTTTTATGACTCTCAGACTCTCAGAGTAACTGCTTTGGTTTCACTTTCAACAGGATTTCTATCACAGATTAACCTGTAATCATGTAAATGATCTGAAACAAGTGGGTTGATTTTTCAGAAGTATATTTTTTTAAGATTAAAACTGAGATTTCTCACCAAAGTTCACACTTGGTCCGTCAAACTTTATCTGAAATCTGAGTCTCTGTTTAAATTTGGGGAAGGAGGAGTTCATATGTGAGCTGGAACAAGCCGGTCAAATTCAAAAGACATATAAGTGCATCAGGTCATCTGGTGTAGTTTGCTGTTCGATCCAGCAGAGGGCATGCTAACTGCAACCTGACCACTGCATGCACTCTTGACCACAGTACATTCACACAAAAATGAAGGATATGTGCGCCAAATGCTTCGACAAAAAGACAAAGATAGGGAAGTATGCTGACTTTGTACGGGCTCATCTGTCACTTCACTACAGAAATTTGAAAGCGGAGAGGTCTGTCTGGCCTTTTTGATAGGTGGCAGTATGAACCTGTCATAAAACTGTGGTGTGTGGAGGGATTTATAATTTTGGTTTCAACATACAGAGCTTCAAGTACAGCTCTGACACCACCCTCATATGGAAGAGGTGTTTCCTTCAAGGGAGAAGAGTCTTGTCAGCAGACTACCTCCCAGTTTACTGTGATGAAGAGCTGACTGAGTCAGAATTAACAACATCATGATCGTCTTTCTCTGTATAACCTTCAATCTTATTCTGGTTTCAGGTAATGTTATTTTAAACAATATTTTATCTTCGTATTATTAAGACATGGTTTGAGTAAAATTATATAAATTAAATTTTTTTTTGGACTCTTTTTCAAGACAGTGTGTTGTTGCTGTTTCTGCAGGTTCCTCTGACAAAAAAGAAGTCATCCAGACTCCAGAGGGAATTTTCAGCAAACTGGGACAATCAGCCGAATTAACATGCAGACATGAAATTCAAGACTATTATGTTATTCTCTGGTACAAGCAGGTGGAGAGCAAAGAGATGCAGTTCCTGGGATATATGTATTCTGATGGATATCCTGAAGACAAGAAAAAAATGGAAATAACTGGAAGTGCTAAGAAAAGTCAGAATTGCACATTAACAATCTTAAAAGTCGACCTGAACAGCAGTGCAGTGTACTTCTGTGCTGCAAGTACACAATGCTTCATATCTTGACTTCTCAATACAAAAACCTCCTGCTGGTGTTTTTATTTCATCTCTGAGCCACACTTCACAGCCCTGTACACCTGTATCCAAGTGGGCTAACCCACATTGGTCTTTTATGTTTATTCATGTCAGATATTCAATGAAGGTTTGGTGACAGCAGACTCAGACTCTCAGTGTTTCTGCTTAAGATTATTTGATGTTTTAGTTAAGGTTAAAGTAATTAATTTCTCTCCTGTTGTTGACCATTATACCACCAACATACCTTAACTACACTAGCTGTAAATATCTGACAACCAACTTTGTTTTCATTAAACTCTCCAGACTGTTTTAAGGTTTGCAAAACAGACAGTTTGAAAGTGATGATGAAAACAGAAAGAGGTCTGTCTGGTTCCCTCTGATAGGTGGCAGTATGAACCTGTCATCAAACTGTGCTGTGTGGTTGTATTTATTCTTTATGTCAAAGAAGTGAAGTACAGCTCAGACACCACCCACTTAAAAAGGTTAGATTTGTTCATCAGGCTGAGGCGTTTCCTTCACAGGAGCTGGAATAGTCAGTAAACGACCTCAGAGTTCACTGAGATGAAGAAAGAGGAGAGTGAGCAAAGACTCAGTCAGAGGAACAACATCATGATCGTTTTTCTCTGGATAAGCTTCAATATTATTCTGGTTTCAGGTAATGGAATAGTGACTCTTTCACATTTTGTGTTATGTTCTTGTGGAGTTAGTTTCCTTTAAAAAGTATTGTTTGTAACTTCTTTTTAAAGTTTTTGGTTTTCTTCAATGATTATACATTGTTGGTGTTTCTGCAGGTTCCTCTGACAAAAAAGAAGTCATCCAGAAGCCAGAGGGAATCTTCGGGAAACTAGGACAATCAGTCGGATTAACCTGCAGACATGAAATTAATACCTACGACCGTATCTTCTGGTACAAGCAGGTAGAGAGCAAAGAGATGCAGTTCCTAGGATACATAATTGGAAATAGTGGAATTCCTGAAGATGAGAAGAAAATGAAAATAACTGGGGGTGCACGCAAAAGTCAGAACTGCACATTAACAATCTTAAAAGTGGACCTGAACAGCAGTGCAGTTTACTTCTGTGCTGCTAGTTTACACAGTCTCACATATCGCTGCTCCTCAATACAAAAACCTTCATCTGCACACATTAATTCATCTCTATGACAGCAAACAAACTCCCACAAACACCTGCAGTCAGCCCTTTGAACCAGCACTGCTCTACCCATTCACAGAGATCAGATATTAAACTAAAGAGTCTGTGGATTAAGGCTGCACGATATTGGAAAAAAATAATATTGCGATTTTTTCAACCCTGCGATATATATTGCGATATTAAAAATACAGTATTTTCACCAGATGACCTGAATAGCACTTAATGTTATGCTGCACTGCTGAAATCTTGAGGACAGTTAATCTGCTCTGATCTTACCTCTTTTTGTGAATGTTAGTAGAACGGCTTCTGTCTGTCTCAGAGATATTTTTAGCTTTTATTGTGCTGGGACGTTATTGTGGCAACAGATGAACACAGAAGACGTGTTTTGGTCGACATAATCCTTCTTTTAACCGAAATAATTCCAGATAATTGACTTTCCTTTTCTTTTTGGCAACAAATCTTCATTTTCGGTGGTTTTCGCTTGTTCGTTGTTCATTTTGCGATCGTTGTTGTTGTTGTTAGCGGTGTTGTGCTGAGAAACGCATGTCCTCCGAGAATTGCATGCACCTCGCGAAACGCGCACCGCTTATAGTAGAGTGGTCCACGGAAATGTACAATTTAAAACCCATACAGTTCTTATTTGTTGGGCTTAATAGTCATGAGTAAAGTTCCGAAAGTAATTCTCAGCGGACACACGTCTCCCTCCATGTGCAGAACATGTGCAGGGGTGGGTTTTCTCCTCCCTGATTTTGATTGACAGCTGGCAGGGTAGTCTGATTGGCAACTGAGAAGTGAGTCTGATTGGCAACTGAGTTAAGGACGAAGGCGATTGGTGGATCGCTGCACAGCACATGCAGAGTCACATGGAGTGTTTCTCAGTCGGTTACCCTTGAAATTAAATGAGTTCATTCACCTCCAATATCGCAGGCTCTGCGATGTGACTGTCGCACACACGTACATCGCGATGACGATAGTCAAACGATATATCGTTCAGGCCTACTGTGGATCGAACATCCTGTTACAAACAGCAGCATGAAACCTCATCACTATGACTGAACTATAAACAGACGTTCAACCCTCTGACTGGTTCAGCGTTTTCATGTTGTGAGATTTGACTGTAACTCCGCCCACTTTTGAAGGCTGTGTGTATTTCACCAAGTGAGGAGGTAGAGACCATCACTCACCCAGCCCACCATATAAAACCACTAAAACACAGACTGTATGTAGACTGAGCTGAGATTCAGGTGGAGAACAACATCATGATCCTTCTCCTCTGTCTAACCCTTTATGCTCAGACTGTTTCAGGTAATGTAAGGTCTTTTTTTTTCAGCACACCTGTTCTTTGTTATTCCAGGTACTGATGCCAATGAAATTCAAAATTAAAATTCCCTTTTTTTTGTATTTTTACACAAAGGGTAACTGTGTATATTTCCTGTTTTCACAGGTTCTTCTTACAGTGATAATATAACCCAGACTCCTGGGGACATCTTCACAAAAACAGGAAACCCAGCCATAATGACCTGCAGACACACTGTTAGTACCTTTAACAGGATCCTCTGGTACAAACAGTTGAAGAGCAAAGAGATTCAGCTCCTGGGATACATGGACACAAAGTTTGATTATCCTGAAGATAAATCTAAAGTGAAGATCGAGGGGAACGCAAATGCAAATAAAAACTGCACATTAACAATCTTAAAAGTGGACCTGAACAGCAGTGCAGTGTACTTCTGTGCTGCTAGTACACAATGCTTCATATCTTGACTTCTCAATACAAAAACCTCCTGCTGATGTTTTTATTTCATCTCTGAGCCACACTTCACAGCCCTGTACACCTGTATCCAAGTGGGCTAACCCACATTGGTCTTTTATGTTGATTCATGTCAGATATTCAATGAAGGTTTGGTGACAGCAGACTCAGACTCTCAGTGTTTCTGCTTTGGTTCAACTTCCAGCAGGATTCTCAATATGACTTTACGTGACATGACTGTAATACACAAAATTCATTTTTTTTTTAACTTTAACAGAGATACTAATATAAAGTACATGTGCTCCAATCAAAGCTCCTCTGAGTTGAACATTTCCACACCAGCATGAGAGGGGCCTTGTGGGAATATTTTGATTTTTACAGCATAAATAGTCAAATAACAGACAAAAGGTACAGCTGTATTCTGACTTCACACAAAGCAACTGTTTCACTCCTCAATGAAGACAAATCTGTGGGCTTACCTGTGACACAGGAGAGGAGGACACCAAAGCTGAGTGATGCAAACTCAGCAGGTTTTATTAAAAGAGGGGCTCTACTCGATCTTGATCAAGTTGTAGACTTGAGTTCCTGACAGAAAAACATGAAAAAAAAATCAGTCAGTAGACCATTCAGGTTTCCAACAGACAGTAAGATTATTTGATGTTTTAGTAAGGTTAAATTAAAATTCTCTCCTGTTATTGACCATTATACCACAAAACTACTTTAACAACATTAGCTGTAAATATCTGACAACCAGCTTTGTTTTCATTAAACTCTCCACACTGTTTTAAAGTTTGCAAAACAGACACTTTGAAAGTGATGATGAAAACAGAAAGAGGTCTGTCTGGTTCCCTCTGATAGGTGGCAGTATGAACCTGTCATCAAACTGTGCTGTGTGGTTATATTTATTCTTTATGTCAAAGAAGTGAAGTACAGCTCAGACACCACCCACTTAAAAAGGTTAGATTTGTTCATCAGGCTGAGGCGTTTCCTTCACAGGAGCTGGAATAGTCAGTAAACGACCTCAGAGTTCACTGAGATGAAGAAAGAGGAGAGTGATCAAAGACTCAGTCAGAAGAACAACATCATGATCGTTTTTCTCTGGATAAGCTTCAATATTTTTCAGGTTTCAGGTGATGGAATAGTGATTCTTTTCACATATTTGTTCTTTGTACTTGTGAAGTAAGGTTGGTTTTAAAAGAACTTCAAGGTTTTGGTTTTCTTTAATGACTGCATATTGTGGGTGTTTCTGCAGGTTCCTCAGACGGAAAAGACGTCAACCAGAAGCCGGAGAGAATTTTCAGCAAACTGGGACCATCAGTCGAATTAATCTGCAGTCATGAAATTGATACCTACAACCGGATCTACTGGTACAAGCAGGTGGAGAGCAAAGAGATGCAGTTCCTGGGATACATGAATGTAAATAATGGATATCCTGAAGATGAGAAGAAAATGAAAATAACTGGAGATGCACGGAAAAGTCAGAACTGCACATTAACTATTAAAACTGTGGACCTGAACAGCAGTGCAGTGTACTTTTGTGCTGCTAGTACACAATGCTTCATATCTTGACTTCTCAATACAAAAACCTCCTGCTGATGTTTTTATTTCATCTCTGAGCCACACTTCACAGCCCTGTACACCTGTATCACACCACTCTAACCAACATTCGCCTTTTATTTCTCAACCAGATCAGATAATATAATGGAGACAACAGCAGCCACTGTATTGGTTGCAATTCTAATAGGATATGTTTTAAAATATCAGATCCAATTTTTTATTATGTGTGCCAATAGTCCACCAAACAAACCAAACAATGAAACAACTTTAGCAACAAACCACCTACCTTGTTATAAATTATAGAGAACTGCTGCAACAAAAACAGCAATATTATACCTTTTCTGAATCATACTTTCTTTTAAGAGTATGTATAAAATCAAAATATAGAACATCTTTACAACGGCAACAACTGCAAAATAAAAAGGATGAAGCTACAGTGTATGAAGGTCCTGAAGACTTTAACCAACAGGTGGAGGCATAGCACACACAATCCAGTGTTTACCACAGGGAAGTGGTGATGAGTTAACTCCCACACACAAACACAAACACACAAAACAGCCTCTTCACTCTGTGTCTGACTGGCGCTCATCAGGACCAGACTTCTCTCAGTACCTGACTATGTCTTTATCAAGCCAAACATTTGGTTTTCTCCTCATCTATTTTCTTTGTAAGATTCTGAATGTTACTATGTACTTTATGATGTTTATTATTACATTATGATTTAATTAGCACAATGAGAAATGACTTAATTTCAGCTCTGCATCTGTGTCATTTTGTGTACTTTCCTCTTCCACAGGTCAGGTGAGCGCTGTTACATTTAATCAGTCTGTTCCACAGATAGTGAAGAAAAATATTGAGGTCCGGATGACCTGCAAACACGATGATACTAGCCTTCCAGTAATGCTCTGGTATCGGCAGAAAAAGGACAACTCCTTGACCCTCATCGGGTATGCAGTTGGGAAAGGTACACCGAGCTATGAAGGAAGGTTTGAAGAAGAATACACGCTGACAAAGGAGAGCTCAGAGAGTGGAGCTCTGATTGTGAAAAACACAAACCTGTCACACTCAGCTGTTTATTACTGCGCTGCCAGTAACACAGTGATGTGGTTTAATGACGCCCTCTTACTAAAAACCTTCTGTTATTTCTGTTACTGAACCGTGAGCTTCCACACTGCAGCTGGAGAATCTTTGTGTACACACTCTTTCTGCTGCAACTGCACAACCATGAACAAGAATATCCTACACAGCCATAGTCGCTTTAAGACACAGTTTCAGAATTCAGATTTGATTATGATAATGTAGAAAATATCTAGACTTGATCCAGAAGAAACCAAGGCTTAAGATCTGGACTAGATTATCCTCAAGGGGCTCTTTGTAGCAGAGATTAAATGTGTGAAACCTTTAATCTGTTTGTAAACATACTTTCTTCACCTCCAATCAAATAATTATTATGGTTCATTACAGACTTTTCAATGTCGATATCTTCTAAACACATCTGAAACTGTGTGAAAAAGCATGAGGCCTCTACTTTAATCTAGACCAGATCCTGCAAGCGAAGTAAAGGCATGGAGGTTTGGATCAGGACTCTAGACAGTAAAAAGACACCAACATTGCTTCTTCTTGATTTTTGTCTGTAAAATCATTGCATCATAAATCTAAAACCATCTTGTGAGGTGACCATGGACTCTGTAGAAAACATCAAGCTTGGAGCTGAGTAGTCAAGAGGTTTTGGTATGGATCAGGACCTGGTCCAGTGTGGCCTAGAGGTGAAAATAGCAGTAAAATCCTCCGTTCTTGCACTTTTACAAACAGAATGAAGGTTTTGAAACTCTGAAACTGTAAAAGCTTCTAGGGTAAAACTAATCCAGATTTGACAAGAAGGGGTACTAGGGTTCTAGGTCAGGATCTGTTGAGGGCGTTTAGTGTTTAAAAATATATAGTGAAAATCACCTGTCTCTGCATTTTAAGGCAAAGAATACAGGATCCACGAATGTAAAATGATGTTTTGATTAGTCGACAGACCCCTAAAAAAAAGGGACTTAATCGTGCACCACAGTTGTTTCACGGCTATTTGTATGACAGCCTATTTATTTATCTAGTCTAAGTGACAGTCTTTGTGGATGTGCTTGTGTTTATCAGCTGTCTAACTTGGCTAACAGAGTCGCTGTGAGTGAGACAAAGTACGTATTACAAATGTGACCCAGCAATTTTACATCAGTTAAAGAGGAAGAAATGCTCTTTCGTTTCAACATAAGTTACACATGATTTCCAAACTCTTTGGTTTGTTTAAAACATCTAAAATGGCAACATGAGGCAGAAATTTATATTTGATTTTATGTTATTATAGTTATCCCTATAATAGAAATATTACTAGTATAACATACATGAAATGATAAAATGTTTTATATATAAATTATTTAATATAACTGCCTTGTGTGTGTAGGCCTACAGCTATTACTCTACCTATCTGCTTAATGTTTATTTATGAAAATCCATGGTTAAAATAATTATTGCGTATAAAGGAACATAACTAAAACTCTGAGGTTTGTTACAAACCAAACCGTTTGAAAATCGGCTTAAAATTAACAAATCTATGGTTAACTTAATGCTACATGCACCGTAGACTAGAATGTTATGAGTGGGCGAGCGTCCCGTAGCAAAATGGCCGCCATGCGCGGACATCGGTCTCCATTGACTGACAGCGTGCGTGCGTTAGCTCGCGTTAAACCCCCAACCGTTAGCTTACGCTATTTAGCCGCTCTGACAACTGCCCAAGCAAAATAAACTTACAAAACTTAGTTAAATAGGAAATTTCTTACCGTGGTGAGATGAAGTTGCATTTCCGAGATGACTGGAAAACTTTGAAAACCGAAAAGCACGACGAAGAGACGCTAGACGGACTTGAATCAAGTGTTCATTTCCGGCTAACCGTTGGAGTGGGTGACGAAAATAGCTCGAAACTGTGGGGCACTACCAAAATATCCAACTGTTTCTTCTACACGGTCTTAAGGTAAAACTTGAGACATATTCATTAACTATTATATGAAGAAAAACGCATTTTAATTTTCAATTTTAAAAAAAATAATCAGTTTAATTTACTTCTCCGAGTAAAAGTGAAACGTCATTTTCAACGGTCTTTAATAATGGGCGAGGCGCGAGCGGATTTTAATGCCCGCCCTAATCATTGGTGACCAATCACATTTCACGAAATGTCAAACTGACCATGTTCTCATCCAATCAACTGTTAGCAGATAATAAAGTTATTAAAATGGCAGCTCTACCAGATTGTTTATATTTCTCAACAACCTAAATCAATCTTTAGTTTATGTGGCTGTATTTGATGCTGTTTTTACCTCCTTCTTTTCAGTCAGAGTGATCCCAGATCAAGTTTTCTTTTCATCATTATTAAAATTTATTTCTGATCTCTCACATTAACCAAAAGTAGTAATTAGAGGCAGAAGAAACAGAAAACTTTTAAAATGTTTTTTGAAATATCATGTAATCAACTGACACATGAACTGTAATATTAAACACATAGATTATATACATTATATACATTTCAGATGCTTAACTTGATCAAATATTGAGAACCGTCATGGATCATTGTAAAATAAAAACAGTCTGACTTTTCTGTGTGAACAAAATCAGTCTTGACTTAAAAGAGTGCCAGCCTACATTTCTCCTTATGGGTCATACATGAGCAGGACATAAAACTATGAACATAATAAGATTTCAGGGTAAACCAAAAAACAGAGACAACAACGGGGGCAGGATCTTGAATGGCTGCAACTATTAATTTTAAGAGTTTTTATTGCTTGTACAATAAAGAGCATTCATCTTTGCATTCATAGTGTTAAAGTAAAACTGCTCTTTGACCCGAGCCTGTCTTTATTCTTTCCTCTCTGCAGATGCATCCTTGTGTCTGAGCATGACTGTGTTTAACAATAGTTCAGACTCAGTGTCAGTCACACCTTTAAAGACACATTTTTAGTGACGTAAATGTGTCTCTAAAGTTTCCAGCTGTTTGTTTGGATGAAGAGGTGTGACCAGCAGAGTCCTCCCTCTGATGAGAGATCATCTCAGATCAGTTTCTTCTTCCTCTTCTTCTTGATCTTTTCTTAGCTCTCACAGAAATAGCAGCCGTGGGCTCCTCGTTGTTGTCGTTGAGCGGAGCTGCACAGCTGCTCTCACAGGCTTCACAGAGATGGAGACTGAGATACGGAGGAGCAGAGACGCAAACCCTCTGTAGGTTTTTGTCGAATGCTTTTTCACCGTGGGGACAGGGGGCCACGGTGATACATTCCAATAGAGCCGCCGTACAAAAACCTCCTCCTATTAAAACACATTGTGCAGACGGCTGCAGGCTGTCAGGAGAGCAGAAAAACCTCCAAAATGAAGCTGAACACGACCAGACAACACCTGAGCAGAGAAAAGATTGATTACAAGCAGAAAAACCTGCAGAAATGAAGTTTTTACACGACTTTTACTCCAGAAGAGAAACATCTGTCAGCTTCTTTTTCTCCTCTTCACAAACAGAAAACTAACCTGAACACCATGAAGCTCATCCTGCATGTTTAAACCTCCTTCATCCTCTGGATTATCGCTCCGTCTCCACAAGAAGATTCTGGAAAGTTTGAAGACTTTTTGGTGGAGGAGACTTTCAGTGTGACACTGGAACTGAAGCTTACTTTGGAAAGGGGACCAAACTCACAGTTCTGGGTACGTTTCAACTTTTATTACTTTAATAGACTGAAACAAAAACTTCAAATAGTCCAATCCTCGATATGAAAGAGAGGAAAATACTGTTGGAGAAAAAAGTCTGAAATATTGAGCTGAACAGAGACACTGTGAGCTACACTGATCCTGCTTACTTTGGACCAGGAACCAAACTCACAGTTTTAGGTAAATATATCTACTTTTATTACTTTATTTGGACAAAAGTCACTAATATACGTGTCCTACTGTGGAAAGGAGTAAAAGTTTAAAGTTAATTAGAGATAGAAAAAGACAGAAGAGTTTGATGTTCAGTGTTTCTGCACTGTGACAACGTTGAAGCGTACTTCGGACCAGGAACCAAACTCACCGTTTTAGGTAAATATTTCAGTTTCTCACTATATTTACATAATTTCTACATATCCTAGAGTTTCAGTATAAATGTAAATAAAATTCAAACCTTCCCAGAGAAATAAATAATAAAGAAAGAAAGAGGAGTTTGATGTTCAGTGTTTCTGCACTGTGACAATGCTGAAGCTTATTTCGGACAAGGAACCAAACTCACAGTTTTAGGTAAATATTTCTCTTTTTCTGTGTCTATCTTTATGAATTAAGCAAACTTAAGAGTCTGATACAGGTAGAAGTAAAGGTAAAAACTTCTCAAAGTTAATTTAAAGGCAAGAAAGACAGAAGAGTTTGTTGCTCAGTCTTTCTGCACTGTGAGCAGCAATTACCCTGCTTACTTTGGACCAGGAACCAAACTCACAGTTTTAGGTAAATATTTCTCTTTTTCTGTGTATATCTATAAATTAAACAATCTTCAGAGTCTGATACAGATAGACATAAAAGCAAAAACTTAGGAGAGTTGCTTTAAAGGTGAGAAAGAAAGGAGAGTTTGTTGCTCAGTCTTTCTACACTGTGAGCAACACTTACCCTGCTTACTTTGGACCAGGAACCAAACTGACAGTTTTAGGTAAATATTTCAGTTTCTCACTGTTGTAAGATAAATTCTACATACTCGAGAGCTAAGGTATAAACAAAATTAAAATCTTCCCAAAATATGAAATAATAGAGACAGAAAGAGGAGTTTGATGTTCAGTGTTTCTGCACTGTGACAATGCTGATGTAACGTACTTTGGACCAGGAACCAAACTCACAGTTTTAGGTAAATATTTCCCTTTTTTGTGTATATCATTATAGTTTACACAAACTTAAGAGTCTTATCAAGATGAAAATAAGAATGAAAACTTCTCAGGGTTGATTTTAAGGTGAGAAAAACAGAGGAGTTTGTTGCTTAGTGTTTCTGCACTGTGAGCAACTTCAACGAAGCGTACTTCGGACCAGGAACTAAACTGACAGTTTTAGGTAAATATTTCAACTTTTTACTCTGATGATAGATTTAAGTTTGTCGCAGAGTCTTAGTATAGATAAAAGTCCAAACTTAATAGCAATTAGTCTAAAAGAAAGACAGAGGTTTGATGCTTGTCGCTGCTTCACTGTGACGACTTAAACGAAGCGTACTTTGGACCAGGAACTAAACTGACAGTTTTAGGTAAATATTTCTGAGTTTATTACTTTTTTTGGATAAATTTCACTCACTTAAGAGTCGTGGTGTAGATGGGAATAATTGTAAAAACTTCACAGAGTTGATTGTAGAGTATAAAGACAGAAGAGTTTGTTGTTCATTGTTTCTGCACTGTGACAATGCCAACGAAGCGTACTTTGGACCAGGAACTAAACTCACAGTTTTAGGTAAATATTTCAGCTTTTTACTGTGTTTGATAGATTCAACTTTGTCTCAGAGTCTTAGTATGGATTAATGTAAAACTCCAAACTTCATCATAATAATTCTAAAAGAAAGACAGAGAGGTTTGATGTTTGTCGCTGTTTCACTGTGACGACCGAAACGAAGCGTACTTTGGACCAGGAACTAAACTGACTGTTTTAGGTGAGTGAAGAGTGATTGAATAATAAAAAATATAAACAATATGAGTTATAAGACCGTAAAGTTCCTGGGTCTTGGTTAGTTCAGTTCAGAGCTTTTCGACACTAAGCCGGAGCGCTGTGTCAATTACGAAGCTTACTTCGGACCTGGAACTAAACTGACTGTTCTCGGTGAGTAAAAGGTCAAAGTTGTTTAGAATGTATTTGTCTTAAAAAAGGAAACTAAATTAAACAATCTAAGTGTATTTACAGTTATGTAGTGAGTGTTAGTGAATGTTTAAAGCAGCTTAGAGTCGATCAGCAGCCCTTCAGTTTGAGCACAGATGAAGTCCACTGTGACTCTGGTGCTTCAGAGGCTTACTTTGGTGGAGGAACTAAATTAACCGTTTTAGGTAAGAACTAATTTTCTTACTCACGAAGCTTAAATATAATTTCTGTAGAAAGAGTGTAAGGAAGATTAAAACAGTATTTATTCTATGCATCATTCTGGACGTCTTAAAGTTCAGACTGAACTCAAACGTTTTGACGTTAAGCCTGATCACTGTGTCAGTACGAAGCTTATTTCGGCTCGGGGACTAAACTGACTGTTCTCGGTGAGTAAAACCTCTAAAATTCTTATTATTGATTCTCCTGTTAGACTCATTTGTTTACAAAGAGGAGTTAATTTTAATGCAAGAAAATAAGTCTAATTGAAAACTCATGTAGGCAGTATCTGAGGCGGTTTTGAGCACAGACGAAGTTCACTGTGACTCTGGTAGTTATGAAGCTTTCTTCGGTGGAGGAACTAAATTAACTGTTTTAGGTAAGAAAACATTTACACTGCATTAAATATTCTTCAAGGTTGATTTTTAAAGAGGTTGTAGATGTATTCTTAAATTTAAAAAAACTCATAAACTCAAACTTTTGCCTCATAATCTGATTAAATAACTACAAAATAACCATGAAAACAAATCTGCAGATGTGCAGATTGTAAAAATTAGACCTGTAAGGCTGAATGTTTTGCGAAATCTTTTGAATGTCAAGAGGGACAAAGTTAAGATTATTCTGAGTCGACAGATAAGAAGAGACGTCAGGAAGAGTTTTTGTCACAGTAGAAAGTCTCTGTGGTCCTACGCCGAGGCTTACTTTGGAGCTGGGACTAAACTCACAGTTTTAGGTAAGAAAACGACTCCTGAAAACACTAAACTTCTCTCTTATTTTATTTGTTTAGCTCAGAGAACACTAAAAATACAATGAGAAGATATTTTATATGTAAGCGTTAAATTAAACATTTAAAAACTGACAGAGTTTAAGAGATTAATTGAGGAAAAGTCTCAGTCTGTGCAGGTAAAATCCAGCCTGTTGAAAGCTGTTCAGTTACAGTTGAGGCTGGATTAAAGATTTGGCTGTGAGCCCGGATTATTCCTCTCACTCTGAGTTCTTATCAGCTCTGTGAAACACTGTGAACAACCAGGGAGAGGCTTACTTTGGAGCTGGGACTAAACTCACCGTTTTAGGTAAGACCTGCTCAAAAACTGAAATACTAATCTGTCTGCAAACTGCTCTATAACTCCATCAGGTCAGTTTTTCATCTCAAACTCTTAAAATCAGTTTAAGTTTAAAAGTTTAAAAAGACTCAAACGGCGTGTGCAGGTCTGAGTGTTGAGAGGTTTTTCTGCAGCCTTGTGTCAGTGTGAACAACTATGATCCAGCTTACTTTGGTGGAGGAACCAAACTCACTGTGATCGGTAAGAAAAGGATTTTTTAAAATATTCAGTAAAACAGCTTATTTTGCTCTTCTTCTAAGTGAAGGTGAAAAAAAAAAGCTTTAAAGTTGAAATTATAAGTAGTCAATACAGTTGTGTTTAACGGCTCATCAGGTTAGAGGTGATACACGTGTGATTTTGGTTGATTTGGATGAATATTTTTTGTTTCAATTTAGTGTTTTTAATGTAATTTTGACGTTTGTGTTTGTATTTAATGCCGCTTTAAGTCAGGCAGAAAGTTTTTAAACTGTTTTAAAAAGAGATTTAAAATCTAAAGGAGTTGAAAAAAGGTTGATAAATTAAGCTGAGATGCGCTGCTGTGAGGACTTGAACGAAAAGCAACAAAAGACGAATTTAAGATGAAGCTTTGTTGGACAGTCAGAGAAAAATCAAGAGGGTCTTCTTAGAGTAAAAGCTGTAGAAATTAATCCTCACGGGACATGCTTAAATATATTAATTGTTTTCAATAATTCAGTGTAAAAATATTTAGGTTATAGGTGTAAAAAAGGGTAAGGAGGTTTTAGATATTTTCAGTTAAAGAGGTCCAAAGAAAAGAAAGCTGCAATCTTGAAAACAATAATTGAATTTCCGTGTGTTGAAAGAAAACGTTTTGACTTCTTGGTTTTACTGTCAAACGCAAAAACGCTTTGCTAAGATCATAAAAAATTGCCTTGATTCTTTAACAAAAAACTTTACCCATCTTAAAACTGTAAATATAATTTTATTCTTAACATCAAAACTAATTTCTCCAAGTAGAGCATGTAAAAAATATGTACTTCTCTGATAAACTTCCAAATCTCGTCATAAAGAGAAAATAAAAACTCCATTTCGTTCTTTTTATTAAATAAAAAAAGGTTAAATATATGTCAAATAAAAGAGCCACTTAAACAACTCTAAATGTTAATTTGTTAAAATGTAAACATAAACAGATTTTGATGGGTAGCAAATCGTCAAAACTCTGTATTTAATTGAAAAATGAGCAAAAACAAAATGTCAGATGTTAAAACTTGAATTAATTTGTCTGATCACCTTATACACAGTTTCCTCTTTGCACGGTCAGTTTTAACCTACATTTATGTCAAAAGTAAGAAACTGTTTACAGACTGTAGTTTTCGGAGGTGATTTTGAGCCCATGCAGCAACTTCCACTCCAGAGTCAGGTCTGTTTTTGGCGTATCACCCAAAGATCTTGGACATACAGTTTTTGGTTTTCAGTCTTGTTCAGATTCTCTCAATCTTCTCATGATATTAGGAACTTTAAATGATGAAATCCACAAATTCTTTGAAATTAAACATTCAGGAACAAACTGTTGAACTGTTAGCTCACACAGTCTCTCACAGAATGACGAACTTCTTATTTTTACTACCTGAGTTACGACCTTCTGAAAAAATAAAACGATAAAACGATAAAACGATAAAACGATTTTCAATAAAACGATCAAATTCTGTTATTTAACATTTACAGTGTCTCCATATTCTCAGGGTTGGTGTTGTAAATGTAGTTACGGTTTGAAAACGGGGAAATACTGTAAAAATAAATGAATAAATAAAACGGTTAAAATTAGTTCAGCCTTCAGAAGATCGTTGTCAGTTTGACGTTTTGGGGAAGGAACCAAACCAACAGTTCTTGGTAAGATCTTTAAATCAGACCAGTTTTTATGCAAAAGACAAAATAACAGAAATGAATGAGAGTGGTTTCTGCACACTGGGATGATCATGTTGGTGAAAGTCCAGATCTTCATGTCCTAACTCCAGATTTAAGGGTGTCCCCTGTGCATCAGATCTCTGCACAGTTCTTCTGTTTTTGTGGATCAGTCTGCAGCTTTAATCCGGTGATTTCTGTCCTTTGTCTTTGCAGAAGATGGACATAACGTCACTCGTCCAACGGTCAAAGTTCTCCCTCCTTCTAAAAAAGAGTGCGGACGCCAGAAAGAGAAGAAAAAGACCATCGTCTGTTTGATCAGTGGGTTTTATCCGGATCATGTCAAAGTCCGCTGGACCATCGGTGAAGTCAGTGTCACATCAGGGGTGTCCACTGACAATGTGGCCAAGAAGGAGGGCAATTTCTACAGGATGAGCAGCAGGCTGAGGGTCCCTGTTACTGAGTGGTACAACGTGGAGAATGAGTTCACCTGCATCGTCAGCTTCTATGACGGGGAAACGTGGGTCAAAAAAAGTGATTTTGTTCGTGGACAACAAGGTTTGTTCAGAGAAACTTCAGAAACGATCTCTCCTGAATCTTTTTTCTGTTTAACTAAAGTGTCTCCTCGTCTGATTCTTCTTTTTGCTCCTCAGACACGACCAAAGGAGGATTTCCAAAGAGAGGTAAAGATGATTTTACTGTCAGTTCTGCTCCTCTGAGCCGTAAACATACAGTCACCAGAAAAAGGCTTTAGTCATGTATTCAGAGTCAAACTAAAGAGAGAGCTGCTTGTTGAAACTGGATCTGCTGATTCTTGAACTTTCTGCAGAGAAATACCTGAAGATCACAAACGGGGCCAAACTGACCTACACCATCTTCATCGTGAAGAGCTGTTTCTACGGAGCCTTTGTCCTCTTTCTGCTGCTGAAGCTTCAGGTTTGTCCCGTTCAAAATTCCTCTTTTCACTGTTTTTAACTTTAAAATTTGTCTGAATGAATAAAAAAACATCTTTTTCTTTGTTTCAGGGGGGAAAGCAGAAGAACTGAGCTCAAAGCAAAGAATCCTGGGAAATCAGAGTGTGTTATTCCCTGTAAATAAAGACTGCAGACGTTGATGCTAAATAATCAGAACATCTTCTGTCACTGTATTTTTGCATCTATTCTCCTAAAGCTTTGTTTGCACCACTTTTTTCTTTCGTTTTAAACAGACTTTGTACTTTTACGCCTTATTTTTGTCATTAAACTCAAACTTAATGCTGCTCCTGGTCTGTTTTTAACTCTTTACTGCTCATCATGCACATTTAATAAACTACATATGGCAGATATAATATGATAAAGGCTTCATTTTTTTAAATGAGTGAAGTATATGTGATTTCAAAGGTCCCATGTGACTTGAGGAGCTTCCCTCATGTTTTTACTGACACCTGCAGAGTGCAAGTCTTAAATAAACTCTAAATGTATGCAGAAAAGAGCAGGTACGGTGGCCCTGAGGGTCAAAACACAACCACATCCCAGAAAAGGAACATTTTGAAGCAGATGTGTTAATTTAAGTGTAAAATTAGCAAATTATTCCTGGATTTGTGTCGAGTTTTGACCTTTAACGAAGAGGCTTCATCATTGTACCGGACATGCAGTGACATTTTAAGGATATCATTTTGCATTTTCAGTTTTCTCATCATCCCTCTGACGCCTCTTCTCACTCTGATTATCATCTTTTTCCACAGACAGTTTGAGCTTTTTTTAGCAGCTTGTTTATCTACATCTTTTCTCAGAAATCACCGACTGTTTCCTCTGAAACATGTCAGCTCAGGACGCCTCTATAAGCCGGTTTATTTGAGTCATTATCCAATAAGAAAACACAGAGGCCTGTAAAGTTGGTCCAATCACACCTGACTGACAGTTTAATTCTATTTACTCATCTGTATGTTAATATTTGGAGGGTTTGTGCAAGAAAAAGAGTTTAGGCAGTTTAAGGTTTAATTAAGTCTAAAAATTTTTTTTTTTCTTTGTGCAAACAGAGTCAGGAAAAGTAAGAAGCACACAAAGACAGGAAGTGATCATTTTGTTCTCAGAGCTGCAGATGAGCCGAGAGGATGTGGTCAGAGATGAGCCTGAACATCGCTCTCTGTGCTCGCTACACAACCGCAAACACCTGCAGCTCTGCACCCACACACACACACAAAAACATACTCACACACATCTCTGTGCAAACAGCTGCAAAACTTCCATTTCTGTGTCAACTGAAGCTTCACTCTGGAGTCGGTCATGAAAGTGTGTTTTTATTTTGCCTCTGCAGATGCAAAGACCTGCAGCTGAGTTTAGAGGTCATGCACGAGAGTATCATGATGGACCGGATCTTGTGTACGTGTTTACAAGACACCAGAGTTACAGCTGCAGTGATCAGACTCAGAAGTCGACTGTTTCCATGATGACACAGTCCTGAACTCTGTAATCTCACCAAGTTTAAGAAGGTTCCAGAAATACAGAGATGAATCTCAGTCTCACTTCGACCTCACTCACAAACAGACAAATCAATCAACTTTAAGACTTAATAAAACTTAATTTAGTTCAAGAGAGGTAGAAAAATCATGTGCGGTGGGTTCGGAGGTCAAGATAGTGATTTATAATCCTTAAACTAAAAGTGTTTTGACCTTCAGGACTCGTGTAGGAAGTTAAAGGTGTTTAATGTGTGTTTTTACATTTCACCTGTGATTCAAGTTGAGTCCACAACATCTCAGGAAGGCTCAGCAGACAGATGGAAAACAACCCTGTTCAGGCAAACTCCTACAGTTCATCATCCCGACCCCCTAAAATGAGAGAAAAGAGCCTGAACACAAGTGTTGGACAGAGGAGAGTGAGGCTGTACGCTCTACGTCCTCTAAAACACTCTATAACTACATGAGGATGAAAAAGATAAGATGTAAATACCAAACTAAATCAAAATTCTACTTCAGTGTACTGTTTTTTTAGCTAATATATTATACACTTCAATATGTCTCACCTATAGACCGTATATACCATGGACAACTTGGTTCCATCTTCCTTCAGTTTACGGATTAGAAGCTAAAAAGTTCTCGGTATTCCCGGGCTTTTTCTCCATTTCCGGAAACGTACATTGCGCAGTAGCATTGTGCGCATTCGGTGGGGAAGTCGCTGAGCGGAATCACCGGCGTCCCTACACGGCGGCCATCTTACTCCAGTATACCATTCCTGTACGCACTATGGTAGCTAAAAGAAGGTGAGAAATCTGCATGATCAAAAATACTCTTAACTCGCTGAAATCTTGACAGATTTACAAACAGTTTTGTTTATTACAGACCTTAATAACGCGGCTATGAGTCGGGATGCTTGGACATGTTAAAATGGCAGATTTTCTTTGAGAAAAATAAACAATCATAAAGCAGTTGTTTTACAGCTATTTGCGTCCAATGGCTAACTCTGAATCGCTTTGCGTAAGTTGTCAAGGCAGACCATAATCAAGATTTTAATTTCTTGTATGACAGCCTTTCTTGTTTGTTTGTTTTTTATCTAAGTGACAGTCTTTGTGGATGTGCTTGTGTTTATCAGCTGTCTAGCTCGGCTAACAGACTCGCTGTGAGTGAGACCAAGAACATCTTCTAAAGTTGAAATGCTCTTCCGTTTCAACATAACTCAAATTGCACATGATTCCCAAACTGTTTGGTTTTGGTTTGTTAAAAACATCTAAAATGGCAACATGAGGCAAATATTTATATTGAAAATACATATTTATAAATGTTTTTGCACTATGTTATTATAGTTATCCCTATGATAGAAATATTACTAATATAACATACATGAAATGATTAAATGTTTTATATATAAATGATTTAATATAACTGCCTTTTGTGTGTAGGCCTATAGCTATTGCTCTATCTATCTGCTTAATGTTTATTTATGAAAATCTATGATTAAAATTATTGAGTATGGAACAAAACCAAAACTCTGAGGTTTGTTACAAACCAAACCATTTGAAAATCGGTTTAAAATTAATCAATCTATAGTCATTTAAATGCTACATGAACCGTAGACTGGAATGTTATGAGAGGGCAAGCGCCCCGTAGCAAAACGGCCGCCATGCGCACGCACTCCACCACTTGTGCAGTAGCATTGAACGCATTAGGTGGGTGAGTCACTGAGAAACTGCAACCCCATGGCATTGTATTGTTCTTTGTTTTGTGTTTTTACTAAATGTAATTTCTGGAAAAAAAGAGAGTTGCTGTGATGACGCTCAGCTCAAACAGTGTATTCCCCAGATAAGCTACGCAATCTTCATATGCCCATAGGCTGTATCAAGTGTCAATCATAGAAAACATGAACATAACTTTTAAAAATGGAGCTGTACAGAAAAAAGAGGACTTGAGAACAAACCAGTCTTACTGTAACTACGTGTCAACATCACAACCAGGGGGGATAAAAATTTATATTCTATGTCATTAATTTCTAAAGTTTGTCCACAACTCCATAAGGATTGCTGGAGGAGGCAGGATTTACAACCTATACTGCAGCCCGTCACCAGAGGGTGCTGTTCTCGCAGTGGCTTCACCTAGTGAGGAGGCAGACAGCGTCCAATCTATATACAGTCTATAGACACCAGTACAGTCTCTACTAAGATTCAGGCCAAACATCTACCTCTTTGTTTCCCTCCAGATGTTTCCTTAAAATCATGTTTGTGCCTCCTGTTGTCACAAAAACAGGAAACCGAGTCAGTGAAACCACAATAGTAACATGTTGTTTTTGTCATACTTACATGAGCATCTCCTCCTGCAAACATGCACACAGGTGGTCTGTTTGACACCGCTCTTAAACGCCCTCTTGTGGTACAGACTGGAACATCACCACCAGACACTTTTTTTAATCAAAATATCATTTTTATTATCAAATAATTACATAAAAAACAAATAAAGAGACAACACTTGATCAGTGAAACAGGGAGTATTATTAAAAATGATGATACAGTAGAAGGCGGTGAGCTTTTTTTAGTGGATTTACATGAGAAATCCTGTAAACCATAATCCTCTAGAAAACAGAGAACATGTCCAGAAGCTCCTCTGAGTAAATAACTTATTTTAGAGACGAGGCCGAGCAGGAAAGGTCGACTTTGATTCTTACAGTGGTTGTTTTCATATAAAGGCCCTTTTTAAGTTTCTGTGTTCAGTGTTCAGACAGACTCCCTTCATCACAGACGGATCTACATCTACAGTCTTCAGTCCCTTTTTTCATCCTGTAAATCTGCACAGACGGGTCAGATCTCTGTGCCGTCAGTCCTTTTGGTGATGCTGGAGGGTTTTCCGTAAAAATAAAAACAGCATCGATGTTTCAAACACCGTCTCATGAGTTTTTAGAAAACTTCTGCAGCTCTATCCCAGCCGGCCGAACCTTTTGTTCCTCTGTGAGTGTCGGGTGCAGCTGGCGCAGCAGAAGCTGGAGTAGTATTGGTTGGAGCAGAGTCGGGCGTAGACGATCAGCTCACAGTTGGCGAGCTCGGGCTGATCCACGCACTCGGGAGGAACTTCGCCACCTGAGACGGTTCAGAGAAAGTCATGAAGTGAAGAAAAAACAATATCGCTCCTGTTTTCTGATTGATTATTTAATCTTCTGATAATCCAAGAACATCAAAAACTCCAGAGTTTGACTCTCACCTCCTTGTGAGTCTTTAGTGACTTTAACTTCAGCCGTGGCGCTCACCGAGTAGATCCCGGTGTAAGCGTTACAGGTGTACGTTCCCTCGTCTGACGGCTTCACGTTGTTCAGGATCAAACTGCCGTCAGACGAAGTGAGGATGTTACGACCATCGGGGCGCACCGGGACGCCGTTTCTGCAGGCAACGAGGAGGAGAGAAAAAGCCTGTCACCTTCATCTGTGTCTCTTTTTTTACTGTTTGGAGGTCGCACAGAGATTTCTCCTGACATTAATATCTAAAGGTGCTATTTGCAAAATAATCCCTGAAGGTCGGCTTCAACCTGTGAGATCGGGCGATCAATAATCCAACCACATAAAACCCAGAGTGTAAAAAGTAAAGTTCAGTTTTTATTGTTGCGGTTTTTAAAGACAAATTTCTTCCATATATCTCTTGAACAAAAATGACCATAAAGTTTCTCATTTTTAGATGGTAGATTTCTTACTTCAGGGTTGTGATGGTCGAAGATTTTCACTAAAAATGTCTTATTTCCAAACATTCATGCTCTAACAAAATTATAAAGGGATACAAAAAAACCCAAAGGATCAAAATATCAATTAATTTGGTGATAAGTTTCTATTTTAACTCCTTAAACTATCCTGATACAGCAGAATTCAACACATAAACTAACTGCAGTCACTTTTTATGTCACTTACTGTAAATAATGGTCATTTAAGAATCATATTTAGAGCAAATTAAACACTAGATTTAACAGCACACATGATGGAGCTTTAATACAGACAAAAGGTCTCTCACCTGGACCAGCCGATGTTGACATTGTCTCCTGAAACCACACAGGGCAGCACAGCCGTGCTTCCTTCAGACACAACAATGTTGTTTGGAGCTGTGGTGATCTTCAGGTCGGCTGGAAAATCGAAACATAAAAGAAAAGATTTATTTTGGTCTAAAACTTTCATAAACTCACACTAGATTATCCTCCTGTTAAATCAACCTGAAACACACTGTGCTGATATACTGACCTCTGCTGGTGGAAGAGAGAAATAACATCAGCAAACGTTTAAAAGTGCTGCTGAGACATGAGAGAGACTCACTCTGGACTTTGAGCTGCAGCTGTCTCTGCTCCAGCTGCTGCTGGGTGGAGGCGGTGCAGGTGAAGACGCCGGAGTCATCGGACTTCAGAGGGCTGATCATCAATGTCCCGTCGGAGTTTTGTGTGTATCTGAAAAACAGACGTCAGTTTGAGACTCAAAAATGGTCTCTGCATTTATAAACCCTGACTGAGGACTTAGGCACATCCTCATCGTCTCTAATCTCTCAGATCTTTAGCCTGCTAATTTACAAACAGTCCAAATTAAAGGATAATAAAATATATTAAACATTCAGACACGTGCAGAAATCAGGAGAGCAGATACCTGGAGTCGTAGATGGTTTGTCCATCTTTTGTCCACTGGATGTTGACGTACTGCAGAGCCGACGGAGGAACGATCCTGCAGCTCAGTCTGGCTGTTTGTCCTGAGCGCATCTCCAGCAGAGACGAGCTGGTTCGCTCGATGCTGAACCTGAGCAGGAAGACGGGACGGGGACAGGAAGTGACAATTTACATAAACACGGCGTGAAGATCTACTTTATAGAAACACGAGGGGAATCATTTTGGTGTATCAGCGAACGGGGACATGTTCTTACCGAGGGACGGGACTGTCTCTGGGCAGGAGGGTAGGCGAAGGCTGAGACGGACCCTCTTTGACACACACACACACACACACACACACACACACACCATCATCAGTTAGTGAACAGTCTACCATAACTCCCTTACATAACGTCACATTAGCACGTCATGCGTAAACAACAGCTAACTTTTCAGGGTCACTTCATTTCGACGACCCGTGACATCATCATAATCTATGACATCAGAGCGTCACCACGGTAATCTAATCTAATTTTCCCGTCATGGACTAATTGGGGTTAAAGTGGGTCGAATCAAGGTTCTGACTGACTCTGGCCCCAATTAGATCGATGGCACAATGGAGGAGAGTTGGGTTTTTCTCCTCAAGAGCAAAAAAGTTTTTCAAAATTTTTCAAAAAATTTGATTTAATAAAATCATTAAGACAAGAGTAAGTCTGATTCACGTTCTGAAAAAAATAAGACTCTGATTCAAGCAAAACCCGCCTCTGATAAACCATATATCCAATCAGATTTAAGGATTTTGCAGAGCATCAGGGGTGGCCAATCAGATTTCAAGGAGAAGGGGGCGATGCCACCCAGTGCAGCCCTTCTAGATTCACCCCTGGATATCAAGTGGCTGGTTTCTCTCTGCACTGCTCTGCGTCTGGATGCAGATACTTGTTCGATAAAGTTTTTCTTCAGATGTTCGGCCTTACCTGTGACACTCAGGTAAATGTAGCGGTGGTCTCGCTCCCGTACACGAGTCGCCACGCACAAGAACCAACCAGAGTCCGATTTAGAGAGAGGACCGACCAACAGGGATCCGTTGGGCTGCTGGTGATGCCTGAAGAAAACATGAGACGAGAGTTTTAAAAAAGCAACAAAATTAATAGAAATTAAACCGATGAGTGCGTTTATGAGACACCGCTGACCTGTTATTGGACAGAGGCGTGCCGTCCCTCCTCCACTCCATGACGACGGTGGAGGATGGCGGCGGGCTGACTCTGCAGGGCAGCACCACCGTCTGACCCACCAAAGCTTCCACCGTGGCGGGGTCCGACTTATCGATGCTCACTCCACCCAAGGTCAAACTGAGGGGAGAAGAGGGGACGCAAGGAAAGGAGACGAAGGAGGTAGAATCAGAAGAAAGTCGGAAAAGAGTCACTTTATGCTCCACTGTTGGTCCTTTTATTCACCGTCACCAAAGCAAGCATAAAGAGCGCCCACAGCCCGGGTTCGAGGGTTCATCAGGGAGGAAAGACAGCGAGGAAACCAAAGTTTGGCACATGCAACATGAAGAGACACGAGACAAACCTCCACCAACAAAACGAGTCAACAAAAAACGACACATTTCCCCTCTGAAACAAACACAGGATGACGCTACAACTACACAACATAAAGTGAAGACAAATGGAGTTTAGTGACGACACACAAACGATGACAGATGAGGCATCACAGCACAACCTTTATTAGACAACAAGGTGACAACACAAAGCCCGAAAACATGAGACGGAGACCGACACAGTGAGGTAGCAGACACACAAAAAAGCACAAGACGACTGTTGTGAAGTGAAGTGTAGACAGACAGTGAAAAGTCCCAGAAGCATAAAAACACGACGGTTGTCCATTCAGGGTCGCTGTGAGGTTGTAAACTTCTCCACATGTTTTTATCGAGGTTAAAGATAGAAAGAGGAGACGATAGTTCGGCTAAAGCTGCAGCAGTGATGTGTTTCACAAAACAAAAGCTGAGATTATACCAGCAACACAAGAATCAGGAGAATCTACTCACTGCAAAAAGCTTAATACAAACAATAAAGCAGGAAATATTCAGGTGTACAAACATGAGATAAAAATGTTCATCAAGCACCAACCAGACGGTTTTATCAGCTACTTTTGAGGTTTATTCTGCATCAAACTTTTAAAGGTTTGAGATCTTCATGAATTAAACTGAAATACGGTGCAAAACTGTAATCACAAATCTCCTCTTGAGAGTGGATAAAAAAGGAAAAATGTAGCGATGATTTCCCAGATTTTAAAAGGTGAGAATTCCTGTTAAAAGTTTTGTTTGCAACTTGGAAAAAAGTGTCTGCAAATCTGAGAATTTATCTGCCGTCATTGTGATTCTAGCCGAGGTCTCACCCTCGTAAGAAAATCTAAGACGAAAATAATCCAAGATTGAAATAAAGATTTAAATCAGACCTGTATGAAAGAGGATTAGGGCCACATGAAGAGGAAAAAAATAATTACAGGAAGGAGATTATAGCTGAAATTTCGAGATTAAAAATATTGAAATTATGTCCATAAAGTTAAAATTTGGCAATACAAGTTAAAATCTCAAGATTAGGGTTAAAATTTTAAGATTAAAGTCGTAAAATTTGATTTTCTTTAAATTTCAACCGTAATCTCGAAATGTCAACTTAAATCTCGAAATGGAAATTTAAAAAATCTCCCCCCTGTACTTATTTTTTTCTCTTTGTGTCCCTAATCCTCCTTTGTACTCCTGTGACGCTCCTGCCCTTTACAAAAACATTCGGAAACACCAACACTTCTCACCTTCGTTACACCCAAATGTCCGCCCTCAGACCTCCTTTCATCACTCAAACATGACTTTAACCACTTTTGTTGGTTTCTCTGTAAAATTGTTCTTTTCTTCCTCGTTTGATTAACACAAAAATTTACCTCCAACTTTAAAAAATAATCTGAAACTTTTATGTTTGCAAACAAAACTTTTAAACATGCAAGAAAAATGTTCAGATTTCAGATCCAAGTGCAAATTTTTTTGGTGTTTGCAAACCAAATTTTCCTGTTTCATTGATAATTTTCAATAAAAGCATCAATCAAATCAATCAAAAACTGATCAGTGATTACAGTTTGGAAAGAGTCTCCCAAACCTCTTCTGTTTGTCTGCAGAATAAAGACACAAATACGACCCAAAGTTTGGGTTTATTTTACCTCGGTTTAAACTCAGCAATAACAAGTTTATGATTTACTGACAGTCCCTGAAGTACACGTCTACATCTCTGCAGCAAGATTACAAGTCCGAGCCGATAAAAAAACAAGATCTTAGACATGTTGTCAGGAAACTTTAGAATTAGGAAGAATTAGGAACGATAAATCTCCACCCTGATCCGACTCGAAGACTAAAGATGCATCTTTATAAAAATTACACATTAAGTGAATCTAATCTGTTTTCTTTCCTAAAATAAAACACAATCTTCACTGTTTTTTAAAAGTTTTTTTCATGAGTTTGTCGTAAGTTTGCATGCTCTGTATCTGTATTAATAAAGCGATAATAAAAGACTCGTTTTAGGTGACTGATGCACATGTCGTGTCTGTGGCTGCTGATGGATCTTCAGCTCACTCTCAGGCCCCCGTCACGCTCATGGCTGAGGTGATCGGGGTTCCTTCAGCAGGAGTAGGAAGGCAGCTTTCAGTCCCTTCGGGGTCTTACCTCGCTGCCGGACCGGTGTACTGAGCTGCGGTGCTGGGTGGGGGTCGGCGGGGGCGCAGGTACACTCGAGCTCTGTGGGCGTGTTCGGCTGCTGTGCCGCCTGTGGAGCCTCCCTGGGTGGTGAAAACCCGCCCCATGTCGCGTGATCCCCCACCTGATGACCCTCTGGAGGCTGATCTACCTGTGGACCCTCCTGAGGTGGATCCAGCTCCTCTAGATCCTCCTGCTCCAGACCTGCTGCCTCCCGCTCCTCCTCCTCCTCCTCCTGAGGATGAGGTTCTTCCAGCGCTGCCTCCTCTCCTAGTCGGCTCTGCGGGGGGAGGGGCTTGCCCCGGGCTCTGCTGGCCTGGCACCTGACACGCCCTCTGGCACTCAGCCCGGGTCATGAAGTTGTTGCTGTTACCGTGGCAACCTCCGTACCAGAAGTGCACGCACTTGGAGGTGATGACGTCGAAGTGGTAGCGGGAAGTCCAGGCGCTGCAGGAGCCGGCGGCACGAGGCAGAGAGCAGATGGAGCGCTCGACTGCGGAGAGAACATCAGAGGAGGCGGAGTTACCGACATGACACAACACAACGCGCTCGCTCGGTCAGTCGACGCTGCGCCCTGGGAACGCCCATGTCAGACAATCTAAAGCAGCTGAGAACCCTGCGGCTAAACTGACCTCCAGCTTTGACTGTTTTGTCATCCTACATTTTTTCACCCGAGCTCTGCCAAAAATTTCAAATTCATTTTCTAATCAGACTTTCACAAATAGATTCTGGATCTGAGCCCGTGACCTGGAAAACCGCAGACCGCCAACACTTCTGCAGCGCCATGTTTCTGATTATGACCGGGCTGGCACGGCTGAGACTACAACCCCAGCTGTCCGAGAGAGGAAAAACAATTTGAAGAAGAAGATTTGGAGAAATTTTGGCAGAGACGGTTCTTGATTTTGACAAACACTAGAGTCTGGTTTCGAACCCTCGTGTCTTACTGTAGTTGGGCGGGTTGGGGCAGCTCTCTCCGTTGGGTCCTCCTGCAGGTGTGGTGCGGTCAAAACAGCAGCCGTAGGTGGTGAGGCGACACTGCACTGCGTTCTCGGTAGGAAGAGACGACGACACCTGAGAAAACAAGAGAAGAAGAAGAAGACAGGTGACTTTCAAAATAAAAGCATTTATTTAAACCGGAAGAAAGTGATTTATAGTAAAAATAAAATATACTTTATTTTAAATGTAGGGTGTGATTCACAAAAGGACTGAGCAGCTTCTGTGTCTATTTGAAAAACTTTAAATGCACCACAAACTTCGCTTCTGATCAAATAGCATCAGCTGTGTTTTTGCTTCGTTCCATAAACAGGGAAATTTATCACCGAACTTTGAGTCAGCTCTGCATCTGGATGTGGAAAGATTCAAAATCCATGAGGAGGAGAGTGCACAGCACAGCTCTGTGCAGCAGAGAGCAAAGATGCTATGTTCGCACCGATTTTGGCGTTTTTAGCCGTTAGAATCCATTTTAAGTGAGTGTTTAATTACGGCGCTAGCTCCTGCTTTTCCCTTTAACTTAAACCATAATTTTCATGTCTGTCTAGTTAATAAATATTCAGTGAATAAAATTATCATGCGTCTTTCTTACAGTGGGTGGGGGGGCCGTATACTCTCTGCAACCCTCCTTGTTTGGGCCCCGAGCCGCCGTCACTCCGTCCAGACAGCAGCCGTAACTGAGAACAAAACAAGAAGAAGAAGAAGAAGAAGAGGAGGATGAGGAGGAGGAGCAGAAATAGAAGCACAAAGAAACACTCTGTGCTGAAAGTTTGAGTCAGAAATAACAGAAATAAGCAGTTTGGACATCTCGAGGAAACCTCAGCCTCCGCTCCGTCACTTAGTGGTTCTTCTGGTGGTCAAGCGTGTCGTGACAAACAACCTCTGGTCAGAGCGGTCACACTGGCGGAGTCGATACAACACGCTCCATTATGTAACCTCCTCCAGGGTGTAATGACAGGTTTGGTTACCTGCTCTGGATGCAGGCTGGCTGAGTTGAAGAGGGAGTCGGGGCCCGAGGGCAGCCCAGACCTCTGGGGCCCCCGGCTGATGTACGTCCGTCTGGGCAGCATCCGTAAAGGGACTGGCTGCAGTGGAGGGCGGGGGCGCCGCCGTGAGGGTCATGGACCGTGTTGGTCTGGGTGGGATCTGTCTCCGGTCTGCGAGCTGAAACGAGACACACATGAGCCAGCTTCACACGTGGACCAGCTTCACACAACGTTACGGATAATGACAACAGAGTCGAAACTTTAATCCCTGAGACCACACAGAGAGTCTGAACAACAAACACGGTTTTAAAACACTCCTCTTTATCGGGAGATCCAGCAGAGAGTGAATCAGTTTCCAGACTAAACAATCGCACAGGAAGTGAACACGCTCCGGACCTCAGACCTGAAATTCCTGACCACTGGGACGGTTCTGCAGAATGCCACAACATGCCAAACGCACCACAGCCAGCAACAGCACACTTCAGTGCTCGGGAAATATTTTAATCAGGCTGACAGTACCCATGGACCCCCGAAAACACGTCAATCAGGCCCGGATAATTAGTGCAGGGACAGAAGAGGAGGAGGAGGAGGAGGGGGCAGATGGGCACAAAGTGACAGGAGTTACATGAGCAGGAGGGACGGGAGGGGGGCGAGAACGAGAGTGAATCATACCTACAGCTGATTATACAGTTATGAATGTTAGTGTTTAAAGAAGCAGCATGTAAAGACAGAAACACTCGTGTGTCTTACATGTCCCATGGTCCGGTCTGTGGGGCTGTAAACCAGTCTGAGTGTTGTCATGTCCTCGTGGGTCCTGCACACTGGGGACCGCTGCAGAAAGAGGACAAAAACCAGGACAGTAAGAGAGAGCTTCATATAATGTTAATGAGTTCATCCAGGGTGGATGAGACGCCTTTCCTGTCAAATTAGCTTCAGTTTATTAAATACAGGTGGATGAACACTGAAGTAAAATTAGTATTCAATCTTTTTAAAATGTCACACGATGTAGGGCTGGGCGATAAAAGACAGAGGTGGGGGCTTGACGACTCGACTTGAGACTCGACTTGGACTTGAGTCCCGTTTTTGACTTGCTTGATGATCAAGAAATGACTTGGACTCGCTTGGGACTTGATTGCTAAAGACTTGAGACTTGACTTGAATGGAGCCCAGTGACTTGAAAAGTCTTTTCAAGTCACTTAATACCTTACAGCAAGCCCAAATCGTTTATAAAGTGTCGCATCAGCTAATAGTCAGGAGTTACGGCCGTTGGTAACACCGTGTTGTGTTGCCAAGTCTGCTTATTTTCCGCAAAAAGATTGCTTGTTTTTGTCTTGTTTCTGGAGGTCTGTTTCCTTATTTCTCTCACGAAACTTGGCAACACTGTCTGAACATAAATCGCTCGCTAGTATTGCCCGCCTGTTTCCACGTGTTTCCTTGTGTCTCTCTTTTGTTTTGGAACAGTGAATTAGAGTCTCAGTTTAATGTTTAATTGTATTTGAGTCTTCCTTATTTTTGTGCACATTGTCTAAGTTTCCAATAATTGAAGTTTATCTGATTATTTTTTGTATGACATGTAAAATAGTTTGGTTAAAGCTGCACTATGTAACTTAACACAAACAAGAACCCTTGTTTAATAATAAATGCAAATAGTGAAAAATGCTCATGATTGATGTAAATCTGTACATATAATAAATGGTTTATGGCTTTGATATGAAACGGTAAGGACTTGGACTTGGCTTGGACTTGCAACGTAAGGACTTTCCCCCACCTCTGATAAAAGAGTAAAAAGTGGAAAACGTTATCTTGCAGGAGTGAAACCTGTTTTTTTCCTTCCGCATTGACTCTACACTCTTACAGAGGTTTGCATGACCCAGTACCTGCACAGAAACCTTCATATTCAGTCTGAAATCCTCCTCCTTAAACTGCGACTACATGTCAAAACAAAACAGATTTAAAGCCCTGTGATTGGTCCACTAGACAGCATCATATTTCCTAACACGGACACTCGAAAACACAACAATACAAGCCACGACAGCGCAGAGTTGTTTTTGCACACGCTCACTCTGAGGGCTGTAGCAGGACTGGGTGTTGCAGCGCTCCACTGTGGCGGGTTTTGGGTGGGCGCTGCACTGATCCACAGCGTACAGGTTCCCATCCCGGTCTGAGCAGGTCACCTGTCGATCCCTGGAGCCGGATCCACAACTCCTGGAGCACTAGAGAGGACAGAGGAGATCACCATGAATGAAAACTACACGGTGTGTGTCTCTGTGCTGGTCGGGTTTTCACTCACCAGTCCCCACTCTCCAACATGCCAGCTGATCTCTCGGGGTCTCAGGCTCGAGCAGGCCGCCATCTCACAGGGTCGGACAGCAGATGGGCGGGGCAGAGCGCTGCAGGTCGTCTCGTCGAGTCTCATCCCTCCTGAACCGATGCAGGTGATTTCTCTGGTCTGCTGGCCTGAACCGCAGGTCACTGAACACTGGAACAAACACGGGTACAAATAAAACAGACGTTCATGTAGTCTCATCTCCGTAATCAGGACCCGTGTTCAGGTGGTCCACTCACCGCGCTCCATCTGCTCGCTCTGTACTCCGCACACTGGTGCATGTTGCAGGTCTGCAGAGACAGGGGCGCCTCGGCGTAGGCCGCACAAACCGCATCCTCCACCACACGGGGGCCAGATGCATCATGGGAGATGCACTCCACGCGGCGCACTTGAGAGCCTCCACCACAGGTAACGGAGCAGGCGTTCCACTCTCCTGTCCTCCAGCTGGGAAAGCCGTCAGGGAGGGAGGAGCGACAGGAAAACGAAGATGAGGAGAAATTCTACCAATAATCTTGATCAGTAAAGCTTCAGTTTGAGAAACAAGATAGAAGACTGCAGCGGTGAAGAAAATTCAGGAGCCAAACTACGAATCAGTGACTCCCAGCTGAGAGACAGGAAGTACTTTTACCTCTTTGTTAGGGATGGGAATCGAGAACCGGTTCTTGTTGAGAACCGGTTCCAAATGGTTCAATCCATCGACATCGTTTAGATTTCATTTTAATGATTCCCGTAACGATTCCTTTCTTCCGGGTGCTTTGGAAAACGGTCTCATGAGAGGCAAGGAGAACCGAGACTTTGGAAAAAAACAAGGCGGATGGTACGAAAAGTAGACGGAAACGATCTAAAGCTTCATTTCACTAAGAAATACGACAACGAGTCTCTTATGGAAGTTTTGTTTGTGTGGCGTGGACTAACTAAGTTAGAAGTGCGTAAAAAACACTCGACCCGACCAGAAACACCCTCAAAATTTTGCGCACGATTCCACCCCGTGTAGCCGTGTCGGAGATCCGGAGTGTGGTCACCCTGATTTGACTAAATACCGACCAAGTAAATGTTGTACAAATAGTTTGATGTTTAATTATTTTTAGACTGCATCTTTTTCTATTATCAAATCGTTAAAGAATTGAATCAATAAGCAGAGTCTTTCATGGTAACGATATCGATAAAATCGTATCAACTCCCATCCCTGCTCTTAGTTTGAAGAGACGCTGACGCCTCTGCAGAGTCGACTAAAGCAGGTAACTAACTCAGACTAGAAGGTAGATCTCTCCCACTCAGAGACACGAGTCCCCTCTGCTCCAGGTCTTCCATGAACCGGATCTTTACATCGAGGGTTAATGAGGGTTCAGCTCCAGCTTCATAAACGTCTCAGGTTTCTGAGCAGCAGCAGGAAATACCAGAGAGGCAGTGACTGAAGCCACGGCTCTTTACGACCACGACACTACAGCAGCGCAGATTTACCCATTAACACCACCCCCATGACGACCTCTGACCTCACATCACACCAGCTACACTACAGGACGGGGACGGAGAGTTCACTAAAGGAGTCAGACAGCAGCCCAGCTCAGGGATCGGGCTTCAGGGTCTGATCAGGGTTCTGAAGGGCTATTTGATAGAAATCTGGTATCATATCAACGTCAGGTAGAAGTTCAGGGTGTTCAGGATGAAAAGGGGTCGTTAAAGAGGTAAAACAGGATCTCTGAGCTGGACTGTCTCTGCGTTTCTACGATCTCATCGACGACAGAAAACAGGTTTTCTGATAAAGACAGAGACTAGAGTCAAACACATCTGACGGGGAGAGTTTGTGGATCTCTGAGCAGCTTTTTTAGTGGAGTTGTGTCATCTTTAAACCTTCAGGATATAATATTATGATTATTAGAGCATAAAGATCCGTCAATGTGTGATCAGATCCATGAATATTCAGACCATCTTTACTCAATCACGGCTGAAAAGTCAGAGTGTTTCTCCTCTGAGAGCCTCTCAATTGGCTCTCTGTTTACACATGACTTGATACAGTTCTGCCGTGCAAGAGTGCGAGGTATCCCACCATGCTTTGCACAGCAAATTAGCCACCTGCAGTACACAATGAAGAGGAGCGAATGCCCTGAATCAGGGTGAGCGAACGGTCAAAGCCGCTCGGGTTTGTAGATGGATGAGCGGAGCGAAAGTGTCGTCTCAGTTTTAACCGATGATTTGTGAATTTTCAGCTCCAGGAGGACAAAACTTCAACTTTTCAACTGAACAAAGAAACTAAAGAAGCAAAACCAAATTTTATCTTCTGTTCAGTAAATACAGGGAAATTAGTTCATCGAAGTCTTGGTCTGTTTGTTTTGTGAAACAATGTGAATTAACGTGGTCTTTTCTGTTCGTTTTGTTGGTTGTTTTGGAAAATAAGAAATAATGAACTGTAAAAAGGTACGCTGGCCTGCAGCTCTGGTTTATTTTTTTATTATGTGTTTAGTTGATTAATATATAATGAATAAGGGGCGGAGTCTATAAGAGTTTTCTTCTTTCTGCTCCTTTTCATTCACGTGTTTGAGATTTTTCCTTGTTGTAGTGATGCATCTCACTTTTAGAAAATGGTTTATTGATAAAAATCTTGAATCAAAAATTTAAAAAAAGCGAAAACTGATCTGCTAATCAGTCTCACAGTCCTGTAGATTTCAGAAGTGGATTAAAACCTGTGTTATTGTGAACAAATAAAGAGGATCTCTCTGCAGTGATGGTTCCATGATAAAGATCTCCCCGTGTGTTTGCAGCTACCTAAAAGAAACACTACTTCTACATCTACCACTATCACCACTACAGAGCCCGGTTACCTGTACACATAGACTCTGGATCTTTCTGAGGATCTCCATAACTTTGGTGGATACTGGTACGCCATCCTGGTACGCAGCAGTTATATAAAAAACAGTCAGACGTTTGCTCTGAGACCGAGTTCATCTTCACTTCAGGGTAAATGAAACAAAAATGACCCCTTAGAGAGATTCGATAAAAGTGTCACATGTGAAAGAGATTTACCTGCGGACTTGTGGGCACGGATGAGGGTTGCATGTCCGGTTGGTTTGTGGTCTGGGCAGAGATGCGCACAGATAGTCGGGGTAGGACTCGTTATCGATGGTGCAGAAGACCAAACGAGACTGATATCCTGATGAAGAGAGAGAGGAGGAAGAAAAGAGTTTTTATTTCAGCCTCTTTTTAGGACAAAGAAGAGGTTTTAAAACAGACCGAGACTCTGACCTGATCCACACTCTCTGCTGCAGGCAGACCAGGACCCGAAGCTCCAGTAGTATCCCTCTCTGGAGCGTCCGTTAGGGAGATAATACTCATACTCTATTCCTTGGTTTGGCTCCTGGCTGATCAGCTGAAAGGAGAAGGAGGAGCGTGAACATCAGCTGCTCCTCTAACTGCCCTCTGAGGAGCAAAAACCAGACTGAACAGGAGAGCTCCGCCTCCTCATAAAACCTCCTGACCTCAGCTGATGGAGGTCACAGGAGGAGGAGAAGATGATGATGAAAGTTCAGTCTCACCTCCACGACCAGGGGCTCGGTGGTGGGACCGCGGCCGATGATGGTCTCGGGGACGTTGTCGCCCTCAGCTCCTCTCTGGTAGTACAGCATGGTGCCGGCGATGGGGGTCGCTCTGGAGAACTCGATTACCCAGTGTCCATTGAGGTAGTACTCCCCCCGCAGGTTCTTGATAGCTGCTCACACAGAGAGGGTACAGTTACACGTCTTTGTCTTTTATTCTGTCCGTTAAAAAAGAGAAAAATCGTAAACTCACCGATGTAGTTACGAGAGGCCACAGACTCTCTGATGCTGATGGTGGTCGCTCCAACAGGGATGATGAACATCTGGTTGTAGCCTGAGAAAAATCACAAATACAGAAAATAAGCAGACATGAAGTGAAGACTCGGGAACACGATTCCTTTGGTTCTGTTGGGAAAAATCCTGAGGCGTACCGGTTGGCAGGTCGCGCACCGTGAAGGTGTTGCGGACGCGGTAGCAGGACTGTCCGTTGCCCCCACACTGCAGGCAGGGGTCCTCCTGCTGAGGAGACTCCAACATGTTGTCACAGCCCAGACGCTGAAGAAAGAGGAAGAGGAGAGAGTAGAGAGACGATCAAAAATTACATAAAAATGAGATACTCCAAGAGCCGGCGACGAAGTAGGTTGTACTTGATATAAGTATTTAACACTCCCTTTTTTTTGCACCTTTTGATGGTGGAAATTGTTATAAAACCTCAAACAATGGTCAAACCTAAGAAATCCACTCAGAAAACACCCGAGTCTCCCTCAGACCTCGACGACAATTCGCCAAACCGAGCGTGCTAACGCTAGCTCATCTGGCTCAAGTCGACCAGTATGGAGTCAGATTTGTGTCAAAAATAATCAAACAAATATAAGAATTTGATGGAGAATAAAACTCACCAAAGCAAAAAACAAAAAATCATCTCAAAGGTAAAACTTGTAACTTGCAAACAAATTATTTGTGCAACTGTGTAAACTCCTGGTCTCTAACTTTTCATCATTTATCCTTTTGTTTACAGTTTCCTATGTTTCTTTTACGGTACACTTATTACCAGGTAATTACCAGGTAATTACCTGGTAACAACATGAAATTATCTAGTAATTACATGATAACTACTAAGTCAATACTGTCTAGCTACCAGGTAGGTAACCTTCCATCATCATACAAATCTGAAGCTGAATTTCTCTGGTATTTCCAGGATTTTTTCCGCTTACTGGAACCACCACTTGCGCAGTAGCGTTGTACACATTCGGCGGGTGAGTCGCTGTGATAATGCTCGGCTCAAACAGCGTATCGCAACGCAATCTTTGCACGCCCATAGGCTGTATCAAGTGTCAATCATACAAATTAAGAACCCCAAATAGCTTTTGAAAATGGAGCTGTACAGAAAAAAGAAAAAAAGAAAAACTAGACAGTATTGACTTAGTAGTTACCATGTAATAACCAGATAATTTCATGTTGTTACTAGTTAATTACTGGGTAATAAGTGTACCGTAAAAGAAAGGGTTACCGTTGCTTTCTATGGAGTCAGATTTGTGTCAAAAATTGATTGTTTTTGACTTAGACCTCCACGACGATTCCCCAATTGAGCACGCTAATGCTAGCTCATCTGGCTCGACCAACTCCGAGTATGCCCAGGGAGATGCACCGTTGAAAGATGCCTCTCTGTCGCCCATCCTGGGGACCATTAAACGGATAAAAATTATGATGATTGGATCTCTTTTGACACGAGTCACAGTGTGCATAGACAGGCTCGAAATTAAAATACCGGATAGCATCAGGACTGGTTCTGATACAGATCTTCAGAGATCCACAAGCGCCTTTCTTAGAGGGATTATAAAGCAGACTCAGAGGTGGCCAAGTCAGGAAAGTGTAAAAACTTTAAAAAGAACAAAACAGCTGTTTTTAGTCGCCAAACCAAACAACAAAACCTGACTTAATAAGGGAGGAGAAACACATTTTTCCTGCAGAAGTGGCAATCGTCAAACCCGAAACACAAATCTGGACGTGGAGGTTTGAGAAGGTAAAAGGACCGAATTAGAGTCTGAGGAGAGAGCAAGTCTAAGATTTCTGCTCCCTCTGAGGAGGTGATGAGGACATGATGACAGGGGTCAAACAGAGGAGGTGTTTCATGAGGAGAGAGCTGCTGTGATAATGACAGGAGGACCAAATGAGAGCAGGAGGAGGGTTTGATTTTACCGCAGAGTGAAACTAATCTTTCCTCCCGCTGCTCTGCCTCTCTGACCGAGTCCAACACCATCAGTGAATTAAACCAGAAACTTCAACCTGTGAAAAACTCCAAACCTGTGAAACTCCTGTTAGATACCTAAAACTAAGAATCACTAAGACTACGATAACGACAGGAAACGCTTTTGTGTTTTTCTCCTTTTCAGCAACAATTATTTTAAGAAGGTTTGGTAGAAGGATGCAGCGCAGACCGGGAATGATCGACCACAGTCTTCATTCAGGGAGTGTGCGTAACCACGGTGACATCAGCTTTGGTTTGTGGACTGACATTTTACAGCCGCCACTTAGGCACGGTGGCCTTTTTCAGCTCGGTTTACGGAGCCAGAGGTGACCACATTTGGCCGAGAGGAAGAGCGATAATCTCTACGTCGGGATCTTTTAGGAAGTAAAAATCACATGTTGCATTGTAGCGTGTCCTTCTTGGGGATATTTCAGTGTTTTTGTATGAGTTACAGGTCACTAGGAATTGTTATGGCACAATGGAAGCCGGTTAGCTTGACCACTTTACTGAGAAACTGCTGGGGAGCTGGCATGCAAGCTAGATTACAGTCTTCAATCCTGCCAAATTATCTAGCTAAATTTATCAATCAATCCTTGTTCCTACACTCACGATGGCTAGTGACCACGAGAATGTAATCAAGATACAAGTACCAAAGAAATGTTGTAACCAAACCAACGATTTAAAGAAAGTGAAGAAAGAAATTGTGTCTATCAAAGATTAGCGGTTAGCGCCCTCGTTTGAGTTTCTGACCAGCTGTTCTTGCCTCTTTGTTTTGTGAATAATGTGAAACGAGAACTGTGAGTGTCTGTGTATGAGGTCTAGTTTAAGAAAGCTCACCTTACAGACTCCGTCCACACAAACGTCCCTCCGCCCGGGGTGACAGGGCGTCCCGTCGATCACAGAGCTGCGGTGACGATAGTAAAAGTTCTCTCCTCTCGGGATGCAGTTCAGCTCACAGGGATTCTCGGCTGTCAAAGAAACACAATTCATTTGAGTTTAGTTCAGCTGAGTAATGTGTATCTGAGCAGGTTTTTGAACCCCTAACCATCCCCTCTGTTCCCGTCTCTGACCTCCATAATAAGGGAGCCACTTGTAGCGCTGCCCCTGGAAGTCGGTCCCATCGAACTGCGAGCACTGCTCTTCACGGAAGTCTTTAGATCCTTCTGGACAATCCTGAGAGGGACGATGGGAGACGACAGTGAGCTCATGAGACAATTAGACGTCAATATTCAACAGTTCACTTCGTTGTTTTGCAGATGATACTTTGATTTATGTTAGCGTTGTCAAACTCTTGTTGTTTGGTTCACCTGGATGTTGCAGGAGCGGTAAGACTTGTCCGGTCCCACACAGTTGTGTCCTCCATCAGACCTGTGTAGTTACAATAAAACATCATTATGAGACACTTTTAATAAAGACGTTCATGAAGATTAAGTTCGATTATTGACCTGATTACAAATGATCTCCGTGCATGTTAATAAAATTGTCAACTGTTGGGCCTAACTCGACAAAAAAGAAAGATAGAAAGTTCCCAGTTGTTCTGGCTCCCTGCTCGTATGTCCCCATCTGTCTTTAGGGGGACATTGGGGCCCTGGTGAGTACAAGTCTTGGGATCAGGAAGTGATGAAATGGGTTTCTACACTGAGTGCTGATCTGTTTTTCTAGAGAAGACAAACCTTGTGCAATTCTCAAACCCCCTTTTCAGCAGGAGGCTTCAGGCTATTTTCATTTTCTCAAACTGAAACTGAAAGATCGAGGATTTGTTTACCATGGTAAGATAAGATACTCTTTTATTAGTCCCACAAGGGGAAATTCCCATTTACAGTTCATCCTTTCCAAGAAACATACAGTAAACAGATGCGTACAAGGTGACAGGAACAGGAGAACAGGAGAACGGCGCTCCTTTCTTAGATGAGAAAAATTATTATCATCCCATTCTTGCCTGATACAGGATTTCCGTGGCCCATTTGCTGCATTTATAACCAGTTTATCAGCTGGACTCTTTGACTACAGAGCAACACTGTTGTAATACCTGCAGAGTGTGGTTTTCTGAAATAATGAATGAAGGCGGGGTCTTAGACCCACATGTCCTGAACACTTATACACCCGCCACCATCAGGGATCCTTTGAACTGTGAGCTGATAACAAGGCAGGTGGTCCCTCTCCTCTTTTGAAACACATCTGTAGAAGTAGAGGCTGACGTAAACTGAAGAACACTAAGTCCTACATTTCCCATAATGCAGCAGAATGTCCATACTAAGACAACAATTCTGACATAAACAGGGTCATTTCTTACAATGTGGAAATCTACAGAGGAGGATGAGGGCCACTTGAAAAAAAAAAGGTCAGAAATATTTGTATAAATATATATTTAAAATTATCATTCAGAGAAAAAAAGTCAGAATTCTGAGATTAAAGTTGGAATTCTGACTTTAAATCGTAATTTTGACTTTTTTCTTAAGAATTCTGACTTTAAATTCAGAACAAGGAAAATGAAATATGTTGCAACTTGGCGGAATTCTGACTTTAATCTCAGAATTCAGACTTTTTTTTGCAGAATTCTGACTTTAAACTTGGAACAATAAAAATAAAATATGTTGGACTTTCTTTGTTTCCCCAGTGGCCCTTATCCTCTTCCATAGAAACCCCCTTCCAGAGCTGACAAAAGAAATAAATCAAAACTGCTCTTGACTTCTCAGTAAAGCGTCACGTGTAAATTTGTTGGAATGTCCCTTTAAGCCACAAATATATGTTTACTTCCATCTTTTCAGCTCTGAAAAAAAAATCCACTTTTACATTTTTCCAGCTGCAGATCTATTAAAAGTTTATGGATCGTCATAAAGAAGCAGAAAGAGTTAATGACTAGGTTAGGCTGCGGCGCACGTATGCAAATACGTCTCAGACTGTCTGCGAGCGCGAAAAATAACAACTTTCTGCTCTAACATTAAGAAGCATTCCTCTTTAATCTCAGTGTGTTAAAGAGAAAAGCTCTCAGCGACGAGAGAGAGGGGCCTCCACACCGTCAGCGCTCAGGAACAGTGAGACAGCAGATCGTTTCACCACCCTTGCTTCGAGCCATGTTGATAACTCATGATTAAGTCACCTCCAAAAGTACCCGCCCTCAGGCCCAGAAAACAAGACATGCTTCTGCTGACTGACGGCACGCCAAAGCTCCGACTAAAAACATGTCCAAACACTCAGTGACAACATCCAGCATTCAACTTTTCACCTGAGACGGATCACAAACATTTGGAGCACGAAGATAGTGTCAAATTAAATGTTACATAAGAGACAGGAGGGGGAATGAAAGTTATTCACGATTATTCACCGCTGATCAAACAATATTTAACTACAGAGGAGTCCATAACTGCCAAAATGATAACCTTTCCTTGACTCGTGACACTTTGAAGCGTGACTCCTTTGGATGGCGGTCAGGAAATATTCCGCTGAAACGAACACTGAGTCAAACGGGAGTTCCTGTAAAACACACAATGAGTCAACACCTGTCTAATCATAGTGCTTTAAGGTGTGATTCTGGCAAACCTGGCAGACAAGATGTGACAGAGTTGATCCACTTACTGACGGTAAGGGTGGGCAGGAGAAAGAGGGGAAACAGACTCACCGACAGACATGTCGTAACCCTGCATCGAGTGGAAAACATCCAGAAATCACCATCATCCATACCACCCTGTCGTTCATGTCAAATCTAATTCAATAAAACCGCAATTTCCTACAGTTTGCCTTCACATAAATGCAACACAACATGTCAAACAGTTGACTCAGAGCAGTGTTTGGACTCGTCGCAGGCATGTTGTGCCTGGTGGGCAAAGAACATTTAATTTACTTTTCGATTAAATCCCCTCAGAAGAACCACCGCTCAATTACTCAGCCACACCTACAGTCAGCAGCCGATGACCTCAGACGGTCGGGGATCATACGCAGCAGAAGATCCGAGTTTATCCGGAGGTGAAGGAAGAGTGACAGTAACAGCAACCTTAAAGTGGAGGTTAAACCTAAAGGCTGGAAACTGTGAAAGAAACTTCAGCACTGATTCAGGGTCGACTGGCCAAATACCAAGGTTGCAACAATTGTTGGATTAGTCGCTGTCATCCCCACATTTCCTGTCTCCCCTCAGCAGTCCCCTCAATAAAGACAAAAACACTAAAGTTCTGCGAGTCTGCTCTGAAGGTTTCTGAAGAAGGTTTTGAAGGGGTCAAGCTAATTCAATCCAACTTTTGGTCGTCACGGACACAGACAAAGCCACAACAGTTTTAGTCTTGATATCCTCAACCAAGCTGAGTTATAAAAATTTTAGCCTCCCTTCAGTTTGTAAGAGTAGAATTCTACGGAAGCGTAATGCATTCACTAACAAAAAAAGAGGAAACTGTTTTTTGAGTATTTTTTTCTTTCCGGTTTTTGGACAATTTTTTTTTCTTCTGTTTTTTACACTAAAATTTTTTTCAGACCATTTTTTTCTGTTTTTCTACTATTATTATTATTTTTTTGTTTTTGTTTTGTTTTTCTGACTATTTTTTTTCCTGAATAAACAAGATACTTTAAAATCCTGCGATTTGAAGTATGCGAGGTTAATGTTATCTCATGCAATCAGATAACGTTAACGTTTAGTTGGTGAATGCAGTACGCTTCTGTATAAATCTGAGCTATATACCCTAAACTGTGTTTTGTATCAGGCTGCAAAAATGTTTAATGTTGCTGTAAAAAATAGCATTTTAACATGCGCCTCAATAGGTTTACCTGTCTGTTTGGGGCAGCCTCAAGTGGACACTTGAGGAACTGCAGTTTTGGCACTTGGCTTCATCTTTTAACATCATGCCATTTATTACTTTCAAGTTATTCAAATCCACAAAGTTTCAAATAGGAAATATTTATTTACTTTATTATTGGTTTAATAATTGTTTAAACATTGAACCAGCAGCCAACAAATAAATCATAGCATTTACACGGGTATTCAAGCCTCTGCTGACTGAAAGAGCTGGACTGAGTGTCAATAGGGTTGATCCTGGGTCAATCTCTTCAGTTCAATCATACGTATATATTGAAATACACCTGATGTATCACGCACCAGTTGTTTGCCAGACCTTATTTAGCTCAAAGAACGAGAACGGGAACTTCCCCACCTGCATGAAGGGCGCTCAGGTGTAAACAGTTTGGATGTATTTCAAAAGAACAAACAGGTTCTTATAATTACTGCAAAGTCAGTGATCTGTGTGGTTAGAGGAGCGACGCAAAATGAACCCAAAGCAAAGACGACTAAGGTGAACCGAGAGCTTTCTGGTGTTGTTCAAAACCCAAATCTGATTGGTGCGTCTCTACGTTTGAACCCTTACCAAGAAGCAGTGAAACATCATTTATCACTCCAAACCTTATGAATACAGATGATGTGATTTGAGTCCAGCAGAAGGTTTACAAAGCCTTACCTTAATACTTCTATTTACTCAGATGTAAAAGAAGCGGCTTTACAAACAGACTTAAAGTGGACTCAACTGTGTTCAAAGCACTTCCACTCCAAAAACCAAAACACGTGCAGCAAAGAGACTCTTTTAAAAGCAAAAAAGGACAAGTCGAAAAACGTTCACCCCCATCAGATCCTCCCCGACAGCCAACACCCATTAAAGAGAGGTCTTTTAATGTGAAAGGGCCCCTCCCTGAAGTCTGTTCTGGATGTAAAACAAGCCCACGTCAGCGTGACTTCAAGGCATTCCTCCTCTATCAAGATCCAGAGAGTGCCCACGAACCTCACAATTAGATTTATTTACACAGGAAAAAGGAGAAGCGGTGTGTGTGTGCAGCTGAGTTTGACCAGGAGAGGCCGAGTTCTTACTGGAATGCCCCTCTGTGTGTGCAGGTGTATTAAAAAGCAATAAATGGAGGCAGGTGAGTCTTACCTGTGGGTGATACAGCGTCTGGTTCTTATGGTAACGCCGCTGCCGCAGCTCCGGCTGCACTCACCATAAGGACCCCAAGCGTCCCAGTGATCCACGTTGGGCACCTGGACACAAAAAAGCAGTTAGACCAGGTTTTTAAGGGTTTACATGTTCTAAAAAAGCTCTAAAACAAGTCAGGCTGAAACTCCTGCTCCTGTTTGTCTCGATTGGTGCGAGTGGGAGTCGAACCCAGAGTCACCACCTCAAGAGCTGCTGCCTCTGTGGATCAACCAGGGAGCTAAATCTCCAACTTAGCACCGAATCAGACAAAAAGACACTTAACTACCTCACAGATTCAAAATGCTCCTTATTTTTGCTTTGAGTCGGCTTCTGAATTAGTAATAAAAATAGGATGTAAACTTGTGTCTTCATGTCTTGCAGCTTTCAGTTTGTTTTCATTTTCATTGGAGCTGCTGGAAACTTACCATGAGCGCTGGAGCCAGCAGCAGCTGGAAGATTATCAGAGGCAGAAGCATCCTCGTTGTACCCTGGAAAGAAGACACATCCACAGTCAGTCGCCAACAGATAGACGCTGTTTCACATTGAGCAACTTTTCAGGAAACGAGCCAGAGTACGAAGAATTAAAGCTGTACGAGATCTGAGACTCCGGCCAACAGAAACAACAGGATTTCTGAAGATAACATCCTGTAATCTGATCCAAAACAGTAAACACTCAACTATCACATGTGATTTTCTCTGCCCTGCAGCTCTCTGTACGATATTATCGACTGAATAAATCAGCTTTAATGATTTTGCAGTAAATCTTCATGCAGATCATCAGACTGAACATACACAGTGACGACTGCAGCAGCTTGTTCTGTGGTTTGGTTTACAGCCACCGACCACAGCAGATGATCACCAGCTGGATCTGGTGTTTAGAAAAAAAAAACATGTCATTACAAGATGTTTGTCTTGGAAAAGCAAACATGCATTCAGCTGAATTTCCTCCTGGTGATTAAGAGTCGAAGCAATCAATTTGAAACCAGGGAGTCAAATGCCAAGAACATAGATTTACATCGATTTAATATGATATTATGATTTTAATTTGTGTAAAAGGGTTTATGGTTTATCATGACATCTATCCTATCTATCTATCTATCACGTTGTGCCTCATTGACACACGATGTGACAGGCCATACTGTACTGTTCTGTATAGTGCCATATTGTTTTGTATCAAACTGTTTCATATCCTGGTATTTTGTGATAATACATTAAACTGGATTGCACCATGACGTACAGTTGAGAATCAAATGATATGATAAAATGTGAAACTTGACTAAAAGAAATTACGATACATCGATACATTATGACAAAATACAGTGCAATAACAAACTAATCTGTACGATATGACGCGATATGATACGATACGATAAGTTACGATACATTAAAATATGATATGAAATGGTATGATATGATGTGATATGATGATGCGATATGATACGATACGATACCATAGTGTGCAATATGATATGGTACAATGTGATGCGATATATAGTGCGATCTGATACAATATGATAAGATACGATGCGATACAGTACGGTACAATACGGTGCAATACGATATGATGCTTTATGATGAATAGGGTGGCCATGTTCTGAATCCCGAAAAAGAGGACACTGCTACGCCGGGGGGATTTGTGCATGTGCACGGAATTTAAAGGTTTTTTTCAGGACAGGTCGAGTATTTTTTTTTTTACGCGCTTCTAACTCAGTTAAATGCATATTCTGAATTCTCAAAAAGACACTCAACCATGCCTCTTAGAGATACTGAAAAATACCCACACAAAGTTGCATTCATAAACAATATCTCTCGTCTTTTTTTTTTACTTTTTTAAATTTTTCACTGGCGGAAATGGGCTTCCATACAAAACCGCGGACATTTGAAGGATTTTATAAACTCCCCCTGGAGAGGCCGAACAGCCCCCCAAAGAGGACATGTCCAGATAAAGAGGACGTATGGACATCCTATTAGACACAACGCAATAGGATGTAATGTGGTGCGTGATACGATAAGGCTTATGATACGATACGATGCAATATGACATGATACAATCCATCGTATCCAATCAAATCGTATTGTGTCATATCATGTCATATTGTACTGTATTGTACTATAACGTATTGTATCTTTTATAGTCGTCGCCCTTTCTTCGAGACCTCTATCCTGATTTAAGGCTTTAAATAAAATTATAATATATTACTTTTTGATACTGCAGTAATGCCATAAAACACCGAATCATAACCTGTTTAGTATAACCTCTGGTCACCACAACAGCCTTAAAGACTTTAGAGATGTCAACATAGACCTGGGGATACAGCTAATAAGTGACCTTTCCTTTTACTCTGACTTTTCTACGTTGTTTGGTTCAACAATATTTCACAAAGATGTAAAGGGAAGCCAAAAATACACCAAAGTGCTCTTTTACTGCCACAACTCTTACAGGAAACAGCTTTCTAACTTCACTTAAACCACAGCCTTATCATCCCCCACTGCTATCTCCTCATGTAATTGCTTAACCGAGCTAAAAAGCGTCTCCTTTGTTGCATGTGCAGAGGCTGTTTGTTTGTTTTTTTTCCAGGGCAAATGGGGGGTCTCTTTACTCCCCTGAGAGGCAGACAGAGTTAGAGGGAGAAAGAGAGAGAGAAGAAGTGAGAGGTCGCCGGAGCTGCCAGAGCACCTCTGACCCTGTCTGCCATGACGCCTAAACGCCCCAACAGCGAAGAGAGTTACCCTGCAGACATGATGAACAAGTCAGAGGGCTGGTTATGTCAGAGAGGAGAGAAGACAGTCAGTCAGCAAATCTGATCGGTCTCACCCTCGGAGCAGACGTGCTCTCACTGATCTAAATCCCCAAATTGAGCAACTTCATGATTTCATCTTTTCTACGAGGGGATAATCTCAGGATTTTCTCTCACGGTGTTTGTTTACATCCACAGCATCCACCCATTAATGAGTATTTTGATGTTTCTTTATCAATTTACTGTTCAGTCAACAAACTACTCCCATGTGGAGCTTAAATGTGAATAATTTCTGGCTTGTTTCATCCTCCATGATGACAAAGTGACTATTTTTGAGTTATATATGAATTAAGGCACCAAGAAAACACTCATAAACAACTTCCAACACATACTGTAGACCATAAAGCTGATTAAATAATCTAAAAATATTGAATGGACAACAAAAACAGTCAGAAGTAACTGAGCTGACTGCAGGTTTAAAGCCCAGGCTGATGTCTTTAGATGGAGCGTTCAGTTTTCACAGCCAAGTATTACATAACAATTCTGTCCTTTTCAGATACAAACCTACATATTGCTGAAACAAGTCAGCAAATACTTTTCATTCTTATGAATATGTTAAAGTCCAAGTATTTAAACCCGAACAAAACCAACCAGTTTCTCCTTAAAGGGATTTGGCATCATTACCAGTCATATCCAGGAACTTATATAAAAACTCTGTCCCGTCATTCTGGCATCAACTTGGTTGAACTGATATTCTTACTCATCCATTAAAAGCATTCCTGCATCCCTCACTCTGTATTGTACCGGCTCATAAAGGCGTCTGCCTCAGGCTGTACAAGCTTTTATTCATCCAAATTAACTATTATTCATCAGTCTGCCGGGGCATGCACTGTCTTGTGTCCTGCTTTATGTGAGTAGAGCGTGTCTGTACCAGGCACCTGGTCAGTTTATTAATATATTAATGAAACCTGAAAGAAATGATCAAATGTATTATGATTTTAGATGCTTTTTTAACAATTAAACTCTGTTTTTAGGTCTCCTACCCCACAGTGCCCCTGAGTGTTGCACATTGTTGTGATTATTATTGAACTAAATCTTTCTAAGAACCTCTAAATCTTCTCATAATCCACGTTATTCCAGTAGACTGCTGGTAAAAGCACATTAGTTTTTAATCTCCCTCTATAAAGTGACAAATTGAAAAGTAAATATTGAGTAAATCAAACAAACTTTCTCATTAAACCTCTCAGTTCTCATATTTTCTGAATGAGGATTTTCATCGTCGCCACACAGTCGGTGTAAAAAAATACGTTTCCTGTGAATAAATGTCATGTGAAGTAAATCTAACTCGTGGAGGAAATGTCATAGTTAGTTTCAGTGAGATAAAGAGTAAACTCACCCTGTTTTGTGGTTTTTAAATCGGGTTCTTGGAGCCCAAACCCGCCGGTGGATCCTCGCTGAGGGACCGTGCAGGACTGACAGACAGACAGCTGGTTTCTCTCCGGAGCTTTGACCTGAAGCTGCAGACTCCTGGATATATGAGGAGGGTTCACTGACTGCGAACCTTTGTCTCCCTCTCCCTCTGCTGCTGCCCCCGCTCTGTGACTGTCAGGAAACCAACAAGGAGAAGACGAAGAGGAGAAAGTCCTGCTGCTGCTGCTGTAACCTCCTCCTCCTCCTACTCGGCGTCATCAGCGCGTTTTTAACCAGCAGCTCGTCCAGGACAATTACAGCCCCTTCTGACAGATCTCTGGGCACAGCCTGTAATTCAAACCCAAGAAATAACTCTTAATCAACGAGCCCGTTTGTTGTCAGATCCCCATAAAGCATGCTCTCCATGAAGGTTTGGGAAATAGTCCAAATTCCCACTTTGCCATCACCAACTGTCATTAAAATGCTGAGTGTAGTCTGCTCAACATGGAGGCTAATACCAGGGTATTCACAGGTCTGCTTCTGATGGAGAGGCAGGGTTGTTATTGACAGCTGAAAATAGGTCCCAAATGTTAGTTTAAGGTGTCAACAGGCACTTTCTGTGAACCGTGTGATTTTTAGGATATAAGAGAACACGGTTAGCATGTTCACTGTCACACCAGCAAGTTCTCAAAAACAGACGATTGACGCCTAAAATTCACGCAAAGTTGAGGACAATATCAGATCATATCAGCTTGTATCATATCACTATATAGTATGTCTTATATACTGTAGGCTAGATATTGTAACCATGGACTGTACGGACAACTTGGTTCCGCCTTCCGCCAGTATACGGATTTGAAGCCGAAAAGCTCTTGGTAATTCCGCGTTTTCTCTCGGATCCGGAATGGATCCCTAACCCTTATATAAGTGACTAATATGGGGGTTAGCTATAATATAGCCGCTTGTTTTAGCGAGACCTCAGGCCAGTCCATTATAGACTGCAGCGGAGTTTCGCAGCTCAAGGAAGAACATTTATGATCATTTCTTCATGGAAATACAATCAGACCAAGACGCCAAGGCAGAACTACCGCGTCTGCAGAGCAAAATGATTAATATGATGATTATTACTTCAAGGAAATGATAAAGAAATGACCATAAATGTTCTTCCTTGAGCTGCGTCACCCCACTGTAGTCCTAATGGCCTGAGGTCCCGCTACAAACAAGCGGCTGCTGGATGAGAGTAGGTGAGTTGTGTTTAGTCTCTTCGCTAAAGAAATGAGTCAAAGTTAAAAAGATGTTTGGTGGCTAGTACTATGGCTGTGACCCTA